CCAGGGTCTAACTATTGGCTGTGCTATGCAGTTCTGTTCTTTAAATCCAGACCCTCGCCAATACTACGGTCATCCCTGTAGGCTTCCCGTCACCGTTGTTAATGAACCCCTGAGGTTCTTTCCTTTCCCCGCGACGGACCACATCGACTAACACGAATTGCCCTGACAAGACCGCCATCGCATATTTCTGAGCAAGGTCTACGTAACACAGCCAAGACGTCATTGCATCTCTGCACCAGCCGGGCGGATATACTCTGCCAGACTTCATTCTCGGTCTCCTATCAGTTACGCCTTGGCGCTACCACATGACGGGTAGATGCTTATATATCTGAGAAAGACGAGATTGCACAGCGCCGGCAACATCCAATCAACTCTAGCAGCAGACCCGATCTCTGTCTAGAGTGCTATTCACTGTAGCGCCGCTGGTACGCTATCCGTGACCCCGCTGAACTCTTGCGCAACGATTATTCTGACTGTTCGCTGAGTCACAGCTCTGTCGTGCCGTTCGTTACACTGGACTGGAACTGGTCAAAGGGTGGCATCTCCAGCCGTTGGTGGCCCATTAGCTCAAGGGATATAGGCGATACGAACGCTGTAGGATCATCCAGGTGAGTCTTTCCGCGCGGCTGATGGACTGCACCTACTGACCAAACCAAGCTACGTGCAGTTTCAGTAAGAAATAGCCCAAATACTCAGATCGCCACGGCCGTACAAACGCATACTCCGCCTCTGCTGCTCAAGATTGGTAAGTTTTATTCATCTTCCTGCGCGGCATGTTTCTGCCCGCCACTTCCTATCTTGATGTTCGATGTCTATTCGTGGTTTGCTTGTGCTGCGACTCTCTGTTGTTTCCATTCATACCCATTCACCAATGGCCATCCGATCCAGCCCTTCGCCTCCCCCCTGTCTGGTAGCATTCAGCCGGACTTTTATCCCGACATGGCACCCTTCCATCCTGGCCACCCACCGCCCACCCCAATCCCATCGATCCTCTTTCCAACAGCAAGCATATTGAGTGGATTACCAAATAAGCCACCCTGGCGATTTACCGAGGGTTTTGTACGGGCGGCCCGTCGCCCTTACGTCCCCAATCAGTCTGCGCTCAAATGCCTGCAGCAAGCACTATATCTGACTAGGCCCCCCAACCCAAGCCCTGATGGCATTGCCCTTGCTTCTTTATCACTATACTCGTTTGTGGTCACATCCAAGGCGCTGCATACTTGCGTCATCAACGTGGTGGTGCTATAGTACCCTGGCCACCTGCTACCTGTCAGTAGAGTTGGGGTGCATCATGTCCCCTCGCTGAAGATCGCCTCCATAAACCCCTTCAGTGGCCCTTGACGACATATGCAAGTTCGCATGAACTAATACCGCGATACAGACCCTAGCCACAGCGACAGCTTGCGCCTTCGTCCCCAAAAGACCTGCGCACGGCCATACGCAAGGGACTCAAACCCTCGCATCCGATCCTCAAGGGGTCGACCTCGCAAGGACAGCGAACGCCACCGGCAAAACCTGGAGGCCTGCACAAGGAGAGAACCAGCATATCGGGTTCGTCTAGTCCTCGCACACCAGATCTTGCACTACCTTAAGCCATCTGGCTCCCACGCGCCAAGCAAGGCACCCAAGTCTTCCGAATACGCCGGCAATCTGTTCTCATTGACTAGGTATGCGCATTTCCCTACCTTGCACCGTCATCCATTTTCCCAAAGCCATCTGCATTCCACCATGTGCTTTAACGCCAACGCCTGCTTGGAATCGAGAGGTCGCACATAAAGAACCACGGACTGGCCGCTGGATTTCCAGGTGACTAGTCACCGTTAATATGCGCATTTCTGGTTTCAATATTCGGCAATGCCTCGTTCCTACGCCAAACGCAAGTTTGCATGAATTCCCATTTCACAGCTTTTATCACTCATTTCCTCCGTGGGATGTTGCTATTTTTGTAACGCTGCCTAATGCCTGCACACTTGGCCGCATTGAGATATAGAACTCCACATGTCCACCCAGACGCTAATTCAAGGAACAGAAGCAAACAAGACTTTACTCTCTGAACGACCTATAGACCACTATCGGCTTTCCAAGACACAACCAATTCTCTTTTCGCTTTTGACTTGACAAACTGCTGAGGATCTCAAGGGTTTTGCCAGAGTGAGTAAGTTGTCGGGTTTCTCTCCACTTATCACCTGAGAGTCTTGGCGCATGGGCGCGAGGCCTACCGATGTGAACATGGACAGCCTGGTCTCCTAAGCTTGCGGGGAACCGACGACTGCCAATTTGGACGGGCAAGCCCCAAACTGAGAGCTATGCCCCTTGGGCTTGTGGCATTGGCAACGGCTGCACCGAAGCCAGCCGCGTGGAGAAGCAGCTACGGACTCTAGGATCATCGCTGTGTTGAAGACCTACGATCTCTCAGCTAACACCTGCGTCTCATAGACCGAGAACCGATTCACATACGAGTCCTTTGGACAAATGCTTCTGAAAATGGCCCAGCACCGACAGGCTCCTGGCCCGTACGTCAAGGATGACCATCCGACTGACCCAGTAAGTGATGGTTCTGCAGTCTCGTCATTCTGATTTTCATTATGCTCTGTACGGTTGCGCATTTGCTCCCCCTCCACGTTTTCGGCTCCGAATCGTGGTTCAAGATCACGAACATCCAAAGCATCTTATCTCAAGTGTGATGTGGGACGTCTGGAGAAAGGGCCACCCATGCTGGCTGGTCAACTGTGCTTCATTTCTGTCTCTAGGTCTGAAGCGGGCTGTGTGGGTTTCCAACGCTTCCAGAAGATGGCAGGGGCTGTCGCAAGCCTGACCGGGTCGGGGGGGGGGGGGGGGGGGGGAGGCTCGATGAAGGGACTGCCAGGGGGGCGATCTCTTGTTTCACAAGCTGCCGGGGTCGGTCTTCTGGAACAGGGCTTGTGTGGGCCAGCTCGTTAGCGTTCTTCCCGGGTCCTCCTCTGACAAGGGCAGCGGTGCGAATGTTTGACCCCACCACCTTACTGGGTGCTGACGTGCCTGGTCTGCAACGTCCGAGCCCAAGTGGACCGGCGCAGTGCGGACCATCGCAGCATGCTGTGATTCGTAACGCTCCCGCGCCGGTGCACTAGCCACACTGTAATCTTCAATGGCTCGGAACCCTCTAGTTGAGGAACCAAGTCTGGACGGCGCGAGTGCGAAACAGACGTGGCGGCGAGGAAATGAGACGCCCGGCAATGGAAACGGTTGGCCGGGGATGGAGCAGCGAATGCAGAGAAGGCAGCGATGCTGCCAATCTCAATCGCGACAGAGGGCCAGCCGTATCTCCGAAGCGAGATGATTGGCCTCGCAAGCCGTACAACATCATCGCATCAATCGCCACGGGAGCGTGACCTCGAGCGTGGCAGGTGGTTGACGCTTGCGCATTCTGTTCTGTCAGATGTACCCAGGCGAAGCTGTCCGGCGTACTGCTCGCTTCCGTCCGTTCACAAGCGTGCGGTGGTGGAGAGACAGAAGTAGCGGCATTGATCTTGGGCGTTTGGTCGGGTCCACTTTGCTCGAAGTGAGGTCGCTTCGAATCAAGCGCGTCAGTCAGCCCACCATATCATCTTGATTCAGAACGGAGGAGACCCCCCCAAGACGACTTGTTGCTGGTGACGTTTCGCAGTCCAGTGGCTGCGCACGAAAGCCAAAATGCCAACTGCATACAGCGCACATTCATACAGTACAACGAGCACAATTACCCATCCCCGAGTCTCGAACTGTGGGAATACCTCCCGTCAGCTTTCCAGCGGATCGAAACCGGTCGGCCAGCGCAGCCAACCAGCCTGGTCCCGAATCTCCTCTCCTCCATCCCTCCCCCCTACACGAAGCTTTACCGTTCGAGGAAAAGTCGCCCTCGAGGTACTAATCCGAGTGCCCCGGGGAGCACCGGTTCTTCAAGTACCTAAATGCCGCCTGTCACACACACACCGCCTTGGTCCTTGCTAGCTCGCGCAGAGGAAGCTCCCCCTGCTGCCCTGCTCCCCCCTTGCCCCCCCCTTCGCTGCTGGCTAGCACCGGAGCTTCGATACTCTATTAGGCATGGAATCCTCCTCGGCTCTGCAAGGACCGGCGCCATTGGCCACTTCATCTAAAATGCGGCTTCCCCCCTGCCCCCTGTCACGTTTCTTCCATGCGCCGTCCCACAGTCGGTCGTTGATCGAGCCACGCCCCTTTCGCCAACGAATTTTTTCTCCAAAATTCCCCCATTCCCTCAAGCCTATGCTTTGCCGCAGGCATTGCACGTCCTTTTGCTGGACCAAACAAGCAGTCATATCGCTCCTGCTATATCTCCGGGAAGAGGGCTGGTCGCGAGCACATATCATACGCGGCAAACCCCATACCTGGGCTCCATTTTACACCCTACACAATCCCTACCTGACTTGTCCCGTACCTTGTCCTTCACCTTGGATCCCGTACCTCTCTCAAATATCGCAGACCCTGCCCCTTTCATTGTCGCATTCGAATCCTCGCTCCGATCTCCAAATCTCTTGTCGCGTTTTTTCTCAAGGTCCCCTGTCTGGACCCATCCTCATACTTTTCCCGGTGATCTCGAGGCACTGCTCTCGTCGCGTCCCGATTAAGCTTGGAGGAGTTACCTAGTTGGTGAACCTTCGATCATCGGGTTCAGCTTCCGATTTCTACCCACTCCTCCTTGAGGGCGTGACTGTGTGTGTAGTGTTTATTTCCCGGTACCGCTTCCTTATTTTCCAGTCCTTTCCCTCTTCATCTCATGCCGAAGCGCGGTGTATGCATGTCAAGCCCCTGGTCATCAAATCCCAGAACCTACACCACCCTCGTCCAGGCACGCCTCAGCCGTTGAACCTCGTCCACCAGGGGAGGAGCATGCTTAAGGTTCCCCAGACCTTGACAGTGTCAGAAAAAATAAAAATACCGACGCGTCCTACATCTTGACTTTTCCACGGTTATCATTATTTAGCTTTGACACCTCAAAGTTCGTACTAATGGTTGTCTCCTCCATGCAGCACCACCCCCACCACTCGCAGGGTCCGGCGGCTCCTCAACATCTACAACATCCTCGACCCTCGAGCATTGTTCATCAGCAGCACCACCAGGCTCCTCCGCCGCAGTCCCAGCATCCCTCGGCCTACTCGTCGTACCAGCCGGCAGGCCAGGCTCAGAGCGCCCACAGCGCGCAGGACGGTCTCCCGTACTACGCCCATCCCAGCCCGTACAGCACTCCTGGAACCACCAGCGGTTACCCGGCCGCAGGTAAGTCGCAGCCCGTCGCCCGTCGCCCACGGCGCCTGGCCGACGCGTCGAATCGCATACTGATCGTGGTACAGACACATCCGACATGATGGCCGCCGCGCCGATGCCCAGACCGTACCCGCCGATGTCCTACCACACGCCGCAGTCGAATTCGCCAGCTTCGGTGGCATCCCCGTCTGCTCACGACCAGCACCGTAGCATCTATGGACAGCCGGCTCCTTCGCAACTGCAGCAGCAGTCCATGTACTACAGCGCGCAACAGCCGCAGTACTCGTCGATGCCTGCGCAGACGGCGCCTTCTCCCTACCAGCAACATGCGCAGCAGCCACACCAGCCCATGGGCTCTCAGCCTAACATGATGATGTCCCACGCTGGTCCGCAGCACCAGATGACGCAGCATGCGAGTCAACACGCGCAGCAGGGAATGACGGGCAGCCCGCGCCACGCCAAGATGGAGCCGCAAGTGCCACCCCAGCTCCAAAGACCTGCCTCCGGACCGATGGGCACGCCGCAGCAGCAGCACGCCCAGAACGGAGCTGGACCTTTGTCGACGCCGGGCGGCTCCTCTCCTGGCGTGAACTCCAACGCGGCACCCGGCCCCATCCCAGCCACAACCCCGCTGGTAGTCAGACAGGATAATAACGGTGTCCAGTGGATTGCCTTTGAGTACTCGCGCGATCGCGTCAAGATGGAGTACACCATCCGCTGCGACGTGGAGTCGGTCAACACCGACGAGCTGCCCAGCGATTTCAAGACGGAGAACTGTGTCTACCCCCGCGCGTGCTGCCCCAAGGACCAGTACCGAGGCAACCGCCTGCAGTACGAGACGGAGTGCAACACGGTCGGGTGGGCTCTGGCTCAGCTCAACCCTTCGCTCCGTGGGAAGCGCGGTCTCATTCAGCGCGCCGTCGACAGCTGGCGAAACAGCAACCAGGACCCGCGCCTGCGCAGCCGTCGCGTCCGCCGCATGGCCAAGATGAACAATCGCAAGGCGGTTCAGACCCCCCATCCTGCACACATGTCCGGCCCCAGTGGTCCGGCAGGGATGCCCACCCCTGGCGCCATGGGCCCTGGCGGTGGGACGGCCATGGGGAAGCCTGGCATGAGCAACATGGGTCCGCAGATGCACCACCACCACGCTCACTCAGACGGGAACTCTCAGGGAGGGGATGAAGTCGGTATGTTTCACCAGATGTGATTGATGCATTGTCGTTGTCGTTGTCGTCGTTGCCGTTGTGCGATTACTTGATACCTCTTACATTATACCTCGGACCTGTTTGGTACTTTCTTGTTTCGGTCTTGTTATATAGCGGCCCACCGCCGCGAAGGCGTCTCTGGTAAAATATTGGGAGGGGTATTCTGGCACTGCTCTGTACATTACCTAGTTGCTTTGCGCTTTTAGTCCTTTGCTTGGCGGATTCGACCGCCTGTCTCCTGGCAAAAGTTGCATGGCATTGCATCGCATCCCGCTGCACACACAAAACCTTTTTGGCGCACATATCATTCCACCACACATCGTCTTTTTGCCATCGCAAACCGTTCTGTTGCTTCATGCTCATTGCTATTGCCTTGAATCGCTTGGACTGCAGCTAACTCCACTGTTTCTTACAGGGGACGGAGAGTACATGGACGAAGGTCACCACCACCACCACCAAGCCCCGTCCGGCCCTGGTTCCGGACATGGTGACGACGTCCGCCAGGCCCAGGTCTTTGCCGGCTACCCCCAGCCCTACCCCAGCAATGCCGGCTCCGCATCCGGCATCCCACCCCCGTCTCACCACAACGCGATAGCGGCGCGCCACCAGGCCAAGGACGAGGACGACGACGACAAGCCTGAGGGTTTGTTCCCTGACATTCCCGATGCTAAGAAGCGCAAGTTTATCCTCGTCGACGACAACAAGCGCGGCTGTCGCCTGCGAGTTCGGGTCGCTCTCGATCTTGTCGACACCAAGGAGATTCCGGACTCGTTCCGCAAGAGTTCGTCGGTCTACCCTCGCAGCCACTTCCCTCGGGAGATGCAGAGCCCGCCGCCCAGCGCAACAGGCAGTCGCTTCTTCCAGGACGATCTCAGCGACGACGACGTCGAGGTAGACGGCGGGCGCACCGGCCGCTCGCGAGGCCACGCCGGTCGAGACCGGGTCATGGTCAAGGTACCTATGTCCGATGGATCCGAAGGCGAAGTTGCGATTCCACGAACCCGTAGACACACTCGCGGCAAAGAAGTCCGCCTTAACGACCTCGGTTATCGCATGGCTTGGCTACAGAGCCGTGTCTTTTCGGGCAGGACTATCTTCCTCCAAAGAGCTCGTATGTAGTTGTGATTCCTTCTTGTCTAGTCCTGTGTTCGCTAATTGTATCTTATAGTGGATTGTTATCGTAACAAGACTCGCAATGCCATCGAATCCATCATGCAGGACGTCAAGACCGCGGCGCCTCATTACGAAACACGAGTGGGCAAGCGGAGGTGGAGCGAGCGTATGCGCCAGGGTGCCGACAAACGCGATGACGAGTAGAGTAGCCACTTGCTGCTTCTATTGTCATTGACCCTGCAAACTCTATTGTGAACGTCACCTGTTTCACCTGTTTCACCACGATCCTGCGGTTGTATTGCTGTGGCCTTGGCTTGGTGAACCCAACGCCGGTTCATGGACCGCAATGCAGTACAGGGGCTTAGACCAAGCGCCCGCGCGCATGTATAATATCTCCAATCGGCCAACGAGCAGCCTTTGGTTGTCACTGTCAATATGATGATTGGACGACTTACGCGACTTTTCAACGTCTGTTTTCAATGCGGAAGGATCCAAGTCCAGTTCGAGCCGGGTCGAATGTTTTTTTTTTCCAGCTCAGCATGGTGGTTACGAACGGGCTTCATTTCTCGCCAAGTCTGGCAAATACGCCAGCGTCGTTTGACCTGCATCTTGCTTACACTGCAATCATTTCTGTTCGTTTCCACACATTGACAAGTCATTCGATTCGCCAGCTTGTTCTTCGCGCATATTTTCTCTCAGGGCGGTAAAATTGGCACTGGTACATAGATGGATCTTGGTGTTCATCGTTTTACTCTTCACTTCAGCAAGGCTGCGCATACGGGCGATTCGTTCTCTTGCCGAGAGATACCACCATGTTTTTGTGAGGGGAATTTCATGTTGGGTCGCGTTTCGTCCAGGGGAGATTGAGTAGAAGGATAGCATCGCGTCAAATCATTGGGGAAAGGAGTTTTTATACCTTAGGTTCACTTAATTTCACAACATATGCGTTTGACTAAGACAGTCTCCCAAGTGAGTCAAAGTAAATGTCTTGCGTTCCCGAAATCCGTGGCATGTGAGCGGCGAAGACACGAGCTATTGCAAGTTAAGTCACGTTCATTACTACAGTAATTATATTCAGTCTTCAAGTAATAATATATATATATATAATATGAATATAAAAGAACCCAGACTCCTACATAGACAACGGGGGCTGTGTTGCTGGCCAGCGCACAATTATCCATGGGCCAGCAGAATTGCAGCGCTGCCATGTGTCTCTTGTTGCGCGGCGCCATTGGATGTGTGTATGCTGGCGTTCATGCAAGCACGGGAACCAACGCCATCCCCCCGGGCTAGGCCCGGCCTGGGGAGCTGGCTGAACCGGCCCCATTCGCTGGTACCGCCCGCCATACCTGCCCTACGCCTCACCATACGCGGGCCGCGCCATGCAGAGTCGGTCGAAACGAACTGCAGGCCCGTCCAGCAGGCCCCCTGTCCGCCTGCCCCGGCATGCCTCCAGGAGCACGTGGGTTGGACTGCATACTCGCGCCGCTGATTCGCCTCGCGACCCCCCAAGCGATAATCTCCTCCTTGTCTTATCGTCTTGTCTAATCCGTCCGGCCCACCACACCCCGAACAGAAAACGTGTCTGAGGTTGCGTGCAGCGTTTAGCGAACCTCCCGACTCCCTGACGGGGGCGGGGGGGTGGTGAGAAAAGGAGGGGTGGGTTGCCTTGCAGTCAACAGCCGGGGACACGAAGGGGGAAGGAGGAAGCCGACCCCAAATACGACAAGAGCCGCCCCGGGGCGAAACAGGCGAAGGGAGCAGAAACCAAACAGAGAGAGGGAGGACGTCGTTTCTAGGTTTCGGTTGGCGTGTGCTAGGCCCGAAAGGGGAGGGGACCAAGTAGGGTGTGGTAGGCTGTTGATCCTATAGGAGCATGCAACCTGGGAGGCTTGCCCCGCTAGTCGGAGAATAGACTCTGTCACGGTGTTGCTGCGGCGTTGCTTGCTGTCGAGGCGAGGCGCGTGCTTGGGCCCCCGTTCTGCGCTCGGATGCGTGTCGCGCGCTGTCAGGAGGAGCCTATTGATCCTCTTGCGCTTCTCGGGCGCTCTAGAAGGATTCCTTGGTTTGGCTTTGTTTACCCAGGGAGTGTGATTATAGGCGACACCATCGCTGCGAATAGGTTCGTCCGTCCACGAGGTTTGCTTGACGCAAACGGGCTGCGGTCTAGTTGAGTTGCGTCTGTGGACTTTCAGTCGGCGGGACTGGGTCGCAATATCGGGTTGACAGCGGGTTGTCCTGCATACACGCCTTCTTATGTCGGTTGGTGGGTATTGATAGAGACTTGGTGAGGACTATGCCGAACGGATGAGAGATGGAGGCTGGGGGACTGGTCTTGGGAGGTTCCTGACCATACTGATCAAAGACACCCAGTTGGTACGCTAGCAGGAGGGCGAGAGCAGCAACTTCTTCTAGAGACAGATGGAATGTGGCAGGAATCATTGAGGCGATGTCTGGCACTACTGTTGCTCTTCGATATTAGTTATGTTGTATGTGAAATTATTGTCCGAGTACGGAAGAGGTTGCTGAAGTCAATATATTGGGACGAGAGAGTGATGAATAATCGACCCACCAGAAAAGGAGACCCAGCCTCATACTTCCAAGTTTCCTGTCAATAAGTTCCTGTTTCACCACCGCAGTTGGAAATCAAATATGTGGCTGTGATGTGATGCCCCATGGAGATCAAGTATTACTAGGAGAGTGTGGTGATCCATTGCTTACCACTTCGACCTGGAACTCTGGTCGCATGTTGCATACACGGAGACGTACGAAAGATTTAACAACCAGCTGGGTTCTTCTTCTCTTCGGACTAAGGTTACTATATATCCCTCAGCAGTCAAGTGCAGTAGTGATTTAAGTCGAGTTGTCCTGGGCCCGCTGAGCCCCTGACGGTGAATCACTAATCATACAGCTCATGATTTCTTCAAGCCACCCTTAGTCTGCTTTACCAGGTCTTCACCCTGCTGGTCAATTGTTCAGCAGTGCCTGATACGGCAAAGCACAAAGTTCTTTCTACGGGTTGGTATTTTGTAGGGTTTGAAGATATCAGTGAATCACTTTTGCTGCCAACTCTTGTGTGGATAATATAATATATCGAGATTCGGGGCCAAGGCGATTATCGTACAGTCACGGATGCTGAAACACCTCTTAGTACGCCAAGGCTACTTAGGAAGACGTTCAAACCAACTTAACAGCTAAATATTGCCTACCGTAATATCCAAAGCCATTGCATTGCAGATTCCCCTAAATGTACGAAGTGTGAACCTGCTGGTACTAAAGTCAGTTGAACTGGAGGTCGCGTATGGATGCCGAGTGAAACAGTCTCTCATCCAGATATCTGCAAATGCACCGAATACGTATCCACATCTATAGATTACGACACTCGAACTTGACCATGAATTATCTAAACAATGACGGATTCGCTCTAGCCTTGGCTGTAAAAATCTGAGTAGACGATAATACACAGGTACTTCCAACTTGCTGCGAGATGAACGCGCTCTTTTCATCTATGTACGGGATTTCTGTGCCCCCAACATTCCCATCGCGGTCAACTAGTGATTATGTGGGTTTCTATAACCAACCATTTGGTTCGTTGAAGACCTTAGTGTCTCGTTCGACTCCAGCGCAGAAGGTTGGTAACCCTGGTTAGTGCATGTCATTGTTTCATGTTCACAAATGTGGGTGGAAATGCAGGACTAAAGATGTTTCGACAAAAATGCTGTCTTGATATTGTATGTACCGATGTGGTCTTAAAGAATTATATACAGGAAATTATCCACCAGGCCAAAAGGCTGGCTATGCTTCGGTGCTGGACTCAAGAGCGCTGCTTCTCTCCTCCAAAGCTTGTTGTGTCTCGGTAGAGATGTTTGACTGCTTAGCAGCTGCTCAGGGTCTTGTAGACGCAGTGGTCGCTGGGGCCGGAGCTGATCTTCTTGGGCTCGTTGCCGGGGCTGGTGCCCTGGTACTCGACGCAGATCTCCTTGACGGAGGTGGCGCAGGTGCCGGTGATGGTGGCCTTGTCGCCGTAGTTGGAGTTGATGCCGACGAGGGACTTGCCGTTGTAGGCCTTGACGTTCTTGACGACGACGTTGCGGAGGCCCATCTTCTTGCAGTTACCGCAGCTGCGGTACAGCTTGCCGAAGTCGACGGCGGTGAAGCCGTCGATGGTCACGGTACCCATGCCGTTGTGCTGGATGACCTTGTCAGCAGCGCCGCTGGCACCACCGCCAACGATCTTGGCGTTACCGTCGCCCTTGAGGGACAGAGCGTCCTCGCAGACGTCGGACCACCAGACGTTCTCGACGGTGCAGGAGCCCTCGCAGTGGACACCCTCGATCTGGTCCTTGCCGATGATGGCGTTCTTGAGGGTGGCGCCGTTGGCGAGGATGAAGACGGCGTCCGAGTCGCCGCCCTCAGCCTGACCGGTGCAGCTGACGCCACGGCCGTAGGTCTTCATGCCACCGTCGAAGGTGCCGGAGATCTTCTGGGCCGACTTGTAGGTGACGGAGCCCTTGGAGGAGGGGATGGGGAAGCTGGCACGCTTGTCGAGGGCGAACATGGTGTTGGGGGTGACGTCGCCGGCCGGGGAGGCCATGACGGCGGAGGCGCCGAGGGCAGCGAGGACGACGGAGTACTTCATTGTGAGGTAGGGTTGGTGTTAGACCGGAAAGGTTGGCTTGAAGAAGCTTGTGTAAGAGGTTTGGAGTATGGTAAGCGGAAGCGAATGTATAACCACCCGGGTCAAGAGAGAATGTCAGGAAGTTGGACGAGGAAGGAGAGAATGCTGATTAGAAGCTGGTGTTGTAAGTGAGAGTGGCATATCCAACCGAGCGGTCTGAGTCTTTATATCTCTGCTGGCGATGGAGCATCTTGCAATGTTCTGATGGTTGGCAGGACTTGACGGCCTGTCTACACTACAATCTCCGTGCCAGGAGGGGATGGATACCCCGTTGGATACCCCGTTGAACTGCGGGCACTCTCATGACTGATCCCGGCCAGAGGCTCAGCTGGACCGGGAAACCCACTGCGACTGAGGCTCTGCTCATTTTAACTTTCATCTGTCGAAAACAGGTTCGGGACTTGGCAACCCCATCGCCATGCTCCTTGTGGGTGTTTCCTGGCCCGTCTGTGTGCTAGCGCTGTTTCGGGCGCTGCCGAGTCGAGCGGGCAGCCTTGGGGAGCCTTGGGGAGCCTTGGGGAGTGCTAAAACCCTTCAGCCGGCTGGTTCCAGAACGCTGGGAACAGGGGCGGCCCCGGTGCCCATTGGCTCGTTTTATTTCTCCGCCTGCTGGGGCCCGGGCCTGGTATCAGACAACGGTCTCTGCTTGGCAGTCTGCTTGCGGAAACAACCATCCGAACTGGGCCCTAGATGCCTGCTGGGATCGCCTCACTCGATTGGGGCCTATGCATAATCTTAAGTCTATTATCAACGTCTCCCGACTGCGCAGCGTTGACCATGCAAGCTATGTTGTCATCGCTCGCAGCTAATTCCGCCCCCAGGCAAGGTAGCGCCTTCACAAGCGCGATGCCACTGCTCAAAGCAGTATACATTGCGTGCATTCGACTTCTCTGGCCACGGCCACAAGGTGGGCCAGAAGGCCGTTGAATGTGTAAAGAGAGAGATTAAAGATGGAGTCGTCCATGATCCATCTGAACTCCTTACTCGTGTTTGTCGACTGGAGGAGTATACCCATGCCGGGCTCCACCTCAGTGGCAGATGACAGACGCCTGCATTGCCGGGCGACACGCCGTCGCGCTGCAGCGGCGGTAGAAATAAAGCTGGGGTACATTGCCGTTACTCAATATACGTCGATTGCTGTGGAACGATTGGGCTGACCGCCTCGTAGAAGGAAACCTTGTTCCATACGACCAGCCACCATCGTAACCTGGGACTTTTGCCTGGCCAGGGTGGACCGGGAAAGGGTAGACGTTCTTTCGTGTTCTTCTATCATAATTCTTCCGCTCCAGAGACCATTGGCGCTGTACTGTAAATGTCTGCAACTCAATTGGCCAGCATGTTGGCAATCTAGCCGCCCCCTATCTGCTGTCGCCAGTCTTGAAGCGTTCGACTATCCTACGTATTGCCCCTTGGCTCTCTACTTCGAACAGGAAACCCATCCCCCCTTATTACTGGAGGGAAATTATAGAGCATTCTGACCTGACTCATTATGCTTTCGGAGTGAACAAGGACTTGCAGCAATAAAACTCTATCATTCTGGAGGCACTCGAGATGCAGCAATGCCAAGTCTATATACAAGGAACGACGCATCCGTGAGTTGCCAAGACGCAACAACGAGATCGCTCGAGTTGTTTTCACTTTGACAAGCTTTGTGGCGGCTGGGGCGCGATTATCTGGGTTCGGTACGACTCGGTTTGACCACTCTCGTCGCCGCTATGCACACTGGCTGACTGAGTGAGAATGGACGGCATTTGACAAAGATATTGTGCAATTTAGCGACCGGCTGAATTGGCAGTTATTCGGCATGATTTGGGTGGTGCTGGAGCCACAATGGGTTTGTCAAGGGAGTCCACACGACGGACAAGGTGAGTGAGGGATCCTGCCCAGCACTACTCCTTTCCAACATTTCTCTGTTTGAATGTAAAGGATTGAGGAAATGGTGCGGCTTGGCTAGACCCACAGCTACGGATTCTTCAGATGAAAATCCCCAGGTCAGCAAGACCTTGGGAGTACTGATAAGCGGATCTGCAGGTATCAGCGTGGGAAGTGCCAGGAAAGGACTCAAGCACCCATATATCCTGAAAATTAAGCAAGGCGACGAATCTACTTCTCAAGACAATGGTACTTGGTGAAACGTTGCTAGGTGAGCAACTTACAGAGAAACAGGATCGTAGCCAAAGTATCTACGCCTTAGACCGCTGCCCCGTTTTAGACGGATCATGCGATGTTGCCGGTAGATATAGTTACAATCAAGCGAGCTGAAGACAACAACTGCGGTGCTGATTGTACGTCTACAGTGAGCACCAGGCAACCATCGTCGACATGAGAGTGACCGTCGCCGTCACAATGAGACCCGCTCTGCGAACGCCGCCCTGTTCAAAGCACCGTGAAAACACCAGAAAAATCTCTGATCGTGTTCGTGGGGGTTAACACCAACGATCGCACAGCAACTTTGACTGTTGTTGTCTCAACGCCACTCTTCCCAAAGTAGCATCCCCATCGCCCAGCACCACGAGTTGATCTCGGAGTGCGCCTTCCTTTCCTCCCCTCTGTTTATCGGTAGGAACTGTCCCTCCTTCGAGTACATTAAGCACCTGAGTACATCATCAACGCTTCTCGGTCTCAAGACCTCGGTGGCGTCCTGTTAAGATGGCTTTCCCCTCGGAATCACCCCAGCCTTTGGTAGTGACGTCTGATATTCTTGACGCCACCTTCGTCTCGCGCCACCCTCCCGATATCGAGAGAAACGCTGCCGTTGTCGGTCTCTGCACCGTAGCGCCTGGCCGTGAGGGACACGATGATCTTGGCTGGCACGTCGCTGATTTCATGGCGTTCAAGGCTCTGTTCGCGCCGTACGTCAACCCCAGAAGCCAGGCATGGCTTTCGCTGGTCGACGCGAACAAGGCAGCTGAGCAACACGGATATAAGCACAGCGGCTGCAGCATCAGCGACGGCTTGGACGCCGAAAAGGATGATGTTGCCATCCACGTCGAGTCCTCTGCAGACAACCTCTCCATCGATTTCATCAGCCAGCTGGCAGCCAAGGCCAAGCTCGCCCAGGAGAACGATGACCCGCTCGTCATCATTGTCTGTGGCCTTACTTCACTTGAGCAGGACGTCTACTTTGGCGACAGTGACTACAAGATTGCCATTACAAGCGTTCAGATCCGACGAGCCATCAATGCTGATATCCGTGTAATCTTCGTCACTCCCTCGTTGACGTCGGCTGGTTGGCAGATCAACCCATCTTTCATGCGCAACCTCTCATCTAAGGACCAAACCCAGGCCGCAGGCAACGCGTATGACTTCAGAGCCCGACAGGTATGTACAGCCAAGAGCTCTCTCCCGCGGACTTTCCCCCAGTCGAGAGGTCCAAGGACCAGTGTCCCTAGAGCCACACGTTGCACGCAAACGGACTGGACCAGCAATTGACTAACTCCCGTATTGCAGTGTGGCGCAATTTTTGCGAGAGAGATTGTGATGCATTTCTTCAACCACGGGTCGCCCTTCATCCCTGAATCGGAGGCGGACCCAAAGAGATACAGCGATAGGGTAGGTCCTGTCCGCTTGGACGAGGGACAGGCTAAAGCTGGCGATAACTTCGCCGCCGAAATTCACGCTTTGGCTGCCAGTCGACTGCTCCCGGATCGTGGAAGTCATGTCTTCTGCTTTGATGATAACAGCGACCCATGGCAAATGCTAGTTGGGCCCCGCAGAGGTATGAAACTTGTCAAGATGTCTGAGCAATGGGGTAAGGTCAGCAAGAGCACCGCCGCTGGTGCTGATAGTGCTCAGGATATCCGCAGTACTAACCACGTGGCAACGGATGGGCTCCACGATCAAGCCATGGTTTTCTTAGGCGGTGCCTTTGGAGGCAGCAAGAAGTCTCAGAAGAATCACATCAAGCATTTGATCAAGGAGTCATTCAGATGCTGGCCCGGTTACTACGCCACCACCTTCGGCGAAGACCTTCGGAAAGGACTGGAGCTCTTTATGCATCGTGATTCCAATGACAACGTTGACTGGCATGAAATGTTCAATATTATGGAACACCGACTTACCCTCAACGTCTTGGGAGACATGGTCACGAAGAATCTTGGCATTTTAAGTGCTTCTAGTGCCCGCTGCCGAGATGGGGATGAGGCCAAGTCGTCCAAGGATATGGTGAAATCCCAAAAGACGCTATACAACCAGACATTCCTGGAAATCAAGCAAGCGCTTCCCCCAACCCAGATGCCCAGTGGGCGCAACCTCAATAACATGAACAAAGCTCACATCCAGATGCATCAAGCGGCTCAATTCATCGCGCACGCTTTGGTATCGCGATACCCGGAAGGCAATCCTCACTTGGCATATGCCATCACCGAAGCCAAGCACTGCAAGTTTCCTGTCTTGTTCTTCGAACATTTTCGCTTGCGCTGACCGCGTCAATAGTCATTCAGAACCTCCGAGTTCATCAAGCAGGCCTCTTACTCAAGGACACCAATATCCAGGCTCCAGGAGCTGCATGGTTTCAAAGCATCGGAATTGCCAGCATGTTCACCGCAAACACCAAGCACACCCAGACACTATCTCCGAAGCAGACAGACCAGAGAGCCGCTCATAAGGTTGGAAGTCCCGTCCATAGCAGAATTCGCTCAACCGAGTCCGTTCTGTCACCTGAGGCTATGCCCTTTGTTCCACTGACCGAGAGTGCGACGAATCCCTCCATCCCAAACGAATCTGCCACAGACAAGAACAGACTTGCGGATGCAGTAGCTGGCCATGCGGGTCCTGCCAGATTGTCTGTTGAGAAATCAAACAAACACGCCACGTCGATCGAATCGTCCGATGAAACCAAGGAGAATGTACCTATGACGTTACAGTCACAGACTGAACATGCCACAAATGCTCCGGTTCCACAATTGTCGAAGCAGGTGGAGGATCGCAGCTCTGAGGCGTGGGTGCCTCCTCATCTTCGCCCCTTGGTGCCCAAGGCCCTTGAACCGGCCCGCAACCACTCGCCTTTACCTCATGAGCGGACTGGACATGCTCATGCAACTGTTGATCAGACCACAGCACAGGCACCGGCCTCAGTCGCCCCTGTTTCCGAATCGCCATCGACCCCGAGATCACGCGTAGGTGAGCACCATGTTCCTACGGAGCATCGCAATCTTCCGCCGCACTTGCGACGCGCTCCAACACAGAGCTCCCCTGTCATCAAATACCGCTGATAGGCGACTTTCAACAGAGCCTGAGCCTGATATATACAGGTGTTGATCTGGAGGGGCGAGTGTAAGATACGACTTGACGCAATGGGAGTGAAAAGGATTGACAAACGGTTGATGACATAAGGTGTTTCCGGCTGGCGTTACATATGGACAGGAACTTTGCATGCATTTGGTCCCGCACGTCGACGTACTCTGGGGAGGATCGTGAATACCGTGACAGGATGACGATAATGGTAATAATGAATGTTTTAGAGATGATCAGGACTTTCCACAAGGGAACGAAACGACCTGATAGCTATTCTCGCATAAGAAGCAGCGAGCCTGTCTAGGTAGACTACATGTAGCTCGCGTCACGTACTGTAATCAAACTTTACCAGAAGGCAAAGGGGCAAACAGTGATTCTACCACAATCTTGGATGTGACTATTTGGTAGTTGAGGATTTCATTTATCAGTATGCTACCTGACCACCTGATGGCATTGGATTCGCGACGTGATACGTTGCACCCTCCACAATTGCCAAGTATACAATTGTGAGTAGAGACAAGATTGAGAATCCAAGGCCGCGCTTTGTATCATCATCGGCGGGCTTCTGCTAATTTTGCATATGTTCGGCGCTCTCGGCCACTTCGCAGATCTGGAAGCCGGCCCTCGTGAATCGAGTCGTCCGGCCGCATGCAACGTAGGGCTCATTCGTCGATCCTTGGACTCGAGCGTCTCTTGGCTTCACTTGATACGGGCTGGCCTGCTATACTCGCCATATTTATGTGAAAATAAAGGACTCCCTCTCTTCATCTTCACGCCGACGCGCTGCCGTCTCCCTGCGCAGGCTTCGGCGCCCTCTCGCCCCTCTGGAAGACGAACAGCGCCTCGTCCTTGCCGGGGAAGCTCGGCAGCGGGACCTGGGCCGTCTTGGTCCAGCCGGGCTGCTCGCGCGCCATGTACTCGTCCATGCTCATGCCGCGGAACCCCGTGTAGCCGTTGTGGTTCTGGGTGCCGACGACGGCCAGCGTGTCGCCGGCGTAGGCGCGCACCAGGTCGCGCGTGAAGCCGCCCTCGGCGCCGCCCGCCAGCCCGCCCCCGACGATCGGGTACACCAGCAGCAGCACGGCGTCGCGGCCGCCGCCGTTGCGCCCCAGGTACGCGACGCCGTCCGCCACCACCGTGTCCCGGATCCAGGTCGCGCGCCAGCTGCTCTGCGCGCTGTCGACGGCCCGCACGCCCACCCCGTACGCCCGCAGCATGAAGGTCCAATAGCCGTTGCCCGAGCCGACGTCCCAGACCTCGCGGCCGGCCGCGACGTGCTTCAGGATGGTCAGGGCCTCGTGCGACGGGCACGCGCACCCGAAGTGGTGCATCAGTACCGGCAGCACGTGGTGGCTGCTGCGCACGGCCTCGCTCTCCGGGCAGGGCCCCGCGTACTCGAGGTTCAGGCAGGCCCAGGCCAGGAAGTCCAGGTACGGGTTCGGCACGGGCGCGCCGCTCTTGGAGCGCGGGATCTGCAGGCCCGGCACCGACGGGTGCAGGTACCGCTTGGACAGCAGGTGGGCGGCGACGCTGGCCCGCAGCGAGCCCTTCTTGGCGTTCAGCGACAGCGTCTTGAGGATGTTGGGGGTCGCCGTCTTGGGGTCGAAGATCTGCAGGTAGGTCTGGATGTCGGCCTTGGGCGGGGGCGGGAGCGGCTCGGCCGTCGAGGGCTGCTGGCCGTCGCCGTCGTCGGCCGGAGGGGCCGGGCTCTGGTACCAGGCGTGCAGGCGGTTCGCGGGGCCGAGCCCGACGACGTGCTGGACCTGGGCCAGGGTGACGGAGACGATGGCGTGGTAGACGTAGGCGTCGCGGGCGGGCAGCGCGAAGGACTCGGCGACGGCCGAGGCAAAGTCGTCGCGGGCCAGGTGGGCGGCGGCGCGGGCGTGCAGGTCCCGGTCGGCGATGTAGGCCTCGGGATCCCACTTGGGGGCGCCCTCGCAGTACGCGAAGGGCTTCGTCGGTGCTCTGCTGGGCGCCATCGTGGCCTGGCTGCTGCTGTCTTTCCCGCTCTGCCCGGCGCTGTGCGAAGTGGGATGCCCTGAGGGGTCGTTTCTGGGAGCTCCAGAGAAATCCCCGGACCTAGCCAGAGCTCGGTCATGACGTAGCGGACATGGATAGCGCTAACATTACCTCGCTCCGTAGGCCATTTCCCAGCGGCCGTCCCTTTTGACCGCCAAGCCCGGTTGCGATGCTAGGGACGTCTTTTCAATTGACGAACATGACGGCGACAACGGAATGGACATTGTATGCTAGTTTACCGATGGAAGTTGGTTTGCATTCTTGACGTGCCATGGTTCTATGGTAGACCCGGAATGGAACTTCTGAAACCTAAGCAAGCTACTGGATTGCGTAGTACACCTGTTGTATGTATATAGTTGCAAAGGATTCTGTCACTGATTGTCAAGCACTGAAATCTCAGGCTCTGAGTTCTGAGCCTTCAGTCCACCAAGTCGCAAGCTTCCAACTCTCGTTTGTGCGGGTGGCTTGCATCTATTCAAGCGTCTGCTATCCACGCGAGGAACAGAAGCTTTTTGCAACAAGCAAGCGATTTATGATTGGCTCAGCGGCCGTTTGAAAACCGAAAAGGGAAATCACGCTACTTACTTAATTACCCCTTGCGAGAGTTAGCGCTGGTCTAATGTGTGGCAGTCCATGACCACTGGCATGGAATAAATATCTCGGTAGGGTTGCCAACGTTGCGCAAAGTGACTTGATTGACTTTGTCTATACGATCTGTGTAGCAAGATGCGAGCTTTCCTTTCCGTTTCCCTGTATGTTTCCCGGTACGTTTTCCTTTCCGCCTTCCGTTACGACTATTAGACAATGCCCCTACATCCATTGCAAGAGTCTGCCGCTAATGACAGAGGCGCCAGCGAGCTCTATGTCCCACAGGTCACTAGCAAGGGGCGCACTCCCCTTATACCTAGCATGTAGAAATTCTCTGGAGAGACCTCATCTCCTTCCCCTTCTCCGTACGACCGAAAAGCGTGTGGTCCCTCTAATGCCCCGAATCTGCAACTCAAGAATTCTAGATCTTGTAAGGGAGATACTCAAAGTCACCAGCACAACCGAGGTACATCTCCAGTGATCTGGCGACTATCTCCCGGCGGAGTGGTTCCTTCTCTATAAAGCCCGGGTGACCCAAAGCACCGCGCTCTTTGCATCTGGTGGCCCAGTAGTTGACGACGACCTCCTCGTCCTTCTTCTGTGTACCAGCTGCCTTGACAGCGCCGATGACGATGCGCTCTTTCTTGTACATCGGACGCATGATGCAGTGCGCGTCGTAGACGCGCTCGAGATCTTCGGCGGAAGTTAGGTGATCCCAGTAAGCTGTCTGACCAATACTGGTGAAGCGGTTCTTGATGGTATGCTGAATGTTCATGCAGGAGTGGCAGTGGAGGTTGGCCTCGCGGGCGGCCAAGTTCGTGTGGGACAAGTTCTCCAGATCGAGCGGCTGGTTCTGGCGAAGAGTCTTGGTCGACTCGTACCGATTGCATTCCGTGAAGCGCTCCAGGTTGATCTCTCGCAGGTTGGGGAACTTCCATCGCAGCAAAGACCAGACATATCTGAAATCGGCATCATGTGTCTCCACTCCGTAAACCTTGGGGACAGCCCACGAGTTGCGCTTCTCCGGGTCCCAATGACCGATGGACCGTGAGAATCTGGACAGTGTGGGCGCCAACTCTGGGACTGAGATGCGGACCAGTCTGGCGCAGGTCTCCTGTGTGAAGGCCAGGTGAAGTGGCGTGTGCAAGGACAGTCGGATGTTGTCGAGGTTGAGATTGACCCAGACTTTGGAAATTCCCTGGCGGAGTTTCAGGCCACCTGCCTCAAAGTACTGCAGGGTCTCGCTTCGTGACTCATGACAGACATACATGGAAGGCGGTGACTGAGTATCAGTCCAGGTACGAGTGACGACGGTGTTCTTCATGCAACTAGAGCCGCCTCGAAAGCCGTCCTCGTCCTCGTCCTCGTCCTCGCCTTCGCCCTCGGACTCAGAGTGCATTCCATCTATGGTAATTGCCTCGAACTGGTCGGCATCTGCATCGACATCCCGGACCCACCGATCATACGCGAGCTTGGCGTCCTGAACACGGATTCGCTGGAGCTCGCGATGATAATCGAATGTACGCGACGTGCGTCCGCTTCTCTGCTCGCTCCAATCCGCCACCTCTCGCTTCACTATGACGTCGCGGTGCTCCCAACTCTGACGCCAAATGAGTCGCCGAAGCTCAGGCGGCAGTTGATTGAACAGAGTGAATCTGGCCAGGTGCTGAACGGTGGTGAACTTGCCTGGGCCGGACAGCCGCTCGACGGTCTCACTCCAGTCATCCTTCCAACGGGGAGGCGGCGGGGCAATCACCGTGAACACGGCATCGACGTCGCGCACGGGAAAGCTATACCGAGTCTTCCTAAAAGTCGCCGACTGGCCATTACTGCCAGGACGTTGGTCGAACAGAGAACCAGGGGGAGCCGATGGCCGCTTGGCGGCTGGGTAGCTTTGATCAGTATATTGAACACTCAAGAGCTGCGGAGGAGACTCACATGGACGGGGCGGAAATATTTTCAATCTTTTGACAGGGATGAAGCGTTGACTGACCTCGTCGGTGTCGGCGCGCGTGTTGGGCTGAGCCTGTGAGAAATCCATGGCTGCTATGCTGTGTTCCAACGATGGACGAACGGAGCCGCGAGAGGCGCGTGACGAATTTCCTTCCAGAAGACTCTGGTAACGAAGCTCTGAGTGGTTGAGTAGAGATTCACCTCAAATCACAGAACGAGGTCTGGGTGTGTGATATGAATCGCTGTGGTGGAGGAAGAGTTCACCTACGGCAGCATTCAAACGGAAGATCAAGCTTTTAACAGCGGAGGCTTGAACGCGATTGTGAGCCCTACCACGGGCTCAATGAAAATTTCGATTGTACTTTGAAAGGGCAGACAATCGGCGCACTGTTTTCATTCTATAGTAGTGTGTCTGTAGTAACCTCACACATTATTGATGCTTCGACATTCCGGGCTACTGGGGTAAACACTCAGCCAAGTATCAGCAACAGCCCTGGAGAGTAGAGGGCTAACCACTGTGGCAGAACAATTGATGCGCATGTCGTCGTTTGTTGAGACTTTGACTTACATTTTTTCCGTCGTGTTTACTGCCCGGTCAGCCACCTTGCAACCCAAAGCCCGACTCTTTTTCTCACCATCTTCTTCCTCTCGTCGCGAGAGACGTCGCCACATCCAGTTGCACCCCACTTACGCCGAGATGCGTACTTGGCGAAGACACCAATTCATTATAGTCACTCGGATTCGTCGCCGTCTGCATCTTGCTGACACCTTCCATGTGGCAGGTCAGACTCGTACCTGCGATGTCATATATACCGGGTGGAATGACCACAGAGGTCACGCTCGCCACCTTTCCTCGCTTTCGAGAGTTCCCTACCGAGCTAAGACTAGCGATATGATGCAGAAGCTTCGAGCTCCGCCAAGTGCGTATCCGCCCCAGCTATGACAGCCTCAGTGAAGAGGCTTATACTGCGAACCTTCCCATCGGACCACGTACCTTCGAGGCTACGGAAAGTACCACCACTTAAGGCAGATACTTGAGTCTATAGAATATTTCGAGGCCACTCGCGAAGTCAACTGTTGGTTGGGCCGTCATTCTATGCTAGGGCTTCAGAAGACACCAAGGAACACTTTCGAGAGGCAGGAACCGGTGGAATCCTGCAGTATATTGTGAGGAAAGTCGGGTTTTCGATACGGACAATTTGCATACGCGATTGGTAGGGCATGAAGGAATCGGTACATACTTGACTGCGGCGCAGTTTTGATAATATTGAAGTTCCTAAAACTTCGGGTTTGTTGGTGATAACTTGCCGGCCAGGTACAGAGTGGCATCTTCCAGCCTTCCGAGCAGGGGTTACGAACCAGCGAGCCACCCTAATTCTCGGTTGGGAGTATGAAGAATCACTGGATCCGTACGTGGCTCCAGTATACCAAGAACGGCTTTTCATTCTGCGTACGCAATCCCAATGATCAGAAGAACCCACTGATCATCCTCTCTCTCAAGTATCTCGATAAAGAGAAGTGGGTTCTCGAAAGTCAACCCAGCTTCTGGCGATACATAGACAAGGCAAGCAGCAACAAAATTAAACTAGGTCATTAGTTGGCAAGCCGGCTGCACCGACTGACATTCTTCAGCAATCAATCTTGAGCGAAGCACTCGGAGGAGCGCAAGGATGTACCTCGCAATTTCCCGAGCAATTTGTTCCTTGTGGCAAACCAGGCCCAGCCCGTTTTCTTCAGAGAGAAGAGGGCATGAAAGGAGGCGGATTGGGCTGTCTTGAGCAGTGATTCAGCACACCAGTCGGCAATTAGCGTACGAATGACTAGAAAAAAGCACATGCCTTCCCTATATGGATAATCTGAGTCCTCCATGCTTGCATCAGCAAGAATCTGGCAATTATGTCTCAGCGGATTGCCATCTCCAAAATAGGACAGAATTTTTGTACGTGTGTTTCGCACCGGGCTCGACACGTGAGGAGTTTGACAGGCGCGATGGAATCTTCGCCACTACTCTGCCGCCTCTTATGTTCAAGTTCGTCCCGCAGAAGCCGTAGAATGAATTGGCGTCATGTTGCAACGAAACTACCAGTTACAGGTGCAACTCAGCGACTCTATACTTGTCTATCTATAGTCGTGCGCGCTATGCTCGTCTCCCAACCAGGAAGGACTGGAAGCTTTAGCGCCTTTAGCTGGCGACCTCCCCTGTAAGCCACCCGATCAGACCTCCCAGCCCCATCCACCGCGCGGGGTCCACCCAGCAGGTGAAGATGGCGGACCCGATCGTACTTCCTTCAATTGAGCAACACAAGACTTTCTCGACCCATGTTCATCATGATTTCAAGACCAAACTTTACAGTTCATACATCGACCTTGTTCGATCCCAAAAAGAAAGCTTTTGTTGAGAATGTATCCGTAGTCGTCAACCCCAGGACCGGGGCAATTGTCTCGGTATGGGAGCGATCAGGCCCTGATGTCAACGAGTTTGGCCCGGATGATATTGATCTACGCGGCAAGGTCGTTATGCCTGGCTTCGTCGACGCCCACACGCATATCTTTCTGCACGATTACAAGTCAGCTACCACACTGTCCCTTTTCTGACGACCGATATACTTACAACCTATAGCGAGCGCCCTGCTGCAGAGCAGCACAGAGACGAAAGCATTGTTGAGCGTGTGGTGCGCGCCACGAACCATGTGCGGACTGCTCTGTTGGCAGGGTACACGACATACCGAGACCTGGGCTCCGAAGCTATGCAGAGCTTCGATGCGAATCTACGTGACAGTATCAACCGTGGAATCATTCCGGGACCCCGGCTCTTCGTCGCAACACACCCCCTTGGCAGCACCGGTGGCTTTGAGGTGAGGACGGAGAACTACCACGGGGGCACCAGAGCTCCGCCAGCATCGGACCCGGCGGATGGACCAGACGGTGTCAGACAGGCCCTGCGGAGGAGAGTTGCCGAGGGATGTGATGTCATCAAGTTCTACGCCGACTATCGTCGGAAGATTATGAGGTTCCCTCCAAGCCAACAGCATCCGTACAAATTAGGCATAGAGTTCCCACCGGCCGATCCAAATCCGAATGTCCCCCTTTTCAGTCAAGAAGAGATGAACATGATAGTCGAGGAGGCCAAGCTGGCGGACCTCCCTGTAGCGGCTCACGCCGGTGGCTACAAGGCAGCGATGATGGCAGTCAAAGCTGGGGTTACGTCTATCGAACACGGCTTCGAGGCCACTGAGGAATTCATACAAGCGATGAAGCAGCACGGCTGTATCTGGGTCCCTACTCTGGCCGCCGCAGAAAGGTTCAATAAAGCCGGGGTCAAGAGTCTCCTAGCCCACACCAAGCGAGCGCACGACTTGGGTGTGAGACTCGCTGCAGGTGGCGATACTGGAGTGTTCCCACACGGGCAAGGCGCCAGGGAGATGGAGTTGATGATTGAGGCCGGGATACCTCTGGAAGATGTCCTTGAAGCTTGTATGATCGGAGGCTGGGAGAGCTGCGGCAAAGACCAGTGCGGTTACCGATTCGGCTGGTTCGAGGAAGGCAACCGCGCGGATATCATTGCCCTCGAGTCCGACCCGAGGATGGACAAGTATGCGCTCCGCAGGATAAGTTTCGTCATGAAAGATGGAAGAGTCTGGAAGGAGAACGGTGTTGCTGTAAACATGATCGAAAACCATCATACATGGGACCTGGGTAGATAAACTCTGCACCAAATCTATTTACCTGTGACGGACCTCACCATACTTGCCAAGTGCAGATACTTCCGCCGTCGCCGAAGTACAGATGAATTCACAACCTATTACGCCAAACAACCATAACTGGCCATCGCCTGAGCCTACTCGAGGAGGCTGATCTCTGTCCAGGGTACCCGCTTCCCTTGCCTAAAATTCGTTTTGTAACCCATTGTTCGTAATCCTCAGAAGACGGGAAAGCGAACAAGCCCTCTCAGACAACTTCTACATCAGGCTTCTCCCTTGTTGTGTGCATTCCTGGATCGCCCATCGCCTGAGGCAAATGAAGCAGCCCGTTCATGATTTTCTTCATATTCCCGCTCCTCCAAGGGTCACAGGTAAGGGTCGGTTCATCAGTCACACGGGCACCACACCCGCCTTTGGACGTTCTGCTTCCCCAAGAGCAATCCTTCGCCTCAACATTAATCCCGTCGACTTGGCAACAGCCACTGGTCGTCTCTGATTTTTCCGTCCTCACAGGAGCTCGTAGAGCTAGAAGCAAACGCAACGCTCCTTCGCTACCTACCTTACCCGTTACCATTAAGCCGATCCGATTCGATCCAAATACCTCCTCAACCACAAACTCGTGAAGAAGGTGCGCCGTTTGCTCAGCAGAGCACAGAGCACAAGCACGCACAAAAGTTCATCTGGCGTCAGTATCGCTTTGGTCTCGAAGTGGAAGGCACTTTGTGTTGGTGAAAATCACGTCCAAGTTTCACCACACTGAGCAGTTGAGTTCGAACACGCCAGTTTTCACATTCGACAAGCGACTCGAATATATGCAGCTCTGGATTCACAAAGACTCACCATTTTCATGGCAGCACTTCCAGCCTTCATCGTAATAAGCATTCGCCCGACATACATCATTTCGATTGATAGGCGACGGTCTTAATAATTCGTCGTCTTTATAGTTCATCGTCTTGATACACCGTCGACACAAACGCCGTCGACCTATACGTCGTTGAGTTTATTAATCGTCGTGTTCATACGTCGCGGTTACTGTTTCACTCTGCCATTGAAAATTACTGCGTCATTGACCCGGTTGAGTGCTGCTCTTGTCTCTCGACAACAGACATCCCTCTCTCTCTCTCACACACACACCCCAACCAGTGTTGAATTAGCATCTCTCAAAATGCCATCTTTGGAGATCAGTGATTCCGATGATGAGGCAGTTGCCCTTTTCAGTCGGGAGCATGTCCGATTCGTTCAGCGCTATGCGAACATCGGTATCTCGGAAACCGCTGCCATCATCATCCCACATGAAGACGAAGACCATTCTGATGATGAAGACGCACTTGACTATGAGAATGACTCGGAGGCAATGCAGAAGATAGAAGATGAGGTCGACGAACACTTCGACATCAAGCGCGAGCTCTCCCCAGACTTTCCCGAGCCACAGGTCTTAATCGCTCGTGGCGAACCTGTAAGACGCAGAGCAGTTCACGGTCCAAGACTGATATCGCGCAATAGACCTGTCCCCCAGCGAGAGCAGCGGAACTCGTACAACAAAGACGGGATGGTTCTTCGACCTGGAGATATGGTCGAGATCGTTGAAGTGAAGCAGGCCCACCGCTGTCAGTTCTTGATCATCAAACTTATCTTCAAGTGCTCTGGGAACACCTTTTTTCGTGGCATCCCCTACACCAGAACCCGCAACACTGCCGGAATGATCGATCCAAGGCGCAACGAACTGGTCGAAGTCCTAGATGTTGATCTAGATGACGAGCGCCCCGACGAGCACCAGGGCGCTATTGAGGTCGTTGCGGGTGATATCATCTGCAAGCGGTCATTCCAGTTTACAAACACCTACTGGCCAGAGTTCGGCTGTGATATTCGCAACTTTAGCGGCTCAGCTGACTTGGTTGAAGAGCAAGGCAAGCTCACTATCCGATGGAGAATGGTCACCTACTTCACAACTGCGTCCAAGCGCTTACAGGCCACTCCAAAGCCCGTTGGTAGATCGTTGCTGGCTTTGGCCGCACATGAGATACCTGATCCCGACAAGCGAGTTTCAAGCCATACACAGCTTAACGCATGGCGCGGTACGAAGGTTCGAGGTGGATCGCATAACCCGCGAAGCAAGGACAGCGGTGTGGTTGACGTCGAGAACGTTGAGGTCCGTGATTCCCCGATTGCCCTCACGGAGGACCAGACCTATACCTTCGCCGACATCTTCAGCGGTTGCGGTGGAGCATCGCGGGGTGCAAAGAACGCAGGCTTCCACGTGAAACTTGCGTGCGATCTCGACGCAAAAGCTTGCCAATCCTACCGTGCCAACTTTCCCGAAGCCGATCTTCATGAGAGAGACATCTCGGATCTGATACTTCAGGTTCAAAACCACGAGAACCGAATCGATGTCTTGCATCTATCCCCGCCTTGCCAGTACTACTCACCGGCACATACTACAGCCGGCAAGGACGATGATAAGAACATGGCGATTCTCCTTTCCGCCCATGCTGTCATTTACAAGTTTCGACCTCGCATCGTCACAGTGGAGCAAACCTTCGGGATTCTTCGCGAGCAACACAAGTACATGTTCCACTACTTCTTGAACTGCTTCACGATGCATGGATACTCAGTCACTTGGCACCATGTCTGGCTGAACACCTGGGGAGTCCCGCAGCCGAGACAGCGTGTGATCTTCATCGCTTCCTGCCCCGGCGAGGCGCACCCGAAGATGCCAGACACCCGCATCTACACGTCGGTTAATAAGGCTTTGCGGAGCATTAAGCGCCGAGCGACACTGCATGATGTCAACTCAGAGCTCGGCAGGCCCAACTTTCCCAAGCCCGCCTGGAACGGCGAGGGACTCTTGAAAGAGACTATCTTGACCAACACAAACCGGTCATACATCTACCACCCAAGCGGGCTGCGACCCTTCACTCTGCGGGAGATAGCCGCCTTGCAGACGTTCCCCTCGAACCACCGCTTCGAGGGAAACCGCGTGGATGTGAGCCGGCAAATCGGGAACGCCTTCCCTTGCGCCGCCGTAGAGCACCTTTACCGGCACCTAATGGCGCACCTCCGGGAGGAGGATCAGGTCGTCGCAGACCTGGACGACGAGGAGGACAACGATGATGACGATGACTTGATGGTGGTGGAGGGGGATGATCCCCTGTAAGGTCACAAAAGTGAATATGGGGAGATAAGAAGGTGCGCACATGCACAAGGGGTCGGTTGCTTTGCTTGGGACTTCGGCATAGAAACTATAGATAGGGACGACAATTCTGAACTGATAGAGAGTTTGAGATGACCCGCCCTCTGTGAAAGAAGAAATCTAACTCTTGTGGATGCTCGACCTAAACGAGCGACCCAGGTCGATCCAGGCTGTATTTGGTTGGTCTCCTTTCTCCGTCATAAAGACGTCTTCCGGGCGAAGAAACGGTGCGACCTGCTGCTGATCGAAGACGATTGTGATGTTGCTGGCCTCTTCCGCTGCCGTGTCATAACCTGGTCCGTACACATCGTACACCGCCATTGTGGTATTTACCCCAATATTACCATTAGGCTGACCAGACCATTGTGTATACCCAGCAGGAAGAATGCTCGGGTCAAAGTAGGTGTTCATGAAAACACTGCGATGCAGAGCATTCCACGGCCGTCCCAATGAGCACTTGTCTTGGATCAGCGGCGCTATGCTTGAGTTGGCCGCAAGAACCTGCGAGTCAGCAATATAGACTCCGTATTTGTTGACAAAGGTCGTGTTTGTCCCTTTCCACGCCGTGATGCCACCTCCGCAGCTCCTAAGTGACAAGGTTGAGTTCGCGATGTAGAATGTGCCAAAGCCGTAGAGGAAGTCGGTCTGTCCGGCCACAATGGCATCGTGGAAATACGCATTTCCGAGTTTCCCAATGTAGATCTGTCAAAATGTCAGCGAGAAATCTGAGGAACCAAGTTTCACGAAGTCAGGAAGCTCAGGCTTACTGTGTCCTGCCAACTATAGAACCCGCAAGAGTAGAACCCGGCATTTGCCCTGCTTACGCCAAGCGCGTGCGCAGGACCGTTTGAGTATGGAAACTCTTCGTTCCGAAAATCAATGTTATACGCCCTGAAATCTGAGCATCCGAATGGGGTGTCATCAGGGACTGCGAAGCCCGTCGGGCCTGACCCTGTCAGAGTCGCGTTCAAAGTCGGTCCAACCGTTACTGCACATATAGAATTTAGTTATCGTGCTCCTAGACGCCGAGCACTTGGACTGAAAGCCAGGGATCTACCTACGGACGCCGGTATATACGTTATCTGGAAAGACTTTGTCGTGATTTGCGGCATTCCAATAAACTTGGACTTCATTGGCATGCGCTCTATCCGTAGTATTGTGCCCGAAAACATCAGAATAAGCCTCCTTGCGTCCTGGTCGATTAGACTGGCCTAAAAGAGTTAGAGGTCCCTGTCTTGTCACATTCAATTGCTCTGTATAGATCCCCGGCGCGATCAGGATGGTATAGGCGTCTGTATTGTTTGGGATCGAGGAGATGGCTGCTTGAATGCTCTGAAAATCTGCGCGCGTGTCATTTTGACTGACGTAGAGAGTTCCTTCAGGGCACCCTGAGAGTGGATCAGACGTCTTTCTCTGACAGGCAGCGTAGGTCTGAGAGGGACAAGTCTTGCCGGCCGATGTTGCCAATGGCAAGAGTGGCGCGACGAGGAGCACCAAGCGGCTGAGGTGAGGGATCATTGTGAGCACAAAACGCCTCATGAGTAGTACCACTCAGAAAGCTGATGATCAGCACTCACCTGTCTTACGTAGGAGCCTTCGATGGGTCTTATAACAAGCCTCAATAATAGGAAGTACCCGAGCATGCGGATCCCAGTCATGCAGGGATAAGCTCATAGCTAAGCTTTCCAAGCCAAGACTCGTCAGTGTTCCGGCATGAGTAGCATTGTCGTAGTGAGTGGAGGGAAAATCTGGGCAATTTCTCCGCGAAAGAAATGCCGACGCATGGGGTGGAACCTGAGCTAAGGCAAGAGGGCTTACAGGCAGTCTCTCATCAGGTGAAGTAATATGAGGGCATGTCAAATAGCCGCAGCCTTACCCGACATAGGAACGCACCGCCGAGATCACCAAGGAGCCTCGGGGAATGATTTACGGGTCAATATACTGATCAAGTTGGTGCCCTGGACAGTATAATCCCTGTCCCCCACTTCCCCAAGGTCTCCCCATTTAACCGATAGAGCTACACCACACAGTAATCTGCCAAGTGTGGGCAGATCTGCGGGGAAACTATGTGGGAGCTTCTCCAATCTCCCTTAAACTTCCTGAGATAGCTTCTCCAAACTGCACCCCTTGACCATCCTGGGGATGCAGGGGCGTTGAACAGATCCACTACCAGGATGCGACGGCCGGTCAAGGCAAGTCGGCTTGATTACCGAAGAGCTTGGCGTTCAAACCGCCTTGTGAATGACGGAAAATCCTCCTTGTGATATGCACGTGCGGTACCGTACGAATTTACCGGTCAACGCGTCCCAAAGGCGACAATGGAGCGTAAGAGGTTCGCAGGCCAGAGGTCAAGACGGGCCTCGGGTCGAGATAGTTGACCGCGAGCTGATTGATGTTGCCGATATAAGCAGCATGGCCGAAACCTGAAGCTGTGGATGAACATATTTCTAGCATCTCCCACAATGTTGCGCAAGAGTATTGCCGCTTTCGTTTCTGCAGCGCTGGCAGCGTCGTCACAGGCAGCGTCGCCAAAAGCGACCAGGAGCGAGACCGGCCAAACCTCTATTGGAAGGCCGGACATTGAGGCGTATCCATTCAACGCGGGCCGCGCACTGCCCGAATCCCCTGTCCGGACGAAGAATTGTACAGTCGCAGCTAGTGGAGGGGATGACGCCGCGGCTATTCTGCAGGCTTTGCACGACTGCAACAATGGCGGCACGGTTATCCTCGACGCCGAGTACACCATCGGCACTGTTCTCGACTTGACATTCTTGAATAGTGTGGACATTGCACTGACGGGGAAAATCACCTTTACCGACGACATCGAGTATTGGGTCAACAACGAGTTCCACTACGATTTCCAGAACTCAACATCATTTTTTAAGCTCGGTGGGACTGATGTTAACATTTATGGTGGTGGAGTAGGAGTAATAGATGGCGCTGGTCAGAAATGGTGGGAGGAGTTTGCCGTCAACGCTACATTGCTTAGGCCGATCCTGTTCGTGACTGATGGCCTACATGGTGGCAGTATTACTGGGATCAACATGATCAACTCCCCCAACGTAAGAGTTCCAGAGTCTTTGAAAGCACACCGCTTACCTATTCCAGTGGTTCAACCTGATCGCAAACAGCTCCGATGTCTTGATCAGTGACATCACCATCAACGTCCACAGCACCGGCAAGGTCACAGCTAAAAACACCGATGGATGGAATACGTATCGATCGGATGGGATTATAATTCAGAACTCCGTGATCAACAATGGAGATGACTGCGTGTCATTCAAACCGAATAGCACTAACATTGTCGTCCAAGGTCTGCAATGCAACGGGAGCCATGGCATTTCCGTAGGCTCTTTGGGTCAATATGTCGATCAATACGACATCGTCGAGAACATATACGTCTATAACAACTCCATGTCCAATGCCAGCGATGGAGCCCGTATCAAGGTCTGGCCAGGGATTAACTCGTACCAGGCGCCGACCCTCAGTGGCGGCGGTGGTGCTGGGTACGTCAAGAACATCACATACGAGAAGTACTATAATCACAACAACGACTGGGCGATCGAGGTCAATCAGTGTTATGGGCAGTCAAACAAGACCCTATGCCAGCTATTTCCTGTGAGTCGACGTGGAGCAATAGGGCGGCGGCTCATGCTAACTCAGCACAGTCCAACATGACGATTTCTGACATTTACTTCCTCGATTTCTGGGGGACAACATCCAAGAAGTACGACCCGAAAGTCGGAACACTTGTATGCTCTTCACCTCAAGTAAGTCCCAACCATCGTCATTTGGAATATCTAAGAAAAGAGGACTGACTGCATAAAAGCAATGCCAAAACATCAATGCGCGAAACATTTCCATCAAGGGGCCTAGTGGCGCCTCGCCGAAATGGGTTTGCAGTGGTTTCGATACCTCAGGCTTAGAAGGTTTTGACTGTGTCTCGTCTTAAGTAACTTACCTAGAACCGCGCATTTCAATGAAGCCAATTAGCTGAAAAGTACTATTCATTTTGGGTATCGCACATGAGCCATACTGTGAAAGGTCGAGCAGTGCACAAGCCAAGATCACAAGAGCTGACATACGAGTCACAAGACCTCTTGGAGATAACAATGCAATCAAGAGGGTGTCTCGTGGGCCAATTATATATGGAAATTGAGTTGTAATATCCTATTGGACAGCTTAATCGCCACCTGAGTTTTAGGGGTCCATCATTGAAAATGAACTGGCGTTAAGGCACACTTGACATGGGTTCCTCTGACGCGATACCTTGTAACAAGATTCACTCCAACTGCTTATAAGGCACAGAAGACCTCGGAGGTCAGCTTCAACCAGCCAAGAACGTAACTTGAGGACACTTGTCAATCAAACTGCAACCGATAGAGTAACGATCATGGCAACACCAACTGCAGAGAACTTCCCGAAGCCCAAGTCCATCATCGGTGGCTGTCTCTGCGGATCCATCAGGCATAAGGTGGATTTTCCTGCGGACCATGACTTTTTGAAGTGGGTAAGTGGAGTACAAGCCAAAGGATGAGCAAATCTATACTAGATCTGATTGTATCGCTAACGGAACTCACAGAGCGGCAGTTGCCAATGCACGCAATGTCGGCGCAACACTGGCTCTGTGATCTTCTTCTCTCACACAGTTCCTCTCAAAATCATAACCTGCACGACACCTGCCTCAAGCCCTAAGAACTATGCTGCCATGCCTGGCTACCAGCGCGAGATCTGCACGAATTGCGGCAGCTTCCTGTACTGGAAAGACGAGTCATCCGAGGATCTGGAGCTGGCCGTTGGATGCGTTGACCCTGAGTATTTGTTGAGGAAAAGGGTAAGAACGATGAATACGGTTTTGCACTGCTCAACGAATCCGGCCACAATGCCTTTGGCGAGAACGAAATCAAGGGGATCACAGATGGGTGGGTGGGTAGGCATGGCAGGTGGTTAAAGAGCAGTGAAGTTGGTGTGCCAATAATCTGAGAGCCTGCATGCAGTATATCGCTCTGTCATGGGTACACTCCTTATGTATAGCCTTGATCTTCAATTCTGCGTTCATCACTTCTGTGCTTATTTGGACCGGTGCAATATTGCTAGTTTCATCGGAGAATACTAAATAAAGTAACTCGTAAACGCCAGGTAGTTCAAACAAGTTTCCTGCAAAGGTTGAGACACACACATGAGTTGTGTGATTTTTCCAACAAGACCACGTTTGTGGCGATGGTTCAATATCAAAATAAACGTGATCATTCATTAAAGTCGGTTTCGCCTCTGTCTGCGGCTATATATAGCTTTGGAAACTTTGTATTGCACACTTCAAAATCGACTTCACATTCACCGTCCTTATAGAGGTCTCAATGAACTTATGGACGTTTGACTCTATCATTTTATTCCAGTTGATCTATGCATTCTAATGCCATTGTACAGATGGGTATCTGCGCCGCCATGGCTGGCAGGGGTTTGGGTGCTCAGTTGCTGGGGATGGTGGTTGTTACTATTGGCCCTATAGCGGCTTCTGCATCATTCATATGGACTACTTTTAATATCAGAGGATGCCCGCTATACCTACATACTGCCTGCCCGCTACGATTGAGTCTGGGGCTGTTGCAGCCGTCGCACTGCCAACATACACGTAGAGCAATGTTGAGTGGGATGCCGTCAGGTGGGCACTGGGGGCAGCGGGAAATTGGATTGTGCCGCGATGAAATACATGTAACACTGCGAAGGTGTAGGGTGAGGTGTGCATGAGCTGTAACAAGACTGAATTTCGTCAACTCTGACTCTACATCTTCGGAGTCCATTAGGTTTGGCCAAAAACAAAAACCGTACTCCACAGTATGATTGATCTCGATCCGCTTCTACGTCTGATTCAGCGCAATGCTTAATCAATGAACGGAACTCAACGCTAGAAGAGAATGATGTGCCATTTGAATCTTATCCGAGTAACAAGATACAGGAAACTACGAACCCAGCCATTTGCGTGTTGGCTCACCCCTTTCAGTTTCTGCCGTTCCTAACCATGTGTATTGGGAGGAGAATGACAGCGACGCTATTGCTCTTGATGAGAATGAAGGCGACATGATAGGAGAGACTCTGGCCCAGCAGTCGAACCTAGATGTACTTTGCGCGAGCTTCTTGGTGAACCAGCGTAAGTGTATGGGGAGATGCAGGACATGATTTTCGCCCTATGCATTCTCAAACTATACATGATCGGCGTATGCTGGCTGGGGGACGAGAGATGGAGAGTGTTCTTTTCTCGCCCGACTGGGCAAAGCTTGACGTGGAAAGCTCTGATGTCAGGAAGCTTCCTGATACCTACAGTTGGCCATGGCATGAAGGACCGATTTCATCTTCTCACGCTGGAGGTTGCGCCAACTTTTGTCGACTCTACTATCAGATCTGCTGGGCTCAGGCCAATGACTTACTGAACAGCGCCTGCAGAGGTGCAAAGTTTGACAATCTGCTTCGATTATCACTGCAACGTGAACTATGAACCATTCCTCAGCCTTTATCATCACCTAGACGATAGACATGTGATGGACTAATTCACACAGGAAGCTCTGCAGACATTACTTGGTCACAAAACTGCTGCGGGGGTTCGGGAATATCGATGATGGATGATTCGAAACATGATCAGAACATGATGTGCTGTTGAAAAGGGCTTTAAAAGCAATTTGGGTAGACTCTAGTTGAGGCTAGGACTACGTGATCTTAGATAGATCTGAGGGCTCGCGCGAGGTTGACCCTCCATCCCCTGACTGCACCGTCAGATGAACTGCGGGGACGCCCAGATGATACTATGTAAGCCATCTCGTTGACTATGGCTAGGTGCTGTTCATCCCTCTCCACTTTATATTTCCACATCTTTTTAACGTCTAGTTCTATTGCACCGGAGGCCAGGGCCCCTTGCAGGCGCTAACTTTATACAGGCTAATGGTAGTATACTCTAGCCCAAAATGCTCAAGGTACAACACGCCGTCTCACAAAAGTTCTCAGCTCAAGTTGGCCCCGGTTAGCCCAGCGGAATGGCTTGAGCCTCCCGCGTGACTCGTTACCAGGAATGGATGGTCCGGGCATTTCCTCATACCATGATATATAACATTCTGTCTGCTTGTTGACGATGGATATTCCTCTCTTGTCGTCAGCCTGCTCAATTCAGCACTTTGGTGCCAGTCATTCATTAATTGGCCCGTCAATTGAAATCGAACCGTCATGAAGCATTCTGCAATTCTGGCCGTATCAGGCCTGTTCGGCAGCCTTGCCGCTGCTTCGGCTTGCTGCAACAACCGATGCGTAAGGGGTAGGCCATTCTTTCATCTCCAGATTGAGTCAAAAAGGTGATGCTCGATTGCTAATGAGTCGTTCTTCGTAAACCGAACAGCCATCGTTTCTCCTTCTGTACTTGGCGTTGCGGATTGTTCGTCGCTTCTTGCAACGACGGTGACGCCAGCGACTAGGTATGTTGACATGAGATTCGTCCACTGCCCATTTGCGCGCGTGATAGAAAGCTGACGATAGTCAGCACCATTACTTCGACTGTCACCTTGGGTAAAGCCCAAAACGTGACGTTTGTGGTGTCATCCGCCTACACGACTGACATCACGACCACAGTCTACACTGAGACAATTGTATCCACATCCAGCCTTACTGTGACGGAGAGCGTCGATGTTATCACAGCAACGCAGACGGAGACTACAATAGTATCGACTGAAACGCAAACAGTGTTGACAACAGTTACTGCAACCCCAGTCAAGGCACGCCGCGCCGCCAACGACACCTTGGGTCTCCCGCAATACGCATCAGTCTGTGGATCTTGGCCCAAGTATGCCGATGCATGCTCGTGTATCGGGGCCGCGCCGGGTACTATCACAGCGCCTACACCCATTACCACCATCACTGTGACCGAGACCCAGGTAGGTCGGCATTTCCGTTATCACAGGTGTTCCATGACAAGGGTTTATTATCCCCAACAGTCTCAGCTGACACTTCGTAACAGACTAAATATTCCAATGTCACGTCAAGTGTTCTCAGCACCGAAACCCGCACGATCCCCGTTTCTATCAGTGTTTCGACCACCGAGATCGACACCGTCCCGGTAACTGCCACAACTACAACCACGCAGATAGCTTACATCAGTGCTACAACGACAACCGTGGCGACCGCTACAGCCACAGTGTCCACTTGTGTTAATATCGTCCAAAACCCTGGTTTCGACGACGCCACAGTCTCCCCGTGGACGTTTGTGGATTCTGGAATGCAACGGTTGGAAGATCCATCGAAAGCACACTCTGGTGGCAAAGCTGCGTAAGTTAGAATATCGTTGTTCTCTTCAGATTTGAGGCTCATAGCTTTTAGGTTGTCCGTCATCACCACTTTCGCACAGAGAAACCGTGTTACTCAGACAATCAACCTGGTATCGGGCAATCCCTATCGCATCCGATATTGGTGGGCTATCAACTCCGGTGTGGCCGGGAGCGGTAACCGTGGCTGCTACATTACTACGATAATAGGGGGTGGTGTGGTCTACAGCGACTTCCCAATTCCGGCTGTCCCGCTTAACACTTGGGCCGCCCACGAGATCTCGTTCACGGCCCCTTCTGATAGTCCACTGCTCGCGATTTACATGTTTTGCAACCAACAGGCCAACGGTTTGCAAGTACTTCTCGATGATGTTTCCGTCTATCCCGACACAACTGCAGGGTCTGATGGTTACTGCATTCCTCCAGCCATATGAAGTCTGGTGAACTTGGACTTGGTAGAACATAATATACTCAATGTAGAAAGACCGCATTGAGTCCCTCTCTCAAGCTTCTGTTCTTCAACATCATACCTGGGCATATGTACCTCCATTCTCGCTACCCAGAACCTCAGGAGGGAGGTGGGGTGAAGACTCAAGGGCCACAGTTCTGGAATGCCCACAGAGATCATAATCACCAATAAAGTCACCAGTCAAGTTCTAGGCTGCTCCTTACCTCAACTCAGCAAGAAGAGACCCTTTCACAGTACCGGTGGGAAAGATCGTCCACCTATTACGCTAAATGCAAGCTCTTCATGACAACTCTGAACTGTCCGCCATTCCCCGGGGAGTACACTCTCTCTTCCTACTTAAACCCGTTGTTCTTGCCATCCGGCTATACAATCTTGTCAAGTATCCCACGCTACAATGAAACGACTGAACGATAACTCGTCCACTGCCACCGTCTGCACCAAGGCTGGCGACTTAGTGTATTTCTTGTCCTTTCCGAAGTATTGGAAACATCCGTACCGGGCAAATTCGCCTTTCTGGCCATTGTGCCGTAGTAGCAACCCTCTAGTGTCCTCTGTGAAACTATCTTGGCATACCACAAAGTTGGCCCTGCCACGAAGGATTGTGAAGCCATACTTTCGTAGGGTTCCTGACAGTCCTCGATGTGATCTCCCACCACAAATACTTCTCACACCGAACCAACTTCAGTGTAGTAGTGTTGATCACTGCCTCGAGGTTCTGATGGGAGTTTGGGACGCGCCGGTAGTAATCTGCCATGTGCCAGAAGATCTCGCGTTGAGTCCTCTGGTGATTGGGCGGCTGAAATGTGACTGTGGCCAGAGGAGAGGTGGCACGCTGCCAAATGCGCGACGTGAACGAACCAGTGGTGGAACTTTCTAGGAACTTGAATTCAACCGCATCTGGAATGCTCATCCAGGACCAGGTCGGAACATCGTTCGCAGCTGATATTGGGGAAACTGCAGTGTGGTGCGATGACACTATGTTCAAGTGCCATACCAGTTGGTAGGCTATCATGACCGACCAGAGTCCGTAAACATGAGACAAGGGGTTGAATTCTGACCCGCAAAGAGCTCCGTGCTGCTTTGCTTTGGCAGCTAGGGCACTTTTATCTTTTCCCACGGATCCTCTGCTGTTGCTATAGGTCGGGCCGCCATAAGAGACGCCAAAAATGTAGCGAGCCCTTCATCGAAGGACCGGTATCCCTTACTAAGGCGGGCAAGATCCTATGATTTGAGGTCAAGGTCATATGGGGAATAAGCGTAAGCGCTGAAACGCGGCCATTCTTCAGGCCAGCTGGGAACCATGAGCTATGAGCTGTTGGTGAGACACACGTCAACCAAAAATGTTACTTGCTGCTGAACATAGTAGCCGTGGCCAGAACGTAGTCTCGCTGGGGAGCAACTCCATTCCACAACGATGACTACTTCACTCGATCAGAATATTATTTCGAAGGATAAACAGCACGGATTTCGTCAGGACACCACTTTGGGCTGATGGCGGCCATTTGGCTGTGTTCATAGGACCGAGGAAAGAGGCCATCGGAGGACGATGAACCCAGTATCTGCTGAGGCATATACATCGCAAATGCTTGCATGACTATCTGCAGTGCTCGAACACAAACCTGGCACCCATGCGTGGGATGAACCCGCTGACAGCACGATGTAGATAGCTTCTTGCAGACCCTCAGGGGGAATTTAAAGGCTATATGAGATAGCTGAACGAATTTCCAGGTTTGTCACCTGCTCTGTAATCTGGGATTGATGACTGACAGTTCCGTAAGTCGCAGAGGCTGCATCGGTGCGATGTTTTCTTTCATGCCGAGAAGTCTACTCCAACCAATTGCTGCTGCACGTAGTGCGCCAACTCGAAGGCTTTCTCCAACAAGCATCCCTATGGTGTCTTATGCATTGCTGATGAAAATCACAACTGTCTACTAAGATTAGAAGTTTGTGCTCCCTTTCGAGCTTCTCCAAAGGGCGGCTGATAACAATAAGACCCAACAGGAAGAACTTTTAACTTTTTTCTTCCTTCATTCTTCTGTGTCAAGTCGAACTTCATCCAGCCATTAGTTAACACCAACAAGTGCAAAAATTTGAAGAGCGTTGGCAAAAGAATAACTGCACTAGCCGCGAATCGAACGCGGGGCCCATCGATGGCAACGATGGATTTTACCACTAAACCACTAGTGCTGATGAATTATCTCCGAGTTATTTAGATATATACGTGTAAATTATAGTGGGTTTAGACGGGTCCACTTTTGCAACATAGCATGTACGAGCCAGCCAAACCCGAACAGGGAGGATTGTGTTATTACAACGAGGTATCGTCGCAAGCAAAACTTCCAGGTGCATTCCAGTCATTCGTATATTACATGGCACATTTCGATCTGTCAAAGAGGATAATTGAATGAAAGGATCTTCAGACGGCAAGGGGAGGTAGGGATAGCACATTGCCAGACCTGATAAAAAGCGGCGCATTTCCAACAAATGCCTGCTTTCGAACGGCGCCTAGAAACAGACTCGTAGTAGCTTTCTACAGGGACGGTGAAACAAAATTCTCTTTTCTGTTAGAGGTGCCATGGGTCGCTCGGTTGCTTGATAGCTTTCCAACCGATTTCTAGCAGCTCACTGCTCATTGATCCGGAGCTGTACCTTGGTGAACGGGGAGCTTGAGGGAGTAACTTCTAGGATGACAGATTTCTGACCTGATTATATGAAATCCTTGCTCTCAAGCTGATCTGCAGCGTATCCCACTTCCAAATCCCGATCTCTGGACGAAGCTTTCCTCTTTTGCCGGCACGTTACGATCTGCCAGACCAACAGTGTCAAAGCAGTAAGTACAGTAGCTACCAGAATGAACACCCAAAGAGAATCCGATACAACCGACCCTTCACTTGGTGACCAGTCGAACATGGACATGGAGAATATAGACTAGTCACTCTGGTCAGTCATGTTGCGTGTGAGCTTTTCTGTATCCTTACTTACGGCAACAGCTGAGACAGGCAGATAGAACATTGTAAGAAATGCTATCGACTTCATCTGTCCGTTGTCCTGCTTCGCATCGAGTGCAATAGAATTATTAGCTCTAGCGATGTTTGTGTTGACGATGGCATCACGCCTGGCAATGTGACTCCAGACCTTCATACCATTCACAGTAAGTAAACTTTCTCGACGCAGGGTGGTCAAAATAGACTCACGGTCTGCATTGTGATAGACATGTTATCCATTATCATGTTACACTCCTCAATCTTGTCATCATATTCGTCCATGATTTCAAGTATCCTCGCCTTGAGCATTTTATTCACATTAATTACATCAATACTGTTCCCATTAGCAAGGATATCTTCCTGGTCCACAGAACGTAGGACAGTCTGGTGCTTGGCTGAGCTTGAGGGCTTGAAGTCGTCACAGAACTGGACCATTTTTGCGAGTTGTCTCTTCACTGTTTTCAACTCTTTGGCAAGGCTCTGACTTTCATAGCATAGTTGTAGATAATCACTCATCTGCTCCTCGTTCATGTCCAGCATTACCAGATCTCGGTCCGGCGAGTCGGACAGTGAACTGGTCCGTAGCGTGAAGCGATCGAGTGTATCTTCTACGCGCTCTGAGAGGCGTTTTCGCTCTAACTCAGCGAATATGCCGGGGATCAGGAGAGGGTGCGCCAGACTCGCAGACGATACTTTGGCCAACCTAGCCTCAAATTGTCGTCGTTGACTGACGCTACATCCGAACACCATGGCGCAGGTGAGATCGCTGTCAGGAAAGAAGGTTGTAGATAGCGCGAGATCGTCTGGCCATTGTGAAGACATGCGGCAGGTAATAACTTACAATACACTGTAAGTCTTCCCATCTAGTGACCAAATAACTTAATATGAACAAAGACGAAGATCAATGTACCTATGCTGGGAGTTTTGCAGCTCGGTTCGATTAGTTGCGTTAGGGAGAAGTAGGCCGTCTCTCGAGCAACCGTTCGTGAGATCGTTCGATGAAGCCGCAGTCTTCTGGTGATTCCTTCGAATGCTGGACGGCTGAATGGCAAGTATGAGATTGGTGATGCTTCATCGTCTGAGATGCTCTTTGCTCGGTCACATAGGCTATCTTCAAATATCAACTAGGTTCCTAGTTATCTTCGTTCAAGCCTAGGACTGACATGACGCATAGGCCGGCTGCTTCAGGCTGACGCTTCAGAAATGAATTCTGGTAAACTTTAGTACTCCATGTGCCAATTATTCATTCGCCTTGTCTTGGAAACCCCTGAAGTACATTATTTGTCCATTCTTCCCAGCCCTCTCCAGTGGTTAAAGTATTAACAGTCAATGCCTAAGTTTGTGTGAACAGTCTCTTTGCGAACGCAACAATCCAGGAGCATTTACATCTTCTGCGAAATAACGCTGTATTACAGTGCTTTCCCGTTCCTGGTACCGGAATAAATCGAGGTCGTGCTCACTGAATGTGAATTCAGAGCTAGTCCAGTCCATAGTAAAATATTTTCGGAGTCCAGGAAAGAGGCTGAACAGATTCTCCACACAACAACCACAAGCGCCGTCTCCATGGACACCAGACACGATTCGTACTGAGACAATGAGACAATGAACCTGATAAGGGTTGCTGAGACAGAAGAGCACTACAATTATGCGGGGCCCTCGCCTTCCCGTGTAGCCACCATGTATGTACTCAAGTAACTAACCGACTCGGGTACTCGCCCAATATGCACGCTATATGCATCATCAACAACCACCCAACCGTATCATCGCCCGCTCGCAGCTGACCCTGCCCCCCCAGCTGCGTGCGTGATGAAGCAGTTCTGACGAGGCAATTTTCGATTGCTGCAATAACCGTCACCTAATTGTGGAGACGTATTGGGCTCCGATGCACACAGTCAGTCGATATTGGGTAATACCTGCTCCCATAAAGTGGAAGCAGCAAATATGTGTTCCAAGACCTTGCCTGGTGTCCAATCTTGAATTTCACGTGCAGTCAAAACACATCGTCCATCAGGCGGCCTCTTGACGGACTGAAAGAATGATCTCGCGGCGGTCATCGAATCGTTCTGACACTACAGTCCGCAGCTGCAGTAGCACCCACACGTCGATCTCGAGGTCAGGGACCGAGCAAGTACTGCGCAAGAGATACAAGGACCCGGTAAAGCTCCGCGAGGGCCTTGATCGACTTCTAGGAAAGGGTCTCTATAGCTTGAAGGTGTGTTATTTTACTTCAATTTTTTCTTATTCAACACGATTCCCAACGCACCTTTTGACGGCCACAATGCTGATATTATAAAGCTGAGAAATAATCGATATATAATATGTGGCCAAAAGCTGCTCGACAAGGTTCGTGTATCCCCGTTGCTCCAAACAGCCTGTCCGCTTACTTGAACAACAGACTGAAATGGAGGCACTGGAGGAATGTGCGTATCGACATTACGATTCGTATTGACTGCATCGCCTCCGGTAACTGGTCTGCAGATATCCTCTTGTAATAGCAATTGGCAAAGGAGAGAGGGGTATCACAACTTTTTGCCACACAAGACTCCACCGAAATGAACCATAGAAAACAGGTGGATGCATCACCATATCCAAATTTCAACATATCCCTCGTTGTCGAGCCTCGACAGAGCTTCGAAGAGCTCGAATCATGGAGATGGCGCGCCGAACCGTGCGCTGTTGACTCGACTGCTCAGAGTAGATCTATCCGTGCTGTCCACCATCCAATCAGCTGTTGTCCGACGAGTAAGTTCACGCCACTGATTGCTGAGAACTCTTGGAGGGAGTGGTTCTTGTTGAAATATGCTTTGGATTGCTTCTTCATGCACAAATGGGATCAGTCAAAGTACAAAGCGAACTGACTGATAAAGAAGCGGCTCACCTCTGGCATGTACCCACCACGTTTGCAAAGTCTTCCCAACTTTACCTCTCTTTGCAAACTTATTCCTCCCCTCTCTTATTCGACGCCGCACAATCTTCATGCAGGGGACTTTGGTCAATAGTCAAGCCGGATCCCGTGGGTGTGGACATGGTGCATTGTAATACCTCATATTTTGCCGGCATTTCCAGTACATGGCGGACAATTCATCCCAGAGCTCGGAAGCATCCAGACGAAGGTCCCTGTCGGCCAACATCATTCGATTCATGACCAAATTCAACAATTCATGAATGTACTGTGTACATTTCTGGTTTTGGTGGAGCCGTCTTACCCAGTTGAAAACCTGGGGCTTGACGATTGCACAGTTGCCATCCAGGTGGAAGAATATGTCGGAGGTGATATTTTGGTGATCAACCTCTTCTCGAGCGACTGGAAATGCAGTTTTGACCGAATCCCAACCTTCCAAGTACCACGTTGCAAACTCTAGGAAAAAAGCTCCGAGACTCCACATGTCAGACTTTCGACTTAGAGTTGCCTGTGGAAGATCAAATTCAGGGGGTCGATACGAAGGGGACGTCGCTCTTGGCTGTACCATCGAACGAGAATGCTGACGGTGAAACCTCGAGAGGCCAAAATCCGAGATGAAAATCTGCTTCTGGGCTGAATGCTCGTAGACCAAAAGGTTTCCCGCTTTGAGGTCACCGTGCCTGCCAAACTTCTCCCTTTCCGTTGAATCCAGTTCTCTCGCATAGTCGAGATGCAGAAATGCTAAGGACTCTGCGATGGCAACAGCTTCCCGAGCGATCCACAAAATTGAACCCGGATCTTTGGTCCTTGGATTATTTCTCCAATGGGCACGAACACTCCCATCTGCCCAAGGAAAGATGAGGAAGTAAGTCACATCGTTTCCCTCTCGCAACTCAAATGTAGCTAGTAGTTTCACCAGTTGTTTTTCAGGACGGTGTGCAAAACGAAGCAACGGGCTAACTTCGTCTTCGAAGTCCTTTCTGACCTTGGTGTTGAGTTTTTTGATGGCGAAGAGCTGTTCGCCAGATGTATCCTACGGGTAGTTAGCAAAAACTCATCCGTCTATGATATTTATTAGTAGAATAGTGCGGCCTCATACAATGCTGTCAAACCTGTAGTGGCTAGGATGGATCTCCACGCATCGGACCTCGCCAAAGCCGCCTGAGGTATCTGGGTCATCCGACCCCTGGTCACCTTCATTGTTCTGAACCCTGATGTACGTGAAGGGCAGGATCGTCGCCTTGTGCAAAATGTAATGATTGACTCCATGTCTCGGTTGAACGAAGAAAGGGGCAAGATATTTCTCACTGATCTTCAAGAACTTTCTTCGTTCCTCGGAAGTCCACTGGCGGAATGCAGTGCATACATGGCCGGTTTCGTAATGTTTCAGGATATATGGATCCTCGCTGTAACGGTCTGAATGGGGGACCTTGACCAGTGGAAGCCAGTCGTCTGTGACCTCTTGGTGTATGAAAAGGGGTATATCTTCTGCCTTTCTTATGCGAATCAAGGCGGCTACAACTCTTCTGAACGAGCTAAAGGAATCACTGTCTTCTCTGCCACAGATTTCCCTTGCTAGGTTGACTTTATCCTGGCGTGACCAATTTCTGCAGGACCAGAGGTTTCCCAAAAGCTCCAACATTGTGCTTTCATTGATGATTTCACCGAGCTTATCCAGTGGCACGTAGTCAATGCAGCCTGTAGATAAAGGAATGTCGACTTCTGACTTCTTGAGCAAACAGCGAAGACCCTTTGCTGTTGCACTGCCGCCTGGAGTACTTCGCGAGACGGTAGGCCACAGCAAGCGACAGAGATCCTTATTGCCCCGGTCCTTGCACTCGACGAACCCGTATTGCTGCAGGCCCTTCGCCATCATCTTGTCTTACACTGGTGCTGATAGAGGTGCCACGTTGACTAAAGGCAGGAAATGCAGTGGTTGTTGGGCTTGAATAAAAAAGTGGGTAGCCCTGTTGTCTCTCCTATAATGCTGTACTGGAAAGAATGTCGTGGCAAGTGGCACGGAGGACCAAAATTGAGCTTTCAGAACCACTCAAAAGACTTGGGAAACAGCAAGGCATACACCAGACTGACACGGGGCGATTGACAATCAAGTTATATCACTGGTTTCTACGATTACTAGGTTACACAGGCGCATTCACTTCGCAAGGCTCTGGAGAATCCTGAGGGTATCAGCGATGTGGGTGCAGGTTCTGATTTGAAAAAATGGTCCGCCAGGCTGTCCACCGGTTCTTGAGTGGGAGTAAGTGGAAAAAGAGGTTCGTTGGGCTCCTGGTGAGGCATAGCCAAGAGGCTAGATCTGACAAGGCTTCGTACAAGGCGTCTAACGAGGCAGCCATGCCAACATCAGTTGCTGCACTCGGGTTGCATTATTGCCAATAAGACCTGGCAGTGGGTGAGAGCTTTTAGCCGAGCGCACGCATGCAACTGATCCATGCCTATAACTTTGGGGTGCATTTAGAAGCCTCAACTCTTATTATTCCCTTCTTGGGACTAGACATGTCGAATCAGCCACTTTACAGCCGACATTATCATGATTTGTCAGGCTGCAATGCCAGACCAGCTCTAGTGCAAGATGGCGTGGCTGTCCCCAAATCGGCCTGCAGCCGCGTGAAAATGCCGTACACGATCGACTACTGTGGAATCATTTGCTTAGAGTGAAATATTACATTTCCAAGACGCATTTTACATTGGATCCTTTGCATCAAATGGATTGATGCTGTCGAATGATGGTTTTGGTCCTCTTTGCACTTGACTCCCCTCGTACTCCGTACCATCATTAGGGTTCTTCAAACGAACGAGGCTTACATTTTGACCAACACAAAAACAGAAGTGTATGGAGACAGGTACTTTTTTTTGGTACGAGCTACGAGGCCCAGATAGTAGCCCTAATTAGCAGAAATATCAGTTCACCAAGCCCACTTCCACATGAAAGATTTACACCTCTGTTATCAAGTGAATCAAGCATTGTCTGTGTTCATATCATATTATCAGCTGGTACACCATTCCGCTGAAGCCAGTCATACATCACTTTGAGTCACAAGGAGATCCAGACCAGACGAATATCGTGGTATAACAATTCCTGTACAGGCAAATCTACCCCAACCATTCTCAACCGATACTGTCATCGCAGTGGCCGATAACATGTCTCATTTCAAAGGTATCAAATGGAAGGATCTGGATGGCGCAGCACAAATCACGGTTCCTGCATCGTCTGCGTCGGCTCATGAGATCAAGCAAATGCTTGATGGCGATCATAGGCTGGGCTCATATTCGATTCGCGTATGCTACAACTTGAGCCCGAGAAGAGTCTCACAATACTTATTGGTAGAATTAGCTTCGAGCAGACGTCTATAAAGTCAAAATAGAAGGTAGAAACGTTGAGCAGGTCAGAGTAAGCCACAGTCATTTGCAATATATGTCATGATGAGCGTCCATTCTAACAATCCTACAAGAACTTCCTACGGGTACCTCACAGATAGCATGCGGCAACTTTGAGACGTCAACAGCATAGTTTTTAGGGTCTTATTAGACCGAGAATGTAACTGGGCCTTTATTCGCGACAAAGTTAACTTGTGACAGTTGCGAACACTTAGGGTAGCTAAGACTCTTATGAGAGGAGAGGAGTCGGAGCAATATTAGAGCTCAGTCGGTCGTTACGGAGCTCAATGACTTAGTCAATAATTATAGTCGTTATCGTTCAGAACACGATTGAATACCAATGATTACCGACCTTCCTAGATTGTTTCCACAGGTGGTGGACGTCTGCAGCCGCAGGGACTATTATTCCAGCTGTGATCCGGGAGAGCTACACACCAATGAAGTTTTTACATTGCCGCAAAGCGATCTTCTAGATTATTTTCTTCAAGTGTGGAGATAAAAGGAACCTGACCCATTGTCACTTGAAGCTCAAGGGCAGTTTAAGTCGGTTTATTCTCCCTATTGTTCGTTGGAGGCCCCGAGAAAAGGGAAGCTGTCTTATTTCTCATCCTCAGATTCGTCTGGGAGGGCTGCATTGCTCGGGACATGGAGACATCATACCGTGCTGGTAATAGCAACCCCGGAGTAGCGAAGGAGTTCGACCAAGCCATCACCAAAACTGGATCGTACTCGGTGTCACCGAGGGTAACGCGTCAGTATTACCGCAATCTTATCCCATGTCGTAAGCCTTACCAAAGGACGGGATTCTCATGGAGAGGGCGTACCACGTGACAAATTCACATATTTGCCTCGATATACGTTTAGTCACGCGAGGCAGAGCTCTTAAAGCAAGACCATTTGAATATAATTTTTGGTCTTACCGCCTGTTTCAGGCTACGCAAAGATAGCATGGTATTTCCCGGTTGACGGCTCGTGGGTGAGATGGAAACACATGTAGCGCAGAGCATACTGTTTCCAAGGGCTAGAGACCTCGACGAAGGGCAATAACGCTGACAGCCGTCGCATCAACCAATCGAAGTACAAGACTGTTCTCATGGTCAGCAAGGAGCACAAGGCGTGCGAGGTTTGGCCTCTATGTCTAGATTGTTTACTGCTGTTGCTGATTGTACCTAGTGGGGACATGCTTGGCAGTAGCATAGACGTGGTCCTGCCATGTATATTACACCATCATATTGAAGATCTTGTAGCGTTTCATCCATGGAGAATCAATCTCGCGCCGTCTCGATCCTCCTTCAGCGCCAAGGTTGAAGCAGAGTGACCTGTGGCGTTCCTTCGGATGCTTCAAATGGGGCTCAGCACCCATGTTACACAGATGCCGGGAATTGGTTGCATAGGTAGCCGTCCCATAAAAAGCTGACGATAACCTGGGTTTTCAGCCTCATACTTGAAACCTCTGCCGACTTGCTACCAGCGATCACCATGGCCGAAGCACTGGGAGCCGCCGGTTCCATCGTTGGAATCGTCTCCTTCGGTTTGCAGTTTGCGACGAGCCTGCAAACGTACCTCGAGGCAGTCGCGGGTGCTGAGGAGAGTATGCAAGACATTGCCTTCGACATCAACGCTACGGCATCAGCGCTGAAGCAACTGCACGACCTGATTGAGGCCGACAAGGCAGCAACCGGGAATGAGACGCGCATCTTGAACAGCAAAGGCGTCGAAGAGGTGTTGCGGCTGTCTGCCCAATGCGAGAAGGTCTACACTCTCACCATGGGCCTTATTGCCAAGGCGGCCCGCCCCAAGTTCGATGGGCAGTCAGGAGGTCCAGCCGTGACAGCGAAATGGGAAGACTTCAAAGCTGCAACGCTGTGCCGAAGGCTGAGGTGGCCGTGGCTGGAGCCTCGGATCAAGAAATGCCAAGATCAGCTCAGATGGCTCAAGGTGACGCTTCTTTTCCAGCTGCAACTGGCACAGGTCGCCAGAATGCAACTTCAGTCAGTAGCACTTACCAACGCGGAAGCCGTAGTGTTTGGCTGACAGATATGCCAGGTCATCCGCTAGATCGCCGGGCATGTTCGAGGAGGAACTGGCTTCGCAGCTCTTGGCCAAGAACCTGCACTCCCGGAGAGAGAAACTTACCAAACGACTAGCAAAGCAGACGAAGAATCCACGTTCTCTAGCAACATTTATGGCCAACTCTTCGATATACTCAGAGAGTGATAGCGAGGCGTCTGGATCCAGTCCCGAGACTCTTCCATCCCCAACAGCCCGTGGTCTAGACACAGATCAGTCAATTACAGATGGTAAGGATCCAGTTCATGTTGGCTTGTTGGCAAGTATGGGTTATCCTTCCCTTCGCCATCTTCAAAACTTGCCAGCCGGTGACGTACTTACACCTCTACGGCGTTAGGAGAAGTCGGTATCAAGAATGAGGACAATGTATCCAGTCAAATGAAGACTCGTGATTTGTCGACGACTGGTATGAACGTCGCGCCAACGTGCACAACACCCATTGTTGGAGCCCAGACAGCCGGTCCCAACGAAACTGGCGGTGTCGAAACGCTGAAACCCAAAGACGATACGCAGGCACCCGCCGCCACTCCTGACACTTCTCTCAATACGATATTGCTGATGGACGAGGTTGGAAACAAGCATGTCCTTCCACTGGAATCATGTCGCACATGGCAGGTATGTCGGGCTGAAATTCCCAGATGATGCATGGCTCACGATATGACGTTGCCAGGAAATGCATGGTCTCGTGAAGGGTGCCTTCAGACGCCACAGCCCTGCTTTCAGTGCTCTGATTGAACACGGACACTATGATCTGGTGGATTCTGGCGGCAACATGATACTATCTCCAACGTGGGACCAACTTGTTCAACCAGGTTGGGTTGTGAAAGTGGTCCCATGGCGAATCTATCATGATCGTGTAGAGCAACCAGAACATTGGCGGCCACCGATGGGAGTGCCTATGGGGCGGGGGCGGGGACCGCAAGGACCTCCACCGAGACCTAGAATGGGCCCGCCGCTACCACCAGGTGCTGCGCTCGTCTCGCATATAAGAAGAGCACCTCGATATATAGAGTTGGAGGCAAAGGCGAAGCGCTCGAGGAAACTGGGCGCTTCGACGAACAGGAGCGCTTCGAGGGAAAGAGAGCCCGAAGCGAATTTGAAGGAGGAGGAAGACCTTGATATAATCGACTTCGAGAAGGAACAAGATGCGGCTGGAGATATGGGTGACTTCCTAAAGAGGTGGACCAACGCCACCGACGTTTGGACACCGGACCAACTGAATGAAGATATCTTGCTACAGCAGTGGGAGTGAAACCTCGTTCTCGGATGATGAGCTGACGGGTATCTAACGCGTGTATTAATGACTTAGTATAAATATCAATCCTTTAATTTCAGAGGCGTAGCAACACAGCAAGTATGTTGTCTTTGACGCAGTCATCATTATAAGCGACTACTCAAGATTGAGTAAGTGGACTACCGCCAGCCCCGGCTGAGTCATCGTGGTGAATGACATTGTTCGGCCTGAGGTTGGCGGGTCCTTCAGTTGACCTAGACCAGTACTAGAGGAGGCTTTAAAGAGCTCCCGGGCTCCCAGCTGCCCCTCCATCATGTAACCTTCTGCGTTAGGCTGGCGCCAGCCATCAGTGACCTCACGTTGTGATAGGTTTCCACGCGCAAACGGCAAAGCTAGGTCACCGGGGTCACTTCGAGAAAAGCGCAAATACCCATAGTGCGGTGCGAATCTTTGTCTTATCGCCATGGACCAGGAAAAGAACAAGGCAAAGAAGCCTGCCGACGACCCTCTCCGGCGCCCGCTCTACAGTTCGTTCTGGCGCATTTCGCTATCCCTTTCCAAGAGAACCCCACTAACGCGCCTCTCGCAGTCTACGATCTGCCTCCCCAAGTGTTGGAAACCCTGACGCTTGCCTCGACCGTCCGAGGTTCCCTACCCGTAGTCTCAGAAGATGGCTCCTCGGCACCCTCGGAATCATTATCGCGCGCGTCGCCCTCCGAAAACCTGACCGGTGGGTCGCAAGCCTGCTCGCTGTGCGGCCTCTCCTTCCCGACAGTTCTCGACCAGCGTGGCCACCTGAAGTCCGACCTTCACCATTACAACCTCAAGCAGAAGCTACGCGGGAACAAGCCGGTTTCCGAAGTTGAGTTTGAGAAGCTTATTGGGGACCTGGACGAGAGTCTGTCCGGCTCTGATTCCGACGAGTCCGAGGATGACGAAGACGAGAAGCGGGACAGCACGCTCACCTCGCTACTGAGGAAGCAGGCCACGCTCGCAGAGAAGAACAGCAGAAACGCAGGGGGCGATGGAGAACAAGACGGTCTTTCCAACCGGAGGCAGAGGGGCGGCGGCAAGGCGCCGCTGATCTGGTTCAACTCGCCTGTACTACCGGTAAACACCTATTTTGGAGCCTACCGCGCAATATTCAAACCTGAGGAGGCAAATCAAGAAGCTGGGCTTGTGGAAGTTATCAAGAAGAAGCAGCTCGAGCCCATCGCCGCACCCAAACCCACTGCAAACGGAGAGGCCGCGCCGGCTGCCTACAAAGGGCCGCACATATTCCTGTGCATGATCGGAGGTGGTCATTTTGCGGCTATGGTGGTGTCCCTGGCCCCGCGCCAGACCAAACATGCATCTACTGGACCTCTGAACAGAGAAGCCACTGTGCTGGCCCACAAGACTTTCCACAGGTATACTACGAGGAGGAAACAGGGTGGCTCTCAGTCGGCGAACGACAACGCAAAGGGGAACGCACATTCCGCAGGTTCTAGCATCCGTCGGTACAATGAGCAGGCCCTGATTGACGAGGTCCGGTTGCTGCTACACGAGTGGAAGGGGTTGCTCGATACATCTGAGCTACTATTCATCAGAGCGACAGGGTCAACCAACCGGAGGACACTCTTCGGACCGTACGAGGACCAGGTCCTCAGGGCTAACGACCCCAGGATACGAGGGTTCCCTTTCAGCACCAGGCGGGCGACCCAAAACGAGCTAATGCGGTCCTTCATCGAGCTCACACGCTTGAAAGTCCGCGAGATCGACCCGGAGGCCGAGAAGGCTCAGGCAGAGACGCCGGCAAAAGTTCCGACGCCGAAGCCTGTCAAACCTGCCGCGCCAAAGCTGTCCGAGGAGGAGGAAACAGCACTGCTTCACACATCACAACTACAGGCCTTTATCCGAAGATCGAAACTTCCAGCCCTCCTGTCGTACCTCAAGAACAACGACGTGCCCGCCGATTTCCTATTCCACCCCGTAGAGTCGCAGCAGAACCACCACGCTCCTACGTGCCTCCATCTTTCTGCCAGCCAAAACTCGGCACCCCTAGTGTCTGGACTACTAGCGAAGGCGGGTGCAGACCCGACAATCAAGAACCGCGACGGCAAGACGGCGTTCGATCTGGCCGGAGACCGAGCGACACGGGATGCGTTCCGGGTGGCCCGCGACGAGCTGGGCGAGGCCAAGTGGGACTGGGAGGCGGCGCGGGTGCCGCCGGCCATGAAGCGGGACGAAGCCGAGCGGCGTGACGAGCGCGAGCGCCAGGAGAGCGACAAGAAGGAGGCCGAGCGCCGGCGGGCCGAGGAGGCGCGGCTGCAGCGCGAGGGGCCCCAGGTCGGCGCGGCGGGCGGCAAGCCCCGGACCAAGGGCGTGCTGGGCGGCGCGCCGCCCAAGACGGCCCAGGAGAAGCGCGAGGACGAGGCCCGCGGCCTGACCCCCGAGCAGCGCATGAAGCTGGACCGCGAGCGCCGGGCCCGCGCCGCCGAGGACCGCCTGCGCCGGATGCAGGCCGGGTCGGGATAGAATTGTAGATCTATGAGATCCAACTATAACCAATTAAACTAGGTGATCTGCAAAGACTCCACGTTTAAGATACTAGAGACACTCCTCACCATTAGTCTTAACGCCAGGGATATTTGCTAACATAACTTTCCGTCATGCCCACCCAAGTTGGGGGCGAGCCACAAATGGCAACACGACAGTTGGTTGTGTCGAACCCCAGATCTAGTCCGTTTGGTGGAACCTAAAGCAGAAGGAAGCTTGATCAGCGTTCTAATCTCAATGTCTGTTATTTCGAGATACGAAAAATCAAGTTACAAACGTCGCTGTTCTGCATATGCAAGACTGATCCTCAGTTGCGACGGTACATGCAAGCCTGGACGCCATGTAAGGGCTCAGCCTCTTCCTTGGGATAATATTAGCAGCCGCCCGGGACCGTACAGGTAGCGATCTCGCTAAAGAGGGAGAACGTACAGTTTGACAGTGTCCGGAACTTCGTAATACTTTCGAGGAGGTGATGGGCCAACTGTTTAGTTGCAATCTAAATCAGGTCAAGTAATGAATGTTCCAGTGGCATGCAAAGTCACACAGATCAAATTGGAGATGATACGATTTAAGTTTTTAAAACTAGCTCCAAGGCTGTTGTTTTGAATTGTTCCTCTGGGTATATTAGATATTACTACAAGCTCCTCCATGGTCTGGCCTATGTATATGCGTTTTTTGGGTGGCCCTGCCCACACTCCCGCGGAATGTGGCTGATTAACAAGTAAAAGGAAAAATCAATAAAGCAGGATCTGCTTTGTCGAGCTCGCAAGTGCTCGTTGTATGTGTGGGGTATATGAACCCTGAACGCTCTTCCAATGGCCTATAACCTGTTTCTTCTTCAAAATGCTGGTGTCGTAAGGATCGTCGTGAATGTAAGAATCTTTTTTGTTTGGTACAAAGCACCCCCTCAGGGTAAGGCAGCGCAGCCCGCTTAGAAAGCAGCAACGGCGATGGCGGCGAAACCGAAGAAGCCGAGGCCAGCGCCCACCTGGGCGGCGCCAGCAGTGGCAAAGGCGGTTCCGGTCGTGCTGGAAGGCTTCAATGCGCCAGTTCCGCTGGGCTTGGCGGTGACCAGAGTGCTGGCACCGGTCGGGTAAGGGGGAACAGCACCAGCGCCAGTGCCGGTGGCAGTGGCAGTGGGGATGACGGCGCTGTAAGTGCCAGGAACCACAGCGACGGAGCTCGCGCTGGCACCACCGCTGATGGTGGTGAATCCAACCTGAGGAACGGTGACCTGAGTGCTGATGGTGATGGTGCTGCTGGAGCTGGGGATGGTAGCGCCACCCTCAGTGGTGCAAGGGACAACAGTGGTGACGTCGACAATGACGGTGGTGTAGACAGCAGAAGGAGCAGTGGTGGCAGTAGCAGTCAGAACGCTGGTGATGCTGTCGGCGCCAGTGGCAATGCCAGGGTTGGTGGGGATGAAGCCACCGCAGATGCCCTGGAAGTAGGTAACAGCCTCGGAGATGATCTCGTCAGTCTCACCGTAGGCGTACAGGCAGGTGAAGACGTTCTGGACGAACTTGGCGTCGGGGCAGTAGCAGGCAGTGTCAGTGTTGGAGCTGCAGCCAACGCTGAACATCCAGGTGTTCAAGCAAGAGGGGACGACCTGGGGGCAGGGGAGAGTCTCAACGGGACCGGCAGGCGAAGTGCTGGAAGAAGCAACAGGGGCAGTAGCAGAGCTGGTGACAACGGTGCTGGGCTGCTCAGTAGGCTTCTCAGTGCTGGGCTTCTCGGTAGGCACTCCAGTGGGCTTGGTGACAGTAGTGAAGGTCTCGGTGACGGGGCAGACGGTGGTGCCGACGGAGACGGTCAGGGTGGTCAAGGCAGTCGAGCTGGCAGGGCAGTTGGGGACGGAAGGACCGCAGCTGGTGATAGTGGAGACAACGGTCGACAGGATAGTCGAGGTAGTCATGTAGCTGGTGACGGAAGTGATCGTAGTAGCCTCAGTAGTAGACTCAACCTTGGTGGAGGAAGCGACGGTGGTGGACTCAGCCTTGGTGGTCGAAGACTCAACCTTGGTGCTGGAGGACTCGACTTTGCTGCTAGACGACTCAACCTTGCTGGTCGAGACGGCGTAGGTGCTGCTGGGAGCAGACGAGGTGACAACGGCAGAGGTGGAGGTGGAGGCCTTGCCGCTGGTGGTGGCGGAAAAGGTCGAGGGGGAGCCAGCAGGGTACGACGAGGTAGTCTGAACGGCGCTGCTCGAGGTGGTGGATACCTTGGCGGTGGAAGTGCTGCTGACAGTGCTCACGGTCTTGGTGGAAGAGGCGGTGCTGCAGCCGAAGGAGATGGAGGGAACAGCGAACGAGCAAGTGGGCTTGGGCTTGCTGGGCTGGCTTGGGTAGACGATGGTGACGTTCTTGGCACCACCGCACTGGGAGTTCTTCACAATCGTACCCTTGGACGAGCAGGGAGATCGGTGCTTGCAGCTGGAGCCGTCAGGCATGTCGTAGTGGAACTCGAGGTCGCAGTCGAACTCGGGGTAGACGTGGAACTCCTTGACGGAGGTCTTGTCAACACCAGACTTGGTATCGCAACCGAACGAGGGCGACGACTGCTTCGAGCTCGAAGCCTTTCCAGTAATGCACTTGGAGTTGACAGTGCGTCGCTGCAGGCCGTCACGCTTGCCGAAGCCACTCTCACAGCTGAAGCCAGCCCAGTTGAAGCCACCATAGTTGGAGAAGCCACCAAGGTTCAGATCGCCAAAGTCGAAACCCTTGGACTGCTTGTCTGTGCACTTGTTGTCGGTGTTATCTGGGCATGAGAAGGAAGGGGCGTTGTGGAAGCCGAAGCCCTGGGATAGGTTAGCAAGGGCTGTCCTTCATGTATGCGTGTGTAAGTGAAGGCAAGACTTACAGTAGCCGTAACCTGGCTGAGGCCAGCAGCCAAGGTGAGGAGGGCCAAAGAATTCTTCATCTTGACACTTGTAGCGACGAAATCGGGTTTATGCTGTATAGCGAGAGAATAGTTGTTGTTGTGTGGTATTCCGTGGAACGATTGTTGGTTTAATAAGAGAAAACGAATAGATGTTGGAAGCAGGCAAGCGAATGACCCTGACTTTCCGAGAATAAGAAAAAATGGAGGAGTTGGTTATACCCAAGAGGAAGCGAAAGTGTTGTTGGAACAGACTGATAGGTGTAGAGGGAGGGAGGGCTCTGCCATACATATATACCTACATGCTGCATCTCACGATGGGGGACGTCTGGGCCATCCATCGGCGCAAGGAGTCTTGCTGAGGTTGCACCAACCGAGCACAGCACAGCACAGCGCTAGCCGGCCAGGGATTCAGGATTGGCGCTCATCCTGGTACCCATGTCGACAGCATGACTGCTCTTCCTTTCTCGTCCAAAGTGCAGTCCACTGGTGGGTTTCGGGGGGTTGTCGTCGAGATGGAAGTACCGTCGTACCTGAGGAGGGCAAGACTTGGACTCCACGAGGCGTCAAGGGGCGGACCCAAGCCCCGCTAAATTAAGCCCGGTCCCAGAGCGCGCGGCTGCCGGGGGTTTGGGGAGCTGGTAGGTACCTGCAGGGGTTTCTGCGTGCGGCTCCACAGCGCATGGCTTCTGGCTTTCCAGCGAAGGGTTCTTCATGGCCAGTTGAACAGGCCGACTGCAACAGTAAACAGGCTAGAGAGCCAATGGGATACCCGCCTACGGTGTAGATGCCTCTGTTCCCACTTCTGCCATGTACGTAGTTATGCAGCACCGCGGGTTAATTCGAGCGACTCCCAAGATGCAGTCTATTAATGGCCCTCAGGTGAGAAGGTCGGCTGCGACAAAAAGAACGTTCCATCGCAGGCGCCACTGTTGGTGTCTGGGTGCCAGAAATACCCATTCATCAGCGAAGAGGATGAGGATTGCTGACGGAAGAGGCAATTCAATCCAACACAACGAGAGAGAGAAAAATAACACCGACAACCGGACGTAAGGGCCAACAGCCAACTGCCGCCACTCCAAGCAACCTGGTCTGTAGCCATATCGTTAAAGAAAAGAAAGATATGGGCCTCCATCCGAACCCTCCCGCAGGGCCGCAGCATCTTTGAAACGAGCATAGCCACTCACGGGTCGTGATGTGCTTCGGGCTTATGCAGGTACCATCTTCCCTCTCCCTCCGTTGCCAACCAATCCCAAAAGAGCGAGCCTGGCAGGCCCTGGCTTGCCATCAGGGGGCGCTTTTCCTCTTGAGCGGCACCCCGAGAGCGATTCAGTCATGCCGTTGGTCAATCGTTGGAGACGAGGGTATTATTGTCCGACAGCGCAGCCTCCTCGCCCGCTGATCTTGGTTCGGCTGAGCTAGCTAGGATCATAATGTTTTTAGTCTTCCTATGCAACCTGTGTGCATCCTTTGGGAGATCCTAGCCTCAGATCCCTAGCGATCCTCAGCCTGGGTTCTTTCCAGCAGACTGGATGCCCTTTCTCAATGGGTGCCGCAGGTTCCGCAGTGAGACCCAAGATCTCTTTTCTGAGATTGTGATCATCCAGATCTAGGGACGGCTAGAGCACGGTTATACCTAGTTCCAACGCTTATACATGGACGACTTTAGACTTGAGATGAAATGAAGGGCCTCGAGATCCAAGGTGCAGTCGTATCGATGCGGTAGCCGCTAGGGCCCCTAGGTGTCCCCAATGGAGACGAGCATGGGTGCCCAAAAGGGAAAGGCCCCTGTGATCCATCGTGAGAGCAACAGCGGGCGTTGCCCGTCCAGGTAAAGCCCGCTGTCCGCACCACTCTTCTGGAGACGATCCGGCCTACAGTCCGAAAGCAAGACAGCTCAGGTATGCCTCCACCACCGGATATGCTGGCACCACCGACAGCTCTTGTGTGGAATTAAAGCCATTTCGCTCAGTAATCAGAAGCCACCTGAAATCGGTATCTCGTTATGGGAGCGGCAGACGGGCTGGCGCGGAAGACCGAAAATCCGGCGGCAACTCGAGTGGAAGGGAGGGACAGACGCCTTTCCTCGCCATCCATCCGCAGCTGGACAGCAAAAAATAGGCGATTGGCTGCCAATTGGTTTTTTGCTGGACCTGAGACGCACTGGCAGCCCCTTGCCGCCGGCGCTGGGCCTGCTTCCACCTCTCCAGCGCGACAGCACCGCGGGACGTTCAGACCACAAAGCTTGGCGTTCAGCCTGTTTCACCATTCAACCGCTGGCAGCCAAAAGTCGGCTTAGATCAGTTTCAGCTCTTGCCCGTCGGGGTGCCAAAGCACGCTGGATGCAGATACGGCTGCCAGCGGTGCATTTCTTCACAGTAGGCCGCGGCGCGGTCTTCGCGAGCGATAAGCTCAACAAGAAGCTTGAATTAGGCGTGATTCGCAGCTGCTTCTAGCGTCCGGTGGCGATCGCACATGAGATGAGAATGCGCTGCCGCACGACGCCCAGTGCTCCGCTCTGTGAACGCCTATCGACACACAGTATTGCTGCCGATTGCATACCCCCAATCTACAGTAGGTCGCCAACTATCCAACATCTTCAGGGGATATTGAACCCTTGATCCACAGCTCGGCTAGACACACTGTTTAAGCCTGCAAGGATAAAAGCGAACGGTTTGCTACGTCCCACTATGTGGTGTCTCTCCCTTTAAGTGACTCCTCACCTATTTACCTGGGCACCATTTCAGAATACGAATGGCACCGAACTCTGGAGAGAAATTCGCCCACTGCTGATAACAACAACGCCATGTTTCTACTTTTGGCACCAAAATCCACCAAAAGAAGAACGATAGCAGATTTCTTTTTATTACCCCAGACGCCTCCTGTAATGTGACAGCCGGAGCGACCTGTTTGTTAATTTCAGTCTGATTGTTGACACGGCGCCGTCAGCGACCATTGAGTGCAAGCGCACAAAGAGGCGTCATTTGACTTTGGAGGGCGTTGAGAAAGTCGGACTCGGGCTGGGCGATGTGATGGCTACCAGTCACGCCAGTCTAGACCGGATGGTCAGGTAAACCAGGTAGTCGATTCACCGTTCCTGGCTAACTACCAGGACCCCTGTATTACCGCTTCTGGCCTGCAAATCATGTGCGTTGCACCTGGAACCCTCCTAGCGGCATCCCCATCGCGCCGGTACCCACCGATAACCGAACAACACCACGTTGGGATCCAGTACAGAGCAGTGCCCATGATACCGTTTTCATGCGAGCACAACTGTGTAGGGTCCAAGTCAATGTTAATGGTTTTCCAAGTATCATGGACCACCCTCCGCATAGTCCTTTTCCGCTGCCCCAACTTGAAGAGGGTGCCATGCCCTACGGTACTGACCATGTAGGATCTTTTGCTACGCTCTGTTGCCTTCAACCACAATAGTCAGTCGAGTTGTATGGGAAGCGATGTCACCGTCGCTGTCGGCTCTAGCCCGGCCGGTTCACACGTGGACAGTGCCCTGGAGTCTGCTGCTATCGAAAGCTTGTGTGAATCGTCACATACATAATTACAAGGAAGTCCCAAGTAGGAATCGGACCCGGAACTATGGGCATCTGTGCGTTCTTGCGAGTGCTATGTATTACCTATTTAAGACTGCAGAATGGCTCCTTGCGGGATGCCGGCATCCGGTGAACCTATGCAGTCCGTTTGCGTCTCATCTCACAGAGAGCCCGGCCTAATCGCTACTGGTCTTGCTTGGAACTTTCATCAATTTGAGTTGGGAGCGGTCCGCTCGGAGGTGATGATGCTATGATCGCCCAAGGCATATGTGCCCTCAGCCTCGCTATAGCACACGTCAGTCAATGAACTGCAAACAAAAGGAAACATCTATATCGCAATGCTATAATAGCCAAGACACTCCCGCCAAGTTGCCAGAAGAGCTGTCAACTCAATCCTTCGGGCCTTGTCCTTGTGCCGGCATAGGTGGGCTGCTATGCATCCCGGTGGCTGGCTCACAGCCACTGCATAAAGTCATGCGTTTTCCTCACCGACCATTCAAACAGCTTGCAGTCGTTTCCAAAGCAAACATACCCCGGATGTTCTGCATTCACCGATCCCGTATGACTGGATCCCCCCTTTCCAGCATGCGCACATTTATTCGTGACAGGAGGTGGCAAAGTAAAAAGGAAAAAAAAAAACTCTTTTCTTCTCATCCCCCGTTGTGTTCGAAGGGGGGTTTCCTTGACCAGCAGGGTGTGGTAGCATTTCAGGAGATTTGGCCCACTGGGGACAAGAGGTACACAGTAACCCGGCCACAGGAGCGTGCCGTTTCAGGTATGCGTACCTGCACAAGCTGCCCAGGCTACTGCAGGAACAGCGCCTTCGACGAGACGTGACGGTCCTACGGTGGCGCCCGATAGCTCCGGACTTTTACCCAGACCAATTCCGGAAAAATTGAACGACAGACAGACAGACACGCGAGCATTGTTGACCGAAGCCCCCGTATCGCGCATCGGCAAACCGTTGTGGCCATCCGACACTGGCATTCTCCGTGCGATAAAGTCTAGCAGCTGGTGGACAGCTGCCAGACCTGCATTCGGACTCACATCTTCGGGGCCGCTCACAACCAGCAGATGTAGTACCTGTACCAAGCCGGCTCTACTGATATGTATAACCTCAAGGTTCACCGGCAGGTCTATCATCCACTACCGGAGGGCGCTACACATCAAAAAGGGAGCCCACTGTCCCCCGCCGTGATGTACCAAGAACGAATATAGGCTCCGAGTCCACTAACTGCAAGTCTGTTTAACAGCGACATTTTAGGTCTCCCGAGCATGACCTGCAAATACGATCTCGTTCAACGATAAAGATCCGTCGAGTATATCATGGAAGAGCTCAAAAGCAGCCTTGCCTGTAGAGAAACGGCTGAGTAGAAGGGACTATAGGCAAATTCTAAAGGGCCTAGAATAAACGACCTTGAAATTTTCGAGGCGCTTCGAAATGGGTTTGCGCAAAGAGCGATTCATTTTCGTTTCGTAAACACTGAAATAGTACAACCACTTCGAGTGATAGTGTAGAAGTACGTTATGACCTGATCTTGGAGAGCTTGCAAGTTATAAAGCTATCCAAGCCTGTGTTTCTGTCCTCTTCTCAAGCGCTCGCATTCACATGGCGTGATCTCAATTCTCGCACTATGCGCAAAGGGAGATGTTCCAGACTGTGAATTGATTATCCATAGAGTCACAGAGGGTAGAATATTTTTTGCTGATGAAGATGGCAATGTCGATCAGTCACGTACGGCCCGTCGAGGACTCGAAAGAAGTCGTCCAATTTCGCGAGTTCGTCAGCTTGCCCTCCGAGCCTACAGATTGAAAGTATTACACAGTGCTCTCATGATGATAAGTAAATCGTTGGCTGTAGCATCCAGTTCTCTTGATAAGTACCAGTGATCCGTCTATTTCAGGGTTGACTGTGTTGTCTCACATCAGATTCTCCTGCAGAACAACAAGAGTGACAGAGTCGTTTTCATCAGAGAAAGTTTGACATTCGCTGTTAGGATTAACTTTCAGCTACAGCACACAGGTGGCTAGATCTGACAAGCCTATACGATGACTCTTGCCATGTTTTGTCGTCATATGACTGGCTTGTTTGAGAGTGCTTACAGTAAATTGTTATTCTCGTTTAGCTTTACGAGGGTGAATTCGTCGTGCGTGTTGATTTCGTCATTCATTGCCTTGTTCTGAGCTGAAGGGTAACAGTACGATGTAAGCTTCACCGGGTCATCGTAACTTATCATCTGCTTGAGTATTATTATTCCTGGAATATAGGATTGAGATAAAGTCTCGCTCAAAGTTGGAGCTGCTCTCTATATCGAAGTGTAGACTGTATGGAATCAATGGGCGGCACAGTAACCACGGTGGTTTCATTCATGCTTCCACCCCTGAAAGCATAAGTGAACGTCCAGCCCGACCCAGCTCCCGCATGCTCGCCCTGGTTGTTAACCACAACAATGCCGCTGGAGATGGCCGGGTACTTGGTCACCATCCGCCTCACAGCATCGTCAGCTGCCTCCTGGGGTGACAGGCCACGCCTCAAGCTCTCGACTGCTTGGTAGCAGGGCAAGAACCTCATCATGATGTCGCCGTCCCCTGTGGCACCACACCCGCCGACTTCGCTGTCCACATACGAGCCACTTCCGGTAATCGGTCCATCCCCTACACGACCGGGGATTTTATGCGATGCCCCATTGGTCGAAGTGCCCGCCGCCATCACCCCTGAAGAGTGAATTGCGATCATGGAGATAGTATCGTGAGAAGTAGTAACTGCATCTGGTGCAATGAGACTTGGGTAGGATGGGCTTGTAGAATTCAGAGGCACGGGCGTATATGGCCCGCAGGTTTGAGTGGCATTTGGGGTGACGTTGATTCTGTAGTTGGGTTGGCAACTTGCGGCTTTCCACTCAGCGCATCGACCTAGCGAGTCCTCCGTGCTTGTTTCTTCCTCGGTAAATCCATTTTGTACCGCGAACTGGGTCGCGAGGTCGCCTGCCAGCAGAGTATGTGACGTATACTGGATTGATATCGAAAGTCAGTCCTTCCGAAATCGCACAAATAGGGAGGGATGCTATGAATGTGTCAGACACTCACTTCAAGCACGTGGCGCGCAACGCCGATAGCGTTCTTCACACGGCGCAGAGCCGCCACTGCTCCAGACTTCATCGTCTCTCCGTCCATGATCATTGCATCGAGCGTGGTCTCGCAGTTTTCGTCTGGAGAGCCGCCATAGCCCACGCTGCCGTCACATTGATTGGCTTCACATGTCGCGCAGCCAATTTCGACAGCGTCCAGGGCTGAGGTGGCTGGATCCCGCAATGCCAGGTACGCAGCGTCTGTGGCCGCTGTGAAGACGCCACCCCAGGTGTTGATAACGAAGGGCAGTCCTGACGCTTCAGAAGCCTGGAGCGGGGACGCGAGGAGCAGTTGAAGGAGCATGTAATAGCGGCTCGCCATCTTGACCGAAGCGTGTACCAAGAGCAGCTCTGTCCCGTACAGTCAAGGGGACCCCTCAAGAATGACGGAAAAAGAATGAAGAGAGAAAACAGTACCCTGCAACGCCAGTGTTCATAGTCCCAAGCACCCCGCATATTGCTGGTCGATCCTGTCCCGGGAGGCTGGTCTTGCTGAGATTGGAAGGTTGATAAGCCGGACCCGGAGAGGGGTCGCCGGATGCACGCCCGTCCACCGCTCCACTAAACCTGGAAGTCGGAGGTCCCGTCAGTCCAGAGCGCTGACAACGGTATAAATAACCAAAGGCTAGGTTCATTCAATTTCCGATGCTTTCTACTGGCCACCTATATTTCCATTATGATTGAGTACTATGGTGCCGTCACAGCCACCACTCTTGTTGGCAGCTCTGTGAAGGTACAAGATGGATGCGTAAAATACGCCATAGACGCAGCTAGAAGTCACAGCTCTAGGGTCCGGCAAAGCACATTCATATCAATTCGCAACCTCCCTCATTTATCATTAGATTTAAGTGAGAACCTGGAGTTGCCTGCAAAAGGGTTGAATACGATTAGTATTGGATTGGCAGAAGAGCATAGGAAACAGGTGACCAATCAGCTGTATTTATTACATTCGATATTGAAATTGGAACCAGACGACTTTTCTATCTTTGTCATCTTGATATTACTCTAATATCTTATATCACTCTCTTTTTAGGCACGAACTCCTTTCTTAAATCGCACTTTCAGGTTCCGTTGGATCTCAAGAAATTTTTTATACAATTATGCCCTTCATCACAAGTAATTGTGAGGAGGTGGAGCTTCGTACACAGCATGGCTGAGACAACCTGGTCGTCCCAGTTTTCAACTTCGTATTTATTTATATCGCCGGCGTGATTGGCCAATACCAAGAGTCCGTTCACAGCACCAAACAACCAGACGTCATGCTTGGACCGTGGGAGCCATTGAGAGGCCAGGGATTGGTAGTTGGCGTAACAACACAACACGAGTCTGGCAAACATGGTAGTCATGTAATAAATGCCTTTTCCTGCGGTTTCTGCAGTCTCTTTCGTTCTCCCTATCCGCATCTGTTGATTGAGCATCAATTTGGACTAGACAACTCCCAACTCCCAAGAATACTTGCCCAATATGTCGACGACCACTTCCGTAGCCGCCTCTCCCACTTGCGCAGCAAGCCTCTACGACATTCCCGTCCAAGATGCGGCCTGTGCCATTGCGTACGGCGGTAACCACACCGACATCATGTCCAACTGTTGCAAGTCCGCGGACGTAGTCAGCTACTACGGCAACTGCGGCCTCTACTGTCTCGCCGAGGGCCAGAACGTGAAGGAGCTCACAGACTGCCTCCACGAACAGGGTGCCGGCTGGGGCGACGTCTTCTGCAGAGGCAACGAGACGGCAACAGCAACGGCCACGGGCGCGGCGCTGCCGACCAGCGCCGATGCCAGCGTCGCCGCTAGCGGTGCAGGTGGGAGCAAGACGGGCGACAAGACTAGCTCCGGCGCCAGCTCAACGTCGTCTTCCACTGGCAATGCAGCACCGCGTACATCGCCTGACTTCAACGTTAGCACACTGGGTCTGACCATCGGAGCTTTGCTCTTCTCCGCGACTGCGCTTGGTGCTTTCTCCCTGTGAGATGAATGAGGACCGTGTATGGAGATACATACGAAAGTTACCCGAAGGAATCACTGGCGGGCTCAAGGCCAAGTGCCTCGTTTGGTTTGCAGGGCTGTTAAACCTTAAACGCAAATGCCAGGCTCGATATACTGATGTTACTGAATGGGACTTATGCGAAGATGACTGGATTGCCAAACGCTACGCAGACGACTCTGTTCACACTCTGTTGGCTGCATCCCATGGCACGGAATATAGAGGGTATCAGCGGCGTGGATCGGCGTTCTGGGACTCAATAATTAGACTTGAAAACGCATGCCGTAATTCAATAGATTGGTTTCTGAAGCTACCTTCTAGGTTTGATAATCCTGCTGTTAGAGCATGCAGTCCGACTAGCATAGGTTTTGTTTATACTACCACTAGGCAGTCAAAGATGAGCCGAACAATGATCTACAAGTCGTTAACGACCCATACCCCTGAAAAGAAATCCCCCAGTGCATCTTTCCCCAGCATGAATCACATGCTCGGCATCCGTCCCGGCCTAGGTCCCCCGCGTAATACATAGTAGGCATTGATTCCCCGCATCGACCCCTGCGAGATGCATCACTAGCTGGTCGCGTTTGGCCCAACGAGATGCAACTGACCCTGGCTCACACACACATACATCGTCCATGGCAGCAAGATGATCGCTCGCACCCTGGGACAGATCGGCAAGCGAGGGCAAGTATAAGCGCCTCATTCCCGACGACGGACGTAGGAGAAATCCTCTCCATGATGGCGTGACAAACGCCTCCATACCTTCCCCTCACTAGCACCCATATCAAACCGAAGCCCTTCCCTCAATGTAAGATACTGGCTACGAGACTAGGGCGAGCAACATGATCTCAGGCGCCCAGATCCCGCGCCGGATAGCCGTAGGCGCGGCCATCACGCTCAGCCTGCTGCTGGTCTGGACCACGCGTCTCCGGCCGTTCCCGTGGGAGCGGCCGGCGCAGATGGTGTACGGCCCACCAGATCCGCCGGCGCACGTCGTGGACTACCTTGAGCAGGCGTACTCGGTCGCGGAGCCGGCGCCGGGGCACTACCAGTACACGGGGCTGCGGGAGGCGTGCGACCACGCGCCGGACGCCGACGACGACACGCCGTTCCTGAACTGCGTCGGCATGGTGGCCGGCATCACGTCCATCGTGGCGCAGGTCAAGGTGTGCCTGAAGATGGCCGTCGACACGGGCTCGCACCTGGTGCTGCCGCGCATGCCGCTGCGCAGCTCCGAGGACCTGACGGCGTTCAACTTCCTGAACGACGAGGCCTACATGGCCTACGATGAGTGGTTCGATGCCGACCACCTGCGCCGGGTCCTGGGGCGCGCGTGCCCGCGCATGCGCATCGTGCACCCCGCAGAGCTGGAAGACGGCGGCGGCGGTGGCAGCATCGAGGTCAAGCACCGGTGGTCCGTCTCGGTCGATCAGGCGCTGGGGTACCGGAAGGCGCAGAGCTACTTCTGGGCTGGCCGGCCCTTCAAGAACTGGTTCGACGAGCAGTACCTCAGGCTCCGGTTCCTGAATAATGCGAACCCGAACAAAGACCCCATAAAACGGGGCATCACGGTCGTGAACATCGATTCCGAGTTCCTCCTCTTCCGCATCACAGACGACCCTACCGGGCGAGAGCTACATCTGTGGAACGACCTATCGCACCTCGTCCGCTTCCGAGAGCAGCCACGCCAGATCGTACACAATTTGCTGCAGAAGCTCCCTCGGCCTTACTACGGGGTGCACTTCCGCGTCGAGAACGACACCATCTGGTCCTCGCTTGAGAACCAGCTGAAGGTGGACCTCGATGCCCTGGACCTAGCCTGGAACAGATTCGGGAAGCCGGGCCTGCAGAAGCCCCTGGTGTACCTAGCTTGCGGCGACCAGGTGCAGGTAGAGAAGTTCGTCGAGGCGGGGGCTGCGCGAGGATGGGAGGTGACGCACAAGTGGAAGCTGGCGAAAGACGACCCAGCGACGACCCAGATGATAAACAGCTTGGCTTTTGATTTTCAGGGGGTGGTGGATATGGGTATCATGGTCCGCGCGCAGTTCTTTTTCGGGATCACGGGCAGTGCATTTTCGTCGACGATAGCACATTTGCGCGACGTGACCGGCCGGTATAGAGGCAGTTCGTTTGATGTGTGGGACGACGAGGGTGCCGCGAGCCATCTGTTCTTTGAGGGCGACACGCAATATGCCTGCTGTTTATGAAGATGGTGGGATATGCGAAGAGTGTAAATATTAGTTTCTAATGCTTTTAGTCTAGATCTAGGGTCTCTGGGGAATATAGAACATGTTCCGACATGCTTAGCCGCCAAATGGCCACAGCTTCCTGGCAAACTGCCCGACTTTGCCGGCGAACCATCGAGGGGCTGTCACTACTGCGTGGGTTGTTCTAGTGACCAGGCTCCCGGAGCCCTTCACCACATCACCCATAGCTCCGAAGGGGTCGGACAAGCTCTTCTTGGCAGTGACAAAAACCCAGTTGATATCCCCCGTGATCTCGTTGATGGCCCAGGTCAGAGGAAACGAAGCCTTCTTGGGCGGTTGCCGCACCTCTGGCTGAGAGCCCGGGAACGAGGCCGCTCCACGTGGCTTGCCTGTGATCAGCAGGTCTTTCAGAGTCAAGTTGTGATCCTCGTGATCCCGGTTCCTGACGCTCTCCTTGGTGAGCTTGGAGCGAAGTCTATCCTTCTCTTCTGGCGGGTTCTGTTCCCACCAGTTCTTTATCGTGTCAAACATGTATTGCTGGATCGAAGTCTTGTTCTTGGGAAAGGCTGGGTGGTGCATGATTGATAAGATCTCCTCGATGACTTTCTCGGCGTCTATTTTCGGGTCGTCCCAGCATTTGACCACCTGCTGCACCGTCCAGTTGGTTGTAACGGTGGCAACCAAGCCTGCCGGCTGATTGAGGACGTTGCTGAAGTGGTCTTTCGAGAGATCAGAATGGCTCGGATCGGATGCATCCGAGTTGTCCTCATAAACAGCAGCCGAGCTTGCCTTGGCAGCCTCTTGGTCTACTCTGTCCTTGGCAGCTTTGACAGCGTTCCGCAGTTCTTTAACTGAAGACTCAATCATAACAGCTAGGAAGCGAAAGACTAGCTGGTTGGTGTAGTCGCCAAGCTGATTACTCGAGATATCCGTAGTTGACTCATCCACTTCTTCGGTCCCTTCATGGAGCCATTTCCTCATCCTATCGTGGAGATAGAAGATGGGCTCGATCGTCTGCCAGAGGAAGTTCGGGTTGGTGATGCCTTCTGCTCCTGGTCCCGATGAGTCCGAGTCCGACTCTGACAGCGATTTGCCTTCCTGGGCCTTCTTGAAGATGGCAGAAACCGTGTCAAGCTGCTGCAGGAGAGAACTGGTATCGGGAGATAATTTGTTGACCGCCTCAATACCTTTCCTGATAAGCTCGAAAAGCTGCTCGAAGGCCGGACCGCCATATCCCAGTTTCTCCTCTAGCGAGCCTAGAGTGCCCTTGGACTGCAGTATCGCCATATCATCTGCCTCGCCGAGAAGGCTATGGAAGATGTCTAGCATGCCGAATGTCCCTGTAACGATGGGTGCCACCTTCTTGCCCTTAATACCGGGCGTCTTGATACGGCACGCGTCTCCCACGAAAGGAAACACACCGTCTTCTCCAAGTTCGTGCAGGCACAGCTCCGTAAAGTTGCTGTGGGCCGAGAAGTCCTCCAGGGTGTGCAGCGCAGCACCGAGATGCCTCAGTGAGTCCTTGGCTGCGCGCGGATTCTTCTTTCGGCCTTTTCTACCAGACTCAATGCACAGCTCTAACTGCTCGTGAACATAATCTGCCGACGTTGCCCAGCCTTGACCTCTATTCGCGATGTAGTTCTTCATTCCTGTCTTTTCGTCGAACTCTAGTTCCTTGGGGTCCACGGGACCTCTCAGTCGTTCATCTACATCCTTCGCGTTGTCTGCGTAACCCTGGGGGTTGTCGATATGCTCAACATGCGTGTAGCATCCCAGGCGTTCTCTTGTGACATCAAACTCGTCCGTCGCAAAGCCAAACTCCATAAATGCCAAGACAGAGACGATGGCCCTCAGTATGGGCTCAGGGATATTTTCCAGACATGTCGTGTCGATGACCTGGGAGAAGTCGCGCAGCCAGTTGCCAAAGTAGACCTGCTTGCGCTGCAGCTGCGTGAACCGGTAGTTCGTGATGAAGGAGATGGGGAGGTACTTGAGGACCTCTGTCACATCTCCGTGCCGCCATACATAGCCCTTGAACTCGCTCGCGGGTGGCACCTCGCCGGCGCCAAACGCGGACACGGGAGCCGCGAGCACGAGAGCGATAATCAACACCACCAACAGCGACGTGTGTGCAGACATGGCGACAGTCGCGCTGAGCGTTCCGAGCAAGCAGTAGCAAGATTGTGTCTGAAGTTGCAAGAGGCTGGAAAAGGTGCAACGCGTTCCTCTTAATCCGGTTGTGAAAGCAGGTTGTGCTACTGTGCTGTGACTGACTGGCTAAAACAGCACTAGCCGAACCAAGGAAAAACCCGAGTATCGTGATTCACAACGCGATCGAGGAGGGCTGGTCACGAGAACATTTTGGGAAACGGCATAAAATCATGCCACCCCGTTTCAGATGCCGCAGGGTCGCCCGAGGTATATATTGCCCATCGCGGCCGGGCGTCTACTACACGAAAACTTCGTCGGGGGATATCCTATGACGCAAGCAACAGCTAGTTACCTATTAACGGGCCGTAGTTAGGACCCGTGGATCCGCAGACGGGCGGACGGTTTTCTCCAAGCACTTGCAGGGAAAAACCAGGGCTGAGAGACTGGGAAAAAGTGGGACCACGAGCCGAAAGTCAGCAAGCACATGCATGTGGCACAGAACCATTCGACACGGATGACACAACTCGGCTCTACTTTGCTTCTTTGTTTCCTTAGTGACAACCGCAGTATGAAGAGCCTCTTCCAATGGACATTTGCAGTCGTTAAACTACGCAAGAACTACTGCCCTGCCGTCAGTCTGTGTTGCGCACTTCATCCCACGTCTGATATTGTAATTTAGTTTGAATCTTCAACACAACACCGAGCTATACCGTTTCGGGAAATCAGTGGATAATGGAGGTTGTTTCTCATGACCAACGAGAGACCTCATGGTCCAGTCATCCTGAGATTTACATGATTGGCCGACGTGCGAACCAAGAACTATCGAGTCACAGTGTATGCTTTTGCGATCGACTTGAAGCTTACACACCTATACGCCCTCAAAAGGGCCCGTCATAGACATCGTGACAGCTCAATCCGGCCAGCCAAGACAACGGCTCGCGCGCGCGTATATACAGTCTGTAGAATCCTAGACTTCCGCAAAAAGTATGATTACATCATGAGATGTCGGGGATCAAATCACGAACGGCAGAGAATCCTCAGCAGCGGGAAAAGAATATGCCTTTCAATTGGTATCAGCTCAGTCCTACGGGCGCCACCCAGCTCGGGGTGCCAAGCCTCCTCCTCCCCTTTCCCAGAAACGCTGTTGTGAAAAAGTCAAACGCCAAGACGCCGCTGACAGTGAGATCCAGAAGAGTACGACCAGGGAGAGACTGCCCCTTCTGCCCATCAAGCTATATGCGCGATGATGACAGAAGAAGGAAAACACAAAGGGCGGAGCTATAATTCGGCGCCAAAACCTCCCCTCCCCCTTCGTAGACCGTTTCCATGAAGCCGTGATGATGACCTTCTAATCGAGAGAGTTGACCAACATGGCCAGAAGGCCGGATATCCATAAGCGAGCATGTCCAAAATCATGACCGTCCGTTCGCATCCGTTCGTCCGTATATCATTTGCACGTATACATTTCACTTGTTTGCCCCCTACTTTGTGGGCGACCTCTTTTCAGTTTTCGTATGCCACCGCATCCTCACATCACTTATGCTTTCTCCGTGTGTCCGTTGTTGAGCAGCATCTCCAGCACGATCTGTTGGCCTGCGACCTCGGGATGGGCCATGCAAATCTTGACCGTCCCCTTGGAGCCAACACCCAGCTCGGTGCCGTTGGCCTCGTGTCCATTGGACTGCTGATAGAAGCCTCCTGTAGGTCCCCTGACTCCGTAGTCAAGCACGCGGACATCTCTTCCTGCGATGATCTGCCGGAGGCGCCCGTTCTCGGCGTTGCGCACCTCGACGTAGTCCTCATTGAAGAGGAGAAGATACTGGCCATACATGGTTGCGCCCTTCGCCTTCTTCTGTTTCCCGCTATACTCCATGATCACGCTGCGACTGACGTCGCTGTGCTTGTCGATGTAGACCGCACAGTCTTCATACGCGAGGAGGAATTCTTGAGGGTTCAAGCGGAACATGCCCAGGGGCTTCTGATCCCTGATGCGGCTCGCAATGTTGGCAATAGCAGGTTGCTTGACGTCAGGGATACTCATGGGGATCTTCTTGTCTAGCGTCATGAGCTCGAACCCCTTGGCTGTCGAGATGGCGATGTACATGTTGAACAGGTTGATCGAGTAGCACTCAGTGGGAAGGTAGAAGTCGTCAAAGTCGCGGAAAGTCTCGGTTGCACCGGAGCCCTTGCCGGTTCTGAAAAGACGCGATTTCTTCTCCGTGGATTTCTGGAACACAGGTTCCAGTACCTTGAATGTGCTGTGAAGCCCTTCCTTCTTCCTGTAAAATACCAGCATACGGTCCTTCATACGGGCCGTTGCGAAGAATGATACATCCTTTGCCAGTCTCTGCGGCGAGCGACGGATGTTGTCGCTTGCTGGAGCTGGGAAGTTCGAAGGCGGCGCAATAACATCCATTGGGTAAGAGATCAAATTCCTGTCGGCCAACACCAGGACCACAGAAAACTCTTCCAGTACTGCGATCTGTGTGACCCTGCTCAATGTTGTTGTCTAATCTCTTATTAGCATGGTATATTATGCCAGTGGGAAGAAGGAATTCAACGTACCTTGGCCCAACCTCTCTGATCACTGGCTTCTGCAACGCAGACACCAGCATCAGTACCTACTGCGATCATGTTCTTTCCGTACGCGCCAAAGCCAGTAGAACAGTTGACGGGCGCCCGGGAAACTGGCGGAGGACCACGGCCAGGTCCGAAGGTCTGCTCGAGATCACGAATTGCTCGATCCAGCGGTGTGCCGCGAATATGAACGCCTCCTACGTACTTGCCGATTGCCGTGATAGAGTCGTACGCAAAGGCGCTGTCGGCAATGACGCGCAGCCGGAACGGCTCAGCATTCTGTGCGTGCAGGGCTTTCGCGTGTCTTGTTTTGGCTTCGATGATCCTGTCGCACCACTCTTGCCTGGCTTGGGCCGATGGTGCGAAGAGAGTGTAGACTTCGTGGCCTAGGTGCTTGACGCGGAACGGATACAGAATTCGGCCTTCAGAGTCGTTCACGTTGTTTGCGCCAAGTCTGACTTGTGCCGAGCCAATTGATGAGTTCGTGGCTGCGTGTTCCAAGCCAGGGCGGTCACCATTCGACACAGTCTTGTTTAATCGAGGGTCTGATCCCTTCTTCATGTCTGTGGCTGAGTTCGCTGCCCTCGTTAGGGGTGCGGCAATACCCTTTTGTTTGGAGACTGGCTCGTCCTGGCTACTTTCAAGGAACAAGAGTGGCATTGGGATAGGCTGTCTTGATTAGCATCACCGCGCTTGGCTAGGAGGAGAAAACTCACCTCTTTTGACACATCATACTTCCTATCTTGCCTGCCATCCTTAGATGTGACAAGCTTAGAGAGAATAAGGTAATGGTCAAAGAGAAGGGCATGCGTATCGACCCATCGCACACCTTTGGAGCCCATTCTTTGAAGATCGCCTTGGATAATTAACTCACGACCAAGATGGTCGAGGTTAAGGTCTGCATGGAAACCAGGACGGAGAACAAGCATCTGATCAAGTTCGATCATAACCACCTTCTTCTGCATCTCGTCGACCTTTGCGTCTGCTTCGTAGGTGACCTGCTTGATCTCCTCAATTGCCTTGAGAAGATTCACCTTCTCTTCACTTTCGACTTGCATGTGCTTCAAGCTTGTTGCAAGCAGCAGACCATATCTCTGGAGCCGCGTGATCGGGGCCTTGAGAAATGTGCTCCAATCGAGTCGACCTGATCGCTGATGGTTTCTGTTACTCTCCAAAAAGTTCCTGAACATATAGTTGCGGTCTGCCTCCTTTCGTACTAGGTAGGTAGCATAAGGATACGACGAGGCATAGTCGATGAAAGCAGTTCTTGCCTTTCGTATCCACTCTCGGAAGAGATCACTGAACCCCACGATCCAAGGACCTTGCTCCTTCTGGCGGTACTTCAGTTGCGCAAGCAGATGATCCTTGTTGACTTGCGTAATGGCATCTGCTTTTCCAAAAACGGATGAAACGAATTTCTCGAGCCTGGTTTCCGCAATGATGGAGGGCCGAGCCTTCATCAGCCCGTCCCGATACAGGAGTGTCATGACCTCCATCTGATCCATAAACTCTTCTTCACCGGTAACGACCTCGTGAAGGACATTCTGACGCTCAATTTCCTTCTTGTGCCTGCCTTCCACGTCTTCTGCCTTCAGACCGTAGTAGGTAGCCCAGTCGACTTTCTTAATGCCTCCTAGGATACCATCCAGACTGGCCTTCTTCAGCGTCCGACCACAGTGATGCGAGTAACACCTGCCGAGAACCTCATGTGTTGAAACCTCGTCATCAACCTCGTGTAGTTTTGGTCCATAACAACCCGATCCGGTAAGTTGCCAAAGCACACCAGTTATAGATCCTGGACCAAACTTGAGCCACTCTTCCTCCGGAAGAAGAATGCCGGCCTGGAGCATAAGATCAACAACCATTGAACTCAGGCCTTCGGCGTCGGCCACATTCAGTGTGGGAACTTTTATGCAGAAAAGTCGCACTAATCCATCTTCGACCGTCTTTCGCTTCAGGTCAGGCTCGCCTTCGGCCATCTCACGCAGCCAATTGGAGATACCACTGAGCGCCCATGGTTCCGTGCATATTCTCGTGTCGACGAGTGTAATCTTCTCTGGGATGAATTTTCTACGCCGACCGCTCGGCAGAGTGATGACATCGTAGTCAATGGATGATGCAGTGCCGGTGTCGTAGCCCTCATACGGCAGCCCCTGTTGTGCCGCGATTTGCTGCTGTTGACGCAACTGTTTCATGCGGTTGTTGCGGTCTTCGGCATCTGTTCGCGATCGTGCGGGCATGTGCACTTGAGGAGCAGTGCTGTGCCCGGCTAATGAGATCGATCTTTCCACCTGCAGCTGCTGAGCATTTTGCCCATAATTTGCATCTGGCCCCGTGTATGGGCCCGAGTCGGCGCTAAAGGAATATCCATGCTGATATGTACCGCGGTTGGGTGACTGCACCGAAAGCAGGGAGCTGCTGTCCGAGTTGGCATTGGCACTGGCACTCGTACTTGCAGGAATGGCGGGAAGCGGCCGATTGGAGAGACCGGGATGATAGAACATATCGGGATAGTCCTCCTTGTAGGGGGACTCACTCCCGCTTTGTCTCGAGTGTAGGGAGACGCGCTCATCACCCTCATCGAAGCTCAGACGATGTTCTCTTGGTGCTTGCAGCCCACCAGTGTCGCCATAGTCTATGTCAGCCTGTTCAAATGCTGGGTACTTGTTGCTCTCATGACTCCGTTGGGACGCGTGATTACTCCGAGGGGTTGCTAGTGGCTCTTGCTGATAATCCTCGGTTCCTGGTGGCGAAGCCAGGTTGTTATCGTATGCCAGGCTTCCGGCATAACCGCCACTGAACATGCCTATGTCCATAGCAGCGGCGTAGTCGCTGTCGCTGCTCGGTTCTTCTGCTAGGTTGGGCAAGCCTGACGGAACACCGACTTCCGGCTGGCTGAAGTAGGGGAACGAAACCCCTCCACTAAGACGGCGATCGTCCTCGTCAGCTTGCTGCATGGCCATCAAACCTGCCGCGGCTTCCGGATCGCTCTCATCGCCATTGTCATCCGGGTATGGGTACGAGTTATGGGAGTGGTTGCGGTTGAGCGTAGAGGCATTGGAGGAGTATCGGTTGACGCCAGACCCGTCATCTTGTGTATTGACTGTAGTGGCCGTTGAGCGATAACTTGAAGTCGAAGTAAGACGTCGGAGGTTCTGCAGATCATTATCCCCAACACCTCCATTTCGTTGATCGAAGGCGGCCGGTCGATGCCGGTGAGAGCCGCCGCCAGCATTAAGCTCCGCCTCGATATCTTTCATAATGTCGTCCTGGGATATATGTTCAGAAGAGACTCCATAGTTGCCATTCGATTCCCATGGATCGTCTACCAGAGGTCGACTCGGCAGTGGCGCATTCGTGGGATGCCTCTGCAGCCCTGGGGACGATGGTTGGGGTTGTATAGGAGGTGAGGGTAAGGGCGAGACTTGAGAGCTGGATCTCGAGGTTCGGTTACCGAGGAAGGCGTGCGGGTCGTTGGCTGAATAGTTGGGGCCAACTGGGATATTGGTGTACGTCGGATACGGGGCCTGAGAAGAGGCTGTCGAGTACGAAGTCGGCGGGGGGCTCGCGGTGCTCGCAGAGTATGTGCTTTGGGCCGGGTATTGCGAGTATGAGGAGTCATAGGGAGGGTTACCTGGCGAGGCCTGGTCGTATGAGGGGAACGCAGCTGGCGGCGAAGGCACCTGTGCCTGCGCTGGAGGTGACGAGTACGTTGGCTGGGATTGCCAATAGCTGGACGGGTTCATAGCCGGGGTTGGTGAGTATGTCGGGCTGGTATAGCCACCGAACGCTGAACCCGCGTAGGTCGACTGCCTCTGAGGCACAGCAGAGGCCGAGCCCGTACTCGAATAGGCGGCAGGGTTGTACGGCGCCGGCGTGTAGTTTGGCGTCGCGGCCGTTGGGCTATAGGGAACTGCGCTCTGCGCGCTGTACCGGTTCGCCGCCGGATGCGGGTGATACGGCAGCGACTGTGACTGGCCGCGCTGCACGAATGCTTGGGGGTTGTATGCGGACGGCGTTGGCGGCGTCTGCGCCGAATACTGATGCTGATATCCTGACATGGCTGCGTTCGCCGAGCCATAACTCACTCTGCCCGCTTCCGTTGGGCTCGCCAGAAATAACTCGTCGCCGGTCGGGAGGCCCCTTGTGTTGAGAGTCGGCTGATGGGTGTGTCGGTTAGCAGCCGTGTTCACAGGCGCGGAATCGTCGCCGCTGTTGAAACTCAACCTCCGGCTCGGTTGACCTGGGCTCTGGTCGTTCGCGACGGGATACTGGACGGGTGGCACATGGCCATACCGGCGCTGGTCGTCGCCTCGGAACGACATGGCTGCTTTCACGTCGGCGAAAGACGACAGGGACAAAGCCTAAGCCAGGGCAGCACAGCCGTCAGCACGCGCAGATGGGGCTTTCTTTCTTTCTTTCTTCCAGGGGTCGCCTAGCACGGACTATCGCATTGATCGGAGTCGCTGAGTTGACTCGACACGGTGGCTGGAATCAGTCCCCATTCACCCCGCCGTCAGTTCACCATGTGCCCCCACGATGGCGCCCAAGCTTCGAATGGGTCTGCGGACTTGGTCGTTTGTCACCCGCGACGCTGCCGTGCGCTCTGAATCGCCGTGCCAGCCTCGTGCCGATTGAAGGGCAGGATGTGTCGCAGACGGGCGAGGCCTCGGAACTCGACGTTGACGCAGCGCAACAGGCTGCCTGGGTACACGGGCTTTTCTCGCGTGGACGGACGACTCGTGACGCTGGCCGGTGGTAGTAGCGCAATAGGGTTCGTCGGTGAGCAGATCAGGACGCGGCCACAGCTGCAGGCAAGCCGACTCGATTAGGCTGATTAAGTGACTGGGTATAGATGATCGTAAAAATACACGTCGGTAAGGGCTGAGGAGATGCGCCGGCCCGGGTTTTCCAATGAGATCCGGTTTCTAGGGTTCTAGGGTGCGACTACAGAGCGGGCGTTCAGGCTGGTATCGCCATGCCCGTGTGCATGTACTGTGTAGGTAGGTAGGTATGTATGTATGTAAGTAAGTATGGCGCTGGAGGGGACCGTCTCTAGTGAGGTGGGTTGGATTGCAAAGTTGGGCTAAGGCTAAGCAGCGTCGGTTGGAGCATGGCCCGGTGGATTGATGGAGTGATGCAGTCAGTGATGGCGGGATGGAGGGAAGCATGGGATGGGTGATCAACGCCGCCGAAATGGATCTACCAGGGTTCACATCACAACTCAATTCATACGGCGACTCGACTCAGCTCAACACAAGGACTTTCAAGGACCGCGAGAGGGTCCGGCACTCCGGCTCGCCATCAGCATCCATGGCATCCATGGATGGATTGTGGGGATGATGGGGATGGGGATGCTCGCTCGCTCTCTTTCTGGCCTCCAGACCCTGAAGTTACATACGTAAACGTCCCTGCAGCCCAACCCAAAAGCCACTGTGACTGGGCTGTGTCCGAGCGAGCTCCAGCTGGACCTGGCAGGGAGCCCTCCCGCAAAACGGCATACCCCGATCCAATTCCATAGGGCAGACTCCGGTCTCTTCTAACTCCGGTAGGCATTGTATGTACAGTACTTGTGGCCATCTCCATGTCACACGAGCGCAAACTGTGCTGGCTGGGTGAAACTGACCTTGGCCGCCCAACATCAATGTTATGACGAATAACACGGACGCAATGGACAGAAACCCGGTACTACTCACTCACTAATTCAGGCACTTCTAGGATCCGTGGCGCTCTAGTGCAAGTAGGCTGGCAACCACAGAACATCTCTGCCGATCAGTGCTGAATACATACTACACACATACGTCAGGGAGGGCTCGTCACGGCCAAGAGGACTTGGCCCCAAAGCCTTCGCCGAATGACCACCTCTGCTAATCAGTAAGCCATCCACTTATCAGCTCATCCAAAACCCGGACCGTAGATGGGTAGACGGTAGACATTAATCCAGAAAGCGGTGGTAGTTCTCGTTATCTCGTTTTCAATCCATAGCGGCCCGCAACAGTGTCAACAACTTACCTTATGTCAGATATAGTGGAGGCCAGAAATTCAGCCGACCCTGCTGGTTTCGATGCTCTACAGTGCAAGCAGAACCTCCGAAGGCCCACAGCCCATCGAAATTTGCATACTGAATTGGTATTGAACAGTTTTGATATGGGAGCAATGTACTGAAATCTGGGAAGCGGCTGTTACAGCCGTAACTTTGTTATAGTCTAGGTACCGTGCGCCCTGGTTGAAAGGACCCGGCGAGGCTGCAGCTCGCCAGGGGACTGAAATTACCTGTGGGGAGATGCTTACTACATTTCGACTACTATGCTGATGTCCTGTTGTCTTTGTCCCAAGCCACAACATCTTGAAGAGCAGAGTGTTCCTACGATGCTCTCGTACTCGATCCTGTGCAACACGCCAGGGCTTTTGTTTGGTGGCCTGACACGACGTGGCCGAATCGGTTTGTTTGAACAGCTCCGATGCAGCTTACCGCTTACAAACTCTTTACTCCAAACCAAGGCTCCTTTGCAGGGAAGGCATGAGGCTCCAATACATAACTGGCATGGTTGCTGCAGGAGGCTGCAGACTCGTTTTGTGATTATGTAGTAGGTTAGAGTCGGCGGCTGTATGCGTGGGAGCCGATCGAGCCATGGGATCGATATACTACGACCTACTCCCGCGCCATTTGCAGAACTCAGCCCAGAGACCGCCTTAATTCTTCAGGGACTTCAGTCTCATTTCTTTGCATCGTTCTATCTGGACCCAACGTTTGGATGGAGGCATTGTGCCGCTTGGTTTCTGATTGGTCGAACTGGGTTGGCTCTCGATGGCTCCTCCGAATGAAACAATCGAATGCTTGTCACCCCGTGGTCGTTTCGACTTGGTCAATCCCTCCCCTTGGATCCCGATCTGCCCGAGATAGGTTTCAGGTTCGCCAGCTTTAGATATCGCCAATATGCCCAGCGGCATGATCTTCCTCATGTCCGAGGACTTTTGGCTTCGTCAAACACACCTCTGACTGGGCATACTCCAAGGTAGTGTGAATACTGTAGTGTCCAATCACTTACTGCCTAGCTAAAATTGACAAAAATCTCGCCAAGTCAGAATCCTATGTTACTGGTTTTGCCAATCGTAGTTATCAGACGTGCCGCGCGGCTGGTTGGCCATGCTGATGTACCAACCGACAGCTCAAGCCACGATGAGGACGCGGATATATGCTGCTCTCGCTAGGGGACGCGCCAGATCAATGACCGCAGGGCAGATTCCTGTGGCGAACAGCTTCGTGCAACTTGAGTGAGAATAAGCCATGCACGTGACACCTGGACCGTCACACACACACACACACACACACACACACAAAAGGGTCTGGTAATAGCCTCGTGAGGTACGTGGAGTGCTGCAAACCTTTCGGAGTTTTAAGGTGCACCTAGGCAAGCCAGTGTTCATGCAAGGCCGCCCGCCCTATTACCCTATTCATCACGGCCCAGCCACTCGTCCGAAAGCAGCATGAAGGCAGAAGAGTATAGAAAAGCACCATGCCTGGAAACGGCTTAGCATGTCTGCCCCCGACTATCGGGGCATCCGAAACTGGGTTGCGATGGGGGACGTGGGAATTGCAGCTGTGACCTCATTTGTAAGCGGCTGGCAGAAAATGACGGCAGCGATGACCTCTTCAGCGAGCGGGGCGGGGCAGCACAGCACCAGCACCCCACTTGCAGCGTTCGGCACCCGCTTCGTTGTCCGAGTTCTCGGCGGATGAGGGAAGGAAATACTAAGCAAAACCCCTCTTGACTGTGTCTCGCTGCTTGACGCTCCCCTTCTCGTTTCTGAATCATCGCAATCTTGCCCAGAGCAACCAATACCAGAACCCCATCAACCTAAACATCAGAAATCTACCAAAATGGTCAAGGCCGGTGAGTGCCCTTATATACACTTGACCCCAATTCTACAAGCTATTCCCCGCTTCTCCGTGGTGGAGGGTTGTATACATGAGCAGAAATGCGGCCATTTCTGGCGATGGCCAAGTGCGGCCTTATAAACAAAGGCGACCTTGATGGTCATCACTATAGTCCAGTCATCCTACAGGCCGAGTTCTGTGTACCTTGATGACATGTGGAACCCCGGTCCCTCGCAAGAGCCTCAACCCGTGCCTGCCGAACGAGTCATTGCTAACCGCCGCCTTGGTATCTAGTCGCTGTCGTCCGTGGTGACTCCAAGGTCACCGGAACCGTCACCTTCGAGCAGGCCTCCGAGTCTGACCCTACCACCATCTCATGGGACATCACCGGCAACGATGCCAACGCTGAGCGTGGCATGCACATCCACACCTTCGGTGACAACACCAACGGCTGCACCTCTGCCGGCCCCCACTGTACGTCCGCCGCGCCTGTTGTATAGATGGAAGGGAACAATAGAAAGATAACTGACTTGTCGTCTGAAGTCAACCCTCACAGCCAGACCCACGGTGCTCCCTCTGACGAGAAGCGCCACGTCGGTGACCTGGGCAACGTCAAGACTGACGGCCAGGGCAACGCCAAGGGCTCCGTCACTGACAAGCTCATCAAGCTGATCGGACCTCACAGCATCATTGGCGTAAGCATTCGGAGACGGATTTCGATACTTCCAGCGTACTAACATACTCCTAGCGAACCGTCGTCGTCCACTCCGGCACCGACGATCTCGGCAAGGGTGGCAACGAGGAGTCCCTGAAGACCGGTAACGCCGGCACCCGCCCTGCTTGCGGTATGTAGCATTTGAACGTATACACACTCGTGAAGGATCGTTACTAATCCGGTCTCAGGTGTCATTGGTATCTCCAACTAAGAGACTAGCCATTGTTGCCCGATGCGGTCCATAGGTAGAATGACCTGGAAAAGGAATATGACCATGGGTTAGCGCCAGCTGGAGCTTCAAGAAGACATAGCATTTCCCGTAGTTCGTAGCTTTGCAATTGATGTCTCAACAGCAACTCCAGATCTCATTGTGACTGTATTTGCCGTGAGGACCACCCTAGTGAATTCCCCTAGGCAACTCGGTGTGAGCTCGCAAATTCATCTATGCATTCACTGCTTGCCTCATTGTCTTCACCCCAATTGACCCCGCTCTTGCTAATGACAGCTGGAGCTCTACGTAGCTTACTCCATTTAAGTAGCCCCGTACTGTAGCAGACCTCGGGAGCATCGCTGCTTGTTCTGAGCTTGCAGAGTGGCTCTCGCCGATTGTTGACTCTCGAACTAACCGTACCCACCTATCCTGAGATCATTTTCATCAACACTTCCAAATGAGCTCAACCCAACCGGCACAATCTGCAGCAGCTCTGCGTCGAATTGCAGGACCCCTACTCCCATCTAGACCCCTCTTCGACCAGGAGCTTGCCCCGCCATTAGCCCAGGACTAGAGGCCCTTTCCGCCCCCCCTCGCTTAGCCCTGGCGATCTGTAAGTGGCCGCCTGGGCTCCAACTTGGAGCTTTCCCCACAAATGCTGAAAGTTGCCCAGGTGTCAAATTCGAGAAGGGGTAAACCGACACCGAACACACGACTCTCCCTCGACGCAGACGGATGTGTAGTGACTGTGGCCAGATTCAAGGATCCCTTCGTACTCGAGACTCGTCAATTGGCACTACCTCACAGTTGTCTTTCTCAATACCTGCTTAATCACGAGAAACAGCACTCCCGAGTAGAGTTTCACCGAGCATCCTACCTAGCTGGCCTGGGACGTTCAGTATTCCTCCTCGCGCATGTAAGTAGGATTTCCTCGACTATTAAGCTCCACGAGACACAACCTTCTGAGGAGACCCAAATGAATGGGCCACTATGCAACACAATCACCTTCCCCCAGATATGCCATGGCCGCAGCCTTCCCCATCCTACCCCCCGCGCTCCAACGACATATGTCTCTCCCGTTAGTTCGAGGGTTGTCACGTGGACGCTTCCCAAATAGCAACCACTCCAGTAGTAATATGATGGGTCACCGCTTGCATCATTGGATTTACATCTAGGGCATGCTTGCCCATGTTTGTACTTCTGGTTGTGCTTTGTTTATGAGCATTCACTTCTCCAGTACAAGCTTGGCCTCGTGGCTTCAGGGTCACTACCAACGGCCTCCAGTAGAGGCATCTCACTCTGGACAACATGTTTTTCGAGCTCTAGGATGCCTCACATGCTTGCTAAATTGGCTCAAGGCATAACCATTTACCATGTTACATTCACCTTTGATTGGCCCTTGACCATGCTTTTCCAAACTCCCTGATGCTAACTAACCTTGCTAGGGTATACACATACCAACACAACCCCTCTCCGATTACTCTTTACACTCTTGCAAAACACGCCTAGGTCAACTGTTTCGTAATGGCGGCGCCCAAGACTTTTATGGCGGTTGTCAAGTCGGTGATGAGTGGTGACACCCTCATCCTGACGTCGCCCAACAACCCAACTCTGGAGCGAACCTTCTCACTGGCTTTCGTGACAGCACCCCATCTGCGCAAGGAGGGCGATGAAGCATTCGCTTTTCAATCACGCGAGTACCTTCGTGGTCTTGTCCTTGGAAAGACGGTCAAGTGCTTAATCTCGTACACTGTTCCCGCATCAGGACGTGAGTACGGTACGGTGCAACTCCAGGACGGCACCGAGCTTCCCCTGGACGCCGTTAAGGCCGGCTGGCTCAAGGTCAGGGAGGATGCAGGCCGCAAGGAGGAGTCCGAGGATGTCTTGGCCAAGATCGAGGATCTACGGTCAGCCGAATCCCAGGCTAAGTCGGAAAGCAAGGGTCTCCACGGAACCGGCGGTTCTATCGAGGTCCAGAACGACCTGGGAACCCCCGACTTCTTCAACCAGTGGAAGGGCAAGACCGTAAATGCTGTCGTCGAAAGAGTGTTGAGCGGAGATCGCCTTCTCTGCCGACTGTTGCTGTCTGACAAGAAGCACCTGCAGGTCATGACCTTGGTTGCCGGTATCCGAACTCCGGCGACAGAGAGGACCAACACATCTACCGGCATCACTCAGGCAGCCGAGGAGTTTGGCAACGACGCAAAGGCCTATGTTGAGCAGCGACTTCTGCAACGAGATGTCAAGGTGGAAATGGTCGGTGTCAGCCCCCAGGGACAACTGGTCGGACACGTTCTGCACCCCCGTGGAAGCATCGCTGAGTTCCTGCTGGCCGACGGTCTGGCGAGATGCAATGACTTCCACTCGACCATGCTCGCAGAAAAGATGGCGCCGCTGAGAGCTGCGGAGAAGAAGGCCCAGATCGGCAAGCTCCGTCTTCACAAGAACAGCACCGCCAAGGCGACCGATGGCAGCGCTTCGGACATGATTGTCTCGAAGATCATTGCGACTGACACTCTTGTTGTGCGCACCAAGACTGGCGAGGAGAAGCAAGTCAGTCTCAGCAGCGTCCGCGCCCCACGAGCAAAGGAGCCGTCTGAGGCTCCCTTCAGAGATGAGGCCAAGGAGTTCCTCCGGAAGAAGGTCATTGGCAAGCACGTCAAGGTTACCATTGACGGCCACAAGCCGGCCAGCGATGGTTTTGAGGCTAGAGACGTTGCCACTATTACCGAAAAGGGAAAGAACATCAACCTCTTATTGGTGCAGGAAGGCTGGGCTTCAGTGATCCGCCACCGCAAGGATGATACCGACAGAGCACAGAACTACGACGAACTTCTGGCTGCTCAGGAGACTGCCAAGGAGGAGAAGAAGGGAATGTGGTCGGGCAAGGCATCGAGGGCAAAGACTTACACTGATGCCTCGGAGAGCGTGCAGCGGGCGAAGATCCAGGCCTCAGCCCTCCAGCGACAGAAGAAGGTGCCCGGAATCGTCGATTACTGCAAGGGGGGTTCCAGATTCACAGTTCTGATCCCTCGCGAAAGCATCAAGATCACACTGGTTCTTGCTGGCATTCGCGCGCCGAAGGCCCCTCGCTCGGCGCAGGAGAAGGGCGAGCCCTTTGGTCAGGAAGCTCTCGAACTTGCCAACCGACGATGCAACCAGCGCGACTGCGAGATCGACGTCTACGACGTTGACAAGATTGGTGGTTTCATCGGTGACCTCTACATCAATCGTGAGAGCTTTGGCAAGATCTTGGTCGAGGAGGGCCTGGCATCAGTCCATCAATATTCGGCAGAGAAATCTGGCAATGCCAACGAGCTCAACGCTGCTGAGAAGAAGGCCAAGGAGGGCCGCAAGGGCATGTGGCACGACTGGGACCCCTCGCAGGAGGAAGGTGCCGAAGAGGAGGCCTATGAGGAGACACCAGCCGATTCTGGCGCCCAGGACAAGAAGACCACAGAGTACCGCGATGTTGTGGTTACCAACATTGACGCGAACGGAAAGCTCAAGATCCAACAGATTGGGTCGGGCACCGCAGCCCTCGAGACCCTGATGAGCGAGTTCAAGAAGTTCCACTTGGACTCCAAGAACAACAAGCCACTGACAAACCCACCGAAGGCCGGTGACCTTGTGGCCGCCAAGTTCTCTGCCGACGGCCAATGGTACCGTGCCAAGATTAGATCCAACGACCGTGCATCCAAGATCGCTGAGGTTGTGTACGTCGACTACGGCAACTCGGAGAAGATTCCGTGGTCCAACCTGCGAGCTCTGGACCAGCCGCAGTTCAACACGCAGAGGCTCAAGCCCCAGGCCATCGATGCCGTGCTGGCCTACGTGCAGCTGCCTACCGGCAACTATTTCGAGGACGCCATCGGCCTGCTTGCCGAGGCGACCGACGGGCGGAAGCTGGTCGCCAGCTTCGACTTTGTCGATGCCAAGGAGGGGCTGAGCTACATCACGCTGTTCGAGCCCAGCGCCGGGCAGAGCTCCTTCACCGACTCGATCAACAAGGAGATCGTGGCCGAGGGCCTCGCCATGGTGCCCAAGAAGCTGAAGGCGTGGGAGAGGGGGGCGCAGAGCGCCGAGGTCCTGAAGAAGCTCCGCGTGGTCGAGGACGAGGCCAAGAAGGAACGGCGCGGCATGTGGGAGTACGGCGATATCACCGAGGACTAAAGGTGAGAGCCTCGTACCTACGGGGTATAGAGAGGGTTTGTGCAATGCAACAGCACCTCTTGAGTTTATACCGTTACCAATCACCAATCACCTTCCGCACCTGAGATCTCGACCAACTCCGATTTGATATAGCACTTCCAGCGAGGTCTAGCATGGTAGAACTTCTGCAGTAGTAACACGGAAATCAGTTTGAATTTGGCAGTTGCACCGACTTAAAGAACGTGAACTGCCTCTGTACATGTCACGGTCAACTCAAACAGGTTCCATATGCGCCAAAGGTGAGGTGCTAGAGAATAGATGTTCCAGGCTGTATAAAGTTGCCAAGCTATATTCGAACCGGAAGGGTCGGTCAGCGGCTAGGGGTTCTTATTAATGCAAATCCGATTAGAATGGAGCTGGCGGAAAGCTCGGTGATAACGGGAGTCAGATGATCCTTTGAGCATTATCACGTCAATAGCATATGCACTAGTTCCACTAGAGTTGACACATCGATCAATCGCGATGTGGTTGTGATAATAGACAAGGCTGTCAGTTAGTTGTAGTATTTCTTCAGAGCTATGAAAAGTCATCACGCCCAGTGGCCTAGTCTCTCGAGTCATGCTTGGAGCTTGGGGTCGATCAAGGCTGCATGCATGCTGCCGTAGCGGCGCATATTTTTCGAGGCAAATGCTGTCTCGCCGAGCTTGTCGTGAATCGGCGGATCAAACAGAAGAGGGAAGAGATAGAGAGAAAGAAAAAAAAAAAGTCCCTGCGTGCACTATCCGTCAAGGTAACGGGGCATGGGAAGCTGACCCTTGGCGGGACACAGCCAGGCGAAGAGAAGCTTTGAAACGCTCCAATGAGGAGCTCGGTCCGGGGTGTGGCCGCCACACGTGCAGCGAGTGGGCGGTGGGAGACGCATCTCCGTTGACGATGAGTAAGTCGCCCCTCCATTTCTCTTCTGGGTACCGCGCGTGGGTGTTAGTGGGATATTGGGAAGAAAGCGACGCCGAGGATGGTGCAATATCTCTGTTCTATTTTCAGTCGTGTCGGTTCAATTGGGACGAGATGGACAGAGACAAAGCCAGAGGGACGGAGGAGACAAGGGGGCCGCGGGGTGGATTCCCATGGAAGGCTCTCGTCGCCCAGACAATGGATGAGACCGGCGACTACTGGCTGGGTATTTGGTGGTGAGGCGAGGGATTTTCTCCATCGTGTGTCTCCCTTTTGCGGCCGGGCCGGCATCGTCGCTGTCTCTCTGCGCTGCGAGGCGAATAAGAGGCAGCTCTGACGAGGGAATAACTGGGGCGGTCGCCGCCCGCTACGGACATGTATCCGCCGCCGGGGCGCTGTGGTCCGCTGGGGCTGCTGGTTGCTGGTTGCTGGTTGCTGGTTACTGGTTACTGGTGCTGTGGACTTCGGCGTGCTGGGCTGGGTGGCAGACAGGCAGAGGTGGATGGCGGGCTTTTTGGGTGGGTAGCCCGGGTGGGATATGACGCTGCTGTTTCCACGTCTGGGCTGCCCCTCCATCCCTCCAGTGCCGCCGTCCCAAAGTCGAACAAAAAGGGACGGCCGTCCTCGTCCCCAACAAGCCCGAGTCGCCTCCTGACTTCATATCATATTCCCAAACCAAAAAAAACCATCCCCCATCTCCCCGAACTCTCTTGTTCGTTCTCTCCCAAGTCCATTGAAAGAACCATTCCACAATTGCAACCTCGCTCGTCATCATGTCGAACTCTCTGGACCAGCTCAAGGCCACCGGCACCGTAAGTCTCGCCCTCGCCACGCAACCCCTCAACGCCTCCCCGTCTGCCCCGCATCGTGACTGAGGCAGAGCTTTCCCGCGACCGCCCCGCGCTGGGAGTTCCATCTCGAGTAGAACTCTCACTCCGGGATTGGGGGATCCAATGCCTTCCCGGGTCGATGCGAATGGCCTTTTTCCCAACCTCGTCGAAGCATTGCCAGCAGCTTGCTCTACTCTAGCCTCCTTCGCTGTCCTGACACATCTCACTAACTCTCTGCTTCTTCCAGGTCGTCGTCTGCGACTCCGGTGACTTCGCTACCATTGGCAAGTACAAGCCGCAAGACGCCACCACCAACCCCTCCCTGATCCTCGCCGCCTCCAAGAAGACCGAGTACGCAAAGTTGATCGACGATGCCGTTGCCTACGCCAAGAAGAACGGCGGCAGCGTGGACGACCAGGTCGACGCCGCCCTTGACCGCCTCCTCGTCGAGTTCGGCAAGAAGATCCTCGAGATCATCCCCGGCAAGGTCTCCACTGAGGTCGACGCCCGCTTCTCCTTCGACACCAAGGCCTCGGTCGACAAGGCCCTGCACATCATTGACGTACGTCTACTAAATACCCTGTCCATTTTCATCCCAGAGTCTGAAAATCTCTTTGACTGACATGCCACCCCGTCACAGCTGTACAAGAAGGAGGGCATCTCCAAGGACCGTGTCCTGATCAAGATCGCCTCGACATGGGAGGGCATCAAGGCTGCCGAGATCCTGCAGCGCGACCACGCCATCAACTGCAACCTGACCCTCATGTTCTCCACCGTCCAGGCCATTGCTGCCGCCGAGGCCGGTGCCTTCCTCATCTCGCCCTTCGTCGGCCGTATCCTCGACTGGTACAAGGCCGCCACCAAGAAGGAGTACACCAAGGAGGAGGACCCCGGTGTCAAGTCGGTCGAGGCCATCTTCAACTACTACAAGAAGTACGGCTACAAGACCATCGTGATGGGTGCCTCTTTCCGCAACACTGGTGAGATCACCGAGCTCGCCGGCTGCGACTACCTGACCATCTCCCCCAACCTGCTCGAGGAGCTCCTCAACTCGACCGCCGACGTCCCCAAGAAGCTCGACGGCTCGAAAGCCTCGTCCCTCGACATCGAGAAGAAGTCGTACATCAAGGACGAGGCCCTCTTCCGCTTCGACTTCAACGAGGAGCAGATGGCCGTCGAGAAGCTCCGTGAGGGTATCAGCAAGTTCGCTGCCGACGCCGTCACCCTCAAGGACATCCTCAAGAAGAAGGTTGAGGCATAATTTATCCGCTCGCGGGTGTTTTATGACTGAACGAAGCAAACCAAGGAAAAAAAAGAAAATCGAAAAACCCCCCGAAAATACCAATGCATGCAACAGTCGCTGCTCGCGGAGCCTTTCCTAATCTCTCGCTAGACATACGGGGCTTAAATTGCAGGACATGAATTCACGCGGCGCTGTATATGGACCCCAGGGTTGTTCATAAGGTTTTAGATCAAAATTTTATCAAGATTGAAATGAGATGCCTCTTTCCATGTCTGCTCTGTATAAGTGACTGACTTATATGCTATTCGTCCGCACCTTTGTGGCGCAGACGCCTGCCCCACGTGGTGTCTATAAGTCAACCCGTTGACAGGTCTGCATGGCGCCTCCAATGCTCGTTAAATCTAGCCCACTTTGACACAGCGGAAGATGGCACAGGCTTTATATCATGCCCAGAGTTACTGTGGTCAAGGCTTGAGCCAGCACATGTTCGGGGTTTAGATGCCTCATTCAGAATGTACATTCTCACGCGTGGGTCACATCCCCCAAGGAAGGAAAATGATTTTTGCATATCATATCATTTCATTTCATTTCATTTCATTTCATTTCATTCCATTGCGTTGTCCCGCTATTTACAAACACCTGCGATGTGGATGATAAAACCATCCATCCATCCATAAAATCAGCAATAATAACTCCCGTCATGTATCTCTAACCTGGCCAGCTCGTGGCCTGGTATGGTGTGATGTGATGTGATGTGATGTAATGTGTAATCCGCCCAGCCTCCCAGGGGGCGGTTCTATCAAGATGCGACAAAATAAGCAAACAACAGCAACAGCAAGAAGGAGCCACATCGCAGGCACCATTACGCCGGAAACAAGAACCAACTCAGAAGACGTCCGTCACTTGGCGCCGCAGTCGCCGGCCCAGTGGTCGGTGATCCAAGCGGCGAGCAGGTCCGTGACCGTCTGGTTGCGGTAGACGGCGACGTCGTCGGTGCCGTAGTCGCCGCCGCTGAACTTGAGGGCCGTGAGGACCCAGGGCTGGACGTAGTCGACAAAGACGAGGTCGACCTTGTCGGGCTCCTCTCCCCCTTGGCCGTCCTGCTGGGCCGCCGGGAACGCGATCTCGCTCTGCACGCAGTTGGGCACGGCGTAGAAGGTGATGGGCTCGTGCTCCGTGTCGTCGCCGTCGTCGCCCAGGTCGTCCTTGGTCGTGTAGCCCCTGATGAGGTCCGGCTTCTTGCTGCCGGAGCCGTCGCCCTCGGATCCGAGCGGCTTCTGGAGGCCGTCGCCCTGGAGGTGGACCGGGGTCCGGGCCTCGGCCGCTGCTGCTGCGTTCGCGACCTGGGGCCGCTCCGCAAACGCCCACTGCTCGGGGCTGACGAGGTACCGCGTGTCGAGGGCGGAACCGGCCTCGAACGCCGAGAAGACGGGCCCGCCGCCGTTGAGCATGGCTAGGACCCTCTTGGCGGCCGAGTATGGCACGTCCTGAATGTAGTTGAACTTGCTGATGAAGGGTGACACGATGTAGGTCGAGTCGACGGTGAAGGCGCCCTTGAAGATGTCGAAGCGTATCATGCCCGTGTTGGCAATCGCCAGCCGCGGCACGTCGGCCCTGTCGTCCCTGGTGGCGATGGCCGGGAGCACCTGCTCCTCCAGCCAGGTGAAGACGCTCGCGTTGCTGGGGAACTCGGCCCGGTTCATCCACAGATCCTGAGGTGCGCAGCCGTAGGCCTGGTCCAGCTTCAGCTCCTTCCGGCCCTTGGCGATCATCTGGGTCACGTTGCGCCCATGCTCCGTGGGAAAGGTGGTCTCGTTCAGGCCCGTGTGGTGGTGCAGCCCGTACAGGTTGTTGTCGATGTAGCGCCGCTTGAAGGTAGGCGATGCGGCCGCAGCGATGGCCGTCTCCGAGTCCTTGGCTCTCTTCTTGATGCCGTCGACGGACAGCCAGCCGATGGTCTCCATGTACCGGCCGCTGGCGATGGCGTAGGCCTTGTCGTCGAACTTGCGGAAATCGCGGACGTGGGCGTGGCCGCCGAGGAAGGCGATGGGGGTGTACCAGTTCTCCTGGCGGATGACCTTCAAGAGCAGCTCGAACTCCTTCATGCGCAGGCCGACGTGGCCAGTGACGACGAAGAGGTCGGGCTTCTCACGGATGGCCTTCTGGAACCAGTCCTCCTTGATGGTGTCCTCGACCTTCTGGACGACGCTGTTGTTGGCGGCGCGGTCAAAGTCAAAGAGGAAGCCGAAGGCGACGACGGTCAGGCCCTGGTTCTTGGTCTTGAACTTGCGGTACCGGCGGGCCTGGGGGATCTGGTTGCCGGTCTGGGGCTCGATGTAGTCGAGGTTGGAGGCGAGGTAGGCGTCGCGGAAGTTGGGGACGGTGATGTCGTGCTCGCGGCGCACCGAGTCCTCGATGTAGAGCTCGTGGTTGCCGGTGCACAGGACGTCGATGGGCTGCTCGCGGACAATGTCGTAGGTGTACTTGCCCTTGGGGTCCGAGGCGTCGTACAGGCCGTTGCCCTCTATGCGGTCGCCGGTGTCGATGAGGAGCAGGTCGACGCCCTTCTCGTCGGCCTTGGCCTTCATGTGCTCGGCGAAGGAGATGTAGTCGCCCCAGTCGGCCGAGTACTGCGGCCTGTTGAAGAGTAGGCGTCACGTCAGCCAAACTTGTGTGTCTCTCGTCGAGGTGGACGAGCTAGATCTCATCCGTGCGGATATATATGCACAGGTATATATGTACAGGTGTAATTACTCACTCTTGCAGATGCCCTCCATGCCAGCCGTGGGTGTCTGTCGTGTGCAGGAAGTTGATCTGGCCCCAGTCCAGGTCCCTCATGGGCGCGGCCACGGGGGCGGCAGCTCCAGGCTGGGCTCCGTTGGCGACGGTGGCCAGGGAGGCAGCGACGAGAGCTGACTCGAGGATCATGATGGCGGTGTTTTCATTCAAAGACAGAGATGCTTAGTGGGAAAGGTTGGCAACATGATCTGGGTCCATCACCCATGTTTTGTAGGTAAGCAGGCATACAGATGTGCCCTGGAGCTCGACCAGGCTCCCAGGTCTGGGGAGAGGGGGGCGGCTGCTGCAGATGGCGTTAGGGGCTTCCAAGTTAGAGCTTGCCTAGGCGGCCCCCAGATGGCCGCCCAGGTCCAACACCCGTGACAGCTATCCATAGATTGGGGAGCTTGAGGACCACGTCAGTTGGTCAGGACGCGCTGGAGGCGCTACGGTGCCCCGTTGCGTGCTGGGTTCCTGCGTCATGGGTGCGCTGATCCCTGCAGCACGATAGGCCGATAAGCCCCGTGGACAGGGGAGCTGGCGGGCTGCGTGGGCTGGACGAACCCTTGAACCTCCTGGGACTAGCGGCTTGAAAGTCCCAGCCCGCCCTGAGCGATACCTACTTACCGGTACCCGACCTAGGTAGGTCGCATTTCTACGCTGCTGCCATAGCCTCGAATCGCACACCTCGCCGGAGGAGCTGCATCCCACCCTGGACCGCCGACGACCATCCCGGGCAGCCACATGTCTATACATGTCCGGCTCTACCGATCCAAGGTCCCTCGCGGGGTCTGCTCTGCCCTCGCGGTCGGCAGGCACGTCCCGAGACGTCCTCTGTCCTCCGTGAACGCCTACATCTCCCACGCCCCGAGCCGTCAAGACGACGCACCTCACCGCGTCGACGGGCTTGGAGTCGCCGTCAAGGACAACATAGCAGCCGCCGGCCTCCAGACGACATGCGCCTCCAACATCCTCGCCGGCCACGAGGCCCCCTTCACCGCCACCATCGTCACCCAGATGCAGCGCCTGGGCTACAGCGTCACCGGCAAGACCAACATGGACGAGTTCGGCATGGGCACCCACTCGACGTCCTCTGCCTACGGCCCCGTGTCCAACGCCGAGCCCATTCCTGACCGCTCGGCCGGCGGGAGCTCCGGAGGCAGCGCCGCCGCCGTCGTCACGAGGAGCGCCCACGTCGCTCTGGGCACCGACACGGGCGGCTCGGTGCGCATGCCCGCCGCCTACACCGGCACCTACGGCTTCAAGCCCTCCTATGGCATGATCTCGAGATGGGGCGTCGTCCCCTACGCCAACTCGCTGGACACGGTCGGCATCATAGCCCCCTCGGTCCCCATCATCGAGCACGTCATCCACAGCATCCGCGAGGAACACGACCCGCAGGATCCCACCTCGTTGCCGGCCTCGGCCCGCGCGAGGATTGCCAAGGAGAGGACGAGCTTTGTTCCAAGCCAGAGGGATATGCCATTGCGTGGCTTTACTTTTGGGTTGCCCCTCGAGTACAACATTGAAGAGCTGGACCCGAGGGTCAGGGAGGGCTGGTCACAGGCCGTCGACAAGATCCAGGACATGGGCGGTCGAATCGTCCCTGTGTCGCTGCCGTCGACCAAGAACGCGCTTTCTGCATACTATGTCATTGCCCCTGCTGAGGCCGCGTCTAACCTGTCCAAGTACGACGGCATCCGCTATGGAGAGCGGGCCGAGGATGCCTCGAGCGACGCCATGGACGGCGTCTTATACGCTAAAACGAGAGGGGCCGGCTTTGGTGCTGAGGTCAAGAGACGCATTCTGCTGGGATCCTATACCCTGAGCTCCAAGGCGATCGACAACTACTTCATCCAGGCCCAGAAGGTCCGGCAACTGGTACGGATGGACTTTGACCGCGTTTTCAAGCTGTCCAACCCCCTGCGGGATGAGTCGTCCTTTGACTTGAGCGAGATGGACGAGACCATTGTGCTAGAGAACAAGCTCGGCCCGAGCCAGGTCGACTTTCTCGTCTGCCCGACGGCACCGACGCCGCCGCCGAAACTCGAGGACGTTGCGAGACAGACGCCCCTCGATTCTTATATGAACGACGTTTTCACCGTCCCGGCCAGTCTGGCGGGGCTCCCCGCCATCAGCATGCCCATGGATATCCCGTCCGATGCAAACAGCGCCGAGGAGAGGCATCTTGACTTTGGGGGCTTGCAGCTAATCGGACAGTATTGGGATGACTTGCGCCTGCTCGGCGTGGCCAAGGAGCTCGCCGCAAAGGTGTCCGCGAAGGCAGGATCTAACCAGGTCTGAGTGATATATATGTACCAATAGTATTGTAGGACTTCGGGGAACTGGGTATCATAGAAGAAGGAAGAAGGAAGCTGTACATCTAAAAGCAATTAACCAAGCGACAATGTCTCCATTACTTTCGCAGTAAGATCAACGGGAACCGCCCCGCCGGTCTGACGAACCGCTTCGCGACCTAGACCGTGACCGTGAACTTGTACGCGACCTGCGACGACTCCTGTGGTCGTCGTCCCTATCATCAACATCCATCTGGTCGTCCCTGTCGCGGCTGTACGAGCGCCTCCTCGAGCGCTCGCTCTCCCGGCTCCTCGACCTCCGCCGGCTCCCAGTCTCCTCCACCACTTCCCCATCATCGCTGCCTTCCTCCTCACCACCTCCATTGACGGCTTCGTTATTCTCCTCGGCCTCCATCTCCTCGAGGAGGTCCTCAATGTCCCCCAGCGGGCTGACGCGGGGCTCCAGCTTGTCCAGGTCCTCGAGCAGCTCGCGCTTGGTCAGCTGCCACAGGCTGGTGCCGCAGACGCGGTCCTTGGTCAGCAGGTCGTCGACAAAGTCGTCGACGTAGGTGAGGGCGGTGCCCGCCATGCCCTTGCGGCGCAGCTTGCGGCGGTCCTCGAGGAAGGGCTCGAGCACGCGGTAGACGTCCTCGGAGCGGCGCGTGAGGCGGACGTAGAAGCAGGCGAGGGCGCGCAGGTACTTGAACCTCTCCCCGCCGTACCCCAGGTACTCGGCCAGCACGTCGTCCCCCGGCGCCAGCTGCAGCAGCTTGAACAGCAGGCACAGGAACGGCGTCGGCTTGCTCCCCGCGGACCCGTACGTCCCGCCCACGAACGACACGTGCGCCACCACGCGGTCCACCACGTCGGCCTCGTTGACCCCGAAGCACTGGTCCTTGTAGAAGTAGCTGTCGATGATGCGCTCGATGACGGGCTTCTCCAGCAGCGTCGCCGGGTTCTGCCCGTTGGGGCACAGGGCCACGCGCGAGGACCCGCGCTCGTCGAGGAAGGCGCGCTCGTCGGCGCGGTGCGTCATGTCTTCGTCTTCTTCCTCGTTTTTGTTGTTCTTTTGGTTCCGTCTGATGTGTTTCCCTCCGCGATTCCTTTACCCAGAGGTCGACCCTGACTTTGTAGTCCTGCCGATTCTAATCCACCCTTCTGGGCGTACTTCCGAGCTCTATCGTAGGTCGTCTGTGTCTTTGGCGCTTCCGGCGTGATGAATGCCGGGTTTCAGATCCGCCTTGGAGGTGCAATCGGGTAAACGATGTGTGCTACCGTTCCGTGCCGGGGCCGAGGGGCGTCTCAGTGTGTGCTCGTGGCGAGGGGGGTCGTGAAGCGGATTATTGCTCTGCTGCTGGAAGCCTGGGGGCCAACTCTAGAAGTTTTGTAGGAGCTCTCCCAGCTATCGATAGCGCGCGCGGCTGCTGCAAGGGCGGGGCCTGACCGCTGGGGGTCTTAGCGCCCGGCGCCGGGGCGGGTTCGGCTTTGGCTCTGACTGCCGCCCCGGACTTTCAGCCGAAAAAACGGAAGCCGGTGGCCGGTGGCCGGTGTACGCATATGCACACACAATCATGTGGATCAGTGGGGTTGGAAAACGTTGGTCGTAGATTCGAGGGCACCTTCCCGTGATACTGGGGATGCAAGCTGGTACAAAGATTTCGACAGTTATTTCAGTCTTCCCAAGAGACTGGTCAACTTATAACTATACCATTAGGGTTACTAACGACGGCTAGATCCAGCACCGGGATCAAGCACTCGGCATCAAGGCTACAACAATAGAGGCACAGGGTGTTTTACAAGCTGAAATGTCATTGGCTGTTATTCAGAATGTCCCAAAATCTCTCCAGTTGCAATCCTTGAGACTCAACTGCGGAGGTGCTAATCACAAGACGGAGTATACATCTGAGCACAAAACCCAAGGGGCAGTCGACAAGCTGGCCTCACACCCCCTTTTAAGATTCCAAGGACAGAACAAATTGCCACACCAGTTCAGTTCATCCCTAACGCCAGAAACACCGTAACCCTTTCCCAGAGAAAACACGTCCAGATCAGAGCCGATCGTTATGCAAGTAAAACAACGGGTGGGGGAGAATCCCAGGCAATACCACAATCATTGTAGTTGATCCAACAACCTCTTGCGCCGCCTGTCCATGAGCTCCTCTTGGACCTCCTCCAGCGAAGGCAAGTCCCACCCTTTCCCATCGCCGCTGTCCCCCGGCAGAGGTTCCCAGCCCTTGGGGGTGTCGCCCTTTCCGCCCTGCCGCATCAGGGCCTCGAGGGCCTCCTTCTCCTTCTCCCTCTCGTACTCCAGCAGGAACTCGTCCTCCTCGTCGGGGGCGTAGCCGTAGTACTTTGCGTCGACGGCCTTGCGCAGGTCGTCGCGGCTCTCGAGCGGCTTCTCGGGCTTGTCCTTCTGCTTGGCGGCCTCGAACAGCTCCTTGACGCCGGGCAGCTCGCGCGCGCGGCCAAAGTACTTGTAGCCCTTGCCGCCGCCGGGGATCTCCTTGCCGCTCTCGTCGTAGACCTTGCCGCCGCCGCGCATGTAGTTGGGCCCGCCCAGGTTCCGGATCTGCACCTCCCACATGTGCTTCTCGCGCATGAGCTTGTTGATCTCGTCGTTGAGGTCGCGGATCTGGTAGTCGCTGAGGGCGGGCTCCTGGATGCGCGACACCTTGCGGCTGATCTCCTTGAGCGTCTGGCCCCGCCACTTCTCGCACACGGGTATCGACTCGACCTCGGTGATGATCTTGGGCCGCCGCGAGCGCCCGGCGTCGATGATGCCCAGGTCGGCCGCTTGCGCCTCGCGGAAGCGGAAGAGCATGGACTGCGCCTTCTCGCTGTTTCGCGCCTGGGACGGAGGGTCAGTGGTGTGTGTGTGCTTGTGCTTGTGCTACCGGCAGCTTCGCCGGGCGCCGGACTGGACCTACCATGTTGAAGATGAAGCCGCGGAGGGGCGGACTGCTGGCAAGATCAGGCTTGAGGACGGCGGGTGCCGTGTGTTTCGACTCGACTGGGCGAGATTGGTGTTTGCTTGTCGACGGGGCCGAACAGTCGATCGGAGGGGAGAGTTTGCGATGCAGTTCGAGGACTCCATTCAGCCTTTCCTCCCTCCCCCCGTCCCAGCCCTCTGAGCCCAGAGCTTTTGGCGGTGGGGCACCCGGTGGCTTGCAGCGGAATGCGCCGCCAATCACAGAGCGGGTCGCGCTCGCTGAAGAAACCTTAGCAGCACGCGTAACTTGACTGGAGCTCAACCATCCTTCCCAAGGCAAGACCTCCCTCTCTCAGTATCAAGATATAATCATTTCCAGCTTCCAACTTGCTTCACTACCGCGCCGACAGTCATGATCACTCTTTGGTCGTCAGATCTGTTTTTGGTTCGGTCCACCATCCGATCCGCCTGCTCGGAGTAAACCATTCCCTATCACGCGGCATTTCAAACCACGCCTGGATGTCAGCAACTGCTTCAGTTCAGGACGCAGCTTTGGCTGCGAGGCAGGCTAGACCACAAGTATGGCCTGGGGTAGGTCTCGAGACGAATGGCCTCAGTAGCCACTCAAGACTCATGTTCTTCTTCTGCCGTCCTTTCTTCTTATTCTATCTCTATTTTCCCCTTTCTTTTTATTGAGATCATGTATGCATTGTGTCCATCCAACACAGCTTCCATCCATGATAATCCATGATCCACGTCGGCTGCGATGATGAGATCTCGCACTATGAGACATCAACTTGGAGCCTGTGACCTCTGGTCTATGGCAAATGACAGTCACCAAAGAACAGAGATCTGAGCATGCCCAACCGTCTTCTCATACAGACAACACAGCACCGCAACCTCTCCTCTTCACCTTTCCATCTAGGATCCAGCATCTGGCTTAGGTGCCGTCTGCCAACTATGACGACAAACATCGCACTCCCGAGGACGGCTTTCACCGGCAGTCCGCTGAGGGCTTTATTATAGTTTTCAATCGGAGTTGGTGGTGATGCTTGGAACCTCTTTGGTCGAGTTGGCCTGGAGAGTTTCGGTTCCGTCTGTCTGCGCGAGAAGACACACGTTTTTCTTCTTGTCCAACAAAACAAATTATACAAGATACCCGGTGATGACTGAAGTCCAAATAAGCCAAATTTGCATGCAGCCGCCCGCGGTGACGCGAGGAAGGTTGCCAATGAGAACCAGAAGAGCTAATCTGAGGGTATACTTCAATTGTTTCTACAACGATGATCATGGGAGACCACGGGTCTTCAGCTGGCTCCTAGAAGAGAATAAAAGGGTGACGGGTGGGCTAGTGTCCGCCTCACAGCCTACGGTATAGCGATGATCAAGCGACATCTACGTGTCCATCAGTCTTTGAGCTGACTCCTACCATGTCGGCAATGAACGAGCTCATTTTTCTTGATCATCCTTGGGTTGTTACTCCTCTATCTCCCATTTAACCCACCTGGATCATGTTCATCGTTATCTTATGCTTGCATTCATCAATAGAGCCCCCGTTGGTCGTGATCCTGGATCTCAACAATATCGAGGTGACTGACGTTCGCTATGTGCCCTCGCATCACGTCTCGGAGTCATACAAGCGGTATCTGCAAGACACAGCCGAGCGGTCACTCTGAGCGGGCAGTCCATGGAATGCAGCAAGCTTGACATCATCCTGATGATCCGAGGCTGCCATCGCGGCCATCCACATTGACGGGATCGTGCCACAATGCTTCCTAGGGATTCCCCAAACGGTGAGGGTACCTAGAGATATAAACTTGACTAAACAAGCCGCTGCTGGAGTCTGCAGTGAGTCGGGACCAGAGGACATACAGAATGCCCAGTCCCTTCCGTGCCAAAGTTCTATCATCTTGAAGGCTTTAGTTTTGCCATCTGCCACGACACAGCAGTGTACATCATGTAAGTTCTGCGACGGCTGTCATTAGCTCGTCAAGCGAGGATGGTTTGGTTCTTCCCAGTTTTGATATACCCGCTTTTACACTATCTTCTCTTAGCTTCCATTGTCTTTCTGCATTTCCAGATCGAAAGTTGAGGATGTGAATATACAAATAGTGAGGCATCGAAGTCCTAGCTAAAAAGCAGTGGATTGAAGTAACAAAGTAAAACCTAAGTGGAGGTAGACCTCATCTCCCAATCATAACAACTATCTACTTTAATATACCAACAGTGAATGCCGCTTGTCTTGTGAGTATTACACACTATTCTCAGATGAGATTATCATCTCTCCCTTGCGTGCAATCTGACTCAGACAGTTGAACTCTAAAAGTATGCCACATGAGAGTCCTTGCTCGATTCCTTGGCACTGGTGCCGAATACCCGTCTTTACATCTTGGCAGTGGATTACTTGGGCAGAATGTTGAGAGCTCGGGGGCGAAACATGGTGGGAATTGGTTTCGAAGATTAGAAAGGCCGTTGCGACTTGAGTATTCAGGAAAACAGCCCCAGCAACATATCGAGCAGCGACAGCGGGGTCCTGTCTTACTCACGGCCGACTCGAGTTATTGCACAGCGGTCTTTTTGCTACGATAGCCCACCATCAGGCACAATCTGCAGTTCCGACCAGCGGCTCTGCCGTGGAGCCTTGAGATTTGCCCAGAGTATGCCCAGCATGCCAAGGACGACGGCGCATCCACTATCCCGTCATTGTCACGCCCCGATACTCGTCCACCACTGTGGGGCTCCGGGGATATCCCAAAACGGTTTTCGGGATGTATTGCTTCCAAGATAATCTAGAAACACTTCGGTCGAACAGGTGATATAGATGCACTCATAATTGTCTATGTTCGAATAACATCTCGCATTACTAAAAAGAAGTATATGTCGAAATAAATGATACATTACACTCGGCCAACGATGTGCGATCAACGCCACAAGTATCATCCAACGAGTGAAACCCTGCTGATAGGGCGCAACAGATGCGGTAGCACCCATGTCATACGGAACTATAAGAAACTAGGATGTATATGCCAAGGCCGTTCAATCGTGACGGCGGGCACAGGTTGTAGTTATCGGCCTGGGCAGATCTATCGGTCAGACTTGGCTTGCTCCTTGCCACTGTTGACTGCCGTGGACCTTATAAAACGATGACACTCCGCTGCCATTCTAGCCCAGGCCGATCGAGGAAGCACACTCAAAGATTTTCTCATCAATATCTCTTCCGAGTGAATTGTTATACATTCCCCTTCGGAAACTTACCACGCCAAGACCGTGAATTCTCGCAGCCAACCAGACTTGTCCTGGAATGTCGAAGAAGAAAAGCTCAACCGGCGTCCCTGAGGGCCATGTGTCCGGACAGTCCAATAAGCCTCTTTCGAGGCCAGCTCATGCACTGACCGTGGATCAGTGTGCTCATGAGCTGGAAGCCGATCAGAACAATGGTCTGTCTGCCGCTGTTGCTAAAGAACGTCTGGATCAATGGGGCCCCAACGACTTGGGTGACTCTGAAGGCGTTTCTGCTTGGAAGATTGTCGTAGCTCAAGTGGCCAACGCCATGACATTGGTTGGTTCTTCAGAAATACACAGCAATGGATCAACGCTGATCTGCTTCTAGGTCCTTATTCTCGCTATGGCAGTCAGCTTTGGAATCAAATCGTGGATCGAAGGCGGTGTCGTAGCCCTCGTCATCCTGCTGAACATCACTGTTGGTTTCTTTCAGGAGTATTCTGCCGAGAAAACCATGGACTCCCTGCGTTCCTTGAGCTCTCCGACCGCGAGCGTCATTCGCGATGGAGACGCGGTGGTCATACCCAGTGGAGAACTCGTCATTGGAGATATCGTCGAGCTCAAGACCGGCGACACCATTCCCGCTGATATCAGGTGCCTGTGTCCCACTTCTTACAATTCTGCCGAAACTTTGCTAATCGATCAAGGGTATTTGAGGATGTCAACTTCGAAACCGATGAGGCTCTCCTGACGGGAGAGTCTCTGCCTGTGCGGAAGAACGCGAAGGCGACGTTTGATGACGCCACCGGACCAGGAGACCGGCTCAACGTAGGCTACAGCTCTTCTACGGTTACGAAGGGTCGCGCCAAGGGCATCGTTTTCGCTACCGGTGTTTGCACCGAGGTTGGAGCCATCGCCGTCGCCTTGCGCGACAAGGACTCCAAGGTCCGGCCGGTGAAGCGCAAGCCCGATGGCTCTGCCAAACCCCACCGATACCTCGAGGCCTACACGCTGACCATGACGGACGCCATCGGCAAGTTTCTCGGGGTCAACGTTGGCACTCCACTGCAGAGGAAGCTCTCGAAGCTGGCTCTCTTGCTCTTTGGAATTGCTGTGGTCTGTGCCATTATCGTTCTTGCGGCCAACCGTTTCATGCCTGAACAGGAGGTAATCATTTATGCAGTTGCCACCGGCTTGTCCATGATACCTGCGTCGCTTGTCGTTGTCCTTACTATCACGATGGCCGCAGGCACGAAGCGAATGGTCCAACGTGGCGTTATCGTCCGGAATCTCAAATCGCTGGAGGCGCTTGGCGCCGTGACAGACATCTGCTCGGATAAGACAGGGACTCTTACTCAAGGCAAGATGGTGGCGAAGAAAGCCTGGATCCCGGCCCTAGGGACATATACTGTCGACACTTCATCCAAACCCTTCGACCCCACCGCCGGCAAGATTCTATTTACAGATCGTCAACCTCACCAGGTGGCCCGCAAGGAGGATGGGACCGAGACTAATGGATCAGTTCTCGAGCCAGAAACGCTGCTCTCCAGCGGCAAAAGCGCCCTGGTTGAATATCTCCGCATCGCCTCCCTCGCCAACCTCGCGACAGTCCAGCAAAAGGATGGCGAATGGCATGCCCGGGGAGATCCTACGGAGATTGCCATCCAAGTGTTGGCGGCGCGCTTTGATTGGAACCGGCTCAAATTCGTCAGTGGACAGCAGCCCGAGTGGACACAGGTTGCCGAGCTGCCCTTCGACTCCGATGTCAAGCGGATGTCAGTCATCTTCAAGGAAGAGTCAAGTGGCGATCTGTTTGCATTCACCAAAGGTGCCGTGGAGAGAATGATTGGAGCCTGCACATCCTACTGTCCTTCTGACGATGGAGAGACCGCTGAAATGACATCCGAATTTCGCGAGACTATACTGAAGAACACCGAAAGCCTCGCTGGCATGGGGTTGAGAGTCCTTGCCTTGGCAAGCAGGAAGCTGGACGCTGAGTTCGCGACCACCGGCGACATCGACCGGGCCTCTGTGGAGCACGATCTGGTCTTCCGTGGCCTCGTTGGGCTGTACGATCCGCCGCGGCCTGAGTCGAAGCCGGCGGTGAGAAGCTGCCACGAAGCCGGCATCGCCGTGCATATGCTGACCGGCGACCACCCCGAGACCGCAAGGGCCATCGCCGTCGAGGTCGGGATTCTGCCTAGTCGCATGAGCCGCGTACGGCACGATATTGCTCAGTCGATGGTCATGACTGCGAGCGAGTTTGATGCCCTGACGGACGACCAAGTTGATCAGCTCCCCGTGCTGCCTTTAGTCATTGCTCGCTGTGCGCCAAACACCAAAGTTCGGATGATTGAGGCTCTCCACCGACGCAACAAATTCTGTGCGATGGTATGTTCCCATCTCCCCTGTCCTTACCCCTTGCGTGGTAATTGTTTCCAACTGCACACGACTCCATAGAGCATCGAGATGCTAACTTATCGACAGACCGGTGACGGCGTTAATGATTCCCCTTCACTTCGGCGCGCAGATGTGGGCATTGCAATGGGACAAGCCGGTAGTGACGTCGCCAAGGAAGCTTCAGACGTGGTACTGGCGGACGACAACTTCGCAAGCATTGTGGCTGCTATCGAGGAAGGCCGCCGTATCTTTGACAACATTCAGAAGTTTGTACTTCATGTGCTTGCCGAAAACATCGCGCAAGCAGGCACTCTTCTGATCGGTCTTGTTTTCCGGGATGCCAGTCAGCTTTCCGTCTTTCCGCTCGCCCCCGTCGAAATTGTCTGGATTATTATGATTACCAGCGGCATGCCAGATATGGGTCTCGGCTTTGAACGCGCAGTTCCTGATGTTATGACTCGGCCGCCGCAGAGTTTGAAGACCGGGATATTCGACGCCGAATTTCTCGTCGACATGGTTGTCTACGGTCTCTGGATTGCCGCACTGTGCCTGGCATCCTTCAGCCTTGTCGTCTTTGGCTTCGGCGGAGGAAACCTTGGTCACAACTGCAATGACTCCTATAGCGAGTCCTGCGACACGGTATTCAGGGCTCGTGCTACCACTTTCGCATGCCTCACGTGGTTCGCGCTCTTCTTGGCATGGGAAATGATAGACCGACGACGATCTTTCTTTCGGATGCAGCCTGACTCGAAGCGATACCTGACACAATGGATGGTTGACATTTGGGCGAACAAGTTCCTCTTCTGGGCTGTCATATTTGGATTTGTGACCCTGTTTCCAGTTGTGTACATTCCGGTTATCAACACGGCTGTGTTCAAGCACTCTGGTATTACGTGGGAATGGGGAATCGTCTTCGTAAGTGCCGCCCTGTTCATAGGCGGAGTCGAGGCTTGGAAATGGGCAAAGCGCGTCTTCTTCCGTCACAGCCGGCGCAGCGACCGGATTGCCAGTTGGAAAGACATGGACGTGGAGGAACGCACGTTCGCTGAGTTCTTCACCGACACCGGGGGAGACTCCACTGGACAAGCACTTCGCGAGAAGGCACCAATCCAGCCAGTAGATTAACGATGGAGGGGCGGGAAGCCCCGTGTCGATGTCGAGTTGGCAGGTAGGTGGCGGTGGTGGTGAAAAGCGGTTGATGGGAGCCGAGAGTCGAGAGCGGATCAACCAGACACTCATTTCAAGGTAAAAGTCAAAGGGGACGTCGAGATTTCATTATGTGAGTCCAAGTTCAACACTGCATATATGAGGAAGTCTTCATATGCGAAGAGCCTACCTCAACGAAGGTTACAATTGCAAAAAGGTTCATTTCAAGGAGCCAGGTGAGAGGCCAGAGGGAGCGAAGGAAGGTTGGGAAGATGCGAATATCAGTCTTAAAATTCGGTTACACTCGTTTGTAGTTGCGACATTTCTGTTGCCTATTTGAACATATTTTTCATAGCTTATAGAAGGTATACAATTTTCTTCAGAATGAACACTAATCCAAAATAAACTTTCAGCGTGAGTTACTACCAATTATGTGGGTATGGATGATGCTATACAGCCGTGGGCCTGTGAGTCCACATATGTTTGGCAGGACTCACGCGATGCCTATTTCGATACTCGCATGCAGGGGCAGTAAGCTCAATCAGTTCTCCAAAATGTCCATACGACGGCCGCATAGGCAGCAGAAAACAGCGTCGTAGTAGCCGCAGCATATCTAATTTGTGAAACAATCAACACGGGATACAAAGGCAGACCTGTGCCATCGCCGCAGCTACCAAGCGCTTTAGAATGGGTACGGAGGCCGAGCTCTCTACCTTCAAGTCACCACACGATGTGGTTGTCGAAACCGAGCGGCTGCGGCTGCGGCCGGTATATCCCCTCACAGATCTCTATGTGTTCCACAGAATGCGCCGCAACCCAAGATCAATGCAGTACATGTAGCTTCCCCCCAATGTCTTCTTCAATATCATGACTCCTCGCGTTGAATAAAGCTAATAAGCATAGGACCACCGGGGCCGAGACGGAGGAAGACCCCTTCAAAAGTGTCAGCTTCGACCGCATGCGGACTATGACGTCCCCTGGAAGTTTCTCTTTCGCCATCGAGCTCAAGTCGAACAGCACCGATGAGCCTGACGCTACGATAGGTGTGATGGGTCTCTTCCGGCCTCCCGGCTGTGGGTACCTGCTGGATGAGCCGTACTGGGGAAGAGGGTACGCTACCGAGGCCTTGTCGGCGTTCGTCAAGACGTACTGGGAGTATTTCCCTGAGGGAGCCCCTGGCATTCGGCCTGAAGACCGAAACATCATCATCGCTGGAGTTTATGAAGGCAACGTCGCCAGCGAGAAAGTGCTGAAGAAAGCTGGGTTTCGGGAGATAAGAAAGGAGCCAGTAGAAACGCCTTCCGGTCCTTCTCGGGAAACCGTCTTCATGATCGAGCGACCAAACAAGGTACTTCTGCCGGATGAGGTCTCTGGGAATGTGATATAGGTTATCAGCCGGATGTGAAATGAAACATTTACAGTCTACGTATTGGGGTCTTTCCTATGGGGAATAGATACTGTCACCTCGAAGGGATTGTACATTTGTTTCAAGCTCTCCCTCTCTCTAGCGTGTTCAATCGCTCAGCTTCCTAATATCGCCAAGATATTTTGTATATCTTCTAGGCTGGCCGTTGGGATCCTTTGTCTCTCGAACGGGGGCCCACTACTAGTGCCAGCATTCGCCCTACGGAATGCCGTCACAAGAACGTATATCCTCAAATCAGCAGCACGCTCTGAGTCTAACTCGGCCTCGGTCTCCGGCTCTTGGTCCCAACAGCACACACGAGCGTATTCTCCCGGGTTTTCCAGCCCCGGGCTCAGACCTACCGTTGCACGCACCGCCTGAACCGGCGACGGTGCCCCCGGCGGCGCGCTGCATACCTTCCGCAGCGGCGACCTCGCATGGGGAAAATGCCGTTTGTGCGCGTGCTCGCACACCGCGGAACACACAAACGGCCGGGTGATATCGTTCTCGCCATACTCAACATTCCTGTCGTCCACCCTAATGGCCGCTATCTCTTTGGTCTCGCCGCTTGTACCTACCGCTATCTTACCATAATGAACACAGAACTGGTTCTCTCGCCTTATCGACTCGTCTGTCGGCGTCTCTGGTGCGGTAACGAAGGTGCCTCTGCACTGGCGGCACAAATAATAGATCTGGTAGTTCGTATGCATGTTGGGTACCTGCCTTGTTGATCCTTTTGTTTTCTTCCTTCTCCCTTTATGTGTGTGTGTATGTGTGCAGGCGTTCCCCGGATGATTGGGGGCTGTGCTTGTTACCTTGCGGGAATATGGCAAACGAGGATGATCCGCGTCTGATTGTCTTCAACCTCAAGACGCCGTGTACCTTGATGCGCGTGGCTGCCACGTTGTGCCTTGAAATACCTCGGCGATTGGACTTCGAAACAACGGGACGGAACAATACACTTGTTCAGGGGAAAACAAGACTTTTAATACGCGTGAGATGACGGCTTGTCGGATCGAGTCAAAGCCCCTTTGTTCATTTTTAACCATACTTGGGATGCTAGACGCCTTGTGGTCTCCTAGTTAAGAAGGCTCAAGGGCGCATTCCCTATGCTGTGGTAAGCGGAGTTGCTATAATATTCCGTTCTTGTGCCATAGCTTAGGGGAACTATTGTTCTTCGTTTTTTTCTTCTTACATCTAATTGAGTTTGTGCCTGGATTCAGTCAAAAGATGCAATACCATAGAAATTTATGTGCAAGTGTACACGCAGTTGGATATGGATTGATCGGACTAAGCTAGAAAACTATAGCTCCCATTCGATCTTGGAGTGATGGGACTACAGCTAGCAGTATAGGAACAACCAAAGATCCATCGCCTGCCAGTAATGCGAGGGACCTTGTAGATTCGTGTCATATCCAAGGCACAAAGGCGTCTCTGGTACTCTAATAACAATATGGGTATCACAATAAACGTCCCAAAACCATATCACCTACTGGAACGAGAAGTACGCCACTTAGCCTCATCCTCCTAACAGACTAAGTCATTGTCGCGTCCACCCCATCAATAGTCCATTCCCGCAGCAATGCCATGCCCTCAAACTGATCAGCTAGGTGTTCTACAGTCGCGGCCTCCGGATCGGTCTGGGCCAAATCGAGGTCTCCCATGAATGTGGCGCGAACTGCGCCCTGCACGTGGTTCAGGCCGCGCTCGTTCAGCTCTCCCAGAAGACGCCTTGCATCGAGGCTTGTCATGTCTCGATCGCGTAGTATCATGCTGAGCAAGCCCATCCCGATAGCTGCCGAGACTCGGAACGGTCGGCGGAGGCTTTCGTACCCGTAAATGCAGAGGAGGAAGTACAGGCGCCAGGCCGGATCGTCAGCATCCTGCAGCACCGCGTTGGCCACGTAGGTCAGGGCCGTGTGCCAGAGGAACGTATAAGTCGACGATTCATAGTGGGACCGGAAGTGGACGATGAGGTGCTTGAGCTGGTTCACTGATGCTTTGCACGCGGCGGCCGGTGTACTGAGATCAGCGGAAAAAGTCCTCAGCCGCACGTGTTCAAACTTCTGCCTGATGATGAAGGGGCGCAGGATGTCTAGGATTGACGCATGGAGCCAGATACTACACCCGTCAGTCTCTTCTTGGCGCGTAGCGCTATCAACATGAGCTCAACGCGGCGAAATACGTACTGGAAGACCACAACGTGATGCGGGCTTGTGTCTGTGAGGAGCATGGCTCTGGGAAGGTTCTCTGCCCATGCAAGTATTTCTCGGAATTTCATCTCGGCAAACTCGAGCTCAAGGTTACTATAGTCCACTGCCCTGACTTTGGAGAAGTACTTCATGGAGACTCCATGCATGATGCGCCAGAATTGGCAGAGTGTTGTCAGCGTCTTCCCCATATATGCAGGCCAGCCAGGACGAGGAGGTGGCGTGTCAAACATGCCAACTCCGCCCAGATCTTCTGCTCCGTCTTCTCCGGGGATTGGTAGCATTGGTGGATATACGGGATACTCTAGTCCAGGCTGCTGGTAGAATAACGAAATCAATCTGTATTTGTTAGTTACGATCAACGGGGAATCAACGGACCAACTTACACCGCCCAGTTGAACACGCCCCAAGCGGCGTATGCATATGCCTGGCGTGTTTCCTCGGGAAGATGATCAAGCTTCCTTGCTGCAGTTTCATTATCAACTCCGAGAAGCCCCATCCGAGTTCCAATCTCCACAGCGTCTTTCAGATAGCGTAATACAAGATGGTCCTTGCCGTGGCCCATGTAGGCGAGGCTGAGCAGCTGTGCGCCAGCCATATTGAGAGGCGAATCGTCCAACCGATTGAGGCTCCAGAGGCGCTCTGCCTCGGTGCAAAATTGGTGCAAGTACTCATTGGCACCTTTGTCAAGGGCGCTGTACATTTGCTTTTGAGCCACGTTAGCATAACATCACTAGCTGATTAAAGACCAGACCGGCCAATGTTAGCTTACACAGCCCCAGTACAACACCGAAGCGACCAGAAACGAAGAACAAAATCTTTCTCGTCGGTTGACCAAGTCCCCAATAAACTTGTCGGGGTCGAACAGCCCTAAAAGCGGGTGGTCGGTCTCCAGATATAGCGACAGTATACTCGCGGCAAAGTTGTTGGGGATCGGGACCCGGGTCCAATACTCAATTCTCAGATCAGCCAGTCTTCCATCACAGTATCGTGTCAGATGTGGCGGCATGCCGTCCATGGGTGATTTTCGTAATAGTTTGACGGCCGAGTCGGCGTCGGCACCTGATGTGTCAGTGAGTGAACCTCCGCCGAGATCCGGTAGGAAGTCTGAAACGGAGCTTCCTGGCGACCGCATACTGCGTCTTGCATGAGCAAAAGGACAGAATAAATCGAAAGCGACAAGCCAAGGATCAAATATTATGAAGAAGGGCCGGGAAATGTCACGTACGACTGTTCGTGGGAATCGTAGCGGGCCAGGTTGACAGGGCGGAGGAGGTTGCTTTCTTCGAGAGCAGCCTCGGAGATGGGGCGCAACGTGGGGTATGAGTTCGGATTCCTGACCATCAACTCGAGCTCCAGAGGTGACTGCGCGGACATAGTCATGGCTAGGGAGGCGTCGCGATCCGACGGGCGGCGCTTGCCGTCCATCCCGCCGTTGACCATGGACAAGACGGCGCGGACATCGCCGCTGGTCCGCAGCAGCCGTAGTATATCAATGGCCGTCTTCTCGGGCGCGGATTTGAGAAGCTCGAGGACCTCGAGTGTTTCGTCGTTTGGCTCGCGCTTGTCACTCCACGTGCACTCGGTTCCTCGCCTCTGACATGGGGAACAGGTCGGCCTCTCTCCATCGCACTGGGGTTAGGGAATTGGTCAGCGGCGAAAGTCTCGCATGATGGGCATACATTGCCGTCGTTACCCTGGTTTTCTTGGTCCGGCAGGCATTGCAAGCTACTTGAACACCCACGCGACGGCGCTTGATCGTCTCATCAGAGGTTGAAGAGCTCGGCGTCGAATCAGCGTGGTTACGGGGGGCGGATGCGGGCAACAGCGGTGGGTACTTCTTCAGAGCTGGATGGTTCTTCATCTGCGCATCTTGCAGGGTACTTCAGTACAGCTTCCTCTCGGACGGATGTCAATGATCGGGTGCGAGCGTAGTGTGTTGTTGATGTGTGCGGTGTCGTTCAGGGTGATGCCCAAGTCACACAATTTAACTGGTCTATGGGCACGGAGCTTGGTCCGTGGAAGTACAGCTTCCCTGCTGCGTGGCTAGTCCGCGGGGGAGGGGGGCAAATCCCAGGCAAAGTCACGCAGGGAACAAGGCAAAGACTGGGTTTCCGGCTCGCGGGTTGATGCAAGTGCGAATCTAAAATGGCGATTTCACCCTGGTCGGCCTTCAGAGGAGGGTGTGCCTCTTGATTCTACAATGACGTATATGGGCATTTGTCGCCCAGTTGCTACTAGTGGTGCTAGTTATAGCCCACCTTGATGCTCTCGGCCCCAGATTCCCTAGTCCGCCCCAGCGTCCGCTCCTGGGGGGAAAAAGTAGTATCGGCCAAGCCAATCTTCTAGGTTGAATACCTATAAACCACACGCCTTACAGGAGGCTTGTAATTAACGTTGTTCATGAGCGCCTAAGCTGTAGTTGAGTATATCGGCAAATGAAAGGCGCCTGGTTCGCGAGTGGGCCTCGCTGTGGGACAGTCATGCGACATAGTGAAATTCATGGAGCTTTTCATAATAGAGTCAACTTCATAAAAACATATGTGGTACAGGCTGCCGGACAAGGAACCGCAGTTCCTCGATACTAACTGCACGGTTGCAACGGCCAACTTACCGAACCTAGATGGTATCTGAATCTTCCACAAGAACACCTCGCCTATCTTTGACTAGATACGGCAATATGTTGCCGCTTGCGACCGGGTAGGAAGTGCATTCTTTCCTGAGAAATCTGGAATGGAGACGCTCGATCCCACCCACGTTGACCCTGAAATGTGTCAGTACGTTGTGAGTCGTACCGTCTCGCCGGTATATCAGCATCTACGTATCCAGGGTAACGAAATGCCTGTCCCTTATCAGCCCAATAATGTAGCGAATCCAGCGGTACACGGTTGCTAACCCATCCTCCGTAGTCTTGCGGGGAGGGAGCATCAAGGATTATTGATCGAATCGACGAGTCACACGAAGAAGGAAACTAGGCCAAGCAGAGAAACTGCCGTGCCTGCAGCCGCAGACTGCAGCATGACCTCATGCTAAGCTGAGTATCTCAATTGGGCTGGGGATCGCTCTTGGACAGGTCAGCTCAGTAGGCAAGATCTACCCAGCGACCGAGCGCGAAACCTGCATGCAAAGGTGCCAAGTTCATATGTGTCTTACACCTGTTGGCCTCCGAACATTGATGTATCGACGCCTCAAGCTATCATTACAAGCATAAGCAAAGCCATGCCTTCGTCTATGCAATCATTGGCGACTGTCATAAGCCTTTGGGTGGCTTAGTGCCAATCTGGGAGTGCTGCAAGCCGCCAGGGAAGCCACATCGGCACCCTTATCATGTGCGAAGGAGGCAGCTATTCTAGAGGCCGTGCGTTTCCAGGTCTGATGAGTATTCAATCACCTGTTAATACGGAACGAAAGGGGGTTATACTGAATTCATGGCAAGTTCGACGTCTTGAGTCATAAGTTACGGCCATTGGCTGAATACGGTTGTCGGAGGCTGCTCCGGACAACTTCCAAACTCCAATCCCCGCTACGCCGCCAGGGCTTCAGCGGACTACTGGCTGCGTATAAGTCGCACGATTGCACTTGATGGAGACCAAAAACAAACCTGGCTGCTACAATCATCCCACTAAATTGGCGACGCAATGATCCCGTTGGCAACGTCATGTCTTTGATGCCGTGCAATACCGATTTGCGGTTATGACCAGGGACTGCGCAATAACTTATTGAAGCCGCAGGTTTACGAACCAAAGCGCACATACGAGTATTGCACTTGATGACTCCTCCGGGCAAATTCGGTAATGCCTAACGGGCAGGAAAGCAATTTTCCGCCATGAGACATCTCCTTTCGAGATTGTCAATGCCAGCACGTCCGTAGTCGATGCTGGTCCTATTGTAGGGATGTGATTTCTCCTCGTCCACGCCGGACTTGCTCATCAGCACGTACAGCTACCTTCATCATCAACCTGTACACATGCAAGGTTTTATAACGTACAAGCCTATCCTGTAAGGTCTGGCAGCCGATAGGCAGATGCACATCATCAGTTGAGCCGGGAACGCTGTACTTTGTACCTGACAAACTTGCCGGTGAAAATCCAAGTGTCAAATAGAAACCATTAAATTCCCCAAACGAAAATTCGCACAAAATGATTTCGATTCAGTCATCCAACCAGACGACATACAATCCGTGTGTTCACATCGTAGAAAGGGTTTGCTTGCCCACATATGTCTCGAGCCATCATCAGCTTTGGACGCAGTGGACACGCCGCAGTGCCATGAAGCAGGTTAGACACCAAGCATATATGTATACCATTATATTATGCCACCGTCAGAGCTACTCGGGGGCAAGTTGGTAGCGGACAAGCAACACGAGATCGCACGCTTATTCCGGTCCAGGCAATGTAGATTCATTCCACCGGCCCCCACTCCGGACTCGGGTCTCGGAATATCCACCGTCGCTGCCCAGCCCGGCACACCTACAACCAACACCCGCAGAGCAGACGGAGAGAGCACGCGCGGGCTGGGCCTACCACCCGGGGCCTGCGCAGTTCCAAATTTTCCGGAGTGCTACGTCTCGAGTCTGAAGACGTCCCCGGCCCCGGAGCGTTTGTAGCAGCAATCCCGGTACAATAGCGTCCGTCTCTAGGCCTGGATGTCTCCTGGCCCGCCTCAAATAACCAAGCGGGCCCTCAAAACGGAAAGAGAGAGAGCATTGGCGGCAGCATCCATCGCCCCCTTACAGGATCGATCTCCCCTTGGTCCACGTCTATCCCTTGGCCTCGGCTTCCGCCAAGAATCGCTAACCATGCAAGATCTCCGCGCTCTCGTGCTCACGCACCCCCCGCCGCTCGACCCGGCCTGGCTGGCACACGAAGAGGCCGTGGGTCTCCGGAACCCCAAACCGGCACTCTCGGTGACCGAACGCCAGCCCCTGTACGCGGCCGAAAGCCGGGCCCGGAACGCGGCCATGATGGCGGCGGGGGCGCGGGACCACGACCTGGCCCAGGGTGTGCGCGTGACCCGCCTGACGGTGGCGTCTGCCGTGGACGGGTACGCGATCCCGGTGCTACGGTACGACGCGCTCGCGGGGGACGAAGGAGAGGCGGCTGGAGATCAGGAGGGCGGCGAGGTACAGTCCAGGCAGCGGCAGGAGGACGGAGAGAGGACGGAGGCCAGCAGTCCCGGGGACATGGAGGATGGGCAAACGGGATCCCAGAACGCACAGCAGGGAGACGACGTGGTGCTCGTCTACATCCACGGCGGCGGCCTGCAGGTCGGCGAGGCCGACAGCGAGGAGCTGACGTGCCGGCGCCTGGTCAAGCACTTCCCCTTCCCCCTCACGGCCTCGACACAGAGCAGCAACAATAAGAATACCAGGAGTTGCACACGCGTACGGCTCTACTCCATCGGCTACCGCCTCATGCCGCAGGTGCCAGCAGAGACGTGCGTCGCGGACAGCGAGTCGGCATTCGCCTGGGTGCGATCGACGCACCCGTCGGCGCGGGTGGTGCTCGTGGGGTCGTCGAGCGGCGGCGAGCTGGCGGCGCTGGTGTCGCAGTCGCAGCCGCCGGGGTGCGTGGCGGGCGTGCTGCTGCGGTGCCCGGTGACGGCGGACGCGCCGGACCACGTGCCCGCGCGGTTGCGGGCGTGGCACACCAGCGCGGGGGCGGCGTTCGCCACGGCGCTGCTGGGGCCGTTCCGGCGGGAGAGGCCCCGCGACGGGCTGGCGCGCATGCCGCTCGAGTGCCCCGTGGACGAGCTCCGGGCGCGGCGGCTGCCGCGGACCTGGGTCCAGGTCTGCACCAACGACGTGCTGTTCTCGGACGGCCTGTGCTATGCCCAGGCGCTGCGGGATGCCGGGGTCGAGGTCAGGATGGACGTTGTGAGCGGGTGGCCGCACACGTTCTGGCTCAAGGCTCCTCATCTGGAGAGGGCGCTGCAGGCGGACGAGGAGATGCTGAGAGGGTTGAGATGGGTCCTGGAGGGTGACGTCGGGATGGCCTAGGTGTCAGTAGTTATCGTCGTTCAATACAACCCATCGGATATATCACATGGCAGCGTCCGAGAGTGTGATTTAAAAAAGTCTCTCTCAATTCCGCAGCCTCTTCGGCGGTGCGCGCTCCCTGATCTGCTATCTACAATGCTAGAGTACACAAAGGGAAAGGAAAAATGTGCAGGACGTCTATAGTACGGAGAGATCGCCGAATTTTTCCTGCAGGCTGTGTGAGCGCGGGAGAAGTTGGACGGGCGGTGGGTGAAACGAACCTTGTATCCCGGGACTTGCCAGCGGCCCTTGGAAACCAACTTGGAGGTCTTCTCGTCGATGGAGGGCTCGGCAGCAGCGACCTCGTCCTGTGGGCCGGGTGATTAGCTTTGAGTCTTGTATGGTGCGGCGACATGCTCGGCAGAGAGGCGGTACGTACCACAGTCAGCTCGTCGAAAGGTCGGGCGGTCTCAATGTTCTTCAGGGTGGCGGCCAGGTCCTTGAGCTCGAGGTCGACCTTCTCCTTGGTGGCCTGGGCGTTCTTGACGGCCTCGACCTCGAAGGCGTCGATGGCCTTGAGCTGGCGCTGGAGGTCGTAGGTGGCGGGCTTGAAGTCCTTGAAGCGCTTCTCGATCTCGTCGACGACGGCCTGGTTCTTGAGGACGGAGCGGTAGTGGGCAAAGTCGACCTCGGTGGCCTGCTCGGACAGGACCTGGACCTTGCGGCGGGCGTTCTCGTTGCGCTGCTTGAAGCTCTGCAGGGCGGCGACGGTCTGGCCGCGCAGGCCGAGCGAGGAGGTGACCTTGGCCCAGTCGACCTTGAGGGCGGCGCTGCGTGTCTGGGGGGAGACGAGGAAACACGAAATTAGCTCATGGACGGCGGGCACGCAGAGTTTGTCGGGGCCATTGGGGGCTCAATCGGGGTGCGGAAGCTCGCGGGCGGGGGGCCAGGAGCTCCCGCACGAGGTGCCTGGGCTGGAGGTACTCACTGCTGCCATTTTTGCGATGATTGTGGTGTCTTAAAGGAGTGGAGAGATTGAAGCGATCCCCATGAGAAGTTGCTCTGCCGGCGGAAGAACTCGGCGTTGAGAGGCTAGCGGCGCCAAGCCCAGGTCACGTGGCCCCCGAACCCAAGTCGAGCCGGCAGGACGGAAGCAAGACGGGGATGGAAGCAGCCTTGGGGGCACGAATTACGGCCAAGACAATCAAGAAAATATCAATGTAGCCCAGTCAATTGCAAACCTGAGTGCCTTTAGGTACTGATGAACAGGGTCCTAGCCATTGGGAGGTTCTATTCAGGGGAACCCCATCAGATGCTGGGTAAACTGCCCCGGTCCAACGCCGCCACCAATGTTACACTCATCACATTCAACATACAACATCACAGGATTGCAGGTTCGGGGCCGTCCCGCAGAGACTCGATCTGCTTGAAAATCGATTGGCAAAGGCATCGTGGCCTGTAATACACAGCCGACGTGCCCCCCATGTTTTTTTCCCATACAAAAGATTTTTTGGATCCCCCTAGTCACCATGCAAGCGCGCCTAGATTTCAGAGACTTCCAGCCATTTCGCTAAGAAACGAACACCGTCCACTTGCCTTCCCCACCCAGGACGCCCCTCCCTAGACGCTCAGGGCCATGATGGAGTTGACTATATCGTTGTCGTTCTCTTTCAGCGCCTTGACGGCCTTCTTGCGGGAGACGCCAGCCTGGGTCATGACGAGCTCGATGTCCTTGTCCTCGAGACCCTCGGCGTCGACCTCCTCACCATCGTCCTCATCCTCGTCCTTCTTGGCCTCGCCCTCGGCAGCCTTGCCGTGGTCGTGGCCAGCGTGGTCGTGGCCGGCGTGGTCGTGCTCACCGGCAGCGGCGAGCTGCTGGGCGGCAGCCTGCTGGGCGGCCGAGTTCAGGTCCTCAATCTTGGCCTCACCGAAGACGCTGAAACGGGTTTGTCAGTACAGCATCCCGGGCAACAATCAATCCACGGGTCGATGCTCACATGTAGGTGTTGCTGTTGGGGGACTTGTAGACCTCGGGGTTGTTGATGACGAACAGGATCTGCGAGCAGACGGGTATTAGCAGTCGTTCCACGCATATATCTAGACAGCAAGCAGAGCCGGGAGGAGACAGGCCGGCGCTGGCTTGTCGAGGTATTTCCGAGCGGCAACAGTCATCCTATGCCGGCGAATATATTGCACCTCTTGCCAGGCTGCCGTGGCCCTTCTCTCTCCTCCGGCGCACGCTGCGGGACGGCGGGTCTGGACACTCACGTTCTTGGGGCGGCGGAGGGTGACACGGGTGATGCCAGGGACCTTCTGCAGGTGCAGCTTCTCGATGGCCTTGCGGGCCTTCTTCTCGTTGCGGGAGTGGATCTGGACGGTCGAGCCGGAGGGGCCGTCGCCAGTCTCGATCTCGGAGTCGGAGCTGTCGTCGTCCTCCTCGACGGTGGGCTTGGTGACGGGCTCGTCATCGGGAAGCTCTTCAACTCTGGGGTCGGCCATCTTGTCTGTCGTGTGTGTGTGAGAGTGAGTGGTAGGCTGATCGGTAGACGAGAGTAATTAGCAAGGCTGCACAACGAGGGGCGACGATGAATTGCATGCAACAAGGTCTGCGCAGTCAACCGGTCGGGCAAGCTGGGGGGGAGAGCTAAGCCGGGGGCCGGGCACACAATTTGGATAGCTAGGGAACAGACGAAAAGCCCGAGGCCAGCACGACTGACGGGCGATGCTGGCGACGGGAGGCCGTGGCCGACTCGAGGGAATTTCACTCACCGAGATCTGAAGCTGCGATACCTTCCGTTTAGCGGGGTTGATTGGTTGTCGTCGGGGGCTTGGGCCTGAGGAGGTGAAAATTGGTGAAGTTGCTTGCCTCTCTGCCTCTGTCCCAGTTCCCAGCTGCTAGGGTTCAATTTTCCGTGGGCCGTCACCGCGCGCTAGACCTCTTACGGACTATCTATACTCCCACACCACGGCCAGCCTTTCGGGGGCCACTTTCTCAGCCTTCTCCTGTCAAGGGGGCCCTCACAGCCGTGCAGCACATGTATTGTGTTTGGGTTGATTGGTGGTTGACCAGCTGGGAGGGCAATCGTGCATTCTCGCCGATTTTTATGTTCACGGTCATGGGCGGGCAACTGCATGCAGCAGACGAGAAGATGCAACAATTGCTCGAGGTAGATGAACAGTACTGCAGGCATATGGCACCTCCTGTCAAAGACCAACGAGTGGCCGAAGCCTTACGAAGATGGGACAGCCTTGATACAGACACACGAGAAACCATACGTAATTAAATGTGTACGTGTACGTGTACGTGTACGTGAACCTGGATCTGTACGTGCCCGCGTCTGGCTGGCTCGCCGGTCTCAGCAGCAGACAGCAGACAACAACAAAAGAGAAAACCTGCCCTCTATGAAAATGCAAACAATGCAACAAATTGCGGAAATCTTTTTTGGTTTGTGAATGGTCCGTTATATCATTTGACGCCGGTCACCCTCTGTGGTGTGGTGACATACAGGTCTCCCTAAATGAAGCAAAAGGAATCCATCAACCCCCATGCCCCTTGGTTTCATGCAGACCGTTTTCCGAAGTACGTAGTAGTGACTTGACTAGTAGTAAACCACCTGCCGCGAGAATTGACCTCATCGCTTTCATGCCCCCCCAATCAACGACTGTCTCGAGTTTTCCGTCCCCAATGCCACGCCCCCCATTTGTCGGGGTCGTGTCATTTATGCCGAGGCCTTGACCTTGGCCAGGGCCTTGCGCTGCTCGAATCGTCGCTGCTTCTTGAGGCGGAGGACCTTGAATCGGTCAAAGTCGGTCAGGTTCTGTCTGCGCTCCTTCTGGTCCTTGGTCTTGGCCCAGCTGCTCTCCTTCCACTTGGCGTCGATGCCTGCCTTCTCCCACGCGGCCTTGACGGTGCCGGTTCGTGCGGCACGGGGCAGCTTCTCGATGACGAAAGGTGCCAGGAGGACGTCTGAGAGGGGGAGCGCTTGTCTGGGGACAACGAGCTTGGGGTCCGACGAGGGTCCGTCAACCAGAACCTAGAGAGAACATGTCCTGTCAATTCCACATTCCTTCCCGAGTTTCGCAGGCTCTTCTTTTCCGGGGCTCAACGTACTCGCTTGTGGTCGATGATCTCGACAATGGTAGCCAGACGGCCGGCGTAGGAAGAGGCACCCTGGAGGAGGACGATACGTCCAACCTCGACGAGGCGCCAGTTCGATGCGACGATGGAGGCTTCACCCATTTTGACGGTCTGCTGTGGGAATCGGCGGGTTAGCGGGCTGTCGAGAAAGTTGTCGGAGGAGGAGGGCAGGCTGTCGTCGAGCTGCGGAATGCGAAAAAGAGAGGCTGACGTACCGATTTGTGATGCCGGGGAAATGTCGATTGTTGTTCGCTGGTTCCGCAAATTCCTTACCAACCCGGTTGCCCTTTCAAAAATCTCTCGAGTGTGCATGTGGGTTGGAATACAAATCGAGCAACCCTAAAAAATTCTCGGATTTTCCCCTCGCCCGATCCGACCCCCACCAAGCCCGGACCAGCCTAGCGCCAATTGACCGCGAGCAGTGGGGCCCTCTCCCAGCTATCGAAATCCACCTACAAATAATTTTCTTTCCTCACCTCGTCCCTCCAGCCTCCATTGTCAGTCAACAAACATTGCAACAGCCAGCGACCCGAGAGTCTGAATGCAGGCTCTCAGGACGAGACGCAGCCCACAAGGTAAGCCGTCACTCTTCTCTTGCATACCCGAACTCCTCCCTCCTACTCGTGTGATGAGGTAATTTGCGATTGATTCTACTTCGATGGCGCCCTCGCCGGGGCTGCTATATCGGGCAGAAAAGTGATATTCAATTTCTTACATATTCTGACATTATCTACCCCCCTCAACCTTCCTGCTGCCGCTTGAGTTCAAGAACCCTTTGCTGACTGGAAGCCAGACTGATAGCATCTTTCCCGAGCAAGTCACCAAGCTGGCTGTTACCCATATTTGGAAGATAGATAGCGTTAGCTTGAAATGATTATCACTTTTACCTTGGACCTCATTTACTGCCATGTCGTCCAACCCTCCCGTGCAATGATGACCAGTCTGTCCTAGACGCACTGTCTCTTCGTGTTGCGTCATTCCATCCATGTGCTCGTGAATCTGCACGCTTCATCAGTACAAATCGCCGGTGAAACAAGACTGAAATGAAAGCCTGCTGTCAAACAATTACAGACCATTTTGATGCGATACACCATTCCAGGCGCATGTCATGTCATCCGGAACTTGCCCGAGAGCAACGTCACCAACGAAAGCACCTTGGTATCTCCCCCCAGTGTCTGCTTGACGCAGTTTCGGACTGACAGCAAAGTAGATGCTCCGGGTATGCCACATCAAGATGCATACTTCACTATCTTCGAACCCAATGTAGAGAAGTGACTTGGCCGGACAATAATACAGGTGGGCCGGGCTTCAATACTCTAAAGTCACCTTGATAACCGAGGGCTGACTTGGGCATTCTCCTGTTCCTTCTACCCTTCATGTCTCACAATGTAGCTGCCAGCCTTCGCGGATGCTCTCTTCGTGTATATCGCCTATTAAGAATCTTGTGCTGTGTCTAAGACTCATGTTCGGCTCCTGGGATCTCATGGAGACGAACATTGCTCTTGATGACCGCCCAGTCAATCAGGTCGCCGGGATGATATGCTGGTCTTGTGGCGCTGCGTCCAACATAACTCATGCTCGTGATTGGAGACCTAGTGGGGATGTCTTCGACTGTACTGTTGAGTACCCGAATGACTTGTCTAGAGCCAGTGATTCCAAGCCGTGCTCGGGGTAGATGAACAGGAGGTGGCCAAGAAGGGCAGAGGCCGCAGGCACCAAAAAGGTAGAGCACACCACAGCCTCCTCAAAATGCGAAATGGGAGCGGCAGGTGCAACATAAGTCTCTCATACGTGAGACAGGAGTAAGAAAATAAAATTAAAATAAAATAAAATAAAAACCTGAGATAAAAATACGTAATAATACACAGCCGACAATGGGACTCGAACACGGGTCGCCTACCCTCTGAGAGACAGGTGATGCCAGACAATTGCCTTGCCGATAGACTACTCGGACATTGGCGACGGGTTAGCTGATAGTCGGGCGTCATACGTTGTCGGCAACCGTCAGGTGTAGAGAGCGCAAGATCGGACGAAAATAGTAGATCATATTGAGCTAGTCCTCGAAGAAATTACTATATACGCCTAACGTTAGCCATTGTCCCGAACGTCGAACGGGGCTTTTCTCTAGATGACGATGTGAACCGATGGAGAGAAATTCTTCCTACCCGACATGCTTGTCTTCGGAACGACGAGTATGCTGACGAATAATCCCGTCCAATACGAGATCCATGCATCTAGCTTGTCTAGCATATGGAACGATGCATTTCTCCGCTCACTGGAAGCCTCACACTTAGCCACCTCCTTACCTTGACCTCCAAGATGTACGCAGCACTTTCAAATGGTGTCCGAACAGGACTGAGGCGGTGTCTTTGAGCTCCCATTCCAGACCTCTCTCGTAGAAGAAGCTGATCCATGCAGTTATGCACTAGCTACACTAGGCGAGAACCGTGGCGGTCGCTTGATGAACATATCGCCATTGCCAACAACTAATTGTCCTGTCAGTAATTGCGGCGTAGATCGTGTTCGAAGACGAATCAAACTGGTAAGCCCGCAATGCTTCTAAATGTGTCTGAAGGGTGTTTCTAAGAGTCCATCTCCAATAGTTGATACCAGAACTGTGCTCAGGGGCAACAATGGGTCTCCGTGCCCCGAGATCCAACGAGTACATTCACTTATACAAAGATCATTTCACCTCCATTCGCCGAATGCTTGATGCTTGCAACACTCGACAGAGCAGAGCACATGATCCTTGCGCGTGGGTTCGATCTTCATGAATCCTGCGATATGCGGGGGGAAGAACACTATACTGGAGCTAATGCAAGGCTAGCGTCTTGTTGAGAGGATCTGGCGGATCCACACCCAGCCGCTTCTTACCACGGTAAAAGACTCCAATCCCCCGGTAATGACTCCCCAAGACTGAACTGGATTGGTCCGACGCCAGGTATTGATGGGTCTCGATTAGAAATGCCACGGCTCAGGGCTTCACCTATACGAACAGTGCAGGGTTCGTTGTAGAACCAGCATGTCCTCGAAAGCGAGCTCTTCAGTGTTGCGGCCCTGGGTCAGGCTGTAGACGCTTCCGACAGAAGCACGGTGGAATAGCACTTGCTTTGGCGTGTCCCAGTCGGCAAAGAGACTCTATTACTAGTAAGTTAGACTACCAAACATATTGTGACAGCTATTCAGGGCGTGATCACTAAGCACCTCATCTGACCGGGGCGCCTTCGACCCCAGTTCTTGGCTCGGGCTTTGCTATACCAAGTTGGTTTGTAGGATGCATGGGGGGCAGCGGCTTTCTGTGCGGGGGAGGTTGCCATTTGGAGAAGGATGAATTGGCTGACCACGCTCTCCTTCCGTCAGCTCTTGCAAATCTCGCCCGTCGACCCTCCGATTTTCCCATTTCTATATGTCCCTTGGTACACATCTCCTAGCCACAGTGCGCATTCATTAGCCTTCAGCGTTGCAGCTCAAGTTCATCCACCAGAGTAGACGAGTTGGTTTATAGTTGACGTCATGGTGTTCAACCCGCCTAGTTGGGTGCCAAAGCTCCCATTCGGTATGTGAGATTACTGCCGACGAATGAGCTCGATGATATTTGGTGTTGACCGAGACTTGCAGACCCACCGGACTCGATCCCAATAGGCGAGTTCTGGCACAACGAGAGGTATGGCCGCCACCCGCTCGACAAGTCGCTGAATGCTTTCACCTGCGGCGTCACGGGGAAGGCCTACAGCAACGATGAGATGAAGGAGCGGTACGAGTTGCTGGCCCGGGCGCTGTCGAAGCGCCTGGGATGGCGAGCGAATGAGGAGACACCCTGGGACAAGGTCGTGGGCGTCTTCTCCTTCAACTCGGTGAGTTCCCGCGTGGTCACGGGACTAGCTGATGGAAGTGATACCCATGTGCAAAATACTGACCGAGTGCGACTAAGATTGACTACATAATGGCTACCTTTGCAGTTCACCGTCTCTCCGGCATTGCAACCCCGGCCAATGCCATGTACTCATCCTCGGAGCTCGAGTACCAGCTCAAAGCCTCGGGGGCCAAGGCTCTGATCACCTGTGCTCCGCTGCTGGACACGGCGCTGAAAGCTGCAAAGGCAGTCGGGATACCCGAGGACAAAGTGTTCTTGAACGAAGGGGCGTGGGAGTCCCAAAAGCTGCCGTTCAAGACGCTCAACGAGCTTATCGAGGAGGGCCAGGCACTGCCTGAACTGGAGCCCCTGCACTGGTCCAAGGGACAGGGAGCTCGGCAGGTCGCGTACCTGTGTTTTTCCAGCGGAACTTCCGGCTTGCCCAAGGCGGTCATGATCGCGCACCGAAACGTGATTGCGAACATGATGCAGATTCGGTGGCATGAGTCCGTGGGAAGAGAGCTCAAAGGGGTATCAGCGCAAACTGTGTTGGGGCTGTTGCCTATGAGCCATATCTACGGGCTCGTGGTGGTGTCGCTAGCCGGCATGTATCGTGGTGATAGTGTTATTGTCCTCCCGCGGTTCGAGCTGCAGCCGCTGCTGGAGACGATACAGAGATTCAAAATCAACTTCTTGTACCTGGTAAGCTCCCTCCCATGGCATAGTCTGACCTATGAGAGCTAACGATAGCAGGTCCCGCCCATCATCATTCAACTGCTCCGCAACCCTGAACTATGTTCCAAGTACGATCTCTCTTCCGTCCGTCACATCTTTACTGGCGCCGCACCATTGGGGGCCGAGACGCACGAGGACGTGCTGAAGTCTTTCCCGGGCTGGAACATAGCTCAAGGGTATGGTATGACGGAAACTAGCACCGTGGCACTCAGTTCAAGCGAGCACGACATCGTGATTGGAACATCCGGGTCGCTGGTTCCCAGCACCCGAGCCAAGATCATCGGCGAAGACGGTCACGAGATTACCGAATACGGGAAGCGAGGCGAGCTATACATTCAAAGCCCCTCGGTCACTCTCGGCTACCTGAACAATGAGAAGGCAACTGCGGAGGCGTACATCCACGACGAGGATGGGCGGTGGATCCGCACCGGCGACGTGGCCGTTGTCACGAAGAACGAGGCTGGCAACGAGCATTTTGCCATCGTGGATCGCATGAAGGAGCTGATCAAGACAAAGGTAGGTTCCGCGCATACAAGAACTTGATTATCGTAGTTCTTGATGTAATAACAAAGTTGTAGGGCCACCAAGTTGCGCCTGCGGAGCTCGAGGCTCATCTGCTATCACACCCGGCCGTCAACGACTGCACCGTCATCCCCGTGCCGGATGAGAGCGCGGGTGAGGTGCCCAAGGCGTTCGTAGTCAAGTCGGCAGCCTACCAGTCCAAATCCGACGAGGAGACGGCGCGGGAGATCTGCAAGCACGTCGAGGACCACAAGGCCCGGTACAAGTGGCTGAAGGGCGGCGTCGAGTTCATCGATGTGGTTCCCAAGAGCCCGAGCGGCAAGATCCTGCGGCGGTTGCTGAAGGACAGGGAGAGTGAGAAGAGGAGGAAGGCTGGGGCGAAGCTGTGATGTAGCTCCGAGAACTGTGGATTTTGTTGACAATTACTACCGCTTGGTTGCCTGGGATATACTTATTATTGTAGCCCGGACGACTACGCCGAGGCGGATAAGGTTATATACACGCGTAGATTCGTTAGAAATGTTCTCTAATAACGCTGTATTCACAAGTCAGACTGGACCACTGGTAGAGCCTGTTCGACGTCGATATCGTGAAATCGGTCCTGGGACGAGCTGGGATCTACCTATCTTAGAGTGTAGATGGCTGTAAGACATCATCTACATTCTGAAGTTACACTGGCACTTTACAGGTACTGGTCAAGTTGATGGAAGAACACATCTTCAACCTTACTCAAGCACACAAAGGAAATTAGGGTTAGTGAGGTCAGATTGCACAGACGTAGCGATGTGATCACGGTAAACAAAGGGTTTTTGGCGAATGATTTTGCATCAGATTCTACGAACTCGCTAAGTACGTATGCGATCGTCCCATGCTACCTTCCAACCAACGCCAGCCATGAAATAGTTTTAAATGCAAAGTCTCAGAAAAGGCACATTTAGGCCTTGCCCTTCCTCTTCAGGTACTCCTCCTCTTCTTGCTGGATCTCAGCGTCGATCTTAGCGCCCTTCGACGGCTCGTTACCGTGCATCTTAGCCTGGTCGTGTGTTAGTACGTTGTGTGTTCATTCGGACATTGGGTGGTTTGGTGGCAAACGTACGGCAAGGGTAGGGTCCTCTTTCAATGCCTTGGTCTGAGGGTCTTCCTCGTCGGACTTGCGCTCCTCGGCAGCAAGTCTGTTGGCGATGGAACGCTGGTCCTCTACAAAGGCGGGGTCAGTAAAATGGCATTAGGGGAAGTAGTAACTTTCGAAAAAACGTACTGGAGTCGTTGGCCTGGTGGGAGTGCTCCTTGCCCTCCTCGAAGCGGGTGGCATCGTGGAGCTCAGACTGCTTGGGGTTGCGCTGGTCGCCAGCCTCGTAGACGCCAGAGTTTCCGACTGATGATTGTCCAGACATTTTGATTCGTGTGAATTGGTGAGGTGGGTTGGTTTTGGGGTACAAGTAATCAGTTTTCAAGTTCGTTTTCTTCACAAAAGCGTAGATGAATGATGTGAAAGAAAAACAATTCAGGAACAGGTGTTTCCAGCGATTTTATTCTATGAAGAGCTCTGCAGACCCCGCCAGCAAGACCTACGTCATGTCAAGTCTTATCAGTTTATCAGGTCCATGCTCGCGTGAGAAAAACATCATACCCGGTGCCTGACAAAGGTTCCGGTAGTCAGAAATCCTCGAGGCAGTTTTGCGTGCAGTAAAATGATTCAGTCCAGACGTCATAGACCCCATCGATGCGGCTATAAGATCGGTGGAGCTCGCTAGGAGCTTTTGTTGGCGGGGCCCGGCAGCCAAGACAGCACGCAATAGGCGCTCCATGAGCCTCCAACCACCCCTGTAATCAGCATCTCTCGCAGCTCTGTCATCGCTAGACGATCGGCCCGTCAGGCCTGCACGAACAGTAGACGAATCCATAGAGATTGAGTCCCTGTCAAGTAGTCCCCACAGCGTTATTCCTAATTCGCGTGGCAACACGCGCTGGTATTTTCAGAAGTGCAACTCAATTACTACAACACCATTCAAAGAGGCCATTCACGCTAACTGGGGCGCGGGAGAGAGCTGTTGCCTCAATTGACGTCTCGTACTTGTCACTTGCGATCAATTGGCTGGTCTCTAGGTCGTATCCTCGACTACTACCTCGAGATACCAATTTCAAATGATTGAAACGACTATTAAGAGAGGTTTTACATGAAACAATGTCTCAGGGGCACGTTCTGGAGCCCCACGAAAACTAACGGAGGATTGGGATTATATCTACCGACGTCGTCAATTTTTGTAATCCTCATATCACCCATCAGTACCTCCTCAAAGAAGTTGACGAGACGATCAAAGATCTGCAAAAATAGGGTGGTTGGTCTGAGGAATGATGAGTCGAGGTGTTTAACATCTCACACATAAGCCTCTATATCTTTACTACATCGCCATGAGTGCAGTAAAATGTTTTCGTCGCTGGCATCTAGGGTAACAAGTCTCCGCATAGCCCACATTCGCTGCGGAAGCCACCCCGTTTTCCGGGCTTTCGGGTTCCAAGGTCAGATGATGACCCTTACCACAATGACAAGGCCGGCCCTTGCTCGCAGGTTTCCCGTGGGCGGCTTTGAGAATCTCTCTGTACTGGAGCCGATCGAAGAGGAGACCATCCCAGACTACAAGGCCGACAGATTTTACCCTGTCCGAATAGGCGAGGTGTTCAAGTCTCGATATCAGGTCGTTGCCAAACTCGGCTTTGGTACCGCGTCCACTATATGGCTTTGCCGGGATCCTGGCATGTACTCTTACATACACTGCTTTTATGCATGATAGACTAAAGAATTCTCACCAGAGAAGGACCTCTTCTGACCCTGAAGGTCTGCATTGGGGAGCAAGATGCAACGGAGGTGAATAATGAAGTTGTCATATCCCAGCATATCAAAGCCATCGACGCCGAGCACCCTGGAAAGCAATTATTACGTTTAACATTGGATGATTTCAAAATTAACGGTCCGCATGGAACTCATCAATGCTTAGTCTTTCATCCTCTGGGTATGAGCTTCAGCAAATTTCGGAACTTATTTCCAGAGAATGGGTTGAACAAAGAATTGTTGCAGCAGACCTTGCAGTTGGTTCTTCTCGGTCTCGACTTCTTGCACCAGGCTGGTGTCGTGCACACGGGTAAGTTCTACCTGGTTACCCCAATGAACTTTTCAGCTTAGGGTGAGCCTAGATATATCGCCCAATAACATCCTGCTGGGGGTCGGGGATATGTCGATATTTTCAGAAATCGAGCAAAGTGAGCTTGAGCACCCATCTCCTCGTAAAGTCCTTCCAGACCGTGTGATCTATCTTTCTCGGCCACTGCCCATCACCTACGGTCCACTAGCTATCTGTGATTTTGGCGCCGCCAGGCTAGGGGATCGATTCCAAGGTGATGTCATGCCTGGCGTTTATCGCGCCCCAGAGATCATTATGGGTATGGACTGGGATTCTAAGATAGATATATGGTCTGTTGGAGTTAGGGTATGCATCCCCAATAGCTCTGCCTTTACAGAATAACTGACCTGCATAGATTTGGGATTTGTTTGAAGGTGGCCGGCTGTTTCGTGCGGTGAAAGACGGCAACCTTGATGATGAGCAGCACCTTGCCGAGATGGTTTCTCTCATAGGTAATCCACCAATACAGTTTCTAGAACGGAGCGAAAAATGCCGCCGATACTGGGATGCAGAGGGTAAGTCAAACTGCAACGTGCGAAGATTTGCGTCTTACTCACAGAGAATCTTCGGGATACTAGGTAATTGGATTGCTGCAACGTCGATCCCCGAACAATCCTTCGAAATGCGCGAGAGACGGCTCAAGGGCAAGGACCAAGAGCTATTGCTTGCCTTCGTTCGGAAGATTTTGTGTTGGCTCCCAGAAGATAGGCCCTCCGCAGAAGATATCTTTGAGGACGAGTTTCTGGTACAGCGCGGTACTTAAAACTAGTCAAGGACTCCATCTCATCCGCCATAGATGGCAGTTCGTTCAAGGAGAGGTTCACAAATACCAGGGGCCAGAATAGCAGTGTGTGAAAGAATGGTTGATTAGCTTTCCTATCTTTTGCGCTGAAAAGCGTAAAACAGTCAAGGAGGGGTTTCTGCACTGTTAGGTCTCTCCTAGGGAGGTGATTAGATTATGTGAATTATTTGTATGTTGCTTCTTCCCCATTTCTGTCTCTGTGTATTCCATATGTCCCTTTCCCGTCGCGATACTTCCAGGTACGCAGAAAATCCCGCCGTGTATGTGGAAGGTCCACTACCCATATGACTAAATCTATTCATATTCCTCTAGACACTACTACCCTGTGCATTCCCCCTTTGCCCCCTTGAGTGGCTTTTTTTTTTTTCAATCAATGGGCTAGATGGTCAAATAGTTTTGCAACAGCAAGCGACGTTTCAAGATACTGTCATACGTCTCTCTGCGTTTCTCATCGGCCATATTATGCGCTTGGAGGAGGGTGATCAACAAGAAGCCCTCAACAATCATGGTCGGCGTGTTGCAAAGCAACTGACCCGTCTCAGTCCATTGCATGGCAGACGCGATGGCGATCAGCGAGAAAACCGCTAGCACGGCTGCGTAGCTTGCGGCTGTAGAGGCACACCAATTTCCTATAACAGTGCTCAGGCGCTGGTTCAAGGACAGCCTCCTCTTCTCCCGAACCTCAGGCATCTCGATGTCTACCAGTTGGAACAGGACATGGTCTTGATCTGCCAGACGTTGGAAATGCCGGTTAGCCAAGTCGGTCTCACGATGATCCACGTTCTTCATGATGAAGCCGTCGATGAAGCCCATCAATCCGGTGTAGGTCCCAATAATCAACCACCAGTTGTCATCGAATTCGAGCGACTGCCCTACCGATATCCAAAGGATGAAGACAGCACAGGAAATGGTGACGCCAATAGATCCGCCCACTATGAATGCGTAAATATCTATAGCCCTATGTGCCTTGTTGAGCGCCGGAGCGTCGCTGCTGACGACAGGGTTGGGCTCTCTGTCACGCGAGATCCGGCGCAGTTTGGTCTCAACATCGCAGTCAATAAGCTCGATGCTCCTGATGCACTGCTCGAGGTGTTCGTCGTGCCGTCTCCGAATGTTCTGCAGGAACATGGTCGTCAGTGTGATCTGGAGAGCCGTGGCCGTGTTGACGTCCAACTGCCATGTATCTGAGAACTGCAGTGGTATGCCGGAAAACACCCAGACAAAGATACCTGTCCAGTATATTCCCAAGAAGATCAGAGAGCCTGCGGCGGCGGCCACGGCGTCCGCGATCTTGCTGAAAATGGTTCCTTTTGCCGTAGTTGAGGCCTCAAATCCCGTCTTCTGCGGCGTCTTGTTGACTTTAAGTTGGTGCAAATCCTTGGTCGAGATGGATCGCAACATGCGCTCGTGCGACGTGCTGCGAGAGATAAGACAGCATATTCGGCTTAGAATGCCCCTGCATGACGTCTGCTGCTGGCGCAGGAGAAGCGTGGCAGAAATGTAGGCCTGGATGGAAGACGTATCCTGTAAGATAACCTGCCATGTATCCGTGGGGCCGGCCACTATGCCCCAGAGGGCCCAGGCGACAAGCAACAAGAGAGTGAAGCCAAAGGCCCAATTCGATCCGGCGAGCTTGACGGCAAAGTCGAGACCGTTGAACTTTGGCGGCCTCGGCGGCAGGGGCTTGTCATCCCAGGACTCCTTTTCGGAAACGACCCACGATGTACGATCAAAGTGGTATGCCTGTTTTGGTTTTTCGGGCACTGCGATCTCCGCGTACTGGGTCGTTGCAGCAGCCTGGGTACTATACTGGGCTTCGGGCGCGGTACGGAGGTCGTGGAAGAAGCTCCTGACCCTTTGGATCGGCGAGAACCCCATGCTTGCAGTATAAGAGCCAAGATCGATGGGCAGAGGTTCGTTTCAAACGGACTTGGCAAGCGGAACTGCCTTCTGCATACCCACTTGCGTTGGAAATAAGTACGAAAATAAGGATAACAGCAACGAGAATGTCTACCAGCGCTGCCGATGCCAGAACTGATCAACGTCCAGCGTTGAAGTGAAGTCTGCCAGTGAAAACGAACGAACCAACACCATCACAGACGGCGAGAAATTGAGTGTCAAGGAGCGATAGGCAAGGAGGACCGACTGTGCCAAGCCGGCCTTCTTAAGGTGATTGTCACGTCTTTCTCAGCTCCAGGAAAGAAGATACGAGTTGCACTTCTTGGCGTCTGGATTCATTCATGCACGGCTGCTCATATCAGTCGGCAGTACATCGTTGCTGCAATCGTCGCTATGACTATCATTTGTCATGTCGCTATTATAGCATGTTACAAGCAGCGCCTTGAGCGCCCAGGATTTTGTTTGGTTCAGACCATATTTGCAGATGGAATTGTTTAAGAAAAGATAGTAAACACATGCCGGCCTGTCCTAATTGGGTGCCCAAACGGGGATCATCGTCCAATGATCGACCTTTCGGGATTTTTCCTGTTTCAGACAACATGAGGCTCGAGGCTATCCGGTCACAATGCTGTGGGGGCCCCTGTAGAGATAACCTTGACGTCTATGCAAGCACTGTTCCATACTGCAGGTCGAGCTCACGCTAGTGGTCTGGATTGGAAGTTCCGGGATATTCTTGACAGGTTGTTGAGCATGAATAACCTTGCAGGGGACAGTCAAATTCCCGAATGCCGCAACCTTAATCACACGTCTGATGATCCTTTTGTTCTTCTCAAATTCGAGACGGTTCTCCTTAAGGAAGCTGATATAATTCATTACCGTTCAGATGATATAGGTACAAGACACCAGACAAAGTGTACGCAAAACTCGTCAGAAATTCCAGAGCTCTAGCGTCACGACTACACCGACTAACATGGGCAGCACAAAAAGCAGAGATATAACACCCTGCGAGTCTCGATGGGGCGCCAATGGATTTGACTGTAGACAATTGACCTCACGACCAATGTAAGCCAAGGCCGGATACTTTTAACATGGCCCAGATAAGATGGTGAAGCAAAAGCTGGGGGGCTCCAGCCATAAGTAGCACATTGTTCTGATTGGCTGTGGGAGGGGACGGGTGGGGCGAAAAGCGGCCGGGGATCGCAAAAACGGACGGACCTCAAGCCTTTTGACCGCGACAGCGACAGCGACACGCCGAATTTCCAGCTCGACGCCGTCCGCAGGGGAATTGAGCAGCGACCACATTCGACAGCTCAGTCAAACCGCCCGCCATGTCGATGTTCAGGTCCAAGAAGCTGGACATCGGCTCCTTCCTCAACATCAAGGTCATTCGCGACCACACCAAGAGGAAGGTCTTTGCCCAGTACGAGCCCGAGAGGTACGCTCCATTTCACGGTCTGCCGCAGCCCCTTGGACATAGCTAACCTCGCCTTGCCATCCAGACAAGCCCTCCGATACATCATCCAGAACACGACCCTCCCTGCGAAGACGAGGGCAGAGGCCCAGCTGCAGTTGACCCAGATGCACTGCTACACCAGGCCGACTCAGATCCGCGGCAGGTGTTTGCTCGGTGGAAAGGGACGGGGTATCTTCAGGGATTTCCGGCTTTCGAGAGTATGGCTCTCACAGCATTTCAGTCTGTTCTACGCGGCCGCTAACATGTCTTGCAGTACAACTTCAGGATGCAGGCGTTGGAGGGCAACCTGCCGGGCGTGCAGAAGGCCAGCTGGTAGAGAAGAGGAGAGGCCGACGAGGACGAACGAACAAACATTGTACCATATCGGGCAAGCCGACGACGCTACACCGCAACATAGATCTCTGTACCCCCAAATGTATGATAGAAAGTGTACAAAACCCGGTGCCGGATGCGTGACTATGAGATTGGCTTCTGTCGTGGTGTCCGTTGCTGGACGATCCAAGCATTACCCCCCTATTGCGATTGAAGACGCCCACATGCTCACACTACAAAGATGACATTCAAGGACTGATCCTACGATACCCGCAGACCTCACGTTCGACCCTTTCAACTGCAGGTAAGTTTATATGCAGGTATCCTTCATTACCTTCTGTTTGTATTCCTACAATCAGCCTGCCGACCTGGCAACACCGCAAGTTGGTCGATAAACAGTAGTTCTTCTCCCGGCAGCTTTCAAATACGCGCAACAAACGCTTTCGAAGGGGGCTTTCTTGTACTGATTGTACTTGTTGGGTCAGTCCTTCCCTTCGAGATCAACATACTCTGGGAACCACCGCATCTTCTCTCTTTACCGCGCCTCAAGTTCGCCCATCAAAAACCTCACATCACGTACACAACTCTTGCGAGATTACCTCCGCCTGGCCTGCTACCAACCAGAACATCTCCAGCTCATATTGCCACCATGTTCTACCGTACTTGGGATGGTCTGCCCGAGGACCCGTACTTTCCTTCCGACCTGGAGAAGCTGGGGTAAGCCGGATGTGCAGCGGGCATTTATCGCAACCGATCGTGACTGACACGTTACGCAGCTATTTTGTCAACGAGTCCGATGAGATACGCTCACTTGAGGATGAGAAGTACTACTTCAAGTTCTTCATCAACAAGAACCAGCGCTACAATGATCGTCAGCGCTTCGCCATGAATGGTAACTAGCCCAAACATGTTCCCTCATTTGCGACACTTCTGCTCACCACAAGACGTGGGAATCCAGAGGCCGTCGAGAAGGTAGTCCACCAGCGCCTCGAGGCCCTCGGCCTGAAGAAGACGCTGCTCCCCCTGGGCACGACCGACATCTCGCAGCCGCACCTGCCCGTCTTCGTCTCGTCCGACATTAAGGATAAGTCGCGCGTCGTCGTCGTCATCGGCGAGACGTACCAGGACCTGGGCATCCTGGCGCACCGCGTGCTGGGCGGGCCCGGCGGCGTCGACAACGGCAGCATGGTCTCGGTGGTCAAGACGCTGCAGGCCCAGCCGTCATCCCCTACCGACAGCGACGACCACGATGCCTCGCCCCCTGGCATCATCCTCGCCAACACGGGCCAGACGGTCTGGTCGCCCGCGCTGCGCCGCACCCTGACCCTGGTGGGCTCCGGCGGCGCGCCCATGCCGAGCGCCGTGCACGCGGGCCCGCGGTGGGACGGCGAGCGGGAGCGCGTGCCCGGCAACGGCGACGCCCGGGAGCACATTGCCTACGTCTTCGAGCAGGTGGTGCCGGCCCTGGTCGGCGCGGGCGCGGGGCTCGACGTCATCGCCGTGGGCGACGGCGCCGACGCCCTCGAGCAGTACCTGGACTGGCCCGTGACGTGGGCGAGGCTCGCGGGCCGGCTCAACTGCCTCGCCATCGTGGGCGGGTACCACGCCGCGGACAACATCAAGTGCAGCGCGTTTCGCGAGTTCTTGCGAAAGGTATGTGATGAGCCTCATGGCGCTTGCAGCCCCCTTTTCACCATCATGTATTTTCCCACCCTCCGCAACGGGGTTTTCTCTCTCCTGTAATATGTCTGCTCTTGATGATGAGGACAATCACCGTGACATACCCAGGCTGACCTCCTTTGTCTTGCCCCCTACAGAAAGCACGCGCGTACGCCACGTCCTCGGACCCGCTGGGCACCCCGATCTCGGGCCCGGACGGCAACGCGAACACGACCGCCTTCACGCGCCTGGGCTGCCCGCTCTTCAGCGGCGGTGAGCCGCACTACGTCGAGGCCCTGCTGGGCGCCTGCCTGCCGCACCTGGCCGGCTGGCTTGCCGAGGTCGCGCGCGCCGGCCGCGGCAACTACGCCAACCCGGCCATGGCCGTCATGTACGCCGACCCGGGCCTGGGAGGCGACGACGACGACGGGGAGGAGGAGGAGGAGGACCCTTGGAGCAAGTACACGAGCGCTCCGGTCCGCGAGCAGTCGCCCACGGATTTCGGCGCCGGCCCGGCTACGGAGGTCTGGGATGGCCAGGGCGGTGGCAAGAGAGAGGACGAGGATGAGGATGACGAGATTATCAGGGAGCTCGAGAAGGGCCTTATCTTTCACTGAGGCTCGCATGGTCGACGATTTGGTGTCTGCAGATTGGGACACGATACTGGCAGAACATGACCAGACAGCTCATTTCCAGTCTCCGACCCATGAGTTTGGCTCGGTTTTGTGTCAATGCTACTCAACGGCGGCTCCCTGTGATGTTCAGCATTGCCAGAAAAAACACCCACGATTCACGAAATGGAAGCCGCAAATAGATGACTGGCTTGTAGACAGGGATTGATAGTCCTACTAGTATCCTGCAATGCGAGTTGTGCCCCCAATCATGCTCTTACATCCCATTTGCGTGAAAGCAAAACCTTCCCGCGTATCCGGCATTGCACACGCGACTATAACTATGTACATTAGCGAATGTGATCCGTTTGTCTCCATCCGTACATTACAGTTCCTCGCAGCGTACGGGAAACCACCCGACGCGTTTCTTTTCGTCCGCTGCTCTACGCCCAGAACAGCGAGGCCAGGCCCGGCCGCGGGGCCTCGAGCTCGTCCAACAGTTCCTGCGCCCGTCGTGTCCTCTCCTTGACGACCTCCTCCTCGGCGGTCCACCTGCCAACCTCGCCGGCCCTCAGGGCCGCCTCGCCGTCACCCCAGAAGGCGAACCAGCCCGCGGCCTTGGGTGCGGGCCCCAATGCCTCCTGCCTCTCGCGCTCCTCCCGGGCCAGCCGCCCCACCATCTTGGCCCAGTTGCCGAGCCCCGTGTTGAGGCAGTCCTTGCAGGTGCGCAGGGCGGCCGGGTCCGGGCGCTGGCCCGCGGTGGCGTCGTCGTCGTTCAGCTTGTGCAGCTGCTCCTCGGCCGCGTCAACGGCGTCGCGCGTCCAGGCCAGCCCGTCCTCGCGGGCCGAGGCCCCCGGAGACGACGACTTCTTGCTGCCGGCGTAGATGATCTCGCCGATGTACAGGTTGAGCCCGGCCTCCTCACAGAGCGCTTTGGCGTCGCGAACCGGCGGCGCCTCGCCGCTGTCGGGCTGAGGCGGATACGCCGGGGGTGCCACGAGGCGTCTGACCACGCCCAGGATGTTGCTGGCTGTCCAGGGCGTTTTCGTGTCTTCGGGTGTCATAGCATTCGAAGAACCAGTAGGAGAGGCAGTGGAGAGCGAGCGACGGGCGCGCAGGATCGAGACCAGGATAGGTAGTGCCGTAGAGATCTCATCGTTGCGCGCCTTGTGCGCCGCGAGTGCGGTGAGCGACGTCAGGACGTTCGCCGATGGCTTCGCAGCGCCGTCCTCGAGGACGTACGTCTCGGTGTTGTAGGGCAGCGCCGTAGGGAGTGTGTTCTCAGTGGCCAGCTGCAGCGCCCACTCGTACATGCGCTCGGATGCCTCGGGGATGCCCTTGAAGTCGAGCCACGACGCGTACTCGAGCGCGGCGTCCATCTTCTGCCGGCTGGTGAAGCCGCGCGTCGTCAGGATCCGCATATAGAAAGTCTCGGGCGGCTCGTAGAAGGGCTCGCAGTCATCCTCGTGCGGCGCGCTCGGCGACCCGGGCGGGATGGGCTTGGGATTCGGGTTCGACGGGCCGTAGACCTGGTCGGCCGGGAAGACGACGCCGCGCTTCGTGTCGAGGACGTGGTTGTCGAGCTGCTCGGCGGCCTTGGCGCAGCACATGAGCACCTCGTAGTAACCCCTCTGCCACGGCTCAGACTTGGCTGTGACATCGTAGCCGGACTTGCCAATACCATCAATATACATGCCGCCCTCAGTCAGGTCCTGCAGGCCGGCACCGTCCACATTCGGGTCCTCGAGCCGCTCGAGGATGTTCTTGGCGTAGTTGGCAATCTGCACCCAGTTGGGCTCGGGAGTGTCGTTGCGGTCCGGGCCCCAGCGCATGAGGCGGAAGCGTAGGCGTGTGACGAAGCGCCATTCGTGCGGGCTGGGATACCGCCTCTCGAGCCACTCCTGCTGGATGCTGTAGTAGGCGACGAGAAGGAAGGCCCCGATGGCCCAAGTGTAGACGATGTACTTGAAGCCGAGGAAGACCTCGTAGGCCAGCCATCGCTTGCGCTCCGTGGTCAGGTACCGAAACTGCTGGCTCCGACGCGCCAGCGGCACTGAGAGAAAGGGCAGCTGTGGCCGGTTCTGGGAGCTTAGGTTCGTGTGTCGGGTGAAGAAGCGGGTTGCGCCTGTGGATGATGCCGCCGTAGGCTTCGCAGGCGGCAAGACGAGCACCCGCCGGAGGAGTATTCGCGACTGCATCTTTACTCGTCTGTGTCTTCCCAGGCCGGGCCTATGCGAAGCTCAACCAGTGTTCCGTACTTCAGGTAGCGTTGGTTGTCGATGTTCAACGAATGGCATACAGAAGCAGAGCCAGGCGTGGCTTAGGCCATTGTATCCCGTAGACCCAGACACAGGACCTGATCCGTATTCCAGTGTGATTCGGCCTCCCTGCTGGGTGTCGAAGCTGTAGACCTGCAGATGGAGGACTATTGCGGAGCTGCGTTCCAGCGTTCCTTCGTCGACGTTAAGTTAGTAGGTAGGCGTAGCTTGTGTGCGGGTCGCTCGACGCTTTTCCTGGAGGTCCAATTGACCGGCAAGGTTTCGCTGCCAAGACCCAGGCAGGACCCGAAGACATCCCCACCCACCATAGAGCCCCCACAGCACAGTCCTGAGATTCAGCTGGTAGGTCAGAACATAATGCGGCAAATCCGCCCGAACGACGAGCAAGTCAAAGCGTCACCGTCTTTTGGCTAGCACATCGAGGCTGTGTTGGTGTAATGGTCAGCATTAGCGCCTTCCAAGCGCTAGATTCGGGTTCAATTCCCGAACACAGCACATCTCTTTTTGCACTTCTCGAGGCTTCAAACAAATGGAATACTCATGTGGGCTTGGTTCATTAGCATAACTGCAAAATGGGTTTTTGCTTGTCATGTTTAGTCACGTCGCCAAAGGCCTGTGCGCATACTATCAACAAATGTGACATACTCGTCTTGCAAGTAGACGGCATAGAGGTATCACGGCAGAGTTATAACAAGTTCGTTGGAGTAACCTGGTTGGACGAGAGACGCTGCTTTGGTAGACTGATCTCCGGTCTGTCCATAAGTAGTGACTTAGCGTGGTATCAATCTTCTTCCACATTATCCGCAGATACTAGTTTCATACTTTACTACTTAGTTTAAGCCCAGACCTGTATAATCGTAGCGCAGTATACATCAAGCCTGACGCGCATGTGGACACGCCGCAGTATAGCCACAACGCTGGCCAGCTCAAGGGCTCGGAGGTCCCGAGTATGGCACCTGCGCCAGGGCCGCCGATGAGCAATCCGAATGCCATCATGCCACAGCCCATACCAATGCGGGTACCAATCATGCTCTTGTCTCTTGTCAAGGGCACAAAACACACTGCGGGCATGGAGACGAAGACGCCGCTGAAGAAGCCTGCCAGCACTGTAAGGGCGATGAGAGATGCTTCTGACCCCCGGGCCGGGATCATGCAAAACGCCAAGATGCCTGTGACAATAGCACACGGCGCCATGATGTTGAACGGCCCAGTAATGTCGGACAGGGCGTTGGGTAGAACCCTACCGAGGCATGATGCCGTGTTGAAGATAGACACTATATAGAAGGCCATGCGAGCGTCGGTCGTGTTTGTATTGGCAGCGTAAAACGAAAGGTAAAACAGAAGCGTAGCCATCCCCATGAACCCAATAAGAGTGGCTACAACAAAGAACATGAACGGGAGGTCAACGAAGGCAGACCAGTCGAAGAAAGCCCGAAGCCTTGGCGGTGTCACACGCATCCGCATGACTACCAAGGGCATAAGCAGGGTCCCAAGGGCGATAAATCCCAAGACGCGAACCGACCAGGCAAAGCCGATTCGGCTCAATGACTGGTCCAGGACGATTGGGTAGATGACGCCGCCGATTGAGGACCCAGATGAAGCCAGCCCGACCGCGAGGCCCAACTTCCGACTAAAGTACGTAGGAAGGATGGAGATGCACGGGACGAAGAGGCAGCCAGCTCCAATGCCGATGCAGAACCCTTGGGATAGCATGGCCTGCCAGTACTCCGTACATATGCTCAGCATCATGTGTCCAAAAACGACAGCGAACGAACCAACAGCTAACAAGAGCCGGAGGTGTCCCCTATCGTAGACCGGGCCGACAAGGAAGCCCACCAAGAGAAGGAGGAAAGCCTGAACAGCTCCAATCCACGAGATCTCTGAAGATGACGCCGCGAACAGAGTGCCGGATTCATAGTAAGTCTGGAAAACACCAAAGGTGTTGAGAATGCCCCACGAGTTGAAGAACAACATGAATCCGCCAGCTACGTGAAGCCAGGCCAGAAGGCCGCCATCCGGTGGTGGACCGGCATCTGAAGCCCCGCGCGAGACCGTGGGCTGGTGCAGAGGTTCGTGCGAGACGGTGTTGTCTCTCTCTACTGGGAACGTGTGGCTCTCCGTTGGAACTAGCTGGTCCTTGTGAAGATCATGGCTGGCCATGTGTTATAGTAGTTTAAAAGGTCCTTCTGCAGATGTGCAATTGGGAAGACCATACGAGTATAAGAGGTGTTGAACTGTTGGACAGAGTTTGGGCTGGGCTTAACAGAACGTGCAAGAAGTGCATGCAAGGGATATACGACGAAGTTGAATGAGAGGAGGACAGGCGAAAACAGATGTGGGTCACTTGGATGTTGGACCTGCGACCATCATTTGAGGTCGTTCTATTGGTCCTTACGCCCAATGGGCAGGGGAAATCTGTATCTTTGTTTCTACGTATTCATACACCTGAGGTTGTATCAGTTATCTACACTTTGTGCCGCTCTTGTGCAGATTAGGGCCTCGATACACAGCATGTCTTGGCTATACTGGAGGTGAACAACACGGGACCTGAGTTACTAGATGAGGTCATTGGCCAAACGCAGGGACGCTCTATTCCCCTTTGATCGGATGAGCACATGTCCATATGCGTGACCCGAGAAACGATGAGTATACACGTAATGCAGTGTGACTTGTCCATTATTTCTTGCATTTTTGTGATAAATGGATGTGCAAGCGTCGAAGATCAAAGTTCAAGTGACAGGAGTATAAAGCGGGGCAACTTCCACTCAAGGAAGAGGAATTCCCGGTTTTGGAATAAGGGATTGATATGTTGGCAGTTGGCTGCGTTGTTGCGAGCATGCCTTGCATGTAAAGCATGGACCAATCAGCTGCCACGCTCATAGTAACCGGATATTGACGAAGCTGCAGTCGCGAGAACTTCACAGCCAACAGAACCATGTAACACTAATTTTGACGCAAGGCCGTGCCATGCAGCACTTACCACGGAGCATATGCGTCTACAGGGGAAACACAATGCTCGTTCTTCCATCAATAGGTCAATCCTCCGCTGCAGTGCATATAGTGTCACCCTGGAATGATCAGAGAACATGACCAAGTGACGTCCAAGGCGTTCTGGCATAAACCAACATCTTCGTCTTGAAGACCGGCAGGTTTTACCCCTTAGCACAATCCACCCTCGCATCTCAGAATATAGTTCGATAGAAATAATGGCGACTAACAAGCCAGTCATACTCCTCGCCCACGGAGCCTGGCACGCACCCAGCTTGTACGACCCCCTCCGAGATGCCCTCGCAGCCCGCGGGTACGAGCTTCTGGTCCCGGAGCTCGCCACCCTAGGGGCGGGCAAGACCGGCATCGGCTGGGACGCCGACGTGGCCGTGCTGCTCGAGACGGCGGCGCCGCTCTTCGCGCAGGGCCGCAGCGTCGTGCTGCTGGGTCACTCGTACGGCGGCATCCCCGCCTGCATCGCGACGCGCGGGCACGGCGTCGAGGAGCGGCGGGCGGCGGGGCAGAGCGGCGGCTTCAGCCAAGTGGCCTTCCTCTGCGCCTTTGCGATGCCGGCGAAGGGCATGAGCGTCATGTCCGTCTCGGGTGGCAGCTGGCTGCCGTGGCACAAGGTCATCGAGCTCGGGCCGGGGAGGGTGAGTCGGTCTTCTCATGTTCTGTCTTTCGTGTCCAAGTCGGCACCCAGAGGAGGTATGTCTGCTCAGATTGATCTAACACGAAAACTAGAACCAGCTCTTCGTAAATGAGAAGGCCAAAGATCTGCTCTACAACGACTTCCCCCCGGACAGGGCCCAGGCCGCCTTCGACAGCTTGGTGCCCAGCTCCTACGAAGCCTTCACCACGGGTGTTGACTTTGCCGTGCCGGAAGTCGCCATCCCCAAGGCGTATATCGTATGCGAGGGCGACGCTCTGTTTCCTCCCGAGCACCAGAAGGCCCTGGCAACTGCCTGCGGCGAGGATCTCGTGCAACTGAGCGTCAGTGGAGGCCACAGCGCGTTTGCCAGCGTCCCTGAGGAGCTCGCAGATGTCTTGTCTCAACTCTTGGGAGGCAAGCCACGATGAGGTATGGGGGCAGAGAGGTACACTTCACTGGCACTTCATAGGCGTTTCATAGCGGGAGTCTCGGATAGAATTTTAAGCAAATCCGACTTGGAAACCGTGTCGAGTTGGAAACTGTGGTCCCTGCTCGATTCATACGATCGGGAAATTTGACTATGAATACGACAGTTGTTTTGCGATGGGTGGACTAAGTAGCTAACCGGTGTCCGCCCATCCTTGTAGAGCAAGATCGTATAAATAATAACTGCAATCAAGGATCTTGAGTTGCTGTTCCTTTGGAGATGGGTGGTAAATTCACTTGTATTAGCTCGTACCTGGGTGCCTCTTTGTCTGTCTCACTAGCCATTTATCTTTTACCTGTTCACACAATAACGAACTCGAGGCTTTAAAGGTCTGGCCAGCACCCAGGAGTATGAGCTCATAAGTATATCAGGTAAAGCAAGGATATCATTGGAAGGAACGTGGGTATAGTGCATAAGCTATGTAGTACAAAAAGTCAAGATGCGAACCGGGGATTCGAAGGAGTGTACTCGATTTTGATCCTAAGCATCCAGCCCTCGGGTTCTTTCTCCTTTTTCGGGTGATACAAGAAATTCATCCCATCTTTCTGAACAGGGATAAACGCCGATAAACATGTACTTCATGTAGCCAAGGCCATTTCGACTTGGTACATTTTAAGACACCGCAGGCAAGTTAGGGTGCTTTTGTTGCTACATCAGTTCTGCCATTCTTTCTAAATGTCGATCGCCGCTTATGCCTGGTTCTCATCAGTCTTGGTATTTTGCGCAAGACCTTCCTCCAGGTAAGCAGGCGGGGCCTCGATGTCTTCCTCCTGGTTTGCCATCAAACCAGCCTTCTCGTCACTGGCAGCCGGCTCCTTGAGCGCAGCCTTGCTGTGAGAGCGGCCGCGTCGGTGGTGGTGGCGGCGAGAGCTGGTAGGGCGAACAACGGCGCGCCACACGTAAACGATGGCAGTTCCGATCATCATGCCGAGTATGCTAGCCAGGACACCGGCAGCAATACCGACGGCGATAGGCAGCAGGATGTGCGAGGCGATGTTCTTGAGCAGGTGGCTCCATCGGTGTTCGCGGTGGGCCTGGGCGTGGAGAGACGAGTGCGGGTGACGGTGAACACCGTCCAGCTGGCCGGCGGCGTGAGCCGGACGGCGACCGCCGCAGTGGCCGCTGCCGCGGACTCGGCCCAGCTGCTGCAACAAGGCGGCCCTCCACCTGCACAGCATGGTGGTGCATTCCTTCTGCTTGTCCATGGGGGTCTTGTGGGCAGTTTCCGAGGCGGTAGCGCGGAGACCACCAAGCAAGAGACCGCCCTCGGGGGTCTTGATCAGCTTGAGCTCGACGTTGGGGATGCCGTCGACAAAGACGTTTCCAACCTCGATGACCTGAAGGTCAACCTGAACCAGCTCCATGTTGTCCTCCTGGCTCTTGGCGATGGTTGACGAGCGGAGACCGAAGCCCAAGGGGTTTATGATTGGCTGGTGGTGCTTCCTGTGACCGGGGAGCTTGTGCTTCCCTTCATGTCGATCTGGCAAGACCTGGGCAGCGAGTATGTTGTGCATGGGGTCCGACTTGGGGTAGAGCTCGAAGCCGTTCAACATCAGACGATCGTGGTCGACGGCGTGGTCGATACTGAAGTCCAGCTCCAGGTGACTGGGGATGTCCGTCAGCACCTCGACGTCGGCGCCTTGGCTCTTGCGGTGGCCGACGGGCACGGGGCAGCCCGGGCAGGCCAGCTCGAGCTTCTGCACCTCTGCAGTCCGGGGGGCGGTGAAGTCGGTCTCGACAGGAACGGGGAGGGTGGTGATGACATCGTTGTCGGATGATTCGGGAAGAGGCAGCAGGAAGGCGGTGGTGGAGACCGCCAGGCCCGCGGCGGTAATCAGTGGCGTCAACTGCATGGCGCGCATGTGTGTGATTTTGATTCGTAGGAGGTGGTGGTTAGGAGATCATCAAAGGGAAGAGTCAGAAACGAAAAAAAAGAGAAAGAGGCTTGTCTGGTGTGTTTTGGGAATGTGGGTTGATGGGAAAAGGGAAAGGGAAGATGGGCAACAGTAGAGTTGAAGGGCGTCAGTGAGTGCGGGTGGTTACTAAGATGGGGATGGATCAAGTGACGACTGGAGGACTGGAGGACTGGAGACGTGACGAACCCTTGAACCCCCTTCTGCCTTTGTTAGTTAGCACCGGGAGTCCTACCTAGCCTTTGTCTGAGGTCACTCTTGTCTCCCCCCATCTTCCCCCCCCCCCTCCTCGACAACTGTGTCAGGCCCCTGGCCACGCCCCCCCAGGGCCCCACACCAGCCACTTGGCACCCATTGGCACCCGAGCCTCCGGGCCCAGGGCGATCTCGCCTCGCAGACGGCTTCGGCTGGCAGACCCTGCCCTGCGGCCGCTCAGCTTCTTCCAGGTTGTCCAAGGGGTCGTCCTCTGCCAGCTCTTGGTAGGTGAACACCCCGTAAGTTGCAGCACCGTCCCCCGTAGCCGTGCTAGCGTCAGTCCAGGCGGGCTTCGGGTAGGCTGGCCTGGCTGGTGGGGTATCAGGCTCCGCTCCTGGCGACGTTTGACGTATGTACGCGCGGGCACGCTTGGCTCCTTCCAGCAACGCCTTCAGCTAGCGTCCAGCTAACGCCTCGCTCGGGGCCCTCCACCCTGCGACCGGTTCAGCTGGTGCCTCGATCGATAATATAATGCAATGCAGACAGGTGTGCACGAGGAGCAGATGTGGGAAAAGACACCGTCCCTTGACTCCCGACACGTCCGTTCATTGATTGACCACATAATTACTTTATCAGGTGTACCACGAACTGATTAGAGCAATTCTCTAGCTGTTTATGTGAATTGCTCAGGTTGATCAAGTGCATTGCGCAATCAACCGAAGATCATGCTCCTTATAACCTTCGCACCCTCGCAAGGAAAAGCAAAATTGGAGAGGATCTTACTTTTGAACCGTCCATCGTTATCAACCCAGAAAGAGCAGTTGCTTTGGCCGACAACATTATTATGCCTTCCTCGTGACGTACTGGTCGGGTTGGACACAGGCTCTGATAAAATGCACCATGAATTCTATAGTTCCGTCTTTAGAATCGCTACAATGACAAAACCCATTGGAGGGACGTGCGATCAAAGGGGCTGTTCTACAGTTGTGAACTGCTCCACACGTGGTGCCTTGAGAGTCACTAATGCAATCTTGATCTATACCATGCCGTACGGCTCGTGTGTAGGCACCTCCTCCTATGTCGGTAATCGCCTACAACTGATGTGTTGCCTACAGACAGCCCGATTCTGAGCAGTCTTCAATGGGGGACCATGCGTCGCAGCTTTTCCAGTATGTCTACGAAGTATTCATGGCAGTTTTGGATGGAGAGATTCTATAGTGACTCTGGATTCACCAGACACATAAGTGATCGAAATGGCCAACAGAGCCCAGCCACAACAACACTGTAACATTCACATCATTGGTAATTCGTTAATCAGGAATGCCGAAAGTAATTATTAGTCTTCACAGAAACAAATACCCTCCCCCGTCCTCTTTCCCCTAACCAAACACAGATAGGAGGCACTCTATCAAAACGCTGAGAAAAAAGAAACCCCCACCAGAGAAGAAGAGCGGCAATCTAACTAGGCACAATGTCTATAGATCCCCAGAACACTATCAAACACTCGTGTACCGAGGAAAAATCACCCTCACCTACATGTACGTCAGAATCGGGGTCGGGATCAGGAACGGGAACACCGTCAAGTTCCAGTTCCAGCTCAGGCTCTAGCTCTAGCTCAGATTCCAGCCCCAGTCCGACCAGTACAGGCGGTAGTAGTCCGTCCCCCTATACATCCTCCGGTACAGGACCCGAGACTTTCATGGGAAGTCCAGGTTTGTGACTCTTCAGGCCTTGAAGTATCATTACTACCATATCTAACGGGCTCCAAAGAGGTGGTGTAACTATAAGGCCCTTACTGTGCGCCTCATAGAAGCGTACCAGTTATTGGTCAAACAACCGTTGTAAAACAAAATCGAGGAATTCGAAGCCGTAGACGAAATTACCGAGGGCTACCTAATTGAACATCATCTAAAACATCGAGAACCTTCTACAATTGCTGAAAACATGAGAAAATGGAGATAGTTGGCTGTTCTTCGTACCAACTACAACTGTAAAACACCCCTGGAATGAGCTCGAGAGTCTTTGGCAAGGGCGAATGCATGGTCATTCTCAATGAAACTGACAGCGGTCAGCATAAGTAGGTCCATATCAACATGGAAGAAATCTAGTGTGCCAGTGTCAGGGAAATATTGTAGACATTCAATTTTCGTTCTTTCATTCAGCGTTCTCTAGTACGCAGTTATGGCAGCTTCCGCGCTTGGGATAGGGAATTTTCCCTCTACTTCTAGATAGTTCATGCAACGCCTCCTTCTCGTCATGGTGGTCGACATGGCCGCGCAACGCTTACAACAAAGGCCTTTGATCACAAGTTGGCAACAAGGACGGCAACCCAAACTGGAACTCGCCATGGACGCTTTGAGCCCTGCATCTGCCGCTGTCTTCCAAATGACCGAGGAGGCATCGGGGAATCACATTTCACAAGCCAAGACGATCTATCGGCGCGATGCCATACACAGAACTCCCCGAGCCCCCGCAGGTGAGTCCGGTATCTCCAGACCAATACGGCGAGAAGCCTCTCCCAGATCCGTCAACAGTCTCGCCGCTCTCGACAACGGGGAATCCGCATAGACCCTGGCAAGCCTTCTCCGCTTACCGCTCCGAAGGGAGGCGAGATGGTGTCGGGTCGAGCCACCTGTCGGAATACTGCTACGACGAACGAGCCCACGAGAATGATGAAAGCAGCCGGTACGGGGAGGAGGAGCCGGACCTGGCGGCGCAGCTGCGGCTTTCCGCCCGGCTGACACTAGGCGAGGTGCCGCTCACGCCCGACGACTCGGTCAGCCAGACGGCGTCGCCGTACCGGGCCAGCCGGGCGAGCCGGGCCTCGCATCGCTCCCGGTCCCAGCCGGGTGCCAAAAACCAGAGCCAGCAGGGCTGGGAAGGGCAGAGGACGGAGAGTCTGCCCCGGCAGTCGGAACGAGGTACGCTGGAGCGGCGTGATTTTGGGGGAGGTTCCAGCGCGTCGAGCTCCTCGGTGAGGGCGGTCAGGTCCAGTGATGGGAGAGGCAGAGGTGACGGCGGTGGCGGCGGCGGTGTGGAGGTCGTCAGGACAAAGGATGGCAGACTGGCGCTGGCCCGGAAACCGAGGCGGTTCTTTGGGTATAAGTTGCGAATTGGCTAGACTGCAAGACACCCATGCAAGTGAATCATACGCAACAGACGTGCAAATAATAATTTAATTGAAAATTTGGCATTCAAGATTTGATGCTATGTATATCAGGGTATCTAAAGCGGTTCGGATGTCTATCAGGATGTGTTCAGGTACTACCACCTGTGACTTGGTAGAGTTAGATGGATCCTAGGTAACGTCTGAAGCACACTATAAGTCGTCGTAGTTCATGACAGCAAATTACCTGACAATTTTGAGCAGTATGACGTAGGAACGCAGTGGCTGAACAGTCACTATATGTGGATTGCACAGTATTTTGACAGTAGGATCACATAGGTGTGAAGGTCTCTATGAATTATTTGCTAGACAATTGTAAGACTACAGTGTTTCTTCAGACATCGGGTTTCCACGATATAGTGCAAAGGTAGATAGTGTTGTGGTTTGGTATGGTAGGGCCAATCAGTGGTTGTGCAACACCGGACTAAAGTAGGTCTCATATTGACGTGATCGAAGTTGAGCCTCTGCCATGGTCGGGATCGCCGCGTGTTCGGTCGTTCTTTCTAGAGCAACGCCCAGCCAAATAACCCATCTGCCTCAATCACCAAAGACGCGCCGAAGAGTTGTATAAATAGAACAAAAGACCCAGCCGCCTCTCGTGAGCAGCCGGAAGTCGGCACGCAATGCCACGACAAGGAATCGAACGAAATAATGCAAACCTTGGCTTCGTGGATCGCTACAAGTACCACGTCTTGATCGGGAGCTATATCGCCTTGACGTCTGTCTTCTTCTGGCGCGTGCATCGGCAGCCCTACAGTCGGTCCATCAAAGCAGAACAGTACGAGACAATATTCAAGGGTACCACGCTGGCGGCCGTCGTCGCGGGAGTCGCCGTCAGCAGCAGCGGACGAGAGAAATATCGGAGACCCAGGGAGGGTGCATGACCTGCCAGACGTAGATCCTCAGGAATCACTGCGGACTGGATTTGAGAACGGGATCAAACATGTTTGAAGGAAAGCTATATAGCGAAGGTTAAGAGTGGAGGGCCGCCGTCCCGGGTGGCACCACATGGCACCATGCTGAGAATGGGATACTTTGCGCGCAAAGAGATGATCGGCGGACGGCAGGACCAAGCATTCCACTCCGACGCGACCAAGAGTCTTTGCCTCGTCCCATCTATCAGCGCTGTCAATGCCTCCAAGAGCGACCAGACGTAGATGACCAACGGCCAAAGGGTCTCTGGGCATTGCCCAAATAGGAAGTCCCCACAGTGCAAAAGCGGCTGCCGACAGGGCTGCCTCAGGTGTCCTCATTGGGCGAGGAGGGGCCCCGTAGCCTGAAACCGACCTGGCACAGCCAATGGTCTGCAGTTAACTCTACTTGCAGTCTGCGGTAACTCTGGTAATGTTCAGGTGCTGGCAGAAAGAAGAACGAAACCCTCCCGTTTGTCCTCACTCAACTCCTCTGCGTTGAACTTCAATAGTTGAGCAAGCACGCATGAGAGTGGGTGCCCATGCTAGATCATCGGTATCCATTTCGTTGTGTCTAGATTGACTTGGTCACCTTATCGTAGGGCGAACAAGCCCAGGTGGGTTATTAAGACTTGAGGTCTAGACGCTCGAAGCCTGAGCACGGACTGCGTTGTGATGAGACACGTCCCAGAAGTCTATCTTGACATCGTCTTCTCAATTTGGTCAATTGCAGCCGGGCTGTCGGTTGTCGGCCATTGCATACAAAGCAAAGGCCCGTGTCTTTTACACATTTGCAAGGGAACCCCCACTGATACCGAGTGTTTGTAGTTCACGCGTGCGCTACAGCTTTCTTCACGTCGAGTCAGTCAACCTCTGGACTTAAACTGGTCATATCCCGTCGGCCCCACCCATGCATTGGCTGCCATGGCTGTACTATGGTATAGTTTGGACTATCGTCTGGTCTTCTTGGGGCCCAGGGAAACAGCACACGTTTCGATACGGCGTGTCATGGGCTCATCCTGCAGAAAAGTCTCCTGCGTCCAGAAGCCCCAAGACAGTCAAGCCAGCCAGTACAGAGGAAAACAACAGTGAGATTAGCGTATAACATTGGGACACAGAGCCGAGACAGTCCGGCTCGTCGTGTGAGATTACGGCTCGGAGCTTGGGCGTTGCAAAGCGCCTTGTTGTGCCTCGAGACCTTTCATTCAGGCGAGTCGAGTCGTAAACTTTCATCTCATCAAGACCAGCCAGACCGTTTTGCCGAGCACAAACCCCAGTCGCCTTGTCGTGCAAATGTCATCGTCCCGGGTTCTCGTTGACATTACGTACGACCAGCACAGCCGCTGTCCGTCCAAACAGTCGCACACGAGGGACTGTGTTCGACCTGAGGCGAGCTGTCGCGCCGTGGATCGCGCATGGCACTGGACTTCTGGAGGATATTCGCGCTGTTAAATACGAGCGGTGTTGGCGCCTGCGGGTGGCCCAGGAAACCCAAATGACTCCTCTTCCCCAAGGACGCCATGGATCGAAGTTGATGACCTGGGCCGCTAAGGTTCGGGCCATTCTGTCCATCCAATACGACCCTGGTGCCCCTGATTATTTCTCCGCTTTGCCCATCGTAGGGTAGAGGACTGGAGGGTGGCAGGTACAGCAGGTCGAGCAGGTGAGCCAGGTCAAACCAGACGACGACGCAGGTGATGTGATGTGAACCGGGATCTGAGGTCGACGATGGCCCTGCAGGTGATGACGCTAGTGTTTCCAATTGGTGAGGCACTCCCGTGTGATTCGCTGCAGAAGCCACTTCTGCAGGGACCGCAGAGTTTTAGACAAGGGACCAGGCACCAGACCAGGGAACGGATGCAACCCCGGACGACCACAGTTGAAGAAAAGGCTGGAGTCTGGAGGGGCTCGGGCTCCCTGGGTTCCATTGGAGCGCCCCAGGGCGTGAGCGAGAGCGAGAGGACGAGTCGGGCGAGCGTGTGCGCTGTGTGCTGCGAGTGCCGTGGTCGCTGGCTGGCTGGCCGTGGGCTGTCCCGAGGGGAGGTCGTATATCTGAACGGCGCAGATTGTGGCGTGCATGCTTACTGCAGACCCAAGATTCCCACCCCTCGGCTATGATCTGCCCTGGGCTCTCGTCAACGCCTCCTCCTGTCATCTCTGTCAGACCGTCCCGGCCTCCGATTCTTTTCTTGTTCTTTGCCTTCCGCAATAAGCAGCGAACGTCATGTGTAAGTGTGTGCTGGCAATGCAACAAGAGTCGCCGTCCCGCGCCCGAGCTGGACGGGCACACCGTCGCGCCTGGCAAATCAGCACCGGCCGTACAAGGATGGGCGTTCGCGGCATGGTCGATCAGTAGCGTGCTGGCCACAGCCGGCGGGTCTGAATGGTTGTCGCATCTTTCCACCTTGCCCACCGTAGTCCGCCCACCTAAATTTGGCCCAGACCTCCATCGCGATTGCATGGACCCAAAGACGGGGCGACCAGGGCGACCAGGGCTCCCCGTCCGCTCCTTGCTCGTTAATTGAGATTGAAGTCACGATTCCTTCACTGCATGGGCAGTCAACCAGAGATCCTACCGACAATTGTCATTTCCGCAGGGCCAAGGCCACGGACCAAGGTCGACCAAGTAGTCCCAGCCGTCGTTCGCCGCTCGCATCCTCTCCGCCCGTCTGTCTATCTCTCTTCTCCTCCATCTCTGCTCTTCTGCATCGTCCCGGCCGTCGTAGCCAGAGGCTTCATTCAGCTCTATTATCGCGTAGGCGGACACTAGCTGTCTGAGCGTATGCATTGAGGTGCAGCCAAGGACACCCGGTTTTTTTTTCTTCTCTTCGCCTACCTTCTTTTGGTCGCCCTGGTTCGGTTCGCAAGAACTCGCTGTGCCTTTTTGGGGATCTTGACGATCCCGGCGGTCTTTCGACGACTATTCTCTCGTTTACTTCCGACCCCGACGCAACCAGCACGCCTCGCCATATTTTCAAACGTAGGGTCAGCTCACGTAACCACGCGCAAGAAACTGCTGCGAACGCCCTTGCTGAGGTCGATTGCCTGATTGTCTCTTGATCGCCACCCTCCAGACATCAAACCAGTCCAGGGGCCTGAGGCTCTCTCCGCGTGTCTTCCTTGGCCCGACTCCCGCAGTTCTGAAACACGAAGAGTATCTTCCACCACGCCTCCCCACCAGCACCAACCAGCCAGCACCAGCACCAGCACCATCACCAGCACCAGCACCAGCGGGATTTGGCCACGCTGTGCGACCGCGTGTTCCTCGACCGCCCTGCAACTTGGGTCACTCACTGTTGTCGATAACGGACACCGCTGAGAGAACTCTGGAAGCCCACCCAAGCCACGTGTGAACCACAGTTGCGCCGTTTGTCGTATTAGTTCTTATCTTGCCTTATACGAGACTCGAGTGGTACAGCCCAGGGCTAGCCGGCTTTGCCTTGCTTTCGACAATAGAGTTGCCGTCGGCACAACGCGCATTCTACCACCGCGGTGCATGGGAAGGGTCACTGACTCTCGAAACAACAAGCGTACGTGATCTCTGTTTTCGTACCCTACCTGCGACCAGCCTGTTAGCTGTTCCCTGCTTGACGGGCCACGCTGGAGCCGGCTTAGTGGTCCCAGTCCTTCTTGCACCGACCCAGTCACTGTAACAGGGGTCGTTCTCGTGGTCTGTCGTCGGAAGCTGAGCTGGTTCCCTCGAACACCTTTCAGGAGCCTTGTCTACCCTCCCTCTCCAGTTGACGTTCCATATTCTGTTACCTGCAGCCTGGTCTTGCTGACTTTCAATTCTTTTTACCTGTGAGCTAACCGATGCCTACAGTTCCGTGCGTCCTCGTGGCATGCGATAACCACAGTACATACTGGTTCTCGTTTCTTGTTCTACCATTGGTGTAGACCTTCCATTCCTTTTTTTACATCTTATTCGCAATCTTTTTGCAGCCTTGCTATAGATCTCGTCCGTTCGTTCATTTGTCCTTCTTGCCACCTGCATAGTCAAGTCTCTTGAGGTTTGACAGACATCAGCACAATCGAATACACCTCAAGCGCGCGTTTGCGATAATAGAACAATTTGGGTTGCGGATCATCCGTCAGCATCAAACGCAAACGAACTATCGACTATTTGTTCTCGGATTGAACCGACGCGTACCCGACAGGTTGTTACACCGGCCATTGAAGCTGGGGACTTGGTTCTGAAGCCCGCGCACATCGCCTATATAATTCGACCTTCGCCGCCTGTGAATTGGAAAAGACTGGTGCTGCGCCGTGGAATGCTTTGGTTGAGAACCTGGGAGCGGGTCCCGGACTGTCTGGAATAAATGAGTTGGACTCAAAATGGGAGAGGAATGGATCAGTCATCTGGACAAGGAGGATCCGTAAGGAGAGCAAGAGAAAGAGCAGAGGCAGCAAGGGCGGGACAGGAGCCGCTAAACCCGATACCACGCTTGCCCATTAGGAATCCGAACAATGGAGCAAGCAAGCCACAAATACCAGCAGCGCTGCAGTCGCGGGACGGCAATATTGGTTTGGCGATATCGAGACCGACGCCGGTCCCTCAGTGGCCACTAGCCGGGCCTCTCTCGTCACCAGCAACCTCGGAGGGATCGGAGCCATATCGGCCGCCTGCTGGCTCATCACCGCCTCAGAGACCGCCGCGACCGAGCAGGGTACCCTCAATCCTAGACGGCTCTCGTATTCAGGACCCAACACCAAGTTTCCAGTACACGCCACAAAACCCGAGGGTATCAGAACTTTCCGTACCCGAAACTCCGGCCACATCATCCTCGAGAGACTCTTCAGTTGGATCTATCCCAGACTTTCCTCTGCCTGTGACCACTCCAAGGGAACCGCCGAGGAGGAGCGTGAATCTAGGGCCGCCGCCGTCCTCCCGACGAGGCAACTCGTCGTTTTATTCAACAGCATCGTATGTGTCACCGATTCCGGAGGAGAGCCCCCGGACGCGGTCATACGCATCATATGCTTCGAGCGCAGCAATTCCTGCGAGCTTTGGAACTACCTCGCCAGGCCTGAGTCATAACGACGAACACGATTTTTACTACGATGACACGATAGCGGAAGAGTCTGTCTATAGCGACGATGCCGACGAAAGGGGCCTTGTTCGGAGTGCAAGCATCGGGAAAAGGGGCAAACCTTCACTTGTGACGACAAAAAGCTCGGAAAAAGGGGAGGTAGTCCCCATCGTGCTCCCGATTCGACCTACGCCAAAACCAGTGCAAGGAGAGCAAGGATCTCCATTCTTGGATGGAACGGGTTATGTAGATGGTTCAAGCTCGTCATCGGGCGCTGCGTCATCTCAGGCCCCAGCGGTTGGGGCTGCGTTGACCACAGACAACATGCTTGGTGCTTTCGAAGCTGCTAGTGCAACAGACCCCTCGGCAGTAAGGAAGGCTACACCGTCGCCAAAGCCCTTCAGGTTATCCGCCCTCCGACGACCACCGCGACTGGACATCGATGCTGTGAGACAGGCAGAGGCCCGAGGCAGCTTGACAAGTTTGCCCGATCTTATCAAACGTGCAACCCGCTTAGCGGCCATGATGGACAAGGGACGGAGACCGGCCAGCCGTTTCGATGACCTTGATTTTCCCGAGGAGATGTATGGCCGGGATCCGGAGAAGGAGCTTTCTTGTAGGCCATTTGTCGTCATTTCATACTTTCCACCAGAACTAACAGAAGTACAGACGGACAAGAAAAGCACCAATCCGGCCTCTCCGATATGCTTGCTGCTTTCCCCCCTCCAGCCCAGGCGCGAAGCCGGCAGAGTATGCGGCAGAGCGGCGCGTCCTGGCCGCTGCCCTTCGCCGCCAGGAGGTCGTACATGGGTGGCCCCTCGCCTGGAGACCGCGCCATGAACAACGATATGTCTCCTGGTCCGAACCAGGAAAAGAAAGGACGTCGGTGCTGTGGGCTACCAATGTGGGGTTTCCTGCTCTTGATGTTCGTTCTGTTGCTGGTCATCGCAGCTGCTATCGTTGTTCCCTTGGAGTTTTTCGTGATACAGAGGCGGAATAACACCGCAGGCAACGCGCAGTCCGAGGTGTCAGATTGCCAGGCGCAGCTCAACTGTGCCAATGGAGGTACAAACGTTGTCACCGACGGAGTGTGCTCATGCATCTGCTCGAATGGATTCACTGGAAATGACTGCACTGTCTCCAGCAGCCAAGGATGTACCACTGCGGCTTTGTCTTCTACCGATACGACTCTGAGCAATGTCACCCTCGGCACAGCGATACCTCGCCTTGTTCAGGAAGGCCAGACAAATTTCTCATTGCCTCTGTCGGCCACGTCAATCATCTCAAAGTTCAACTCGGCGAACTTGTCGTGCGTCGCTGAGAATGCGTTGGTGACTTTCAACGGCCAGTCGACACGTCTATCGAGTGCGGCACTTACCGAATCCGACGTAGACCCAGCCTTAGTCAGAGCTGGCAATGCAGTACCTGTCACGATTACTATCTTGCCGGATGTCAGCATCACTCTGACACTTGAGAATCCTGCTGCTACGGGTGATCTGTCAGTCATCATCAGCACCCTCACGGAGCCGCTGCCGACCACTGGCTCGTTCTCAACAATACTGGAAACCACGATTACCAGGTCAGATACCGCACAGCCAACCACAACGACTGACGCCAGCGCAACTACCACCACAACGCCGACGACCACGTCGAGCACAGCTGCGCCGACTTCGACATTTGCGGTTTCTGACCAGGTCCTCGACTTCTCACGTGTAACTGTGTTATTCGTGCTGCAGTCGCAAACCTTGGAAAACGCAGTCACGGCGCAATCGAAGCTCCAGAATTTCTTTTCCAGCACCAGCTCGAGCGACGTTACCGTTGAGCAAGCCAGGAACGTCTCCATTGGGGCGGGAAATACTGTCGATCTCGTGAACTTCCTTGTCAGACTTTAGGACAGGAGAGACCTTGAGATCTTTAGCGGGCATGAGCCACTACCTTAGACGATAAATCTAACCAAGGCCAGCGACAGCGACCAGCCTGCGGCGACTTTGGGCATCTTTACAAGGCCGTTCTGATGGAAAATATAGGCATATCCTCATTTTTTGGCATTTCGCGAATCGAAGACCGCGGGGGCCGTCTTCCTGTATAAAACGACTATTTTTTTGTTCTTTTTTTTTGCCCACTTAATGTACCACTGTAAGCGAGCATCCAAATGCATGTGTTGGGCAGACTCTAGCGCGGCGTCGCAGAAGTGGGGCTTTGTAGATACCACAATCTTGGGGGGAATGTTTAATAGACTTACGATGGAGGTCTCATGGATTTTCCCTGTGCACTCGGTGACATGACAACCTGGAGGGAAACAACTCTGCGGAGCAGGGCGAACTTCCAGGGTTCTTATGCGATTCTACTGCCGGTCACTGGGGTTCCTGATCTGAGTTAAAGTATTGTCAGAGTTCAGTTCATGGTGTCGATCCTCCTTTCGACCCGGATTTTAGGTTCTGCAGCAACCGCCTCACGAGCCACTTCATAGTACGTGAGACTTGCAGATCGATCACCTCGATCCGTGGCCGCACTCATGCTATATGCACTTCAATTGGAAGTCATGACAACAGAACGCGAAAACATTGCTTGCCCAAAATCTAGCTCCCGTGATACAAGTAGTACGCATTCAGCGGCTTTCACCTTTTGCACTCAAGGCATCGGCAACTAACTGTGCGTTTCGTTTGTTGCCCAGCCTTCCACGTCTGGTTTACCCACAAGGTGCAACCTTACCCCTGAGATGACGACCCTGCACTGTTTTTATTCTGAGCAGCACCGCTAAGAGCAGCTTAGTGACTAACAGCCAATCAGAGCCACAGCGTCCCGCAACTAGCGACCCCGGCTGATCTGCAGCCAGGGTCCTTGCAGCCCTGACAGCTCCTTGGACTTGCCTTCCCGCCAACCCGCCTCGTGAACCTTGGGACGGCATTTGCACTGGACGGGGGTTGAGACGGGTTGGACGGCGCCGCTCGATGGAGCTGCCCAAACGTCATAGCTGGTGGGAATACTGGGGAAAGCGAACGAGTTGGATCTTTTGGGGGGGATCGTATTCTCGGGTCCTTTTCCCGGGATCGCAAGGAAAACTCTAAATACAATACCCCTACTGGGCCTCTCTCACTCGCGAGGTGGGCTGATGTGTATTTCATCGGTAGTATTGGCGCCTGTTCTCTGTTGCACTGCCCAGTATATCGCTACCGGCCTTCTCTGCTCCTCCCTCTCGACGATGTGACTCTAGCACTGACCAGTCTGCACCTTGACCATATTCAAGAATACGACCCTCGCTCGTTCCTTTGTTTTTCTTCAGTACACGCTCATTTCTAGCACATCCGGGGTTGTGCAGCTGCCCTCAGGAAGGGGACAACACCATGGCGCAGCACAGCTCAAACCCATTTGACGACAAGACGTATAATGTTTGTGAAACCTCACATTACACCAGAGGATTTTTGGTTTGTTATAGTAGCTAACACTCCCTCGTGCAGGTCTCGAGGCATGAGTCCAGCGTCCTGCCCGAAGTCATCACGACCTCGGCGCCCTCGGAGCCAGACTGCTATTTCACAGCCAAGGCGGTGCCGATGCGCACCTCTACGCTGGGCACGGGAGGAGCAGGAGCAGTCGGCTCGCCGTTCTCGCCCAACTCGCCCTACAACAGCATGATTTCGCCATCACAGTTCCCGCCGCCGCCGGGCCACAACCACCCAAGCTTCGTATTCCGGGACCCAGGGACCGACGTGTTCAACTCGAACTCGGGGAGAGACTCGACCATGACACTACCGACGCCCTCGCCTTCGCTCTTCCCTCAGCCGCCGACCATGACGGGGACGGCGACGACGCAGCTGCAGCCCATCCGGCCGCTGTTCGCCGCGTCCCGGGAGCAGCAAACCGTCTCGGTCGTCTCAAACGCCTCCTCGCTCCCCCCACCGCCGCCGCCGCCCAAGGAGAACCCCTTCCTGGGCGCCAGCGAGCAGCGGGAGCGGGAGCGGCCGCGCAGCTCCAAGGCCTGGCCGCTGCCGGCGCCGCTGCGACTCCACCGGCGGTCGCAGCAGCACGAGGAGGAACCGCTCCAGCTGCCGGGCTCGGGGGCGTCGCCGCTCCTCCCGCCCACCAGCCCCATCTCGCCGCACTCGCCCGTGAGCAACCCGACGCTGTCGCCGCTGACGATGCAGACGCTGGCGCACCTGTCGACGACGGCGCTGCGCAGCCCGTCGCTGACGTTTGTGGAGCCCGACGGCGGCAGCGGCGGCCACCGCCCGAGCAGCACGTCGCCGGGCCCGCTGACCGCCGAGCAGCGCGAGCGGCTGTGGGAGATGAAGCGCGCGCACGACTTGGGCGAGGACTACCGCGGCCGGCGGCGGAGCAACTGGGGCGCGACGAGGAGGAAGGGCGGGGGAGGCGGCCCCGGGGCCAAGAGCACGGCCAGGACGTACCTGTGGATCGGGCTCGGGCTCAGCCTGCTGGCCCTGGCTGGCATTGTGGGCTTGATCCTCGCGCTGACGCTCGGCCGCGGGGAATCGTGAGATGGGAAGGGCGTGGACGGACGGACAAGGCGGGCGTTGTGAACGAAGATTCGAAATCGAGGCTCCGCGACATGGGCCGGTCATTGGGCGTTTCCTGCGGGCATGGCGTAGCAGGATGGGCGACTCATGAGCACATGAGTAAGGCAGGCGGGTCTGGCGGTGAGCGAGCGGGAGTGATCATCACTCGATTCCTCAGGGAGTTTCCATATCATAAAGAAAGCGTGATTGCTGTGAATAAGGTCAACCATGGGTTTGGGATCGGGAGTTTGGGAGTACGGGAATACCTACCTATCTATTATACAAAGCTTTGTAACATCCAATGGAAACTGAAATTAGCCAACAACCGTCAGAACTCACCAACGCTTACATGATTGTCAGTCGGTGCCCATGTGCCTCAATCTCCTACCAGCCAATAGAGTCGAGCATTGTCTGCATTCCCCATCGTACACTTCGGTTGCAAAAGACAGTCAGTTGAGTAACAAGAGGGTATACACATTGCAACAGCAATTCCTATCTTGGCAAGCCGTTAATCTTCCACAACAAAAAGTTTTGCCTGCGCAAATAGGGTCTTATCGAAATGCAAATCCAAGACCAGAAAAATTCCTCTCATTTCCTATTTGCGTAGCCCGCCATGAAAAGAAAAAGAGGTCTTCCCCCCCAAAATGCAGTAAGGTCTGTCTGACCACCGTTTTGGCGGACCCCGTCCCTTTCAATGATCACAAAGATGCACAAGGTGCATAATCATGCATATATTGGGCTAATAACCAGTTTTCCAGCTCACTAATGCACGTTAAAGGGTATGTTGCAAGCGCCGGCCCAAGCAATGCTGAAGGAAGAACTAAGATGCCGCTGACTGTCGGATGATTCGCCAGGTTCGAAGGCCGAAATTGCCCACAGCCCTCGTAGGACTGAGACTCGGCCGCTGGTCGGGCGGGAGTGATGTTTTGAGTCGAGAATTAGGCTGCTATCCGGCCTCATAGAATGACGCATCTGGGACGATGCGGGTCTCTATCCCGTTCCCTCCTCTGCTTTCTCCTCTTCTTGTAGTAGGATATCGAATAGGGATCGAAGTCTTGTTCCTCCTGGAGATAGCTCTCCCCGGCATCATCTTTGCGCAGCATCTGCCGGCAGAGGTCCACAAAGACTTCATCAACGTTTGCTATGGAAAATTAGCCCCACAAAGATCGATGGAAGCAGGCAGCCAAGTGATTGCTAGGCGCGGGCTTGTGAAGCGAATCGAGAAAGGCACGTACTTTTCGTTCTCGCGCTAGACTCGTAGTAGGGTGCACCCCATCTCTGGGAGAGTGAGAAACCCTTAGTGCGAGGGACGGATCTCTGATCCTCGAGATCTGCCTTGTTGCCGCAGATGACTATCGGGATGTTCTCGTCGTCCTTGATCCGGATGATCTCGTCGCGGAGGCCTGCAAGCTCGGCCAGTGACGACGAAGATGTGATGCTGAAAACCAACAGGAATCCCTGGCCAGTTTTCATGTACAGGTCTCTCATGGCAACTATAGCCGAGTCAGTTGCACAGCATCACGGAAGATGGAAGACGTTTCGGCAGACGTACCAAATTGCTCAGTGCCCGCGGTGTCAAGGCTATGGCTCGAGTCAGTATGGTGGGGTAGTGATTGACGCTCCAAGCACATGTCTCACATTTCCAGAACCACCTGCCGTCCCTGTCAAAATAGCGTGTCAGTTGCAAGTTCGCGAATATAGGCAAAATGTAAACAACTCACATCGACCGAGACCGTAGTCCGGTAGGAGTCCTCTATTGTAGGGTCATAGCTCTCAATCCATTCGTTGTGTACGAACTGAGCTGTGAGGAGCCAGAAACATTAGCAAACTGCACTCCGGAAGCAATGACAGCATCTGCAACTTCTTTGATAGGGGGTAGGGGGGGAAATTTGAGCCTCACCTGTGAGGCAACTTTTGCCAACACCACCTGCGTCAAGATTTTGTTAGCGGAGCTGCGCCCAGTTGCGAGAGGTAAGCTGCCTTTGGTAGGAAGCCGAATGATGCGGACGAACCTGCACCTAGCACAACAACGTGGAATTCACGGCTACGCGCATGTCAGCTGTCGAGTAACTCGAAGAACGCAGCAGCGGGCAGGGAGACAAACGCAGGTTGGTAACGGCCTTGACGGGGAGGCATGGTTTTGTACTCTGCTGTGAGAGCGTGCTGCAGAGATTTGCAGAGCGGCCGGCACGCCCGCCGAGGGGAGAAAAAGACCAGCACGGGCTACAGGCGACGGCCCTTCACCAGATGCTCACCGCTCCGTCGCGGAAGATGGCCGGTGAGTATGGAAAACTGGTTGCTGCTGCAGTTCGAAATCGGGAGCGAGCACCCGCGTTCGCCGACGGAGATGGTGATTCCAGGACGAACGGTCGAAAATTGCTAGATTTCGGGATGATCCGCACCGTGCCCTGCCCTTCTTCCTGGCCTCGATAGCGAATGAGAGCGGCCCCAGTTGGCGGGGGACCAGAAACGTCAGAACGACAGTGAATTTTTCCTTCTAGGGGCACAGCAGAGCCGTCTCCAGACGAGTTCTGAAGCCAAATTGGCTTTCACTGGATCGCTGCGCCGTGGTGCCGAGGGCCGTGAAGTGCGTACAGTAGTCGCGGTTGTAGTGGTAGCAGTAGTAGTAGTTCGCCAGCCTTGAAGAGGCCGGACTAAGATAAGGTGGAAAGGAGCGCTGATCACGAATACCTGCGCGGCGGCCGGGAACGCAGCGGTCGTGATATAGCCAGCACGCAAGGAAAAGAAAGAGGCACCTGTTAAAGGTGAGGCATGGGAAACAAAAACATTGATCAATCCACGAAGAAGCAATTGGATAATGGGTGGAGGACGGGTATCCGGGGGATTATAACGCGCGCCATGCGTGTGTGCGGTGGGTGTGGGCGCGCAGCGTGGGCGTGCGTAGGTGTGTGCTCCGTACTGAAAAGTAGGTACAGTACGGTCCACGGGTCGTGGGCTGCACTGCTACCAGACAAGGCCGGACGTACAAGGAAGGTTTCCCAGGGACCTGGACGCAGGCAGCTGGGCTCCAGGCTGGAATGATCCAATGCGAAGCGCGAGACAAGCTCCCATCACTACTTTCCATCGGGTGTAGACTACTTGTACGTCCAGCCCAGTCCAGCAGCGGGCGAGTTGCCGAGTCTGGTCCCCTGGATGAAGCTCGTCCAGGGACAGGGGTGCACTATGGGATCCATGGATGCCTGTGAGGCCAGCTACTATGTACTACCTGGGTATGGTAGGGGGTGTCAAGTGGTGGTGCACCTTGAACGCAGGCAGAGAGATGCACTGGACTGGACCTGGGCACTGGACTAAAGCGCCCCTGGAGGTCCCGCGGGCCGTGGGCAGGAACCTCAACTCGCCCCCAGTCCAGTTCGGTCCAGTGGCAGCGGAGTTGCTGTACATGCATCCATATCCATCCATCCAGCAACTCGGCCACATTCCGACTTGATAGGTCAGAACGCAGGAGCACCGCCTTGGGCTCAGGCACCTGGGCAGTTGCTTTTAACTCATGTACCATGGGTCGGTCCCTCGTTTCTTTGCCCGCCGGGGAACTGGTGCCAACGACGCGCACTCTGCAACCGTGCCGCTTCGCTTCGTTTCTGCAATCGTTGCTCGCTGTGGTGCGGGTCGCTGCGCTGCCGCCATCCTGGCAATCTGGCCAGAAGCCTCAGGCGGTCCCTAGGTAGGCACTTAACAGAGTAGTCCGGGAACTGCACACGTCTGGACCGACTTCACGCCTTCAGCTGCCCATCTGGCCCTGCTCGGCACGACCAACCGTGGACTAACTGCGTAGCTAACCAAGTGTGCAAGTACCTCTTGCCCGAACGTAGGGAGAGGAGCAGTCAGCCCGGCAAAGTCCACAAATAGTGGCATCTGGGCAAACGAAGAGGAACCGACATGTGTCGCGTCCCCGAATCGGACGAGTCAAGATGCAGGACGATGGAGAACTTGCCAGACCGGTAACCTTGCATACGACAGAGCGGTTCGTCTAGTCCTTGACTCGTCCGTGCTCTATGGAGTACAGCATCGCCCGGCCCTCACTGGCTGCACCAAGACGGCAAAACTGTGTAAGCCCTCGCAGCCCCGACGAGTAGGAGACGTCAGAAATCAATTGCAGCGCGCGGCCGGTCAGATTCGGAACTGTTCGCGCAGCGTGTCGACGAGAGGGACACGCGACCTGCGCAGCGCGTTGACTCGTCTCCAGCTGGGTCAGTTTGCATAGGGCAGTACAACCCAAAAGGTACAGCCAACCAGGGGCCAATGGGAACCGTACGGTACCGTAAAGAGCAATTTCTAGTCACCGAACACCTCCGTACTCTGCTTCGTATCAACCTCCGCTTCACGGCCACAAGGGGCAAAATCTCGTGTGCCTTGCATCCAGCCCGGCCTCGTAAATGCCTTCTCGTCACCTGACAAAGACCACCTGCGAAGGCTTGCAAGATTTTTGCCAGTCCTCTGTCCCTTGCCTCGAGCCCCCTGATGCGGTCCCCTAGGTCTCTGACAAGATGGAGCTGAATATCCACCAATTCCGGGTCGTTGACAAGTCAGAAGATTGGATAGCCTCCAGGATGTTATCAGACTACCAAGGGTATCCATCCTGACGGCTTCGGGGGCCGTCTACTAATTCCCCGGCCCTCTAGTTTAGATCGTCAAGCGTGCTATGTATCCCCACCGTGGCTGTCCATCTTGGAACATCTGGAAGCAATCAGGAGCCGTTTCATGCCTCTGGCAACCACCCGACGACGTCACTTGTTTCTCTCTACGCTCTCGACGGATCATCGCCGCTCTACTTTTCCCTCGGTGGAGCTCGTTTTGCAAACTAACAAGGCAGCAGCTACTGTTTCCCAAGCCATGCATGACTGCAAGGCTACCCATATTTCGCTAGCATGATAAGTCTACAATGCCTGAATGCTTCCAAAGCTTGGTCTCCATCCGATACGCTGACCATCTAGCTCCCTCATACCATCGGGTCCCTCGGACAGAACAGAGGTTTGCTGCGTTGGTGGGTTGTTTGACAAGACCACGCCGTCCCGTCTTGCCGCAGCAAACCTGCCTCATTGGAGGATTGGCAGATTTCCGGCACACCGTCTACCGCAATGAGAAACACACAGGCTTTATTTGCCCATTGCATGGGACTGAGGCTCTGACGTGCGCATGTCTCGAGGCTGCTATGGGGCACGTTATAGTATGACCGAGCATGCGAGCTGGGGAGCCGTCGTCATGCTATGGTAATGGCACAAGGGGGGCAGATCTCACGGCCCACTCACCCCTGGGCGGCAATTATTACCCCTCATCAAACCCCTAAGCATATCACTGATGGTAAGATCTCCCCGAAAGCCACGTGGTTGCTAAGAACGGAATCTGCAGTTCTGACTTTTAACGGTTCACGATCTTCGTTTGCATTGCCTGTTCCAAGTGCCGCGTCTGACCTGACAGCCGGGCCCGCAACGCCAAAGGCCGCATGAGCTAGCGTCCGGACAAGCGACGTCGCTCCGCTTCAACCTGCAGGGCCTGCTTGAGGTCGTCCGAGTTGAGGATAGTTCCTCAGCTCAATCTGACTTTAAGGTTCCAAGACCCGAACTGCAAACTGAAAAGCGTATAGTACTGCACAGCCCAGACGATCACTGGCCAATGTTGATGATCTACATTGAGCTATTAGGGCTGACGGAGTCTGGCGGCCAATCATCCTAGCCGTTCGCGCATCCAAACCCCATTGGGGCAACCGAATCGTTGGCCATTTGCTGTATACAGTATCGGGGACTTCCTATCGCACCATGTCTTCGCGATCCTTCAGCTGCGGGTATCACTGCAGAAGACCACGGTTTGCGTGGGTCGTGCCTGGATGCGACAGGGCCTCCTCAAGGGTTGTCAAATGGCCCTGGCATCACCTATGTTGCAAGTTGACCTGCGAGTCCACCACACGCCCTGATGGGATGTGTGGAAATTGGTTGGTGACCGGGTGCAGTCTGGGCGGGCTCGATGATCAGATCTGTCAAGTCCAGTCAAGTGACATAGTTTGTTGTGCAGATTGTACGCATGTTGGAGGCTGTTGGAAACCCTACAACGTTGACCTCATCGCTTCCAGGGTTGCTTAACTGATACTCCGTAGTACCGTACTATGGTCACTCTCGAGCACGGCCAAGTGCACCGATGCTGGCAACTATGATCTAGTTGCCATTGCAGTTTTATGAAAGCAATCAAGGAACTGCCGTGCCCTTTCCTGGTTGCGGGGCCGTCTCTCGGCCGGGGTCTGACATGGTGATGGGTCCAGGGCAGGGAGGAGCTCGAGCTCGACGGGGTCCGGGAGTGCAACAACAACTTTCATTCGCGCGCGGTCGTCCGAATACTGCTGTACGCAGACCGAAGTGGGCAACACCCACATCCCGGGTCTACGGAGTACTATTCTGCGAGGTCGTCCGTCGTCGAAACAAGCACCCTCCCAACCCCCTTGAACTTTGCCCACAGACTGAGTTGAAGCTGCTGAGCCGACTCGATGGTGTGAACGTGTATGTGAACGTCGGCCTTATGGAAATATACCGAGAATCCGCAACACTAGTTTGCGAGCGGCGCATGGATGCTGCTTGGATCACTGCACACCAGAGAGCACATATGCGCCTCTAGAATGCTGGACTACAGTCTTTTCCATTATCATGATTTCAAACCTTGGACGATGTGTAAGTCGAGAGTTTGTGTATCATGCAGTAAATTATCGTGTCTCCTAGTCAGTCTGCGTCCTGGCACTGTGAATTAATGTTGTCGAGCTAACGAAATTCCTTAGCAATGTCATCAGAATCTCATGGTCTCTGTATGTTTCCGTCACTGCAGCTAGATATCAAGCTCGCACAACCTACTTGTTGATGAACCGAGATCTGAACAGTGACAACAGCGGAATCCAAACGACAAACTCACTTCATCAGGCCGCGGTCTTGGCTGACCTGTCAAGACTACATCTCTCTACTATCATAAAACGATTAATAAGAAAACATTGCAAGGGTATTGCAAGAGGTCCAGACGTATCACATGGGTTCTTACAGGATGCTATTCCATTTGACCCTAACAATCTAAGCAAGCGCATCGCCTGACACTAGATGCTTGGTCCTAAGTGCCGGTTCATATACGAATCGTTTAACGCTGAGAATAGATGACGTTATCCACACAGAGATTTTCAGCATCATATTTCGAGCAAGGCAAAGGTACACACACATATCGACTGTGTTGCTACCAGCACTCGCAAAGAGAGGTTCCTACGTTCCATTCCGAAATCAGCTCATTCAAACGCAACTCTCCTGAGTGTTGCCACAAGGGTGGCCGGAGTCTACCAGCTTGCAGCACAAACAAGCCTCGCATGTCCCTTGGTTCGCTCACAGTCAGTCTGCAACATCACTTGAGCCCATCTTGGAGGCCGCGACCAGGTTGGTACAACTCACGGGTCACCGCAATAGCATTGCTGGGGTACGACCTCGGGGCAGAAGCACACCCAAAAAGAAAGCCAAACGGTAGGAAGGTTGCGTCTGTGTGGCCTGTTAGATATGAAAGCACGGGTCTACTTGCAATATCTCGCGATGGTCGCCACGTAAGTTACGGCTAGTGTTTTGAGAACCCCTGCTGCCCCCAAAACAAAGATACACACAGTATCCTGCCGAGTCTGCCGCCGGACGCGCCGAGCCCTTTGCTTCGAGACATATTGTACATGCTTCTTTTCCAAACGCTTGTCCAGCTGAGACGTTGCATTCGGCAGTCCGTGTAGGGCCGTCCGACTCCCGAGTACGAGGAAAAAGTAAGTAAACAAGCATGGCTGCCAGCCGGCCCCGGTCAACGGAGCCCGCTCCGTCGACCTCCTCCTACTAGGCAACGCGAGCCGTAGCCGCCTGTGGTTCGTAGCTTGCGATGAGCCAGTTTCATCCGCATTCTGTGTATAGGGTGCTGCTTTTGGCGATGGTGAAGAAACGGAATTACCAGATCAAGAACGATCGAGACGTCTCGATCGCTCTCGGTTAACTTAGAGAGCTGCTTGCTTCATTGTGATTTGTGGGGTAGTTATATTTCCTGCGATTTTTATGACAGCTCTCATTCCTGCGCACCGCGATGCAATGACTCGACCCTCGTGACAGTATCCGCCATGCTTTCTTTTCTTCTCTCTCCCTCCTTCCCCAAGGAGCGACATGAAGAACAAGAAGAACAATGTCTATGGGGACCGCTTGCCAAACCAGCTCATCGCCCGACGGGCCAGGATGACGGATCCCATGCACTGGAAAGATAGACGGATACACACGCAAGCACAGGCCACCGATGCATACCTCCTATAGCATGCCATTCGATGCGTGTAACCACGGCAGGCGGAGGCGCTTTTCCACAGTAGCTCACCGACGTCATTCGGGGCGCGCCTCCCGCGGTGCCAGGCCCAAGCCCGTGCGGAAGGTTAGCCGGCTCGCGGACGCCTCGTATCGATCCGCCGCGGAAACGCGCCGCAGTGCGCGTGGGCGGTTGGCGACGGGGGGAGGCGTGCTGCCTCTCTTTTTGTGTTTTTTTATTTCCGTGGCCTTGTCGACGTGGGCAACTTGTAGCGAGCTGCTAGAGCTGGTCGGCAGCTATCCGATCAGACCGCGGGCTCGGCGTGGGGGTTAGGCTTTATGTCACTTGGAGCTGAATGGGTGATGGCATTTACGGGACAAGCCCAGGGAGCCGGGGAAGCGCGGTGACCTGTGCGGGATTCCAGAGTCTGGAACCCCTATGGACAGGAAGCCCAAACGAAGCCCAAGTCGGCTTTACACCGGTTATGGCATTCAGATTACGGAAGTGTCTATAAAGGCCCGACGGCGCTGCTTGCTGCTTGTTGACTGGTTGGTTCAGGTAGAAGGATTATCTCGAGACGAGAGGACACACGAAGAACGACATGTGGAAAGAGCACATAACAAGAGGTATATCGCCGAGCCATATGGAGCCGCCTTACAAGAGATCCCTATGTGTGCTGCAAGAAAACCCGTGTTGTCAAGGAAATCCTCCCATCCCGCCTGAAACCCCGGAGAACCGCCACGTCTTGATAAAGGATCACCTCTCGATCCCGTGGTTGCCCGTATAGATGTTTAGAAGATAAACCCCGCTAAAAGAAGACAAAAACGCGGGGCCACGTGATGAAAAGCTGAGGACGCCAATGAATGGTCAAATCAAGCCGGAGATCAGGGAGTGGTGTAGATGAGTCCCGGATATCCAAATGCCATCCATTGGTCGTGATGAAAGTCGACCCCCTTGCTACCAAATGCCAGATGCCAACGAACCGAATATGCCTAGGACCCGACCAACTGACAGTGTATGCAGGCTCCAATTCGATGTTTACGCCTATAATCCTTCGTTCCATGTGACCCTATTCGCCGTTTTGTGGTGAAAATGCCCTTAAAATGATAGTATTGCCTTTTTCTTTTGTCTTTTGGTGGTGGTTGCAAACGCCGAAAGACGCAGAATGCGTCTTGCCTTTATAATGAGAAAGACACTGACAAGTGGTTTTGATCCACATGCGATGCTGTTGCAGGCGTACGAGTCTCCTGATTGTATACCAGCAGGCGGGTTTGGAGCACTCTGCTGGTACGACCGCTGCGGACTTCCCATGCCACGAATAGTTCAAAACCTGCCCAGGATGAAGAAACGAAAAACGCTGGAGAACCGCTAACCCGTGCGCTAGAAAGAAACAATGTACAGCAACCACAATGCCGCCGCCACCAGGGTTCGAGATTAAATCCAGACCTCTAAACTCCCACGCCAACATTTACCACATTGTGTGATGTATAGAAAGGGGGAATCGTAGTCGTAAGGTGATGCTGTCGGCGCCAACGCTGATAAACCATGTGAAATCATCAAAACTCGCACGTGAATAAACCCCCTCAGATGCAGCAGTAAGCCGGCGACGACACCTCCTGTGGGGATGGGAAAGGACAACCATAGCTTCAAGCCATGCAAACGAATGCTCTCTCCCAAGTCAACAGGCCAAAATAAAACAAAAGAGACAAACAATACAACCAGTTTCTTCTCGAAGTGCCATTTTAATGCGTCCTGCCAAACTCCGTCAAATGAATCATTATCTTTGGGAAATATCCCTGCCGTCCCAATTATTTTCCCATCATGTAAGGTGGAAAGGGGGACGAGGAGTTTGGCATTGCTGAGGAAGAGCCACCACCGGCCGATAAGGGGCCGTTGTATACAGGGTTGTTCCACACACTTCCAGAGTTTCCAGCATAGGGCGATGCTGCTGTGAAAGGTGTGGCATTGCCACTACTTGGAATAGCTGAAGCACCTCCACCATAACCCATGCGCGCGAGACCTGGTGGGCCAGGGAGGCCGGGCGGAGGGCCATTAGCAGTGGTGAAACCGTTGCCAGAGCCGCCCATGATGTTGTTCATCCCAGTCATGGATGCGGAGCCGGTCTGTCCGGGCGCCTGACCCGAGCGGACACCAAGAGGGTTCTTGGAGAAGCTCAGACGAATGCCACCTTTCACGCTGTTATGGAGTGGGTAACCGTAAAGCTCATGGAGGGCCTTGGTCGCAAAAGAGACATCCTCAAACTCCACAAAGCACATGGGCCCGTTTTGCTTCGTCCGGAAGCAGAGGCGCTTGTACCCGCGCTGCTTGGAGAACATGGCCTTCAGCTCTTCTTCCGAGGTGTCAATCGGTAGGTTGCCCACATAGAGCGTGTTGCAAGGCGGGTTCTGGTCTGCTGGGTTCACTGGGGGATAGTTATGCCGCTGGAAATGCTGACTGCCGAGCTGGAAGTTGGTCGAGTGGCTGGCACTGTTCATGACGGTAGGCGACATGGTGTTCCCGTGGGCAGACATTGGCGTCATGTTGGGATGTCCATACTGCGGCACGGACGAAGGGCCTGGCGAGTTTGTGTTCAAAGACAGGCTAGCCAACCTCGAGATGGGAAGATGAGGCGCCGTGGCGCGACGGTGCTGGGTTGGTCCATTCTCGGCAAAGGTGATGGGATCGTTCAGGAGCTCCTGGGTTTCATCGTCGTCGCCAGTGTCGTGGTTAATGAGCGTCTTGCTCGAGATGCGCGAACGATCGGACAGGTGGTTGCCAATGGGTGACTGCGGCGAGAAGAGATTTTGATAGACCGTGTTCGTATCGGGGTTTGGTAGCTCGTTTCCTCCGTACATGCCGCCCATTGGGGGAGACATCTTGTCCATCGGCTGGAAGGCACCGTTGAAACGGGACGGCTGTCGTGATGAAGGGCCAGAGGATGTCGTTGACGAGGCTGCGCTCGATGTAGACGAAGTAGGGACATCCCCCGGGTACCTCCGAGCTGTAGTCGGGCTTCCCGAGAGGATATCGACAATCATCTCGGCGTCTCTGGAGATGGACTTGCCGTGCAGCATTTCCTTTGCTTGTTGCGCGCCGGCTGCAGTCTTGAACTTCAGTATGGCAGAGCGAAAGCCAGGCTCGTCTGACTGGTCGGGGGACAGCATCTCGACGTCGACGAGCTCGTGCGAAAAGACCACCATCAACCTCAGCTTCTCCTCTGTCGTGTCGCTGGGGAGACGGCGGATCAAGACCGATGCGACCTGTGATGGGGTTCCGACGGGGACAGGCTTGCTGGTGGCGTCGCGGTCGAAGGGACTGCTTGCGGTCATGGACAGTGAGTACGATGGTTGGGAGGCGAGCCCTCCCGCTCTGAAAGATTGCGACTGCGACATGAAAGCCGGCGCAGCCATTGCGGCCCTTGTGGCTGCTGCAGACGAGTTTGAGGGCGACACAGATGCGGTCGTGGCGAATGCGCTGCTGGCGGTGGTCGAGATTGGGGTGAAATGGCCCGCACGGCTCGACGTCAGGGTCGCGAACGGAGATTTGGACAGATTATGTAAAGCAACGCCGGCGGTACTCGAATCCCCGTTCATGCTCTGCCGCGCATGTAGCCCGACTGTGGTGTGAATAGTCGAAGTCGCAGCGTTCGGAGCGCGGCGAAGGTGGGAACGAGAGCGACGATCGCGCTGATCTGCTGCGTCGCGGAGGTTGCGGGTGGGCGGGTGGGCAGGATTGAATGTAGGTACCGCAGCGTAGCGTACCGCAGCGATGATCCGTTTCTGTATGCGCTGTGATGTGATGCGATGCGATGCGATGCGACGCGGCGCAGGTGTGGGTGCAGCGCAAATGCGAATGCGCTCGACGGGCAGGTCAAGGAGATTGGAAGCTTGGGTGTTGTGTGGTCTGGTCTGGTCTGGACTGGACGGCAGGACGATGCATGCGACGACAAAAGGCTGGGGCCCGAGGAGCGATGCTGGAGCTCGGGAAGACGCGAAGAATGCGCAGCCGGGGCGAGTATAGGGTGATGTGAGACGCGACACTACTGGGGAAAAATGGAGTCTGGCTGGCGAGTGCCGCTTGGGGAACGGACGCGCGATAAGACAAGCGACGGAGGAATGCAGCGGTCGACTCGTCAAAATCCAAAGGTGACTTTGGGAAAAGTTGGGGGGATTGGAGAAGGGGGGATTTGGTGTGGATGGGGGGAACTTTGGGGGGGTTGAAGAAGCGAGAGTACGGAGCGGAATCGAGTGATAGTAGGATGAGACCTTTGAATGGCGCCTTTGTGTGAGCGTGTGGGTGGTGTGCGAGAGGATGGCCCGTCGCAAAGGGCGTTCGGGACGAGACGAGGAAGGGGTTGAGAGAGTACACAGTAGAAAAAAGAGAGGGCCCGATGGGGGGGCGCGCGGGCGTGGGTTGGTTGTCTAGACTCTCTCGACGCCGAACTCTGAATTGCTCAGAGCCGAGCAGGGACGCCTGGGAGATGCGGGAGGAACAGGACGATCAGTTCACCACCAGAGGTCCAAGCCGAGCCGAGCAGTTCTCTGGACAGAACCTGAGAGAGAAATTGGGGGGGGAACGGAGACGGGCTGGCTGAAGGGGGTGTGGGTGCGTGTAGGTGTGGGTGAAAGAGAGAATGTGGTGTGTCTGTCCAGCGTCTGTCTGTCTTCTGTGTCTGTAATGGGGTGACGGGGGGGCACGATGGAGGATGGGGATAACTCCCAAAGCTAGCCAGAGCAGAGAAGGCTGTCGATAGGATGGCATAGTTACGAAGGGGGGAGGAGGGGGGGGAGTGGGCTGCCATCACATCCATCCTATTGCTCTTGCTAACCCCATCATTCCCAATCTCCCCCCCAAAACTAACTAACTGGATGGAAGCAGTTGAGGTGTTCTGGTCGTCGACTGTTGGTGCTGGTGCTGGTGCTGGTGCTGGCGCTGCCGGCATCAACCAGCGCCCCATTTGCCCGCAGTTCTTGGGGGGGGGGGGCCATAAGTTACAGCACAGCATAATCGACCTGGTCGAAAGATAAAAACCCACGCTATGCACGATACAAGTCAAGTTGGATTCCTTGACCTTGACCTTGAACGGGACGGGCACGCGCTAGACCCTAGGCGCGCAGTCAGCAGCGCGCGCAGCCAGCAGAGAAACCCACCCGGCTGCTGCCCCATTGCCGGGGGATGTGGGAGGATTGGGTGGTGGCCGGTGGTAGCCCTGGTGGGTGGTGGACGGCCTGCACGCTTGGGTGGGTTGGCCGACCAGGGTCCTTGATTGAGACAGGCACAAAGGATTCTGGTACCTGCAACCTGTGTTTGAATGGGACATTGACCCGCATAGCCATGGCTGCATGGCATTGGGGCACTGGGCCATGGTATGGCTGAGTCCCGCCTTTGGTTGGTCTGCCAGCCTGGAAGCCGTTTAGAATTTCGATGGTTCTACCCGTAGCGCCTTCGATCGAGATGATGGAGGGCGAGCGCAACAGCGAGCAATTAGGTACGACCAACCACGACGGCCGCTTCTCCTGTCATCACTGACGCCAGAGAAGCCCCAGCGTGCCCCGCCAACACCCTCTCTCTCTACGAGGAACCCGCAAAGGAAAAGGTACCCAAGGGCCAAGTTGCCAAGGGATGTGGTCAGCTCCTCCTCCCGCCCAGATGCAGACTGTCTGGCCTGTCTGGCCTGTCTGGCCTGTCTGGAGCCATGCACCCAGTCCGTGGGAAGAGCCCGTCGGGGCTCGTGCTTAGGGAACTGCCGGGTTCGTGCTGAGTATGCGAGTGTGGCTTACCTTGGAGTGGATCCTGCTCAGGCCGGGAGGGTTCCTCTCTGCCAAGTACTCAGTAGTATCCTGCGCAGAGAACAGAGACAACTAACCGAGTGCTCCGTACCCTTGGGGGGCTCCAGCACATCCGGATTTGGAGGCATGGAAGGAAAGCCGGAACCTTCTTGGAAACAAGGCAATTCCAAGGCAACCAGAGGGTCCGGGAGTCCCCTGGCGGTAGAACACTCGTCTTGTATAGATGGCATTAAACTAGCTGGCGATCGCCAGAGAGCACCTGCAACTGGGGGCTTGGCCTGCTGGGCCAGCCTGCTTGATTTCCCGATGTGTTATCAAGGAGGGGAGTGGTTCAATGTTCTCATAGCAGTCCGCACAGGCTGCATCACTTAGCTCTGTGTCCCCACCTCTTGACTTCTCGAAACTCCGTGAGGGTGATGTACACCGTACTTGCCTGCCGTCCTCGATGGCTATCGGACCAATCAGAGCGCGGTCGCGTAGAGTGCTTGGTACGGCTCTGTGGATGGTTTTGGAAGAAAAAAGTGTTGGCGTTATGCTTGATGTATGGCGAGTGCAGGATGCGTCCCAGGAGTGAACAACCCGGTCAATAACGTGTCGTACGCGATGACGGCGTTGCCTCGTGGTTTGAACAGCCTGTCTCAAAGGTATTCATTTCCAGTAGCCCACCCGAGTCTCTTGATGCGAAGCACGACTCTACCTACAGCCATCTCCCCCGCGAGATAGACACGGCTTTCTAGTGGCCATATGACGCACTCAAGGTAGAGTTTCAACCCGCCAGCGAAGACCCCCCATGAAGTCCGGAACTTGGTACTCTAGCACGAACATTCTGTTGGTCCTCCAAATCTGGGGGGTTGAGTCTTCGCGGTTTCTACGTGGCGCTATGCAGTGAGTGACGAGAATGTTTCGGAGGGGCTTGACCATTAGTCGTTTAGGACAAGGGGAGTTGGAGAACAGTATCAGATGGTGTACTTGACACGCGAGCCTGCCGACCGTGAGGAAGTAGGCAACTTTTGGTAAATTGAATGTCATCGGCCGTGGTGGTCCTGATGTTGCCCACTAGAGTTTTGAAAGAGCGCTACGCTTGGGCAAGGAAATGTACGTGGTCGATCGCAGCCTGACGATATAGATCCCGTTGAGGAATCAGCCCAGCAGGTATTTCCTCTGATTCGACAATGCCATGATGGCGAGGCCAAACGTGACCCCGAGTCTAGAGACCGGTGAGGACGTGACAAGGGTGTCGGCCAGGTGTGGTGGGTGGGATGGGTGCAAGCCAACCCCGGCACAGTTCTACCATATTATTGTTCAACTCTAGCCTTTGTGGTGCCACGGCGCGACTTGGGAACGACAGGGCTGCCATGTGTTGATATGACGGCATAAGTCCTAGAGGCCACAACGAAGCAGCCGTGCCATAGTAAGCATGGAATCTGTGCAACATGGCCGCCGAGGTGTTGACAGACAGCACCCGAGTTCGGATCAGAAACAGGTGTCTTAGACAAGTATCCAATGATACAAGATAGTCCAGGGTCAAGGTTTGGAGCGCAGCTTCACAGGTTTACTCTGGCTTGTAGGTGAGAGTCGGCCAGGTTCGGCCCACCTAATACAGGCAACGTCGTCGTTTTGACGTTGCTATATCACAAGCCAAAGAAACAACAGAAGCTCGGGACCAAGGTACAGACCCTCGGACGGCGACTGCATGAGATCGAAATTGATGGCAGCCACTGCTGTTTGGCTTACACCCGCAGTGAGAAAGGATGTTCTGAACAGGCGTGACAGGCGTGGCAGGGGAGAAAGGTGAGAGATAAAGACTGAGGCGGGCCAGACCGAAGATCTGATATCTCTCACCTGCCCTTGTCTGAAGCTGTTTCGTGGGGTGCATCGGCCCATCGGCTGTCAGGCGCCCATTCCTTTCGAGAAATGTTCCTAAGAAGCGCCGAAACACTGGATATGCCGATCATTGATGCTGTCCGGGCAGCAGCTCGAACAATGGCGGGCGTGTCTTGTCCACCTCGAAACAAGCGGCCCTTGGTATGCTCGTCCATCGGACGAATGCGGGTATGCGTGCGCGCGTTATTCCCAGCATTGGATGCCTATTTCACAGCGAGCGTAGAAACTTGCAACTAACACAAGTTCCCTCCGTGAGGGTCCGCAAGCCCGTTTGGCCGTAAAGAGACGGGTTTGCCCCTCCCACTCCGCTCCAGGGCCCCCAGACAGGGCTCCATGGACCGCTGAACAATCTGATTGGGTGCCAACGGGCGGGCTAGCGGCAGGTGGGTAGCTTGATCTAGTGCTTCCATGTGCAGATACAGCCTTAGAGCGGCTTGGCGTGCCAGAACTGCACAAATGTCCAGGCCTAGAACTAGCTCCGCTTCACGATCCGTGCTTGGGTACCCAGCCAGCGAATCGAGTCCACAGACGAGCCCCGCGCACTCTCTGGGTTCCCTTGCCCCTCCTCTACACGGCTGTCTGCACATGCTCGGTACCTGCTGTGTAAGCCAGTACACAACAGCTGGGTACTGAGTATTGCGCTCTCGCCGTTCTGTGATGGGCATGCATCTGACGTATACCAGACACCAGAATACGCAGGGGAGGCGGGCGAGCAGGTATTACAGATCTGTCCATCTGTCCCCACTGCCTGTATCTTCGTAAGATACCCAGTGGATTCAGTAGCGAAGTGTCGTCAGGCCCCGCTTACTAAGTCAGCACCCACTGTTGTGCAAGGCCGGGCTACTAACACCGTAGCGGCCTGTGATCTGATATTTCTCGAAACGCTCAAGAACTCGTTCAATTGAGGTTCCTGTGCATGTGCATACCTAAGTCCCCGTGTATCCCCCCACTTTCTTTTTCACCAGCAAAGGGAAGGTTCTGCCGTAGCAGAACCACACTGACAAGCCCGCCTCCTCGCCGCGGCACTGCTCTGCCTGTGCCCTGGACTTTCCCGCAATAGTCGGGCTGTTTCTAGCCGGACTTGGCCCAGTGCTTACCTAGATGCCCGGCTGAAGTAACGGCGCAGGACTGGAACAGGACCCGATTCGCACACATGAGCATTAAGCTCCCTCCGCGGACATGCCAAGTGCCCACCCCCTTGAGTGTCCACCGGGTGCACTCAATCACAGTACCTAGGTACGGGCCCTAGGCCACGATAACCGAGACAGTCAATCACCCAGGTGGCTGCGCGTATGCTATGGCCCATCCAAGCCATCGTTGCAGCTTGCAGATTGAGATGACGGGTTTCGTCACACCATGCGCCTTGCTACTTTTCACGCCATCAGCGGCGGTGAAACACGTTGTGAACTTGACAGACCGAGAGAGGCAGGGGCGTGCCATCTGGTCCAACGGGCGGACCCCCACTGCGACAGGGAAGCCGATGCATCTGCTGCTCAGCCAAAGTTTACTGTACGACATGAATGAGACCAACAGTGTCGAGAACACTTCCAGATCGACGTTCTACGAGACGCGCCACGTTCTCCCGCCAGGCGTTTACGGAGCAGTTGCTGCCCAATAGCGTTGGCTTCCCTACGCCTGGATTCGATCCCAGCCCTGTGACAGCTTAAGCCCGCAGCCCCCCTGCGCACCAAGACACAGAATTGCTTCTACTTCTCGTGATGAGCTGATTCTGCATCCGTGCTTTTGCGTGCATGTCTCCCTATCATTCGGTACTATTGATTGAGTGCCAAATATATGAGGACTTTGCACTGGTCGTTCGGTTTACGATACTTCCCGTACAACGTCAAACTGCAGCAATATTTACCCAGAACTGCCCTGGCTCCGCCCAACATCAATAAAGAAGCAAGGCACACGCTGGCGGCTCGTCCTGCGATCATTGGTGTAGCCAGCGCGTCCTAAAGATGGTGGCTTTGAACTGATGCTCAGTACGACTAGACGTTATGTTGTTGGTCAAGTCTCCTTTCACATAGGCCTAGCGCCATGCAGACATGTATAGCCACCACCAACGGCGCCGGGTAGATTGGCAGGTTATCTGTAGGGCCAAATGCATACTCTGCCGGGGTTTCAAAAATTTGTTGGTGGGAATGGCGGTGACCCGCGTCGACCCAAAGTCACATGGATGGGAGCCCTCGACCCTTGAGGATCGACACGACCCAGACAGCTATCCTTCCCTTGTCCCGGATAGACTGGGGCCACTTACATACCAATTGCAGCGCACTTCACGAGTATTATCGGCACCAAACAGTGCTAGTCCATCAGAAGTGTGACGCGTCATTGCCTTATACGCGCGGTAGACGTTATATAGTTATACTATGTACTGTGATAGCAGACTGTCACCTGCCTTTAAAGTTTACGGATGCGTAGACCCACTGCGCTATAAGCCGGCTACAGAGCACGGAAACTGTCCCGGGCGATCTTTTTCAGCCCGCTGCAGCAGAGGTGCACCGGCGCCGCATCGCGTTGCCCAGCGCTCCGATCCTCGCAGTACAAGGCGGTAACTCAGGCTTTATCGCACGGCATTTGACTCTCTGCAAGACAAATCCAAGGTTGCCTGTTCTGGCACTGAAAATTGTTCTTCACATGGAATTAGACCAATAGTCTTGCATCTCACCCCGCGCATGGGTCCTTGTTGAATACTGACCCACAACAGCAAGTCCCCCTTTCTGCAACATTAGACGTCAAGAAATACATGCTGTATTTGAGAATGACTGCCTTTGAGGAGGTAAAACATTCTCAAACGAAAGCATGACACACCAGGCATCAACTTCAAGATTGTTCCAGGCCTTGGGAAAGAACCGCGCTGTCAGTTTCCTGTTACTAGGTAAAACCGACCAAAGAGTCTTGGTATCCACCATCTATCGCTATCCACATCTGTCTCGTTCTCGACCCCATAATGTAGTCAATTGATACGACCTCTTTATCAGGCATACCTGGGATAAGTCATTCGATCCGTAAGTCAGCAATCATACTTTTCCGTGGCGCAAATCTCATTCTGATAGTGTAATAGCGTTTCATCCGATATCAATCAGCAGGCCAGAATGCCTGCTCCGTCGTAGTAGTGGTATTCCAAGCTAAGGAACAGCGAACAGAACTCACAAATTCTACGATACCACGAATGTGGTGCGAGTGCCATCGCGGAAGAGATACCAGGCCGCGGCATGCCACAGGGCCTTAGATCGTACGCGCCCATTTGGGTAGTTATCTCGGCTCAAAGAGCTCAAAGGCATTTCATCACGAACTTCAGTTCAAAAAAAGGCTTCCATACCTGATTTGACGCCTATATTGTCCACGAGACATAGCCCTCCGCTTATATTTCCCCGAGATCTAGGCTTACATTGAGTCAGATGATAACGGAACTTTCTTTCCATGTGCCCGCAGAAACTCAAACTGGTAACATCTTTCACATTGTGATGGCAAGGATAGGAAAAAGATCTCACTCGATGGCACACACACACTGCTGTGGCGTCTGTCGCTCCGTATGTGAGCTCGAGGCTATGTATGTCACCTGATGCCGGCCAGTCCCACCTTTCTGGGAAACGGGCCGGAAGGGCTCCGTATGGGGCGGAGGTTGTGGGCCCCAAAACATCTTCGTGACCATATCCGGTTGCTGGACGTGAACCTGGGACCGGACGACTCTGATGAGGCGCTCTCTTGACATTTCCGATCATAACCGGCAACCGAGCCTGGTCCCAAAGGCGTTGAGATGGGGCTGCGCTTGACCACTTTGAGGTGTAGGGCAGTGCCTCGGTTGGGCTCTGAATACCAAGACCGCTAAAGACCCATTTTGAACTTCCCCAACTCCAACCCCAGATTTATACACCCAACCCTTGTCTGGGTCCCACTATACTTGGCAACCTCGGTATGTTTCCCCGCATACTCTCACTGAGCACCATCGTTGAGTATCTTGGAGCCTAGTGCATTCAAAAGCAAGAGGCAAAGATCAAGCCCAAACCTCTTGCCATTAAACCGTTCCAAGCCGTTCATCTAAGACGGCCCTAAGGCAGAGCCCAATCAATCACAATCACACGACCATGGCCACTCCAGTCCCTTTCTCAGAGCCGCCGTGGCTGCTGGGCCTTCCTAGCCCCATTTACAAGGAAACCCACCGGAAGTGGCAGGCCGCCATCCGCCCTTTCATAGAGGAGCACCTTCACAGCCATGCGCGTGAGTGGGAGAGGGCAGAGACGGTGCCTGACCACGTCTTCGGCGACTTCGCCAAGGCGAACATGCTGATTCCGGCGCTCCCAGCTCCGCTCCCAGTCGCGTGGCTGAAGCGGCTTGGCATCCACGAGCTGCTCGGCGGCGTGAAGGTCGAGGAGTTCGACTATCTGCACTCACTGATCTTCGCGGACGAGATGGCGCGAAGCGGTCTGGCTGGCCCCGGTGGGAGTCTGACAACGGGTGTGGCGTTCGGTGTCCCGCCGATCCTGAAGTTCGGCAACAAGCAGCTGCAGGAGAAATACCTGCCCGAGCTGCTGAAGGGCGAGAAGAGGAGCTGCATCGCCATCACGGAGCCCGATGCTGGTAGTGACGTTGCCAACATCACAACCACGGCGGTTAAGAGCAAGTGTGGCAAATTCTACATCGTGAACGGAACCAAGAAATGGTAAGCGGGCTGTTCTTCGTCGTGATTGGTTAAGCAGCAACTGACTAGGGCGCATAGGATCACCAATGGTATTTGGACAGACTATTCAAGCATGGCAGTTCGCACTGGCCCAGAAGGCTCTGGTGGCGCCGGCCTGTCCATGCTTGTCGTTCCTCTCAAGAATACGCCGGGGGTCTCGATGCGTCGCCTCAAAGTAGCAGGTCAAATCTCGGCAGGAACCACATACATCGAACTGGACGATGTCAAGGTGCCCGTTGAGAATTTGATTGGCCAGGAAGGCATGGGAATGCGCTACATCATGACGAACTTCAACCACGAGCGCCTGACCATCGCCGTTGGAACTACGCGGCAGGCACGTGTTGCTCTCAGTGCCGCGTTTGAGTACGTCCTCAAGCGCGAGGCCTTTGGCAAGCCGCTCATGGACCAGCCTGTTGTACGACACCGTCTCGCTAAGGCTGGAGCACTCTTGGAAAGTCAGAGCGCGTGGGTTGAGCAGTTCGCGTACCAGATGACCCAGCTCAAGAAGGACGACGCGGACCGAGAGCTGGGAGGCCTTACCGGGCTGCTCAAGGCGCAGGCCGGAATCGTGTTGAAGGAGGCAGCAGACACAGCGGTACTGTTGTTCGGTGGCAACGGATTCACGCGTAGCGGTCAAGGCGAGATAGCAGAGATGATCTACAGAGAAGTCCCCGGTACTCGCATCCCAGGAGGTAGTGAGGATGTTATGCTGGATCTGGCGGTCCGTCAGTTGGTCAAATTGTACAAGGCAAAGACCCAGGCATTGGAGGCCGGTTCCAAGCTATGAGCAATGAGACGGCACTGTGTATAGAACACCAGGGTATGCAAAAGCAAACCCCGTACGGCTAGTCCGTGTAATCGTTTGAAATATATGGACTTATCACTGGGACTCCATGTGCGGGTCGTGGTAGTTGATCAGGTCTGTTTCAATATGACCCTTTTCTGAATCTGTACCATAAGTGAGATGAACTTGAAACGAGCGCTGTCCTCATTACTTGATAACGAGACTTCAACTCAGGACAGTGACCCGTATACGTCAAACTATAGCGCGGATAAATCGTAGCCGCATGATAGAGCAAACGGGAAGCTGGTGAGTGTCGTCCCTTCCACCCTCTGAATCACATAAGTGCACTTTCCTACAGGCCTCAGAGCTTTGGAAGTTGCTAACCCGAGCTGAGCACACAATTGCCACATAATTGGTTCCTGCCTTGTTGAGGATCGCTGTGGTAAAAGTAACTAAGTCACGATTGAATGATAATCGTTGGCACGTCAGCTGTAGCCCAAAGTTATTTCGGCGTCAGACTCAATTTCTGACTCCTAGGTCTCGCTGGCATTCTGCTTCTGTTTCTGTGCTTTCGACGCAGCATTTCTGCCAATAGAATGGTGAAGATAAGGGCACCCTACCTTGTCTTGATTGTTGTTGGATGGTTCATTTTGTTTGGCCCCCGACCGTCGGCCAGGTCTCCACGGCTGACCAGGGAAACGAATGCGTTCGCCAAGTTCAAACACCAAGGACCAGACTGCCGTGTGTCCTCTCTAGCCCTGTACGAACCAAGATCAAGACCATGCTCCAATCGAACATCAATGCTTGAGGCCATGTCGTCTGGCGGCCGCGTCGGCAGGGATTCCCCATATACCGCTAGGGGTTGCGATATGATATGGTACACAACGAAAGAGGTGTGTGAGATCCTTGGTCGCTTCTCTCAGATCATGCTGGTTGGCGACTCAATGCTCCGCCACATCATTGGATCGTTGAACATTCTCATTCGAGAAGACCTGGGGTACGGCGCCGTGACAGACTGGAATTTCAGCGAAGGAGAGAAGTAAGACCTTTTTCTGCACACTCTTGTCAAATTTTCATATGGGCTGATTGGCTCTCCAGACGCGACTGCTTCTGCATCAATCAATTCAACGTCAAGACCTGCTCGGTTCAAGGCATCTATAAAACCTCCGACGTGTTGGCGAATGCCCCAGAGAGCCTATCATGCCCTAGTCTGGTCCCAGGGTGGTCAACTGATCTTCGGAGTACTACCACTTATCCCGAGAAGAGAACTTTGTGTCATACTGACTAGCCTTGAGTTGAACAAATAAACCGCTTTCCAATACCAACCGACGAGCTCACGAGACTCCGAGTTGGCATCCAGTCAGCTACCACGTCGAAACCAAGAGCGTTTATATTAGGTCACGGCTTGTGGAACGACCTGGAGACCGAGGCTTCGATTCACTGGCTTGATTCAGTTCTAAGTGTTATCAATCATGACTCGGATTTTCAAGCACCTACACTGCTCGTTACACCAAATGCTGCTGGCAAGGACAAGCCAGACAAGTGGCTGGTGACCCAAGGCAACAAGGCACTCTCTCGCTTCGAAGAGACGATGGCAGAAGCGGCCACCAAGGTAGGTATTGATCATCTAGGCACGTGGAACATGGTAAGTCCCTAACAAGCATTTGAACGTTCAGCATACCTCGGCACGTGCTGGCTTATCTCACCGAGAAAATGATGACAATTTTTCAACCGGTGTGTTTCGGTATGATCAAATTACCCACGCTAACTTCTCACGGTGGCAGTCTATTCAAGCAACGTTGTATGATGGAGTGCATCTTGACATGCGTGGAAATTTGCTCAAGGCCATGATGGTGGTCAACTGGCTGAGCATGCTGGAATATTAGGTGCTGTGCGACCCTGAGAAGTACTCTCGGCCGTCAAAGTACAATCAGTACAAACATCCGCCACGGATACTTCTTTACCAGGATGCATGCATGAAGCAGGACTGTTCCGGGTGTGGTTCCTCTGAAAGATACATACCGTCAATGTATCAATCCTGGCGTCATGGTGGGACTCCAGGTTGTCTGCAGCTTGATAATTGAGAACAGCCTTGCTAGCTTCATGTGCAATACCGCAGATGTCTATTTGACTTTGGGGGCTGAAACCAGCTAGCCTCGGCTACATTCCCTGGCAATATATACGTATTGACGTAGGATTGCGGCCCACATTATGAGTCGCGCTCGTGAAATCCTCATGAATAGATGGTGATCCTAATGTATTGGAATCAACAAGCAACGGTGGGACCACTCTTCATATGAACTTGACGCAAAACCAATGAATCAACGAGACCTTTACTGATGCTAATTTCTTTCACTATATCTCTCTTGACAGATGAGCTGGCCTCGGAAAAGCCAGTACATACGCAGCGAGCGTAGAACCAAATCAACTTGCTATAGATGATCATAACCCAACCCCGTGCTATCCATATCGAACGCAGGCAGGTCTTCAGCGCCCCAACTGAGGGTCATGGTGCCCCAGAGATCTTGAACCTCCATCTGCTTCGCCTGGTCTGGGGCAGGTGCCGGTTCAACAAGCGACTCAGTCCGCACGCCCGACGTTTCCGAGAGCGAGGTCGCATACGACAGATCAAGAGGTGCTCCGTGTCCATCCCATAGGTTGATGTAATCGTCCAGGCTCCCGTCAAACATGGGGCATTCCCGTGCCTTTCTGGTGAGCTCTTCCTTCGCTATGGCCGCGGCTAGTCTCTTCTCGAACTTTGCTTTCATGCTCCGGAGAACCACCCGGAACGCGGTGCAGCAATCGGTCTTTCCGGTTGCCCCACCCTCGGGCTCCTCGCAGAGCCGCTCCAAGTAGGCTCCAAAGTTGAAAATTTGCCTTGCTTGCGAGGCGTCGAAGCCTGGGCATATATCCACGGGTAGAGATAGCCGGTAGGCCAAGATTACTCCCATGATCAGTCGGAACCAGTCGGCGCTGGAGAAGCGGCCCATCTGGTCAGGTGATAATGACGCGACGAACTCGAAGAATGCACGCAAGGTGTGAACAGTATCCAGTAGGCGATTGGGATCCAAGGGCGTGTCGGTGTCAGTCGGGCGTGGACGGGTTGCGCTTATCAGAGGAGATGCGGAGATGTGCATGTCATCAAATAAGCTAGACATCATGACACTCGCTGTGTATGGATTAGATGCTGAGATCACAAGATAAATATCCGAGTACATACGTGCTAGCGCCAACGTTGTTGGTATTCGGCCCTGCCACTCCCTGAGCTGGGTCTCGAGGCCGATGCGGATCAGGTTGCGGTGGTGCGGACTTTGGGATCCGGACTTTCTGTAGCTCTTTTGAAGAGTGTGTGTTTCGTCTGAAATGTGATGAAGCCGTACTAACCATACCAAAATATGGTCTTGCTCGATATTACTCTGTTGCTCGAGCAAATCGCAACACTTGCCCATCCAAGCAGTGAATGGGAAGCCTTCCGTCTTGGAGAACGCGTTCGTGAAACTTCAAAAGATAACACTCGTCAGAACGTGACATATTTGGGAAAATTTCTTATTTACTCACACTGTAACCAAATAATAGCTCACGAGGAAGGCCCGAATGCTTGCAAAGTCATCAGGAGTAAGGCCAGATTCGACCCGGTGAGCGAACGTCTCTTCCTGGCCAAGCTCTAGGTCTTGGACTATGTCGATGGCCATCTTCAAGTACTGCCCTGCCTGTCGATGTTTGGGTCGTAGATGAGATGGATACCTAGCCACATTAGTACTATCTACGTAGTATACGAATGGGTTCAGACACACCAGGCGCAGTAGACAACGATGCCTTGGAGCAACTCGAGCGACCGCTCCCCTCCAGTGACAAACTTCAGGCCCAAGACCTTGCGGAACTCCTCATCATAGAGGCTGTAGCCTTGTAAACTCGTCGAGCAACTCGTAGCGGCAAGGATGGCGAGAAGTATGAATGGCGAATCCCTGGCCATGGACCTTACATCGGCATCATCATCAAGTACAATGCAAGGGCACGAATGTAACATTAGTTTGAATGTCTCCAGGAGCTTCTGTGCCGAGTCCAGGTTGAACTGCGGTTTGATAGCCAAGTTGGCGATGGGTCGTGAACCACTGCTTGTCGTCGACGATGGCGTAGGCATATTCGCAAATTGGAAGGTTGGTCCAGCAGAGGACGACATCGTGGAGTTTGCTTCAGCTTCCTCCTCGCTTGAAGGATCTAGTTCATCTATGAACCGCTCGTGTTGTGCCCGCAGATCGTCAAAGCTGGATGTCGGCTCTTCGCAAGCGGGCATGCTGAAATCAATACTGAAAGTCTTGCTGGGCCCCGGTGGTGGCGGTAGCTCCGAATTTCTACATACGAGATTCAATGAGATCCCACTGAAGGAATAGGTGCATTTCTTACCCTGTAGCAACTTTTGGCCGCCTTGTCCTGGGTCCTGTCCGAAAAACACATTCTCTTTTGCAATCAGAGCATCTATATGGGGACAGATGAAAGATGAGTCCCGGCGACGAGTATAGGAAGATGATCGAATGACTGACCTCTTACATATGCCAGGCTGTGGGCCAGGTTGGCACCGTATCTTTGCGGCCCTACACGCCTCGCAGGCTCGAGACTGGGGCTTCGGTCGGGCTCGCGGGGAATCAGATGCTTCCATTTCAGCAAATGGTTAACTCGAGTCTAGAAAACAGGATCAGGTTGCTGGGCTGAGCTTGAGCGTTCCAGATATCACCGGAAGGTTGATAGCCGCCAGGTCCACGCGACAGCCTAATTGGGCCAGTGAGATGCAGTTCCCAGCTCCTCCTATGTTAGCTTCCGCGGTAACCGTTACCTTCAGAGGCGAGATAATCAGAGGCTTTCTTTCCGAGCGAAACGGAATGGTGCGCTGGCCGAGTTGTTGCGTGTTGATAGAAAGCTGGCGGCCTTTGCCCTGGTTGACCCACCTCGAGTTCCAAACTCCGGTACGCTTCGGCGTATGCTGACCTAAAAAGTGGACCAGAACACCCCACTACGGAGATGCCACCGGCCACGCCCGGTCCTGGCTAGTAGCCATTCGAGAGCAAGTGTAGAGACAATCCATCGACGAGCCATGCAGCCTGGGTGGAAAATCAATGAGAAGCTTGGGGATCAAATGCGGGATTTGCTAGCTCCTACTCAAGAAGTACCGTACTTCCACGAGGTGAAAATCCGTCTTACTCGCCTCGCTGGACAGAGCAGAGTAGTTGAAGCAGCATCTTCTTCAGTCTATGGGAGATGGGGTGAAGGGAGGCGATACTCAATGAAGAAATGTGTTCTAGATAGAACATGGCATTTTACGGCTTCTCGCGTGTCGACATAAGGACCGGCGATGGGCACATCATTTACTCGGTGAACTACCAATTAGATCCATTCTCTTCTCGTATCACTAACCGCTGTTACAGTTACATTTTTTACTAATTCTCATATCCCAGAAGGAACTCACACGGCTATTTGACTTGCAGTATCAGCCCAGCTTCCGATGGCGCTTGACAATGAAAGACATGTTCTCGTGCAGAAAGCTCTCGCGCTTTAAATCATCTAGAGCCTGAACCCACGGTGAGCTCTCAATGTCTTAGGATGCATACTGTGCAGGCAGAGGTAGATGAAGCATAAAGAAGAGCAGGTATAAGGTCGGATAATGCGAGCAGCGATTGACAGCATTGAACCCTTTGTTTCCTATCGGTACCTTTGATCTGATGCTTGCGGATTTGACAGTGTTGCTCCAGATGATGACCAGATAGGCGTCTTTGTAAATTGCACTCAAGACGTCACGTCCATAACTTTCAGGTATACCCCTCTGCAAGCTTTATGCGGCAGGTTTTTACCTCAACATATTAGACAATGACACCTTCTGACATGCATTGATTGGGGGCTACAAAGGGCTCAGGCGTGATGTTTAGACAGCGGCCTTCGTTTTTCTGATGATACACCTGTTGAACCTATTCGGAGTTATTTCGCACAGATACTCAAGATTGATACAATATCACTGGCATCTCAAGATGGGGTCTATAATTCCAAGAACGTCTGAGGAATGGGGCAGGCTACTGGGAAAGCATCCAAACGACCCGCTTACCATTGCTGATATTATTGATTGTCCAGTACCAGAGCCAAATATTTTGAAAAAAGTCTACCACAAAAGAAGTACCACTCACACGAGTACTTGGGCCAAGCTTGTGGAAGTCAGGTTCTTCGATCAATTCACGCCTAGACACATTCGTCCCATGTTGTCTGAAATATACGGTATATTGACCGATGTCACGCCTGTGAAACTGGACTCTTATACGCAGGCACTTCGCAAAAAGGATCCTGTGGCATATGAAGATGGTCTAGACAAGGCGTTCACAGCATGGGTGCAGCCGGTTGTCAGTGATATGCTTAGAGCAATCACGTCAGATTCCAGGTTTGGGCGAGGTTTATCTTTTGCGAGTATCAGACTGAAGCACCTTGGCGAAGGCGACCTGGTTCCCGACTGCTGGCTGGGAATCTGGCAGGAGGCGAATAATTATACTCTGAGGGACGATAATGGAGTATTGACATCTAGAATTGCTTACGCGTTAGGCGAGACCAAGATGGCAATGAATTGGGGATTCCAACGTATATCCGCAGCACTTGGAACAGGATTCCCAGGGTACAAAAGGATTCTGAAAGTGGATCAAAATCCTCTCCGACAAGTCGCCACTTATTCTTATTTGGGCAAGACACCGTGGAACTTCATCTGTACGGACCATGAAGTAGTGATTGGCCGTACTTATCATGTTTGGCCTTCGAAGGGAGAAGCTCAAGCATATGACGACATCTATCCAAGAAAAAGTTTGAATACATACTTGGGGTCGGAAATAATGTCAGTGAGCTGGAGTCAGCGGCGCTGTGACGATCAGCTGTCTGCGCTTGAAGCCATACTTGCTTTGGCAGTAATGAGCTTTGATGGCCGATACCGAAAGATGGCAGACCGCTTAGAGCTCGGTCGACTCAACGAGTGGACCGAAATTCATGATAATGGCAGGATCAAATACCAGCACCCGGTAACTGGCGCGATTGCTTCTGCCCTTCCCGAAGGCGCTCATGTCTGCGAGTACTGATGCGCGCGCCACAAATCACAGTGAATACCTTGTACAAACATTCAATCATTCCATGTGCTAACTATTACTGATAGGAATTAACATCTGGGGATGAAGGTCCTTCCAATCCCGTTCTCGCTGCTGCCATAGCAAATACAATAGTTCTACCCGAGACGTATTGTAGAAGTTAACAGTTGACCAAGTACTACCACTGAATGAGCTTCAATATTGTGACTACCGAAATGAATGGAGAGAGAGGACCCTATTTGAGTTTGACATGCTCATAAACAAAGGTCTTTCCGTATTTTAGCAGAGCGCATATAGAAGCTACGCTAGTCAATCAGAAGTGCGACTTATTACGTCAGTACTGAGACCGTCTAATGGTAGACGAACACTACGGACAAAGGAAGGATTTGAAAGTACTCTTTAGCACAGCCACTGTCAAAGGCCCTCAAGGTATCTAACCCCTACCGGATTTCAACTTTCTTTGTTATTTAAATGCCTTCGTCTGAGATTGAGCAAAACCCATCCCTACCCCCTAGTGGTTCTATAAGACGTTTATCGTTGAGCAGTGTTGTTCACTTCGTTGGAAATGATGTCCCGACTGTGTCCAAGCAGATATCATGGCCTCTCTTCCTGATCTTCCCGGCCCAAAACTTCACCCGTTCAACCACAAAGGCTCCGAACTGAAGATTGTCTTCCTCGAATCCATTGACAAAGGAGGAGAAGGGGTCATCTGGAAAGTCTCCATAGATGATAAGATCTATGCTCTCAAGATTGTGTGTCCTGATCCAGGGGAAACCATTTCATGCTTTACGAAATATGAAGTATCGTCTCTAACTGTGCTTCCAGTTTGCTTTCGATCCCCATGGCATCGTGACAAGATTGGAGGATCGCTTGGTAGGCCGAACTACCATAGATGAATTGCAAAAGTATCGATCTCCTTTCGCTGCTGAATGTCGCGCCTACGGCCGCCTAAAGGAAACCAATAAGGAAAATTTGTCTATCAAATGCTACGGCTATATCATCTTGACCTCTAAGCACGAAGAGGAACTTCGCATGAAAGGCGAGATTCCCGAAGGTATTGATCGGCGGTGGGAAAGCCACTCCAATTTGCCGTTCCAAGCGATAGTTAAGGAATACGTGCCGGAGGGATTAAGGCCGTGGCCTTATCTCGATGCCTCAAAGGTTCCGCAGATGATACGCGATCTGAACGACTTACACCGGATAGGTATCCATGTTAATGACGTGAAAGAAAATAACTACCTTCGCGACAAGATAATTGATTTCGGCTTTTCTCGGACCGCCCCACATCCATATTTGATTCCGGATTACATCGATTGGATGAGCATGAACCCGCATGCACGGGATGACACACCCGTGCAAGATGAAGAGGACTTTGATGAGATGATAGACTTCTACAATGAGATGGTTGATGAGGGTCATCACAACGGTCCGCGTATTTGGCACCGAATGCAGCCACAGGGCATAGTTAACCAACGTTATGGGCAGAGGCCGCGACGTTATATGTTGAGGAAGCCGCCATTGACGCGCAGATACGCTAGGTATGTATCAACAACTCTAAGCCTCAATCAACACTTGATGAGAAAGTTCCAGATTTCTAGTTACTAAAGAAGTTACACAATCAGGTACCGACCCGAACTGTATGACTGGAAGAAGTCTCTGGGGGGGAAGTGTGATGAAGAAATGAAGGATATGCATAGAAAGTCAAACAGGCAGATTCGAAAGAGGCAAAGTCGTAAAGGAAAGAAAGAAGCCGCACATTAAAGTAATTTCAAGGTATTAATGATACAACCGCCGGGACTCATGCTAGAGTTACCTATCATGTAGTCCTTGCCCAAGCCATAAGATGAATAGATGCAGTCGCTGGTCAGGAGTTTTCCTTTGAGACACACATATCTCTCGGTACTGTCTGCATCAGCGATTCGCATAATTCAACATGCAGTGGAGTAGAATTTCAAGACCAAGAAAGTGGGTTGTTATTAAAGGGAGTATACATGTTCTACATCAGGCTCGAAGCCTGGTGGGCAACAAAAGTCATGGCCTCAGCCCAGCTTTCAAGACTTACCCATGGCCACAAGAAGTTGCTATCTATCATGATCCAGCGGTCCGGCGCCTCGTTAGCGGCTGTGAAATCCAGAGCTTTAGACACAGTACGGGTGTTAGATAACTCATGTGGGAGGGAGGCTTCAGGGCAGAAGAGATTGTAGTAGGATGTCCTGGCGAAGTCCCTTGGGTGTAGAAAAGTGGACCTCGATGTTGCGGCTTACACGCATGGATGGGGTCAGGGCTAAGAGCTCTGGGCAGATGCGACATTGTTTACTTGCAAATGATCTAAGAAGCGCCTCAAGTTGATCATGTATACAAGGTCGCATTTAGAATTCCCGGCCTCGGTTGCTTTATGGGCCGGAGACCTTCCTGAAACAGTGCGCCTCTGATATGTTGACTCTAGGCAGCCGAATAAGGCGGGATACGTGATGTACTTAAGACGCTTGGAGGTCACGATTTCAGACCTCACCATCAACGATACTCCAGCCCGCTCCTCACAATCTATTTTCCTCACACTCAGCCTGATCAATCGAAGCATTCTCTACTGCGCAACACACCATGGAAACCTTCGAAGCCAAGCTAGCCCAGGCTACAGACCCAAAGAACCGCGACCTCCTTGGAGCGTTGGGACTAGTGGTAAACAGCAAAGGTATGTTGACCCCAGTGGTGATTGCGATATTTCTGACACCTGCATAGGAGAAACGCTCTACCAACATGCGTCGGGCTACCAGTCGCTCGCGCCCGATGCAGCGCCGCTTGACCCTGACAGCACTGTATTTATGGCTTCAGCGGGCAAATTTGTTACCCACATCGCAGTTCTGCAGCTCGTGGAGCGCGGAGTCATCGGTATCGACGACCCTGTCTACAAACTCCTTCCAGAGCTGGAGAAGCTCGAAATCATCTCGCCGAGCATCGATGAAGAAGTTGGATTCACCCTGCGCCCCATCAAGAACCAGATTACCCTCCGCCACATGCTCACACACTCGAGCGGCATCGGGCCAGGCGACGATGCTTTGACGACACTGTGGAAGGCGGCGACGCCGCCACAGGAGTTCCCCGAAGGAACGTCTGGAGTCGTAAAGCTGTTCTCGACACCGTTGCTCTTCGAACCGGGGGAGGACTGGAGCTACGGGCACAGCATCCACTGGCTACAGCCCTTGGTGGAGCGTGCCTATGGCAAGAAGTTCACGCAGTGCATGCAGGAGCTCGTCTTCGATCCTATGGGTCTGAAGCACACAAGTTACCTCTCTCACCTACACCCGGAGATCAGTGGGAAGCTCTTGCAGTGCGTCAAGCGTCAAGATGATGGCGGTGTGGCTCTGCCTGCACCGGATGAGGCATTGCAAGGACTGGTCATGAGCATCTCGGACGTGAAGACCCTCCTCGTAGACTTGATCGGCAAGGAATCAAGGCTTCTGAAGAAGGAGCACGTAGATTTGTTATTCGAGCCCGCTTTTGGACCCTCGACGGCAGCATTGGAGACTGTTCTCAAGGACGAGGACACCTTTGCGAAGACCATTGGATATAAGGAGGAACAAGGGTGCAAGGTCAACTTCACCTGCGCCGGCGCGTTGGTCACCGAGGGACATACTCCGGAGTCACAGTTGCCAGCGGGGACTTTGACTTGGAATGGGTGGCCGAACCTGATCTGGACAATGAACAGGGAGAAAGGGATAGCCACATTGTTTGCGACGCAGCTGATCCCTGTGGACGACGAGAAGACGCTCACCCACATGATAGAGTTCCTGAAGGGCGCGTGGACGACGTTTGGATAAGTGGTAGATCGGATAAGTCGGAACAGGGAACTTGGGTGTGGACGGGCGGACGTGGTAAAAGTGGCACCTTGAAGCAAGGAGGCATATAGCAATCAGACCGAATGATGAGCGCACATGTCAGGCAAGTAAGGACGGTTCAAGCTCATTCGGCTTCGCGGATCAACGTTGCCTGCAGTTGAGAATAAGTATTCGCCCGGTTTCAAGGCGATGGCCAACTCCATCTCGTCTTGCCGGATGATACACTCGCGGTTCAGTACTGCCTGTTATAACCCACAGGGCTGGGTGCCTAGCTGCGGTGGAGCAACGCGGGATATACTTGGGATCTGCTGGCAGTGACGATACCTCAGGGGTTAAACCGGAGCTGAGCCGTGATACACTGGAGATGGATGGTGCTGCACGGCCGTCATCACACATATCTGCTTCTATAGAGGGGATATAGTTTTGGAGATTCTCACAATACACACGAAAGCCCACTGTAGCCGAAGGACCCTGAATAAGGAACGCCACTGAAGCCACTAAGTTGACTGGGTGCGTTACTGCGACTCTGGTGGATGCCCCGCCCCCGCAATCTGCAGAGAAAACGTCACACCGAGCCACGCCAAGTCACCAGCCGAAGTACGCGACGCCAACGGGTTCAGCAACCATCAACTTCGCAACGTTGTTCGTGACAGCCACTGCGCTTCAGTTCCTCTGCCTCCCCAGCCCCGGGTTCTCGTAGCTGCCAGCCCATAGCCAGGACCCGCCTTAGAAACCCCCCCAAGCCCGGGATTTGGCTCTGCAACAAGAAAAACTCTGACGCAGATCCCTCGACCTCACCGACATCATAGGTCGGAAACACAAGCCTCGTCACCAGAAACGGTCGAGATCCGGGCCCCGATACCTCAGAATGGGCAACGAAAACTCGACCGTCCTCGACGAAGACACCCCTCCCCAGACTCTCGACAACCGCGATCTCAGGTCCGTCGCCAAGCTCATCAAACATGGCCGCATCAAGCGCATAGTCGTGATGACCGGCGCTGGCATCTCCACCGCTGCCGGCAGTAAGCCGCCCGCCCTCGACTCTTCCCGGCGCCCGTCCACTGTCGTACACTGCTGACTCTTTCAGTTCCCGACTTTCGCTCGCCCGAGACGGGTCTCTACCACAACCTGGCGCGCCTGAACCTCCCATTCGCCGAGGCCGTCTTCGATATAGACTACTTCCAGGAGCATCCCGAGCCCTTCTACATCCTCGCCAAGGAGCTGTATCCCGGCAAGTTCCATCCGACCATATCACACGTCTTCATTTCCATGCTGGCCGAGAAGAGTCTGCTGCACAAGCTCTTCACTCAGAACATCGATTGTCTTGAGCGCGCTGCCGGCGTGCCTGATTCGCATATCGTCGAGGCCCACGGCAGCTTTGCCACTCAGCGCTGCATTGAGTGCAAAACGTCCTATCCAGACACCCAGATGCGGCAGCATGTGGAGAAAGGTGAACCTCCGCGCTGCATCACTGGCTGCGGCGGTCTAGTCAAGCCAGACATTGTGTTCTTTGGCGAATCACTACCCCCGAGCTTCTACGAAAATCGCGCCATCCCAGCCCAGTCGGATTTGCTGTTGGTTCTCGGAACAAGCTTGACGGTACACCCATTTGCAAGCCTGCCGGGCATGGCCATGGAGCGCACGCCGAGAGTCTTGTTCAACAAGGAGAGGGTGGGCGACTTGGGCACCCGGGCGGACGATGTGCTCTGTCTCATGGATTGTGACTCTGGCATCAGAAAGCTGGCCGCCGAGCTTGGCTGGAGCGATGAGCTGGAGAGAAAGTGGCGTGACACCGTTGGGGAGCTGGAGGCCAAGAGGCAGCTGGCCCAGATCCAGGAGCCCCTCGAGGAGCGCCAAGCCAAAGAGTCTGTCGAAGAGCGCAAGGTCAAATGGCAGCAAGTATGGGAAGAGGACGAAGTCGATGAACTGACGAGGGCGGTGGAGGATAAGTTGGAGCTATCTCAGGAACCTGGCACCGACATTGGCACTAACGAAGGGGCGCAGATCCAGAATCAAGAAACAGAAAAAGGCACTGAAGGCCCAGCTAAAGGCATTGACGAAGTCTCAGCGAAAGGCACTGAGGAAAGCCCTGCGAAAGACCAGGGTGGCAAAGAAGTGCAGGATGCATCGGATGGTCCTAAAGGTGGTGGTACAGGAACGGATCAGGATGTTGTTCCTCGAGAGTCTGAGAGAAGCACGGACGTCGCTACCTCGAAGCCTAGCGGCGTGGATGGGCAACCCGCGGTGGAAAGTCATGAGACCGCTTCGTACAGCAAACCAGTAGTGACCAAGGGAGACGCAGAGGAGGAGAAGCCAGCAGGGGAAGAGGCCAAGGCCGGTTCCGTTCTGTGAGATGGCCTGACACAAAGTCCCAAGCCAGGTGATAGAGTGACTTTGATATACCCCCAACCCGTATTTAGACCCCATTGATCCGTCTATAGCATCTATTCCCCCTGTACTGCACGTCAACGTAACGCAGCCTCTCGTACCGAGAAGAAGCCCTGCTCATGGCGGACTTACCCAGGCTGAGCAGATGGTAGCCTTCTGATAAGACGGATTGGCGAGAGACCTTACTTTGCTCGACACACTTTACCTCCCTCATGCTGGTTGATGCGATCGTCGACCAACAAGCGCCACAATGACGAACTATGCCCGGCCGCACATGAGTAATCAGCAGCCCCCGTCTCCGCCTATGTACAGATCAGAAGATCAGCTGGGAACAACAGTTCGTAGATTGGATTTGTAATCGCAAAGCAGAAACGACCATGTCGTTTCGCGATGACAACAGATGATCCAACATCTCAGGCCGCTCTAGAAGCAAGAGGGTTGTCATTTGATGGCAACATCAGATCCAGAGATGACAACTTCGGGTCCTGTTGCGGCAATCCAAGTGTAGATCACGATGCAAGAGGGTAAGCTGCTGACAATGCCTTGCCGTTTTCATGGTGCGACTTTGCGGTCAATAGGAACCAGGGTTCCCAATTCAGTTACCAGATGAACTTCTATACATCGCCAAAGCCGAAAGAGCTCAGCTCGTGCTCATGTATGTCAGAGTACTAGTATACACGTGGGTTAGCAGATTGAGTGTAGGCTCCCTTCCATGAACTACCCACCCAGGAAATCCTTCAACCCATCGTGGACAACTGGTGTGGTTGCACATGGGCTTGATTCGAGCGGCGAGGGCCGGCACGCAGACTTTCGTCCGGGCGAGCCCACTCCTTGAGCAAATCCTTCGACAAAGAGGTCGCTTACCGACGGCGTCGGCTGAGGAAGACCTCTCCTTGTCAGTGTTCTTCTCAGCACTATTTCAGACTATTAGGTGCGGGCCGAACAGGCTACGAATCATAGTGCACTCTATGGACGCCTCTGTTGATTATATCTGACAGTATGCAGCATTCTCTTCTACGTGGGTGTTGTCCACGATGCCCTCGCTAGAATCAAGAAGTGTTCATTGGTGTCCCGACACGCACGGAATCATCAGCCTGCATGGACGACGCCCTCTCCATCCGTTGCCCTTGGATCTCTACACACATAGGTTCACGACAATGGCCGGCCTAGCGGAATAACAGCAGACGAACTGCAAAATGCATCGAGACATTGGCTAAGGAACAAGGCTCTAGGACTTGTACTCGAACATCATGGCGGAGGGAATGGCCTGGATATAAAAGCCGGCGAGTTCTCGACGCAAAGGCAAACCACTTCGACAGCAGCTTCTTCCATTCCAAAGTCTCAGACCCACCGACAGCACAAAATCCAACCATGCGCTTCTCAGTCCCCGTTCTCGCTCTTCTTGCCTCCGGCGGCATGGCGTCCCCGAACTCCATCATCAGCCGAGACGTGACCACGACCGAGGCCGTCACCGAGGCCATCAGCTTCGCCGTCGCCGCCGACGACTGCGACCTCCTCAAGTGCGCGGCCGTCATCGCCTCGGCCGCCTGCATCGGGGCCAGCATCGCCTTGGGACCTGGCGGCATCCCCAGTCTGCTGGGCTGCACCGCTGGTGGAGCCAGCGCGGTACGTTCCCCCTGCACATGTCGATCCGTGCTTGTCAGCGAGATCGATGGACTGACCCGGGTGTAGATTTGCCCCTGTGCCAACTGCGTCGATGCCCTTGGTGACTTCCTGAAGAACAACAACGTCTGCCCCGCTTAGTTTGGGTTTTGGTGTGGGTGATATGCTAGCGGTTGCGAATCAGTGATGCACTGTTTAGACGTATGAGTGGAATATTGGCAAGGAACAGAATGGGATAACACTCTCTTATAAGAAAGAATTTCCGGTCTAGTCGTATGTAAACCCATTCGGTACCGAGGTCTCCCGCACGGATACTCTATGCCAGTATGTAGAAAAAAGAAAAAAAGGTCGCACGCAGGCCTATGGCTTTAGCTATCAGAACCCTAGCTCAGAGATGAGATTCAGCTAAATACATAGGTAGTCAATATGTGGACGACAACACTATTAAGCCTTATTGTCTAGCTAGAGTACTCCAGGGAAATCTACCATATGTGGTTGCGCATTGATATTGCCAAGGGATAGAGAACAGACTGTAGAGTGGTACGTATCGCTTGACTTGATTCCTCCAACCTATGATGTTGCTCGCCTACCATCCATCCTAAGTCAAAAGGACGCCCGGTGTAGCATAGCTGATATGTCTGGCAGGTAGTGTTAAATCAAAAAGGTAAATCTTAGTTGACCAAACGTAGCTGTAGTAATTGGTGAGTCCTGCTGATCACAGCCCTGGTGATCGAGCCGTTCTAGGCGGAATAAGGGACCTCAGTCACCAGCCTCTCCTGATCACTTTTTGGTAACTTCGCCCCGTGTGGTGTCTCGATCCGATGCAGCACGCTTCACCCAGCCCAAACGAGTCATTTGAGGTGCGCCGCGCTGGTAAGACAACTTCTTGAATTCCCAAGGGATAGGTTCGGGTGCCCGCCATCCGAGTAGGTCACCTGCGGCAGAGGCAATGACCGATGCCGTGACTGTGATGTGAGCGAGCGATTGGTGAAGTTGCAGAACCCCTACAATGGCATCTCGAGAGTTATCACAAATTCTTTCGGAAAGATACGTTCCAAGCCTCTGAGGATGGCCTTGCCTGTCCGTCACGCGGCCGACGACGCTGGTAAAGAGCTCCAGGTCGAGTTGAACCTTATCATTGTAGAAGGCGACGTAGCGAGCTACTTTGGCGTAGAAAGATGGCCAGAACGGGGTATGATAAAGCACCAGTCGTGCATGTATCAAGTGAGGACAGTGGTTAACAAGGACAAGCACCTCGGCAAAACCTGATATTTTGCGTTGCTGTGTATGTAGCTCGAGAGTACGAATGTAGGCGAGCTTCATCTTCCCCAGACCAGAAGGTTGACGCACCATCCTGGTTGTCTGGATAATGTTGACAATGTTCAGTGAGAATATGAGTTCTGTGACCTCGTGGCAAATCGCCTTGTTGACCAAGACAAGACTTCTGGAGACATGGTCGATACGGGGACAATAGGGAAGTGGACGGTAAATGTTCCTGAAATCGAGCAAGATGCGTGAGCTGTGTGGCACAATCAGTCGAAAGATGAGCTGTCGAACCTCGGTCGGGAGATCCAAGAGTCTGAAGTGCATCCCCTCTTCGCAACTCTTGGATTGTGCAGCCCTGTCACATGAAGTCAGTCGGTCTATCCACAACACCTATCGCCTGCCGTCACCTACCTTGAACCGGGTTGCTCTATTGCAGAGGATCGAGACATGATAACGTAAAGTGAGCTCGGTTTCCCGCCACAATGACCAACACCTCCTCAACTGCTGAGTCGGTACTCGTGCTTTGAGGAAAAGACAAGAAATTTCCGCACATTTGACTGTAATAAATACACGGACGTCTCCATTGTCCGTTGATACGAGACGCGAAGCCTTAGGAAGGGGATCTAGGTCAAGAGGCTAGCATGCCCTGAGGTTGCTTTGGGCAACCTTTCAAAGCATCAAATACCGGTGTGCAATAGACTCAATGCAACACCAAATCTCAGGCAGGCTCTCCACGTATCAAATGACAGAAAACACACTACTTTCTGCGGAGTTCACCACATTGTACCCATACTCTATCCTATACTACAGAAAGAAAAGGTACCCTGAAATAACAGGCGCATTTCAGTACTTGAATTCCTGACAGACAAGGCTCTCACTCAATGTCCACAACCTGTCAGCCTCGGCCGAGCTGGTCACCCAAGGTTTAATTGTACCAAGCCGAGGATCTCCAACACGGCAGTCTTCGAGATACCAGCCATTACTCGCTGCTAATGGTCAATATCAAGCCAAGAAAAGTGTAGATATCAGGTACCTACTCCACAAATATGGGTCAAAAGCAGCATATACATAGTTGGCTATCCCTTGGTCGAGGCTACTCGGGGGTACGGCCCCCATCCAACCCTCCTGATTCCCCAAGAACTGGTCTATTCTTACTGCAAATCAGTTAGCAGAGGAGTACATAGAGGAGGCTCAGAGCAGCTTACATATCCGGGGTAGTTCTTCTGTCCAATTGATGTGCGCATCTGCGTTAGTCTTGACGAAGCCAGGATGCACACTGAATGCCAAGAGGTTGTGCGTGGAACCAAGTTTCTCTGCCAGTTTCAGCGCCATGAGACTGCTGGCAGTCTTCGATTGTCCATAGGCCTGCCATCTATCATATGTTACGCCGTCCTAATGGTCTATTATTAGTAACCTGTAGTCACACATGCTCAGGTGGTCAGCTACCTGAAAGCTGTAGTCCGGAAATCGAAACGGGCTAAACCGATGTCCATCGCTGCCGACCAGAATCACTCGAGGTGCCTTGGATTTGAGGATCTTGTCCATAATGAGGTTGATAAACAGGAATGGGCCGAGATGATTCACAGCAAGTTGGCTCTCGAAGCCGTCCAGTGAGATGGCCCAGTCTGTAGCCATGACTCCAGCACTGTTCACCATAATGTCGATGTGTGGCAGGTCAGCCCACGCCATGACTCTGTCGGCGGCGACCCGTACTGCAGAGAGGGATCGAAAATCCAGCGGCAGCAGCCGCAGATTGATGGACGAGTTCTCTTCTGTGACCATCTGCGCAGTTGCCTGGAGTCTGCCTCTATCACGGCCAGCCAGGATGATTTCGGAGGGACCGGAACCGGCGATGACCTTCAGGAAGGCCGCGCCCAGTGATCCGGGCGAGACGCCAGTCACGAGGATGACCCTGCCCCGAATGTAGTAGGAGTAGGCGTTGGCCAGGCTTTTGGCCGTATTCCGCGAGCTACTAGAATCCATTGCTGCATCTGCTGTTACTTAAGCATGGACTTGTCCGCTTTACTGAAAGCGAAGGAAGATATGGAGAGTGTGTAAAGACAAATGTTAGACTGTGTCCTGTCGATATTTTGAGAGACGAGGGCTCTAGTATTGCTACATATGTACTCGTTCAACTCGATTCTCTTCGAGCTTCGAGCTGCAGGTAAATATCCCCGTCTCTCTGTCGCTTTCGTTTACAAAAAATCATTTGAGTAGTACAGTTGCTATTAGCATGAACCTATAGGACGGAGTAGATGTGTTCCTCTCTCATCATCGTATACCTACCTGGCTACGAAATTCGAGCTGTGTGGAGCTTGATGAGGCTCAGCCCACCCAATCATTGCTGTGCACAACTTCCTAATCCGGGACTGCCTGGTCGTTATCGCTTTCGCACGCAGCTTAGCGGCGGTTGATGACATGAAGTATACCAAAACGAGTCTCCCCAAATGACACACGAATAGTTGTATTTTCTTGGTATGCCAGCTTCAACGTCAGCTTGCGCGCCACACTTGTTAGAATCAAGATCGTCAACATCATCTGCTCGTAGTACTTGATAGCCAGACATGGACAAGTCAACGGTCAATTGGGGCTGCAATGGGGCCTACGAACAGTAGATGGTTTTCTGTGTATTCTGCAAGCATTGTGAGTCCACCTAGCTGGTCGGGAGCTTCTATATTGTCTGCATCCTGTGAAGGTCATGTTGACCTAGAGCGGATTCATGTCTAAATGTGCCAGGGGGGTGCTAGTGCGTCCCCACACCTAAGCAATGCGCTGATGGGGATATACGATACCGAGGGCTGACATTGGAGAGGCCGGTGCGTTTGAGAACCAGTCTTACCGAATAGCTGCGTGGTCGCCAAGTGGGCGCAGCGCCTTTTGCGGCCAGACATGCTCTCCTGGTCCTTTTTTTCTTACACATTTTACAAATGTACGCAGGCACCTTTGGCATCGCGCGATTGTTAATTTGATCGCTGCAAATTACGGGTTTCGGCAGGTGTGGTAATTGAGATATGCACTTAGCTGGCGTCGCTGCGCAGCTGAAAGGGAGTATTCAGTGCCCAGAAACCTTCACGAATCGCAACTTTCCTTTCTTGTAAAGCTGCCACCATTGCTTATAGCTGGTTCAGGATTTGATCATAATACAACGAGTCCATACAGCGATGGATCACCACTAGCCCTCTAGCGTCCCCTACTCTGCGGCCACATGTGTTTTCTCCTTGGATCCCTTCTCGACGTCAATGTCGCCGACTTCTGACGGGGACTCCTTAGGCTCAATTCCATCAAGTCCTGGTTGAGTGCTTAGATCGTGCTGTAGTATGTGCTATCAATCATTCATTAGCTATGCCAAGAAACCTATTCATAAACCATTCTACACTCACCTCGATATTGATCTTCGGCCCCTTGAACCACTTGTGGGCATCGACGAAGAACCACACGATGACGAATAGCATAGGTGCCCCGTAGACCAGGGATGTCCAGTTCATCAGATCGGGGGTCAGGTCATCGCCACTGACCGTCGGGAAACACAGGATCGGCAGCATAAGTAGCACGTAGCCCACCGAGATAACACCACAGGGCATACTGAACTTGCCGAGATTCCACGGACCTGGCCGGAACTTTTTGCCAACGAAGATAAGCTTGACGAGAATAGGGGTCGTGAACGCCACATATGACGCTATAGCGCCAATGGAGAAGATAGCCCCGATGGCCACACCTCCAAAGATGAGGAGATTCAGCAGAATACCAATCAAGGCGTTGAACCATACTGCATTGACAGGGGTGCGGGTGTGTCTGTTGACCCGCTTCAGCGGGTTGCTTAGCACACCGAAGCAGTCATCCCGCGCGTAGGCAAAGCACACACGGCTGGCCGCAACCATGCAGCCTTGACCCATGGAAAACGAGCAAACTATGGTCATTGCCAGAACGGCCAGGGCGACTGGCTGCGGGAGGATCTGAATGAGATATGCTGCCCATGGTTGACCCTGGCGAGGCTGTTAGATCCCTTAACCTAGGTCTCTTGAGATGTAGGACTTACCAGATCACTCTCAATAACCGCAGCGATATCCGTGATAGTATACGCGATAATGCTATCCCAGGTGAGCAAGAACTCGAGTACTCAGAAGAATGTCGTTAGGGCACTTACACGTTTAGGATAAAGCCCGTTACGCTGCCGCTCACAGCTGTGTAGATAATGGATCGAGGGGTTGCAATGGCAGAGTTCGAGCACTCCTCACTCAGATGGAATGACGCATCTTTTCTCAGAAACAGAGGTCAGCGAGGGGGATATACATCGATCTGGGAATACCTCGTGCGTACCGTAGCCGGACATTGTCCAAATGATTGCCAAGAAGCTCATGAGCACGGCAATGCCATCGGGCCAGTCAGTGAAGTTCTGAATACCCCACGCAAACTCGTTCGGCTGGAACTTGGGACTCGTGATGGCAGCTGCCGGTATGATGATGATAACGACAGCCAGGCACGTGATGTTGATAATAGTCCCTACAGAGTTGAACCTTGCGATCCACAGGGTTGGCATACTGCCAATACAAGCATGGATGACCATGATGAAGAAAGTCAGCAGGAATGTCTGCCACTCGTTGGGCACGTAATCAGGATTCATGATCGATGCTGCGGCAAGGATCATGGCAGCTGTGGGAGAGACGCGTTAGTTATAGTAGTCAATTAGGTGTGTAAGACGGGACTCACCGCAGCCATAATCAACACTTGGCGCACCCGTCACTTGGACAAACCAATTAGACCTGCAATGATTGTTTAAGAAAATCGAACTTTGGAGGAGGGGCAAGAGTTCTTACCAGCCAGTAATCCACTGTAACCCATCATTAGTTACCGTTCACTGCCAGGAAGCTCTGGGAAGAAAAGGATGGTTCACATCTCGATGCACTTACCGCGGCGAAAGGTCCGTACTTCGGTCCAGCCATGACTGCGCTCGCGTAATACAAGCCGCCGGAAGTGGGCATGCTGCTTGCGAGCTCCGCCATCGAAGCTGCCACCTATACCATGCATTAGATGACCGGTTGGGCAACGGCACTCCCACGGCGTACGTACACAGACGATGAATACAACGCTCAACAGCCATCCCCAAGTATTGGCCGCCGGTCCCGCTGCGTATGCGCATCAGTAAGCTGGCACTCCCTCCAGATCCGCCCCGCGTCATGTTGTCATACCGTAGCCAATGCCGTAGAACATGGTCGTGGCGATACTCGGGAGTAAACCCATGACCGCGAAACTGACGGCAAATGTAGTCCAGGCCGAGAACTCGCGCTGCACGTCATGCCGATGAGTTCCCAATCCGACCGAATTTATGGAGGTTGCAGCGGACTCACTTTGAACTCCTGCTTGTAGCCCAGAGCCGCAAGCGCAGCCTCGTCCTCCGACATCTCCTCGAGATGCTCCGGGCGGTCGCCCGCCGGCAGGACGCTCGTCACCGGCGGGGTAGGAGGGGGGTCGCCGGCCATGGTGCCCCGGAGATTGGAAAGTATAACGGTGGTTCGCTTCGACGGGTGTCGACTATGTCGTCATTAACCGAGTATTTTCAGAGCCGGATAACGCAGTTCGTTTGGCTATATCGAAATCCTACCCCGAATACGTACATGCGAGGGAAACAGAAATGCTGGGTGCGCTTGGCGTATAGATATGCCGGGACGCGGATTGAGCTTTATCTTTGATAGTCATTGATTTTGCCAATCGTCGCGCGCCATGTACAAGGGTCCTATCAATCTCGCACCAAGCCGCGGGTTGCCTTGCATCGATGATAGCTGATAGGGTCGGGGAACCCGAGTACAGCTCGTAGTACGATCTCCAAGTCAGGCAAACGAGAGCTGCAGCAATGGGTCCAAGTACGTAGGTGCATGCTTCCTGACGACACTGGTCGTCTTGATATGCGAGTCACTCTGCATTGCCAAATGGCATGCCTCTGGATCTACAGTACAGTAGAAGAGAGCCTGATAAGAAGCAGTCGGTGGAGGAACCCGTTTCCCCAAGATAATTAGCGCTGCCTAGTATGCAGCCCCAACTCACATACCGTCTTGGCACTCTACATGATTGACAGCTGTCCTGCAACTCAATTCTCCTCCCATTCTCTTCCAATTCACAAGAGCCTGATGAAAACCACCAGAAGCATGTTGCTGTCCGAAGTCATGGGGACTGCTGAAGAAGTTGTACTTATATACCATCGTAATGAGTACAGTCCTGGATTTATGTATCTGATAAGCTTGCTCCAGGATGTCTTATCTCTCGGGTACTTTAACCTAATCTGTAAGCAGCTCCACGGTCCCCAGGAATCAAGCTTTCAGACCAATCTCTCCCATTCTCGTTATCAGAGTGAGGAAGAATGAGAGGCCAGGTGCATACCTTGTGTGCCATACTTGAAGCCAGGACGAGAGAAGAGCTCAGCCTCACCAGCCTTGCTTGAAGCTGGAGAGCCTTCCTATTGGGCAGTGCTGAGTCCGATAGTCAAATGTGGAGCTCCGGTATAGTGCCCTCATTTATAGTCCGTGCCGACACCGACCTGCTGGGTCACAGAGGTTGCGCGGTTCCAAAGATATACTCTTTGGGAGCGCGCCTGTCAGGGCCACATCTTGTCTTAGACGGGACCGCAAGCACCAAGCCGCGGCGGGTGCCACGAGCACGAGGCCGTGGATCTTGTAGCACGTGCTTGATTTAGAGAGTAGCTGGCTGACGCTGGCACCGAGAAACTCGGCATTTGAACGATCGTCAGTTTTAGCGTCAACGACGAAGCTGTCTATTGATCCCAAGCACTGCAAGCGAGCACGATGTTGTCTAGGGCCGACGTGTATGCGACGCAGCCCCTCTTCACGAGAAACGGCGACTCTGCGGGGAAGTATGGTCCAGACCGGCCGAGGTCGAAGCAAAACCTACCCATGCAGTCTAGTAGCTTTCCATGGACAGCTGCATGTCAGTGTCGAAGCTCGATGCTGAGGCAGCACAATGGATTTCTCCAACTTCAACGGTGCGGAGAAGCCCCCGAGCAGTCTGAATAGGTCATGAACACGATGGGCAAGTGATCGGGTGACCGATGACGGGTTTGGCGAGTGGACAAAAAACGTGCATCGACACATGTCATCTGCGAAAAGCGTTGGGATGGACGGACGGGCAGGCATTCCCAACAGAACATGCCGTGTAAGTTGATGCGCGGCTGCCGTTGGTTGGAACATGATGCACCTCGCAAGGTCTGGTGAGTTCTGTGGTATGTACGGGGTGACTTGGGAGGGAGGCCGTTCATTCCACGTATGATGGCGTTCCGAGGAGGCAGATCGGCGGGGGATCTGGTTAAGTTACTGCAGATGTCCGCATCAGGCAGATCTCCAAACTGCATCTGGACGTCGCCCGAGTCGTACCTACTGTAGGGCTGCGGCAGGCAAGCAGCCAACAACGTCGCCTGATTCGCCAAAGACGGACAGGAAAGGAAGAGAAGCTCGGGGCGGGGGCCGAGGATGCACCCAGCTCTTGGGAAAGGACACGGTTCACTGCTTGGGGCGACGTGCAACGGGATCTTCCTGGCAGCTGGGCGTGTCTGCATTACAGAAGCCTTATTTATTGACAAGTCACGGTCTACATGATAGAGGCGGCTACCCAGCGGGGCTGTCTTGTTTTTTCTGTTTCTTTGCCGGGCGTAACAACGAAACAACCTTACCTTACCTTACCTTACCTAGGTAACAAGTTTACATGTTATGTTGGAACTGGGTGGAAACAAGCTGACCAAAGGCAAACGGTCTGTTGTTCTGAACTGAACGGACCAGCGGGGACCCCTATTCTCTATTCGGGGGGAGATTCTCAATTTCATGCCACCCATCCCAGGTCAATCGTCATCAGGCACCACTAAGAGCACGCGCTAGACTTGTCTCAGAAGTCGCGACGGGGGACGCCCACGGCGACCTGAAGAATGACGAAGTTGCTTGGCTTGGCTTGAAACCTGACAGCCTGTCTCTGCTACCGACTTGCGACGGCGAGAGAGAGTCCTCTTTTGCATCTCTGCCCACTTCACTTGGAACTGCGCCGGCCATGTCGTAGCCCAAGGTTTCCGACTTCCAAGGTTTTGGCCCGTGGGTTTCGCTTGGCGTCTATTGTGTTGTTCTCGCCCTGTCAATCCCCTCCCGGCCCCCAGACGCCCAAGGATCCAAGGACCCCAAGGACCCAAGGTCGAGCCGGGCTGACGTGACGGGCAATCAAAAGATTACATGAACAAGGCCCAGGGATCGTCAGCATTTGCGCCTAGGTTAGTGAGATCCGCTAAGACGGGACGGGCTTTGGCGCAGCGCTGTTTTTTTTGTTTGGGCCTGGTCTCGCTCGAGCCTCCCGTCGCCCATCCGGCCAGCGCAGCAGCCAGCAGCCAGCAGCCAAACCAAGGTGCCAAGGTGCCACTGACACGGGCGTTGGCAGTGCGCTGTGAATTTATTATTCTCCCTGGCACCCAGTCCCACCACCAAACGCCGTGTCCGTGTCGACACCAGCTTCATGATACACAAGCAAGACGTCGCTGTCTCGCCGGCACAACCCGAGTAGTCAGTCCTGTCTCTCGCTCCTATTCTCCGGCTGATTGCGCACCGGCGCAATGAACGCAATCCAGCAGAAATGCCGGCCGAAGCACCAGGTCCTCGTGCTGAAGTGCTATCCCCGGACCACCAAGGGGGCCGTCGACGTCAAGCCCAACTCGAGCGAGCTCAGCTACCTCCTGTTCTACGCGACCTCGCGCCGCTCCAAGATCCAGAAAGTCGGCAGCTTCCTGGAGAAGAAGACGGCCAGCGATGTCTGGCGCTTACGCATTGGGTATGTTTGCCACTCCATCACCGCGCCTCCGCGCCTTTTTCTCGCGACTCCTTTCTTCTCTACCACTAGCACATGTCTCCGAACCCGCTTGTTACTGACGACGTCCTCGATGCACTCAGCAATGTCCAGGTCACGCTGCAGATACTTGCAGCCCTGATTGAAAAGTCGCCCAAGGATCTGCCTTTGTTTGCGCAGAATGTCATCAAGGTCCTGAGCCTGGTACTCAAGTCCAATGATATCACCATGGTCGAGGCATCCCTGCCCACCTTCGAGACCTTTTGCGAGCACCACGATGCCTCGTCTCTCTTTGCCGACCAGACCTACGTGCGCCAATACGAGGATATCGTACGCTCGTACGCAACCTTCGCGTCGACCCGCCAGACTCCCGGCAAGGGAACTCCGAGCAAGCCGGTCGCCGTGAGATGGAGGAATGCGGGCTTGACGGCCATCAAGAGCGTGGCAGAGTCCGACGCCTTGGCCTCCGTGGCTGGCCGTCAGCTTGATGTTATAGTGCCCATGATCTTGGAGAACCTCTGGACCGACAACGACGGCTTCCTGGACCTCCTCACCCACCGTATGCGGGCCGAAGAGAAGGTCGATACGCACAACCTACCGCGCCGCAAGACCAGTATATCCACCGTGAGGACTGGAGATGAGCTGGGGGACACAAACCCAATCGCTTTGTCTGGGTCTACCGCCGATGCCGATGCCCTGGCCGAGGAAGAGACGGGCTTGCTGGCCATGCAGTGTCTGAAACAGATATTTGTCATCCCGAACCGTGCTCAGCTCCATGGCGCAACTCAGGCCTTGTTGAAGTTCTTGCAAGAGCGGATTGAACAGAGCGAACAGGTCATCAAGACCGACGAAAAGACGGGGCGCGATGGTGGCTGGGCTGTCAAGATCTACGGTCTTACAGCTAAATGGGCGCCTGTACAAGACCGATACATCATCCTGGTGACAGTTTTGGATACGCTTGTGCGAGCGCAGCCAACCAACGAGAATGTGGCGGAGCAGACTGTGTTGGTGGCCATCATGAGTTCCCTGCTGCGATCAGACGTCAACTTGATCGGTCTAAGTGTCATGGACGTTCTCCTGGGGCTCATCCAGCATATGAAGCGGGTACTGAGCTATTCCGGGCGCTTGAGTGCTGGTACGGCGCCTGGCTCCGCTGGCAAAGACGAGAATGCCGCACCAGACTTCGACAAACTACAGCAGTCTACTTCACAACATGGTGAACTTCTAAACCGAATCGAGCGATGCGTGGGAGACTTGGCAACACACGTATACTATGCTGACCAGATTTCGGATATGATATCTGCCATTCTACTACGACTGAAACCCCACCCGAGTACAATTAATGCTACACCACCCACGGATGGGGCTGAAGGCAGTGCGCTTCCGGGCACATCGGCCGGCAGCCTGGTCGATGATCAGCAACATCTCGACAGTCTCTTCGCGCTGGACACTGCAAAAACAGCAGCCCTCAAAGCTATCAAGGCGATCCTCCTGGTTGCTAACCCGAAGACTAAGATGAGCGGCAACGTCAGCCTTACGAGGAACAAGGTGCCTATTCAGGTCTGGGAGGGTACTCAATGGCTCCTGCGAGACCCGGACGGACAGGTCCGAAAAGCCTATGTCGAGGCTGTCATCACTTGGTTGGATCGGGAGACGACAAGGGCTGATCTCAGGGCCCGTGACGAGATGGCCCAGAAACCGAACCGCGGTGGGAACCGGGATGCCCCGCCCCCGACCTTTGCGCGCCGCGCTGTCTCGAGTGCCTCAAACCGAGAAAAGCCGGTCAAGGTTCCGCGATCCCACTTCCTGCAGTTACTGCACCTCAGCCTGTACGACAACGCTCTGCAGTTTGTCGAGTATGACTCCGATATCGCTTTGTCTCACGCCATGCTAGTAAAGTTGGTGGACAAGCTGGGTGTAAACGCCGTACGTTACGGCCTGCCTATGATTTTCCGGTTACAGGAGGATATACTCGAGGCGGAGACGCCTCGCGCAAAGGTTCGTCTGGGTGCTCTGTGTCATGGCTACTTCTGGGCCTTGACCGAGAAGTTTGACTTCGACTCATCGGTTGTTGGAGAAGCCATCCAAAACGAAATCATTAGAAGGAGGAGCAAGAACTTCTGGGTCGAAGGCGTAGCCGTCCCACCGCCTTCGTTGGACCTGATAGGTACACCTGGATCACACCGCCCTGAACCCCTTTTACCAACAAAGGAAGTCGAATCCGAGGCTTTGTTGCCCTTCGATGATCGACTTACGATGGTGGATTGTATATACCGCAACTATGGAGAGACTGCAATCTCTCCACCCGCTAGCCCAACCGCATCTCCTAGTCGACAGTTTGCGCACCCCATCCTTCACTCTGGCTTGAGCACCATCCCGCCTGCCGATACCGACCGGACATTACCTGCCAAGTTCAAAGAGGACATGTTGACAGAGTGGACACGAGAAGCCGCTGTGATTGCGCTCCAGGAGGGAAGCAAATCAGCGTCTCTTAACGGGTCCAGAACGGGGACCACAACCACGAAGGGTAACCGGTTGACAGTGAATGGCGCAACAGCCAATGGTCACGCACGGAGTCCAGTGGGGTCACCAGTCAATAGTCAACACAACCTACGCCCGGCCTCTCACGCCGGTGGGCACGGCGGTTCTGCACTTCGGAAGTCAAGCGTGCAGAGTCGCATTTCCAGCAACTCAAGTCGCGGAATCGGGGTTACTTCAGTTGACCAGTTGAAATCGGTTTTATCGGGAGAAGCCCCTCGTCCACTCACTCTCCAGACAGTTCGCGATGATGACAGCAGTGAAAGCATGGCTAGCTACGAGTTCACGCCATCGGAGTTGTCTTTCAACCCTGCCGCGGGCGAGATTATTGATCAACCGGAGAACGGGCTTACTCGCTCGAGATCCAAGTCACGGGAACGTAAGGCCTCTGGCGATCTTGGTGGTCCCCTGACCTCCCACCCCACCAATGAGGAGATCGAAGAAGAGGACGGTGTGCCACCTGTGCCGCCTATCCCAAGTTCGATCACCGGAAACACGCCAATTCCTGTCGGCAGTCATCGGCCCATGTCTGCTGTCTCTACGAAGGATCATGCTCTTCGGGCTCAGAAGCGAAACACCAAGAGCAGGGGGGGCGAAAGCATTCTATCAGGTTCGCTTACGGAATCGGGCAGCCCTACTCTTGACTTGCACTCCCTTCTCAAGGGAATTGACAGCAAGTCCAGAGAACACAGTCTCGGAAATCTCACCAAGCCACCGTATTAGACATCTAGGCCAGCTGCAGCTCTCCCACCACGAGAGTACAACATGAATTGTACAATATGAACCACATGCATACAGACGGGGGCGATGGGCAGGAATTTCTGATTGGGGTTGACGGGGAGGATGAGAAAGATAAACATACGGAAGGCAACTTTCTTGGTTATAATGGCCACTAATTATGCTCTAATACGATTAGAGTAATTGTACAGAAGATTGTTCGAGTGTCGGGACGGGAAGCTGCCGCGCTTTCTTCTGGCAATAGCGGGTGTTGGTGCTTGGTGTTTAGAGGTAGCGGCTGCGATTATGCTTCGCTGAGCGTGGCTGGTCTGTTTGAATGAAAAAAAGATGTTTTGGCATCTGTCACCTTGACTTCTCAGTGAGATTTTGGAGTGTTTAATCCCCGCAGTATGTGACGATGTCCAGTGGAAAGTTGAGTGATGGACAGACACTGCCTTTCTAGACCTAAGAAAGCAACAAGGAGTATCGATTAGTGGCATGAAACAACACAACAGATTACTTCTGAAGCAGTTTTTGGTCATCTGTCTCCCCAGGTTAAAGCACTACCCTCGCTTTTCTAGGAACGGAATGTACGAGTCCCAGTGTGGCATATCTACGTATATCCTGCAGCGACTTACCAGCCCGCCCTCCTCCTGATGTGTAACACAGCTACTTGGAGACGCGCTTGCTCTGCTCGCCATCATTCGGCATGCTCACGCCCGAGATGCCCAGCCCGAACCCGTCGTTGCTGTGCGGCTGCTCCACCGTGCCGTCGTTGCGCCGGTCCGGCGGCGTGCCCCCGAGGCCCCCGTTGTCGTCGGTCGAGTGGAACGACGACGCCGCCACCGGCGTGTAGGGGGGCGAGGAGGAGGAGGAGGAGCCGCTCCCCGTGGATGAGGGCGCCCGCTGCTGCTGCTGGTAGTCGGTCGCCCGCGGCGTGCGGTCCGGGTCTGCGGGCCGGGGTGTCCGGCCCGGGTCGTCGGCGTACGTCTCCCGGGAAGTGTTTTGGCCCATTTATGCAGAGATCTGTTGCTTGTCTGTGTCTTTGGTGTGTTTCTGGTTCGGGGCTTCTGTTAGGGCGGTGCTGTGTGCGGCGTTGGGAGGGATCTTTGGCTGTTGCTGGTAGGTTTTGTAGAGTGCGGGAGGCGCAGTGTCATGGTTGCGATTTGAGTCAGATGCTTGACTGTTCGTGGTGGTTAGAAACGTGTGAAATTTGTCGTGTATTACCTGAGTTCACTTTATCGTGGTGAGTTGGGGCATACGGTGAGCATAGCAACTGCACTCATAGTAATTGACGAGTATGTTCTCATAGAAGCAACCCGATTGTTACATGATACGTCCCTTCGTATACACTCCGATACATATAGAGGTACTATACCTTATACTCCTATTCTTCAGGTAGTGGCCGGCCTCTTCTTCAGCTATGAGTCGTTGTTTCCCATGGGGATCAAGTTCAAATTCACAGCATTGCAGCGAGCGTCAAGGTAGCAAGTCTCCGGTTGGCCAGAGTTTGAATATTCAATGCTGGGCAACACAAAGCCAGCAAGGATAATCGCCCTAGTGGAACAGACTTGGCTATGCTGAGTTTGAGACTACGTGTTCCACAAATTTACTGGAGCCTGGTATATTAATCTGCAACGGGCCACGGGGCGAACTCAGACTGACAGTGACTAAGGTACTCATCATATCAAGGGGATGTAATTTAAAGTACAGTAGATCCCAGTGTACTTCAGAAAAAGAAAGTGGTTTTCTCGGGCCCATCGCACAATCCTGCTAATCCGCGGAAATGTGTGCGTCCGGATGGTCTATAACGTCATCTCGAAGGGAGCTTCAAAAGTAAAGCGTCCGGGAAGTTGAAGTGATGCAGCATGACCACGACACACTTATAGCTTCTCAAATCTAGCGTAGCACGCTTTTGGTTTCCGAAACATAGTCTCAACCGCCTCCATATTGTCTCGCTTGCTCGACAACGGAAGCATGTTAAAGCTCAGTGCAGTAAGGGTGATCATGATCCTCAATTCAAGCATAGCCAATTTTCGACCTGCGCGTGGGAAAAGCACCTTGTCAGTAAATCATACTTCAAAACTTCTAGGCTGAAGGGGGTTGACTCACCAAAACAGCCTCGAGGGCCGTCACCGAAGCCTAGGCGCGGAATGGCGTAAGCGTCAAACTCAACCTTCCCGTCCTGGCCTTTGATAAGCCAGCGCTCCGGTACGAAGTCTGATAGATTGTCGCCTGCTGGGCCATCAATCCCAGGACGGCCGCGCTTTTCATAGGCTGCACGGCTTGTTGCGCTGCGTACTTCTTCTGGTACAGCAACGGGTCGGCTCTTCATGATGTTGTTGAAGACAATATTGGTTCCTTTAGGAATCTTCTTTCCAAGGATCTCGGTGTCGACAATCGCCTGCCGAGTCACGGTGGCGGTTCCTGCCAAGCGCATAGCCTCTTCGATGACAGCATCCAGGTATGGGATATCGCAGTCCACGAGATCATTGACAGAGGGAAGCCCTATGCCCGGAAAAGCGTCTCGGAGTGCCGACCGTAACTTGCTTTGTACCGTCTGGGAGTGAGCCATGTATTTTATCCACCAGGAAAGCGTGTTCGAGGTCGTATCGTGGCCCGCCCACAACAACAGGAACACTTCGTCTCGCAACTCAACATCCTTGGTCAAGTCCCGCAGCGGCACACCTGCTTTGTGGGCCGCCTGAACCTCACGCCTCAGGACTAAGTCCATCGCGCAATTGTCTGGGGCTTCAATACCATTCTCAATGGCTGCCTGGTACTTTGCGATGGAAGTTCTCATGATTCTCTCGATCTGCTTGTTCTTGATGCCATCATACTTTTGATACTCCTTCCCCTTCTTCAGCAGCCAAAGCTGTAGCGGTGGGAACTTGAACGTCCGCCAGCCTAGGGCAGCCTTGTTCATGAAATCCAAAGCGTTCTGCATATCAATGCCGCTAGCGATGTCCTCGTCTTGCGTCGAAGCCTTTCCTTTGCTGTCGCCGTTGATCTCGTTGATCTGGTCTCTCATGCCGCCAAGCTTTTCCCCCAAGATCGCAAGCCAGATAGCATCGAGTGCTGCGGTGTCAAAATCATGCAAGATGTCAACCTCCGCACCGTTAGCCTTCTCCTGTTTTGCTTTCCAGAGTTCCAACAGTTCCAGGCCTGCACTGTAGAGGCTGGGCGCCACAGCCCGCTGCAAGAAATCGGGGGCCATGACATCCAGCCATGGTTTTCGCTGGGCTTTGTAATGGGGAGTCGTCTTCTTCACAATAGTCGAGTGCGGCATGATAGTTCCAATGACAATACTGGCGATGGGCGACCTGTCGAATTCCTTGTTCCTGCGGAGAAGTATGTCCTCGGTCTCTCGTGGATCGTCTAGGTACAAGTACGGAGGCATGAACGGCGACGCGAACAGTTGCACGAGTGGGAACCCCAGCTTGTTCGTGAGGCCAGTGCGGTATCTGCTGAACTCTCCATGTTTCTGAAAAGCTTCCATCATTCCAGGCTTATCGCCTGATATCCTCTGCGCTGATGCAGCATTGTACGGGATCCCTGGGATTGGCTTGGGGAACAGACGGCGATAGATGCCGTACACCAGCACTACCAGTGCCGCCGTCACATAGAACTTTGCCGCCATAGAGATAAGTCCACTTCGCTATCCTCTTGGTTCAATAATGAGCTTTCTGGTTCGTCTTCTTCCCAGAAAGGGGATTCGAGGCTATTTCAATCGAAGCGGCTGCCCTGAGGTCAAGTTCAAAGGTAATCATGTTAAGACAGCAGGGAAACAAGCGCTTACGCCCAGAAACCCATCTTTCAGGGCCACCGTCAGAATCTACTAGTATGTAGAGCCTCGCCTACATACCTAATCTCTATTAGTCTGTTGGTCGGTTTTCAGCCGTGGCGGGTGGTCCCTTGTCTGATTGATCCAAAATGTTGGGATTTCTCAGCTGGACGTGGCTAGACCAGCGAAAGCAATCTGATGGCTCAACGACGGCGCAACTTGACTCTGCTTCAAATTCTCTCTCATGGTGAGATTGAAACTTGATAGGCCGGCGACATACATGTCAATAAGAAGCCACTGTACACGTTTCATCTTGTGCCCGATTACTGTTCTACCAATCGCTAGGGGGCCGAAGACCCGAGACAACCAGCAAAGCTATGGGGACTTGGCACCATAGGACGCCACGGTTGACATTTCTTGCGTATGATCAAGGAGGAAGACGTGTCTAATGTAGAAACGGCTATATCGATATGCACACGTGAAGTAATATAATGCGATCCTGTTTGGGTTTCAGAGTCGCATCTTCTCGAAGTTGCACACGGCACTCAGTGGCAGGCGGCTACGTGAATGTTTGTGAGCGATATCATTTTTAATAACGCCAACTTTTCCATCGCAGCAGCCAATCAGCTAATGCAGAACTAGCACTAGTGGTTTAGTGGTAAAATCCATCGTTGCCATCGATGGGCCCCGCGTTCGATTCGCGGCTAGTGCATCGAGTTTATCTTTTGCCGTTTCCCCGGCCTTCTCAGCAGTGTGTGACAATTGTATATCTTGGTACAATTGAAGACCTTCAATTTGTCTTGCCTTGCTTTCGGAAATATGTGTAATTCGTCTTTTTGACTGGTGCTACCTGAGTGTCATACTAATCGGAACCCCTCGAGCTGCTTTGTTCAAGCCAAAGAGCCGCGTCATGTCTGCCACTATCGTAATACCAAACAAATGCATTATGAACAAGTAGGACAATACCTGTTGGGGAAAGGGGGGAACCATGGGTTAAATTATAGCTGAAGTTGGTAATTGAGGTGAGTGCTGATAGAGGAAGGATCTTATCGAATAGAGACATCTATCGGCTAGGTAATCTGAGCTCTGCCAATCCATAAATGTTGTCTCCTTGATTCTCTCAGCTGTAAAGGGCGTAGCTTCTTCTGTATTGTCAGCTGAAACTCACACGAAGCCTTATCAAGTCTCACAAGGGGACGGCGTTTTGCATCACCGGCCCATTTGCCATGTGCTTCTGAAGATCCCGGCGCTCAGGCAAATCGCCGCCGGCAAGACCCACCGCCAGTGGCAGGCCCGAACCTCGGCAAAATCTCAGCTGTCTTCACTTCACACGCGTCGTCGCGTGAACGGCAAAGTGTAGGCTGTGTTGACTTAGGCCGTATCGTTACCATTTGGGAAACATTTCGCTTTCTATCACCAAGCCTTCTGCGCTTTATTCTTGGTCTGGGATCGCGAGTCGTCTCAGTCTGCTGCCGGGTACTACCAGTGAGCTTCCGGCATCCCCTGTCTCACCCCCTATCCATCATGGCTGGACGTACAACGTTGGTCAAACCACCGGACGTGGATCCGACCAAGGCGCAGATTGAGAATGCACTGGAACTTACCGACCTGAGCATAATTGGGCCTGTAAGTCGTGCTGCAGCACCCTTTGGAGGGCCTGTCAGGGGATGCAAGGGACGGGGCTGACTGATGTCATAGGATATCTTCACCAACACCAGAGAGCTGTGGCACCCGCCAGGGGCTCGAGGCATCTATGGCGGCGCCGTGATCGCACAAACTCTTGCTGTATGTAAACCATCGCAGTGGCCATTGATTCCATACTGACTATTATCGTAGGCAGCGCAGCGCACTGTGCCGGCGGACTTCGTGGTGCATTCATTCCACTGCTACTTCGTTCTTGCCGGAGACTCAGGTGTCCCAATTCTATATCATGTAGAGCGAGTGCGCGAGGGGCGTAGTTTCTGCACCAGGACGGTGCAGGCGCGACAGCGCGGCAAGGCCATCTTCACCGTCACCATGTCCTTCACCAAGGAGAACAGCGGCGGCGCGCAGCAAGTCCAGCACGCCGCCAAGATGCCAGCGGATGTCCGGCCGCCGCCGGATGACTACGTAGAAGAGCAGCTGGGCGGTGGCACCTCTCCGTTCGAGAGCTATAGGATCGAGGTGACGGACAAGGACGGGCCTCCCGAGCTCAAGAAGACCCGGCAATGGGTGCGCGCCAGAGGCAAGATCAGCGAGAGCGGAGGTCACCAGGCCCATCTCAGTGCGCTGGCGTACGTGAGCGACAGCTACTTCATTGGCACCGTCAGTCGCATACATCGCCTATGGCGGTTTCCTTTCAAGGCCGAGGATCTTCACAAGCTTTCACCTGAAGTCAGAAATCATGTTGTCAAACTGTAAGTCCTGATGCACCACCCCTGATGGCTCGGTCTGGCAGAGGCCTATGCGAGGGTCTAGATGAGAACTGGAGGCTAATATGACTCTTCCCAACAGAAACGAGTTTGAAGGTAGTGGAAGCGTGGAGGATATGAAAGGCCGGCCAGCGATTGGGATGATGGTCTCCCTTGACCAGTGAGTTTTTACACCTATTCGCCTCCTTGTGTTAATGAAACCATCACTTTGGACAATGGACATGATCGCTGTCTAACATATTTCTAGCACTATTTACTTCCATAACCCTAAGAAGGTCCGCGCAGATGAGTGGATGTTCGCTGAGATGGAGAGCCCCTGGGCTGGTGATGGCCGTGGAGTCGTCACCCAGAGGATCTTCAGCAAAGATGGAACGTTGCTGGCAACATGTTTCCAAGAGGTAAGTGGAGACATCAGATACCGTGGTTCCCCAGAGGACTCATTTGCTAACTCCATATACAGGGCGTTGTTCGATTGAAGCAGAAGAAGGAGCCAGCGCAGCCAAAGCTATAGATTGCAATCATACAAATGGTTTTGTATCGTCATTGGGAATTTCGGCGGTGTAGACAATCCTACAGCAGCCTAACACTCTTTCGCAAGAGTTCAGAAACTGCACAAGAAGGGTACGGGGTTTAAGAAATGGCGTCATAGACGAGTTATAATCTTGAATACTTCACAATTTATGCAGACTAATAATGCGAGTCCTCTGAGCCAAGTGCCTCGCGGCCCATCATGCACGCTTCCAATGTGTTGCCGCGGTCTCTCTAGCACATGGGAAAAAACGAAGCCGAGTGTGACTTCAAACAAGCGTGTGACGGAGCATAGGTATACGAGGACGTCACTCTCTATCAATTTGGCAAGTCGAACCGCGGAGAGGCTCAACGGTACGGCACTTCGACTCTTACCTGAACTAATGATGTGGTCACCCAGTAGCTGCGAATGCCAGATTATGCCACGCTAGACCCCGGACATATTGATTAGTATACCAATATAGAAAGTTCATCGTCGATCACCACTGGACTGGGTGGCGGGAGGTTCAGTGCGCAAGCTGGGGGGATCCAGTACTATATCGAGTCGGTTTTTAGATGATGTTCCGAGGTCTATTGCATGAAAGCTCTGCCGGCGATTGATAATCCAACGACGAAGCAATGTCGTTCAGTCATGCCAAGACGGGTCGTTCCCTATATCGTCTGGTCTGGCGCGACTCAAGCGTGCGTCTCCCTGCAAGGTTGGGACAAGCGTCTGCAAGGCTTGTATTACTTGCATGTAAGGAAGGGTGATAAATGTTCTATGGAGATTCGCACGCCGGTCTAGAATCCCAAAATACTGGATACTTCGTGACGGCTTGAAGAAAAAACAGGAACGCCGTGGCCCGTCTGTACGCCGCGAGACCGAAAAGGCTGAGCTAATTCAGGCCATGACATAGATCTGCATGCACTTCGCAAAGTCTAGCGTACTGTGAGTTAGTTCGGGTAACGGCAGTATCTTAGTGGTATTCCTAGCCTCTATGTTACTCAGTACATACTCTGTAGGCACGGAGAGACTCGGACGCCTCTTCCAGTGTCTGAGCCCACAGTTAGACTGTTAAACTAAACTCTAATGCGCTTTCCGGGTGGCAGCCCAGCCAACTGGTCGCCTCGGCATAGTCAATAGTAATCAATGAAAGCTCCCCCTCGTGGGCCTTGGTGGGCCTTGCGGACTGACACATAGGTCCCCAGTGAATCATGAACTCCGTGGCTTCTCGGCGATTGGGGGCGGCGTTAATGGAGTTGAAAACGCCGACGGTGAGTTTCTTTCGCCCTGGAGATGTTTCGCCTTATCGATGGCAGCACACAGACCGTGGCAGGCGTGATACTGTTCATAAGAAGCCACGAGCAGCTTTGCCTTGCCATGAAGGGGAATAGTATGTATGATCTACGGACTTGAGTACTTTTGGGCGTGGCTCTACCTTGAATAATTTGACAAAGCACAGGTTTTTTACAATGCGATAACTAGTCTAGCCTTGTGCAAGCAATATCCTGTCACGGAATTTTCCCGCATTCTCGGTCATACTGTCGGGACGCGAGAATCGCCCGCCTCCGACAGGGAATCTTCGTCCAATATGTATGCAACACAAAATTTTCTGGGAGGACCACGCAATACGAAACAATTAGAATCTACGGATCTCTGGGCACGATAATTCCCGCAATTGACTTCATATAGGGTTTGCTGCTGTGAGCCCGAGATCGGACGCTCTGCTTGGCACAGATTCTCAACGTTGTGTTACAGTAGACTATCTCGCGGCTGGCGATCACGTTCCCCCGATCGCATCGCTCATTGCAACCCTTCCCTCAACTTAAGCTGTCCAAATCATTCGGCCTTGACATGCGGAAACCGTCCCGGTCCCTGCCGGATTTAATGCACAGTTAGCGGGCACGGAGATCGAGGGCTCGCCTGCAACAGAGGTACCCGCATCGGCTCCGGCAGTTCTTAGGGAATGATCGACCGCCATCTGATCATTTTTATGCTGCCAGGGTCCACGATAGGCTCATCATCCAAGGATAGCGGAGTCATAAACACCTTCTAGAAGCATTCCTTCGCCGAAAGCTGCTGGGCTTTGCTTGTCATGGGCAATCGTGATCCACCCACAAACTTGTACCGAGGTCGATGCGATACCTGTGTCTATCACTCCTTATCATTGTCATCATCATAGACTCTGCCTGCGTTCTTCTTCCAGGCGAGACTGGTGAGTAGCCGATCAGTTTTGTGGTGTTTCAGAATTTCTCTGTCTTCACCTCTGCAATGCTGCGCTTAGTTCGCAGTCTCTCGGCAAAGAAGACGACCATGATGACCTCATTCTCAACTCATCACTCCATCCTGGCCTGTCAAAAAATTCGAACCGCGCCCTTGATTGCAGTCTAGCGCAGTAGCTAGTAACATATCAATTGTGGATCATGTTACCGCTTTTCTTTTGCACCAACGCCCTCAAGGTCCGCAACCTTCAGGGTGTGATCGCGATGGCTGCTGGCCAGTGATCGCTGGCTCTCTTACCCTTTTCTGGGTCGACTTGAGAGTTACCAAAAGTTATAATGGCATCTGTACAGAGGTTAATCCCCATCTCCCATCTCTTGGGACCCAAGCCCCTTAGAAGCATGCGTTGGGAAAGCAGGGACCTGTGGGAGGTAATCTTATGTGAGCCCAAGCGCTCGTAACACATGCTGCATCTGAACCATAAAACGTGCTCTCCTGGAAACATTGGGCTGCAAGCTTTTGGACTGTCTGCCTACTATCACCTCGTCGCTGGTCGAGACGGGCTTGAAGACAGGGATAGACTTGCAACCGACGGGTAGTCTTGCCTCCACTAACACAAGACGCCTTCATGCGATGACTACAAGTCCGCTCAGTCAGCCTGGGTTTTCTTGTTTGAAGCTAGCCAGCTGGCCAAGTGTGGACTGAAGGAGCAATTGGGCGAGGCAAGGCGAGCGCGAGTAGCGGCATTGAAGTAGGTTGCCAATTCCGGCATGATTCAATAATAAGCTTTTACCAGAATCAGGCAAAGGTACTGCAGAGAGATCAGCGCTGTCACATAGTGTCGTGATATCTGATGCGGTCTAATGCGGACGCCCTGGAGCATGCCCCAGACAGAGTCTACATGTCACGTTGGCGAAACTCTCAATTGATCACGCTTGTGTCGGGTTCCGGGCGGCATTTGTGTGATGCCTATCGGCTTGTCGTCAGAGAAGCTGTCCGTGATGCGGATCTTGCGCATCACAGTCATGTCGGGTGTGTTGAGCGCTGTCAAATTGTAGGTGTGGCAGTATGCAGAGATGGGACGGACGAGTTGCCGTCCGTTCCCCGACTTGTGCACGTTGTTACGCGCCCCCCAAAATCTATGCCATCACCTGTTGTGGAATCCACTCGGCCTCGGCTGCCGCCCTCAGGGGACACTATCAGAGTTATGCAGAGCCCTGCCATCGTCCAATGGGCTGTCGATGCGAGCAACTGATGGGCACATTTGAGTTGCGGGCCCGTTGACGCTTTCGTTGACTGCTCGGAGAGTTATGCTGCAGCGCTTACTCACTGGCAGGACCCGAGCTCAAGCTCGTCGGGCAATTCGCAACTGTCGAAGCCCGAAGTATCTCCAAGTACCTCTTCGTAGAGCAGGGCAAGCCGAGAGTAAACACCCCAGCACCAAGGCTTCCATGACCGCACCAGAAGCCATGGCATCGCCAAAGCCACTCCCGTCTACGCACACCATCCTCACCCGCTCCTGGATATAATAAGACGAGGCGGGCTGGCATGGCCTGACTACCTCGTTGATTCCTCAACCCCCACGGCCCATGGAAACATCTGAACGATTCCACCGCACGATTCCGCACCTGGATTCAACTAGTAGCGCATGCTTGGCACATGCGACCTGTGGTGAAGTGGTCGATCTTCTATAGTCTTCGACTTCTGCGAAACGGAATACAAAAGCCAATCCGTGCTGCCATCTGGGCTCCGAGGTGTCTCGACACAGGCACATTCTTGGCTCGGCCTCGGACTGTAACGACCGAGCTCTCGACAACGTCAACAACTACCAACCGCCCTCCCTGAAGTAGTCCAAGGTCGTCGCTAGGGCGAGTAACCTGGAGTGACTTAAGGTCGAACCCCTGTCAGCAAACGGAGGGACCCACGTTCGGACATAACTCACGGACAGTGTTTCCTAAGCCCACCGTGTTTTCCTCTTACGTTTTCTCTGGCCGACTCGCTTGAACTAATACTATTAAACTGCCGGGTCTTCTGAACCCAGCATCACATAATCGTCACGGCCTGGCATTAATAATCCCCCCTTGGCCTCACTCGTACCCAAGCTTATCTTACTGTCTTTTTCCAAATTATTGGTACTTGCCTCACTTACACATACTTCTAATTCCATCCTCATTATAACTCGACTCAACCACAACGTATCACTGGTGCATCCACTTACACGCACTATTATAATACATGTCGACGGGCTTGTCCCACACCAACACCCACACAACAACAACATTCAGTATCCCATCAGTGGGACTTGGCTAAGATGGAACGAGGTTTACCAACTCCTCCCGTGGAGGAAAGCATAAGGGCGTCGTCGGGTCCGAAAAGAAGTACATCCAGCACGAAGGCAGTCAAGCCCGTACACCGAAACTCGAAACGAGCAAGCCAGTCCGCACACTCGCCAGTGCATGACCATGCACCTCTATCACCACACGGTGCCAACATGGACAGGAATAAGAGGGTATGGAAAGCATGCGAGAGATGCAGGCAAAAGAAGACAAAGTGCGATGGAGAGTTTCCATGCAAGCGTTGTAAAGACGACGGCTTGGTTTGCACCGCAGGCACACGCAAGAAGACGGAATACAAGCAACTACCACGAGGGTAAGCCTTCACCAAGCCAATAATGGAGCATCTAGACTAACACCTTGAAGCTACGCCGAGGTACTGGAAAACACCCAATTAGCCTTGATTGCCACGGTACATAAACTCTACGCAATGGTGCGAACGGGGCAGCAGTGGGATTTGCCGGAGCCGGAGCTCAACGATCGTGGACAACCAATCATACACAACATTGCGACGTTACTTGGTAGCATTCGTCCCAACGCAGACGCTGACCTCCCTCCCCACACCGTCTTCCCAGAGGATGAGGGAGGTTTGTCGAAGCTGGCTGCCGAGCTGGAGGTACAACAAAGAGAGCGGGAGTCTCACGTCCCAGATCACACATCAGAAACGGATTCAACATGTAACCGAACCGAGCGAGCGAGTTCATCCGAGCTAGACCACTCCGATTTCGAGCAGGACTACAGAAAGGCCATGATGAACGGGCAGAACGTGCAGACGCTATCACCACAGAGCTTTACGTCTTACGACTTTGACGCAAACAAGCTACCCAATGAGATGGATCCAACGGCCATGTTCCCTGTCCAGTCACCGTCCAATTCTACATCATTCCAAACATGGAATATGGGCAGGCCGACTTCTATGGGAGGCATGCCACCTCAGTATATGCCGCAACTGGATATGAACATGGCAGACATGATGCTGAGTCAAGGCCTCGTCGAATCTGAATTCGGAACGATCAAGCCGCACATGCTCTCGTGTCCCAACCCCGAAGTCATGCTTGGAGTCGGTGATCCCATGATTTATTCGGGCTACGGCATGGACCACTTGAGAGCATGATGGCACCAATATCATCGGGGAAACGACATTGATGACAAAGACATATTAGAAGGGCACAAGCTCGGGGTAGGCACGGCGTTCAAGGGATGAGAACGTCCTCAACAAAGAGCTGAGGCGTAGGAGTATTGGTTCTCTGGGAATACAGCGCATAGACTGGGATGGACATGCCCAGGGGGGCAAAGGCAATGTATCAATATTGGCGCAAGGGCTGGGTAACAATTACGAGCGCTTGCAGATATACCATCCTCTCATTCGTTGACATGGAACTGGCGTTATCTACGATAGAAAGCCGTATTGATTTGTTCAGTAGCAATTGGGGACGATGTCAATAGAGAGGCCTTCAACAACCCTTACTTCACTGCAGCTTTCGTTGCGCATACGTGTTCAACATGATTTGGTGTGTTGGCGCAACACCACGGCCTGGCTTACACAGTCGCTAGTTTCCAGCCGTTACAGTAGTAACCCGAATCAGTATCCGAGATTTGGAACTCATTAGCAAAACCTTCCAGATGAGTCAGATGGTTTTTCTGGGACAAGATCACCTTGAACATTATTGGATTACACGGTACGGCGAACTCCTTAGCCGCGAAATCCCTCGGGCTGTCGCTTAAAGGTCTCCCTTACTGTCACGGGGATAAACGGAGCAAGCCTTGTTTGGCTGACTGCATAAAAATAAAACCCACCGGACGGTGGAATTTGGAACCGCCTGCTTAGCAAGCGGCATCCTGCCCGCTGGCGCCCTTTGGCACCGCAATCAGTCATACCGGCCGCTCTCTGGCCCCAAAGTTCTCACCTCATGAACTGGTGCTTGGGGACCAGGAGGAGCGGGGGAGATGGCTGGTCTCGGAGAGATGCCTCTTGTACCACAGGCGCACCTCTGCAACCCTGGAACGCGGCAATCGCACGGGAGTCGCCAAGTCTACGAATCTTGCTCAGCCCTAATGCTAATGCAAGGACGAGCTTCTCTACTCATCAAACTAAGTTAAGTTTTGTCGCGAGGGGTGCAAGTCCAGAACCCGCTGATCACTTTTATGCAGGGCTCCCTGACCTCACGGCATAGGCAAGGCAGTGATGATCTCCAGACGGCGCCGCCATAGGAGCGTGTCGTGCTCGTTCTTGGTCGCCGTCGGAGGGTTTCAAATACCATCGTCGGCGAGGTGAAGACCCCGCTCACCGAGGCCAGGTCTCAATAAGACGACCCCTAGTCAGCAGCTCTAGCAGTGATCTACACCGCGCGTGGCAGGCAAGCCCTTTCCGCTTTGGGACCCTATATCAGGGCCTGTTAACAGCTGCTTTATAAGCTCCCGCGCGCGGGACCCTGATGCAGGCAGAGGGGTATTGCATTGCTTGATGCACCTCCAACGCTCTGTGTGCCTATGCGAATGTAAAGTCAGAACTGCTAACATCTCCATTCGGAAACGTTTCCTGGTCCATTCGCAATTCAATCCCCGGCATGATGGGAGGCCTGACCTGCACGCATCAGAAGGTAAAACTGGGTAAAGTTACCCCTTTCCGACTGCTTTCACGCAGGGTCGCATTTGGTCCTGCCATTGGCTTCTTAATCCGTAAAACCACTGTTGCAGATACGTACAGGTGTGTATCTGATTCTCGCCCTCGCACTCGGATCTAAACCGAGTACGCGGACACGTAATTTAACGCGGCTTTTCAATGTGCCACATAAATACATACACACACACACACACTTATTCGCTCAAAGTGGCAGTGGGCAGTGCTCTTTCGCGTAAAAGGCAACGAAGCGCCCCTTTTTCACTCCATCGCAACATGATTTATCGAAACTACCGTCCTACAATAATTTCGGTGCCTGAACTTTCCAGCCCTGCATCTGTGCCGATCGTGATGATTCATCGCCTCGACTTCCCTTTGCTCCACCGCATTAACGATTCCATCTGAATTTGCATCTCACAGACGAAGTGGAGCCCGCGATCCCACCCTGGGTCCTTGGGGTCTTGGGGCCCTCGGGCCCTCGCATTCTTCGGCCTGTGCCGGTCACGGTCTTCTGGTGTACTAAACAGCGCGGCCTTATGGGGTTCGCATGGGTTAGGGGACTGGTGAGATAGAGGGTCCTCGAGCAAAGGAGCTTCAGTTCCGCGGCCACGCTGCTGACGCGGACACGGAAATCCGAAACCCGACGACCGGATTTTTCGTCCGCGGGCAGCATGCTGTGCCGCTGTGTCAGCGGTTATCATCCCCTCTGGCCACGAGGTTTCCTATCATTTCTATTTTGACCTCACGATCAGTTATATGCATAGTAGAACTATCCCGCTCGAGGTGGGACTGACAATCCGAATTACCGTAAGTCCGCCCCCGAATCTTTGTCGGTTTGAAACGGCAAGGACGGCAGACACTCCTGTAATTGGACAGACTTGGCAACGACTTGACTTTAGACTCCAAGAGTGCATGGTAATTGCATCTGTTTGAGCTTGTGACCTGGCTACAAGCAGAAAGCCACCTTCACTGCTATTGACCATGCTGCTGCCAAGGGTGCACTGGCTTTCTCCAAATCTTCTGGGCAATGCCGTTACTTGCTTTCGTCTGTCTTGGCGGTGCCAAGAGAACATGAAGTGACTTGGGCGGTACAGTGCTGTAACCTCTCTTTGAAGCTCCCACGGCAAGGATTCGGCGCCAGGGCTAGACTTGAGTATTCGCATTCGCCTTACGACTAGCGGCAGTATGCTGTGAGACTGCATACTATAGGCAGGGGTGGCCTGTTATTATACTAGTCACTGCATTCGGTTTGATGTTGGGATAACTTTGCCTTTCGTTGCAGACGCGATTGATAAAGACTTATGATGGCTGGCGTGAATATCTGGGATATGCCAACCTCCAGGGCTCCGTAGATCCGACCCGTTCTCACAGGCCAACGCTTCATCGACCCCCGCTAATACAAAGGGGGGCTGAGCAGATGCCAATACGTATGCCTAGCCACCTCCTTTCCATGCTCAAGAGATTACTGGACTGCTTAGACTGTGTAATATCTGAGTCTCAAGACACCAAACAGAAGCGTACGTATTTGTTCGTATTGATACGGACCGGAGAAGAATGGCCGATCCAGGATACTTATACCGCAATCTGTTGCGCTAAGCCAACCCGGAACTGCTCAGCACTTCTTCACTTTCCTGAAGCGGCCCGCAGCACAGAACACTGCCACGGATGGGTTACAAAAGGTACATGGATGATACGCATCTACACAGCTGGAAGCAACGCGTCAGTTACATGGGTAGGAACGTCGCCAACAACATTCCGTGATGGCGAGCCTCATCTGATCTGAGAGACAGTGCGTGACGCTGCCGGTGAGCCTGCCCTGCATCCATTTGCCGCTTGCAGGCCACACTAGACACTGCCTCAGAGACTAGGTTGGGCATACGCCAGTGAGGTAAGCAAGGAGTTATGAAAGCCAATCAGTCAACGGCAAGTACGCAAGATGCAGCATTGAAGGCAACCACTCAGCTCAATCCCCGTGGCGATTGCCTTGCAATACCTAGCCCGGTTCGCCTTGGTGAAGCTGCACGACAGCAGCCAGAAAATCCTCAAGTGCACTTCTGTAACCCATATCGGGCGAGTCAGGATCTGGGGTCAAACAAGCACATTGCGCTGAAGGACTTCATTCAAGGGATTTGCTGAATTGGGCGTCAACCATAGCCTCTGACTTCGGCCAAGTCAGGCGAAGCAAAACGCCTGCTCAGGGGCTAGACATTGCATACGTGCTGGCTCTGCCCTAGAAGGAAGCTTGCAAACTCCTACGAAGATACATCTGGAGATCTTGAAGCACCAGGGGGCGAATGGCCCCCCCAACCCCATAGACAGTGCATATGCTATTTGCGAGTGAGTAGCCGCCGGTATTTATCACATACTTTCGGTACCTCCAACCTCAGGGCACACATCATTTAGGGCTGTGAGTGTACCCTGCTGCGGGCTGTCTATGTGCTGCTTACCGCCACCGCGTAGCAGTCTAGTTGTAGGAGCTTCGTCATCTTCGCCGCAGATATCACGTAATGAGCTGTACGACTCTGGAGAATCCGACGTTGTACTTATAGGCTGTTAAGAACATAGGCAGCTCCTACAAGGACTTCGAAGGTCTCAGCAGTGCAGGCGCGGCTTGAGAGTAAACAGCCTCTCGCCGATGCAATGCCTGGTCGGTTGAGGAGGCGTGTTTTGAGCCTTGTTGATAGGTAGAGTTGATACTTAGAAAATACGCATCTGAATACCCTAATTATGTGGTACTGATTCTGGCTTGGTCTATAAGGTTGACAACTCACCCTTCCTGTCCCACAAAGCTACCAGTATCCGTCTATAATGAATTCAGATGCAGCCGAATATACAACCTCAAACTCCACTCCCAAGTTGCACGGCCTGCACGGTCACTCACCAGCCGTAACCCATAATTCCACGATGACGGGCCCTGAACTCTTTCTATCCACAGATATACTACTTCATGCGTTATTGGGATATGCCCTCGATGATCAATCCTCAGTCTTGCCCTTGGGCTTCATGGTCTTCGTCGCCTGCTCCAGCGCGGTCTCCTTCGCCCACGAATTGCCATCCTTCACGAAATCGGCGATATAGCCAGGCACATGCTCGACCTTGTTATCAGGCCCAGGCATCGGGTCGCCCATCGCGCTCCACTGCGAAGGAGTCAGTATAGTTCAGTACAAGCCAAGCCAAACCACAGAACACAAGAGAAACCGAACCACAATTTGCTTCTATCGTCCACCGACAGACCTCACACTCAGGGGCTCGTCGGGGGCGGAACAAGTGAAATGAAGACTCACCACAGGCACGACGCCCGTCCACACACGGCCGGTGACCTCGGCGTTCTCGAGGTCGAAGCGCTCGTCGCCGGGCATGCCGGAGCGGATCTTGGCAGAGCCGGCCTCGATGGTGACGCGCAGCAGGCCCGTGCTGGCCATCTCGCCCTTGGTGGGCGGGACGCGCGACTGGCGCCAGCGGTCCGGGACCACGGCGTCGGTGATGAGGCGCATGGCGTACAGCTTCTCGGCCGGGTCGGCGACGGCGGCCGCCCGCCCGAACAGCGTCGCGGACCGGTAGTTGTACGAGTGGTTGTTGGGCGTCAGCGCCAGCACCAGCCCGTCGACGTGCGTCGCGGCCACGGTCACGGGGAGCCCGCCCTTCGTGCTGCTATTGCCGTTGCTGTCACCCCCGGGCTGTGCCGTCTGGTCCGCGCCACCGTCTGACGGTGATGACGAGCCGTGGTTCCGCGACAGGTTCAGCAGCCGCGACGAGATGTAGCCGTGTAGGTACAGGTCCAGAACGTCGCCCGTGTCGGCGCTGGGCCGGTCGAACGAGCCCATGTGCCCGATCATGGGGATCGAGACCGGGTAGGGCGAGTCCGGGTCCACGAAGGAGACATTGAGGAAGTGCGTGGTGTTGATGATCTGGTGGATCTGCTGCAGGGAGTAGGAGGCTGTGGTCCTCTTGTGAGTCACCTCTGTGTGTAAATCACTCTAGGGTTCCATTACCTCGGTTGTTGTACCGGTTCACAGTGCTGAACGGCTGCTTTGGGTATTCAAGGTTTTGTGACGGCATTTTGGTGTCCGACTCTGTAGTTTTCGGGCGTTGTTGTCCTGTAGAAGCGGACAGGATCCCCTTCTCAAATATCCAAGGGCTTCGAGTATGATAGTGGAGGAGGTCTTTTGGAGGTGCAAGCTTCACCAGGTCGAATCTAGTTGGGAATCACAGTCTAGATGCCACGCAAACAGTCTTGAGTTTTCTGAAACTTTGCCTTGACTTTATAGATGCAATACAGATGTCGTCAAGCCTCGGATTAGATCGCATACTCCTTCCGGTGAAGTCTATATGGTCCACTTGGCTCTGATGGTGATATCTCATATCTGGGGTTTCGATCCCACTGACAAACCAAAGCTCAATTGAGGAGGATGTGATTGGCTTGGATTCTACAAAAAGGGGGGCGCGGGGAAACCTTCTGACGCCCTAGTTGACAGGAACGCAGATACTCCTCATTTACCTGCTGGTTGGGGCAAGTCCATCCGGGCAAGGCGTTGAATAACCTGCATACTAGCTAGCGGCCATGGCGGCTAACAACCCGTTGCCCAAAGATAGGGTAGACGACTTCGTTCCGAGGAATCAGCAGAAGCGGGCTCAGAGCCCGGTGACAAGCAGGGCGCGTGATGGATGTGATACGTAAGGATATATTGGTAAAAGAATACTACTTGTATTGACAATGCTCATTGCGTGATTCGTACAATCCATCCCCAGCGTATGTATAGGCCCCCTGCGTTCTATTCCAACTGATCCAGCGTCCGTCAAAGCAACGTCTACTGCACGCTGTTCTCGAGAACGGAATCCTTACTCTTCCTGGGGAACAAAGATGGGCTCCGCGCCCTCCCAAGCTTGTTCGTCACCAGCGCCGAACTTCTCTCGCTGTTGCCAGTACTTGCCGTTGAACCTCCAGTACTCCTCGCCGGTGATCTTGTTCTTTTCTCTCGTGAACCAAGGAGACATGTACTCCTCGCCATTCTCCTCGCGCCTCTTTCTCCGCCTGCGCTGCTCGTTCTCAAGGCGGTCCTTCTCAACAGCTGCGAGGTCGTACTCGCCGTCCTCCATAGCACGCTGGTCTGGACGGTGTCGGGAGTCTGTCGGCCCAATCCACTTGCGCAAGTTGTCATCAATATGGTTGAAAGACAGTACAAATGGAGTGAGGTTGAAGGGAATGTCCTTGGGCCTGTCATTCGCCTGCCAGATGAGAATCGCCTTGGTGGTGTCGCTGAGGCTTCCCTTGTGGAATGATCCGCCGTCGGCGGGCTCATCGACGGTTGCTTCGAAACCGGGCGTGTATCGGGCGTAAAGCTTGGAGTTCCACCGTCCACCTATGCTGACGCGTGGTCGACCATCGGCATCCAAGATCTTGCCAGCGATTCCGTAGGCGCTCGAGGCCTTCCAGCCACGCTGCTTGAAGTCAAGAATGCACACTTCACCAGTGGTCCAGTTCTTGATTTCGACCAGACCGTAATTGTCGACAACAGGATTTCCCGTGATGATGCCAACGACTTGCGAGTTGGGCTTCTTCCACGAATAGAAGTCGGGCTTGCCTCCGTGTGTCGGCCGCAGCTCCACGTGCCATGTACCGAGATGCGCAATGTCGAAAGACTTGCCGTAGAACTTGGATCGAACATTGGATTCTCCGTAATAAGTCCACTTGGCGGACTCGGCGTGAACTGCTCCAATAGGAGGGTGATGGCTGACCTGCTCGGTGAAGAACCGGTAGCCCTTGTCAGGCCGCACGTATTCAAAAGTCTCTCCCAGAAGAGGATTGAATGGCTTCGCGACGCGCCCGATTGTCGAGGCAAATTCACTGGCGGTGAAGGCTGCAACGTACAACATCCGCTCAATCGAGTCGGTGCGCTCGGCCGCCAAATCCAGGAGATCTGCGTATTCCATATCTTCACCGGCTCTGAAAAGCATAGACGTCGGCTCGTTAAAAGATACTGGCAGAGTCATCTTTGTCATATCCTTTCCAATCATAGACTTGAGAATACCCTAGAAGATTGTCAGTATCCTGTGGTCAAGGTTTTACAAGATGTTTTTGGCTTACCCATAAAGAGATTTTTGGACGGTTGTCGTTATCAAGCTTGAGCCGTGTTCGGATACCATTTTCATAACCCTTGAACGAAGACGTGACATCAAGGCCTCCGGAAACAATGACCTCTTGCTTGGACTCCGGTTGCGAGGCCTCTGCAGGTGGCATGGGCTCAACGTCAACTTCACCAGCATCGACAGCGTCGAAGAATTCCTCTTCATCGGTTTCGGAGTCTTCTGAAATGTCAACCACTTGAGACAAGGCGGTGGGTCTTCGATTAAGACTCCTGGCCGCTGGTGACTTCTGGCCCTCGGCAATCTCTTCTTCGTCAATGGCAGCCGTTTCGGCAGGGGCCGCGCTGGTGCTGTACGCGCTGCCGGGACGGGCCCCTTCTTGCTCCATGACCTCCCGAAGCGCCCTCTTGGTCATCTTGTGCTTCAATTCGGCCTTGCCGACGCGCTCTTCAAGGACCTCCTGCTCCTTGGCGACCTTGGCCATACTCTCCTCCCACATCTGACGCATCTCTATCTCTTGATCCAGGCGGTACTGCCAGTGCGCGTCCCGATCCTTGGATATCCTGAGAAGGTCTCCCATGAGTCCTTTCAGACTCTTGATTGCGGCATCGTAGGTAGCCAAGGCTTGGGCCGCCTTTGGATCGACGAGTGACATGCCGGGGTTCTTGTGAGCCTCAGCTTGGAGGGCATTGCTGACCTGCGCCAAGGTATCAAGTTGCAGCTTTGCGGACTGTGCGGTAATGTTGAATGCATCTTTGGTGGCCGTGGGTCTTTCTCCACTATCTGAATCATCATCGTCGTCGTCGTCGTCCTCCCCAGCATTCAATGGTGCACCGTTGCTGTGGGCGCGGGACCGAGTGTCGGCATCTCCAGCATCGACGAAGCCTTCATCGTTGCTTCCAACAGTGCTCGCGCGGGATAGCCCCCTGGAGGCGGTAGTCTTCGTTGTTGGGAGTCTTGACAGCTGCACACTGCTTCGGCCACCCTCAGTTACGCTGGCAGCCTCGCTGTGTAGGTCACTGCTTGAGCCTTCGGGCTTCCCGGTCGTCAGTTGGTCCTTAGCTTGACGGAGGAACTCGGCGTTTTGGGCCTTCTGCTTCTGTTCTTCCTTGGCCTGGTCCTTCATCCACTGAATGGCATTGTTCAGAGCCCAAAACCAGCGCTTTGCCTCGACTTCGTGATTGGCCTTGAGTGTGTACTTGACGGACGACTTGCCGATAATCTCAAACTTGGTCTTCTCATCGGGGCTCATGTGAAGCCTGGCTATGCGCATGCTGATAGCGCCGCGGCAGGCGTTTTCTGCGTCATCCTGGTGCTTGTAGTAGCTGAGCACACCGTTCTCGAGCACGAACCAGCGCAGTTGATAGCCCTTCCGGTAGTTGGTCCACTTCTTCAGATAGCCCTTCATCGTAGGATCCCGGCCTCCAACGGGATCTCCAGCCGCAGCAGGAGCTGCGGCGCCTGAAGACGCAGCATGACCGAGCACGGCCTTCTCCTGGATGCCTCTCTGCGCAGCCACTGCCGCCGGAGACTTCTTGAGCATGGCCCGTGTGACGTCGTCCTTGGTCACGTCCTGAGGAAGCTTGCCCTTGCGGTCCCTCTGGAAGGGATCGGCGCCATGAAGCAGTAGGGTTTGTATCAACTTGGAATCTTTTCTGCGGGCTGCCTCGTGCAACAGTGTACCTCCTGACTGGACCGTGACCGGGTCGAATGGCAGCTCAATGCTATTGATGTCCAGAATGGTCCTGACGCGGGGCTCCTCTAGCACTTGACCGAGCGTCTCATATGTGCCCTTCTGTACAAGTTCCTGAACCTGCCTCACCTTGTCTTGAACGAACAAGGTCCTGGAGAGCTGGAGCTGTTGGAAGATATCGGGACTCCGGGCCACATCGAGGGGCAGCTTCCCCTGGTTGTTGGCGATCGCGTCGTTGATGTCCTTCTGCTCCAGCAGGAGGCGCACGACGGGGCCGCGGCCCTGGGTCGCAGCAATGTGCAGGGGCACGTTGCCGTCCTTGTCGCGGGCATTCACATCGACGTAGCCAGCTCCGTCGGAGAGCACGTATTCGATGACATCGAACTCGGCGCATTGGATGGCGAGATGGAGCACGGTGGTGTCCTCCAGGGGGCCGGCGCTGGCGGCGTTGAAGGACGAGGTGCTCGCGCGGGGGGCGTTCTCCGAGGTCTCGCGGATGGCTTTGGATATGGCGGCCGTGTTGCCGGCGCGCAGGGCCTCGACGATGCGGAACTTGCGCACCGACTGCTCCAGGCTGGAGCCGCGGTCGGCGGCCGAGAGACTCGTGCGGGAGACCGAGGGCGGCGCGGGCTGGGCGGCCAGGTGCTGCTGCTGCGAGGGGATGCGGCCCAGCGACATCCTGGAGCCGTGGCCTCTGACGGAGGCGGAGTGGGCGACGGAGGGGGGCGACTGGGCCGTGGTCGGGTGGGATGCGAGGCCGGAGGCAGCGTGGGAGCCGTCGTCCGAGGCCGTCTCGTCGTCGTTGGTGCGGCTGTCCTTGTCCTTGTCCTTGTCCTTGTCTTTGTCCTTGCGGCGGAGCAGAGAGAGGGCGCTGGACTTGGAGCGCTTGTGCGTACTGTCCACGCAGCAAAGGCGCGCTGAGTTAGTCCCGGTGGAACCATGCATAACTTAAAAAGGGGGCATTTCGACTGGAGGCCCGGCCCTCCCATGTGTCTCGGACTGTGGCTTTCGCGCCATGCACAGGCACAGGCACAGGCACAGGCGCAGGCGCACTCCAGCCGCGGGCTCATCCCAGCCCAATAGGAACGTGGATAGGATCGGTGCAAACTCACCTGTCCCCGGCGTCGGACATGTCTGCGCTGCGTTCTGCGTGCTGCAGGGAGATGCGAAGGAGCGACTCGAGGTGAGGGCGCAGAGAGCAGAGGAAGCACAAGCAATAGCAAGGGGAGTCTACAAATTAGTGGAGAGAGAGGGAGTGTGTGGTGTTGTTGAGTTATGTATGGATGGTCGAGCACCAGCCAAGGGTTGGTCGAACCACAATACTCTGAACTGAGGGGTCTTTGGATCTTGGTCCCAGCCAACTAGTTCGTCAGATGCCGGAGGGGCCCAGGGAGATGGGGATGGGGATGGGGGATGGGGATCTCGAACTCGACGAGCCGTTTCGAGTCTCCAGTTTCCAAGGTTGACTGACTGTAAGGTTGTCTTTGAGCACTTTTGGTGGCTTTCTGCTGCCCACTCAACCACTCGCCGTCAACGGGCAGTCTTTCCCCCCTCTGAAATGACATAACAGCTGCGCACGGGCCATTTGCTCAAAGCACAAAGATGCATGTGTTAATAAAAGCCCGCCGTCGGGATCCAATCAATTCGAGTTAGCCGCCTCGCCATAGCGTGGCACGCGAGCTAGTGAATAGCCATCAAGTTGGAATAGCAACAACAAGGTCTGGCAAAGACAAAGAATCTACGGCATGCCAACTGATCAACTGACGTGCCGTCGTTGGCTTTGACCCATATCATGGCTCAAGGCTTTGCTCACCTGCGCCTCCCTCAGACACGGTTTCAACGCTTGCTTCACTTGGCCGTCTGCAAATACAGTGGCCGCAGACTATCACGTTGCGACCTAGGTATCTTGGGAGGTACCTGGGGCTGCTGGGTAGCTTTCACGCTAAGGCATTACCAGACGACGGCACTCGCTCCTTTGGGCCAAGACCTCGACGTTTCATTGGCTTACACGTCTAGAGGGATGTGCTCTGACATCATTTTCACCCCTCGGAGTACGTGATCGGCATTGTCCTACAGAAATTACATACCCAACCCGATACGTAGCTTGCACAAGGCGTGGGCTTACTGATTACCAGAGGTACGGTTCACTGTGGAATATCAAAGTTGAGGCTATTTCGAACCGCTTGTTACCAGCCAGTCGGCAACGGATCGCTACCGCATGTAGAACACCGCTAACCAAGGTACGAAACCTAAGGGCACACAACCCGATCTTTACATTCTGAAAACTCCAAACCTTGTGTCTCCGGGCTTCACCTCATTCTTACCCGACAGTGCCGCCCTCAAACCCAGGCCGAGATATCTTCGTGTGTGCTGCGGCGGAATCACTCCATCGTCCTGTTCCCGTGATTAGCATTTCCAAAAGCAGTGGCTTGGCACAACAATGGGAATGGGACAACTCACCCAGAGCCGCGCCGATGAGTAGACAGCGTCGCTCTCCCGCTCTATCCTATCCCTCAGTTCTGGGTCTGCCTTCTGTCCCACCGTCTCCATGACATTGGCCAGCTGCTCTCCTCCCATGACGCCTATCTTGGCGTTGGGCCACATCCACATGAATCTCGGGCTGTATGCTCTTCCGCACATGCCATAGTTGCCTGCTCCGTAGCTGCCGCCAACCACGACGGTGAACTTGGGCACGTCAGCACAAGCCACTGCTGTTACCAGTTTGGCGCCGTGTTTGGCGATGCCGTCTCTTTCGGCCTCCTTGCCCACCATGAAGCCGCTGATGTTCTGAAGGAACACGAGGGGGATGCCTCGCTGGGCGCAGAGCTCAATGAAGTGTGCACCCTTCTGGGCAGAAGTGCCAAACAAGATGCCATTGTTCGCCACTATACCAACCTTGTGACCGTATATACTGGCAAAGCCGGTAACGAGCGTTGAGCCGTAATCGCGCTTGAACTCGGAAAAATGAGATCCGTCTACGATACGTGCAATGACCTCGTGGATCGGGAGAGGCTTTCGCAGATTTGTAGACGCGATGCCGAGCAGTTCCGACTCTGGATACAGAGGCTCGGAATAAGATGCCTCTGGCGGCGCAGCTTTCTTGGGCCAGTTCAAATTGCTGATGCATCTCCGCGCCAGGACGACGGCATGCGCGTCGTTGACAGCAAGATAGTCCGAAACTCCCGACACAGAGGTGTGCATCTCACCGCCACCAAGCTCCTCGGCGGACACCTCTTCGCCAGTGGCAGCCTTTACAAGCGGTGGTCCAGCCAGGAAGATGTGTCCTTGCTTCTCGACGATGATGTTCTCGTCGCTCATTGCCGGCACGTAGGCCCCGCCCGCCGTGCACAAGCCCATGACCACCGAAACCTGGGGAATGCCTTGCGAACTCATGCGAGCCTGGTTGTAGAAAATGCGCCCAAAGTGATTCTGGTCAGGAAACACGTCGGACTGGTGTGGAAGGTTTGCGCCGCCAGAGTCGACCAGGTATATACAACTGTGGGTCTCGTTAGCTAGTCTCGCAAGTGCAACAGTATAGAAGAGGAAGACCCACGGCAGCTTGTTCTCCTGGGCAACGGCCTGCGCTCGCAAGTGCTTCTTAACCGTGATGGGATAGTATGTCCCGCCTTTGACGGTGCTGTCGTTGGCAACAATCATGCAGGTGACACCCTCGACCACACCCACTCCGGTGATGATGCCACCGGCGGGCACATCAGCTTCCGGGTACAGCTCGTGGCCGGCCAGCGGGGAAAGCTCCATGAACGTGGTTCCCGGATCAATCAAGGCCGCGACTCTGTCTCTGGGCAGCATCTTTTTCCGTGCAAGATGCTTCTCTCGCGCCTTGGCCGAGCCTCCCTGCTGGGCCGCCCGCGTGAGCGTCTCCAACCTCGTCATGGCCTCCGCCATGAGCCGCTCGTTCTCTTTGAACTCGTCGCTCGTCGCGTCCACATTGCTCTGTATCACCGAAACCGCACTGGCCTGATACGGCGCTGTGTACGAGGCGATCGTTCTGGAGTGCGCCGGAAAGGCTCCGCGCAGCGATGCACAGCGGGGAGCATGGCTGTGGCGAGGTGCCCGCGTCAATTGACGGGAGAGGGCGAGGAGGTCCTTCGAGGATCTTGAGAACGACATATTGCAGAGCAGTAGAAGTGCGCCAGGAATGCGGCACCCTCTTGTCTGGAGAATTGGATTGTCTACATGTGGGAGAAAGTGCTGAGACGTGGGCGAGAGTCCGGTGATGTCTGTCCCATTCCAACGAGGGCAGGTGAAGCTGCGCGAGCCGATAGTTGCCGCGCTATGCCGCTCGGCTCAAGTAGACCGAGGACGAGACGTCAGATGAACAACCTGCCTTGTCCGCAACGCCCGTCCATCTGTTTACTTCCTCTCTTTTCCCGTTTTCCAATTACATAAGATTCCAATGGCTAGTGTGCGGACATTCAGATCGCTGGCGACACCTGCGCGGCAGGCAATTGCGTCGTCCAAGCGGAGGGCATCGCTGCTCCCCGCGCTGCAGGTCCGCGCCCACTCCTCTAAGCATCCCAAGGGCTTCGAGCCGCCCACCCAGGCCGACCTGACTGAACTGCGCGAGAGGGTTCAGGAATTCACACGCCGCGAGATCTCCGAGGAGGTCGCGTCACACACGGACAAGAGCAATGCCTTCCCCAATGACATGTGGCCCAAGCTGGGCGAGGCCGGGTTCCTGGGCATGACAGCCGACGAGGACTACGGTGGTCTTGCTATGGGCTACCAGGCGCACTGCATAGTCCTGGAGGAGATATCCCGGGCCAGCGGGTCGATCGGTCTAAGCTACGCAGCCCACTCACAGCTCTGCGTCAACCAGATCCAGTTGAACGGCACGCCCGAGCAGAAAGACAAGTACCTGCCCGGCCTGATTGCCGGGACCAGCATTGGCGCTCTCGCCATGTCCGAGTCAGGCGCTGGCAGCGATGTCGTGAGCATGCGCACCACGGCCAAGGCAGTCGATGGTGGGTATGTCATCAATGGCACCAAGATGTGGATCACGAATGGTCCTGATGCGGATGTCATCGTGGTGTATGCAAAGACCGAGCCCGACAAGGCCTCCAAGGGGATTACTGCCTTCCTCGTTGAGACAAAGTCCAAGGGCTTTAGCTGTGCGAGGAAGCTGGACAAGATGGGGATGCGCGGCAGCAATACTGGTGAGCTCGCGTTCGAGGATGTCTTTGTTCCCGAGGAGAATGTCCTGGGAAAGATCAACGGGGGCGTCCGCGTACTCATGGAGGGCCTCGACCTTGAGCGTCTGGTTCTCAGCGCCGGACCCCTGGGCATCATGCAGGCGGCCCTCGATGTTGCTCTGCCTTTTACCCACCAGCGGAAGCAGTTTGGCCAGCCGATCGCGCAAAACCAATTTGTGCAAGGAAAGCTTGCGGACATGTATACTAAACTTCAGGCATCAAGAGCGTACACGTATGGTACAGCAAAGGCAGTCGATGAGGAAGGCATCATCAAGACGCAAGACTGCGCAGGAGCCATTTTATATGCTGCAGAGAGAGCGACGGAATCTACATTGGATTGCATCCAGCTTTTGGGAGGCATGGGCTACGTGGAGGAGATGCCAGCCTCGAGGCTTTTGAGAGAGTAAGTCACGTTCTTTGCCCCCTCCTCACACAGTATACTCATTTCACATAGTGCCAAACTGTACGAGATTGGTGCAGGAACGTCAGAGATCCGACGGATGGTTATTGGCAGAGCATTTAACAAGGAATATGCCAATGCCTAGTTGATACTTTCGACATAGTATTGCATTGTCAGGCGTTTTGTGAGGGATTCGTAGCGTTTTTCATGTTGCGATCGAGTATACATGGCTTTGGTTTCAAAATGGGAAAAATGTATCCACTTTGGAACACTTAAAACGAACAAATCTTGATGAGTTGATACAGACCATTCACCCTGGGCAGAATACCTATGGAGTGGGCCGCGATGCTAAATTAGTTGATTACACGTGCCCAACCATTACGCCTGATTCCCACCCCAAGGCCGAGTCAAGTGAAGTTAACTCAAGTCAAGTGTTTGACCTTGACAAGCTTCGGCGTGTGCATAGGTGCAAGTAGGGCCCACTGATGGATTTAGAAAGCCTGAAGAGTCTTATGCGTTTTGTGGTCCTCCGAGTATACGGTGGCGTATCGGTTCCATAACTATCACGAGATGAAAACCAAGAGCGAGTCACGCAGAGAGCAGGTACTGACACAGAGCTGGCAGTAAGCGAGCACTCTGAGATTGGGCTCCGGGAACAGACCAAACGCCCAGCTGTTTGACCTGCAAGGTGACTTGACTTTTCGGGTTGTCTTGCCAGCTTGCCAAACTCCCTGCTCCCAGGAACCACGTTCGCAGGTCTGGACACCCAGCGGCCAGTTCACCCCTTGCCTTGGCACTTGCCCTCACCGACACCGGGTTGGCCAGCCGGCCTGAAACTATCGTGACCTCGCGAGCCCGTATTGGCAGTTGCAGGGTCCGATCGCCGGATTCCTCGCGGCAACACAGCTCCGCCCAGGGTCTAGATCAGCAAGCGATCAGGTCAATCAGCACTGAATCAGTCCAGCCCCAGGCGGCCATCCCACTGTAAATGTCTGCGGCGGGTGGGGGCTTTCCGGCCGTGCCGCCCTATTGCTCCCCACATGTGCTGCGCTGGGCGCTCGTATTGGCCCGCGGGGCCGTGCAGCTGGGTCGCGCCCAACGTCAGGGTGTTGCCCCCCGGGGTCCCAGTGGGCCCCCTGGGCCCCCCACCAGAGCTGAGCTTCCCAACTTCTGGGCTGCCAGTGTCCCAAGCTCCAGAAAGAAAGGAGGGGCAATTTCCAGCCGACCCTGTGACCTACAGGGAGCTTGGCTGCTCAGGAGCTGCCCTGAGTTGCACTTGGAGAGTTCGCCCAAAGATCGTGACTTTTTTTTCTGGGACTCGGTAGAAATCTGCAAATACTTGCCTCCCGTCTCAACTTTTTAAGACGGGGTGCCATCCTGCCACATCGTGATCTGCCATTCTGAGTGACTGTAATTTTTCATTGAAACATCGTCAAGCAGTGTGAGCAAAGTCGAGGTTCACAGCTGTCCGTTTCCCTCCCATCGATCAGCAGAGCTCCCAGCTTGCACCTACGTCATTCCCACTGAAGCTCCAGAGCTCTTCGTAGCTCACTACCTACCTAGGTACTTCAGGGCGCCCCCCAAAGTCCCTCCTCACCACTCCTTCGTGGTTTCTCACTCAATTGCACCTCAAATTGAAATCTACGCCTCACGATGCTGTCCAGAACATTCCTGAGAACTTCGGCACGAGCTCTGCGCTCAGCAGCTCCCCGAGCGGCCGTTCCTGCTTCATACCTGCACACTTCGCGGAACCCACAACAAGACAAGAAGGCAAACCCTGGATCTTACGCACGAACCGATGATTCTATCACTGTCGAATACCCCGAGGACCATGAGCTGCCGTCTAGTACACCAGTCACTGGTCGTGGCGGTCAGCACATGAAGCGGACACTGGCCTCGTTCTCGCTTGAGGGCAAGGTCGGTGTTGTCACTGGAGGTGCAAGAGGCCTCGGCCTGGTCATGGGCCAGGGCATGGTCATTTCGGGCGCCAACTTGGCCATCGTGGATATGAACAGTGAGTAACTTTGCCCCCTTTCATTTGCGCCCAATTGGTCGGGTCAAAGGTATACGGAATTTGAATGAAGATGTTGGAACATACACTTCACTGATTTCACCTTTACCGCCCAACCCGTTTTCCCCAGGTTGGACTGCTGCCCCTCGTAGATTTTGTATGCCCGCCTGTGTTGGAGCCCCTTGAGCGCACCGCATCACTAGAAGGATGGAAGGTAACCCCTTTCCTCCGCTGAACAGAAGAAGAGGCCGAGAAGCAGGCTGCCGAGCTGGTCGAGGTTTTCCGCAGGGAGAACCCGGGCTCGGCGCGTGTGCCCAAGGTCACGGCTCACTACGCCGATGTCTCCGATGCGGATAGTGTCCAGTCCTGCATCGAGGATGTCATCCGGGAGCATGGAAAGATCGACAACCTGGTGACCAGCGCCGGCTTCACCGAGAACTACAAGGCCATCGACTACCCGATCGACCGTATGCGTAAGCTGTGGGCTGTCAACGTTGACGGCACCTACCTGTTCGCTACTACCGTTGCAAAGCACCTGATGGCGCGCAAGGCTCCTGGCAGCATGGTCTTCATTGGAAGCATGAGTGGTGCCATTGTCAATGTGCCCCAGCCTCAAGCGTGAGTTTTAGACCGGTGCTGTGCGCTTTAATGGAATCGGTTGCTGACAATTCCACCTGTAGACCATACAACGGCGCCAAGGCTGCCGTCCGTCACCTGGCTTCGTCACTGGCTGTTGAATGGGCACAAGCAGGCATCAGAGTCAACTGCATATCTCCCGGTTACATGTTGACCGCTCTGTAAGTGGCAATACCCACGTGTAAATACCCCCTTGTCGAAATCGGCCATCTAACACAATTATCAACAGAACCGAGAAGATCCTGGACGACAACCCGGACCTAAAGAGACAGTGGACCTCGCTTATTCCTCAAGGAAAGATGGGCCAGCCGGTCGACTTGATGGGCCCCGTGACCTTCCTCCTCTCAGACGCCTCGCAGTACGTGACTGGCGCTGACTTGCGCGTCGATGGTGGATACACTGTTACGTAAAGCTGCTATCGCGTACTCAAGTGGTTTTATCGTACAACGGGGAGACAAAAGGGTGCATTTTAAGTTTGGCTCAGTCAGGGACTGCAGTATAAAATTGGTGTTTTATGGGCAAAGCGGAAAGGTCATAGAGCTTGAGGCCGGCAGGGAGAAATGTGCGTCATAATTTACATGCTATATTCATCTACACCCGAATGCTTTGTGCGACCATGTTCCCCGGCAGTTCGTTGTTGTCATCATATCAGGAACGTACCAAACTGGGACCCACAATGTGATTATGGCATTGCAAACTTGGGTGAAATTATGGCGAATGACTTTGCCGAGCTTGCGAATCTCGAACACTCGCTTACAGCCGTTTCGAATGTCTTTCACTTCGACCAGGTAGACAACAGAGCAACAATATTCCGCTGTACTGCGGATGCATGTCTTGGATCTGAGCCTCCTCATCACGCGGTAATTCACCGTCCTTCCTGTATTCCCGGCCGGGCTCGACGCCTCTCAGCCCAGCTTATAGGGTAGTCCGCATGCTGCGAGACTGCTACGTGTAAAAGGGCTGAAGGCGGGTGCGCCACGGGCGAAAGATAAACCCAAGCCACGAGAACCCTGCAGGAGCGGCACAGCGGCCGGATGCAAATCGATTATGTATAGTGCATATATCTGACCTGTCATGTTACACGGGGCGCGATGGGGGTCTGCTGACGTTACACGGCAGGAGGGCATACGAAAAGAAAGAATAAAAAATAAGAAAAAAAGGCAATATCTTGACATGACTCGATCAAAGACAATAGGCGCCCCGTCACGGAAGCGTCGTTCGGCGGCTCTGGCCCGCTCACGGCGGCCGTCCACCCCACCCGTGCGCAATCCACTACACGTATTGCCGTGTACCCGGCGCCCGGGGAGGCGGGGGGTATGCCGTGTTGGTGTGGACGGGTCTGATGTTGCATACACATCGGATCAACGCGTTATACTATGACCGTTGGATACCGATGCGAGTGAGCCACCGTGTGAGGTTGTGTTCGTGGAGAGGATGGAGAAGCAGAGAGAAAGAGTGTGTGTGTGTATATGAATGAGCGAGTGACAATATGCGAGCTCGCTGGCGTAAGCACGATACATAGAGCAATCGCTTCCGCCCTTAGACACTCGAATAAGGCGCATTGAATGAGACTATCTATGATGTCGACGACTCTCGACAGCACAGATCGCTTATGAGGAAAGCAACATGAGTCTCACACCGTGCGTCAGCACCTGTCATGTGGGGTCAGCAACGCACGAACACTCTCTGGGTGTAATTTTTTTTTTCCTTGGTTGCTTTTTTTCATCGGAGTCAGCTCCGTCATACTACCCTCAAGATGCAAGATGCAAGATGCAGTCATCAAATGTACGGTCGTCACAGGCCAGGTGGGGGGGAGGGAGATGATAAGAGGAAGGAAGGAAGAGGAACCAAGAAAGAAAGAAAGTATATCAGGACTGACAAAGAAATAAGAAGACTTATTTTGGGTTTTCTCTCTGCATATATACGCATATATCGCACGCTGTCAGCTTATAGGGTCGTGCAGATTAGCTAACCGAAAAACGACACGCGTGGTTGGCGTGGTCACGTTGGGCGATCCGGGGATCGGGTAGGCTTGCAAGCTTTCTTGCTCGTCCCCCGGCAGCCGGGGTGGTGTCTGTTGCGGACGGGGGGGCGGACGTGGACGTGGGCGTGGGGGTTCCTCTTCTTTTCCCTGGTTCGTCGTTCCTGTTTCTCGAAATCTGTGGGAGTGGGATGTCCCTATGCAATGCCAGGGTAGCACCGCATAAGGTCGGTGTACTGTTGTAGTTACAACCTGTACGGAGCCCTTCTGGAACTGACGTGAGAGAGGGACGCGCACGGGACGGGCGGGCGGCGGCCGCGGCGCTTGTGAGGTGATCGGCGACAAGTGTATACCCACTCCACGTGCGCGCGGGCGGGTGGTGTCATGGGCTGCGTTGATGCGCGGGCGGGCATAGACGACGGGGTCCGTAGAGGAACGTCGTGATACACCACCTACCGCTTCTCGTGGGAGTTTGGGGCAAGCACATACATTGCATACACACACACTCTCTCTCTCTCTCTTGCTTACCGATAGTTTGGAAATGCAACGTCCACGCCTCCTGTCTGCCTGTACATGCACCTGAATATAAATTTTGGTTTACGAAAGGCCCCCCAGCCCCTGTGTGAAACCTTGTCTCCAATCCGGCCACCGAGTGATCGGGGAGTATAGCCTTGCGTAGATGCTACGGCCGGAGTGTTATCCTGGACCCGTTGCTGCCAGAAAGGGTACCACGTATAATTGATAGCACTGTCGGAGAACCCCGAGCACGGGAATAGCCATGTAACAGTATGCCAAGTCTCGGTGGCGGCTTGCAGCGGCATTTTCATGTGAGAACCCCTAACTACGCAGCAGAAGTCGTCGATCTCAGGGGTCTCTCGGCTCTATGAAGTCTAGGCTCTTCGGAACCGGGGTCTGTCTGCTCAGGTGCCACAAATTTTTGGGCGCCGTAGCGGAGCTTTGGAGACTGCACATGTGTGATGGATGGACACAGCCCTGGGGAGTAACAGGGTGAAATGTCAAGCTAGTTACATGTGAAGCACCTTGCTGATTCCGAAACACAGCAGGCCTTGACATCTCCTCATACCGAGTCCAGACCTCCGATCACGGTTTAGATTCCGCGGTTCCCTGTCATGGTCCTCTGCGCGGGTAGGGCCAGTTTCTTTTTGTTTGGGCAAGTCCATGTATTTGCGCGCCACGGGCGACACCTAGACTACTATTACATGCCATGCGGCTTTTCGAATGTTTTCCGGAGATATCCATATTGAAGGCCCATAAAAGTGTTTTCTTCGCAACCTCCGCCAACGCCGGCGCCATTGCAGTGCTGCACGTCCTGGAAATGCTTTAAGAAACAAAAGAACAAAAAAAGTAGTAAACGCCATCTAGTCCTGTAGTAGGTACTCCACATCAACTAGGATTTTTCGCAAAACAGCGCTGTAGTAAAATCCGATCGGGTTCGCTGTCTTTATGCAACATAGTAATGACAAATGTACAAGCTGGTAATAACAAACAACTCATCGTCGGGGCTTCTTCTCCCCCTGGCGTTCGAGAAGTAATGTGAGCTGGCTCTTTGATCGGCCAAGCGGGACTGCTGGAGATTTGCTAGGAGCAGTGGGTGTCAGCGTGACTGTAGACCCAGATCGGCGCAGACCCATCTCTGGTGAATCTTGTTGCTCATGTATAGCGCTTGCAACGGCTCTGGCCGGGGCGTTGTCGTCGAATTCAATGATAGTTCCCTGGGCGGCAACATTAGAGGTCGTCGCTGTACTTGTTGATGTAAGACCTTGTGGAGGGACTCTCCGCGGATTCTTCATTTCTCCACCTCGGAAAGACCCGACATCAGACCGAGAACGAGCCATACTCGGTGGTACAGGCTCTGGCCGTATACGCTCCTGGGCATCGCTCCGTCTGTGAGGTGCCCAGACCTCATCCCTGGCACCGCTCACGGCGTGCAACGGCTCCTTTCCCTTCTCACGTGGCGCGGCGTTGGGCGACCCCCTCGGTGGCGTGATGTTTCGTTCACTGTCAAGAACCACGGCCGGCCGATCCGACGTGCTGGTAGCTTGGGTGCTAGTCGGTCGCGGAGGAGTCGGTTGAGCAGCAGCAACCTTTCCCGCCGGGCGTTTCCCGGCAGCTTTGGCACTTTGACTTCCATCGCTATCGCGAGATTTACTAGTGTTCCGTTGATGTGGCTTCTCGGCGATTGGAGATACAGGTCGTTGCGATCCAGAAAATCTCGTGGTCAACGAAGGGCGTTCTTCTCGAGATCCAACTTCTGACCCAGTTGCCGAAGATTGAGAGCTTTGGCGTCTAGGCATAGCCGGTCTCCTTTTTGACGACGACGATGCTACAAAGGCCTTCTTCTTCGGAACGCTGAGAGATGATTTCTTCTGCTTCTCTTTGGCAGGGGCACTGTTGCTTGTGCGTTTCCCAGCATCATCCTCCCTACCCGCAGCACTGGTCGACGAGTCTGCTGAACTTTCTTTCTCATCGTCCTCTGCTTCTGACTGATGAGGTGATACGAAACGAGCAGTAGGTCGGGGCCCGGATGTAGAGGGACCTCTAGGCTTCTTCAGGATAGGATGCGCTGGAGGAGGTTTAGACGAAGAGGATTGAATGGGTCTCATTGACCCCGTCATTTCCAGGGGGTTGTCATCATCATGCTGCTGGGAGTCAGGTTGATGCCCCTTGGATGATGGAACAGCACTCTTATCCGCCGTAGACTAAACCTATGTTAGTTTTCATATACCTTTTGTTTGGATATGGTCAAGCATACAGGAGACGATGGACCTTCATATCGGTTGGGTGGGCCCTTCAAACGGACGAATGTTGGACCATTCGATATGTGCTCAAAGAGCCTAGCAAGCGTCGCTCCAGAGAGAGACCGTCTGTCGCTACCCAAGACATGCCACCAGAAGTTTTCAAGGCGGCTGGCAGTGGGATCTTTTAATTTGCCAAAAGTAGTGGTATAAACTGGCGCGAGATTAGTTTAATGAAGACGTGAACGACAGCTACCGGAGGACAATACCGTGCCAATATTCGTAGATCTTCTCCGGGGGGACGACAGGATAGGCGGCTACCTCCTTATAGACACGATCGATGTTGAAAACAATGCCCTTCGGCAAGATCATAGGTGGAGGCTCCATTACGTCCCGTAGACCCGACCAGGTTCGTGTCGATCCTAGTTAACGTAACAATTCAATGCTTGGGTCTTGGGACTGGCGACTCATAGCTGGAAACGTGTTGCGCAGGCAGATGGTAACTTCCGTGAGGCGACAGACCAGCGCAAGCCGGGCTTTTGAGCTACCGCTGTAATTATTTTAATGTCAGTTTTATAGAGATTTCGTGCTCCACCGAACCGAAATGTCAACGGGACGGGAACGAAAGTCCAGGGTTTGAGTTGACAATGCTGTGCTCGCAGCGAAAAGAAGGTGCTGCCCACTGATCATGACAAAAGACGACCGTGTTGTTCAACAATTGCCGAATGCGCCGAAGACGATGAGGACGACAACTGAGCCCGAGTCTATACTATCTTGGTCCAAGAGCAGTATGCGCCGGCAGGTTGAGGACCACTTTTAATGGTGATGGCCTTATGTCATGAAGCACATGCAGAGAGAGTGCAGTGCTGAGATCCGGAAGAGAAGAGCGCTAGAGGTTATCCCGTTTGCCCAGCGTCCTGGCTTATGGTGACACGTCAAAGGCCCTGGCTGGGAGAGAACCTAAGTGATTCGTTCTTTTCCGGCGCCCTTGCAAGTGGCAGACTAAGCAAGCAACGAGGCCTGCTAGAATGGAAGGGACAACGCCGAAGACGTCACACCCGAGACACTGGACAGGTTTGTCCTCGACGTCTGCTAGCCCGCAAAAGTGGCGGCCCGACTCTAGGGATGAGACGAGATCGGATGGAGCTGATTGCGTGGAGGCGGGCAGCAGACGGCGGGATTTGGAAATGCAGCAAAGTGATCCCGATGCCACAAGCAGACAGGCGGGCAAGCAAGCATGGACGAGCTCCTACCAGATTGGAGGAAGACAAGGACGAATGGATGGAATAGACAGGCAGCAAGAGAAGGTAACCTAATAAGGCTCGAATGGGAGAAGCATGCGGTGTCTAGCCCACTTGGCTGACAACGGGGGGTTTATCAAAACAAAGACTCCATTGGAGCAGAAAACGGGCCGTGGTTGGACATTGGGGCTCGCCGCACGAAAGTACTGTGTAGTGTAGTGCAGTCCTTGCCGCGGACGTGTGGTCGTATGTAGGTTAGGTATGTATGTATGTATTATGTATGTATGTAAGTTGTGTGTGGGCAGGAAGTTGGAGGTCGGCTGTGACCTGAGGGGATGACCTGAACGATTGTACGGCCAAGCAGAGTTTTAGGCACTACGAGCCCACGTCTCCGCTAAAAGCAGGCTCCGCAGTAGCGGGCTGCGGATGCGGATACCACTTTCGGACCATGCGAGGGCGCTAAATGGGGCCCAGACACCCAGGACACTGCCTGTGTACCGCTCTGTTCGCTGCAGCCGGGGGTGGGCTACCAGGCACACACACACCCAGGGCTGGGTCCGGGGCACAATCATCAGCGTCCACTTGCGTAGGTATGGCCGCCAGATGGGGCCGTCCTTGGTGCGTGTCTGTGCCTGTGAATAATCATGGACAGAGGGCCCCTTGGGAGCCCATTGCGACCCGATGCGGGCACATTGCGAAACCGTTCGTGAGCCTGTGAGCCTGTGAGCCTGTGCCCATCGTGGTCGGCAGAGCTCGCCATCTTGCGCACGTTGTTTGCCCGTGGCTAAGAGTGGTCCGTCGGCTTTGACTTTACAGGCATGGCTGGGTCAGGAGGCCCCTAACAAAGACAGACAGGTCCTCCTCAGGGACTCCCGGGGTACTGTATGAAGTTTGCCCGTGTTCTAAATGCTTGGCGAGGTCCAAGGGAATGGCTGATCTCCTCAACCCCATGACCTATAAATACAGTGATCCTTGCTCGCCTGCTAGCCCAGTCAATTTCACCTCGTCGTTGGGTTCTCTGCTCTAATCTACCAGCTAATTGTTTCTTCTCCCACCAGTCTGCCGGCGATCAGTGCTCCGGCGGCCCAAGAGATGTCGGGGTGTTCAGGCTCAGCTACCCAAGAAGATCGTGGTCGCTTTCCGACAAGACCACAGTGCAGACAAATGGACGGCGTTCGCCGCGAGTCTGTAAGGTGCTACTGAAAATTGGACGGCCTTCCGGGGCAAGGTCCTCGGTTATCGCCATATTCAATAGTCGCCGCTCGGCGCAAAACGGTGGAAGACGGAAGGAGCCATGAGGTCACTCAGGGAGACGCTGTCCCCCAAAGATGTTCAGTTGACTCTTGAATGGTGACTCCCGCAGCTTGACCTGCCCACTCCGGGAACGTGGCTATCCTCCATCAAGATTCGCTCCGAGAGAGTGCGAAGCGTGTGCTCTGATACCCGGGGGACAGCCAGGGGGCCCACGAGATAGCTGGCCCCCATGTCAACCGTAGGGGTGTCAATGAATTTGCCGTGTTCTAGAATACTTCCTGGTTCCTGGGCAGACATGGGTCTTTCTTGAGTAGGCTTTGGCGCCGGTGCTTCTTAAGCCGCACAACCTAATCTGCGTCCAGATTGCTTCGCCAAAAAAGCCATGTTAAGGGATCTCTCCAGAGAGAGAAAGACGACAAGGAACTATTACTTCCCTGAACTTGACCCGTCTACGTGTTATCGATGCCTTCTTGAAACCCTTCGTGAGCGCAATGACTCGCGGCCGTTCACCCCAGGCGGCGATCAGAGACACGCAGTTTGGACCAAAAGGTCCTCATAGCTGATAGTTCTAGATGGTCAGCCTCCTCTGGAAACCAGCCAGACAATAAAGTTGAGTTTGATATTCCGTGACACGCCTCCTCCAACGTCTTTGCTGCAAGATCCAAGACAAGGCGCATAAAAGTCCAGCAGACGTATCAGTTAGCTGGCTTTGGTCTCAGATAGGACTTGAGAACTTCGGAACTACTAGAAAATTTGAGGAACTAGTCATCAGACCTCGGGTTCCTGTAGTCTTGCCCACTACCACAGTATCTGAGTACCTAGGTAGGTATACAGGCATCAACATACGCTGCATGTAGTTCCATGGCCCAAGTGTGCTTGCGCGAAAAAGAAACAAGCCGTGCGTCGCGGTTGGATGCGAATCGGCATTTTCGCTGGTCAGATTGGTCGTACACAATCCTCCAGGGCATTGATTAGCTTCACCGCTAATGCAGAGTGAATTCTAGAAAGACCACGGGATCAATCGTGAGCTTTTCGGCCGCTGTGAATAGAGATATCTGAGCAGCGAGCTGCCGCCAGGGGTTCCCGCAGGCATTAGTCCATGTCTGGGGTAAGCGGCAGGGGAGGCAGTGCTAGCCGACGGCTCAATGGAGCATCTTGTTCGCTTTTCGCACTTGGTATGACATGGCAAGGCTTGAGCCGAGGCGTTGAGAATTGCTTTGCTCTTCCGGTCCAATTGTTCATCTGGAATCCCTAGCCAGATTGTTTCTCGAAGCCCGGTGTCAGATCCTGTGATCTACACTTTGCGGGGTGTTGTAAGTCGTGTGACCTCTTTTAATTACAGCGATGTTCAGTCACAGCGGCCAATCACCGCTCGAGAAGGGAACTTAACGCAACTCGGAAACCACAATAGGCAAGCAGCGAAAGTCCTTCGGCCGGTCAAGAGGATAGACACTTGCTAGCCTTGGCAATATTGAACAGTATGCATTGGTGGCTGTTGATCGGGTGCCGTTCGGGTTGCATGGGAATGACACGACCGGCTTGACTCGAGAGCTCTTCTAGAAGGCAAGTCAAATCCATGGATTACATACCCAGGCCCATGCACAACTTCCCCGCCTCCTCACCCGGAATCCTTCACCGACAAACAGACAGAACTTATTGAGTTGGACATCTTTCATGGTCGAGCAAATAAACCCCAACTTCTGTGGGATATGGTCACACCGATATCTGCACTTGGCTAGTGGAGCTCTCCATACGTCACTAGAGCGCATCAAGTTCCCTTCAAGCTTTGACGAGTCCTTTCTCCACGACAGGCTCTGAGGGTTTGAATACTCGCTTGTCCAATGCCGAGCTTAGGTTGCGTGATACTGGAGAAGTCTCGTGACGAGATTGATAAGATATTATGTTCAACCCCCACTGTGCTGTCATAGATATTGCTGACAGTCATATGTTAAGAAGCCAAAGGTTCGGGGGTCGCCAGCAATCTGAATTGTGTTGCGCCCATTTTGATTCGCCTTTGAAGCTTCCTGATCCGGAAACATGCCCTTCCACATTCAGGAGGCTAATCGCGTTTCTCACAAGAGCACCTGAGACGATTGAAGACATCGGCTCCCATCCCAAGGGGCACACCATGGATCTGCGCCTGCGCAGGCCAGAGTCGATAACGTAAGGGGAACCAAGCGGTCTAGTCGTTGGCCCACCCCACGTATGTATAATAATGCAGTCATACATATGTCAACACTGCCTTGCTAACTCCTGCCGTGGGCCTCCTAATGGGGGTGTTGTGAGTTGTCGAGAATTGAAGTGCAACGTCGTTGCATCAATCTTCAATGCGCCCCGTGCGTCTGACATATTCCCTGCAGGTACACTACGTCTCGAGTATCGGGAACCGTAAGACAAACCCTTGCAGCCCACCATCCCCCGGATACCGGTGAGCGGATTGTCGGGGAAGGTTTCCTCACTTCTCAAGTCAGATCCTTTTTCAGAGGAGGACGCTACTTGCGGGCCGGCCCCTTGTCTGATCATTCCCATTCGCTTAAGCAACCCTCGCGCACTTTTGCTGAATTAAGCCGTCGTAGAGCCCAGCAGAAGCACTCTGCTTGGTGTCAGCGGCCCTTTCGGGGTGTGCCCGTATTTCAGTGGGTTCCGGCCGTTAGCCTGCCGGTCGGTGGAGCAAACTGGAAATTATCCGGGCAGGGTAACGCCCGGAACCGCCAGTCTTTTCGCCGGAGTCCAGTTGGTGGTGTTACACGAACACACTGGCACAAGTGACCTATCCGTCAAGGGCAGTGAATATCCAGTGAGATTGACCCGGAAACCAATACCAGACAGCGCCGTAGTTGCAAGTGTTCAAGGCAATCAATGCCGCTCCTGTCAGATTTAGTAACGCTTGCACTGTATTAGCTTTCAGGCGCCAGCTATGACGTGCATCTATGTTGCAACTGCAATACTGAAGTGTTCCTGAGTTCTGAACTGGGAAAACATACCAAACTTGAACTCGTGGTGATTTAGTATAAATAACGACGTGATTGACATGTATTGGCAGCGACGGCATAGGCAGCGGCTATCGATGTATATCCGACGGGGGTCCATGAAAGTAACGGAGGGTGATTACTGAAGGACACTCTGTATAATCTTGCGAAAGGACTCTTCATATACTCGGAAGCGATGAATGCATCCTCATACAACAACGATGCGGACGTGGACATTTTCAGTTCGACGTGTATCATTAGAACTCGATTCACTACTTAGACCATGGTAGACCCATTCTCAGTCAAAGTAGGTCAATTGTTACCTTAAGATCTGGTAGAGGAAGTACTGGTCAAGCACTCTCACAGTACCTTCTGGCGCGCGATGCGAGGGTATTGATGGAGATCATGAGAGCTGCTGTTTTGGAATGGGTCAAACGGGATGCCCCATACGTCCAAGACCTTGTCGTAACTTTCGTATTCCATACCATGAGGCATAATAAGACGAACCTATGATCAAAGCTAATATCCTCAAGTTTTGCAAGCTGAAACGGGCTACAAATGTAGCGGAAATCGCAAGCTATAGCTATTAGCTGCACATTCCGGGCGCCGTTGCAGCTAGATTATATTATGGATCCGGACTATTGAGAGTTCACCGGTGAAAAACCTACTGATGCGTCTTTAAACTAATGCTCTTATCATAATTATCTGCCTTCGGGACTAATCGTTCATAGAAGCAGAGGAAGAAGCTTTCTAAACAATGACGCTTACTTGCGTGGGAACGCCACCGCACGTGTTGCCGCCTATATTCCAAACACTCATCGCTGACTTGGCCAAAATCGCTACCTTGAATAAGTGTTGAAGCGTAGATCATCATCGAGGTTGACAATACCTGCTACACACTTGAGGGCTATCCATAGCCTGACGAATACAAAGGGGTGGTGGTGGGGTTCAAGGTGGTAAGCTGAGCGGAAATAGCATTGTTGGGTTATAAAGGAGCATACTTCTATAGATATTCTCTCTCATTCCTCGACCTTGATTGAATGGGGGGGTTTTCAAAAAAGTTCGACCATATCTACCCAACCCAGGTATCAAAGGCGGCGTGCTGCCCACTGTATGCCCCTTACGACATGCCCAAGGAAATGATCGTCATCCCATGCTTTGCTAAAGTGCCCCAAAGATGTGTAGAATGATCTGAATCCTCCATTTTCCTGACACCAGGCTAATGGGTGGTCATCCCCCATCGCTCCTCCTTTGTAGCAAGCCTCATCGATGCTCATGAGAACGTGAACCTTGCCGCGCGGGTTGCTTCTAAAATTGTACCATTCATCGAACCACTCCCATTTTGTGGGCAAGCCCTTCGTTATGACATGGTCAGTGTCTTCGATTTTCACTATGCCATCCTGAGGATCCGGATGCTCCGTGAAGACAGCGCCGACTGCACCACAGTACCAAGTATTGGATTTCATTCCCGACGAGGCGCAATGAATACCCACAAGACCGCCACCATTCTGAGTCCAGTCTTTCAGTGCAGCAACCTGGGAATCGTCGAGAAAGTCTCCGCTTGTTTGCAGAAGAACCACTACAGTGTATTTCTTTAGGTCCGAGGTATTAATCAAAGATGCATCCTCCGAAGCGTCAACAGAAAAAGACCCCGATGTAGAGGCGTACCGAGTTAAGGCCTCGATACCTGCGGGGATGGATTCATGACGATAGGCTGCCGTCTTGCTGAAGACTAGTATTCTGAAGGACGTTGATGATTCCATAGCGGCTGCCCAATCAATGCCCTCTGCAAACTGACGTTTGACAGTCGAATCCTGGAGCTTTCGATTACAGGCCTATGCTCCCAAATTTGAGAAACCCAGCCGAGATATGATCCCAAGATGGTCAAGAATGATTGTTTTATGGTCGGATGGCCTGTATGGTAGATATACACTTTTTCTGGCCCAGTTTTATGTGCAGTCTGAGTTCAAGAATGCTGCAAGGCGGGGCTGACTTGATAGAAAACCCGCCAGTCGGAGCAATAATATCTCGGTGAGGGGTTGGCTGTCATCATTTCAACTTCCTGCATAGCGGGCAGGGGTGTTCTACACAACACTCGGGCATCAAAGAACCGGACATGGCACGATACAATCTGGAAAATCTGCTATAACCATGGAATCATCTACCCGAAAGCTTGAGCTTTGTCATTGTACATAGTAAACACGTTGATACAGGCTACATTAGAGCCAGCGATGAAAGGTCAGAATCAATACTGGATGAACCCATGTGTCCTCAGAGGTCATGGACCAGTTCCATCCTCTTCGAACAATGGTTGTGGTAAGCAATAGAGTAATCAAAACATAATACACGCCTACATGGATCCAGCGCTATTGCGCAACGCAATGTTTTTACGTAAAAGAAACAGAAAGCCAAGAATACCCATTGCGTTTTCGCAAGGTGACTCTCTAACGTGTCCCCCTGAATTCTGAACTGAAGTCTGCACTGTAGACACTCATCATGCACCGAGTCGTGGAAATCTCTACTCAGCGAATTCCATCGCTGTTTAGACGAGACCGTGCATACCAAAGTGTCCATAGCCCATCATCTACATAATGAAATGCAATCTCTTACAAACTCAACGAGTGTGTTTTATGTTCACATCCAGAGTCATGGTAGCCAAGTATTGATAAAGCGGTATAGTCCAGGAAATTTGCATTGTTTATGCTAAGCCATTATATCCAGAATCTGCCAAGATGAAGGTCCAATGCTATGCCGTTACGTACACACCCAAGAAACGCAATATAAACCCAAATCGTTAAAACTCGCCGGTTACAAGGCAAAGGCGGCAGCCAGGACGAGCGCAGCGACGCTGAAGCCAGCGGTTTTGGCAGAGCCGGCAGTGGCAGGCGTGGTGCTGGCAACCGGGTAGACGGTAGCCGAGGTCTTGACGGTGACGGGCGACGAGCTCTTGGAGACGGTGCCGGAGGCGGCAACGGTGCTGTTCGACTTGCCAGTCGGGTACAGAGGAGCGGTCAGGGTGGTGAACGCGGCGGACGAAGCGCCGACGGGGTAAGAGGGCACGGCGGTAGCCTTGGTAGCCGAGCTCACGGCACCGCCAGCAGGGTATGTAGCGGCGCTGCCAGCAGGGCTAGTCTTAGCAGTCTCGGAACCAGAGCCGGCAGGGTAAGTGGCGGCACCGCCAGCAGGGCTGGTCTTGGCGGTCTCAGAGCCGGAGCCGGCAGGGTAGGTAGCGGCGCTGCCAGCGGGCTTAGTGTTGCCAGTCGCCTCAGAAACGGGGCAGACAGTGGTCGAAACGGCGATGACCTGGGTAGTGACGGAGCCGACGGGGCAGTCAGTGACGGTAGCAGGGCAGGCGGTGACGGTCGCAACGCGGGTGCTATAGATGGTCGACGTGGTCATGGGGACGTTAGTAGGCGTCTGAACGGCGGTAACGGGGCAGACCTGAGAAGCGGAGTTGTTAGTATCCAAAAGGGGTAAATTACTGAAGGTGTACGCGTGGAACTTACGGTAGTGTACAACGGAATGACCTCGGTGACGACGGAACCAGAAGCAGGGCACTTAGTGACGGTAGGTGCGCAAGAGGTGACCGTGTACGAGATGGTAGTGTAGACGGTGGAGGTGGTGTACTCGGCAGAGCTGGTGGTCACGGGTCCAGTGGCGGAGGCAGAGCCAGTGGCAGACACCGAGCCAGTCACAGACACAGAGCCAGTGGCAGAAGCGGTGGAGACGCTGTACGAGCCAGTCTCCTCATCCTCGTCGCAGGAGTCCTCCTCAGAGCTGGTGGAGGCGGAGGCAGTGGCGGAAGCGCTGGCAGTGTTGGAGGCAGAGGCAGCCGAGCTGGTGATGGCGTAGGAGCTGCTGGTAACGGCGACACTGGAAGTCGACGAGACAGAGTAGGAACTCGAGGTGTCATCATCATCGGTGCAAGTGTCCTCCTCCTCGGAGCTGGTGGAGCTGACGCTGTACGAAGAGACGGACGAGGACTGGCTGACAGAAGCCGACGAGGTGATGGTCGAGCTGGAGCTCTCGGTGGCGCTGACGGAGTAGCTGGAGCTCTCAGTGCTGCTCTCGGTGGCGGAGCTCGAGGAACTGGTCTCGGAGACGGTGGAGGAGCTAGTAACAGTGGCAGAGCTGGAAGTGCTGCTCTCAGAGGCGGAGCTGGTAGTTGCGGCAGAGCTAGAGGTGGTGCTGACAGTCGATGAGGTGGCCGAGCTGCTGGACGAGGTGGTGGACGAGGAGACGGAGCTTGACGAAGAAGTGGTGGTCTCGCCGTAGTGAACAGCGGAAGCACATGCCTCGTAGTAAGGCTTGTTGTTCAGGGTCGTGTCCTTGTTGGTGGCGGAAGTGTAGGCATCCCACACCATCATACCGCCGAACTGACTGGAGTAGTCGCTGTTTCTGCACTTGGAGACAAGGTTGGAGAGATCTGCAGGCGCAACGTAGTCTGACTTGCTCTTGTCAGCCAGGAGACCGACAAGAATCTTGGCGTCCTTGTTGGCAGTTGTGCTCAGGAACTGAGCCCACTGGTCAAAGTTGAACTTGGCACCAGTGTTGCAGAGTTCGCCGTTGTTGTAGTACTGGATCTGGATGAGGTCGAACTTGGCCTGCTGCAGGATCTGCTTGGTGTAGTTGTACTCGTCCTCCAGAGGGCACTGGGGTGCTGTGGAGAAGATCATGTCACAAACTCCATCAGCCGAGGTGCTCAGCTCCCGAAGAGTCTTGATCAATGTAATGTATGGTCCTTGTCCGCTAGCTGTAGATAAGACGTCAGGCCTGAGTACCAAAGCATGGATCCGGCTATGGCTATAGGGGTCAACTCACTCAACACCTCCTCGAGGTCAAGGTCGAATCCGTCAACGTAGTTCTCGTAAAGCACGCCACCTGACCAGTAGTCGAAAGGACGAGGGCCCTCGTAGCCATCCTGCTTCTTTCCGTAGGCCTTGTACAGCGTTTTGGCAAACCACACAGCAGTGTCGTCATCCGGCAGAGTGTATGTACCGAAATCCTTGGCGCCGCCAAGGGAAAGAAGGATCTTCTTGCCCTTGCTGTGGCAATATTTGATACTGTCACCAATGGTGTCACAAGCGTCCTGGAGATCGGTGGTGACGGTGTCGCCATTGTCATCCTTGTAGCTGTAGGTGTGGTCCCAGCAGTGAGCGGCGAAGTTGGAACCAGGATACTCGCCGACCTTCTGAGGGAACTTATTAATGAAGGAGAGTGTGAGATAGTCGATGCTAGAATTGTCGCAGAAGTCTCTGAGCTTGTCCGTCTGCCCCGATTGGCCCTGTTTTCTGTTAATTACACACACTTATACCTCGGACAGGCTTGACTGACCCAGTAGACGTTGACCTCCGCCTGGTGGGCAAGGGCTGGGGAAGCTGCCAAAGCAGCAGCAACGATTGACTTGCGGAAATGCATTCTGAAATTAATACCGATGGATTATAAATTATTCCGTATATGCGGGAATGATTGGAATGTGGCCGAGGCCGTAGAGAGTGTATAGATCAGCTGGATCAACGAAAGGACGCAAACCAAAAGGCTGCAACGGCTGGCAATTCAGACCGTTTCTTGTCTACTTGACGGATGGGATGAGAAGTAGAGAGAAGAGCAAACCACTCGTGAGCATGCTGCTGAGGAAATAAGAACCCTTCTTCCATGCTGGGCCACGCAAGCGCGAAAAGGAGTAAGCCTCCCCCATACCCACCAAGCAAATGAGATGCCATACCCAGCTCGCTGGTCGACGATACTTAGGAGTACCAGGCCTTCTGCGCCGCGAGGCGGCGTTACGGCCCTGTCTCCAACGCCATGGCTGCCTCGAATAATCCGCTACTCTAAGTCGAAGCCGGCGTAGTTACGATGGTGGACCAGTAGACCGCCGCTGGAGATACCAGGATCACGGATCCAGCCCGCATAGGAAACACGCCACAAGTCAATATTGGGCAAGTAATGCGTTAGGAACAGGTTTAGCGCAGATCCTGGCAGAGGCTCGCGGCGCCTCAGCAGCTTTTCGGGCATTATTCATTGGTTGGCTGAATTGGCTCATGGGCCCGACTTCTCAGCCCATCGCAACCCCCCTGCATGCTTTTGCAGGCGTTGCTGGTGATCAGAGCTAGCCGATAGCTAGGATTATTTCGGCTAGGGGTCCGGCCCATTGGCCGCGCGGTCTGGAGCTGGCGGGGTGTTGATCTCTTGCCAATTTCGCAATTTGTGCGACGGTTCTGGATGTGAATGGAGAAGCTTGTTCGATGGAGAAAACTTTGAAGAGGGCAATGATCACCCCTAAAAACAACGACATGTCAGCCAGTCTATCAGATGTCGTCGATCTTCACAGGCGCCAACCGATATAGTCCTGCTATCATGAGAGCGACTTGTCTGCGCTGCAAATCATCTTCTCTTCGTCAGAACACAGGTTTCTTTTGCTTCAGCTCTCAAATGACAGCCTCTCGGGGCGCTATTTCTGACTCAGGGCCCGAGTCGGCTAGTCATTCGGCCGTTCTGCACCACCGTTCGAGCGCTAAACCTGCAAAAGGTCCCCTCCGCGCGGGTGGGACCTCGGCGTTCCCCATCGTCGGACCACTCTTCCCGTCCAATTTCTGTAGGGCTTTCCTGGTCACTGTGACCCTTCGGGCCCTTAGGTTATGGTGATGAAAGACCAGGCATTCTGAAGGAGCGGGTGGCCGGTAACCTTCTTGTCAAAGGGGCGGCAACTGTTTCAATACGCTGATGGCAACTTCATTGGATGCACTAAGGGATAAAATTGCTGGATGCGCCCCCGTAAGAAGCGCTTTCAGCTTGGTTAAACAATTCGTGAAGCGCCAATATGAAGTAGCAGTATGTACTTTTTCGCGACCTGAGATCACACTAAAGCTCGCGTGGCTGCCTGCTAGGAAATGAACACTTACAAGGCGCTTTGTTTAGAAGCGCGATCTACCAGCGGTTTCTCTGGGGAGTCACGTCCACCTCACCGTAGTCTGCTTGGACAGTCGAAATGAGATGCAGGCTAGACCACTCAGACGTTGTCATTCTACGACGACGGTATGCGACTTTGCGGGACTATATTTAACGCACGGGAGCGGCACAGGTTTGGACAGGGAGCCCTGATCACGGGTCAAAAGCCAGTTTCGGGCCTAGCTTCACGACCGCCTACAAGTCGTCGGACTCACCCGCTTGGTGCAGGTCAAACACCCAAACGTAGGACGAGGAGACTAGATACGTACTGGTAAAATGACGGCTCAGGTAGATCAGGTGTCTGTCAAGTCGAAGTTCTGCTTTGTACCTGGCCTGTGGGACACTAGTTTTGGATAGATGATCCTATACGCCTCATAACCTCGGCCGACATCTTGCTCCGAGTGATAGTAAGGTCGAAATCCCATGAGGACATAAAAACCTTGACGACAGTTTTGCCCTGGCGGAGGGGGAGGGAGAGAATGACATAAAGGCACTTCTGGCCTCAACATACCACCGCAAGGAATATTCGCGCAGGGTTTATCATATGCAAACTCCTTTCCAGTCCTCGGCTTGTATAACCCCGGTACAACGGATCGGGCTTTATTGGAACCACTCATGTATGTAACAGGCCCGGTACATCTCGCCTTGCAGATCATTTCGCTCGGAGATTTCAATCTATTTTCATATCATATCATCTACGCAGTATCTAGGAGGACCACTTCAGCCTCCACTTCGCCTACGCTCTCAACTGACAGTTTATCTCCGGCTCGCACATCATCGATGAAAGCTCCGTCGCCTTCGTTCAAAACATCGTCCCGACCATCCAGTCTAACTTTCGCCTTGCCGCCCTTGGTCATTGGCAAGTGCACATAAACCTTTCGTTTGTTGCTCTCGGTCGCCTTGGCCCCGACGATCCACTCAAATTTCTCCTTTGGTGCAATGATTCCAGCTGCCATGACGAAATCCGCATGGATAGGAATAGTCTCAGCAATGGTAGGCTCAGCAGTCTTCTCTTGTTCTGCTGTCGCGTCCGGGCCTCCCTTCAGGGGACTCAGGATAGGGACGAACTGCTTCCTCTTTGCCTCCTCGTCAAAGTGACGGGTGTGGTATCTCGGCGTCAATCCGCGCTTCCATGGGATAGCCCAGATTTGCAGGAAGTGGACAGTGTCCTTGTGGTGCTCGTTGAACTCGGAGTGGGCAATGCCGGTCCCGCCAGTGGTGAACTGGACGTCTCCACGGTGCATGCGGTAGAACTTGTCAGACTGGCCGCCCTCGGCGCCCTTCTGCAACATGCTGTCGCGGTGGGTGAGCTCGCCGGACAGGATGTAGCTGAAGATCTCAAAGTCGCGGTGCGGATGAGTAGGAAACCCAGAGTTGGACTTGACCCGATCCTCGTTCAACACCCGCAAAGCACCGAAATGCGTAAAGTTTGGGTTGTACCAGTCGGCGAACGAGAAGGAATGGTAAGTGTTCAGCCAACCATGATCCGAGTGGCCCCGGGTACCCGACCGATGGGGCGTGATCTTGGCGTGAGAGAGAGTCTTCGACATTATGTTCTTGACCGTGTTCATAGACGTTGTCGGGGCCTCGCTTGGTGGACTTGGGGTTCTTGTCTCTGAGGACTCAGAGTCGCCGTTAACTAAAGCCTCAGGGGACTTGAAGATTGAATGCAACCAGCTGCTTTTGGAAATCGACTCAACAGAGTACTCAATCAAGGGTGAGTTGTACAACAGCAATGCGATTGAAATGGCGCAGATGGACGACCACAGAATGAAGCGAGTCATATATAGAGGCTCAGATTTATTTCTGGAAGCAGCGATAAAGTATTGAAACTCAAATGACTGATGATTGGAAAAGCTGACTTAATGGGGGAGTCAGTCGTTACAATGCGTCCCTTTGTATACCCTTTCCTCATGGTGTTGAAGATTTCTACCATTGACGAGTCTTGCTTATGAGAGCTTAGCTGATGCTGATTGAGAAAGCCGAGGCCCACACGGATGGGCCTGGGCATTAGGAGAAAGCAGGGATGACTAAGGAGATGCATATCATTGGTGCGCGCGAGGTGATTGGTCTGGCACCACGAGCCCAGACATTACAAAGATTGAAGCTCCAGGACCAACAGGTATTCGTCGCCCGTTCACCGCGCCTTTGAGGACAATGACAAGGTCCTGATCGACTCGACGTCTAGTCAAGCTTGTATAGTCGCAAATTATAGCGGCCATGCGCTGGGAAAGGTGCGGAGTTGGTAGGATTTGGTCTGCGGAACTAAGACTGGACTCTGATGGGCGATATCGGCTTCCCTCGGCATCCCCTGCCGGGCTCTTCAGGAACAGATGCTAAACCGCCTATCCCTCATGCTCCGGTGCAAACGGCCTCATGTTTGCATTTTCATTGACTTATAGCCAAGCCAGTCTATAGATAAATGGCCATGTAATTGGCAAAAGAGGGAGAAAGCCTCCGTGCTCGCCGTTGGCGACCGAGATATGCGGTGCAACTCGCCGGATAAGGACGGTTTGCCCAGGGCCAGCTACCTGTACCGGAAAAAGCTGTCTGCCGCTGAGGCCAATCAGAGATACCCGCTGACTCCGAATTTTCTCAACCTCACGCCCTCCACTTTTTTTTTTTTCCTACTTGAAGCCGCCGGTCCCAAGTCGAAGATCTACCAGACTCAAGGCTAGAAGGCACCATGTCGGCATCGCGCTCCCACCGTCCCTCCCGCTGTAGTGCTTTTGCACTCTCCTCACAAGGCGTGATCTTCATGTTCGACGTAGGACCTTGAGGCCTTCCAATCGCCTGTACCAGACCCCGCCAGTTTTTTTTTCTTCGGTGCCCCTCCAACCCCGAAGTCTATCTCTTATCCTTATCGTTGAGGCTCGAAATTTCACTTCGAACCGCGTGGAAAAGGAAAAGCACCTTTGCGCCGCCCTCAACCCTTCGTTCCTGACAGTATTGCTGTTTAGACCACAGACAAATTCAGCGCATAGTATCAGCCATGTGAGTTTATTGCATGTCTCTTCTGTATTGCTTCCAAGACCTGGAACCCACTAGGGTATTTTGGGACCCCTCGCCCCGCGCCTCTACAGCAATGTGAGAGGTTTGCATCTGACACGAATTGAGTGATCCATGGAGCACTCTCCTCGTCGCAATGCCTGTTCCCGTTTGCCTCCTTCTGCCCTGCCATTACATGCATGCACCATTCCCTCTTCCAGGTAGCACCCCTCTGCTAGTTTCATGATGAGCTCTTTTATAAATGTTCGACTGCCTAGAATTATGCTGCGGAGAACTATTAAACACTCTGATCCAACTGGCCTTTCGTCCTTTGATTTATAGCATATCCCTGTTCGGCGGGCCGGTGCTAACGATCATCCCATCTAGTCTCGAGAATGTGTGGTATCCTGGGTTTGATTCTGGGCCACATCGGCGACGACCCCAACGTCCCGTGCAGAGCCGCCAGCGAACTGCACAATGCGCTCTACTTCCTCCAGCACCGAGGGCAGGATGCCTGTGGCATAGCAACATGTGCGGCCGGCGGTCGGATATATCAGTGCAAAGGCAACGGAATGGCCGCCGATGTCTTCAAGTCTAGCGGCTCTCGGGTCCAGGACTTGCCTGGCTCCATGGCCATTGGGCATCTCCGGTACCCGACAGCGGGCACGAGCTCGTCTGCTGAGGCCCAGCCTTTCTATGTCAATTCACCCTACGGCATTGTGTTCGCTCACAACGGCAACCTTATCAATGCGCCGGAGTTGAAGGAGTATCTCGACAAGGAGGCACACAGACACATCAACACGGACAGCGACAGTGAGCTGATGCTCAACATCTTTGCAAACGAGCTCAACGAGACCGGCAAGGCTCGAGTCAACTATGAGGACATATTCAACGCCATTGCGCGCATGTATAAGCGCTGCAAGGGAGGTTGGGCCTGCACAGCCATGATCGCTGGTTATGGCCTCGTAGCTTTCAGAGACTCGAATGGTATCAGACCATTGATCATGGGTCAACGGCCGTCGGAGACTCTTCCTGGAGCGACAGACTACATGCTTGCGTCTGAGTCTATAGCGTTGCGGCAGCTCGGATTCACCAACATGCGCGACATCAGGCCTGGCGAGGCCGTCTTCCTCGGCAAGAGTCGGGCACCAGTCTTCCGCCAGGTTGAAGAACCGAAATCGTACAGCCCCGATATCTTTGAATACGTCTATTTTGCCCGTCCGGATACGACGATCGACGGGATCAATGTCTTCAAGAGTAGGCAACAGATGGGCTACAAGCTTGCCGATAAGATACGCAAGATTCTTGGAGATGAAGGCGTCAAGGAGATCGACGCTGTCATTCCCATCCCAGAAACCGCAAATACATCAGCAGCTTCCGTTGCTGAGAGTCTAGGAAAGCCCTACAGCCAAGGTCAGTCATATCTTCTCGTTGTCTGGCGGTTCGGGAATTACATCCCCATGTCGCACAGCTCCACACCTTGATATCTGACCCAGCAGTACTGACCCAATACACCAGGCTTTGTTAAGAACCGTTACGTCTTCCGTACATTTATCATGCCCGGCCAAAGTCAACGACAGAAGGGAGTTAGGAGGAAGCTCAGTGCCATTGAGTCCGAGTTTGAGGGCCGATGCGTGCTGTTGGTTGACGATAGCATTGTTCGGGGTACCACCAGCAAGGAAATTGTCGTCATGGCAAGAGAAGCTGGCGCGCGAAAGGTTATTTTCGCCAGCTGCGCCCCTCCCATCACTCACCCTCACATCTACGGCATCGACCTGGCATCACCGAACGAGTTGTTGGCATCGGACCGGGATCGTTTTGCTATTGCCAAAATCATTGACGCTGATGAGGTCGTGTACCAAGACCTCTCGGATTTGAAGGCTGCGTGCGCCGAGTGCTCACCAGAGCATGGCCCGAAAGAATTCGAAGTTGGAGTATTCTGTGGTAGCTATGTCACGCCAGTACCGGATGGCTACTTTGAGCATCTGGTCGAGCTGAGAGGGAAGAAGCCCAAGACTGCGGCGGCGCTTCCCAATGCAACGCCTCAACCGATTGCAAGCAGCGGCCCAACACTGACTGGTGCATCGACAAATGGAGAATCTGGGCAAAGCTTGGAGCAGCTAAGGGGCACAGTTGCCTCTCCTGTCCAAAGGGAAGACATCAGTCTTCACAACGTAGCTCTGGACTCGGACAGGAGATAGAGCTTCCAAAAGGAGTCGTGGGCGGGGTTAGACAAATGTTTACACTAGACAGGCATCAGTGCATAGACAATGGATGAATAGTTGACCCAATCCCGGGACCTTATTTACTGTTTCAACGCCCATTCTATGGGATGTGATGTTTGTGCGTATGCCTGTTGGTCACTCTTGTCTAGTGTAACATTTCCCGCAAACAGTTTTCAGGGGCCACGAAGCGGTCCATGTGAACGACTGTTGCTGTCGTCCTAGGGTGTTTGGCCAGACTTCAACATTTGACGTCTCAGCTCCTTATGTTTCATACCTCGCAACATAGCATGCGCTCACCTAACAATATGTGTGTCCCATGAAGTATGAAATGTTGGATAATTTCAGAAGCTACTTGGCTCCTGAACTGAACCATCCTCAGTAACAGCATAGTTGCCGCCAATCAACTAGAAGTCACAGAGAATATTGCTGATTTGGTGCATCGTGATGTAGGTCAGCTGGTGTACGATGATATCGGTAGTGTTTAGTGTAAGGCCCCAAACGATGCAAATAAGAAGTACATGCGACCCCTCTGTATCACTTGATGGGATAAATAATGAGGCCAGATTATTATGGTACTGGTATCTTGATGTGAGAAAGCCTTTCGCGTTTGTAGTCTTCAAAGGCAGAGATGCATTGCCCCATATGACGGCCAACTCCATCTGGGCAGCTTCCTCCTTCCACCCATAGCTCTGTTCCTTCCTGATACGTGCACACGTTCTCCTTCGAGCATTCACTTAGGTGGATAGAACATTTACCTGCTTCGGAAAATATTCACTTCTTCTGACGGGAGCCTTACTTTAAAAGGCCTCACCACCGATGATATCCCAGCGGAGCTCAAATAGGCCACAAGCCACCATTCACAGAAAGGCTTGCCTTTCACAATAGGTAATCCCTATTTCATGCAGTTAGCTCACTTTGATCTGCGACTCATCTTAAGTTGAGACCAAAGTGTGAGATCCGTCGCCCATATCTTACCGGACCCATCTTCCCTCCCGAGGACCACTGGAGCGTTCTATCGCGTCCACTGTCCAGTCAAAGCACCGACACCGTGGTTCCTCCAATTGAGGACCAAAAATCTCAGCTGGAGGTACTTACCGCTGGCAAAAAAGAAAAAAAAAAACCTCCATCATTCACAAAGACCGGTACGTGCAAGAGCAAACGAGGCCAACTGCCAGTTGCTTCGCCTGCAGCCGACGCCCATTTCGTCGGGACCTTGTCGTCGATCCACTGCAAGTAGGGAATTCACAAACTACTCACAAACGTCGATTCATAACACAGTTCCGTAAAGGTTGCTCATATTCGGACAAACGGCTATTTATTCAGCAAGATGCGCACGCGAGCCAGTGCCAGGCTGGCTGCCGAAGATGCAGCAGCCGATGGAATCTCGCCCATAACACCCGCAACACCCCCGGGTCATGAACCGCAGAATTCACCAGGAGAAAGCACGTGCGATCGCTCTCCAGGTATGGATGAGTCGGCGACCACTCGACAGTTGAAGCAATCCCTGACAACACCTCCCACTGACACCCAACTGAACCACCTTGTTGCACCCGCCTCTACTAAGTCGGCGACTACTATGGTTTCGAAGAAAAGGACCGGCCGCGAAAGTACAAAGGAGCCAGTTAGAGGGGGTTGGGACAACCTGCCACATAATCTCGGAAGACGCTGGGAGCCCTCCGCCCCTTCAAGCGGCATCCAACCTGTACCTGCCATAGATGCCTCCACTACATCGTACGGCGAACTTGATGCCGAGACTGGACTTGCAAAGGCTGTGGCAGCAACAGGATACCACTTACGACCCAGAAAGACTGTAGCTACCACTGACAATGATACTTCGCCGGCATCCAATGACAGAACAGATGCACCTGTGCTTGATCCAGACACTGGAGAAAACACGACTGGTGGCCCACCTAAGAAACGACCACGACAATCGAGAAAGGCAAAGGCAATAGAAGATGGCGATGTCGTCCCCGGAATCGAAACAGAGAAGCCCAGGAAGAAAGCCCGAAAAACCAAGGATAACCCGTATGGTCTGACACCGGGCGAGACCCCCTACCCTGACTGGCAGAGTCCCAGTGCGCAGCAATGCCAGGAAGTCTATGACATTCTTGTCGGCATGCATGATGATGTGAAGCCGCTGCCACCCCAGAAGATACCCGCACCGTCTCTTGAAGTTGCTGGATGTGGCGAGGTGCCGTCAATTCTGGACGGCTTGATTCGAACTGTCCTAAGCGGCTCCACGACGTTTGACATGGCGGACAAGATGCTGCAAGCTCTTGTCAAGAAATTCGGAGTCTTGGAGGAGGGTGTCGGGAAGGGAAGCGTCAACTGGAACAATGTTCGACTTGCTGAGTATGATGAAGTTTATCAGCAGCTCAAGCCCGGCGGATTGGGCGCCAACAAGGCGAAGAACATCCAGACGATTCTGCAAATGGTCTACGACGAGAACATGGAGCGTCGCGCAGCCTATCTACGAGAGAAGGAGACCGGCATCGCCGCAGATGTGACCGGAGCATCAGACAAGACTGTTGGCCAAAAGGACCTTGAGATCCTCAGAGCTAACCAGGAAATGCTTTCACTCGATCATATGCACAGCATGGAGACCCACGAAGCCATGCTGCACTTTGTTCGCTACCCGGGCGTTGGTGTCAAGACAGCAGCGTGCGTTACCTTGTTCTCTTTGCAGAGACCGTGTTTTGCCGTCGATACACATGTTTTCCGCATGTCCCGATGGCTAGGCTGGGTCCCCCCGAAAACCAACGAGGACAATACCTTCAGTCACCTCGAGGTGCGATGCCCCAACCAGCTCAAGTACGGTCTCCACCAACTGTTCATCCGTCATGGTAAGACATGTCATAGATGCAACGACAAGAGTTTCATGGGCACTGATGCATGGGACGAGGCTGTCTGCCCAATGGAGCATCTTCTCGATCGTTTTACAAAGCGCACGGTCAAGTTGAAAGATATCAAGCCGAAGGAGGAGGTTAAACCTGCCAAGGGTAAAAAGAAGGCCGTTGCAGGAGATGACCAAGGAAGACATGGGGATGATGAAAGTGACGACAAGGGAGCAAAGGACATGGACCAAGCCGAGCTAGAGCTCGGCGACGGGGTTCAAGGCTCTCACAAGGACGATGACGATCAGGAGTCTGAGCTTTCCGAGCTATCTGACTTGGATGAAGGCGGTCTCGACATTGAATCTTTCGAGGGTTGATTGCCCGAGGCTGGAAACACAGCCTAGCGATGATTGAGAACCTTTGACGCCATGTTCAAAGCTGGCGCGACTTGCTTCATGTTATTTAGACTAGGCTACTGCGGCTTGACTTGTACGTACGATCTTCGGTTCATTCACATTATCTCGATGTGCTAGGTGAAGGACCCGTTCACCACTGCTCGTTGTCGTTCGCAAGCATGTCGACGGGGTCTGCTTGCCGTGAAATGACACATTCTAATAGACGAAGCTTCTTGCGTGCATCTGGATGATGGTCCACTTAGCCGTCAGATGTATATCAGCTGGTAGATGCACGCTGAGCTTGACCAGATGGCCCAATCGCCTCTTATCGGCGATATAGCATCGGCGATATAGTTGACTCGACAGACATGAGCAGGAGGACCCTTGCATGGGGACCACACGTCCACCAAGATGTCCGGGTGGGGCTTATCGATAGCAGCAGCCGCCAGTCAGTCACGGTCGCGGTCTATGCACGTCCGAAGTTCCAGGTGCCAATTAACTGACTGACATTTCCGGAATCTTCACACGCGCGCGCGACGGACATCGTCAGAGCGAGCATCGCCGGGTTCCGGAGCCTCACTAACACCCACCGTGTGTGCCCCGTCCGCCGAGAAGTGTGTGCTTTCCTTTTGTACATAGAGCTCCAACCCGGCGGCTGGGTTCCCATTCACCTTCATCAGCGACTGTCTTGCGTTCGCTCTAATGCCAGGCTGCTGGACCTGATCTAGACCTGTATTTCTTTCCTCGGGGGATCAAGTTCCTCCCCTGCCTTTGAACTTGTGCGCGACCTCCACCTCTTCTCTCTGCGAGGGCTGCTCTTTCCTACCGAACTTCGAGGACCTACTCCGAATTTTGTGAGGCGGGCATCATCAGCCACCTAGACCTCAACATCCCAAGTCTCTCTCCACCCTACACGACTCCTCGATTGCGAACGACTTCCCAACTGGCCCCCCTCCTTGCCTCTCCGCCCGGGTGAACGACATGCTCCTTGTCGTTACGACCAGACAGTACAACCATGGCCATCGACTTCCACGCTGGTGGCATTGAGGAAGCCTGCAACCGTTTCCTCGCCCTCCCCCCGGAGGTCCACTTGCTGTGCCCCAAAGTTTCGGAAGACGACGAGGAAGACTACGAAGACCTCTCCGACCCCGGTGAAATTGGGGTGGCGGAGAAGCTACAAAGGCTGCAAGATTTCAGGGATCGTGTCGGCGTCGTATACCAGAGCTCTCTCATCTTCGGATTTGAGGAGGGCACTGCTGGTGACTTGCAGAAGACATTCAGTTTGCGAGTCGGCAGTCTGCTGCAGAGCTGCTCACACTGTGCGCGAACATGGCATCGGAACCGCAGGCCGTTTCTGAAGACCCTCGCCGAGTATGTTTGTCCCTGGTGAATACGTAGTAGCTTACTAACTGGGTACCACGAAAGGATCCACGACGATGCGACCGTCGTCGAGATGAGTCAAAGGCTTGACCGCTTCGACGCTGACCGCATAACGGCCGGCCTCGAAGGTGCCAGAAAATTCATCAACGACCACAACGGCGTTGTCGAGCAGAGGACGTTCATTGAGGAGGACCGCTCCGACCTTCTAGTTGCCCTGTATGAGGCCCTCTGCTGTATGCCTTACCTGAAGCACCCAGAGAACCGGGTCCACTTCGACTATGTTTTCGCGGCAGTACAACAGAAAAGGGCTTTGAAGCTCGCCGAGGTTTTGCCAACCATGACCCGATTCCTGTTCGATGACGATAAGGTCCGTCTTGCTTTTGCCAAGGTTTCATGGCAGAAGATGCCCAAGATCTCGGTCGACGACTTTGAATGGGCTGTCAAGGAAAGTCTCGAGGGGGTTCTGCAACGGGCCACTATCCATGAATTGCCTGAATCCCTGCTCAAAAGCTTATGGGAAGGTGTTGCCATGATCTTGAACGCCCTCGAGCCCGAGAACGTCGACTCGGCTCTTGGCTCCTTGAACCCGCAGCCTAGCATCTATCAGCTAATGCTCAACCACATGAGCACCGAATCAGACGCAAGTCTGGCTGCCGTGCTCAAGGTCTTCAACATGACTCTGCAGAAGGGCCCGAAAGGCTTTTGGAGCTACTTTGCCAGCTATTCACCGGCCTCTGTAGCTGAGGCCGTCTTGGCTAGCCGAGCCTACAAGCCATTGCTGGCGCGAACGCGCGAGTATTCAATCTCTATGCCTGAGGACAAATACTTGAAGGGGCCCGTGGCTGTTGCATGGGTGAAGCCGTTCATTGAATCCATCAACACCACCCAAAAGAGTCACGCATGCGACTCAATCCTGCATCACTTCCTCGACGAAATTGCCGCAGATACCTCTCTTCCCATGGAGGGCCGGCTCGCTTGCTATAGGGCAGCTGCCGAATCACTGCTGACGACGATGAATACATTCCTGGACTCAAGTTACAACCTCTCTGCCGATCAGCCGGCCATCTTCACGAATCGCATATTGAACCTCGTAGTGAAGCATAAAGATGTCCTAATCTTCATGGCAAAATTAGGCAGGCATAACGCTACAATGTCGCGAATGGCAATGTCAGTCATCGGCGCTGCCTTGACGCTGGACTGTCGTCTTACAGCTGCTGAGTACAAGGCCTACGTCGATCAGAAACCGGTCCAGCAGGAGATAATCAAGGACTCGCCCAGTCTCTGGGATGCATTTTTGGAACTGCTCAAGCCTGGTGAGACTGAGTTTGCCGAAACCATGATGCTGGCTATAACCCCATTGATTGCTGTCGAATCGTTACGCCCTACCAAGAAAGAACACCTGTCACAAGTTAAGGAGGACTTCAATGCCAGACTTGGCAAGGTGGCCGATTCTATCAGCAAGATGATTGAGAGCCTCAAGAGCTTTGATTCTTCGGATCTAGAGCGGCTTCTAGACTCTCCTGTGATGAAGGCTGTGGTGGCTGCCATGATACACGGCGAGCGCGCACTAAACAGAGCCGGACAGGGTTTCATCGAGTTCATAACCCTTGAAGCTGGGCGCAGCGATGCCGTATCAGCGCTGCTGAAGTCTCATTTCTCCACACTGTTGACATCCGTCACGGCAGTGCTTGACGAAGGCAAAGACTCTGGATTGTGGTCACCACAGCAGCCTATTCTTCGATATTCTAAAGACCTACTTGACGGTCTCTGCGACCCCTTTGATGGCGTACTCCGAACAAGAGACCTTACCGAGGCGGAACGTTCTACGCTCAAGAAATGGTGGGAAATACAATGGGCCATTATCGACACAGCCTTTGCGCAATTGGACGGCTGGAGCAAGACCGTAGATACGGGGACCATGAAGGAATTCTGCCGTGATACCATGGACCTCGCAGATGCATTTCTCGCTCAAGACGGCCTTATCTCCTCGGCTCTAGGATCCCTGTCGATCAGTGAAAACCTAGATGCGGCTGACGATTCGAAAGACACCGCAATGAAGGCCATCCTCGAGCCCCCTCGCGACAAGTGCAAAGGCATGACTCAGATGCTACGTTTGAAAGACAGATACTTGGTCCAGAAGACGGTAGCTGTCCTCGGAAAGCTCTTGAGACGACTGGTCGAGTTTGACGTTGAAGTGCCACCAGCTGTGCTCAAGTACATCAAAGACACCTGCATCAAGAAGCCAACAGGGAAGTATGAGATTGCTACGAATTTGAATGACCAAGAGCGTGCGGAGCTCCTGCGTGCCGTAGGCGAGGACGAAGATGAAATCCAAATCGTCGATATCAAGAAAGCCGTGGCCCCCAAGAAGCAATCCAGCTTGGATGCGTGGTCCAAGTCGGGAGATGGGTCATCCCGATCGCAGTCGCCGGCGGTCAAGACACCCAGAGATGATGTTCGCGACTTGGCCTCGACTCTAGACAAAAACCGCAGCATCATAGATCAGATGCGAGCCCGTCAGTCCGCATCTACAAAATCTACTGTGAAACCCACATTGTCTAAGCCAGCCTCAAAACCAGCCCCCGCTCGACTTGATGCCGCCAGCCTCGCCAAACTCAAGGCAGACCGTATCAAGGAGCAGGAGGCCAAGAAGAAACGAGACGCTGAGGCGATTGCCAGAGCAAAAGCACTTCGCGCCCCCAAGCCTTTGGTATCAGGCGAAGGCTCTGGCTTACAGGGCCTTACTGGCGTGCTAGGGAAGGACCATGCTCCTCGAGGCGAGATGATGGTAGATTCCTCGTCAGAAGATGAGGGTGATTCGGATGACGATGCAGCCTTTCTGGAGCAAACACAAGCCGGCAAGAAGCGAATAGAAGATGCCTCCCGGCGTGTCATGCAACTCAAGGCGCCCCGTGGTCCCGTTAAGAAGACCAAGATTCAACGGTCTGCCAATGACATGCGGGCGAGACTGACACCCAATATGAACGTGCTTCATCAGGCCATCCTTGACTGGGACATCTTCCACGAGGGCAATGATCCTCCCAACTTGGGCAAATCTTCGAGAGTCTCCACATCATACGGTGATCCGCGTCAGTATAAAGAGACCTTCCTGCCTCTTCTCATTTATGAGGCTTGGAGAGGCTTCGTAACAGACAAAGACGAGACGACGTCTAAGCCGTTTGTTATCAAGATTGCGAACCGCATGAATGTTGATAAATTCATCGATGTCACAACCACGATGCCATTGAAGACCGATTCGAGAGACGAGTTCCTCTCCGAAGGAGACATTGTCCTTCTATCCGTGTCACCCCAGCCTCTGCAGAGCCCTCAAGAGCTCCATTGTCTTGGACGCGTGTCGCGAGCTCAAGTCAAGTTTGGCGCCCGAGAAGTCTCTTACCGCCTCAGTGGCAGAGCCGGGGCCATCATCCAGCTCCTCAACCCGAAGGCAGAGATCTTTGCGGTGAAGATCACTAACATGAGAACAATCGAGCGAGAATTCGCTGCTCTCGAAAGTCTGCAATATTATGATCTGATGCAAGAGGTCTTGGAGGCAAAACCCTCTCCCATGCTCTCCTTTGGCGCAGATGCAGTGAACAAGGTGATGGCCAACTATCGCCTGAATGCCGGACAGGCAAAAGCGATCCTGAACGCAAGGGAGAACGATGCGTTCACGCTGATCCAAGGGTAGGCTTGCCTCTGTTTTGACTGTGCCCTAAGCTAACGTGCAATAGCCCTCCTGGTACGGGTAAAACCAAGACGATTGTGGCGATGGTTGGCGCGCTCTTGACCGGCAATCTGACGTCGACTACTGGTACGGTTATTCAGAAGCCTGGGCCGGCCAGCAACGGCCAGCCTACGTCTAAAAAGCTTCTCGTCTGTGCGCCAAGTAACGCCGCTGTTGACGAGCTGGTTCTCCGTCTGAAAGAAGGAGTCAAGACGATGACAGGGTCTTTCCACAAGATCAATGTTCTGCGTCTTGGCAGATCTGATGCCATCAATGCCGCTGTGAAAGATGTGACGCTAGACGAGCTTGTCCGGCAGCGGATCGATGGAGACGCCGCCCAGAATACTGGCCCGTCTGACCGACAGAAAATGCATGAGGAGGCAGGTCAAATCAAACAAGAACTCTACGAACTGCGGCCGATGCTCGACGCGGCAAAGATTGCTGGCGATAAGCAACGAGAAGACACATTGGGACGACAGTTTGAAGAGCTCCGGCGGCGCCAAAAAGCCGTTGGTGCAAGAATCGATGCGGACAAGGATAAGGGCAACAGTGTCCAGAGGGAGAGCGAGATTCGTCGGCGTCAGGTACAGCAACAAATTCTAGATTCGGCACATGTCCTTTGCTCTACACTAAGCGGAGCCGGTCATGAAATGCTGAAGGGACTCAGCGTGGAGTTTGAGACCGTCATTATCGACGAAGCTGCTCAGTGTGTTGAGCTAAGTGCCCTGATCCCGCTGAAATACGGATGCTCTAAATGTATCCTGGTTGGTGATCCCAAGCAGCTGCCTCCCACGGTGCTCTCGCAATCCGCGCAACGCTACGGGTACGATCAAAGTTTGTTCGTTCGCATGCAGCAAAATTCACCGAAAGACATTCATCTGTTGGACGAGCAATACCGTATGCATCCTGAGATCAGCCGATTCCCTAGTCAAGAATTCTACGAAGGGAAGCTCGCTGATGGTGCGGATATGGCAAAACTGCGCCATCAACCCTGGCATCAAACTGGCCTCCTGGGTCCATATCGGTTCTTCGATGTCAAGGGAAGCCAGGAGAGGGGCCGGAAGGGCCAGTCACTCATCAATTACGAGGAGTTGAAGGTTGCGCTCCAGCTGTACCAGAGATTCAAGTTTGACAACCCTAGACTTGACCTCAAGGGCAAGATCGGTATAATCACGCCTTACAAAGCGCAATTGTATCAGCTTCGGGAGCAGTTTGCAGCCAAATTCGGCCCCAGCATCTCGGAAGAGATTGAGTTCAACACAACAGACGCTTTTCAAGGCCGGGAGTGCGAAATTATCATCTTCTCTTGCGTCCGTGCTAGCCCCACAGGTGGTATTGGTTTCATGACCGATATCAGACGTATGAACGTCGGTTTGACTCGTGCCAAGTCCTCGCTTTGGATTCTGGGCGATTCTCGTGCCCTTGTCCAGGGTGAGTTCTGGAACAAGCTCATCGAGGACGCCAAAGCTAGAGCCCTGTATACTACTGGCAATATCTTGGCTCAACTCACTCAGCCTGGCGCCAAACTTCCGCCGCCGGACTTCAGCAACATGAGTTCTCCTCGAACACCTGCCTCGGAGCCTGACTTGATGGAAGTAGACGAGGTGGATATGAGGGACGCGCCTGCAAAGCCTACTTCGTTCTCCAAGAAAGCTACACAGTTGCCGGAAACGTACACCATCATAGAGCGGCCAGGACCTCCAGCAGGAGCCATGCCCTCAGCTTACGCTGGTATCAACGAGCGTGGAGAACCAGTCACAGGTCCGACAACGTCGCCAGACCGTCCGATCATCCACTCCAGCGGTTCAAAGAGGCCCCGTGACGATTCGGGCGATGGCGGGCAACCCGCTAAGAGAGTATGTAAAGCGCTTGAGCAATTTGGGGCCCGAGATTCGCTAACAACAACACAGAAATCGAGTGGGTTCTTGCCAGGCAAAACTGCGCCTAGCAGACCGAAGGCGATGCCCAGACCGACGGATCCTTCGGCGATGTCTGTCCTGGGTATTCCGGGCCAATCCAACGGCAGCAAGCCACCTCCTTCACACCCAGCGAATGCTCCAAAGGTGCGTCAGGGAAACAAAAATCACAGCATATCTCTAGTAGCTAATGCACAAGCAGGGTCCCCGGGCGAGCAGGCCTAATCCGATGATCCCACCGAAGAAGAAACCGGCAAATCCCTTCATCACCAAGAAGCCGAACCCGCCTCGCTGATTTTAAAGACCCACGATCTCCGATACGATTTGTTGCCACAGAGTAGCGAGTTAAATGCCATCGAAGACACATGTTTCTTTCTCATCAAATGCAGCATAGAAGACATAGAATTCAGCATTGGTCAGGCGTTGATATTGGGAACTTTGACACAGCCATCGAATTTGCGAGCGGATCGAAGTAAGCATGGAGGCGGTCAGCATTGCGAATCCTGACAATGTGTCATGATGTATAATTAAGATGGCTAGGACAGGCGTTCCGACATCATCGGCGGTGTTTTTAACTGCACCGATTGTGTCTACTGATTGACACCAGACCCAGAGAAACCGAGGACAACATTACGATGCCTCGGCGGCTTTGAGAAATATGGCACCCCGCAACTTTTGTGCTGGCCTCTTCAGCCCGCAAGCATAGCATAAGCCCGTAGCCTTTTGGTCTGATTTCGAGGACCAGCTGATGAGATGGCGCCACTAGCATCGCCAGGAGTTGTTCTCACTGGGATGTTGGGTTTCTTCATTGCAGTGACCATGTGAAGCGATAATCATGACATGCTAGTCCTGAAGTGGTCTGTTGCCCAAATACCCGCGGTAAGCTGTGGCAGTGGGAAGAGCACGTCTTCGACGGCAGAGCTTGACGGCGTGTCACTCGTTGGCTCTACCGTGTTCACGACAAGAGCCTTCTACTTGAAGTGGAATGCCTTTATTGGTATTGCAACCAGTGCCTAAATGTACAAATCTCCGTCAAACGTTCTCCTCCCATGTAACCAGGCATTCTGCCTGTTCTTAGTTCCCGAAGCACCTTCTTAGACTGGTACATACCGCCGAACATCGCCAGATTTGCCGCATGATATGCATCCTCCTTATCCCTACAGTAATGCAAATTCCTCGTTCTCCGGTCCTTTGCCCTCTTGAGTCTGGTCCTCGTTGGTTGCCGGCTCTTCTGTCGTTGATACGTCTCTGATGACAGGTTGAATGATAGTCTCTCCCGGTGGGCCGCGCTCCCCCTGCGGCCCGGGCTCTCCCTGGGGACCCATCGCCCCCGGAGGACCCACAAGACCGGGAGAGCCGGGTTCCCCCTGCGGCCCGGCCTCGCCCTGCGGCCCGAGCTTGCCCGGCGGCCCGCGTTCCCCCGCGGGGCCGCGTTCGCCGCGCGGGCCCCGGTTCCCCTTGTCGCCCTTCTGGCCCAGCGTGGCCTTGTCGCGCAGCTGCGCCTCGAGGTCCCGCGTCTTGCGCTCCAGCTCGTCCACCTTGGCCGCGTCGGGCGCCGCCCGCCCGACCGCCGTCCGCAGCCGCTCCAGCTCCCGCGCCACCTGCTGGAAGAAGGACTTGTCGCGCGCCGCGTGCGCCTCGACCGCCCGCACCTTCTGCGCCAGCGCGTCCGCGGCACCCGGCGTGTCCTGCGACCGGCGGGCCGCGACCTTCAGGCTCTCGAGCTCCTGGGTCAGGTCCTCGTGCAGCGAGTGCTCTCGCTCCGTCTTGATCTCGACGTCGTGCAGCTTCTGGTCCAGCGTGTCGAGTCTGGATGTGTCCTGGGGCTTGTTGACGAGGTGCTGCAGCCGCTCCAGCTGCTGTGCCAGGTCCTCGTTGACTGAGTGTTCACGCTCAGTTTGGGCTTGGACATCGTGGAGCTTTTGGTCCAGGGTGTCGACCCTCGATGCATCCTGCGGCTTATTGATTGCGTTCTTGAGTCTCTCAAGCTCCCTGGTTATTTTCTGGTGGAAGGACTCTTCGCGCGCGGTATGTGCTTCAACGTCTCGGATCTTCGTGTCCAGGGTGTCAACCCTCGAGGTATCTGGGGGCTTGGTCGTCTCGGTCTTCAGCACCTCAAATCTCTTACTCAGGTCCCGGTGAAGAGAGTCCATCTCATCGGCGTGGGCCTTGACCTCTTGGATCTGTTTCTCTAGGCGTGCAGCCTTTGGCTCATCTTGGGACTTGGCCGCCTCATTCTTCAGCGTTTCGAACTTTTCGGTCAAACTCTGGTGAAAAGAATCCACCTCATCGGCGTGGGCCTTGACCTCTTGGAGTTTTTCCTCTAGGCGGTCGGCCTTGGGCTCATCCCGAGACTTATTCGCGTTCTGCTTCAACTTCTCGAACTCTCGGCTCAAAACTCTGTAGAAAGAATCCTTCTCCCTACTTTGGGCCTGAACTTCTTTGACCTGTTGTCCCAGGTAGTCAAGCTTGGAGGTATCTTCGTGTTTGTTGGATTCTGCCCGCAGCTTGTCGAACTCTCTGGCGAGGTCCTGATACATGGCCTCTTTCTCTTCTTTCTTGACCCGAATCTCTCGGATCTCTTTCTCGAAAGCGTCGGCCTTGGAATCAAAGCCGTGCGTAGCGTCGTCAAGCTTCTTGATATCGTCTCTCATGTCAGCGACTTCATGTTGAAGCGTTTCGATTGTCCCATATTTACTCTTCTTTCCTTTACCCTTGTCAGTCGCGGCTGATGAACCGACATCTTTATCCCCCTCCGGAGCGCTCTGCCACGCCCCTGGAATATCTCCTGTCAGAGGCTCCTCCAGCCCGGGATCAAGAGAGCTCCTGCCGCTGATCGAAGAGAAATACTGATTGCTCGCATCTCCGGCATCATCACTACCACTATCAGCGGCAGTCTGACGTTGCTTTCCCTTTCTATCTCGCACGTATTGATCAGAGTTACTGTGGCGACGCTCCGCCTTGTTACGAGTTCCCCTCTTACTTTCCGCCATCCCTTGAAAATGTCTAAGGATCGACCGGCGTTCAGAATGGCTGGTGCTCGCAGCATGAGTCTTGGACCTCCTGAGGTTACTTTCCGTTAGATGTAAAGGTGCCGGCCTATGCTTATGCCGCATGTCACGGACAGATGTGTGCGAACCAGCTTCTCGTTCAGGCTCTCCACCGTGAGAGAGGTCAGCAGAAGAGCGCGGCCTCCTCCTCGATGAGGTCGAAGTAGCTTCGGTTACAGATTGACGTAGCTGATGCCTGCTATCCTCCTCCAGAAACCTGCTGAGGCCCTCCATTAAGGGGAGCATAGAGCGAACCCAGACGTCGCCATTTCGCTCCAGGCGGCGAAGGCGCTTCTCCATATCGTGCACACGTGCCTCTTTCAGCTGTTCATAGCGCTGGAGAAGCTCCTGGCGCGAAAGCTGCTCGCCATCCCCACGCTCCGCCATTCGTGCTTCAGCGGCGTATCGTGCAGCGCGAGCCTGCTGAGCCTCACGTTCTGCGCGCTGCTCTATCCGGCGATAGTAGGCCGCGTGATCGAAGAGAACGAGAGACGAGGAGGAGGTCGAGGAGTTGGTAGCCAAGCTTCTCAAAGAATCTGATGACACGCGCTTTGCCGGACTCGTGAATCCGGTGGATGAGATACCCTGCGGCGGTGGTTGACCTACTGCCGATACGCGAAGATGTGATAAATTTGGCTTTCTTGACAATGGTGGCGAGGCATTCCTTGAAATACTCGGCGTTCGAGATCTGTGAGCGCTGTGGATAGTATCTTGATCCTGGTGACGAACATTGTCCGCAGACCCTTCGAGCATCTTAGATCGTATATCGCTGATGTCCTTCTCTTTCCGCTGACGTATACGTTCTTTACGCGCTGTGCGGTTCCGACTGACAGACTGTGCCGAGATATCTGTCTGAGCCCCGCGACTGACCATGCCCTTTGAAGAAGAGGGTCGTGAGGTAGGTGGCATAGGGAATTTGAAGCGTTTGAGCGACCCCGACTGTGAAGGCGGTCTCACGACAATGGGGATTGAATGATATGCCTTGGCAGTCTCTGCCTCCATAACCTTTGGCTCGGACGCTACTGTACCGACGCTTTCTGCAACGGAGCCTCGTGCTCTCTCATGCCCGAAAGTCTGGTCAGGACCGCTTGTACTACCATTTTCAGAAGCGGAAGAGCTCTTGTGTGAGGACCCCGGACTCAACAAGTTGTCAATTGTCTCGGCTGTTTCCTGAGATGTCCTCGCATTTTTACTCGACCTTCTCACCGGTAGCGAGAATCTGATCGTGGGAGGATTTGAGGATAGGCCACTTGAGGAGCTGACGTCCCGAGTATGGCCCACTTCGTGGGTATGGCCCGTCCATTGCTCTGCTGGCTGCTGATGGCTTTCGTTTGCCGTTCTATCCGCTTCCGGCTGTGTTGAAGGTGGCAAGACTACAACTGGCTGCCGAAACTTAGAAGAGAGGGATCCGGCAGCAACAAGCCCGGCCCTAACTTCGTCTTGTTGGGATTCAGCCACCCCTTCTCCAGGGCCCCTTATCATCCCTGGTTGTGTCGTTCCACCGAAGGAGAACCGCCTCTCGTCATGTCTCTCGTCATTCGCCGAACTAACCGACCCCCTGGTCCGCGGGGGTGCTCGAAGCGACGTTGATCGGTCCGGGATGGACGACTTTGGCGATAGCGATGGAGGCAATGATATAAAAGACTCGCGGTCTTCGGCCACCGGCCCGAGTCTGGTTCCTACTACAGCCCGATCAGAGCTGTACGACCTCATGGAACCAAACTTGGACCGGAGCTCAGAGTCTGGTTCAACTGCAGGTGAGAGCTCCCGATCTTTATCCTCTGCGTCTGGAACACGGGACGGTTCATCTGGACCAAAGTATGAATGCTCAAGGGGGATGGAGATAGCAATGTGTCGGTGGCCGTCAATGGTCGTGGCAGCAATCGCCGAGTCTGGAAGCCGAATGACGGGAGGGCGGTGCTTAGTCTTTCTTTGGCTCCCTTTCCGGCGTAAGCTGCCGAGTGTGGTAAACTTCTTTCGCCACTTGTTATCTTCTGAAGAGGAGCTGCTGAAGCTGTCGGGGATGGACATTCGGTTGTTCTGTGGAGGTGGCGTTCTTCGCAGAAAGTCCACCAGGTACTGCAGACTCTCTTCGCCTCTACTGGCGCCAGACATCCTGTCCTCTCTAGTATCCGGGTGTAAGACGGCATGGTGAAGAAACCCGCCAGGTTGTGCATCTGGAAGCGACTCCGAAAACCGCGAAAGCCGCGTGTGCATCGCGGACATACTCTGTACTATGATTATTACGGATGGTAGAGAGAACTTGAAATGGTCTTTTGGTAGCTCATTAGTATGTATGACGGCTTCGCGGTGTTAGTCATTGCCGAGCTCGTCGAAGCTTCCCTTCTAATTGTTGGGGATATTCAAGGATCCCCTTTCCAACCAGTGCCGCATGCAAACTCAATCCCACTTTATGACGTTGCCATATCAGCCTTTCCTGTAAAACCTTGACTCAGGCATCCTTCACGACAAGTACGACGCGCGAGGTGCTTCTGCGCGAGATGCAAGATTCGGGAAGTCTATAGGATGAGATAAGCAAGATGAAGCCAGGATGGTATCTCGTATGTGCGACATCCATGCATGGCACCAGAACATGGCATGCGCGTTAGAGAATCAAACAATATGATCAGAATTTCAGGCTGAACCGAAAGGTAGAAAGGCCTGGAGGGATTACCTCCAGCGAAAGCTGTCATTATAAGGGAGAAAGGTCTCGTAGACTCAATAGGAGGTCTCAACCTCATTCTACCCATTTTGGGTATAGCGAGGGTGCCATAAGAAGATCCAGAGACAGACTATGAGCTGCACTGACTGGGGATATATGCCGAGCTAAGGTAGATATCAACAGCCTAGAACAAGACGAACCAGATAGCCTCTGATGCCTCCTGTTGTGCCAGAGATCTTGAGTAGACAATTCAAACTAGCTTGAGTGCGGTTCCGAATGTAGCGGGCATTTTGAAGCCGGCGTCAAAGTTTAGTCGCCGTTGGGCTCGCATCATGGCGAGGCGTCAAACCATGAATGCTACGGGAGCGTTGCCTCGGCCGACAGTTCGCTGCATGGCAGATACCTAAAGACGGTGTTCCACGTGGTACTAAGAGTTGCTTTTGTTTTGCAGCTATCCTGGCGTGTCCAGTAGCAGTTAGCGGGCAATGGAAAAGCATGCAAAACGTTCATCTCATGTCTCAATTTCTAGCATGCTTTTAGCTGCACTTAAAACGCCACAGGCCATGCTTCAGACATCTGTCGTGAGCAGTGGCCACAATGCAGACCCTTCTGCTTCAGGTAGCTTAGAGGCACCTTCGATGCGCAAAATGGACCAGGCTGGAACGAGAAGTAATCTTGCAAGGTCGCGTATCAATGGTGGTGAATGTTGAGCCGCTGTCAGCCCAATGCGATGCGAATGGTTGGCAGCTGACCAGTCACCGTGACATACGCAAACGCAATAGAAAGAGTGATAGTATCGCGAATGACAAGGATTTGGTAACACTGCATACAGTTTACAGCCGCCGCAGTCTGGGTTGCCAACGTATGGGTAACTTGATAAGGAGCCCTGATACAATAATTAAAGGTAGGGCATCGTGACTTGGAAATGGGTTACCCCAAGCTTTGCGGACATTGTGGGGTCGGTCCGCGCCAAACCACCGTTGAGTGTTTTTGCCTCTAAGCCTTTCGTAGAAATACCCAAGAGTACCGTGTCATAGTTATCAAAAAAGTGTAGTGCTGAATTCCAAATATTTGGGCAAGACCATCACATGAGCCTCAACAGTTATAACTTATTATCCATGGGGGCCATATGGATGGTTTACACATGACAAGGAGCAAGCTTCTAGACCAATGGCATGGTATTTTGCACTAGATATCTCGCTCACAATCGGGGGGTTGGCAAGATTGATTTGCTTGACCTAGATCCATGCGATATAATTCATAATTATTCGACTACTCCAACTGTCAACTTATATAACCCATACATCACTCACGGTTAGATGTACCCTTAGCCTCCGCTGTTCCATTCGCAATTACCGGCATCGGTATCGCGCCTCCGGGTGAATCCGCCTTTGCGGCAGTCAAGACCTCGACGCCTGTCTCTGTGACAAGCAACGTGTGTTCTATAATTCATGTTAGCATAGTTTCGTATACCCGACACTTTGCATAAGTACCAAATTGAGCAGTTCGTTTGCCATCAGCAGTTACATTGGTCCAGTTATCTGGCCAATACACCTCCCGAGGTTTCCCTAGTGCAAGTATAGGCTCTATGGTGAAGCACATGCCGACTTTACACACTCCCACGGCCTTGTTCTTGGCGTAATGAGGTATCCACGGCGGGGGATGAAACTCGGTGTTGATACCGTGGCCACCCCAATTTGCGACGACCGCGCAGCCTCTAGACTTTGCATGGTCCTCAATGACCCGGCCAAAGTCTCGAATTGGCGTGCCGGGTTTCACGAGCGCAATTGCTTTGTCCAAGCATTCCCGTGTTGTTTCGATGATTCGCACTGAATCTGGGTCCGCCTTGGCTCGTTCACCCACATAGTATGTTTCGTTGAGATCAGCGTGATAACCTCCGTGATACAGCGAGATATCCAGGTTGATGATATCGCCGTCGAGAAGGATGCGCTGGTCGGGAATCCCGTGGCAAACCACTTCGTTTGGAGAAGTACAGAGTGATTTGGGAAAGTGATTGTAGTTCAAGGGTGAAGGATACGACTGGCAATGTCAGCACACATTCAACACTATCTCCGAGGAGGGTGCCACTCACGTCCCGCTCTACACAAGCGTTATGGCAAATCTCGTCAAGGTAGTCTGTAGTAATTCCGGGCCTGATCTCGGCGGCGGTAATATCCAGGACCTCGCGAGCTAATCTACAAACCTTTCGCATTGCCTCTTGACCTTTGGCATGGAGAATGTCGATTTTTGTCCTGTGCAAGCGCTGTTCGCCTTTTGGTATTCCAGTCTCCGCCCAGTCGGGGCGTTTTATCGACTTGGGAAGTGTGCGCCTTGCAGAAAGCGGATAGACAGGTCGAATTGTCCCCGGGAATGAGAAGCCCGGGAAAGGATTGTATGGCCCGGTACCTGGGTCGGAGTCAGATTCAAACCTTCGATATGTGATGTTGTGGATCTTACCAGTCTGTGCTTTGCCTTGCGCAAATTTGTGAATGGTTTTATGTTGGTTCTGCAGCCATTAGTTACAAGTCACGACAGTAGTCCAATACAAAAACCAACCCAGTTCCGCTTGAAACAGTCCTGGGAGCAGAAATAGCTGTCCTTTACGCCGATTTTGAGACATGTCGGGCATTGCAAAGTTCCAGCATCATTCCCACAGTCTGCCCCCAGGCATTTCCCCTTGGACGGCAGATCTGATGCATTGTCCGCCATGTCAGAGGGGTATTCGCAAATAGCGTGGGATGTGGCTAGCCAGAACAAGAAAACCTTGCAATTGTGGTGTAGAAAAGCAGCCTCGCTGGGAATTTTATAGTGTACAAAGTTTCACGATCTATTACATGAAATTTGACCGTAGGCTAGTAATATATAGGCTTAGCTTGATTGCCGTTTGCCCCACCTGCCGCCCTTTAGACGACAAGTGTACCAAATTACAGTGCTAGGTGTGTACGTACTGTCGGGGTGGTCTGTGCCCAGTCGCTGCCCCGGGAATTGCTTCATACGCCGCCGAGCCCAGAAACTCGATATGGAAGCAAACCGGACCTGGCACGAGCCTGTGGTCGAGGTCTACTCGAACCTCATCACGCCCGGCGTCTGTTGCTCTGCAGCAGCTTACGACTTGGCCAATCGCCGATGGTATCAGTTCAATGCTGGAGATCCGGCAGTGCGGGATGCCGGTTGGCGCCACGATACGCGACTAGATGAGGTGCCTGACGACGAGTGCTCAGCTCGATGGTCGAGAAGCATATCAAGGCACACTACCGCTCGACAGCCACTCTTCCTCCCTGGAACACAATCAACACGAACTCGAGCGGCCTCCCGGTCACTTTCGAACTCTCCGAGGAAGCCCTAGTCCGCAGGCCAATTTTGGAGAGATTCAGCTACTGATATAAGCCTTCCGACAAGCTTCCGACAACCAGGTTTAAGCAGCTACACGAGAAGAAGTGTCTCAGTCGAGGTGCCGACTACTGTCTCTAGCATGGCAGAAAATGTGTCTTCAAGCGTATCGAGTTCGATTGCGGCGTCGAATCGCACGAGAACGAGATTCGTACTAGGGAAGCCATTATTCGGTGTGTCGAGGGAGATCCGAGGATCCGAACTACGTGATGGAGAACCGATTTAACGTCGTGCCTATCCTCGCTGTGGTCTTGCACGACGAGACAAGTGACTGGATCGTCTCAAATCAGGCTGCCAACGTGGATTATCTGCATGATGAAGATACCAAACATCATAGTCATCAGATCGCTGGATTTCTCATGCCGTACGTAGGTCCCAGTCTTGAACTGTGGGGTACGCCGACCACCGATTCCGATAGACTTGGACCTATGACCTCGACTTATCCCGCGATGGACTCCTTATCGACCACGACAAATCTACCTATCAGCGAGGAACAACTTCTGGATCTCGTTTGCGGTATACACAAGCTCTCAAAATGCGGCATTGTTCATGGGGATATCTGTAATTGGAACGTCGTCCTCACACAGCCAGTTTTGCAGACTGCGAGGCTGCTCTTGATCGATATGGGAGATATAGCGCCTGGCTACGAAGGTGATGCAGATGCATTGGGAAACTTGCTTCTCTGGTGCTTGGAACATTCGGCCGAGTTGAAGGATACTGCTGCGACGAGGAAGGGACTGTGATCGCCGCGGCATTGTTGAAGGGGGGATATCTAGACCACGCTATCGGAGTATTATCGCCGGGCAAGAGGAAGGATAGTGTCAAAAGGCGACCTATTTCTACCAAGCAAGAAGTCAAGAGGAGACGGCTCTCAATCGAGGATTCTGCCTAGCCCTTTAATATACCTCATGGGAAACTGTTTTATATATACCTCGCGAGGGCGTCGCCGGGATGACCCGGACTTCTACCTCACCTCTCATGCAGGAGAACCGAGGCAGAATTGAGACAGAGACAGAGACAGAGGCTGGCTTCCTAGAGACGGGAACTTGACGGAGCTCGCCGGGCTTTCGTTTGTTTCCATGAGAGGATCGGGGATGGGTTGCAAGAAGATGTGCCTTTAGTCACCCTTCAAATGGGTTCCGAAACTTGCTTCACTTATGTTTGGAAGTCGACCGCCCTCATGTTTAGTAGCGACTACATTCTGGTAGCGTGGTCTAAGTTAAACTCTGCGAATCTAGATACATAAGTAGTTATTGTTAGTTGAGCAAATGCCTTCTGCTAGCCCCATTTAACGGTATACTCGAGACTGGCACGCGACAGTATACTACGAGGGTCCGCGGCTTTTTCCTTTTTCTTTAGATTTGCGACCAGGTGATCCTTAATGCTGTGGTCAAGATGTAGCCTACTAGAAGCCGCCTTATATGTTTGCGGGCTCGAGGCAATCAAGATAAGTCACACAGCAACGCGTAAAGTAAAGCCCTGCCCGTAAGGTGGAAGGTGAGTCGGATATTGAAGGCGTAAAGTGTAACGAATGGAGCATAATATGGGTTAGGATCGAACATAGTCTTGGGATGAATACATTCATAAGACGGCGAGACTGGTATGATGAGGGTCAGTGGTATGACTATTCAGTCATCTTTGCCGCGTGGGGATATAAAAGAATGGATGAACTCTCCTTAGATTGTCATGCATAATAGAATCAGGAAGGTATTCACATTGTTGGAAATAGTCCTTATCACGGGCTGCACGCCATGATGGCATAGTAAGAGAGAAAGCCTTACAAGACATGGATTTAAGACACCAGTACATTTTTTGTCGAAGCGCTCAGTCAGCCAATGATACTTACACTGCTGTAAATTGATACTCATAACTTATTCTGGGTATTTTGCTTATATTGGGATCAGTCATTACCGTGGTCTACGACATGAGTTTATAGTGTCGGATGGAGGATCCCGGCCCGAGTGGGGCCATCCGGGGAAATACTCGGGGGGAGATTGCTACCCCAGAAACTGCCAGGGTCTGCACGAAAACATTACCGCGAATGGCATCGTGAGCCACACCTCATCCGCGCCAGAAGGGATTACCAACCCAATCTAGCGTGGCTTAAATGGCGTGATCCCGGTGTCTGTGTGGAATGAAAACATTTTAAAGATGTGAGCAACTGTTCATCAGCGCTGGTGCATCTTGTTACCAATTTGTTCCAGTGAGTCAGTCGCGTGCCAAGCTGCCAAGATGCACAGCTTCAGAGGTGCTTTGATTCTGGGAGCACTGCCATATCTCGCCACATCCATCGCAATTGAAGGGCGGCAGTCTCAAGACACCAGCATCTCGAATGGCGCGCCTGTAGTAAGCCTGACAAACGGGACTTATAATGGTCGTTACAGCGCCGAGTATGACCAGGACTTCTTCCTGGGGATACCTTTCGCACAACCTCCGGTTGGTTCGCTTCGCTTTGTCGCGCCTCAACCTTTGAACTCGACCTTTGATACCCGCAACGCCACCGAGTACGGTCCCGAGTGCATCGGATACGGGTTCGATCAGTGGATCTTAGGCAACTATATAAGTGAAGATTGCCTTACTCTTAACGTTGTGCGTCCGGAGGGTACAGTTGAAGGCGACGACCTTCCAGTGGCAGTCTGGATCCATGGCGGTGTAGGTTGAACCCTCTAAGAGGAAAATATATAAGCTGACGATTTGAGTGACGAAGACCTTTAAAGTTGGTGGTGGTTTCGATCCCCGCTACAATCTCTCTTTCATTGTGGAACAATCCGTGAAGCAGGGCACGCCAATGATAGCCGTGAGCATCCAGTACCGTCTGTCCAATTGGGGCTGGATGTTCAGTCAAGAATTGTCAGATGCTGGAGCTGGAAACCTGGGCCTTAGAGACCAAAGACTCGCATTGCAGTGGGTACAGGAAAACATTGGTGCATTTGGCGGCAGTAGGTCCAAGGTGACGGTCTGGGGAGAGTCAGCGGGTGCTTTCTCCATTGGGTACCATCTTATGGCCTACGGCGGAAGGGATGATGGCTTGTTCAGCCAGGCCATCCTGCAAAGCGGTTCTTCGGCGGCTGTGAAACTCACCAATGCGTCGCAATGGCAACCATACTTTGATGCCGTCGTCAAAGATGTCGGCTGTAACAAGACAGCATCAGTACTCGGTTGCTTACGCGAGCTCCCGTGGGAAACATTGAACAACGTATTCAACTCCACCACCTTTCCCTTTGCTATACCAGGTATTGGTGCGCATATCGATGGGGATGTGATATCTGACCAAGGTCATACACCGCTACGTACCGGAAACTTCGTCAAGGTACCCATGCTTATGGGAATCAACACAGATGAAGGAGCCTCATTTGCAACACAGGGCATTAATACCGAAGATCAATTTGTCAGTTTCATCCGCGGTACAGGCGTCAACTCCACCATCGCGAATGAAACCGCTAGACTTTACCCAGATGTACCTGATCTTGGTCTGCCAGCGACGCTTAAGGGGCGACCTGAGGCTTCTCCTTGGGGCCTGCAATGGAAGAGGATGGTCGCATTTTACGGCGACGTTCTCTTCCACTCCGGCCGACGCTTGATGGCCGACGCTTGCGCCCGCGCAGGATTACCCGTTTATTCGTACCGCTTCAATGTGCTTGTGAATGGGAATCTAGCCCAGCAAGGGGCAAACCACTTCAAAGACGTAGGATTTGTTTTCCACAATACGCGTGGCGATGGCTATGGCTTCCCAGGCGGCTTGGCCAACCCATTTGGTGGCAAGGGCCCCGAGTACTATGAGTTGTCCGACATCATGAGTGGATTGTGGATAGCATTTATAACAAGCGGCAACCCGAATAACTACAAATTTAGTAAGTACTACTTCATCCTAGAAGCACCATACGGTGCCTCCATTATGCATCCTATATCTGACCAAAATACCACTAACACGTTCTACGCAGACTCTCCATGTCTCAAATGGCCCTTATATGAGCTGGAGAGTCCTAAAAATTTGGTGTTTGATGTAAATGTAACCAATTTGCTGTATCAGGAGCGCGATGATTATAGACAGCGCGAGATCTCGTATATAAATGACGTGTGGCATCCGTGAGCGGTGGACGGAAGAATGGTCCCCGATGGTCTACAGCGTAGCTACGAGGCACAGACATAGCGTTGTTACTTTTTACAGCCATGAATTGCGGCCTAAGTGATACAATACCTGTGTGGGCTGCAATCTGTACCACTCTTTCCCTTGCAGTGCAGCTATGTGTAGCCTACTCCCGTCACCACCCTACGAGGAAGCCGATAACCCCGTCGCTATGCATCTAGAAAGTCAGCTTGAGCCACGACGATACAAGTGCGGTGGCACTCGAGGGATCGAAGTTTACCAAACATAATATGATCAAAGGGGTTTTACGCGATGTGAACTAACCTACACATATGTTCTAAAATTGCAGATTATCTAATCCTGTGATGTGATAAAATTTTGATTTTTTTTTGGAAAACATTTGTCGTGATGCACTTCTACACAACCTTCAAAGGCCGATATCAATGTAGTCGAAACCGTGCAGCCACAGGGTATTGTAGATTGTTCAACCTTCCACCAATATTATCTTTCTAGATCAAGCGACAGCGCAACCGATGTCCGGGCAGGAAGACGCAGACAGTGCGAGCAGACTACTCAACATTTCCTACCCTCGTGACTCCGTGGGTATCATGAGACGCATCCATTCCTTTACCACTTGGGATTTCTGTTTTGCAATTTTGAGGTGACTTCGACTGCCGAATGGATTCTAGTCACGAGTGAACACGGGCTTGTTCAAGTCGTCAAGCCTCTCATTCGCTTGTTGCTCTTCGAGAAGACGCTCGGCATTTCGTCTTGCTGCCGGGGCCCAGATAGATCCATTGAAAATAAGCTCAATGCTTTCTAGGGGAAAACCTTTTGTCTCCGGAATGAAGCAGTAAACAATGATAGTCGAGATAAAGATGCAGCTGCCGAAGAAGTAGAACACGCCGTACTTGATGGAATCAATCATATACGGCACCGCATATATGACAATAAATTGTGATATCCATTGAGCACTGACTGTGACCAGCATAGCCAGGCCACGAATATTAGTGGGGAAGATTTCCGCAGCAAAAATCCAGGGCTAATAATCCGTCAGATAATGTCATCCAAAAGTCGAATGCACAAACAAACTACTCACCATAGCATTCCACGAGAATGAATAACTGGCAGCATAGATATAGATAGCTATGATGGCAACATAGGCTCCGGCGTCCTTGCTAGCGAGACCGTCAAACGAGTGGCTTACGTAGGAGTAACTGCCAAGGTAGAACATGCAAAAGAAAGAGATGGATCCCCCAGTCAGCAAGGCTGGTCGTCTTCCCCAGGCATCAACAAGCCACATGATGAAAACCAAGGTGAAAATGGTTTTGATGATACCATAGACTCCGGTAGCGAGTAGTCCGGTACTAGTTCCCGTAAACCCGATGGATTTGAAGATGGAAGGGGAGGAATAATTCAATGCATTGACACTGTCTTGGTTAGTAAGAGCATGAGGGCAGATTTCATTGGGTGAATCGGAGCGGAAGGTATTTACCCAGCAAAGTTTTGCATAAACTTCATCGCCACAGCAAGAATCACTCGACCTCTGATTCCCTTGGACCATAGCTCCGACCATTGAGATTTCCAGGAACGTTCCCCACGACCAGTAGATGATTCGGTCTCAACTTGAAGTCGCATCTCGGCGAGCTCCTTCTGAACATAAGGGTGGTTTTCAGGCAGGTTGCGAACCCAAGCCAAGTTCTTGAGTGCTTTCTCATATTTACCCTTCTTGACCAGCCAACGTGGCGTTTCGATCGCCCAAAGCATAGACAAGACAAGCAAACCAGCAGGAATTAGTTGAACAGCGAAAGGGATCTGCCATTGGGCCGGTGTTGACGGCAAGTTCGCATTAATGCCGTAGTTGATCCAGAAGCCAATGAGCGAAGCCAGCTGAAGCGCAACCTCGAACACGCCAATGCAGCGGCCACGGATCGGTGCTGGGGCCGACTCAGCAATGTAGATTGGAACTACCATGGCGCTGCCACCAACGCCGAGCCCCGTCAAAGCCCTGCCTCCGTACATCATGCCCAGACTGCCCGCAGACGCTGTCTGAATGGCAGCACCAATCATAAAGACAAGGCCGCAAGTAATCAGGTTGATGCGCCGCCCCAGTTTCTCGGAAATTGGAAACGCGAAAAGGGAGCCAAAGAAGCACCCTGCCTGGAAGGTACCAACAATATTTGAAGATAGTTGTGTAACTGTATTCGCGTTCAATCCAAATGAAGCCTTGAAAGACGCAAGGCTGAGCGTTCCGCCAATGAAGGCGCTGTCATAACCAAACATCGCAGAGGCCTAGATTCGTCAGCTACATTTCCGCGTCAAGCCTTAGGTTTCGATGGTATGTTTCCTTATGCTGTCCATCTGAACTTACCCATGCCGCCGCTGCAGACACAGCGTAGATGCGCCATCCGTAAGCTTCGTGGGGTACTGGATTATTGGGATCCTCCCTTATCCTGAAAGGGTTACCCATACTGTGTAGCTGGAGGGAATCTCGAAGGTCTGCGTTCCAGTCGATATGAAAGCTAGGTGTGCTCAGGCCTGAACGTCCAATTTCCCACTGCGAAGGCTTTTGCCTTGTATTGACCCAAGGAGGATCAAGGGCCCACCTGTGTATAGGTAGAGGGCCCACAATATACCAAGCTCGTGATCTGTGCCAGAATGGCGTTATCACGCCGGCTTAGTATACTAGCGGGGAAGCGGACCTAGAAATCAGCACCGACGGCACCGGAGCAGTGGTTTCCGGTGTTTTCAGGGTTTCCACGGAAAGTCGGAAGTCGGCCGACAAACCGACCAGGGATTATTACCTTCAGGCACTATATCTTGCATACGCAGAGGACAAAAATTCTCAATGGCCATTTTCTGAACCCTGAACAACTAGCCCGGAAGTTGATAGCCGAACAAGTTTCCCTGGCCATCTGGCAAACATGGCGGCACCACGACCCAACGTTCTCATCATTCTCGCCGATGATCTCGGTTTCTCCGATGTCGGGGCTTTCGGCGGTGAAATTGAGACGCCGAATATCGACAGGCTTGCACAAGAGGGATTGCGCCTGACTGAATTCCACACAGCGTCGGCATGCTCGCCCACAAGGGCTATGCTCTTGTCCGGTGAGTGCTCGACGGCTTATCTGCCGTGTACTCACCGAGCCGTGATAACTCTAATCCGGCGCAGGTACCGATCATCATGTTGCTGGCATTGGATCCATGGCTGAGCGCATGACGGAGGAAATTGAGGGAAAACCAGGCTACGAGGGGTATCTCAATGACCGCGTAGTTTCTTTGCAGGAGATCCTCCGTGACGCTGGCTACGAAACCCTGATGTCCGGGAAGTGGCACCTTGGCCAAACGCCGGATCGAATCCCAGGTGCAAGAGGATTTGACCGCTCATTCAGCATGCTGCGTGGCTGCCACAACCACTATGGCTGGGAGCCAACCATTGCCGAAGGACGACACACGATGCCCCGGATGGCAGCCACGCTATGCAGATTATACTCGGAGAACGATAAGATCATCAGCCCGGACGATCTTCCGAAGGGTTTCTACTCCTCGGACAGTTTCACGGATACCCTTCTAGAGTACCTGGACGACAGACAAGAACGGAAGGACGGCCGGCCCTTCTTTGCGTACCTACCTTTCAGTGCGCCGCATTGGCCCTTGCAAGCACCCAAGGAGTCGATCGACAAATACAAAGGCGTCTATGATGGCGGTCCAGAAGTATTGCGCCAACAGCGGCTCAAATCACTTAAAGCAATGGGCCTCGTTCCCGAGTCTGCCGTTCCGGCAGCTGTTGTTGCCAAGGCCGAAGACGGGTCTGACGTCAAGACCTGGGAAGAGATGACCGAAGAGGAGCGGCGGCTCTCAGCAAGAAAGATGGAAGCTTATGCTGGCATGGTAGATCGTATCGACTGGAACGTGGGGCGGGTGGTGTCCTTCCTGGAGAAGACCGGACAGATGGTGAGTTCTTCAAGGAGCGGCCCCCTACGGTCTGAACGCGACGCGCTGACCAATTAACCGATAAGGACAACACTATTGTCATGTTTTTCTCTGACAATGGCGCAGAAGGAGCGCAATTCGAGGCTTGGCCCATCACCGCTGGTGGTGACATCGAAGCTCATATTAAAAAGTATCATGACAATTCGGTGGAGAATATTGGGGCTTACAACTCTTTTGCTTGGTATGGCTCCCGATGGGCCTCAGCATCGACAGCGCCTAGCCTGCTCTTCAAGATGTTCACCTCTGAAGGGGGCATTAGAGTTCCTTTCGTCATGAGATACCCGCCTTTGTCCAAAGTCAAGCCCGGCTCAGTCGATCACTCTTTCTGTACTGTGATGGACATTATGCCCACTATTCTGGACATCTGCCAAATCCCGCACCCTGGCACGCTATATAACGACCGCGAGGTTGCCCCTGTGGCGGGAAGAACGTGGCTACCATACCTAAAGGGGGAAGAGAACGCTATTCATTCTGAGGACCACGTGACTGGATGGGAATTGTTTAATCGCAGGGCCATCCGCAAAGGACCATGGAAGGGACTCTACATCCCAAAGCCACATGGACCGGAACGCTGGCAGCTTTTCAACGTTCTCGATGACCCTGGCGAAACAAACGACCTCGCCGAGACCTTACCCGCCAAGATGAAGGAGATGGTTGGCTTGTATGCGGACTACGTCAAAAAGCATGGAGTCATTGAGCAGTCCATGGCGAGTAGAGGCAAATGGAATGATCGACTGAATAGCCAAGCTTAGCATGATATCCCAAAGAGTTATTTTTGGTTGCGTTGTTCTCGTTTTTCACAACGATTTACGTGCCGAAGACTCAGATACACCCTCGTTGGCTGTGGAACAAATCAAACCTGGTGCATTTCGATATAGTGTACGAAGAGAAAGCGCCGGTGCCTTAGGTAGGGGGTCTTGAATACATATGCCAGCAGTTTCAATAGTTGAAATCATACGTTCTGAAGCCTTTTGTATATACGCCACTCAAGTTATGGCTCGGTTTTACGTCTAATAAATGGCCAACTTGTCAAATTCCATATATGCTTTCCCTTAACTAATCTCATCTTTCAGCGCCGTATTCTAGTTTGGCCTCGTGCTCCCCTCGGAGGCGGGAATAACGACAGTCCTTGCCGACGTGCCGAAAGGGCCAGTCAAGTTGCAAGTCAACGGGTTGAACTTGCCCCTTTGAACACAGAACATGTATGTGTCTGGGTCGCTGGGGTTACCAGGGTTTGACTTGAGAAGTTGTGTACCATCTAGACCCGCGCTGCACAGATATCACAGTCAGCAACGTTGCTTTATATGTACAAGATAGGGGATGGGGGTTCTAGGCCCTGTAATATATGTACTTACCCATCAGCCGTCAGGGTCTCCCATAATTCAACACGGAAGTTCCTGGTGCTCGTCCATCCATCTGTAGGCAGACGGAATTGCAACGCAGGGTTGGCGCACGGCGTCCAGGCTGTCGGGCCTGGATTGGTACCAGAAGGCCAACCGACTCGGCATGTTGTGTCAAGAGTGCCGCTGCTCGTTGATGCAGGGTCTGGGTAAGTCACTGCGATACTGACAGAGGAGTCGACGGATTCGTCGCCGAAAGGCCCAGGTTCCGGGAAGGTGGCCCCTAAGCTCGTAATGATGAACTGGGGAGCATCGCGGGTTTGGAGGGGTTGAGCGAGAACAACAGAGAGAAAGGGAAGGAGGGAAGCGATGGTGCTTGGACTGTACATCTTGCAGAGGGGGTGCAGGTCTACGGTAAATAGTAGATGAATAAATATAACCAACACTCAAAGGCTCGCTCGTCGACTATGACTTGGAATGCAGTGTAATAGAATGATTGAAAACGATCATACTGCGAGGATTCTTTCTACTTATAACAAATGAGAACTACAACGCCACAGAAACTGTGGCATATTTCAACCTTCCAGCCTGCCGTCGTCGCTTGAGCCACTCATCATTGTCTCTTTTCGAATTCGTCCTTGTGACCTGAGTCATCTATACGCTGACCCGTATTGTCCGGCTGTGCCTTCGAGAAATTTTTTTTGAAAGTAGCGAATCCTGTTCGGATACGAGATATTTCGTGATCCTTCTGGGCTGGTTTCTTTCATAATATTCGTGATGGCCCAATCAGCACCGGGGCGAGGTGGCGCATTCTCATCTCGGTCCGCTTAAAGCTGAGGACCCCTGGCGTGGAAGATGCCGTCAGCAACGCCTCGGTCAGCGCCAGGTCGCCAGGCTACCAATTGCAGGCTGGGTGTCGGGTCCGCCGCCGGTTCCCTCATTTCCCTTCAGCTCGGTGATAGCCGCTGATCTATACTCGATTCTTATCATTCCATTCATGATTGCGTAGGTAATTGACGCCGCTCTATAGAACGGCCGCGTAGAACCACATAGATTCTGATTTGGTCCTGGCGGTAGCGTGTTCCGCGCACCCGCGCCCAGCCACAGCTCATGTCCACTGAAAACTGGCTCAGGTCACCATGAGGCTTACTGAAATCTGAACGCATATCGCAGGAACGGATGCATATGTTCAATTGTTGTTTTAGACTTGATTATTCTATCGCCATGACATATCGAGCAATTCTTCGGCGTTTAACGGGGCGTATGGCTGACGCGTGGCGCGGCTCAGAAAACTGGAATCTCAACAGGTTTATCTGTAAACAATACTAGAGGTAGTGACGATTGCGCCATACTGTTACGTGCCCGTATATGCGATGAAGGCTGGCAAGATTGTAGACCCTACGCCACTATCGCCCAACATATGTTGTCCGTCTGCCTGCCCGAGACATAACACACCTTTGAACTTCCTCAGCCTCTTGCACTGCGGCAGATCTAGTAAGTCTGGTCCGTTTCAACCACTGGCCCGGTATATGTCTTCTTTGCCCAGAAAATATAGTATAGCATGCTGAATAATGTAACTGTGCCAAATACTAGTATAGACCAATTCATATTCTGTGGGGTAACCTGACTGTACGCCGGCCAAAAACTGGAAAACAAGACAAAAATTATATATATACAAGAGAACGTGTTGTTAACAATCCCCAGGACTCTAGGAAGATGCCAGGGTCCCCAGGTTAGTGTTGTGCCTGTAGTATTAGTCAACGAGTTTTCAGAGTTCGGTAGGCGGATACCTCCAGTAACGCGACGATAAAGAAGCAGCGAGGCAACAACCAGATAGGATCCAAACAGGCCTGCCACAGAAATGGATATGACGCCGTTGAATGCAGTCGCGCTTCCGATGTTAATGAGAGACAGAATGATGGAGACCGTAACTGTGATCATAACGCAATAGACGGGGATGCTGGTCCGGCGACTGACTTTCTTTAAGATCCGCCATCCAGGAAGCCTTCGGTCACGCGCGAAAGCCCAGTATACCCTTGATGTCGAAGAAACGAGGCCTGTGGTGGCGCTGAACGCCAAGATAACAACAAACGCAGACATAACCGTAGCTCCTGCAAGTGACCCTACGGCGTTGTAAAAGATAGCCATAAAAGGGTAGATCGGATTCTCTTCCAGTCTCATCTCGATGTCACCCATGCAATACATTGTAGCAATCAGCATGGCAAATCCCAAGACTCCGTTGATGCAGAGTCCTATCATCAGGGACCACGGGACTGTAACAGCTGGATTGCGGACCTCCTCGGACATCTGGACAAACATGAGTGCTTCTGTAAGCGCAACAGAAAAGTGGGAGTCAAGATCTCATACGTGAATGGCACCATCACCCCCGACGAATGCAAATACGTTCCCCAAAATCCCGATACAGAGAGATAGCCCTTGCGTTGGCCACTCGCCAAGATTTAGCCAGTTATTCCACACAACATCAGATGGTGTATGTTCGCTGAGAAATACAAGAGGAAATATAATAGCGAAGAACCCGATGATGTGTAATACAAGTACCAAGCCTTCGAATTTGGCCAACATGGACGAGAGCGCAGTATTTATTGAGTAGCCAAGAATAAGGACCGCCCAGAAAAAGAGTGTACCATGCCAGTTCTGCATAGTGTCCAGGTAGTCCGGGTGTGTGAGCAGGATGAGGCCTTGGATTGCGGTGCCGGTTAAGTAGGCTCCCGATGCAGTAGCCGCCTGCCAGCCGGTAAGAGTCAACCACCCGGTAATGAAGCTGAGAAATCGGCGATAAGAAGTAGGTGCCATCATAGAGACCCAATGGTATTGTCCACCCGATGTTGGAGCCATTGAGGCCAATTCAGAAAGTGTCGCAAAAACCGAAATTGTGCCTATCCACACCAGGATGAACCCGTAGAGGATTCCAGAGGGCCCCCCACTGCCGGTTTGAGTTAAGAATTTCTTCTCCAGTTCAATGTGCTGAAGATACCTACTTTTGCAGTCCGGAAAGGAAGACACTGTTCGCTTTTTAGTACACCTGCATGGGCGAGTTCGTCACTCGGAGGCATTCGCACAGAGTAAACTTACATGAGACTTCCTTCCCATGTGATGAGAATTGTACAGCTGAAACCTAATATGGTCCAGAAACCAAAGTTACGTTTGAGAACGGGCCTTTTCCCTAGCCGCGCAAGTGTTGCATCGTCGCGAGCAAAGCCTCCCGGCACTTCTTGCTCGGTGGCTGTTTGCACGCTCTCCTTTGCGGGATCGTTGGGAGGCATGAATTTGGTATTTGGCGAGGGGTAGAAGAACCTAGAATGCGGAACTGTGAAGAGAAGAAGTCATGGAAGGTGCAAGATAAAGCTGGCATTGGAGCAAGATGTACGCACCACCTGCTGGAAAGAAGCCAGACGAGTGGATATGAGTTAAGGAGTGAGACGGTCGGGAGCACATGTATTCTGTAAGGGAGGCCATGAATGTGGAAACCACCTTCTGCCCGACATGCAATAGGTCCAGAAAGGTTGCTGCACGGCTCGCCCCTCACTCTATGTGGTAGCATCCAAGGGTAGGTCACATACTAAGTCCAAGCGGTGATCAGGGATTTTCGGCTCAGCAAATAGTGTTGGTTGGTGGATGCAGTTGGTTGTTGGTTGAGTACGTATGTACCTACTCGCTTGTATGTCAGCACTACATATGTACGCCGCCCCGCCTCTTGTTTTATTCGGATCTCTGCACCAGAGCCCAGCATTCTTCCCAGGAACTCCTTGATGATAATTTGCCCCACGTTTCCGTCTCCTCTTGTTGCTTGTCAAGAATATTATACGGGCGCAATACCGGAACGGCAGTTTGGTCAATTACTCAGGACAAGATGACTTTAAAACTTCTCGAAATTGACCCGGAGACCGACTTCCCTGATATTTCCAGGTGTATGTTCGAATCACATGAAACGCCTGTTCAGCCATTTTTCCAAGCCTTCTTCCCTACTCATGGACATGGAGATCAGGCTCGCGAAGATGCCATAGCTGAAGGCGCGGCCCGTCTACGTTCATGGCACACCGAGGACCCTACAAGCTACTGGCAGAAAGTAGTCGACACTAGCACAGGTCAGATCGCTGGTGCGGCGCTTTGGAACATTTGTAAAGAAGACCCATTTGCTGAGGAACACCAAATGGAAGTAACCTGGTTCCCAAATGACAAATCGCGTCATTTTGTCGAGCAGTTCCTTCAGATTTATGAAGAACCAAGAGCTCGCGTAGGCCGGCGACCCCAAGTCTGTAAGTTACAGGATTCGGGCGCGCGAACAATGAGTTTCGCAGTGTAATTGACCTATCACACAGACCTATTTATTCTTTTCACTCACCCAAATTACCGCCGCCAAGGCGCCGCCCAGCAATGCTTGAACTGGGGCATGAATAAAGCCGATGAGATGGGTGTTGAAATGTTCTTGGACTCAACACCAGTTGGGAAACCCTTATATGAGGCGAACAAGTTTCACGTTATCGAAAAGACTGTCATCATTCCTCAGGTAGACAACCCAGACGAAAAGTGGAAGGAAGCCGAAGAGAAGATTGGCCACTCAACTTGGTGGCTCATGTGGAGACCGGTACGAGGGCACTATGAAGAGGGCGTAACTATGAAACCATGGGAGAAAAATTAAGCTTGTGGTTCCTCGTTATTCTCTATACTATATTCCAGTTTCATTTGGAGTGATCAATTTGGACTATGTTGGACTTGCTTGTTTATATTTTCTCTTAGATGTTCTGGGGCAAGCAAGTGACCATTGATTTTGAATACAAAGGGTGAAGGTGGCATGCATCTGCGTGTGCATATCACCGACATAGATAACAAACAGGATTTTAATATCAGTTTCGAGGCCAACGAAACATTTAGTACAGAAATCAACTTCTAAATAACGGCGATGATTGGCTCTCGACCATGGAGATTGATGACACGAAGGAGAAGGCGTTCCCGTAAGTTGGGGCGATGTTGCGCTATTCGGAAAGAAGGATTGAAAATTTGACGCCTGATCATCACTTACTATCAAATTTTCTGATAAGACTTGTGTCCTGCACGTTAATGATTTGTCATGGCTTTGCATCTCTAAGACATTTCGCGATCGAAATATAGGGGTGAAACATTCTTCGTTTCCTACCAACGCCATACTATCAAGACGTTGATGCTTCAATTAGTGCCACTTATGTTATACAGGCTGCATTACTCTATCACATAGCATTAGGGTGCTGACATCACGTATGAGTCTAGAGTCTCTCCACAAACCGTGTAGTAGGAAAATATAAAGGACCAAAGGAATGGAAATTATAGTCTACCGATCATATCTTTAAGCGTTCTTGGGAACTGTCATCAAATCCAGGAGAAATTTCCCGGGGAATCGTGGGATCCCAATGGGATGCGCTTTGCCTCATCTTTGCACAGGTGGCTCTATCTCTCCTTTGCCGGGAAAAGTAGAAAGCCCTCCTTATGGAGGTACTCTATCCCTTACTCTCAATGCAACGTTACATCCCATAATTCAATCAACCTTGATCCCCCACAACCAAGCGTGTTCTTTCAGCCGGGATGCTTAGTCCCGACCTTACCATCTCCTCTCATTGACTTCATAGCTCCCTTGCAGCTCATTTTGACTTGGCGCATATCTTGGTTTGTTGAGTTGCCATCAAACAAGCGAATTTGTCCATCCGCGTTGATGATATCGATCCCTCTATCACGTCATGGTATTAGCACACTACAGCGAGCAAGTTTCAAGGTCAATCAACCTTGCTATGGTGGCGGCCGTGATAGCCATTACCGATCAAACCTCCATCTTGCTGGTTGTCGTTCGTGATGCCAGTGCAGGCCTCGATATAGAGCTGCGAAAGAAGGTCAACCAAGTTCCCCGAGGATCGACGACGCTACTATCCCCTTGAGTCAAGATTGTATACTTAACGAGCATGACAACAGCCGAGGGCTGAGGAACTCGGATGCTATACGTGAGAACAACCTCAATATTGACGTGGAGAAAGGCGAGGGCAATGAGATCAGGCGTAATGTTGGCTCTGATGCTACGGTACTGCAACCGATCATAACCAGAATGACTTCATGGACGGTGAAACATCTCCTGGTGGGATGGTCACGCTGATCCGAAAAGTTCGTACAACTGGCCTAGCTGGCGCAAATGGACCAACTGCGACCTCATCAGTACCATGACTTTCTTGACCCAACTCGCCTCTTCCATTTTTGTCGCCCCTTATCCAAGATCTAAACCAGCATCCCAATTGACCACACCCCCAATGTGGGATTTGTCGCCTTGACAGTCGGCTGCGCTCTGGTTCCGAGTATGAACGTCCTGATTGTCTGCGGTGTATGCGGTTCAGCGTCCTTAACCATCGGAGGTGGCGGTGCAAAGCCGGTTATGAGGCCCGAATATCGCCTGCCATATCTTTCTAGCGATGCACTGCTTGTACCAACTGGACCTGTTATCTACGGTTGGACCGCGTATTACCGTGTCCCATGAATTGTGCCCATTATTGGGACGTGCATTACAGGTATTGGTATTCAGATCATTTGCATAGCTACCACTCTATATCTGATTGATACCTTCACGACTTACGCCGCGTCCGCCTTGGCCGCAAATACCGTGGTCCACTCCATAATGGGCGCTGTGCTGCCGCTCGCCGGCTCGCCCACGTATCTGGCGTTAGGACTAGGATGGGGCAACACCTTGCTAGCCTTTATTGCCCTTGTCCTGGTGCCTGTGGCGGTTTTATTTACTAAGTATAATGAGCCACTGAGGGAAAAGTTGTCGATTAAGGACTTGTAGGAAAGTTTGAAAACCGTGTTGTTCGGATAATATAGACACGAACACCGTCAGTAACACAAGCACTGTAGCATTGCTAATTGGACCATCATATGGTCTAGTATTTTCAACCCCGACGAAACAACATTCCTTGAATAACCCATGATGACAGCATAGCGATCATGTTACATGATGGAATATGCCATGTTTCTTTATTTCGGTTCGAGGAAAACTCCTCTCGACAGAATCGCATGCGTGTATTACAAACCGCCCTACCTGGTCGGTTCCCATTTTCAGCTTTGCACAGTACCAGGCTGAGTGAGTTACTGGTAAGAATTGTAACTTGCCCTTAAGTCTGTTCAATATTCAAAATCGGAACATTTCGGTCCTGGAAGTCTACCTGCTAGCCAAGGAACTAGGACTACAAAGACGCGATGAGGCAGCGGAAGACCGGAGCTGCCGATGCAACCTCAGAATAGCAACAATTCCCTCAAGGCACTCCGAAACTGTTCGCTTCCTCTGCATTATACCGTGTTGCCCGGGTTGGATTAAGGACTTCGGATTTAGAGGACTTGATCTGATACTCTGAATAGCACGCCCACAGCCTCTAATCCTATGGTAGGACTTCAACTGTTGTACAGAAATAATGACCAGCCCGGCCATTCCGTCTATCTCACAACACACTATCTTGATAAGTGTCGACTCTGGCCACTTAACTCCGAAAATCCTTTTGCAACTGGGATGCGACAACGTTGATATCTGACCACCAAAATGGCTGATACAATATTGATACCATCCCCAGCCTAAGGAGCTTCGGCCTGTCGAGATAAGGCCGGGTAGTTTACTAGATTTACGTTGAGGATGTAATGCAGCAAAAGTCCCACACATGTAAATCGCATAAGGGGGAGTACTTATCCCTGCTCGGCTGTGCAACAGGTGATTTCTCAGCCTTGTGTAGTGGCCAATGAATCCCTTCCCAACATAACTCCCTTTTCTGACATGCAGCCGTGGCTTCATGCCACGGCAACCTCCTGTCCAGGAAGGCAACTCGGGAGATGATTTATCAGCTGCGCATTTAGAGCATGTTCGACACGCTCGTTTTCGGGGGATGCGTCTGTGCAACTGTAGAACAAGACTTTGCTGGCACTGGCGTTCACAACGATGACCGGGTAAGGGATGAACAGGTCTTGCCGAATCGCCGACCTCACCTGCTTGAGTTGAATTCAAACGGCGATAACAAGGGACCGCTTGGCGAATCAGATGATATGCAGGTGAGCGTTTTGTTCTGCGCCATAGGCGTATTAGGTTTGGGGTCGCCGAGCCCCTCCTTGGAGTGGCTGCGTGGGCTATTCGTGGCAAAGACCAGTATACAACGGCCGCCTGAGGCACGCTTATTGGAATGTTCGTCTACTTCGTGCTCCAAATTGATTGGGTTCGGGACCGTATGCAATGATACCCTCTAGATGCAACTGCCACGCTCAGTATATCTTATCGGGACCGTATGCAGTGGTATAGTGCTGTGCCCCCATCATGAGTTGCCGTGCAGGCGTTGCTTCTGTAGTGTTGCCCCTCGGTCCCGAGGAGACGGATGCAGGACACCGCTTAGCCATGCCGTCCGACCACCGGTTTCGTGGGCTGCTGTACGACACACAGTGCAGCATTCGAGAACCACTGAGTTTCGTTCGAACGTCCGGCGACGGAATACACTCAGAACATATCGAAACATTCTTGTTGTGTCTGGTGCTGACAGGGCTGATTAACGGTCAAATTTGGCTCCATATAGACGGCCGAAACTACCCTGTTAGCCTACGGCGCAGGCGGGCCCTAGTAGACGTGGGCGGTGTTTCCCCTGGACAACTCCTCGGCATCACTGTTGCGAGTCCCCACAGGTAGAGTCGTAAACACACCATTGGCCATGTCCATGACGCTGACCAGCACGACGAGAGAGGACTCTCGCCGACGGACGCGCCCAAGAAGCACGTGGAAGTCAGACCGTGCACAGCGACCCACGACTAGCCATTTCTTCGGGCGAGCATCCGAAAATGCTTGACTAGTTTGCTTTCCGGCCGGCTATGATCGTCATGAGGATTGCGCCGAGTCCTATGGGATCTTGCAGCGACGTGTCGCCGTCCCAACTGCCCAGCACGTCCAGCCCCCAAAGACACGGCAGTGGTGAGGACGATCAGCCCAGCCTAGCGGGGAGTAGCGAGACAAAGCTGACGGCACTACCCTGAAGACAGACTAGCAGAGGATCCCGCGAGCCCAATCAGGAGGCGATCTACCCCGGTCCAGGGTAAATATAACCCACCAAGATGGGTACGCTGGACCCGGGCGCGGGCCATGCAGATGGGACGCGAAATGGCTGCCTCGATCTTTGTCCCATGTCGCAGCGACCCCCCTTCGCGGCCTGTTCGCCGGGGACCTTGCTGATGGGCTGCAGGCGCCGTATGCAGACAATTCTTGCCAAATATGCATGGCTGTTGAAATGAGACAAGGTGGTACGAGGATGATTGATTAAGAGCATCTCTCCCAGTCCCCATGACTTTCTCTCCCCTGAGTGATTTGTTCTGTAAAACCACTCTACGACGTTTCCTCTTGATCACTGCACCCAAAAAAGCACTCTAGCGGTTGCTCATAGGGCGTTCGGTGCTACTCATCGATTCCGACTCCAAGAGTTTGGCGCGTGAGCGCTTCTGACCCCCAGACAAACTCGGTGTGGTTTCCGACACAGGCTCGCAATGGCCGCGATGAGCTTCAGGATAAGGGCGCTCCTGCCGCTATGGCTGCTTGCGGGACAAGTGTCGTGCGGCTCAATGGCAGCGTGGTGGACAGACCTGGGCCCGAGCCTGTTGGTCCAGGACGAGGAGAGCGGCAACATCCGATATAGTCTCTGCAACAGCCAGGACACGCCTATACTACCCGAGGACAAGACCATCACTGCTCCTCTCTTCAAGTACAAACCAAAAAATGGCACGGCCTTGGCCGGAACTGGCTGGTGGGACCATCAGCAGACTTGGGTCAGTTTACACGGGCTCACGTAATGTCGGGGGGTGTTGGGACCCATTGCTGACGCCACACGCAGGCCTCGATATTCTACCAAGACGAGGGTGATGATATCATCAACTCACTACTGAAGTGCGACACGAACACTGGGTACTGGCTCAACACGGGCGACTGGATCGTCTCGGACGGGGCGCCGTCAATCTCCAACAGCACGGGGCTCGCCGCCGTGCTGCTCGGGTCTAATGACGGATACCGTGTCTACTACCATGACACCAACAACACTCTCTGCCAGCTCGGCTACACCTCAGACACCGAGTGGGACTACAAGGGCTCTGTCTCGCACGACGGCAAGCTGGGCAACGCCATCGCCGCCGCCTGGTCCAAGAACAAGAACATCACGGTGGCGACGCCCAAGGACGGCGAGAACATCGAGGTCAGCCGCTTCTTCGACGACAACCTGTGGCACGTGACGACCTTCCCGCGCCCGCTGTCGGGCAACCTGACCACCAACGCCACCAATGCGACCAACATCAGCCTGAACGCGACCTCGACGCTGAACTTCACGCTGCCGGCCTGGGACGGGGCCCCGGGCGCCCTGGGCTTGGGCATCGACAAGGCCGCGACGCGCAGCCTGTTCTACATCGGCACCGACGCCGAGCTGTACCAGCTGGCCCAGGTCGACGGGCAGTGGCGGGCGTACGCGCGGGAGAACGCGACGCAGTGGCCGCGCGCCGACGCCGCCAAGGCCCCGCTGGCCGTGGCCTACGACCCGCAGAGCTCGAGCCTGCGCGTCTTCTACCAGAGCGGGGGCCAGGTCGTGCAGCTGCACGGCGACGGCGGGTCGTGGGCCGCGGCGGCGGTGCTGCCCAACGCCAACTCGACGGCGGCGAAGCCGACCCCGAGCTCCAGCGCCAGCGCCGATGCCTCGAGCACGGCTGGTGCCGCCGGCGGCCTGTCGACGGGCGCCAAGGCTGGCGTGGGCGTGGGTGTGAGCCTCGGCGTTGTCGCCGTTGGCGGCATGATCGGGGCCCTCTTCCTGCTGCGCAAGCGCCAGCAGCGCCGGGATGCGGCGGCCGAGGCGGCGACCATGGGCGGGGGCAGCACCGTGGGTGGCTCGACTATGGTGCAGACGCCGGTGCCGGCCTACTCGCCGCTCTCCGGGCACCTGGACCATGCGTCGCAGCAGAACGGGGGCTACGGGCACGGGGGATACGATGCACATGGCAACTGGACATATAAGCCGGTGGAGAAGCCGCCGGGCGAGCTGGATAGCTACGCGCCTGCGGTACATGAGATGCCGGAGACCCGTATGCACCATGAGATGATCGGCGAGGGCCACTACAGAGAGGCGCCGTGAAGAACACATCTTAGTATAGGTGTCTTTATTCATTTATGTAACCATAATATCATTTTGATTCCCATTCATAAACTGTTCCCAAACCATTCTTACCTGCGCCAAAACGATTCCGACACATTATTCTGGGATCAGCCCACGTTTGGCATCTTTGGCAAAGGCGCCCTTAAGGGCCTCGTGAGGCTTTTCGTAAACGGGCCGCCCGCCTAGGATATCAGAGATGTCCTTCAGTTCACGCCAGTGGGCAGCCTTGGGGCGGCGGTTCTTCCAGTCGGTGTGATCTGCCTCGAGGGTTTCCATTGGAGTAAAGACTACTGCAGCGCCCTGGATTCCGATGACCGCGGCGGTCATGGGATCGTTCTTGATAGTGGAGGCAGGTCCGAATTGCTCGAGGTGCTCCATGCACCTGATTGCGAGTCGGACTGCTCGGTGCCGGTCGAGAGGCGAAGGGACACCGCCCTGCTGAACGTGGCCTGGAATGCTGTCACGGGCTTCAAATCGCTCTTCAGCCTCGTGGCGGATGAGGTCTGCAATCAGCTTGGCTGAGAGTAGCTTGTCGGCTTTCTCGTTGACCAGAATCAAACGTCCAGCCCGAGACTGGCCCTTGTCGTTCCGGAAGACCTCCTTCAGATGTGCAATGTCAGACACGATCATGCTGAGGCTGATACCTTCCTCGGGGATGTACACAGCGCTTGCGCCGACACCAAGACTGGCAAGGGTGGCGATGTAACCTGAGCGACCTCCCTGGGTCTCGATAACGAAGACCCTTCGTCGTGTGGCAGAGGCGGACTGCTTGATCTTGTCACAGAATTCGACCAATTCGTTGAGACAGGTATCTGAGCCAAGGGAATACTCTGATCCGGGCACGTTGTTCGAAATGGTGGCAGGCAGAAGGACGAATGGGATTTGCAGCTCCGGGTACTGTTCCCTGGCCTTTCGTAATTGGGCGATGGCGTGGAAGGCCTCAAAACCTCCGACAAGGAAGAGAGCGTCGAACCTGTCCTGCTTGATGTAGTTTGCGACCAGGTCCATGCCGGACTCTTCTGGCAGCTCACGGTTTGTTCCGATTTCAGAGCCTCCCTTCCTGCCCCAGTCGTCGACATCAACCCAGTTGAACTGACGCACGGCACCGAACGGCTTATCATCATGGTGACGCACGTATCCAGCAAAGCCGTTATAAATACCAAGAGGTTCGTGTCCACGGTTTAGACAGTAGGCTACACCGGCTCTGATTGCTGCGTTCATACCGCCGGCAGGTGCTCCCACGTTGATGAAGCCGATTCGCATACGCTGTTAGAGTCAGTGAGGTGAATGAGAACGCAAGTCAGAGTTGCACAAACCTTATTAGCCGGCAACTTGACACTATCAGTTTGGCCAACGGTGGTCGTCAGATTGTAACAGTTGTACATCTCTGCAAACTCGGTATCTCTAAGAGCCATCGCCTTATTAAAATCTTGAGCTTCGATGGCCTTTGCGACCTGCTGCGTGGCTTCTACAGCCGCCATAAGAGGCTTTCGAACAATCTTGTTCTCGGTGATAGCAATAAAGCACGTCTCGGATTCAGGAGTAGCCTCGAGCAGGGTCTTGACAGCCTCAACACCTTGTAGTGTTGCCAAGATACGGTCTTCGGCAACGGCAGGGCCACCACGCTGGACGTGACCGAGGATCGTCGCACGGGTATCCAGCTTGAGGCCGTTGGGGTCTTTGAGCAGGTCGACGACCATTTGTGAACTGATCTTGTTGCCATTGATATCCTTGGCACCCTCAGCAATAATGACAATTGTCTTGCGCTTGCCCAAATCTCGGTGCTAGTGTACAGTCAGTCAAGGAGCCGCACGGCGGAGTATCCAGTGCAAAACCGTACCTTCTTCACGATCTTAGTCATATCTTGCTGCCAGTTGTCGCCTCTGGGCTTCTCGGGGATGAAAATGAAGTCGGCACCGGTAGCCACACCGGCCATCAATGCAAGATAGCCACAATGGCGTCCCATAACCTCGATAACGAAGGCACGCTGGTGGGAACTTGCGGTGGCCTCGATGTAGTCTACCATCTCACAGATGCGGGAAAGAGCCGAGGCAGCGCCAATGGTGTTGTCGGTACCGGAAAGGTCGTTGTCGATGGAGCCAACCAGTCCCACAATGTTGAGATGCCTGTAAGGAGCAACCTGCTCCTCCTTCAGCTCGCCCATGGACACCAGCTCATCCACGAGCGACGGCCACTCGGAGCGGAACTTGTCAGCACCAGTGAGGGAGCCGTCACCACCGCAGATGGCCAGGGCGTCGATTCCGTTCAGGATCATGTTCTTGGCAGCGAGGCGTCGTCCGGGCCGCTCGTAGAACTCCATGCATCGAGCCGTTCCGATGAGGGTACCTCCCTCGGACAGATATCCTCGGACGTCGTTCCATTCGGTCTTGCGGATGTCGCCGGTGACAAGGCCCTGGTAGCCCTCGTATACGCAGAAGGCATCGCAGCCCATGTAGATGGCCATGCGGACAACACTGCGCACGACGGCGTTCATGCCGGGCGAGTCACCGCCCGACGTCATAACGGCGATCTTCTTCTTGACGCCCGCCATGGTGAGCAACGGTGAGGTCGGTGAGAATCTAGGCGGATGGTCTAAGTGTCTAGGAAGACCAGGTGGTGAGAAAGTCGTACGACGGGGGCGCGGGAATTCTCAGCTCTAATAAAAATGCTAAGGATTCAGGGAGCTGGAGGGGCAGGCCAGGCGCTGAAGCTATCGATAGCTGGTGTTTCCAATGGCCCCGCCAAGCGGTTGTTATGCTGGCAGAGGAGTGAGGCGGAAGGGGACAACGCGGCTCTGAAAGCAGATGGCTAGTCACGAGGGAATCAATCTACTGTATAACATGTATAACAGGAAGAAGAGGTGAGGATGAGGAGGAGGAGGAGGATCAACAGCGTGCGAGCGAGCGAGGCGGCCCACGGGGTGGTTTTACTTGGTATTACATCCAGTGGTACTTGGGACGCCCGCCGCCCAAGCTTACCTTTCAGAAAGGTCCGATTGATGTCAGTTTGGCGGGTAGGTGTGACGCAGTTGCGCCTGTTTCTAGCGGCTCCCTACCGCGCTGGGCCTCTTATCGCTATCAATTGCGGGGAGCTCCCGAGAAAAAAACTGCAGGCCAACAGTTCCAAGACAAAACGGTCGCACTGATGCCCCTCACCAATTGAATCCATGGCTCGAGGTGCGCCAGTGCTGCAAAGCTGAGGGCAGGGGGCTGAGGTGATGGTCTCAAAACCCGTATCAAATCTGTGCTTCATCCATTCATTTGGTTGGATTCACTTGGATTTCTTGGCTTTTCTTGACCCGGCTCTGCGCGCCGGGCTGTTGTGACTTGTCGATTCATCTCTGTTAGGACTGATTCTCTTCAGCAGTAGTACATAATATGGCCGAAGGCCACCCCCACTCTGAATCCGCATTTCTCACCATGTGCCCTAACGTTCCCAGCAGCCAATGACGAAATAGTTGTTGCAATGGGAAATTCGCGCAGTGAGAGCCAGTCGCCGAGCCGGCCTTTCTGACAAGGGGGGGCATACTCTATGAAACTTCTGGGCTTGTCTGAGCTTCTATTGTGGCTCGTAGAAAACTCCAAGGCCGCCTTGATGGATGCCAGCTGGGGCATTTGGTGTGTCTCGGTACGCGGTGCCACTGTGGCACAGCCGAGCTGAATGCTCGCCTGGTCAGACAGTCAGACCACCGTGAAGGCTCAGTGCATGTCGACGTCCAATGTCACTACCATCGAGGTCAAGATCGGCCACTGCTGAGTAGGTGGGGAGGCACCTGGTTGGCGTACCAAATGTGACCGACTGGTGGTGGCTTCGTCTGCCTACCTAGGCAACCAGCCCGGATCATGATCCTGCACTGACCCAAAATGTGTACCCCAGCTGCTGCGTGTCAACTCGCACTTCTATGCAGATAACAGCGATCTACCCCCCTGTGCACGCTTGAATATCAAAATGGAAGAGATAATGCATCCGCTCATCTTCAAGCATGGCGGTAGTAACTCAGTTGCCTAGTTCATGAACTCGCATGTAAACGCCGCTGCTATACCCCCACAAACCCGTGCTTGCGGAAACGCCATGCCATGCCTTGCCCTGCCGAATGAAGAGAAAACCTGGAACACCCAAAAATACGACGCTGTTGATTAACCGTGCCTTGCTGCCGCCTGCGCGAACTGCTCCGCTTGCAAACGTTCCAACTCCTCCAGGGACATGCCGCTATCCTCAAACTTGTTTGTTCGCTGTTGTCGCAACTAGGTTAGCCGCTGCTCCGGAAACGTGGCGCGAAGATACTTACGATATTCTTGATCACTTTCTGCGTCTCCTTGTGTTGGGCTGCAGCCTCGAGTACTGCCGGCACGTAGTCACCAAACCCGAGCTCTTCCAGAGCCTTCGTGATGTGGTCACAGGCGATGGTCTTCTTGGCTTCCTTCTCCGAGATTTCGTTTGCTTCTGATGAAATCAATGTGATGAATTCCACGCAGCACTCAATGAGCAGATCCCTGGCTTCTTTTGAGAAACTCAGCCCCGTCGATGATGGGAGAATCTCCGTGACGATTTTCTGCACGGTGGCTATGGAATGTTAGCCCAGTCCAAAATAAGAAGTTGTACCACATGCAGCAGCGACTAGCATTTCCGAGCTTAGTGCTGCAAATGTGGCATTGCGGGTGTACATACCCTTGGGAAGAGACAGATCATCGTTACCTGCGCGGTCAAGGGTTAGCATCATGGATCAATAGCAAAAAAAAAAAGAGTATCTCATGTCAGAATGACGAGAATAGGAAACAATAGCGACTTAGTCCGGAATCAACGTTGGCCCAATACTGATCCTGTGCATTCAACTTGCGCGGCATATTGAGGATCTCAAAGAAAGTTGCGCCAAGGGCTAACTGCGAAAACAGGAACAAAGAGACAGATGAGGAATGCATATGATGTACGCCATCTGTCGATATCGTTTCTTGCTCCTCCTGGAGTCCCGAAGAATAAATAGAAAGTAGCTTGGGCCCTCGGACTTTGGCTTGCCTGATAATATTCACGTATCCACCAGTTACTAGCCTCGCGACTGAAAGCATCTTCACTTGAGACGCCCAGCCCTGCAGCAAGTATGCTTTGGGATTTCTTTCATAGCGGCCCCGACATGATTCGTTTCCTGCTGGATGGGATGGAAAGACATATGACATGTCAAGAAGATGACTAACTCACCTCCAAACTCGTGGTCAGACATTCTGGGCTATGCAAAGATATTGAACAATAAAAAAGTCCGAAGGTTCCAGTTGACGCAGGGGAAGTATTGAATGACGCCTGGCTAATGAAATGCTCCTGTCAGAATCCGTGTGCGCGTTGGTGTGCGAGTTGTTGTGTAGTCGGGCGCAGGCGATGGTGGTGTAAGTTGAGGTGAGGTTGGGGCAGAAATGACCAGTATCAGGCACGCGGCTGCCCACGCGGTGGACCGTCCGGCGTTTATGTATCTGGAGCCCGCCGCGGTGGAGGTTCCGGAACAATCCCTCCCTGAGGCTGCTGTGGCTGGGCTGGCTGGATCTTTACTGATTGGGATCGCACTGTGGCGCAGCAACCAGCTTCAAAACTCCACTCAAAAAAATCCCACTTTCAAAAAATTTGTCGTCTGCTCTTCACTTTCACATCGTGCTCGCAGCCTTCCACACTCCCACTCCAGTAGCAGTGAGTAGGGTTTGACGCTTTTCTTCCGCTACTTCAACGGAAGCGAAGATGCTGCTGCGCCATGATGCTCTTACGAGCTGAACCACGAAGCAGCTCTCCGTGTAGGTGCTCGACATGCACCTGGCCTGAGCCTCCTCAAGGTAAGCGCTTTTGCTTGGATTCCGTCCCTCAAATGATGAATAAGTTGTCGCCCCAGTCTTACTTGCCTCCGACAAGGGCAAGAATGCTGATCGACACGTCAAAGCCAATTGACACGATCTGATCCCTCCATACCACATATCACCTTTGGACCATGCGAGGAACTCGGGTTCGCTAACTGGCAACCCTAGGCTTTGCGATCAGTTGAGATGTACGTTTCGCACGCCTTAATTTTCCCCCGCCCTTGCAACGACATGATGCCATATTCCAAGTACTATCAAATACCGACACTCGATGACGGAATAAACTTTCCCTGATCACACATACAATTATTACCGGGCTCCGCGCATAATCTCGATAGGGACTTGCGCTGACCTCCAACAGCGGAACAAGGTGCATCGCATCATGCTCCTCGCCAGTTGCGTCGATTCTGCTTCTCAAGCGTAGGTGGTTATTTTTCTTGAATTCTAACTGCTGATGATGACGAAACTATATTCCATGCTAAATCTGAATTTTCATGTGGAACAAAATATAGAGCTTTTCATCTTTCGCCTGAAGCATCTCACATAATCTCTATTGTTTTAGCTGTCTATATCTAGCACGGGCTAACATTGATTATAATAGACTCTGTTCGAAACGTTAAGATGTTCCCCGGAACTTCTTGAGCACATCGTCATTCCATCTACCTCGAGGTTAGTATCACGTCTCGACGTGGCCAGGATGAACTTACCGGAAATGCTTTCCACTCATGTCCTTGGATGCGCCCTCCACGAGCCCTGCAATGACGGCACCGGGCTGTTCTGGCTTGAGTAGTTGCCCTGCTGAGTGCTCGTCCACGAAGCTGGCATGGTCTTCGGCTCTCATAGCAGCGCCTCCTTGTTCCCGGATGACCTGTTGCATCTCCGTGTCAACCTTGCCTGGTGAAATAGCGACGCTGGTGATATCCGGCTCCTCTACTCCAACATGCGCGCACAAATGGTTCACGGCAGCCTTGGCTGTTCCGTAAGCGCTCCAAGCGGTGTAAGCACCTGTTGCTGCCCCCGAGGAAACGAATACTATGCGGCCCTTAGTCTTGCGGAGTTCGGGAATAGCCTCTTTGACCTAGATTTTTGCCTCAGTATATATCAAATCAAACCAAATCAAACCAAATCAAACAAACTCGCGACACATACAAGTGCAACGGCGGAGAGGACATTGATGTCGTACGCGCGTCTCCAGTCTTCGACATCAGCATCTGCAATCTTAGTGAGAGGTGTCAGAACACCATGGTTTATGACAATGCCGTCGATCTTGCCGAAAGCCTTGGTTGCTGCTTGAATGATTGAAGGCGCTGTCTGAGGTGAAGTGTGAGCCTGGATCTCATTCATATGCAGTCCTCATTCTCTCTTTCAACACACCTTCAGGTCGCCCAAGTCGGCAGACGCATACTCCACTGACGACGGGTGCTCGCTCTTCAGCTTCTGCAGGCCAGCTTCTGATCTGGCGACCACAAAAACCTTGTGCGAGGCGCGGAGTAGCAATTGTGCTACCGCCAGACCTAGACCTCGGCTCGCGCCGGTCACGATGTACGCCTTGGACATTCTTGGTTGTTACAAGATCTGCAGTTGGTTGATACGGTTGTGTGTTGGACTCGGATCGCTTTCTCAAAAGGGCTCAAAGATGTTGTGTTGGGCTGTGCCGTCTATATACGAAAACCCTGAAACGTTGGCGGGACGAGGGTAGCCATTATGATCTTATCGGGTCTTTGCAAGGCCTGGCGGGGTAGGAGGGGCAACTCCATACTTATGGCGTAATGTGCAGTCAGATGGACACCGAGATCGGGTTGTAATCAATTATTTGGCACCAATGATATGCGTCAAAGTATAGGAATGTCACCTCATACTCTCAGTAATTATGAGATCTTAGGCTTTCTTCCGCCGGAAACTATAACGCACTCACCAGGCGTTCCCCGACTCGAGCAAGCAGGGCTTCACATTTGAGCGAGCACTTGGGAGTATACTAATCATCCTCAACCCCACCCGTTGCTCAGGTGACCTCTTCTATCGAGCATAGCGGAGTGAACGAGCTCCAGGTGGGAGATATGTCATCTACTGTGATATTAGGCGCCGGAATCATCGGTGTCTCCACCGCTTACTACCTCAGTAAGCACCAGCCAACCTCAAGCATCCACCTCGTGGAGCCGTCGCCGGAGCTCTTCGCCTCGGCGTCCGGATTCGCCGGTGGGTTCCTGGCCAAGGACTGGTTCTCGGCTGGCGTGGCAGAACTCGGGGCTCTCAGTTTCGAAGAGCATCGGAAGCTCGCGGAGAAAGAGGATGGAGCGAGGAGGTGGCGGTACTCGAGCAGCACGTCCATCAGCCTCTCTCCACCGTCAAAGTCCAAGAAGAAAGCCGCCGTCTGGCGCAGCGAAGGCTCAAGCAGGGCGGAGGCAGCGAGTGGCGACCGGTCACAGGGTATAGCACCACCATGGTTGTGGAGGGAGGAAGGCGATTCCGTGGAGGCCATAGGCGAAGAAGGCACCGTTGCTCAGGTGTGAGTGAGCCACTTGACGTCGCGTATGGGATGGAGACAACTGTTCTGACCACGAGATGGCAGCGAACCTCTACAGCTATCTCAGTTTCTTCTGAAGAAATGCATAGACGCTGGCGTGCGGCTCCATCACCCAGCCAAGGTCATATCAGTAGAAACTGACGTGCGAAACGAGCTCTCTAGCGTCTGTATAGCTGACACTCAGTCGAGCACCGAGACCGACGTACCCTGTACAAACATTATCATCACGGCTGGCGCCTGGTCCCCGCGGGTGTTCAAGGCATTGTTTCCAAGATCCACTCTTGACCTGCCCGTGTCTGCTCTTGCCGGCCACTCGCTCGTGGTGAAGTCGCCGCGCTGGACCGAGGCCCACGAGCCGCACGGCACACATGCCATCTTCATGGCCGGGAGGGGTGGGTACTCTCCGGAGATCTTCTCGAGGTTGGGCGGGCACATCTACATCGCGGGCCTCAACTCAGCGTCAGAGCCGCTGCCAGAGCTCGCTACCAAGTGCAGGGGCAACATCTCGCAAGACGCCGTTCGGACATTACGAGATACGGCAAGGGAGGTATTGGGTCAAGGGCAAGCAGAGGACGATCTCGAGGTCGTCAGGGAGGGACTGTGTTTCCGGCCAGTTACGAAGAACGGGACGCCTATCATCAGCAGGATCCCAGACGACGCGCTCGGTGCGGGTATCAATACTAGGCCAGGCGCTGAGGGCGGTGTCTACCTCGCTGCTGGTCATGGGCCATGGGGGATCAGTCTGAGCTTGGGCACCGGCAAGGTGCTCGCAGAAATGGTTCAGGGAAGAAAGCTCAGCGTCGATGTTTCGAGTCTAGAACTCGATATCTGAGCCTCGTGACGGTGACAGCGGGGTCCTGCCTTGCCATCAAGGTTCTTTATGGCGTTGTGTCTGGCCGCGAGTCTCGCCAGAGCGGTTGCAGCACCTCTCTGGGTAGTCGATGAACAAGGCACACTCTAGCCAACGCCCCGGAAATTCCGGCGCCTCGTCTTCGTTGGTACTTTGGCTGTAGTCCAAAGCAACATGCTCTGCTACCAGAGGGAAGCTGTCCCACCTGACTATCGAGACGCGGAGACAACCACCCAGGAAGATTCGAATCATGCAGACCAACAACTGAGATACTATATTATTAGACAGTCGTTACAAATTGGCTCGTCTGCCTTGGACGCAAGGTCAACGGTAAAGCCGCAGGCCATCACTAGTCTCCGAGAAATCATTTCATCTTCAGCCTGAGTCGTCACACCCCAGATTGTCTAGCCCTACAATTGCCATGGCCCGGCTGGCACCTCCGGGGCCGTCATCCGATGGGAGATCTAGCACGGGAGCCAACCCCCAACCCCAAGGGCGACAGGGACTGGTCGAGAAGCAGGCCGAAAGCTGGGGGCCACGTGCGTCATGGCCAGCCAGAGGCCAGCCATTTCTCTCGGTCAAACTGCGCTGTCTAGAGTTTTGCGGAGGCGTCTTGGGTACCCTGGTGACCCCTGCGTGCCTGGAAGTCTCTTGGGGGGAGAGGGAGCCAAAGTGCGGCCGTCTCCCATAGCAGACTCCGTCCACCGAGCCTCCGCGCCGACCTACGGGTAGCAGAGGACGCACGTCCGTCCGAAGTCTATTTGGCGGGGGGTCGGTAGTCGGGGGCGCGATGGGCTGCGCGGGGACGGCTTTAGCACGGCCCCAGTGACACATTAGTCGCCCAGGCCGCAGTGTGCGTGTGATTGCTCGCTGGCAAAGAGAAGAGCAGGCTGATAGCGCGGGCGGGAGGGACTGGAGGTCTCGAATCTCTACCCCACGATTGACTTTCTCTCGGCGGGGTCGCCTGGCCCCTGGTGCGAACCTAGACTAAGGCGTGCAATGTAAAGTGCTTGCATAAACAGTATCTCCGCGTTATAGTCGGGCCACACGGCAATCGGGGCAGATGATGCCAAGGTTCGGAGCTTATTGTGGTGTGTAAGCTGCGTAGCTCCAGGCACTTACTTTCCGGAGGTTGACTGGTGCATCTCTGCTTCCCCGCGGCGCCTGAAGGTGCCGTTCTGCGTGCTGCATCATAGCAGACCCAAGTATCCAGATTACCAGCACAAGCTACGCGGCCGTTTTGATGTCATGCTGGAGTGATAAGGCCGCAAGGCTGTTTCGAGTCCCATGTTGTGGAATGCTGCTGGCGACTGTGGCTGGGCGTTTTAATTGCGATACGCAGTGTGCAGGGGTTCTTTTCGGCGTTTACGCGTCGATCTGGGGCTCAGGGTCTTAGGTCTGACATGCGGATTACATCACGACGAAGATCAGGTCTAAGCCTTATGTATCGATTGGCCTTCTAAGGGTTGTTTCAAAGTACTTGTGTGCTTGTAGAATTGTAGAGCTACCAGATTGTAGAGAAAAGAGATGTCACACTTGAGAAGCCGGTTCATTTGGTTATTGTTGTTTATTAAATTCAAAGTGGTATCATTGTTCCATGTACTCCCTCCCAATGTAGTTTGGAAACCCTAGGTTTACTGTTACATAGAATTACAGTAGGGCCGTAGAATAGGTGACCGGCATCCAGCTGCTTGTGTCCACCCATCTCAGGACGCGTCGTGTCTCATCATCGTAATATTGTAGCGTGTAGTAGAATCCAAAGTCAAGTTTGAAGCTTCATCGACTAAACTCAAATGGATTGACTTCGAAGTGTCGCGTCTGCTCATCCTCGCCTTCGGAGTCGAGTTGGAAGACGATACCCCTCCGCTTCCATTCACCCCGCGAGAGTGCAGCCGATCCTTCTTTGCGTGGTCTTCTTTGACTGGTTGCTGATGACGTCGACATGGAGCGAGGCGCTGTGTAGGCTCTGATCTCATCCTCGTTCATATCGGCCAGGCCCGGTGGCACGGCCTGCCAGTCCTTGAGGGGCCATTGCAGGTGCTGGTCATAGACGTAGGTGTTTCTCCGTCTGTCATGGTTGATATAAGGGCTGCCTGTTGAAGTTGAGCTCCGTGGAGACTCGGGTTCCCAGTAGCTGGGGCGGCGTTGTCCAAAATTCCCACACCCATCCTCGTCCAACTCCGGAATCATCGGAGATGTGTTGATAGAAAGTGGTGGGTGTAGTGATAGAGGGTCATAGCAGTGTCGTGACGCCGTTGATGATGTTGACGAGATTGTGCTCGAAGTACTCATGCTTCTGGAGTGCTTAGTGATAGGCTGCTCCTCTGATATCGAAGCCTTCCTCGACATGCTGCCCTTGGATCTCTTGTGGAAGAGTGATGATGCTCCCATTGTGGCGTATCACCGTGTGTCGTATTACAAAATAAAATAAAAGTAAGGTCCAAATAGGTAAGATGAGTGCAAGGCCTGAGGTCTGATCAAAGGCTTGACGTGTAGAAGATAAGACCGAAGGCCAATGTATGTTAATCCTTAAGGATGGAAAGGCTTGATAGAGAATCCAGGAACAGAAGCCTAGAAGAGTGGCAGGCCTTGCTGCATTAATATCTACGACGACCTGGCCCACGCGGGTCCCTGTAGATCTCTTGGTCAGCACAAGGGCAAGGAGTAGCCGGTGCCTTGCAGGATTTGGTTTGCGCTTGCGTAGGGCAAAAGCTTATTGCACCATCCGAAGAGCGAGAAAGATTTCACGGCATTATACCCGATCACCCCACGAACGCCTGCGTCATAGTGCTCGTTAAGCCACGCCAGCCGAGGGGGGAGGCCAACAGGGCTAACTCTGTATTCGTCCCCCTCGCTGTCACCGGCGTGTCAATCACTAAGCTGCAGTGCCTTGGTGTCTCAGCGCCCCGGCCGAAGCTAATGCTGCTGATGGTGTGCAGGATGGCAGAGCGAAGTGGGTTTGGTATGCAGTAGAGTCATCGCAGCGGCCGGTGGCCTGGCAGGCACCGGTTCTTCAGCAGGCCTACTAGGCTCGTGATTGGACCATCTCGTATACCCGTCATGACCTATGGGAGAGGGGGGTTCCAGGTGGAGATGAGATGAACTTCGTGATCCGTGATGCGGTGAGCAAAACGAGAAACACGGAGATTTGCTGTAGCCAAAGAGGGAACAAAGTCGCCGCCGACCCAGCACGGACGTTACCAGACCCGGGGCACAAGAGGTGAATCTGGCTTGGCCGACCCTGAGTTGGGCAGCTGAGCAGGCCAGGCTGGCAGGGAGCGGAGCTGAGAGAGGCAAAAGAACACTATGCGAATGATTCCATGACATGGATGATCGGCAGGTTCAGATCGCGATGGTGGGGCACGGAGAGTCCTGATCAGAGCCAAGCGTTGCTATTCTTGCTATCCAGGAATTTTTTTTCGTCCTTGGCTCTGTGAAACGGCGTCCCCCGCAAGAATGGGAGCACGCACCAGGCGAAACCAAGGAACCGGCGGCGTTTGCATCAATTGGATAGCGACGCTGCTAAAGCCTGCTGAACGTCGCTTTCTGCCTCGGCCGCATGACCTTCAATTTCTTAATTCCAAGGCACTGAGTCGTCCAAACCTTGGGGCTCATCCGATGCTGCAATGCAATGCAACGTGCGGGCAGAAGCGAACACCACCACGCGCGGGTAGATCTGTAAGCATAGCAGACAGACACAGACAGACACGCACCTGCACGTTTGTTCTTGCTGACCTGACAGGGAATGGCCGCTTGCACAAACGAAGCCTAGCTGGCATGTGTGGGCCACTGCCGTGCCCGGTCTGCACCAAGCTGCTGGGTACGAGGTCATGGGAGACTCTTCTGCGAGTTTAGCTCGCGCAAATCGCCTCTTAGGGGCGAAATCTAGACTACTATGGCACCGAATCCGTAGTCGGACACGCGAGGTGAGCCGAGAGCCCCGACAACCGAGCGATTCTTGCTTCTTACTGGTCCCGACTCTTACTATACTGGCCCCTGCCCTGCCCACTTGGTATAGCGCACTAAATGGTGGAGGGTGTAAACTGGGCGTTTTGACTGGCCGGGTTCGCCGCGGCGAGTTGCTATCTGCAAGGCTGGGACCGGGCATTGCTCGTATCAGAACGGCAGAGCGGCTCGGTGGGATGGCAGTTGGTGACAAGCAATGGAAATAATGGCCGAGAACAGGACTTGGTTCCCTCTGAGCATTTCCAGAGGGGCAACAGGGAATAGAAGAAACCTACGGAAGCTTGGTTGCCCTGAGAGTTCAGCTCGTGAAAGCAAAATCGGCAAACGCGGGCAGATGAAGCTTCTCGGATGGAGAGAACGTTAAGGCCATCTCAGCAGCTAGCTGCCAGCGCGAACTCTCGCCCCGTAGAGTGGTGTTGGAGCCCTCCAAGGCTGTTCGGCAGACTAGTCTCGGCCTGCTGATTAAGCTCTGATCAGTCATCCATTTTTGGACTCATTGTTGGCGTCGGAGGACGGAGACTCGGGCGATGATGTGAGCTCACGACTCATGCTGCACGGGATGGGGACATGTAAAAGGCCATCATGAAAGAATGGGCTGTTGAAGTGGCCCTATGCTAGATTAGCTTAAACTAAGATAGCATGATGCTCTCTGCAACCCTATCTGGCCCATCAAACATGGTTCGATAACGAAGCTTCAGGCCGCCGTGATACCCGGATGGACTCATCCAGGCACCAAAAAGTCAATTGTCCGGAGCTCACATGGCGAAATGCCAGATGCAAGTTAACAATGGTGCAACAAAGAAACCGCGGCTTCTGACTGTAGATCATCCAACACTGAGTTCCAAAACGGAAGTTGGCTCGCGGCTTGATAGTCACTGGTTTCCGCTCTAGATACTCATTCCAACAAGCTGCATATGTCCTGGCCTCCACGACTTAACGAGATGAAAGGATCTGCATGTCTTCTGAGACGATGGCAGCGGGTGACTGGCCGACAAGTAGAATATATGAACGAGCATGCCGGCGAGGCACGGCGCTGTCAATGAATAATGGAGCCGAACCCCATGTTGGCCACTCGCTTGATAGCGGCAGCCAGGTCAATGTCGTGGAGTGCGATGCGGAGTACGGGGTAAAACGAGAGGGAGGAATGGTACACAGTGACCTTCGCCAACCCGCCAAGACAGCCTAGGCAGGCTGAAAGTCATCCAAGTCCATTGAGTCATGAAGCCTCCCATCGGCCTTCGGGGTCGGTATAATATAGCGAGCGATCAACGACTTTCGGGTACTACTGCTCGGTGGCTCGGTATAAGGCTGAAATCTGCGGCAGACCCCAAATTTTTTGGCATGTTGTGCTCGACTCGTGATGCTGATTTCGGTAGCTCCCGCCTCTGAGATGGACGAATGATAACCGCTGAAAAGAGCAGGTGTCATAGACCAAGGGGAAATTTTTCTCCTGGGTGTTGATAGCTACAAGATGCCGTCGTTTTCACCGGGGAGCCGCTTGACACGCTTTTGCTCCCAGTCATCGAGATCCTTGGCAGCCAACCTCTGCGATCGCACCGCCGTCAGCTCTACTGCAGATCATGACAACCAGAGTAAGATGCAAAGTGAAGACTCACGTAGTATTCGTCCTTCATGTTTACTCTGCGGCCAGCCTTGCCAACACCCAGCTCTTCCTCGCGAGTCATTTGTCGGACCCTGCGGTCATGCTTTTCATACCGCACGGCGGTCGCCGGCGTCAGCACGAAGGAGCCGGCAACAATGACGGACATGAACGGTAGACCAAAGAGCAGGAAGGGATGCTTGGCCATCAAGGCGCGGTACTTGGTAGCGAAGTTGTTGGCATCGGCGGCGCCGCGAAATTTCTTGTTCGGAAAGACAGCCATGACGACAGATGCTTCCACCGGCGACGCGGGCGCGTTCACTTGTCGCGAGATGACGGTAAAGCGAGTACGAGTGAGAATTGGCAAAGTGACGTACGTGAAAGGTCGATGAGATTTGTTTTATGCACCGTTGGGCGTGACAATTGGCACTTTCAGGCAAGAATCCTGGTCCTTAAGACGGGAAAGGAGAGCATCGTCAGGAGAAGCTCGGGCTCGGGTGACATCAGCCAACTAGAAAAAAACTGGCCATGCCTGCTTCGCAGGCGCTGAGGCCCTGTGGCCCGTTATTGGCTAGGGCGCCCTTACGTGACCAAGGCTGCTAACCAGGTACCCGAAGTCCCCTTGCCACAGTAGGGTCCCTCCCCTCGGTCGGGTGTGAAAAAGGCCCCCGCGCCGAGAATGGTACAAGGTAATTGGGCGCCACGTGACTGCGCGCCCCCGAAAACCCCCAGGTTCGCGTAAATTGACGTCGACCGCGTTCCAAGCCACAGTGCCGCAGACATCCATCGACGGGCTCAACCAACCTTGCTGGCTGCTTGCATTGGTGAGCGATGATAGCCAGACATCATGGGGCCGACTTCCCACGGAGGCCCTGCACCCCAGAGTCGGGATAGCTTCACCAACGGTGCCCAGGGTCATGGCCCGCCGCCATCGACACTGGCTGCCCAGCTGGTGGACAACATCTCGGCGTCCACGCGATCTTCCAGACCCGATGAGACGGCCGAGCTCAAGAGGTTCTTCACCGTCATCGAGACGGTCAAGAACCGACCTGAGTCGCTGAGAACACACGAAGAACGTGTCGAGCACAACCATATGCTCATCTACGTGTATGCCCGCCTGTCTCTCGATGGTCTTAAGTGGGATGACCCATTTGCCGCCCCAGCCCAGCTGCACTCGGAAGCCCGAAACGCCATCAACTTCCTGAAAATCACCATAAAGGAGACACCAGATGTGCTGCTTGCTTGCAACACCGGAAACTCGTTCATCTTCCGTGGCCGTGAGCCCCTCTGGGCATGGGTCTTGCCCAAAGTCCTTAGGATGCTTGGCCGCAACCAATGCCTTGCTCTAACTTCCGCTATAGAAGGGTTCTTTCAAGATATCTTCCTCGTAGCCTGCCAGACTGGGTCTCTGTGGCCCTTGCTCCCTGCGATACTGGACTATATCCGTTCGAATTTCAAGGGTAAGCCGTGACAATGACATACAAGCCTGCCTCCTTTACTAATCTCCTCCAAAGCCACGTTCGACCATGTGTTAGAGATCAAATCTACCATCGCCGAGAAGGATATCTCTCTTAGCTTACGCCTCCCTGTAGACTCTGTTCTAGAGGAGACAGCTCCCGGGGGAGATCTTTCTGCCCTACAGCAGCAATGCACCTATAGGATCAATACTGTCTCCCATGCTCTCCGCCATGCCTCTTGCCTCTTAAATGTGGTGGCAAATCTACTTAGCTCTCGCCAATTGAGCAGTGCTATGGTCTCATCGCCGTTAGAATGCCTGCCTTGGCTCTTGGATTCCTGCTACGAACTCGGCGAGGCCCACGATCTTTGGCACACGCTGTGCCCAACCATCATGCCCTCCTTACTCCAGACTGCCGCGCAGCTGACAACAATCTGTCGAAGCTCGCTTGAAATTGCTTTACCGATAAAACAGAAAGTTTTTTCTTTGTTAGTGTCTCTATCTGCAATGGCAGCGGGGCGATTGGATCGACTGGCGACTACCGCAGAAAATGGCGAACTGCTCAGACAACTGTTGTGCTCCAACATTCTGACTCTAGCTCGTCTGTCTCTCGACCATCGTCCAGTCGCGAAACTCGTTTCTGCACAACTACTTCCAATTCTCGAAAAGCTGTCCATTCATGGAGATTTGTTGGCACCAGGAACAGATCTCTGGGTAAGTGCGAGAGGCCAACCCAGGAAATACAGGATACTGATACAATTACAGAGGTGTTTCCATATGCTGCAAAAAGCTTCTTCTGGATCTACCCTTACACCAACCGAAGACGACCCAAGTCTAGATCAGTTCAATGACCAAGACCTCCGCCAGCAGTTACGAAGGCTAAATCTCAGGATTCCGGCCGAAACACTGGTAGAGCCGCCATCCAAGCGTAGGAAGACCAGCGATATGCCACTAGCATTGGCGCAAGTATTGGCGGCATTATGTCAAAAATTGGGCATCGCAGACAAAACCGATTATGAGAGCCTGGAGAGGATAGCGAAGTAAGTTTAGGTCATTGCCCGTCTATATCGTCATCTAACCATCCCAGGAACTCCTTTGGTCAACTAAAAGAGGCCGACCAATGCACTGTAATCGATCTCGTCGGCCACGCGTGCTGTGCTGCTGACGGCACAATGACCGTGATCGAGGCGGAGACAGGCGTCGTCGCAAAATTCCGATGCTCTCATTGCTTGGGTCAAGATATGGTTGATGTTGCACCAACATGTGCTGAACCCACTTTGAAATCAGTCGTGTACAGGGTATTCAAGGCACTAGTAGACATTCCAAGCTTCAGCGAATCGCGCCGTCCTCGTGTTCTTGCTATGGCGACACTGAGGCGGTTGGTTCGGCACTCTAACGATGGCGAATTTCTCCATCTTGAGTCCTCGAGCACCGGATTATGGTGCTTCAAATCACTTCGAAGCTCAATTCGCGAGCTGCGAATAGCTGCCAGGTATGCCTCATCTCGCTGACATCGATACCCGACTAGAGCACTCGCATCTGACTGACTTGTCCGCAGCCGTACACTACCAGTTTACTTGCAGGACTGCGCCCTAAACCACCCTTGCAGAGATGTTTTGCAAAAGAATCGGCATTTTGCTGTGGACATACTTCGGCACATCTCGGAACAGAACTCTCCTGGCATGGCTGAAACCTGCATATATGCATGGTCCCATTTCGGAAGGTGCGTCTAAATATTCTGATCTATCCCACCCCTACTGACTAGATAACAGAGTCTTGCCTGATGAACAATTGAACTTGACCTTGCTAAAGCTTGTTGAATATCTAGGTCATGCAAGTATAGTCGCCCCAGCAGCGGCCTTTGATGAGGTATGTTCGGTCGTGACTTATTAAAGCTGCCAAACTCGATCTCATCAAACATCTTCAGATTCTTAACTTGGCTCGTTTTCGATGTATAACCCCGCGACAGCTATTTGAGCCTTTCTGGAGACACCTGGCTTTCCATTCCGTGAAAGACCTGGCATCGGCGCCGAAACTCACTTGTCTACTTGCTGAGTTGCTTGAGCTTCCCATTCCTGAGTTCCTCAAGCTCATACAGCGAGACGCACTTCCATGGCTCGTCCTCCACAAGAAGAGAGATGTCATCCAGAAGATCGCAGAAGCTCGTTCGGATTTGGGTACGCATCAACCAATTTTAGACAAGGACAACCTAGGACCGATCGTCGCTCTTCTGCTCGTACAAGATGCGCCAGACGTTGCTACCCACGCAATGGATCTTCTTCGGCATGCTTCGTCTCATTTTGATCAACTCAGTCTCGGCGACGTCGTTCTTCTGGAGCCCGTCATGATCTGTCTCGAGCTCTTGAAAGCTGCTGGCGATGCAGATGATGATCACAGACCCCACGTGAGCGTTGGACCCCAATTCAGATCTTGCAGGTTGTACTAATTTATTCTAGATGCATGCAGTACTCGATCACATGGTGAATGTATACCATGCAGCAAACGGTGAAACAAGACACAAGAAAGCCAGTGCCACTAGTCTCTTTCTTATGGACCAAGTACTTGGCCTTGTGTCGTGCTTGACGGACATCTTTAATAGTACTTCAACTTCTCGTTCCACTGTAGAGGAACAGAAGCGTTCCATCAGAGCAATGCGCGAAATGATACGAGTAGGCGGCAGGTCCATCCGGATTGCCAGACCCCAGGTGAGTGGCCCTTGCTGTCCGCCATGTTGGTCAGCATCTCATTTATTCTTCTAGATTTCAGCATGCATATTGTCGGCAATATCGCGTGACGAGCTTCGCACAGACGCGTTTTGGTGCTGGGCTGCCATGATCCATCATTTGGAGGAAGAAGATGTAGAAGTCCTCGTCGAAACGACCTTCTTTATCATCAACCATAACTGGAACTCTTTTGATGACGCCACACGAGGACGCTCTCGTGGTGTAATCGAGTTCTTGCTGAAGAAGTATCAACCTCTTATGGAGGAGTTGATCAGTAAGCTACCGTCGCTCAGCCACATCAACGAGCTGTCAGAGGTTGAAGCGCGACTAAACGCGCTGAGAAGTCCCGTCGACAATAGGACTGCATTCAATCTTCTTGCGGAGAGAATATCGCACGAGAACTCAGGTGTTGTGCTACAGGCTCTGAGAGAGCTTGCTGCGTATCTGCAAAGACAACAAGGATACTTACAAGCTTCCGCTGTGAGTGAGCAGCCGGACTCAGTAGTGTCAAATCTGGCACGCGCCCTTCTCGACTGCTGTTCGAGATACGCCACAGATCAAGGCGATATCAGCCGACTTTGCACTCAGAGTCTCGGTCTACTTGGATGTTTGGATCCAAACCGTGTTGAGACAGTCAGGGCTGAACGGCAAGTTGTAGTCGAGAACAACTTTGAGCACAGCGAGGAGACTACCGACTTTGTCCTTGTTCTTTTGGAGGATATATTGGTCAAGTCTTTTCTGTCTGCTACAGACACAAGCCTTCAAGGCTTTCTGTCTTACTGCATGCAGGCATTACTGGACAGATGCGATATCAGCGCCGCAGTCAAGCAGACAGGTCAACGAGGAAAAGATGCCGATCGAAAGTGGCGAAAATGGATAGCAATTTCAGAGGGTGCACGGGAGATCATCAGCCCCTTCTTGAACTCACGTTACAGACTCCAGGCCATGGCACAGCGGCCAACTGAATACCCGATTTTTCGACCAGGCAGAACCTATGGTGTTTGGATGAGGAACTTCACCCTTGACTTGCTTCGCAAACCACAAACGCCGTTTGCCGCTCTCATCTTCGAGCCGCTCTGTCGCGTTATCCGACTCAAGGATCTGTCCATTGCAGAATACCTGTTTCCTTTTCTCATCCTTCATGTTATTATAGGCGACGAGTGCAACAACGAAGTGAAGAGCAACGTTCTCAATGAACTGCTCAGCGTTCTCGAACATGAGCTTCCGAAAGAAGCTACTTTTGCTGAGAGGGAAGATAAGAAGCTCTACTACGAGGTGAGATTTGTTGATGAATAGCGCCATCACGGTACTGACCTGGCTAGGCTGTTTTCCGAGTTCTCGATTACGCCATGCGCTGGCTACATCTCAAGCGCAGTCGACAAAATCAGACACCAAAGGATGCTGCAGCAATGCAGAGTGTACAGAAAGTACTTGAATCTGTCCCGGCAGAGTTGATATCGCAACGAGCGGTCGATTGCAAAGCATACTCGCGCGCCCTTTTCCATCTTGAGCAGCATATACGTCAAGTCGAACAAGAGAAAGCCAATGGCGGCGATGAGAGGGAGCGATTGCTGCAGAGGCTTCAAGACATCTATGCTCAGATAGATGAACCTGACGGCCTAGAAGGCATCTCTGCCCACCTTCAAGTGCTCGACATTAATCAGCAGATTCTGAGCCATCGTAAGGCAGGGCGGTGGACAGCAGCTCAAACCTGGTACGAGATGAGATTGGCTGAGAATCCAGACAATCTTGACGCTCAAATCGAACTCCTAACTTGCCTCAAGGAGTCTGGCCAGCATGGTATGTACTTGTTCATCTGTCTACTTGCAACGAACTGACACTCCATCGTAGATGTCCTCTTGAATTATGTTGAAGGTATCGAGAAGCATACGGCCATAACTACTATCAACCAGATAGTGCCTTACGCCGTGGAAGCATCCTGGGCGACCGGGAGATGGACGACCATGCATAAGTTCATCTCCAAGTATCAAGGGGATCTCAGTGAGAACTTCAACGTATCTCTGGCTCAAGCTCTTCTGCATCTACAGAAAGGCAACAAAAAGGATTTCATGGAGGACCTGACGATGATGCGGGATCGCATCAGTTCGTCCATGACGTTCACAGCCACATCATCCTTGCAGACGTCCCATGAAGCCATGCTCAAATGTCATGTGTTGTCTGACCTTGAACTTGTGGCTGGCATTAACAACGACGGTAGTGAGCACCCACAGGAGACTCTGAAGTCTCTCGATCGTCGTCTGGAAGTTCTGGGATCGTATGTCAATGACAAGCAGTACATCCTGAGTATCAGGCGTGCTGCCATGGAATCAATGCGGTAAGTTATGATCTATCACCTGTAATTTGATGGCAACTGACCAGTGTAGATCTCGGTTCAACAATTTGGACATCTCTAAGCTATGGCTATCCAGTGCAAGGCTTGCGCGAAAAGCCAATTCCTTGCATCAATCTTTCAATGCTGTGCTTCACGCCGAACAGTTGGGAGACGCCAATGCTACCATCGAGAACGCACGGATCCTCTGGAAACAGGGCCACAACAGGAAAGCCATACAAACTCTGCAGAGCGCAGTCACCAGCAACGTATTCGCTAACCACAGTTTTGCCACCGACGGCGACTCCTCAGAAAAGAATGCCGACTCGGTACAGAGCATGGTCACTGCCCGCGCACAGCTACTGCTTGCGAAATGGCTTGATACGGCTGGCCAGACACATGCCAGTGCGTTGCGTCAACAATATCAGAACGTCCCCAAGAACTACGGTCAGTGGGAAAAGGGGCACTATTACCTGGGGAGGCACTACAAGAAATTACTGGAGTCAGAAAAGGCTCTGAAGTTAGAGGACCAGTCCGACGAGTACCTTACCGGAGAAACAGCAAAGCTCGTCATTGAGAATTACATCCGTTCTCTCAATTATGGTACCAAGTACCTATACCAGACTCTTCCCAGGATCCTAACACTCTGGCTTGAGATGGGTGCTCAAGTCGACAAGCCACCTCCGAACGCACCGCCCAAGGTTTCTTTGGCAACTGAGCTTCACCACCGGCGGCTCACCCAGCTCAACTCGCTACAAAATTACTTGCACAAGTATTTGCAGCGACTTCCCGCATACATCTTCTATACAGCACTTCCGCAGATTGTTGCACGTATCGCTCATCCCAACAAGAGCGTCTTTCAGCTGCTTGAGGAGATCATCCTTAAGGTTGTCGAGGCCCACCCGAAGCAGGCCTTGTGGAGTCTATTCGCCATCATGACCTCGACGTCGAAACAGGCTAATTCCGATCGCCGGCAGCGAGGACAGCAGATTTTGCAAAGACTCCGGGAGTCCAAGAAGAAAGCTGAAGGGGGCTCATACGAACTAAAGACATTGCTTCGGATGGGCGAAAAGCTGGCGAACCAGCTGCTTCTGGCTTGCAACAACGGCGACTTTCAAAGTAACCGAACAACACATGCCAGCATCACGCGCGATCTGAACTTCAATCACAAGTGCACACCATGCCCATTGGTCGTGCCAATCGAAACTTGTCTCACGGCCACCCTGCCTACTTTGACAGACAATGTCAAGAAGCACAAAGCCTTCTCGCGGGATGTCATCACTATTGATTGTTTCCTGGACGAGGTACTGGTCCTTGGTTCACTAGCCAAACCTCGAAGGCTCACAGCTCGAGGATCGGACGGCAAGAGCTACATGCTTCTCATCAAGCCCAAAGACGACCTCAGGACCGACCAACGCCTGATGGAGTTCAACAGCATGATCAATAGGTCATTGAAACGAGATGCAGAATCTAGCAGGCGGCAACTATACATCAAGACGTACGCAGTCACACCGCTCAACGAAGAATGCGGCATCATCGAATGGGTTGATGGTTTGAAAACTCTCCGCGACATTCTCCTCGTCATCTACCGATCGCGCGGGATTGTTCCTAACTACAACCATCTCGCCCAGATGATGAAGGACGCGGCGCTCAATGAGAAGAACACCAAGTTGTTCACGGATGGGGTGCTCGGGATGTTCCCGCCTGTTCTGCCGCAGTGGTTTGTTTCGCAGTTTCCCAATCCGTCGGCGTGGTTTGCGGCTCGGCTGAGGTACACGCGTTCCAGTGCCGTCATGTCGATGGTAGGGACGATTCTGGGACTTGGCGACCGACACGGCGAGAATGTCCTTCTCGAGGAAGGGAACGGTGGTGTGTTCCACGTCGACTTCAATTGCCTCTTTGACAAGGGTCTCACCTTTGCCCAGCCTGAGCGTGTCCCCTTCCGGCTGACCCACAACATGGTGGCGGCCATGGGCATCCACGGCTACGAAGGGCCCTTCAGGAAGTGCTCCGAGCTGACGCTGAGCATCCTAAGACAGCAGGAAGAGACTCTGATGACGATCCTCGAGGCCTTCATCTTCGACCCGACGCTGGACCTGCAGAAGGACAAGAAGCGCAAACACGAGATTGTGAAGCTCAACCCGACGAGCGTCGTGGAGAGCATCAAGAGGAAGGTCAGGGGGCTGCTGGCGGGGGAGAGCATCCCGCTGGGCGTCGAGGGACAGGTCGAGGAGCTCATCAAGCAGGCCGTCAATCCTCGAAACCTGGCGGCCATGTACATCGGGTGGTGCCCGTTCCTGTGATGGGATGAAAGGGTTCACACATCCGTCTGTCAGACAGATTGAGTATTAGCGAGCTTATATTGAGCACTTGTATCTAGATATCTCCGTGGAGGAAAAAAATTATAAAGTGAAGGCCGTATGGCTTTGCTTTGAGACAAAGTCTCCTGTGAACGTTGCTTCCTTTTTCTGGGACGTGTTTCTAGGCCACTGCAGATCAAATCCGGGAACACTAGGGCATCCTTCTCTGGTCATGGCATGCGCAGCTGTTGTGAGGTCATCCCAGCCATAGAAAAAATCAAAAGCCTTGAATGTATATTTATATGTTCATCCAATCGCGGAAACATTGGTCACTGCAATAGCTCGAACCGTGTGGATGTCGGACTGTCTTCATCACAGCGCCAGAGCCCGGAGCCCCCTGAAGCTCAGGCGAGATTGGTCATAGCTCCTGCTGGGGGTGGTGGCCTGATGGCCGCCTAAATTCTCCAATTTTGTGACGCGACCGCTGCCCAGGGAACCAGCCAACCACGCGTTTCAGCACAGCGGAAAGCCGCCCGCCAGCCTACCTAAGGGATTGAACTCATCAGCCAACGTCCAAATAAAAATACGAGGCCGGCTCTCCATCCCATCTCTGAATATCTGCCAGCAGCGCCTCAGGCTCATTTCAAACCCACCATCTCGAATCCGACGACGACAGTGACAAGACACCATGTCTTACCGCATCGGTACGTGATAGTTTGTTTAAATTCTCCTAAGCTCTCGAGATGTGCATCCGTCCCTGGACTTCTGACGTCACGCTCAACACATTACGCTCGCTGTTCGACTAACATCTGTCACAGAAGTATCTCCCAACAACCGTGCCGGTTGCAAAGACACAGTCTGCAAGAACAGCGGTACCAAGATCACCAAGGGTGAGATCCGCTTCGGTGCCTGGGTCACTTTCCAGGAGCATGGAAGCTGGCACTGGCGACACTGGTATGAATGTCCCCATCAAGCTCCTCCGGTTTTGACCAACCCAATGCTGACGTCGAAAATTAAGGGGCTGCGTCTCGGGCGCTTCCATTGCCAATCTCCAGCAGAACATTGAGCGCAATGGCGAGTACGACTGGGACATGATTGACGGCTGGGAGGAGTTGGAGTGAGTATCTTCCGTTTGCACTTCTATGTGTCACATATGAACGCTGTTACTGAGAATTTCTATCAGGGATCACCCTGAGGTCCAGGAGAAGATCAAGCGCGTTATCAACCAGGGACATATTGATCCCGAGGACTTCAAAGGCGTGAGTGACACCCATCCGGCCCCATGTCAATTTTCTTACTGACGGCTCCCAAGGATCCTGAGTTCAACAAGCCTGGTCAGAAGGCTATTCGAGGCCGACCAAAGAAGGCCAAGGCCAAGGCTGACGATGAAGATGAGGCCGAAGACGCCCCACCCAGCTCTGCCCCGAAGCCGGCCAAGCGTGGTCGCAAGAAGGCCGATGCTGGCGATGACGATGAGGAGGCCCAGCCGAAGAAGAAGTCTAGAAAGTCTGCCGGCAAGGCCGATGACGATGAAGAGGAGAAGCCTGCCAAGAAGGCAAGGGCCAAGAAGTCTGCCAAGAAGGCCGCCGTCAAGGACGAATCTGACGACGAGAGCGAAGAGGAGAAGCCTGCTCCAGTCAAGAAGGTCCGAGGCCGAAAGGCTGCTGCGAAGAAGGAGCCGACTCCCGAAGAAGACGATGAGGAGATGGCCGAGGAGGAGGAAGAGGAAGAGAAGCCTGCACCCAAGACCAAGGCTAGGGCCGGCCGCAAATCGAAGGCGACTGCTGCTGCTGCTGACGAAGAACCCGCCCCGGCAAAGCCCAAGCGCGGCCGTCCCAAGAAGGCTTAAGTTCTTGCGGCTTCTCCCAACTCAGAGGAAGGAGAGTCGATTTGGATGGGTTCCCAAGCAGTGTGGCTGCTGCAACTGGCGGGTGCTCTCCGTCTCCGTCCCCGTTTACCCTGTCAGTTGACCTTCACAGTCGGTCGCCTGCAATCGGCTGCTTTGTACTATACCACCCTCGTCTTGCCTGACTGGTTTTCTTGTTTGTTGAGGCCGATGCCGGTCTACCGTCGATCCAGTGAGGACATCGTCTGTAATGTATGGGTTGCCGTTGCTTCCTGCGAGGATACCAAGAATGTTCCGAGAATAGGGACACATGTTTGCACTATCGAAGATATACTACTGCTAGCTCAAGTTGCCTCACATGGCCATGTTGTAATTGACCAATTTTTATGTACGGGCTACCCGCAGCATGCCAGAGGGTTATGGTTGTTTTGCAGTTGTTGGAAATTTTGTCGATGGTGATGGGGAAATGATATACCATCTTCTTCAAAGCGATGAGCCGCACGACTTTCTATTACTAGCTGAACCAAACATTGATAGTACGAAACTCCCAGAGGTTCCCGTGCCACACTCAACCCACGCCTCACGCCAACCCGGCGGCCGGTTTCACGCTATGAACTCCCCCACAGATACATATACATACCATCTACCTCTTCTCAACGTCGTCGTCGTCGCCGCCGCCGCTCCCGCACCTCCTCGTCATAGCACTCCCGGCATGCGTAGCGGCTCAGCTCCGTCACCCACTTGGGCCACAGACGCGCGCACTCGACCGTGCCCCGCCGCGGCTGCGTGCACGACGTCAGGCCGTCGGGCAGCACCGCGTGGAAGTGGTACTGGCTGTAGGTGCAGCTGATGTTCTCCCGGCACCGGCGGCACCGCTCGATCACCAGGCGGCCGCCGCACATTTGTTTTTCGTAAACTGTTTATTATTTTCTTGTGTCTTGTGCCTTCTTCCCTTGGACTGGGGGCTTGGCCCGGGGGCATATTGCTGTGGAAGGACTTCCTCTTGTGGCGTGATTTGTCTCAAAGCCGGACTTGCCATGTTGCGGTCCAGGCAGGACTAGGTGCAGTCGTACTATCTTACTATGTCTGGTTCATGAGTTATACACGTTTGTGATTATTCTCTCATGTAGGTCAGTACCCCGAATACGAGAGTAATACCGCCCGGAGTGTGCGTTGATAAATTTTATAATCGATACAATCACCGCACAAATATGTTTCAGGCAACGTTGAATCACTCAAGAGTAAGTTAGTACAATTATGAAGACGAGGTGATTCTCACTACACCAAATCTTGTGACTGTACCAAGCGATCTTGTTGAGAAATAAATATTCAATTAAAATGGGTATCTAATCATGTTGCCGTGTAGCCCTCCCGTCACCAGGACTAAACCGCCCAGTAGACCTTCACCTCGACCTTCTTGACCTGGTTCTCCCAGCCTCCGAACCTGGCCCTTCCCCAGACCGTGACGACGTCGCCAAATTTCATGTTCCTCACGAATTCTCCAGACCCCGTAGCCTGCCCTCGTCCCGCGGCCTTGAGGTCGTCTCCTTCTGGCGTCTGCGCGTCGATGTCATCGGTATACCTCCACTCGACGTGGTGCGTCTGCGTCTCTCTAATTGCCACCTTGTTGCACTTGATCGTGTGCTCGGGCGACCAGAACAGCTCGTGGTCATATTGCACCTGCCCATTGACATCCGCCTTGCCTTTCGGCCAGATGGGACGCAGTGCACTGAGAGGTAGACGGGAGCCGTTTTGGGCTTCGCGGCCATCAGGTTTGGCGTCGAAGCGCTCCAGGCCGGCGTCAAACCAGGTGTACGCGCCATGGTAAGTCCCCTTGTCACCACGCCCGCCGCCCCAACCCTGGTCATTGCTCTGGATGTTGAAGACGATTTTCCGGCAAGGACTAACCAAGGTCGACTCTAGTCTCTCGTCACGGTACTCTTCCAGTTGTTCACGGGGGTACTCTTCACGAAGGTGCCGAGGGGCCGACGGTAGTTGCCAGGCATCATCACGGTCAGGAACCCAAGATGACATGGCCAGGGGCTCGGTACGCAGGAGGAACTCGTTCTCGTTCTGCGTGCCTCGAATTGATAGATAGCCGCGCTGCAGGGGAGTGTAGTCCACGCTGGCGGAGGAGCAGGCCCAGTACTCGGCCTCGTCCATAACCTGCAAGATGATCTCGTCAGGCAGGTTGCCGGCGCTTCTCAACATGTCCTTGACGGTGATAACGTCGTCCAGATCGGGATCGTAGGGCCCGCCCTCTGAGCTAACAGCGGGAGCGGATGGCGGCTCCTCCGACTGTTTGCGAGCCGGGCCCACAGTAGGCGGCGGGCGCCGGTGGCCCGGCATCACTCTACCTCCGCGGCGGTTCATGACGAGGGGCATGTGTGAAGCGTGTTGTGCTGATGCAAATCGCCTCTGGAAGTAGTAGTATCCCAGGAAGACGAGGATGAAGGTGAGGGCGAAGTCAAACATGATGTATACAGGCGTGTGCTGCAGATATAGCGAGCAGTCGTAGGCTTATGACGTGGGCCCGCCCAATAAACGTCGCTTATGCAAAGAAGGGGAAGGTCGGTTGGCCCGGGGGGGTTCTACCCAGTAGTTCCCGCAGAACGGTGATGACTCAATTTGAGTGGTGGGAGGCCTAGTTAGCAGTAGAGTTGCAAAGCAACCTAGGTTTCCGGTTTCATGTGCTGCCAAGGGCTGCCGGTCCCAGAGACGCGCTGCTGATGTCGCTTGCAGGCTCTTGACGGAGTGGTATTTGACCCTTCTCTGTCAGTGTCAGAGTGTGGTTGTGCCTCCCCAAGGGTGGATTGGCAGGCCTCTACATAGTACGTCGCCGAACCTAGTGCCAGTTGCCGCATTAGGTACCTGTGTCAACTGTGGATGGTGAGCAGTGAGGGTATGACGGAGCGTTGACGGCGGCGATCACAGGCCATCCAGTGGCACAGTCCCGTCCACGGGGTCCCCTGGAAGGAGGCAAAATGACATCAGTGGGGTCACAGGCCTGGCTGGACCCCAGGTGGACCCTGGAATTAGTGTACCGTACATAGATGGCCGTGGACAATGGGCTTTCAGGTTCGATAAGACAAAGCCCCCGATAAGAAGTGGCCCACGGTATCGATAAGAACTTGCCAGACCCGGGTTGACCACTTCCGCTTTATCATCACGTGAAATAACCTCATCCCCCGAGCAGCTCCAGCTCCGATCGGCGGCGGGCTCTGCCGAGGACCTGTCACTATCCCGTTCCCCAAAAAAAGAGTTGCCCGCTGACAAACCAGCGGAGGATGGAGTAAGAACATATCTGTAGTCGCAGTCCATTGCGGGCTCGCAACCGGTTCTACGAATTTACGAAACGAACTTGCGACTATTTTGGCGCTCTTCAACATGAGAGCGCAAAGATTCGGTGCTGCGGCGCTGCGCAGGGTCTCGGCGTCGCTTCGACCCGCGAACTCGGAGTCGACTCGAGAAATTGTCGCGAGGCCTATCCTTGCAACGAGTGTGCAATGCACACGACAGAGCAGGCGCCAGCTACACTCGACACCGACGAGGCGAAATGGAGCAAGCGAGGGCGAGGCATCAAATCCAGCTATGGCGTTCCCATGTCTGGACGCTCTGGAGACGAGATCCGCGACTCTTGAGGCGAGGTCTCTCTCCACCGGCCCCGAGCCCACTTACACGACCGGCGCCACCGAGCTGTTCCATTGCAAAGATCCCTTGCTCCTCGACTGGGGCGGCGTGCTCCCCGAGTTCGACATTGCCTACGAGACCTGGGGGAAGATGAACGCGGACAAGTCCAACGTTATCCTGTTGTACACCGGTCTTTCCGCCTCTTCGCATGCCCATTCAACCCCGGCCAACACGCAACCCGGCTGGTGGGAGAAGTTCATCGGTCCGGGGCTCAGCCTTGATACCGACAAGTACTTTGTGATATGCACAAACGTAGTCGGTGGCTGCTTTGGTTCGACCGGCCCTAGCAGCATCGATCCCGCCGACGGCCAACGATATGCGACGCGCTTCCCAATCGTCACCATCGAGGATATGGTCCGCGCCCAATTCCGGCTCCTCGACCACCTGGGAGTGGAGAAGCTCTATGCGAGTGTAGGATCCAGTATGGGCGGCATGCTGTCGCTGGCCTCAGGTGTGCTGTTTCCTTCCCGAGTTGGACGCATAGTCTCCATCAGCGGATGCGCAAGGAGCCACCCCTACAGCATAGCTATGCGGCATACACAACGGCAGGTCTTGATGATGGACCCCAACTGGAACAGGGGACACTACTACGACAAGATTCCTCCCCACGCTGGCATGAAGCTGGCCAGAGAAATCGCCACCGTTACATACCGATCAGGCCCTGAGTGGGAGCAGAGGTTTGGCCGTCGGAGGGCAGACCCCGAGAAGCCACCGGCATTGTGTCCGGACTTCCTGATTGAGACGTATCTCGACCACGCTGGCGAGAAGTTCTGCCTGACATACGATCCCAACAGTCTTCTCTATGTCAGCAAAGGCATGGACCTCTTCGATCTCGGGAAGGAGACCCAGCAGGCGGCTGCCCAGCGTCGAGCGCAGCGGACGCAGGAGATCGAGTCAGGCTCCGAGCCGAGGGCGAATGATCCGTCGTGCAGCCTTACGCTACCCGATTCGCCTTACCTGGAACAGCCGGAGACGAAGCTGGAAGACGACAATTCGCCGGTCAAGGTGGCTTCCCGGCCTCCAGACGATCTCATTGCTGGTTTGTCTCCATTGCGAGATATCCCGACGCTTGTGATGGGTGTCGCCAGTGATATCCTCTTCCCGGCATGGCAGCAGCGCGAAGTCGCTGCTGCACTGCGACTTGGTGGCAACAGGAATGTATCCCATGTCGAATTGAGCGAGGAGCAGAGCATGTTCGGCCACGATACTTTCTTGCTCGACTTGAAGCACGTCGGCGGTAGTGTCCAGAACTTCCTTGGCTAAGCCCTAGCTTTGGAGTGCTTGAAACCGCCTTGGGTATCGAGCTTGAGCAATCGAGATGTTTCAACGACGAGAGGCGCTTACATTATGCACAGCCCCGTTCGTCATGTACATTCGCCATTTTGCATACACACGGAGTTTCAGGTAGCATAGATGTTGAATCACAAGTGGATAAAAGGATATTTACATAAGGCTCCACTTCAGGAAAATTGTACTTGCAGACTCTATACCTAACTCAAAATAGCCGCAAGAAGGCAGATGTTCTTTAACACATCTCCAGCCTTCTCGTTGAATGAAGTCCGGGTCACGCAGGTTCCCTTGCGTCTGGCTTATTAGTGTTTGCCATGGAAGCAAAATACATATCCCTGCAATCCGTCGGCCTATTTGCGGAGAACAGCTTAGCAAGTAAACGAATACGATCACGATGGCATGATTGGACAGTCATGCCATCGCGGGGTATCATGAAATCATGCAAAAGATGGGATCCCGATTGTAGGAACGTGCCTGTACGCGTCGTATATTGTAACCGAATGCGAAACGAGTAAACTAAAAGTCTTGGGCTGCGAGCGCATACATAAATCAATGTGCCTGCTTGACCATTAGCTTCTAGTCACTCAATATATCACAAATTGCCAAACCTCACGCAGCCTCTGGATCATTTTTCAGCACCCGAATTGATTACCAGCTGCCCTCTTATTCAACCACACCACATAATGACGTCCCAATCTCTAAAAGGCACGACAGTGCTCGTGACGGGTGCAGCCGGTGGCCTAGGGAAGGCTATTGCCACGGCATACCTGAATGAGGGCGCGAATGTTGCGATATGCGATATAAACGAGACCAGGCTCAACGCCACTCGCGAGCAGTTTGAATCAACGGGGCGTTTTCTAGCCCTCAAGTCAGACGTCACGGACGAAGCTGCGGTGCAGTCTCTGGTCGAGGAGACCGTAGCCAAGTTCGGCCGCCTGGACATCCTCGTGAACAACGCCGGCATGATGGACGCCTTCGACCCCGTGGGCGACCTGTCCAAGCAGACCTGGGACCGCGTCATCGGGCTCAACCTCACGGGCAGCTTCCTGTGCATGAAGTACGCCGTGGCGCAGATGCAGAAGCAGCAGGAGCCGCGCGGCGGCACCATCCTGCAGATCGGCAGCAACGCGTCGTACATGGGCTTCTGCGCCGGCGCCGTCTACACCGTCTCCAAGCACGGCGTCGCCGCCCTGGTCAAGCACACGGCTGGCCACTACGGCGACGAGGGCATCTATGCAGTCGGCCTCATGCTCGGCGCCATGGTCGACACCAACATCTCCGAGGCCCTCGGCATGCACGGCTTCAACCAGGCCGCCTACGCCAAGAACGCCAGCGCGAGCTTCCGCCCCGAGGCCGACGCCGTCCAGCTGAGGGACGTCGCAAAGTACTGCGTCTTCTTGGCCGACCGGAGCATCGCCGCCACGGCCAACGGGAGCTGTGTGCCGTTCAACAAGAACTGGCCCAAGGCGTAATTAGTTGGCGCTTGGCTCCGGATGGAGGGTAAGATTCTGTGTTGCGGTTTAATGGATCATGGTCGTGTATTATGGATAGGAGAATTAGCCATAAGGTTAGTTGAGAAACATACTATTACAATTATTCATAAATGTCTGTACAACCTCCACAGTTGTGACTATCAGCCATATCACCTGAAACCATGTGAGACAATGCATGGTGGTTCTACTAAGTAGGTATATCTGGGTTTATCAGAAAGCTACAATAGCTCGGCAGATACTTTTTCTTCATTGATAACGCGATGGCGTCGACACCAATCAGGCTCATGGCAATGCTCTTCTCCGCCACGTCAGCGACAGGGCTACATCGCATTTACTAACACCAACAGTATAATTAGATGCCGCACTCAGTAGCGCAACTTTTAGCGGGGAGCGGGGGCATCTCTCCTGCAGATCAGCGTTGGCCCACATTCATCAACCAAAGGACTTCGCGAACTTTTGCCCCCTCTGCCGAATTGTGGTCAGCGCAGCACTGACAGCGCCCCAGCGCTACACCCGAGAAGAGATTCAGATATGCCACAGACGCAAGTTTCGCAAGCATAACTCCTCTACAAACAGTCGCATTCAAAATGTTTATAGGGTCTAGATTAATACGAGTTACTAGGGCTTCAAACGCTCGTCTTTATTTAGTGCTGACAACGTCGGATTGCCGATTCCACAGTCGGCATATCTCCGCCTTAGGTTCTCCGGGATACACAGTAGCGGCATGAGTAAGCCTATAGGCTTGCCCGCGATGGGGGCCAGTGGACCAGTGGGCCAAAGACCCCTGCGGCTCAAACGAGTTTACATATGGTATGGTAACTAGTTGATGCAGCATTCGCAATTCGGGACCGGTAGAGGTACCAATGCACCCCGCTAAGTCATGCCCTTTTGTTCGCCAAGGGGCGTTTCGATTACTTGATAAAGAAGCCTCGTTCGCTCAACGTCTGGTCGGACGAAAGGTTCCAGTCTCTGTTTCTTAGAAAACACAGCGGAGAAAGAACGTTGCCAAGATGAAGCAGAACAGTGGAAGCATCAATACTTCCATTCTCTTTGGCGCCTCGCTGCTAGCGCTCGTGGTCTGGATTGCCAGGAGGATACGTGCAAGAAGTCAACTGCCACTCCCCCCAGGACCAAAGGGTCTCCCCATTGTAGGAAACATACACGACCTTCCTCCGCCAGGGGTTCCCGAATGGCAGCATTGGACGAAGCACAAGGACCTTTATGGCCCAATCAGCTCGGTCACCGCACTGGGCACAACGATTGTTCTGATCAACGATCAAGACATCGCGGTCGAACTGCTGGCCAAGAGGTCAGCCAAGTTCTCCGACCGGCCGCAGATGTTCTTTGCGCAGCACATGTAGGTTTCTCAAAACTGTCATGGCAAGACGAATCCCTGAACTGACCAACTTGTTCAGGTGTGGCTTTGACTCACTGCCGGCATTCCAAGGAAATAACGAGATGTTCCGGGCACAGCGACGACTGATGGGCGCCCAGCTGGGTTCCAAGAGCTCCATGACCAAGTTCTTCCCTGCGCTCGAGTTCCAGGTGCGCCATTTCCTTCAGCGCCTGCTGGATCGACCTGCTGAGCTGACTGGCCACCTGCAAATGTGAGCAATACCAACGACTGTCTCCCATGCTTGGTCCGTGCTGACACAAGTCTCGTCCCATTAGGACGACAGGTGCCTTGATGCTTGACACATTATATGGCTATACCTCTTCTCTTGCTGCGGGCCCCGACCCGCTCATCACCCTCGTGAACAGATTCATGGCCGATTTCAGCGTGGCCGCTGTGCCCGGCCGCTGGCTTGCTGACATGGTGCCCCTGCTCCGCCATGTACCTGACTGGATGCCCGGCACGGGTTTCAAGGCCATCGCACGCGAGTACAAGCAGACGTTTGACGACGTCAAGAACACCCCTTACTTATACGCGGAGCGCAAGTTTGAGCAGGGCTCAGCTAAGCCGTCGTTCATCCGCGGTCTGCTCCAGGACCGTCCCACGGCCAAGGAGCGCGAAGTGATCAAGTCTGCGGGCATCGGACTCTACTCCGGCGGGACGGACACAACAGTGGCGGCGCTGAGCTTCTTCTTCCTGGCCATGACCGTGTTCCCCGATGTACAGAAGAAGGCCAAGGAGGAGATCGACCGTGTCACCGGCGGCACACGACTCCCCAGCTTCCAGGACCGCGAGTCCTTGCCGTACGTCGATGCCGTGGTGAAAGAGGCGCTGAGGTGGTCGTGTATCGCACCATTGTGCCTGCCGCACGCGACAGACGAAGATGACGAGTTCCAGGGCTACCGCATCCCTAAAGGGAGTATCATTGTCCCTGTGATTCGTCGCTTCGCATTTGACAAGGATGTCTATGAGAGACCGGACGACTTTGAGCCACAGAGATTCCTGGGCCCAAAGTCCGTGCCAAACCCCTGGGATTATGTATTCGGATACGGGAGGAGGATCTGTCCCGGCAGGTATCTAGCCGACGCCAGTCTCTTCCTGATTATCGCACAGAGCCTAGCGGCTTTCGATATAGGGCGGGCCGTCGACCCCGATACTGGGGCTTTCATCGACCCAGAGGTTAAGTCAATGCCGGGAGTCGTCATGTACCCTCAGCCGTACAAGAATTCAATCGTTCCTCGCAGCAAGGCGCATGTGGAAATGGTGCGCAACATGGACATCGAGTACGACTGGGATGAACAGGATGGAAAGCCCGGGCGATGAGCTGCCACATGAACGGGCATGATAGAGTCGATGTTCACAAGATACCTCCATGTAATGACCTAGGTAGAAGCATAGAACGCTAATGTTGACTCAATTTGAACTGGCAGCCCGATTACTCTAGTATAGCCTCTACAAATAGGCGCCACAGAGATTTAGATAGCTTGATGTGTGTAGTGTTGTTTGACTTAGACGTTTCCTATTCAGGCCACCGCTAAATTAGTCTCGCTTGGGCTTACGTGAGCCGAAGTATAGGATACAAGTATAGCGACGACAGCAATGCACTGATCTGAGGAGAACATACTGTTTTCATGCACCGCTACTAGAGTTAAGTCACTCAATATTTTCACAGTTTCGCCTTACCCTTGAGACAAGCTGTTGGTGGCAGTATCATGGTTTGTCTATAAGCAACGCCTGGCGCTAAAACACACTGAAGCCAAAACGTCCCATCGTTAATTCTCATTGGTCAGATATAAGCTGACTAGTAAATAGTCGATACCTTTTTCAAGTTCTGGGAGGTCAGAGAATCCTGAATGTTGCAAATATCCATCATGTCGCTAGCCCGTTCCTGGATAGGTCATGATTAAGCTGCATTTTGTGCGCAACTAATCATCTCTCTCCCCGGGATAGGCTCTACTGGGAGAATAGCTGCTGGCGTCATCAGGTATCTGGCCTAACCGCGTTGCGCGGATGGTAGCACTTGTATCACCCGAAGAATCACGCCTGATTGGAAGGCAGGATGTGCGGGGACTGCATAGGCCATCAACCTGCTCGGCATTGCTCAGGGTCTGACCATCCATCGGGTTTTGATCAGTGATGGGCATCACTAAGCATGCGGCAGGGAATGGCTTTGTATCCTTTTCAGTGCAAGAGTGCGACATCAATTGCTACACTGACTGGAATATCCCTCATTATATAAGCAGCAGACGTGACGGTGAATAGTGCAGCGAAGACATTCAAGAATACTAGCAAACACTCCAAGATCAGTGGCAATGACGCTCGCGCAACTGCTTTCCGGTGTTCTACTAACCTTCTCGCCTCCCATATGGCTAGGCTTGGCTGTATCTCTCTGCATTTTAGCATCATATGCATACTCGTGGTCGCGACTTCGCCACATCAAAGGACCATGGCTTGGCTCATTCTCCTACCTATGGATGCTCTACTACACCACGAAGGGTAAGCAGGCAGTCATATACCGTGCCATAAACCAAAACTACGGCCATCTGGCTCGCATAGGGCCAAATGATCTCATCACAGATGATCCGGACATCGTCCGACGCATGAATGCCGCGCGCTCCCCGTACAAGCGGTCCAGTTGGTACGAGGCCCTGCGGATGAACCCGTACCAGGACAGCTTGTTCAGCATGGGCGACACGGCCGCGCACGACAAACTCAAGGCACAACTTTCGTTTGGCTACGGAGGCAAGGAGAACCCGACGATCGAGGACGGCATCGACGAGCAGCTGGGCAACCTGCACGGCCTGATCCGCCGCAAGTACCTCTCGACCGACACCGAGTTTCGGCCCATGGACCTGGCCACGGCGGTACAGTACTTCACGCTCGACACCATCACCCGCATCGCATACGGAAAGGAGTTCGGATACCTGGAGGCGGACTCGGACCTGCACGCCTACATTAGGACCTCCGAGGAACAAGTTCCCTTCTTGACAGCCTTTGCTGAGATCCCCTGGATGCGGATTCTGTTCTTCTCACGTTTTGTCCTCCGCTTTATAGGGCCGAAGAAGACAGACAGGAAGGGTATAGGAAGACTTTTGGGGTACGTTCTCGTTCTCTCGTCTGACAAGGCTTTTTGGATTGGGCGCTAAACTCAAGAACAGGGTGGCCGATCGCATCATCGAGGAACGTTTGTCTGCTGGTGCCGAGGAGAAACAGGACATGCTTGTAAGTATGCTGGCGAACTAACGCCTTCCCAGGCTTGCTAATCAATGTCTGTTCAGAGCTCCTTCATCAGGCATGGCGTGACTCGCGACCAGCTTGAGGGAGAACTTCTCTTCCAAATAGTTGCAGGCTCTGACACGACAGCGACGGCCTTGCGTGGAACTATGCTGCACCTCATGTCAGCACCAAACATCTATCACACATTGCAAAGAGAGATAGATGAAGCAATATTTCAAGGAAAGATCTCCAGTCCTGCCAAGGCCGAGGAGGGCAAGGAGCTAGAGTATCTTCAAGTATGTCAAACCTGTTGTCATTTTCCATGTCTCACCATCAGGCAGGCCTCTCGAGAACTGACAGACCTAAACTAGGCGGTAATTTATGAAGGCCTCCGAATGAATATCCCGTTCTCAGGACTTTGCATGAAACAGGTGCCACCTGGGGGCGACACGCTCCTCGGGCAGTTTGTCCCAGGAGGGACCCGCGTGGCGCACAATATGCTAGGGATGCAAAGGTCCCGCGACGTGTTTGGGGACGACGCGGACCTGTTCCGACCCGAGCGCTGGCTGGGCATTGACGCCGAGAAGAAGAAGACCATGATGAACGTGGCCGAGATGGTGTTTGGCTATGGGCGCTTCGGGTGCAGTGGCAAGCCCGTGGCCATCATGGAGCTCAACAAGGCATACATCGAGGCAAGCCTTGAGAGATGTGACCCTTTTGAAAGACAAGAGTAACTGACACGCAAGAACAGTTGCTACGCTATTTTGATTTCCAAGTGGTCGATGCAAAGAACCCTATCCATATCAGAAACCACAACATGTTCTTTGAGAAGAATCTGATGGTACGAGTAACCGAGAGGCAGAAGAGATAGGGCATTCTGTGTAAGAGGCTGCAGGGGGGATAACTCGGCAATTTGATCCACCAATTGCCGGCACTCGCTCTCGTGCAAGGCCCAGTCTCACAAGGAAAGTATCTTTCTATCATTTCGCCTTTGGCTTCAATTTGACCTCAAGGTTTCAGGATTACGATGACTGGTTTATGAGGGAGCAAAACGTACCTGGGAATGAATCCCCTATATAGTCCAGCGACATCTTTGAAAGGCGAGAGCTATGGATTTCCAAACAAAAGCTATCTAGTTGTATCACGTACCGCGAAGGTTTTTCTACCCACTACTTTTCTTACAGAAAACTTTTAGTATGAGGTACATTCGCAACTCTGTTCCGATTTGGCAGCAGGCAAGTATCCGTGATAATTCAATGCCGTGAGCCGCATTGCCTTGGAGCAAGCAGCCAAGCGGCAGATGCATAGACCTGTCGCTTACAGCCTTCCCCTGATGAATGGCAGCCAAGAGTATACTGCGGTCAAGTTGCCATGATTCGTCCAATGGATGCAGTGAAAATTTCGAAATTTTCTATACGTGGGCTGATTATTACGAAGGAGTGCCTGACTACCCCGTGTTCTGCAGGGGTCTGCGACACAGCGGCATGGTGCACAGATGTTTGAAACTACTCCGTGATCTGGGGGTGGAGAAGGGGGTCGCCCTTAACTATTGGGGACCCAGGCCATCGGTCGTCTGAACTCTATCGTCGGTAACCACCGGATCAGCAGCTCTGGTAGCTCTTCTGGCGCTGTATCCAAGCGCAAACCCGATCGCCCGACTGACGTGTTCTAGTCAGCTAACTTGACCCGAATCGGCGTTCATCTCAAGTCTTGGAAGTTGGGCAGGTTGTCGCGCGTCCAGCAAGCACCCGGAAGACGTCTGGCAAGCCTGGCGACCCAGTGCGCTGAATCCGTCCAGCGATGCCCTCCCTCCCTAGCTCCCTGGCTCCCTGGCTCTCTGACTGGCAAGCTGGGGCCTGGCTCGTCTGTCCTCGCGCAACAAGCTTTCTACCTGAGCCAAGGCGACATTATTCCGGGGCATTTTCTTCAGGGCAGACTCCTGAGCGACCCACCCCCAGAAAGACTGCTCCAGAATTTGTAGGCCAAGCTTCTCTTGCCAAAGAACCTGAGACCGCGAGGAGCTCCTGGCGCGCGTCGCCGAGCTCTGGTCACAGTAGGATGAAGCCTGCCAAGCAGAAATAAGGAGGCTTGGGGAGGCTTGGTAAAGGAAAAATCAGCACACCTAGAGGCTTAGCTCGCCACTAATGGCCGTTAAGCATGTGGCAACTTGGCGCCGCGAGTCCACACAGGCCACCGTCCAGCTGGCTGGGATTGCGCTACGGGGCCCAAGGGGCCTCTGAGGTCCACTAACGACACTTGGCTCCGAACACCCGCACACGACTCTCGGGTCCCGAGACCACCCTTGACGATGTCGGCATGGCCTGGCTGCGCGCTGCTAACCGGATGGCTAGCGGCGCTACAGCGTTATGCTCGTTTCCTGTTAGATTCGTGCCAGTGTTTTGTTTACGGATGCCTCGTGGCAAGTGTGGTGGCGATGACTAACACGTCCAGTCATGATGAATTTCCAACGCCTTTGATGTCTTTTGTCATCAAGACCGGCTCTGTACCGATCCGGCGGCGTGAAGTTCATGTCAGCGGGAAAAGGCAACCCAGCACCGCGTATTGCGGCATAGGAAGGGGGAGCGCCCAGCCTAGGCCAAGCAAAGAGGCTGACCAAGGGGCCCAATCCAGCTGCAGCCATTTCCCGCCCCAAGAGTTCGCGATGTATCAACAACGTACGATTTCGGGCCCCTTCCCGTCTAGCTGACAATTGCGTGCATGCTCGAATAGCTTGTTTCTTTGTCCCCCGTCCATGGGACTGTTTGACTTGGTATTCCCCCTCCAGACCACGACCGCCGACATACAGTCGCAACCAGGCGGCGCGTGGGATCTGAGATGCAGTGCCCGAGTTGCAGAGATGCCCACCGTGGCCCCCAGTGCACCAGTAGGAGGTGGAAACAACGATGACCCCATGTATTTTTGGAATGCTTCGCTGATGTGAAGAGTTTCGGCGGTGACGGAGACACAGTCCTGGTGCTCTCCGGGCACGCCGCCAAGTGCTCACCATCACACGGCCCCTGGCCGTTGACATCGTCCGCTGGCTGCTTATTATCCTCAGCCTACGCCGCCGATGTTGACTCTCTTTCCCTTCCCGGCAACCTTGGTAATCTCTTCATTGTTGAGTCTTCATTTCTGTCTCGCTCTGAGAGCTTGAGTTCACTTCGATCATTAAGTGCTTTCGACTTTGTTTTCAATATTTCGTTTCCTTCGTTTCTATAGTCACTCCCTCGGACTCGGTAGATCCTGTTCCCTGTAACTTTCACCCATCGTCCCATTTACACAAAGGATCAGTCCACAATGTCTTCTGCCGTGGCAAGGATATTTCTGCTGGCAGCAGCGGCTACGCCGGCGTTAGGCTTCTGCGGATCACACACCCATCTGGCTGCAAGGGCAGAGGGAGAGGCCGTCGAGGTCAACACCTTCGGATACTTTGGACAAATCGTGAGTTTTATACATCCATTGGTATAAGGGTCTTGTACTAACGTCTGCCATAGGGTCCACTCAACTGGGTAGGACTTGACCCTGCAGCCAACGCACTATGTGCTACCGGCACGCGCCAGTCTCCCATCAACATGGTTGAGGGTCAGTTTACACTGGTGCCAGCCAGCGATGTTGTCCTTGAGATTCCCGACCAACCTGAGGGAATCACGTTCGAGAACCTTGGAACCACGATCGAGGGTGTGATGGAAGGCAAGGGGGGCAAGCTAGCGATGAACGGTGTTGAATTCGAGCTCAAGCAGTTTCACGTCCATCATCCGGCTGAGCACATTGACAATGGCGTCAGTGTCGAGAGTAAGTTGTTCACGCTTGGGACTTATGTGGCGGACATGTACTGACTTTGTCTACAGTGGAGATCCACAACGTCTTTGAGAGCGCCGACGGCCAGATTGCTGTACTGGGTGTCTACGCTGAAGTCGATCTTGGCACGCCGGTGAGCGTAGTCCAAGGGAAGCGCGATGTGGCCAACCGCCGCCGTAACTTGCTCGCCCAGCTCCAGGCGGGCCAGAACTTCACCCTCATGCCGTCGTCATCCGTTGTCCCGCAAACCAACGCTGTCTCATCGAACCTCTACGAGACACTGTTCCAATCAGTCGAGCAGATTGCCGCGCCAGGAACCAAGGTCACTTCACAACCGCTTGTGTTCTCCGAGTTAGTCGAGACGTTGAAGGCCGGTTCATTCCAGGCGTAAGTTACCCCGAAGCTGTCTGGTATAGCCCCACGACTGACTCTTATGGACGTATAGATACTCGGGTTCCTTGACTACGCCCCCTTGCAGCGAGGGTGTCAACTGGATGGTTGCCACGCAGAAGGTCAAGCTATCCCCTGCCACTATCCAGAGAGTTGTCAACGTGGTGGGCTTCAATGCCAGATTCCCTCAGAACGCCCTGGGCCAGCCCAACGTTCTGTCCTTTGCAACAGGCACCGCCGCTCCCGTTGCCGAGGCACCTGCTGCCGCTCCCGTTGCCGAAGCTCCTGCCGCGGCACCTGTCGCTGAAGCCCCCGCCGCCGTACCTGTCGTTGAAGCCCCTGCCGCAGCTCCTGTTGCTGAGGTTCCTGCTGTCGAAGCCCCCGCCAAGGCCCACGGTGCCTAGGTTTCGGCCCCTGCGGCCCCTGCCCACGGCTCCGCGGCATAAGGCCCTCGCCGTATGCGAAGGAGTGTTTCTTGAGTCCTCAATGAGACTTGATTATGTCTGTCAGGGTCAGACTATAGGTTTTTGGGAGTAGACGTACATAATATACCCTTTGATAGAGTATCACATTAGATATCAAGGAAGAGAGATCGACATCTTGGTTCTGAGAATAATATTAGCCATTGCCCGCAGACTTTCCTCACCGTGAAGTTGTGCTGCTTCCTATTGTCCTTGATTACGATTGCTCGCATGTTTCAGGTTGTCACTTGCAGGGAAAAGCCCTACCAGTCGAGTACTTGGCCAATGCAAGTCAGGCTCAAGTACACGAACGGATACAATGGCGATCCACTTTATATTATGTTTCAGGGGGTAAGAATTCTGTGTTTTTTTATTGTCACTATAATAATCAACACCGCGCTACATCTATTCGAGTTACCTGAGCGTCCCCAATTGTTGTCGCTTCGGGTTCCAGGTTCTAGAGTGCGCCAATGGCCTGGTATGCGCATTTCTCACCACACTGCGATGCTTAAACATGAAACAGTGCAACAGCCACTTCTCAATCACACCGGCTTTCACTTGTCATTGACCGCATGTGTCTGGCGGGCAGGTTCTGTAACATATCAACCAAGTAGCCAGCGAAGGCTCGGCCACGACAAGACCATGATGCATGTTTCCAACGCATATTACAGAAATGCGCGCTGCATGAAAATTGAAGTACAGGGAGGCATTGAATAAAGTTTGGTCACAAGGCTGTGCGTTCCCTCCGTCAACGTCGTTTCGCGGCCGCGTCGAGTATGAGGAAATCGTGAGGCTGAGTCCTGCATATGCATACTCATCCCCTGGGGAAGACGACAAGTGACACCTCGCATATTACGAGTCCAGACACAGTTTCCGAGCTTGCTGGGAGAATGAGATCAGTTGACACGAGTGCGTCCAAACTCAACCGTGAGGGCGCCAACGCGTGACCCGCTCGATGCTTTCCAGCGTGCGTCCAAACTCAATCGTTATAGAGTTCGCACGCCGCATGGAAGAGAAACAGGGACCCTGGGGTTCTGACATCGAACGTCACCGTTTGATATTCTCCGGTGGGCTCTGGCACTTTGTATATATAATATTGCTGTCAAATCCAGACATCGACCTCTCGTTTTCATGAATACGCATCTGTACACACCACACACTCCGAATTACTCTGACGGATTGTCTATCCAACAGCAATCGGATCAGAACTCTACTCTGCTCTACTCTACTACGCCGACAACCAGTCTTCTCCCACCATCTGAAAACTCTAGGACCCATCTCTTCAATCTAGAATCCACAAGTCGCTACCTCGCTCAGTTGCTCAACCACCACGCAACACAAGTAATGGCCGGCTATTTCATCCTCACCCTCTCCCAATGCCTCTGCCTCCTCATCCTGCCCTTCACGACCGCTCTGCCGGCGTATCTGCTGCTGCTGTGCGCCAGCAGCCTGGACGAGCCGGACCTGGACGTGAACGAGGGCGACTTTGACGCCGTGCTCTGCAGCAGCAGCAACGCAACGGCCAAGGCAGAACAGGCTGCGCAACCATATACTTATCAGCATCATCACCATCACCACCGCCGCCGTGCCCAGCAGCCCAGCGCCCTGAACAGGACCCGGTCCGAGCTGTCGCTGCACGGCTCCACCACGGCGGCCCTGCGGCTCGGGCTCGGCGCCAGCGGCTTCGCGCACCCGCGGCGCGCGGTATTCGAGGGCTTGGGGGCCGGTGGGATCTGAAGCTGCGGGGGAACAGTACCACCTGTCTCTTCGTGTCCGTTGAAGGGGGACACCACGAGATCTCTGAACTCTGTTCTTCACAGCGAGCCCGCGTTGTTAGTTTTCGTCGGGGGTTATGCCGGATTTGATTTCGTTCGATGCGTGCTTTACCATGATTGTAGGCAGCCTGGCTAGTGTTGGAACGACGGAGAGGAGGAGGCGCTGGTGGTGGAGGACGATGATACCCCTTTTTGTTTTCTGATTTTAGCAAGGGAGGATAGTTGTATGAATGGCATTGTCGATATATATAGGATCAGATATCGATCTACGATGTTCACTTGAAACACGTTCTTTTCTCTACCCGTGTTCAAAGTGATGAAATGCTACTGGCCGCACGATTGGGTTCGTTGATATCGATCTTTACAGAATAAATAATGTAGTACCCACCTTGATGTACCACTGACTTTGTCCGAGGTAGTCTGACTGCGAACCACAGGTCTCCTAGGGATCTTCCGGGGTATGATGGCAAATAGGACAAGGCGAACCCATCAAAAGTGGGCGTAATCAAGTTCTCGCTTTCATTTCATGTCGTACTCGCGTCAACTCTACGTACGACAACCTTACGAGGCTAGAGCCTGTAAAAAGGGCAGGATATCTGCATCCTTGGGAACCAGCAGTGTCTCCCGATCGACCTGCTCCTACACACAACTAGACCAAAATGCGAACAACACGGAACGACCTCAGCACGCTTGAAGTCTATCACTACCAGCTGGTAGGGGGTATGAAACGCCGGACTCCAATGAACCTTCTTGGGCGCATGACCCCATCATGAAAAAGCACATTTTCCGCAAGATTTTTCTTTATAAACGCGCGCGCACACAAAAAGGCGCCCCAGGGCCCCTTAAGCAGCAGCCTTGAGGGCGAGCTGCTTCGTGATCAGCTTGCCAAAGTCGAGGTCGACGGCGGTCTCGGGGACGTTCTCGCCGCTGGCGATGCAGAGGACGCGCATGCGCTCGTCGTAGCGCAGGCCGGTGAGCAGCTTGGGGGTGATGAGGAAGTACTGGCTGGTGTGCTCGCGGCAGGCGATCTCGACCATGCGTTCGTGCACCATGCGCTCGTTGCGCGGGTCCATGCCCTGGTTGATCTCGTCGACGACGCGGAACGGCGCCTGCGCCATCGACTGCAGCGCCATGATGTAGAAGACGGTCGACACGGCGCGCTCGCCGCCCGACTGGCGGTGCTGGTTGAGGAGCTGGAGCTCTTCGTGCTCTCTGTGCGAGGTTTGAGTCAGTATGGCTATCTCGAGGAAACAAGACAGGAAAGGCCGCTTACCGGAATTTAACTTTGATCTCGATGGCCCATTGCTCAAAATCGTCGTCCTTGTGGATGTTGACCTCTCCGGCACAGCTGATCATGTCAAAGTTGTGGCCGAACCCTTGGTTAACCTTGGCAATGAGTTCATCGATCTTTGGCTCGAACTTCTCCATCAGTTCCTTAATCTGCGCTTCAAGTCGTCCAAGCTTGGTGGATGATTTTTCCTTGTCCTTGACGAGCTCCTCGATATCCTTGGCACGTTTCTCGAACTGCCGAAGCACGCCAGGGTCGACGGCATGAATCAGCTCGAGTTTGGCTTCCTCGGCTTGGATCTCGTGGTCAATTTCGGAAAGCGTCTTCTCCTCAATCATGGCTTGGTACCGCGGGAAGTCATCGTTCCCTTCCTCGCTCTGGGCGAGCATGTCGGTTACCCTTTGCTTGGCATCCTCTGCCTCGCGCTTTGCAATGGCCGCATTATGCGCGAAAGCCTTGATCTCCTCCTTCTTCTCCTCGAGACTCCGTGTTATCTCGCTATTGCGTTCCTTCAGCCCCCTTACGTCGGATGAAGCTTCAATCAGTCGAATCTGGACGTCAAGAAGACTGTGATAAGTATCACGTATTTGTGATACCGCTTCCTTGTGTTTCAAGACAGCCTGGCCCTTCTCCACTAAGAGTTCATCACTTCTCGTATCGAGTTCAGCCACCCTAGCCTTGCAGGCTTGCATGGACTCGCGCGTAGTATCAAGAATCCGTTTTTGTGCCTCTGCACGAGGTTAGAGTTACAGTCACACAGGCTTCCATCTCTGCGGCAATGTGACTCACCAATCTTGTCTGGGATTCCCACCCACCGAGAGTGAGCGGCTTGCAGCTCGCTTTTCTCGTTCTTTAATTCGTCCTGAGAAGCACGTTAGTGAGTATGGGGCGTACATCTTGGGGGCGAGACTGACGAGTCTTTTTTGCACAGTCGACTCCTTCTCCTCTATCTCCGGCACTTTGGCCTGGGCATCCTTGAGGCTCTCCAAGAGCTGCCTCCTGCGCTCGGTCGCCTCGTTCAGTTTGCCTTGCAGATCCGTCATTTCTTGGTTGTCTATTGGCTGGTCGGTCCAGAACCTCCCCTGATTTACCTTGCGCGTGCTGGTGGTTGTAGCATCGGGGCCGTACTCTCTCCGGCGGATGACGCGGAAGAAGGTTTGGCCCGTCGCCCATGTGTTGATCCTTTGGCTGTTTTGGAGCGCATCGAACTGCTCAGACGAGATGTCCTCCAGAGCAACGCCAGAAGCATGCAGAAATCTTTCGGAGCAGAGCATGGCCAGCACTGGTTCCGGGCCGTCCATGAAGTCAATGGCGTACCCATCTAGGCCAAGACGGCAGGCATCAACTACCGGCATCGGGGGCTGAAAAGTTCGGAAATCGGTACCACAAGTCCTGATCGTAATAGATAGCCCCATATCCTTGTAGAACTTCTCACTCAGGGTCTTATGGTCCTTTCTGGTCTGGCAGGTGAAGCACAGAAAGTCGTTGGCTTGGAGCATGGACTGAATCAGGTCAGAGTAACGCTCGTCCTTCAGCGAACAAGTCAGCATGGGCGGCCCGAAAACCTCCTTCTCGAACTTATCCTGGTTTTCCTGCAGCCATTCCCAGCCTTGGTAGACCTCGGGATTGAATCGCTTCAGGAAGCTGATCTTTTGGCCTTGTTGGGAGTTCAGGCTGTTAATATTCTGCTGAATTGCGTCGATCTCTGTCTTGTTTTGGCGGCCTTGCAATTTGATATCTCCAATGCTGTCCTGGATCTGGCGCTTCTCGGGCACTAGATCACGGAGGACATGTTCTTGTTCTCGCTGTTACAACACCTGGTTAGTTGTCCCATTGCCCGCGAGTGGTCACGTATCACGTACAATCTTTTGATTCCAGTCAGCGGCGTTGAAGTGCGGAGGCTCGTTCTTGTACTCGGCCTCGAATCTGGTGATGGTTTGGCGAAGCTTGCCAACGGCCGCCTTCTTGGTGGTGAAGAGTTGCTTCTCCTGTTCTATGTTGTTCTGGCACTCCTTGATTTGCTCGCCAAGTGACTCGACGGTACGAAAGGCCTGATCGGCATTTGATTCGGCGGTCTTCAGTGCTTTCTTCCTGTGGTCGAGGACGGCTCCGACCTTGGCCTTGTACGCCTCCTTGTCGTTCACTGCCTCTAGGCCGGGCCCACAGGCCTGCTCAAGGGCCTTGAGGCGCTTCTCGGCGTCCTTCCTCTTCTTGGTCTCGGCCTTGGTTCTGATCCGGGCCTCGTTGTACTCGGCGCACAAGCGAGCCTTCCTCATGTCCTCGACGGCGTTCTTGATAGCCTCACGCTCGTTAAGCCTGTCGACGTCGGCCTGGAGGCCCTGCTGGCGGGACTGGAGGTTGGTCAGGTTCGCGGTCTGCGTCTCGACCCTGGCCTTGAGGTCCTTGAAGTCAATGAAGAGCGTCTTGAGGGCCGTCTGCCAGTTGATGACCTCCTCGGGGGCGGCGGCGCGCAAGGTCTCGTGGAGGAGCTGTACAGGGGTGAGGCCGGCAAACTCGGCAACCTTCTCCTGGGGGAGAAACTGGCACAGATTATCGCAAGCGATGCGCAGGTTGGCGACGAGGCCCTGGACCACCTTGACGAGGCAAGGCTTCCCATTAAGCCAGAACTTGCGCTTGTCGTTCTCCCGTATGATGTCCAGACGGATGACGTGGTTCTTCTTCTCCCTGGGACGCCTCTGCAGCTCGATCTCGACCGTGGCGGTATCCCTTCCGTGGGTGACATATTCACCGAACTTGGTAGCACGGCCGAGGACACTGGTGTTGTAGCCCAGACCCAGGGCGAGGGCGCAGACCAGAGAGCTCTTGCCGGTGCCGTTGGGGCCGATGATCATGTTCAGGTGGGGGCCGGGGTAGAAGACGGCGTTCTCGTAGGTGACGAAGTTGACGAGCTTGACCCTGACGACGGCGCCGGGTGAGTGGGTGGTCTCGCCGGAGCCGTGGGAGCCATTCGGGAGGCCGTTGGTGCGCTGGGTGGGTGCAAATGGGTCGTCATCATACTCGTCGTCCTCGTCTGCTTCCTCGTCCTCTTCGTCGTGTGAGGCGCTGCGTTTCAAGCGCTTCTGAGATTCGGCACCGGACGACGATGCGGCCTCCCCGTCGGCTTCGAAGGCAGACCGGGAGCGGCGGCGCGACGGTGCCGCTGGCATGGTGGCTAAAGCAGCGACGCGCTGCTGGGCCTGTGGCGGCAAAAGGAGGTCGAAAGCCCACTTGGCAGGCGGAGAGGATCCTCTGAGAGCCAAAAGACCCGAGCAGGTTGGAATGATGTGTGTCGTCCACAGGCAGGCTGCAAATAGTGGCCGCCCAGATATTGCCAACCCAGACGCGTCCACGGGTACCTACCGCGTTGATTGCCCACGGCGCCCCACACCAGGAAAAAGAAACCAACAAGACCCGTGGACCCCAAGGGTTCGATTAGTGTGCAAGTGGGGGGTAAGGGGGGTAAGGGGGGTTCGCGGTTACCTGGAATCCCTGCTAAGTTAGTTAGCGCGGCATATTATACCACGGGCCACAGTGCTGGAACTAAGAAGCGCCAAGACAGACAGGTCCGCCCCCATAGGCTGACCTCGCTTGCCTGTAACCTTGGGTCATCACCATCCAACTTCGTTTACAAGGCCGAGCACGAGCTCGTCCAGAGCAAAGGGGCAAGAGGATGCACTCAAGCTCTTTATGCTCACGGGCAGTCAGTAATACGGCAGCTTTCAAACATAGCCCGTTCAAGCGACTCCTCCTAGACAGCCCAGTTCACAGTTCTGTACTATATCTACTTCAGGTCATGATACGGCCAAGCTGAGATGTATTGACCCTGGGGATACGCAGCCAGCAATGCATGCTCAGCCATCCCTCGATATAAGAACGGAGCATATGGAAGCCACGCTGACAGCTCGTGCCCTTTAAATTTCGCACCTGGTCAAGATGTGATGTGACACTCCAAGGTGCGTTTGCTGGACCTTTACCAGCCCGTTGCTGTGCAATCACAAACCTCAAATTCCTCCCCTCCTGAAGCACACGATCCAGCTGAAAGAGCATTTCAAAAGTCTAGCAGAGACCACGTTCCTCCTGTCAAGTGCAGAGTGCCATTTCAGGCAGCAATGTCTCGGCGTCTTTTGTGACTGCGTATGTATTTTATGTCTAGATAGAGTCTAGATAGATGTGTGCTACGAGCCTCTTTTCAGAGTCCTCTGCAGATGAAAACACGCTGGTGGAATAACTCGTCCTCTCGTCGTCGACTGAGCATATCAGCCCGTCACACCTGTCGGCACTGGACTCAACGGGGTTCAGTTCACCTTGGACGACTCCAGCCTAGAGCTAACGAGGTACCTAGCTATGGGTCCTATGGCGCCCCGTTTGGTGAGCTGCTGCTTGTGACTGGGACAACGCCGCTGCGGGTTGTGGGTTGCGGGTTGCTGTTTTCTCAACCAACGCCTGGCCCGGGTTTGGACATGACGAACTCCTCCGTCCGCCGAACCTGACAGTGAAGAGCCCATCTTCGGCATTCACCAGCTTTCATGGGTCAGATCTACCGTTCGCTTAGCCCTACCCGCCCTCCCTGCCGCCGCTGTCTTTCCTTCATCCCATCGAGGGAGCTGTCCCTCCAGCTCACCACCTCCACTCACTTGTAGCCAACCTCTCGCCACACGATCCTCTCTCGACCCTAAACATTCGATCCTGATTTTTTCTGCCCCGCCCCGTTCGCTTCCTTCTTCCCACTCTTTGTTACTTGTTCACGATTGTACCGTTCGTGACAGCAACAGCCCTCACCCTCGGCGACTCATGGGCCACTATGGCCTCTAGCCGGTCGTCTCAGTCGCGATCTTCGCGTGCGCCTCTCAGTGATGCCACAGGCCGTGTTGTTAACGCGCCGCCGCGTCATGCCGCGAAGCCCACCCAGAACCAAGACCTCGAGATCAATCCCTTGAGAGCCCACCCGGTGTCCAACGCTGAGCGGCAGAGCTCCCGCCCGCAACCCAGCAAGGAGGCTACACAGCGCCAGTCCACATCAACCGCAACCAGAACTGGCAATGATGACGCCGACCCGGAGAAACGCGTATCGCAGATCTCCAGTTCCAGTGGTGCGTCGAGCGGGAAGCGCAAGACTCATATCGGACCTTGGCAGCTGGGCAAGACTCTGGGGAAGGGATCCGCCGGCCGGGTGAGACTTGCTAGACATCATGCTACACGGGAACAGGTTGCTGTCAAGATATTGCCCAAGTTCAATCAGCACATGACGCAGGCTGGAAGCCTCGCCAACATCGACGCTTGGGACCGAAACCAGCCCGAGTTTACTGCTGAGAAGCGCATGCCCCTGTCCATCGAGAGGGAGGTCGCCATCTTGAAGCTCATTGACCACCCCAACATCATGAAACTCTTTGACATATGGGAGAACCGCTCCGAGATGTAAGCTGCGCCTTGAAACTGTCCCCGGCCCCGTCAATCCAAACTGACTGTGCCGCAGATACCTGGTTCTCGAGTACGTCGAGCAGGGTGACCTCTTCGAGTACATCAACTGTGTCGGGCCCATCCCGGAACTCGAGACCGTCTTCTACTTCCGGCAGATTATCAGTGCCCTCGACTACTGCCATTCGTTCAACATCTGTCATCGTGATTTGAAGCCCGAGAACATTCTCTTGACGAGCAAGGGCCAGGTCAAGATTGCCGACTTTGGCATGGCTGCCATCCAGCAGGGCCCCAATCACCGACTCAAGACTGCTTGTGGTAGCCCTCACTACGCGGCACCCGAACTGGTGGATCGCAAAAGGTCTGGGTACAATGGCGCTACGATTGATGTCTGGAGCTCGGGCGTCATACTGTATGCCTGTCTTTGTGCTCGGCTCCCTTTTGACGACAGAGACATGCACGAGCTCCTCCGAAAAGCTCGGAAGGGCATTTACGACGAGCCAAAGCTGCTCAGCCCGGCAATGAAGGACCTTTTACGCAAGATGCTGACTCCACAGCCAGAGGCCCGCATCACCATTGCCAGGATCTGGAAGCACCCGCTGATCACCCAGTACGATGAGCTAGATGACCTGAACGGGAAGCGGCACGACGATGACCTAGACGACATCCGGAAGTATGGCAGGAGCACTCGGGTCGAGCCCCAGGATATCGACATGCAGACACTGCGGCAGCTTCATTCTATGTGGCATACCTTCACAGAAAGGGAACTGGCTATGAAACTTGTCACGGATGAGTAGGTTATGGTCTTTCCCCTGTCCCGGCTTCAGAGTGACTAACAACAACACAGGCCCAACGATCAGAAGCTATTCTACTGGCTCCTGTTCAACTACAGGGAGAAGAGACTCGAGAACTATGTTGGCGAGATGACGCACTCCCCCAGTGACTACCACCACTTGCGTCCCGCCAATTGGACCAAGAAGTTCACCACTCTGGAGTTCCCTGGAAGATTTGGCAGAACTCCTTCTCGATTCACCGTCATCTCCAATGTTGCCACCGATGAAAATGGTATTGAGACTGCGACCGACTGTGGAACTATCCAGAGCTACGATCCGTACAAGTCTTCGAGGATCATGGGCGGACCCGACGCCAGCCATGCGAAGATCACAGTGCACCGCAATGGCAGTCTCGCCAAGAGTTCTACTAGAGCCACGAATATGCCGCGGATGAAGAGCGGCTCCATTAGGAGCAACTCCACCTACTCAAGGCGAGGGGGTCGCGGTCGCCAGTTCGCTGCGTCTGTGGGCATGGGGGCATCCCGTCGGTCCTTGACGTCGATCAAGAGTGCTGGCAGCACTCCTTACTCACGACCGGCTTCGCGTCACACACGCGGTGTTAATTTCTCACACGCACGCCGGCCTTCAGTCGCACAGCGCCGCCAGCGTGCCGCCCCAGCGAGCATTGCCGGAGATGACACAACCTATGGCCGCGACCGCACTTCGCCCACAGCCCCCCGTAGGCGTGCTGTTCCATCCCGCAGTCACGCTTCTGCCGGAGCTGCCACACAGTCGATGGTCAACGTGACAAAGACCAAGGACGCCCATTTTCATTGGAATGACGAGCTACGGCAATTCAGCTACAGTATTGCAAAAGACTGCGATGAAGCGTTCAATAGTTCCCTGTTATCACCGGATACCAACATTCGAGAGTCCACTCTTGAGCCGACAACACTGGTTTCAAGCATGGTGGATCTCACATGTGACACACGATCGCTACCAGTAGTAGTCACACCTACTCCATCCCCTGCTGTTCAACAGGCTGTTGCAGGCACAAACCGCGACTCACACCTGTGGGATATGCGACCCTTGCCGCCGCCACCTCCCGCTACTGAGTCGGTTTCGAGGGAGATCAGATTGGCTAAGAAGCGGACGGCGCGACGTGCAAGCAAGGATGACGAATCACCTGGCCACCTTGACCGCATGATGCAACACCTCCAAACTCTGGATCGTTCTATTGATCCGAAGAAGAGTGAGGAGACATCGAGGACCGTATCCGCCCCTATTTACTCCCAGTACAGCACGCAGTGGGGTAAAGACACGATTCCCTTGCCTTCCATCAGTGAAGGCCGGAGGGGTTCCTCGACTAGAGAGAATGACAGACAGAGAACCGTGTCGGCCCCATCAGGCGATACCCCGATTGCACAGTCTACCCCCAAGTACTTCAGTGAACGCAACGGGCTGGAGTACCTTTCTCAACAAGAGAACACAATTCGCATGGTCACTTCTCCATCTGATTTTGCGCAAGTCCCTGCACCACTGAATGTCCGCAAAAAGGTTTCAAGAGGAGTCCCTGGTACCCCTCAGGCCCGTCAACAGCTGAACTTGAGGCAGCAGTATGTAAATGATGAGATGAGAGAGCCTATACCAGAGGAGCCGTCGACTCCTTCCCAGAATGATAGCTTGCCGGAGCCCGTTCGCAAGAGGTCATGGTTCAAGCGTGCATCCAAGGACAAGAGCGACTTATACGGTGCGAAGGCAGTACTCGATTCGAGTCGCATGGAAGTTGCCTCTCAAGCGGGCAGTGCAGCATCAACTGCTACTCCGATTCCACCCCACAAGAAGAAGAGTTTCAGTCTGGCATTCTGGCAGAAAAACAAGAACGAAACTCAGATGAAGCTTTCACTTGGTGGTGAGACACTACCCCAACCCCTGCAATAGTATTGTCATTCGCTAACATACCTCTCAGATGTTGATTTTGATGATTCTCCGAGCCCGGAGCCCGTCCGCATGTTTAGCCACCCAGCTCGACCTCATCATGGTCAATGGAAGGAGAATGTTGCCACCCGCAATATCGAACCTCAACAAAACTGGCTGGCTCGTTTGTTCCGTGTGAAGCCTGCAACAGAGCACCTTTGTTTCACCATCCCGCGTCGTCGTACCCGCCAGGAGATTGCTATCTTGCTTAGAGAGTGGCGTCAGTATGGTATCCGCGACGTCCAGGTTGATAAGGACCGGAATCTGGTATTTGGGCGCGTAGGCCCAAAGAACTGTACGTGTTATTTAACCTCTCCTAACTCGGGTAGCTAGCTTTTTCCTTTCGTGTGATGGCTGGATTGCCCACTTAACTGATAGATAGCGTTTTCTTTTTGAGTTCGTCTCTTTCGTCCGATCCCCGCTGACATTTTTCGGCAGACCTCAACATGAAGGAGGTCTCTTTCGCAGCCGAGATCATGACCGTCATTGAGCATGGCAAGCGCAATCCCCTCAGCATTGTCCGGTTTACCCAAGAGCGCGGAGCGGCCAGTAGCTTTCACAAGGTCGTTGACACCATGCATGCTGTTTTCAGCGTTCGCAACCTTCTGGTCGTTGACAAACACAAGATCAAGATGATGATTAGGACATTGAACTCCTGATGGGTCATATATGTAGCCTGTGTCACGGTAAGTTGAACCTTTATTTCCGAGCTGGCTGTCCCATATTAGCCATTGACATTCCGAAGGCATTATGTCACCTCTGTCACCGATATGTATACACTGCCTATGGCAGACTGGCCCACCCATAGCCACCACTGGTTGTCTTTCTGGATTCTGTCCAACGTTGGCTAAGGAGTTGTATCCATACAAGTTTCTGGACAACATACCAATATGGAGCGAACTGGATAAGAACGACAATCTGTTGGATGGCTTTCCTCTTTTTACTAATGTAGGTATACACTCGTGGAGACCTTTGTCCACGAAGGACTGCACACAAACATCAAAAGCGAGCCACGATGTGAAACTGAGAAGAACTGGTTGCAGTTATTCCAGAGCAGTTGGTGTGTTATTGGTTTGCGGCTTGGGGAGATAAGAAACAAAAGTAAGGGGTCGTCGACGGTTGATAGTTCTTGGGGGCAATGAAACGTTCTTGATGGGAACTGCTGTATAAGCTGATAAATGAAAAGAATTATGCCTATTGACTGAAGTCTAGCGTGCCCATGCATTAGCATTCGAAAAAAAAAAAAAAAAAAAAAAAAAAAAGCGAGCGCAATCTGCAAGTGCGATGAATTAGTAAGGAGCTCACACAGTACTGCCAAGGTAAACAGTGCCGGAAAATATGTGAGCCGTATTTCAAGCGATCTTTACGCGTTTTGTTGCATGTACAGCGAGCGCTTCTCTAGTCTATATGCTTCTAATCCTGAGACGATTGCATTTGTTCCCGTATAGCCCAATCCGTACCCAGTCCGTGCCCCGTAGCAAGCTTGTACTACTCACATATACCCATGAAATCAGTAAGTACCGTACCAATTTCCAATAGCATTTCGAGTTCCGTTCCAGTTGTTCTATTGGAATCCCAAAACCAGGCATCTATAGTCATGTGCGTGCGTAAGGAATTAGCTATTATATACCATTTATGTACTGCCGCCAAGAGACACCGATGGATTCAACTCCCGTCCCTTGGCGGCCCCCTTTTTGCTTCTACCAGGAGAAAGTCATGAGCGCAGGGTTGAGCGCCAGCGGTAACAAGAAGTGCGACGTGGCGACCGTAGCCATGGGCAGGATGGCGACGAAGTCGGTGATGCGCCAGTCGTAGGGCACGAAGGGTGCCACGGCCATGATGACCATGCCGGCGATGAAGACAAGCGAGAACAGCATCGAGAACTTGAACTAAAAAGCAGATAATGATGTCAGCATTGGCTTCCCATTCTGGCGGAATACCTTGGCGATCTATTGCCTCTTCTTCTTTCAGCTGGACTAAAGGGGATATATGTGGAAACGGAAATGTGGCTGGCTTAAAGATAGCTTAAACCAGTTGGACTGGTCCACCTCCGCTTTTCCTGGACCGAAGCTGAAAAGCCCCCGACGAATCGGTCGATGGGGCATGGGCAAGGAAAACTATTGGGAATTGAATGGCACCGAACAAGAGAAATCAAACAAACAAAAACTCACGCTCTTCAAGACTTTGGGGACCTCGATGAAGAAGTTGGAGAATTCGGCCTCCTTGGACGTGGCGCCCCAGGTCATATCGATCTCGAACATGTGGGTGAGCAGGGCCTGCGAGACGTGCAGGCTCAGGCCGCCCAGGAAGATGGCGAACATGATGGTCCACTTGAAGTTCTCGTACAGGGCGTACAGCAGACCGCGCTCGCCGACGCGGTAGCGCATGACGGCGAGGGCGACGTTGCCGAGCCCGTTGAAGACGATGATGATGGAGAACCACACCTGCCACGAGTCGACGTAGTACTTGTCCAGGTAGCCGTTGAACCAGCCCATGATGAAGTAGTTGGCCGACGTCATGATCCACGCCGCCCCGATGGCGTAGTACGTCCCGATGTACGAGATGACGGTGATCTTGGACGTGAAGCGGATGTTGGAGAAGAGGAAGCGCCGGAACAGCGGCGTGAAAGGGCCCCGCCACAGCCACGTGCGGATCGGGTGGAACAGCAGCTCGTTGCAGCCGTAGGCGTACTTCTCCCAGCGCGCCAGCTCGTCGTAGACGGTCAGCGAGACGCCCTCCTTGAAGCCGTCGCCGGCCCAGGCGGCCAGCCGGATGATGTAGCCGCTGCACTGCAGCCGCAGCGACATGTCAAAGTCCTCGGACACGTGGCTCTCGGACCAGAACTTCTCGTACCCGTCCTCGTCCTCGTAGCCGACCTCCTGGATCGCGCTCCACCGCAGCATGGCGTTGTGCCCGACGAACGGCGCCACGTCCCCGTTGGACACCGTGTACCGGATCGCGCTGTAGATCAGGTTGGTGAAGAAGGTGATGCCGTTCTCGAAGTACGTGTGCACCACCTGCATGACGCCGGACGAGAACTGCATGATGCCGACGTCGGGCGATTGCTCCATCTCGGACACGGCATCCAGGAGACAGTCGGCAGGGACCCGGGTATCGGAATCGACTGGGACATGTTAGCTTGATGGACGGTGGGATTAAGAGGAGTGGTTTGAACTTACTGATCAGGATGTAGTCTCCGACACGGACATTGCCGTCTGCCCAGGCTCGGCCGTCTTCCTCGAGGACTTCCTTGAGGGCCTTCTCATAAGCCAGGGCCTCGTCGTTCTGAGTCCACTCCGGGCCACGATGGCACTGGGCAAGCTTGTCCTCGACCTTGCAGGAGATCATGAGGGCAAAGTTCATGTTGGACGCCTTCTTGAACTTGCCGCGACGCAGGAAGCCGTTCTCGCCGTGTTTGGGCCGCGCGACCCAGCCGATGCTGTGGTCGGCGTAGAACTCGATCCGCGCGCGGCGGTCCTCCTCCGAGATGAGCTGTAGGCCGTCGTCGTTCATGAACATGTTGGCCGAGCCGCCCTGCAGCTCGTAGGTGCTGATGGCCTGCTTGATGGACCGGACGGTGGGGGCGATGACGGCGCCGAGGCCCTCCTTGTAGACCGGGCACTGGACCGTGACGTGGGGCAGCATCCCGGACTGGAGCCGGGGCGGCGGCCGCGCCGAGTAGAACTTGGAGTTCATGCTGAGCTGGCGGATGGGCCCGAAGATCTGCGCCAGGCAGCCCACGATGACCTGCGCGAAGAAGAGCGTGAAGAAGATCTGGATGGGGAAGAGGGCGACCAGCGCAAGCCGCAGGTAGCTTCCGTCAACCGAAACCTCGATGGCCAGTTGACGGAAGGCGGCCCCTAGAGACACCACGACCAAGACCATGGTGATGGAGACGAGATAGGTGTTCTGCAAGTGAACAGGCCGCGCCTCGGGCTTGATCTGGCCGCTCTCCTCGTCAATTTCGTACTCATTGACTGACACGGGGCTCGCCCTCTTCTCATCGTCGTCGTCGTTCTGGTCGCTCTGCCAGACCAGTTCCATCAGCTCGGACTCGATTGCCTTGGCTCTCTGCATCAGATGGAGCGCATCGTCGTCCCACACAACCAGCAGTGCCTCAGCGGCAATGAACGCCGCGAACTGGTGTTTCCTTGCTCTCGGGAGGTCGTCTACCGTCGGCAGGATCTGGACTCTCAGGCCGTTCATCAACGGGACGTCTACTGCATCTGGGGACCACGACAAGAAAGTCTTGATTACTCTCGAGTTCACTGTCATAGCGCACTATACAGAGTTAGCCTAGGGATTGCTCACAGCTGCGAAGCCATCGACATACTTGGACATTGAGAGCGGCGCACGCCATGGCGAAAGGGGAGTTGCCCAACTGTGCCGGACAGGCCATGTACTGTCCTCTTGACTTGCGCAGAAGCACACCCTCAACTTCACCACTACCGTCGCTCACCCAGAGATGCGCACACTGTTGCTGGTAGAGGTAGTTGACCATGACCTCGTGCTTGATATCGTCGAGGAATACGGAGCTGGCAGCCGAGCGCGCCGACCTTCCTGATATCGAGTTTCGTGAAGAGCCGAAATGCGGCGTCGGAGCCTGGAGCCCCAGGCCTTCTGGGGCGGGATGCCCTGCATTGCTATGCTCTGCCACCACGGGGGCTGCTGGTGCCGATGCTTCTGGTGTAGGCCGTTTCTTGTCTTCAGGCTTTTTAGCCTTGAAGTATGTCGAGATGCCCATCGTATCCTGCGGTTATGGACTGGACTATGTTCAAATATTATTTGGTGCTAAAGCAAGAGATACCAAGTACGCCCGAGGTGGCGGGTCTAGCGATGCCCTTCTGCTCGTGTAAGTCGTATTTTCACCTCCAGCTATATTGACGGGTTAGCGGAAGCAGCAACTGTCAACGGGATATCATTACGTACGGGAAGAGCGAATGGACAGCCCGAAATGGACCGGCGACGTTGAAAAGAGTGAGGCCTCTCAAGGAACCATACGTCGTCCTGGGAAGCCAAGATCTCGAAAGCTTGAAACGACGCGGGCAAGAGGCACGACCACTGCAACTACCCTGCTGTCGAAGGGATAAGCAGTTGTACACTAAGACGAACACGGGAGTGGGAGGAGAGAGAGAGAAACTAAATGTAAAGTTTGATGGGGAATGGTGAGTATACAGGGGCTGCACTCTGTTGGGACCGAGTACAAAGATAAGGCACAAGATTTCCGGCTTTCGCTAGGAATCACGGTATGTTTCCATGACGGAGACCCAGGTCGGGCTTTGATACTTACACTTCACATATGGCAAGCTTGAGCTGAACCACCTAGCTGGACTACCAGGTCCACAGAGATGGAAGATCAACTGATAATGCGAGTGCCTCGAATAGTCTGAGCAACGAACGTGTGAGCTGTCACGACGCTTGCCTTGACGAGAACGACGCTCGGAGTTTTGGTGAAGTCAAGTGGCAGTGAAGTGCCATGCTACAAATCAGAAATCATGGTGACTATCTGATACTGACGAGCTTGGAAAAGTGGCTTGAACCTAATTGCAGAAGAAAGTAAAAGGATACGGAACCGATATCAGCTCGCTGCAATTACCGCCAGAGTGGTTGGTCCTTCTCGGCACAGGGGGGCAGGATTCAGGCCTACACGAGGACCTGGAACCCGCAATCCTAGTAACTGCAGCTGCAGGACACTGCAGTGGCTACCGGGGGGTTGGACACAACTGCGCTGGCCGCGATAATCAGCATGGAATGGTCTGAGATTGAAGCACTAGCTTGGGAGTTTGCCACGCGAGTTGAGGTTGGTGGAGCAATATTACAGCCAGGTCGGTGAGAGGGAACATCTTCGTGAGTATTTGACTCTAAAGGACAGGCGAAGATCTGGCTATTTGCAGCTGACCAGGGGGGCGCAATTGGCTTGACCTCGCAGCTCAACTACAGGCCATCTTTCCGGCCAGCCAATGTGCAGTCTCAGTGAGAGTGGACGAGTTTTCTGAGGCTCATATTGCATTCCGACGACATGCCTCTATTCTGGATATATCCATCATAATGAGCTATTGTGCTTTGGCGTGCTATCCACTTGAGTCCCGGGTCAGCTTAAGCTTGGACGGGGCAGATAAGTCTGCGTCAACAGAAGGGCCGTATGCGCTGTTATTAGAGTGGCCACCCATGTCGACACTCATCGGCATTACCACAAAAGGCTGACTTATTTGGTATGTGGTAAGTCAGATCGACGTTGAGCGCGATGTCCAGGGCCAGAGAGTAGAGGTACCGATACAGCAGCGGACCCGATGTCCTCTAATCCTGAAGGAATTTTTTGATTGGTCCACAAACCCTAAGATCTCGTGTGGCAACTGCATCAGGCCAGCACCGATGGGCAAATGTAGCCGATACATGCAAGCGGCTCCGCCAAGAGGTTACAGTTGGAATGGCCTGGCTTCCTGTAGGTGCACCTCAGGAGCATGGGTTTCTCGTATTCCTGCATGGAAAGAATGTCGAATACAGATAACTCAGCACTAGGGTGGCAGGGCCTTTTGGACGTAGGCGCGACGGCGGGTCCACCCCCCGGACGGAGATCCGGGCACAGGCCGAGCCCTGTTCTATGATTACTGGTTACTCTGACACCAATACTCCCGCCTCTCAGGTCTCGCCGGGAGATCCGCGCCTCCTACAGACTGCGGGACGGTGGCTTGCAACGACGGAAGTCGTGGGCTGTGTTCACTATGCCGTGTGAATTATCAACATCAGGAGAGTGTTGGGGGTTTCAGGAGAGTTCCTGATACGAGCCTTCGGTGCACACTCGTGCGTGAAAGCGCTCAAGGATCCTGCAGTAGTTTGCGATAACCGCTTAGGCAGGCAGCTCGCCCCAGCATGGCATCGTAGCAGTGCGGTGGAGGAAACCTGCTTTGACAGAAACCACGTCGAGAACGAGAAGCAATACCATCCTGGCACCCAACCAGCCCGCGTGGGGCCCTGCTGTGTCTCTGCATGTCACCTACATTCGCAATAGGTAATCATACCAGGGCTGGATGACGTTCGGGACCTTTCATGGCCTTCGCAAATTTTGCGACATACATAGAATGATAGGCTGGTGGATGTGCCGCACATGATTATGACGATATACTATCGTTTACCACCTAGATTGACTAGCCGCGGTTGCGGTAGATCTATAGACGGCGAGATCTCTGATGGAAATGACCTAGGTTCGTTTGGCTCTGGCCCTGGCATTGACGAAAGCCGTCACTAGCTCAGGTACCACCGAGCCTCGTGGCTCTCATATGTAAGTGGCATCTGCCCGACAGACCCATCAATATTGGCAAATCCATAGGGGAAGTGGAAATTGTCTTGAGGAGTCATCGAAGAGTGAGACACAACGATGAAGAAAGCGGATAGAAGGCTGGGTGAAAGATCGGTGCAGGTGAGACCAGCCAGTGGAAAATGTGACAGACCCACTAAATAGAGCTGCTATTATTCTAGATCCAGAAGGTAGCTACCCGAGACCCACTGTAAAGACGCCGACGGGATCGTCGGGACTACTGCTCTGAGCTAACTTAGCTGCTACCTAGGTACCTTTTGCGGTGACAACACCAGAGTTATTTTTGGACAGTGAGCCCTATCATTTGCGCCAACCGACAGCTTCAAAATGGGGTGTGGAACGATTGTGTCTGCATTAGTGACACTATCCTCGTGTTGACACCCAGCGTATCGTTATGCACATCTGCCTGGGGGACGGATCACCCACGGCCATGGAAGACCTGGTTGGAATGTAATGTGGCTGACAGCTCATACGCCAGGCTCGTCCCATCATTAATTTGTCCATTATTACCCCAGACAACACAGATCCGGCACCATGCATACCCAGATCGTGCAAACTCGGTCCCATCGGATGGACGGGAATTTGCATTGATTAAGTCCCGAGTCTTGACAGCGGCAGTCCTATCCTCTTGGACAGATGCCGATTGCAACATGAACAGGCCACCCTTACCAGATGTGTACAAGAATGAGCAAAGGATCAAGACGAGTGCAAAGATAAAGGACCAGCTGATTTCTGCAGATAGCTGCATTTCTGTACCAGCGCATTTTCAGCTGGTTCTCCGTGGTACAACAGCGCCAAAAAAGCAATAGCATTTCTCCACTGGAAACGCTGCCACCTTGAGGCTCTCCTGCCTCACCATTCCACGACGGTAGGCTGATGTGAAGCTGGCTCGGCTAGGCGCCTGCTCCAGAAGTCTGATATCTCGGTCAAATTGTGGGCAGCTGCATACGTTCAAGCATGGTGATGGCCTCTTTGTGGTAGGCAAAGATTATCGGCCCCAGAGGCAACGCCCAAGCGACCGGACCTGGCCTCCCCAGTACGGCCGACGGCACAGGCGACATGCTGTACACTTCGCAATAGATGCCCGTTCTCGACGAGACTCACGATCTATTGGCCGCCTGCAGCATGCACCAGCCAGGTTGCGACAGAAACCGTTGCCCTTATCGAGGAGGCCCCCGTATTTGTGTGGATGGGTTCCGGGACCAAGCCAGCCCTTTCCGCACCTAAAGACAGGGATCACGCTGTGATTGAACGAAGAACCAAAGATCCGACTTGGCGGGGACAGTATTACATAGTACAAGCAGGCTTGCCAGGGGTCAAAGGCCCACTCTTCGATATGTCTGGGCAATCCCTCGTTGATTGTTATAGCCGTGATTGACCCGCTTCTCAAGCCCTCCAGTTTTCCAGCCATCGACGGAGATAACAGACGCCGAAAGAAAATAAGGCCAGTCTTTCCGCATTGTCGGCACTAGATGAGTGCCTTTTGGAGGTCCGGTCGACAGTTTTTGCATGTCCACGATAAGTATTCTGTAGTGACACCTGGCCAGCTGGTCTGCTCAAAACTCGGCCTTACTAGAGATCGGACCGCCATGCATCATCCCAAGAAGTACGTGCTAGGCTATAAGCACAGCGGAGGCATTATATCCGCGATACTGCCAACCATCATTATGTCTTGTGAATACGCCTTGCATTTCAGCTCCTGCGTTGCGGATCGCCCCGTCGTACGGCCTGCAGTATATTCCTGGACCCTCACCTGAAGTGTGAGGCTGTGGGGCCAGGGCCAATATTGCTGGATTCAGTCGGTATTCCCCCAGCTACCAATTTGTGATACCCGACGGCATATTGTGATACTGCCCTTTCAGCTGTGGCGTGCTCCACGCGCTCGGTCCTGGCTTGGCTACCTATCTCGGAAGAGGCGGTATTGAATGTGGTATACAGGCAATATAGAACATTGCCAGCCGTGTGCAAGTAATCCTTGAGCACGGGATGCCACGTGCTCTGTGCCGCCAAGAACTAGACTTGTTCACATGCTAGGTGCTGTTCAAACACGTGCTTTCTATCCTGACGAAGGATCCCTCTCTGGGTGCTCGCCTAGTCTTTGATCCGGTTCTGGTGAGCTTGGGAGACACCATTAGTCTCGCAGAATAAGTATGAACGTGGTATATGTAATTGACCTAAATGTCGTATAGAGTGCATCTTCCATCGCCTGATTATCCGATTAATGACCGTCTATGTTCCAAAATGCAAAGTTCCATATCTAATGACCCGTGAACTCCTGTCGTAAAATCATAGCATATCATTATAGTTCCCCACCGTCGCACTGCTGCCACATCATGACCTTACTCACCTCCATGGCAGGGGACGTCCAAGTTGGGAACCAGCTGTCCTGGGACTGCCAGAAGTCCTTCTTGGCGTTCGGGCTGTTATCGAGCCACGGCTTGCCGCTCGCGCCGTCCTCGAACCAGCCGTTGGTCCCGCCGACGGCAACGTTGAGGATGAGGTAGAACTTCTGGTCGAACGGGGCGCTGAAGTCGCCTGTCTGGATCCACGGGTCCTCGATCCTAGTGCCGTTGCTGTCGGCGTTGGGAAAGTTACCGCGCTGCCACAGAGGCTGGTCAAAGTTGGTGTAGAGCACCTGGAGGAGTCGCGAGTTGACGTATGTGAACAGGTACTTCTGCGACCACTCCAGGCCAAAAGTGTTGAAGCCAGCCGAGTAGGTTGTGTGAAGCGATGGGCGCTTGACGTTGGTTCTCCACCAGGCGTCGTTGGCCTGATTGGGGCCCCAGTGAAGGGCTGAAGAGACAATGTTGTTTCCACCCTGGCCATATGTATGGTTGTTCCCACGAGACTCCATGATATCGATCTCACCAGACCGGGGCCAGACTCCATACTTATCCTCAACAGGCATCATCCAGATGGCAGGCCAGAGCCAGTCGCCTTGAGGAAGTTTCGCTGTGACTTCGACGCGGCCGTACTTGATCGTAGCGGGGCCGTTCTTGGTAATTATACGGCCCGACTTTGTTGGAGGGACGATGGTTGCGTTTCCGGTAGTAGTATTTGTCGCAGCAATGCAGTCCGAGGGTTGATTTGAAGTACAGGTGCCGTCTGCCAGGAGATCGATCATTGAGTCCTTCTCTATCAGAGACGCGTCCTGAAGCGTGGGTTTGATGAATAAGTGACCGTTTTCAATGTAGACGTTTTCGTCAGTAGCCGTCGTCTGCTCGAATTCACCATTACTGAACAAAAGGGTCAGCATCTTTACGATTTGGGTGGCAGAAATCAACTTACCCAAAGCCGCCGACTTGGACCTCCTTGGTCCAGACCTCTTTATTGAAACCATTTGACCAATCCTCTTGCAGAACCATACAATAGTTGTGCTTGACAACGCTGCGCAGGCCGTCCCAAACCAGAACTCCAGAGATGCCCAGACCAAGGAAGATACCAATGACTGGTAAAATGGTTACCCATTTCTCCTTGGGGTCCTTCTTCTGTAACCAAGGCTTTTCAACCTCGCCCTTCTTGACTCTGCGTGAATGGAAGTATCTCTGGCCACGCTCGACAGGTACCTGCTCCATCGCACTGGAGTCGGCATAGCTTGAAGCGGGTCTCGAGATCTCCGGTGAAGCAAAAGGATTAGAGGGCCCTCTCAGAGATGCAGCAGGAGTTATTCTGTCGTCGCCGAAGGGATTTCTCTCCGTGTTTGGCGTCCCCATCCGGGGAGTTTCTTTCTCCATCATGGCGATAGTCGTGAGAGGAAGTAATAGGTGCCAGGTGAAGATCAGCTGTGTGTAATTTTGGAGCTACGTAGAGTAGGGCAACTGAAGCGAGAGACGTGCGAATCGGGTCGAGAAACGAATGAAATGGAGAGAGGTCTGTCGATCTTCTGAACGACACGAGAGGATGGTATTGAAACGATCGTGGTGGATTGAGAGCGTTTTCAACCCGGCAGAGTCAACACCTCTTGTTCCTGGGAGAAAAAGTCTGGGTGTAAGCTCCAAAACTACCGCAGTGTGACCTGCAAGATATCTGACAGATAATGATCCTTGTCCCAGATGGTGCATCCTTACATATCTAGCCCAGCCATACTTCACGTACAAGATACATGCTAGCGTGCCAACTGGCCATCGGCGACCCCTGTAGCTGCGAGCTCGCCTGAGCATGCGTATCAGGTCCAGGCCTCAACATTCATTGATAGGCATGGGTGCTCTGCTGATTCTGGAGGCTCGCTCGCAGAATGGGGTCCCGCCTCGGTTCCTCACGTCCTGCCTTCTCTTGGTGACAGTATCGACGTGTAAGTCGCCCCACTAGGTGCGCTAGAAGACAATACAGAATACATGTCGTCTGCAATTATCTGCAAGCCCATGCAAGCCACTGTTCAAGTGTAGATATTCGCAACATGGTTTGGAATTGGCAAGCTTGAAGCACTAGTAGGCAGCAACGAGCTCATGGATCACAATGCGGGCATTCTCTGAATCTGATTGACGCTGTGGCGCCACCCTGGCCGCTGGGGAGAAGCTTGGCGAGCGACCAGCAAGCCGGGAACAGTGGCTAGCACCACCGTAGGCCTCCACATCTAGGCGGTTGGCTTACGCTAGAGATATGCGGCTTCGGCGTTTTGTCCCGAGATTTACAGCTAGTTAGTTAGCTGGCTTAGAGATCCGTAACAACACAGCTTGCCCGAGACACCGTCCTGGAAATACTTTGACAAAACTTCATTGTAATGACTGGTCTTTCGTGGTGAATGGTTCTAATCAAAATATGCGATGGGAATATCTCCAAAGTGGCATTGCTAGCCATTCTGCGGCCAGGCGTCCCAAGATGCTTCCCGATGGACCCCCGGCTGCAGCCAAGATGCAACACAACCCTGCCTTCGACTGGATGGAGGAATGCCCATTTCGAGGAGATACCGTTTTCGTGGCGAAAGAAAAATTGCAGACCCCCAGCCAGTGCATGCCAGTGGACGCCTGGCATCGTTGGCCCGCCATCTCGATGCTACTAGTCTGAGCACTTGCATAGGCGACAGAGCAACTTCAGCAGGCGTATCCAAAAATACGCCATGCCATGCACGCTGATGAACATGAACTACAAGCATATGCATCTTACTACTGCTAACACGTACTGATTACACTTTCTTTTCAAAACCGGGTACGGCGCCCCGAGACCAACAACCCTCGTGGCTGTCATTCCGCAAGATGTAGGGAGGCGGTCAGTTATCTGCTAACGATGTCTCGGGCTGCCACGCAGAGCCTGTGACAAACACGTTTAGTTTTACTTTTCCAGCACACAAGCGCCAGAATCTTGACGCAAGAGTTCCTTTGTGAACCCGTATTTGCAAAATTCAAAGGTCTCCCAAGGGCTAAATCTGGACGAGCCAGTGATCTGGTGCGGCCGCGGGAGCCCAGCCTCTACCTCATAAGCTTATATGTTGCCAGCCTCTCATTCGCCGATGAAACCCAACAGGGATGGCTTATAACGGTTGCCCCTGGGTCCCCTGAACCTGCAGGAACCCTGGCTAGGAACCGTCCAAAATTGCCCGAAGTACCCGTACACGCTCACTCTCTAGCGCGATTGGACTGCTACTTCTTCTGGTTAGAATGTCCACGTCCCTTTCAAATACAGAATCCCTCGCATCATTACGAGATTTGCTCGTCATCATGATAAGAGCGAATCCGAGAAGCAGGCTGGCAGGTATGCCGCTTCGTCGCACTATTGTTGCGCTATTGCACGCCAGACCTGCTTCATCACGAAGCCCAAAACGTCCTCTACAGCCTATGATCCTCTTCACCTAGTTTCTGCACAACCACAGGACCTCTATCTTCCTCCCACAGGCGGAGGCCCCCGAGATATGAAGCACTCACAAGTGTGAGCTGATAACCATATTTACCGATTGGCATGTAACGTTTGGTTGACCTGGCCTCTAATAACCGCATGCAGCTCGCTAACACCGGCCTGTCCGCTTGATGGATGAATTCGGAAAATGTTCGATTTCCACAACTCGGGTCCTATGTGATTATAACGAAAGTATTGCATCTTACTGCTTGTGTAGCGAGCGCTGCAGCACCCATGAGCTGAGCCACTCTGGGATCGCATCCAAAGTTCGGGTGCGCCTTACATGTTCGATGCTGCGAACAGGAAGCTCATTTCGCAGGATGATCCCGCGGCTGATACAAGAACCAGAAGAACGAAAGTGACTGAAGCTCAACCCATCCTTCGATCACTTCGATCGGTTTATTTTTGCCGTCTGGTAAGCGCCAGGAATACCGCACCTAAATTGCATTGCTGATCAGCTGAGGAGCATTCCTTGGGACCATGTATATGATCCACCCCGCAATAGCCTGCTTGCTGCTGTAACTTTGACAATCAATGAACTCTGAAAAGTGCCAGCATCCCCAAGAGAGATTTCTGGCCGATGTGGCTGATGATCCGATTCGACTCCTTGAGGATTATGACCACACCTTGAACTGTATGGATTGCTAAACTTATCTATGGTAAATCCCCTCAATGTCATTCTCGACAGTTATAGATCCCGTGAAATGCTATTTCCACATACGAGAACGTACTTAGATATTAAGGCCCATCCGTTACAAGAAGTCGATCACGAGACATCCGTGCATTTTGCATCACGTGGATGAAGTCTTTTCCCGCCTCGGGCCTGGCGATCATGAATTCATCGTTGGCCCTTAATTCTCGGGCCGTCCACAGCCTCAGGCAGGGGCTACCCAGGTTTGGCAACATTGCCGGAGCGGGAACATGGCTGGTGATCTGCAACGTGGGGTCTGGAGGCACCAGGGGCTCACATGGCATTGGCATGAGGCTGGTACCGCTATATCATCTTGCTTTTTCAAACCGTGCCGCATCCGCCACGAAACGTGTCTATTGAAATTTATGTCTACACCGTTGGATTCCCGTGGCTCAAGGCGTTCTGTGGTGGCTGGGTTCGCCTGGCAAGAAAGCAAGTATTCTCACCTGATCTAGCGCTCACCTTGCACAATTCTCGTCTTCTAGTGATAGGCGACACGAGACACGGCATGGACACATCACTTTGCAGCCTGCCATGCTGTGCCAAGTCCGTAGTCATTCATGCGGCGTTGACTCAGTCCTGAAAGAGATTCACGCTACCAAAACAGAGAAGTGACGAGGAGCTACCCAAACCAGCCTGCATGAGCAGTTCTCGGTTTCAGATTCTGTTATGAACGTCGTGGGCTAAGAAGATCGTCGTTCTATCATAGAGGATTTGCATGACAACGCAACCATGCTATGGCAGAGTAACTGCTGATCGCTAGATTTACAGGGAGACTATAGCTAGATGATATCTCAAATTCGACCTATAGTAATTGAATTGAATGACAGGTCGCAGAGCGAGATGCGCGATTGAGGCTATGATAGACAGCAGAATTGACCACAACAGCGGCGAGATGAGGCCTGGAATCTTCAGGTCATTGATTCAGTTTCAAGAGTCAACTACCCTCATCTATATTTCTCGTACTTGGCGGTCTCCTTGAGGAGCCCCTCTATCTTGTCTATCGTCTCCTGGTCGTACACATCTTCCACACGCTTGTCGCCCCTGAGAATCTCCCGCTCGTGCCTGGTGGCCTCCTCCTTGGTCATGCAGACCAAGTCGCTGAGCCTCAAGTCACTCGACTTCTGGCCTTCAATCTCCAGTAAGGTCGACTTGGTCGGCTTCCGCCACCGGAGAAGGACCAGTCGGGTGGCAAGGCCGGTGACGGCGCTTCGGCCCTTGAAAATATCCTCGGCGACGAACGACACATCTCCTACAGTCACCGGGATTTTGAGGCCAACAGCAATGGTGTGGTCGCTCCCGGGGTTGAGGTGGCGAAGAATCTTCTCCTCGCTGCCCTGGAGCGCAGCTAGGATGCTGTCGTGCATCTTATCACGGCCCTTGGCAATCGGATAGTCAAGAGGGTATCCTTGATCATGTCAGCATCGTCCATTTATAGCAATAATATCGAGAAAGCATACCTGTAATCGAGAGAATGATATGGTTTGCCACCGTGTATCCAAAGACAGCAGGCATAGTTCCCAGCACGGGCAGGATGCGCACTCGGAAGTCTGGCAGGACACCGAGATCTCCAACCGAGCCCTTCTGGAACTCCTCCTCTGGTAACGGAAGCAGCTCGGCCTTGCCCTCTCCAGTCTTCTCTGTCGAGAACACTGTAGGAATGCCTTTGGTAATACCTAATAGCTTTAAGCGTCTCCTCGTAGCACGAGACAGCCCATCGTCTGTGCTAGATCCGATATCGCCCACAATAATCCTCGTGGGATCGCTCTTGCAGCCCGCGCCCATAGCAGATATGACTGGGATTTGGCAATCGTGGCAGTATTTCAATAACGAGACCTTGGTATCGATATTGTCAATGGCATCGATGACGAAATCCGGCTTCTGTCCCGTTCCCTTCCACGGCTCGAGTAGGCGGTCTGCAGCTTCTTCCCAGTATTTCTCCAGCCTCAAGTCGAAGTTGGTCCATGGTGTGATGGCGATCAGCCGCCTGTATAGGCACTGCACCTTTGCGATTCCCACATCGGCCAAGGTGGCTACGGCATGTCGGTTCAGCGAGCTCAGCGTCACTTGGTCGAAGTCGATGAGCCGGATCTTGGACACTCCCGACCGGGCAAGCGCTGCCGTTGCGTGCGAGCCGACGCCGCCACATCCCACCACTATAACGAAGGAGTTCCGCAGCTTTTCCAGACCTTCGGGGGTGAGGAAGACGCGGTTGCGGGCCAGCTGCTCGAGGATCAGCTCGTCGTCGAAGTCGCCGGCTTGCGCCCGGCGGGCGAGCTCTTCGTTGCGCAGGTCTTCGTCGTTGGCCTTGGATGCGCCGCCGTAGCTAGTCAGCTACCTTGGAGATTAGTATGTAAGCTTGCGAAGGAGCTTCAAGGGCCGGCGGCTGCGCAGGAGGGTCGGGGCCTTACCTTTCTGAGGGCCTCCCCTTCATTCTCGACTTCGGGAATCGAGTGCTTGAGCTGATGGACGCGCGACTCTCGCTGGAACTGTTGGTATCCCAGAATGGCACCGGCGACGACGGCGCCCGACACAATGGCTGTCGTCGCAAGCTGGACGTGGTTGCTGGAAGAAGCCCGGGACAGGAACGACGCCATTGTGAACAGCCCGGCGTGCGGCCAACCGTGTAGAAGCTGGGAAGGTGTCAAACAAGTGAGATCAGCTCATGAATCGGCCGAGCGCATGATCTGGCGGGCGAAAAAGGCACCCTCGCGCGTCTAAGTCCCCGTCTCTGCTTCGGAATCGTGTCGGAGGCTACTCAAAAATTTGAGGCTTCGAGCTCCGGACACCAAAGCTTTCGCTCAATGTATCCGGCCCCACTTAACGCCGGTGGCGTCACTCTTGCACCGACATGAAGACACGCGTGTGATTTGGTGCATAAGTGACCGCGTCTCAGATCCTAGTGAGATGTTATTGCCTTCACTTAGGCATTACACTGGCATATTAAAATTGAGCATGTAAGTCAAGCAGGTGACAAGGATTCGAGATTCAACCAGGAAAGATGTGCGATTCACTCAGAGTCAGGCGCGTGATCGAACTACTAAGCCTAGGCCTGCCCATACATAAACAGACAAGGTGAAGGCGATCACTGAATTCGGCATGCCGAACATAATTTATATTTTCAGTTCAAGGCTTCGCGTTCGCTATACTGAGCTCTCCTCAAATGGCGGTAACTTCATGGCGTCTGAATTTCCGCAGTGGATCGGGACATCTGTCATGCCCCTATGTTGATTGGTCAGAGACAGGTTCCCACCCACTTACACCCTCTGGTCTTTACCAGCGAACTCCGTCTTTGGGATGCAGCGCCGGAACAGCATCTCTACTGTGATTCAGGTCTTGAGTGTCAATACCAATTGACCTTGTCGCTATGTCGAACACGCAGGAACTAGAAGGGTCCAAAATGGCGCCGATTTGTACAACACCAGACGCCTCCAACGGCAACCACGAGAAAGCCGTGGACCAAAATGAGGCCGAGAACCAGGGAGGCGGCCACGACCAGGAGGCAAACAAGAAAACTTCCGCTTTCAAGTCCCTTGGGTTATTGGACCGCTTCCTCGCCGTTTGGATATTCTTGGCAATGCTCATTGGGATCCTACTGGGCAATTTTGTGCCTGAGACGGGCCCTGCTCTGGAGAAGGGCAAATTTGTCGGCGTCTCCGTTCCTATAGGTATGTTGCGATTACTTTACGTTCGTTTCAAGCGACCAAGGCCAGATTTGCGTTGTCGTGCTGAAACTTGTGTGTATAAACAGCTGTTGGGTTGCTCGTTATGATGTATCCGATCCTCTGTAAGGTACGATACGAATCTTTACATGAGATCTTGGCACATAACGACGTCTGGGAGCAAATACTGTTCAGCATCATTATGAATTGGATTATAGCCCCTTTTCTCATGGTAAGTTACTGCCAAATTGGTACTTTCTTTGGGGATGAAACTGACTTGGATAACAGCTTGGGCTATCGTGGGCTTTCCTACCTGACGAGAGCGGACTACGTGCCGGTTTAATTTTGGTTGGCTTAGGGAGATGCATTGCAATGGTATGGTGACTATAGGACTATCCTCTCTAGACATGTATACTGATGATATACAGGTCTTAATCTGGACCGGCCTTGCTGGTGGCGATGGAGAGTATTGCGCTATCCTTGTTGCCATCAATTCTCTTCTCCAGATGGTTCTCTTTGCACCATTGGCAATTTTCTTCATCCGCGTCATCAGCCACGATCCAAATGCGGTCAATGTGTCATACTCAGTGGTTGCGACGAGTGTTGCCGTATTTCTGGGTGTCCCCCTTGGCGCAGCCATCCTCACCCGGTTCACGTTACGGCGGCTGTTTGGGCCCGACTGGTATGCGCAGACATTCCTGAGGTTCGCCTCACCCTGGTCACTGATAGGGCTGCTTTACACCATCCTTGTACTCTTTGCCTCGCAGGGTCGCCAGGTCGTTCATCAGATCGTCTCTGTCATCCGGGTAGCTGCACCATTGATTGTCTACTTCATGGTCATCTTCTTCCTGACGCTTGTAATAGCACGGCGACTCGGCTTTGGGTATGCCCTTGCAACGACCCAGAGTTTTACTGCTGCGAGCAACAACTTTGAGCTTGCCATCGCCGTGGCGGTCGCCACCTTTGGACCAGACAGTGACCAGGCGCTGGCATCAACAGTTGGGCCACTTATTGAAGTGCCGGTGTTGTTGGGATTGGTGTATGTTGTGAAGTTGATCGGAAAGCGATACAGGTGGGAGTAGGAGCGATCTGTGAACCTTGAGACAAGAGATATTTGAGCCATCAGATAGCCATAATCGAGCGGTGCGACCTGCTGCAAATCTCGAATTGCCCGGGAATAATGTCTGATCCACAAACTGAGACCTCTCGTGACAAAGTATTTCAGGGCACCTCGTTCATGAGCTGAAATAAATCCATGTTCTTGACAGAGCATGATGACTTGTCTCCGCAGCCAAGTGTTTGGCGAGCTTCGTCGATGTCCCCATGACCGCGGAGACTGGCGATAATCGTTGCAGCAGCCTCGCATGACGTTGTCTCATTCGTCGCATTCCTGGATGACATCTCGTGCCGTATCGTCGTGTCTTGAGCCTGTCCCGAGATCGGTTTGCAGACTAATCGGTGTGACGCGGGAAGGCTATGACCGCTAGGGTTGCCCTGGCTCAGCGTGTCATTTCTCGTATTGCTCTGCAAGCGTCTGATATGTGCCAGGCAATGAGCTGACTCAGGCCCAGGCGCTGTCGCATCACTTGTGCTGGACTGCGAAGGGACTTTATTCGCATCTCCGGACTCTGCGTCATCGGCCAGAAAAGTGTCAATTTCCTCCTGCTGAACACCATGCAAGGCCAGCAGAGCAAGCAGTCGCTCGTTCTTGATGGCCATCATCCTTGCAGCATGTTGCACCTCTACTGTAGCTTGAATACCCTCGCGTTCAAAGGCCCTAATGCGTTTCTCCAGATCTGCGACATATTCTCGATGCCGTGCTCGAGAGCGCTGCTGGGTCTCACGGCTCTTGTCTTTGGGTACAGGAACCCTGACCTGTTAAAAGTGCAAGGGTAAGCGATGTGCGAGACCTTGGGAAGAGCGACCGACCTTTCGGGGCATTGTCTGTCTTAATGTGCCCCTGTTTAGAGATACAACGGAGTCCTCGCTGATGGTGAAGCAGCTCCAGTCTTCGTATCTTGAGCGGAGATCGAGGTTCAGGTTAGCCTCATCAGCGAGAGAAAGGGCACTGTGCGCAATACTGTGTTAAGAACAGCCACACTGTATCCTAGTCAGGTTGTAAGTTGTGCATCTGCTTGTAACCAGTTGGTACCAAGAACATCATTTCTACAGTACGTTTGGTGTACTGTGCTGAGTTTATTGGCGGTACCTCGTATTGTATGCATTGGTGAATCAAGCTAGAGATCGATATCGTGACCTGTCACACATCTGTCCAAGTTTGCAAAGTCTCCGTGCAGAAGAAGTGGCCAAATCATCCAGAATCTTCGATCTGGACGAGGTCAATCCGATCGAAAGGGTACCAAATCTTAATTGACTTTCAGCTCTGCATTTTGTATCATGTTTCACGACCATATTGTGACTCCTCACACGACGTGTAATGTCAATAGTTCGGGACCTTTCGGGGACCATGACCCTAACAAAAATGGTATTTTGAAAAGGTACTCTATGCGAGTTCCATGGAATCTGGCATTCAAGTTGATCATTGCGCGACAGCCCTCGAAGCGTGGTCATGGTACCAAGGAAGGACTACTACACCTTACATACAGTCCTTGACTTAGATCTCAGTAACACGATTGCCGATCGATCCAGTACATCAAGCTTAATAGGAAAGAACCCGAGAAACATCCACCAACCGCGCCGTCTCTGCGTGAGATAATCTCGATATATGCGACAGCTGAATATCACTTCTATGAGAGCATATTCACTGCGCAGCACACTCTTCTCAGACAACAATAGCGAAGCATGGTTAGAAAATCAATGATTACATGACCTACTGACTGCAGCCATTTCAGACCTGCTGACATTGTCCACACGGTTTGGGGAATCCTACTGCTAAAATAATGGTTATCGGTGGCTTCTCAGTGCGATCGTTCAAGCTCTTCGGAGCATTCTTTCTCTTGAATCTACTCCCTTATGCTATCTGTGTAGTTGGACCCCAGGAGCTTCCTGATCTGGGAACAGTGCTCAGCAGAGAGCAAGATCTTTCAACTTACTACGAACTCATCAAGGTACACACATACTCTACTATATGCTACGTATAGGCTGTTTCCATAGGAGGGCTGACACGTATACCTTCTAGAAATATCCCCAAATCCTACTGCAGCTCCCAACCTCGGGAGGCATCACCCTGATTGCCCCCTCCAACGCCGCATTCGCCAATATTCCCGGCACGCCGCTTAACAGCCTCTGGGCAGCGGACAAGCCCGAGGTCGCGGTGCCCATCCTGCTGTACCACGTGCTCGCGTCCTCACTCTCGGCGCGAAGTCTGGCGGTTGGGACGCCCGTGTACGCCCCGACCCTGCTCCGGGACCCGGCGTGGACGTCGCTGGGAGCCGGGGGCCAGGCAATTCTGGTCAACAGACAGCCCGGCAACGTCGTCGTGTTCGTGTCCGGGGGCGGGACGCGCAGCACGCTTAAGAAAGCCGACATCGCGTTCAAGGGCGGACTCGTCCAGATCGTTGATAATCTGCTAATTCCGCCGGGCCCGCTGAATGTCACGCTGGCCTCATTCCAGGACTTGTCGTTCCTGGGAGCGTTGTATGCCGCCGGCTTGTACGACGAGCTGGCAGGCCATGGCGGTGGTGCTACAAACGGAACGGAGAGGAGTAGCAATTACACCATCTTCGCGCCGTCTATTTCCGGGTTCCAGGCTGTGAACACGACATTGAGCAACCTCACCCGCGAGGCACTCGCAGCCGTCATGCGGTACCACGTAGTTCCCTCGCAGGTCCTGCCGTCGACGGCGCTGATCAACGCCACAAACCACAACACACTCGCAGCCGCTTCAGATGGGCAAGGCACCCAGCTTCACGTCCACCGCGCCGGCAACAACCTCTATATCAACAGCGCACAGGTCATTCAGCCGGACATCCTGTGGGCCGGGGGCATCATCCACATCATCGACAACGTGCTTAACCCGAACGTGCCGGACCCGGTTCCAGACCCGGAGCTCAGCGTGCAGCGGCCCGTGTTCGAGGGCGCCGTCGACGACGTCGCGACTCTCTCCGAGACCAGCCTCCCCTTCACGGCGGCTCTGCCGTGCTCAGTGAGCTGTCCCGTGGCGAGCATCGCGACTGTCCCGAGGACGACTTCGAGTACTACTGTAGGTACAAGCAGCAGCAAGGCTCTTGCCGCGCGGTGTACGGGGAGTAGTGGAGCCCCAGGCGTGATGAATGCGGTAGCGGGAGCAGCGGCGGTTGGTGTAGTGCTAGGAAGCGTATAAAAGAAGGAACTGGATAATTCGTACTTGGACGGAAGGGTTTAGCCTATGTGCCTTTTTGCGCAAGGCTATTCCCTTCCTTTGAGAGCATCCCCTTAACTTTCAGAGGCTTAGATTAGCAATCAATCAGGTTCCATTTGGGGGTGTCGTCGAGAACTGATCGCCATATTTATGCGGGCATCGGCATTGATGTCCCACCTATGATCCTAGTAGACGAAAGTGCCCGCACTATTAATACGCGTATAGGAAGTGACCGCCATGTGGGAGGATTTGAGCAAGAGAATCAAGGAAATTGTATAGAGTATCTAATCATAAAACTCGTGACACGAGATGCGCCCCTCCAAGCACAGCCAGCCTTACACACTCTTAAAAGGGCGTACAGCCACCATGGCCCCCAACTCAACGTCATCACAGCCATACCCCCACGTGGTTCTACGGGTCACTCATCACCGTGTCCGCTGTCCTCATTGCCAATCTAGATCTTACGCAACCCCAGAGAAAGCAGCTACCGACAAAAAGCACGCCCAAGCCCCTTCCAACGCCGACTCGTCTATATGCCAGATGGTCCGTGAGGAAGCCGGCTGTACTCCAGTCTAATAAAGCCTCTATGATGTCTGCCTGAGCTAGTAGGTAATCTGCCTTCCCCGAAATAGATGATGCTCGTATACGCAAGGAGAGAAATTTGGTGAGTAAGGAGCGACTTGATAGTGAAAGCCAAGGAAAAAGAAAAATAAAATTGCCAAACAAAAAGAAACCGATGAATAAGAGGAAGGCGATCTCGGCCCGACAGGCGAGATTCAAGGGGGGCCTGCCGGTGTCGTTCTATCTCGGCACCCGAAGACCGGGTCTAGCATCCGTGGGCCGACCCCCTTGCGCAAGGCATTCTTGCATGCTAGGTGTCTCTTCCTCCAGTCTTACAGCCTGCGAGGAAGATCGTCCGATCCACATATCTAGCCGCGATATGCGCAGTGGCTACACGAAGGCCGACGATCCGCGTCTAGCTGACCATGGGTTCGCGATGCAGAGTTACATCTTGGACGACCTCCTCTGCAGGCTGTTAGATGAAGGGCATCATATTGCAGTGGTAACGCGGTACGAGTTACTGCGTATTTAGGAAACACAGTCAGAACTGTATCTACCACCAGAGCTCGTCGGGTCCTGACGTGGCCCAAACTTCGGGTCTCTGAGCGGCTTGGGTTGAGCCCGCGCAGAAGGAGGCGGCGGATTGTCTGGCCCGGTGGGTCTGGTTTGATTGCAGGGCGAGCTTGCGGCAGCAAATAAACCTATAGGCATGATTCCTTGCCCTGAGACGCCGGGAATGTCTTGGAGTTGCTTATGGTGAGCCACTGGGGGCCACGTCTGCGCAGCAGCAGTAGATACATCAATACTTGGCAAGGCTGGCAGGCTCATCCGTACAGCCGGCGCTGAACTTGGGTTATTTCCAGCGGGAAACATCTTTGAGGTAACACATAAAGTTTGAAGTATGCCTTGGATGCTGGACTGAGCCAAAGAGTGTCTGTTGCTGCCAAAGAAGCTCCAAAAAAGTGTCCGCAGTATATCATTGAGAAGGTGTATAACCCCAAGGACCAATCCAAGTCTCCTGCGTGGGCTGGGCGGCGGCGTAGGACCAGATGGCCTAGGGGGCAAAGGGCCGGGTCCCCGGGGTCCCCCAGGCGTCGGTGGGCGAGGAGGGTTCGGAAAAGTTATGATCGGCGGCATGTTTTTCTCCTGAATAACTCCAATATGGTGTATCCGAGAGCTTCGTGGTGTTGTCTTGGGTTTTCGGCAGCCCTTAACTGAGTTCTTCTGCAGATGATATGGGTTACCAATTGGCTTAAAGCCAATTCTGGACCTGCTTTGAGTACTGTCACGTATGAGAACTGGGTGTTGAGAAGCCATCGGAAGGTAACAATGGAAAGAAAATCCTTTGACTGAAAGCCGGAGTTCGTCTAGAGGGTTATATGAGGATGTAAAATTGACGGCTCCGCGTGAGGAATGATTGATGCTTGTAGTTTGATACTGACTCAGAATCGAGGAATGCTGCTCTCTTTATACATATCAGTGATTCACTTGAGATAGATCGTGTTTGCCTCTTTACGTTTCGAAAATGGATTCACCGAAGGCCACCACAACGAAGCAGCCTGGCCCCCCTTTGGCAGTGCCGCTCCCACGCTGTTCACCATGGTTAGTCAACATTGTGCCACTGCCATGTGCTCTCGAGTTGACGAGAGGAACTGCTAGAAAGTTGTTTGAGACGGCCAATCAGACACTGAATGTCCCCTGGCAGGGATGGCTCACTCGAGGTGCTCGTCCGAATAACAGTACCAGATTGGGAACAGACTGAGATCACTCCTTTAGCCCCAGGAACTGACCAATGTGACCCATGGCTGGTGGGATACTTAGACGAAGTCATTGCCGGGAATGAAGTCACCACGGCACTTTTCCAGGCGTGGTGATGCGGCGTATGAGTGCTCTAGTTGAGCTGACCTGCACTCAGCCATAACTCCGGCCAAGCAGACAGGGCTGTTGTAGCTCCAGATTACTGAGAATACTTCTGATACCAGCCTTTTTTTGGTGCGGTATGTGGTTGCCTGCCTCGTTAATAAGCAGGATCTCCAAGGTACAAAAAGAACAGTCGAAACTTAGCCACAGCGCGGGAATCCATTTACGGCTCCACGCCTGCGCCGCTCGTATAGAGGGGCATAATACCGGATCTGTTCAGTCTATACTCGGTCCCGATCATCTGTGACTGGCAGAAAGACCGTGTTCGATAGTGGCTTTCAGAAAATGACCAAGGTTTCGAGAGAGTTCGGCTTCGTCCGGGGCTTGTTTAGGTGAAGTCAGTTCGGCGGTATGTGATGCAAGATACCGGCGCAGTTTTGCCAATACGAAGTCTAGCCTGGGCAGGCCGGATCGCGCGCGGCGGTTGACTCAAGCCGGCGTGCGCAGTCGGTCGGCGCCGGCGAGCTGGTAGTTGCAGCTGTGATGTGACCATAAGGGTACCGGCGATATTTCGTTTCATGGTGTTTCTGGTTGCACTGGAGGTCTGCCGGTCCCACGACCACTCACTTGGGCACGAATCCACTCGATGAGGAACCTCCGTGGGGCCAGAAGAAAGAAAAATGCAGGGCACCCCTTGGCACTCCTGTGACCTCACTGTACCATTGGGGAGTACAGGGGAGCCGTAGGGCTGAATGAGCCGGGGTTTAGTGGTTGCAAGGCCCAGCCCAGCCTCAGCTGTAGATCCAAAACGGCGCCTCCACACGTGACAGCCAGCCATCGAGAGTGACGGCTGATCTAAGCGAAGAGCAATGGTTTAACATGCCTGCATTGTGGTGGCACTTTGAACACTCGAACTTTCATGATAATTAAATTCTGTAGGCTGACTCATATGGGATTCGAGTGACGCTAAGAACTGATCTGCCGTCGCTCGTTGGAATGCCTGGATCGATACTCGTGATGTGATCCTTGCCAGGAGATTGGGGTGAGCCACCAGCACCAGGAACGTCAATCCACTGTGCATCAATCCACTTCTCACGTCATGACTGATATATACGATCGTAACCAAGGAAGCAATGGTGTTTGCCTGATTGTGGGGTTTGCCGGCATCATCTCTACTGCAGCCACGCATCCTCCAACGTCCTATATTTCTCGGGCTCCGCTTGGCCATCAATGGGCACGCGGTTGGCGTCCGAGGATGCGACTATGCCCAGGACTCTAACCCAGCTGTTGGTCCGATTCGACAGGCTGTCCCAGATGCTCACACGTCAGCACCAATACTCGTGTACTGGGAATACTCGCCAGAGACCCCCTCTAAATGCCGGGCCGAGGGATATACCCTGATTGGTGACCCAGGGAAGGGGTGGACTTACGCATGCATCATCCCGCGCTGCAGGATCACCTCGCCGGCGCCGACAACAGTTTCCACGGGCACGCTGTAGGAGCCCTTGCCGTCGCGTACGGAGTAAGTTGCCGAGCCCGGCGTCACGAGGCTCAGCTGGCCCTGTAGTACGACGAGGTAGTCGGTGGAAGTCGTTCGGTGCTGCTCGCACGCGTGAATGTTAGAAGCCTGCTGCTTGGAAATTCGCTTTTGTAGGGATTCAAACGAACCATTGGGCCCTCAGAGTTCGGCGCCACATCGAGGTAGTATATGTTCAAGCCTCCCGGCAACACGACCCCTGCCCCTGGGGCTTGATCGAGCGGGAGGTCGCCACTGTGAAGCATGGTGTGAGCATATGATTTCGTTACACCTAAACTAGGTAAAGCGGTGATACTAGCAGTAATCACTTAGAAGCCATCGTTGCTCGTCGGCACCTTCTTCGCAGTCGCGACACTGGTCTTGTGATACAATCCTCCCATGATAGACTCCGGAACTAGGGTGTCGATCTTCACCTCGACCCCAGGCTCTGCCGTTTCATCCGATGCCGCTGGGGCGGGAAGGGGCAGGTTGGAGGCGATGATACGCTTCGGCGCAGGCAGGTCATAAGGCACCGACATTTCTGGTTCTTGGTATGGGTAGGTATTAATATACGATTATATAAGACAATGCCTTTGGCCGAGTGGATTTGGAAAAACTAGGTAGCTAAGGATTGATTGCGGCTGGTGTGAAGGCGTCGTCTAGCAATGACATCAGGCACATTGAGATCGACTTATATATCCCAGTCGAGACGCCGTCACATCTGCATTGGTCGATTGGTGAAGGTGATTGGTAATTTGCTGGAGCTGTGCCGCAGTAGCTGTGCCGCTTTTGAGAATGACAAATGAAGCTTGATCAATAAGCACTACGCTTTTGGAATGCAGTTGGGATCGGAAGGATGTGACAGGCAACAGGCCTCTGTATAATGAAAACTGCTTCAGTAAGCAAATACCGTATGCGATGCCACAGGGGCTTACTTTCAGCCGACTTCAAACTTGGAGATTCTTCTCGACCCCTTACGACAGAGCTAGGTAAACAAAGTGTCTCGCCTGAGTGCAAGACTTGTTTGCATCCTGGAACTCAAAAGCAAACAACTCGTGCCCGGCCGGGTGAGATCACCAGAAAATAAGTGGCTGTTGCTCTCAAATCATCAGAACATGTATTATTTTTGTGTCGTAGCTAGACCAACCAGATCTCAACTTGGCCAACAAACAAGCAATCGAATTGTCAGCCATTGAACACATCGTGGGTCTGGCGGAGACACCGCAGAATCGTTAATCATCAATCGGCAAGAGATTCCTCGTCTTGAAGGGAATCGGCCCTGCCCGCCAAAGCTAGGTATCACAATATCACCCCAACGCCCATCCAAATGCAAGATACCTTCTTTCCCAAAGAAGCCCTCTTTTAGCGGTAGCCACGGCCGCGGCTCCGCGAACGGCTTCGGTAGCTGTCGTGGCTGGGGCTGCGTCTTCGATCAAGATCTCGGTCGTCGTCGAAGCTGTCCCTGCGGACCGGACCGCGTCTTCTAGGCTGAGGAGATCTGGATCTCGATCGAGAGTTGTACGAGGGCGAACGACCTCGGCGCGGCGGTGATCTCGAGCGCGAGTATGAAGGCGATCGCGTAGCAGGGCGGTAGGTATTTTGATTGTCCCAGTCACGGTCACGGCCGCGGCCTCTACCGTGGCGCCCACCACCAAAACGTCCGCCAGGGGGGCCTCCAAAGGGCGGACCGCCATGACCAGCGCCACGAGGACCTCTAGGACCTCCAAAACCACCTCTGGGGACAGGAGCAGGAAGACGGGGGTCAATGTTGGCCCCGCGGCTGGCAGTCGGCGGGGAGGGCGAGAATTTGCGTCGCGGCAAGACGATCGAGACGTTGATGGTAGCGCCGTCCAGTTGCGCCTCGTGCATGTGGGCAATGGCCGCTTCTGCATCAGGTTCGTTGACGAAGAGGATGTAGGCGGTTCCACGGTTGGTGTTGACTATACCGAGGTCAATTAGCATGCATAATTATTTTCTCCAGGGACTCCGAGGACTTGGGCGTACATTGGCCATTCATCGGCAAGTGCAGATCTCTGATAGCTCCGTACTGACCGAAGATCTCGCGCAGGTGGTCTTCGTTGATGTTCTTGGTCAGCTTCTCGACCACGATCTGTAGTGACGCCCTCGTTAGCTGGAATGCGGCTACCAAGCAAGCCAGCCCGATGTGACTGGTGACTGGTGACTGGTGATGGGTTGCCCACCTTGGTACTTCCTCTCAACGGACTCGGGCTCCTCCCGCGATCGTCAAAGTCGCGACTGAAGCTCCGGCTGCGGCTGCGGCTCCTGCCCGGGCTCGCGCTGCGACTGCGATACCTGCCATTGCCGTTGCGCCGAGGCAGAGGGCTCGCGGAGCGGGTAGGCGAGCGACGGCGACGCACCGGGGTGGGCGACCGGCTGCGGGAGCGCGGAGTGATAGAACGACCAAAGCGGTCGCGATGAGGTGAGTCCATGCTGCTTTCCCCGTCTGCAGCCTTGTGCGATTGCGACGACGAATGTTGGGGAAGGGAGTGAGGCTGTGGTATGACGTGACGTGAAGTGAAGCTCTGGGAATGGGCCAGCTGCCGAAAAGTTGCGGCAGCTTGGGTTGAGCTAAGGGTAGCTTTAGTGGGCGGAGCACGCTAATGAAAAATAATGGAGGCTCGAAAGAACGCGCCGTTAGCACGCGTCAGTGGGACACGCGGGCCTTTAGTGTAGCTGGAGTCTAGTGGCTTCATTAGGCCTCGGGCCCTGGGACAGCACCTATCTACACAAACCGTCAAGTTACAGCTCACCAACTGGATTGCAGCCATCCCAACTGGTACCTAGGTACGGCGTGAGAGATTGGGATTCCTGTCATTTCTGATTGCTCTTTTCTCCTCGTACCTCAAGCTAAAGCGTCGCCTCTACTAGGTACTCGCGCACAAAGATCTTGGAAGCAAGGGAACCGATTTAAAACAGGACTTTTCATTAACCCTGAGACGGGGTTTGACTCGCTGTATAGTGCTGGCTTGTTGCTAGGAGCCGCACTCTTTGTAAAAATTGGGTATCATGTTGTGTACGCCGACAGTCATCCAACCCCTCCTGGTACTTGTTGTGACGAAGAGCACATCCTTTGTTCGTGCCGCCAATCACTGAGTCACTACAGGCTCATGCGGGACCTCCTTGCTCGGCGGTGTGTCTGTTCCTTTCGCAGCCTTCTCCTTCTCCAGCCTGGCCTCCTGCTCAAGCTCGGCCGTGTGCTCGGCCCGGATCGTCTGCACTGCCTTCTTTCCAGTGATGTCCATGAATATCGCCTTGGAGGTACGGACCAGCGTGTGGCGACCCTCGAAGACGGGGAAGAGACCGACGGCACCTAGGGAACAGAAGATCCAGATAATGCCAACGGTGACCCAGCCCGTAAAGAAGGGCTTCGAGAAGATGTAGCTGCTGCCGTACATCGGGAACGGCCAGAGCACGAGGAAAGCGAGCGTCATGATGACCGTCGTCCACTTCGAGATACGGCTCGCGCGCAGCAGCTTGCTCTGCTCGGCCTCGAACTCGGCACCCGTCTCCTCGTGCCCACCGACAGTGTTCTCGAGATCGACTCCCGCGGTGGCAGCGAGATCGTGATCATCGCCTCTACGGATCTCCAGCATGGACTTCCAGTCATAATGCTGCAAGCCAAGGCCGTAACTAAGAATAGGGATGAGAACCACAGGTGCGAGTAGCGCGACGACTAGAATGATGTGAGTACAGTTCAATGACGGGGCCTCGGATTCCACGTACCATTACCAGCGAGCATGGGGTTATTCGACCCTGTGCACGTAACATCGAGCGCATGGCACTCTTTCCGGGCGGTGACAAGCCATGCAATCAAAGCAAAAGCGAGACCAAGAATCGGAGACAAGCCTGCTGCCCACTTGTTCTGCCCGCTCCAGACAAGCGTCAAGGTAGCAGGCAACACAGCCGACCCGATGATGACGCCCATCATCAAATACAGATAACCCATCGAGATACCGGCGTAGTATAGTCCCACCGAGAAAGTCGAGATGAAAAGAGCATAGATGCAGACAATGAAGTGGGACATCCAGATCAGACGCTTTCCGCTGGCCTCCGGATTGAAGTATGTTCGGTACAGATCATAGGTGCAGATAGACGACACCGCAATCAACTCGGACGAGGTGGCTGAAGTAACAGCCATGAACACAATCAAGAGAGTGCAGATTGCGCCGCCACGGCCCAGCAACGCAACGGCAGCATACGGAAGAACCAGACCGGCTGAGACGTCTGCCTCCGACATACGGTCAGGGTAAGTCGGGAAGGCTGGTGTGTTCTCCAATGACAGAGCCGTCAGACCCATGGTGGTTGCCGTTAGCCACGGGATCGCAAACCAACTGAGGCCACCGATAATGTAACCAGGGAGGGCGTGTACTGGAGATGCTGCAATGGCCTTGTTGTAGTAACCGTTGTCAAGAAACACCGTGCCAAAGTTGCCAACAATGTTGATGACGAAGAAGATCACGCCCTCCTGAGATCGCATGGTGAGGTAGCTTCCCTCGGCGTTTCCTTCTACGGGGTGGTCCAGGGCAGCTTTGACGAGAAGGTCGTAGACCGCCGAAGGCGAGCCGAGAATGTCAGAAGACGCATACGCCGTGAGCGAGAAAATGATGATAATGATCAGCAGGATGAAGGTGTGGATCCAGTCTGTCAGGATGGTGGCCTTCAGTCCACCCACGAGCGTATAAGCCACCACGCCTACCGGAAGAAGGTACTACAGGTATGTTAGCAGGTTAAACATACCAACTCTTTCAAAGTGTAACCTACAATCGCCGCTACGGTGGGCATTCCCGTCAAGGCACTGACGGTAGCAGAGCCCCCAACAATCAGCATCAAGCTCACCAAGATGTTGGTAACCAGGGCGAAGGTCATGAAAACGGCGTGCACGGCCGTTCCGTACCTTGCCCTAACGACTTCGAGATATGTGTGCGCATTCGGCGCGCGACGTTTCAATTCGATAGCGAGAGTTGCGAAAAGCAGAATCTGGACGGTAGCCCCGGAGGCATACCAGAAGGGGCCAGAGACACCATATCGGTAGCAGACACCGGTACTCTGCAGCAGTGTAGCCGCCCACGTCCAAGACGAGACGACGGCAGACCCCACCAGACCACTCTTCACGGTGCGTCCGGCCGTGTTGAACATTTCAGAAGTCACCAGCTCCGAGTTATAGCGTCTGAGGATGAATGTCACGAGGATCTAGTGCCCTGATGTTAGCTGGCTGAGTTCCTGGCTGACTCTTTGGTCGAGGTATGTGACGCACCATTCCTAGAGCAAAGGCAAAGCCGAGGCCGAGGACTATGCCATAGCCCACGCCTGGCTCAAGAGGTGTGTTCACCATTGTGAGGTTATCTCGACGACACTCGTCGTGCTCAGATTAGTGCAAAGCAAAACGTGGACGATGAAGTCTGGTAACACGATATGGAGTAATTAAAAGAAATGAGGCCCAGAGAAGCATGGGGATATGAGCTGCATATAAGTACAATGACTTCAACGTCTGTCGCGTGCAGATCTTATCGACTATCTGACAAGAGCTCCGGTTTCGAACCACAGCTTCAACCCTATCCTAGGCCCTCCCCACCAAACCCCAGCCTCGAGCCATGGCTCGCAGCTTTGTCCCACGGGAACCAGCTTGCGGGATAGCGCCGGCCCCCACTTGCAGGGCTTGCTATAGACAGCCGTATTGGACGGACAGGCCACGCCTGTGTATCAGCCGTCCCGATGTCACGAATCCCTAGGGCGTCGTGCTGCAGTGCGCAGGGCTGGGCGGGCAGATAGGCGGCTTTGTGTGACAGATGCTTCTTACGCAGAGAAAATGCGGCAAAAGCAAGGGACATGCAGCCAGTGCCTGCCTCTGTGATTCTTCCCCAGACAGACTCTCGCCCAAAGCACAAAGGTTCGCACTTGCAGAACGCTGATAAGCGAAGTTGATACATGGGACGATGTGCTACCGCAGGACCAATGAGGTCTGTCTGGGGAGAAAATGCAGGGTTCGGATGGGTCCGATGACATGTGCTGTAGAGGTAATGAATGGACTGGATAAACAGCATCCTGGCTCGAGGCAAGATACACAAAATGTGCAGCAGATTTCATGTTGCAGAGCTATGAAACCACAGATCTAGCAGCAGTGGTTGGGCCCCCCAAGATAGAAGCGATTGCTCCGGATTGGTCGATTCTCCAGTGATAATGGGCATGCAAGTACCGTCTGGAGTATGGCATTTGCAGAGAGATAGATCTCCATTGACGATCGGTTGTTGTCAGCGATGGGAGATATCACAAAACATTGGCCAATCAGCGGCTCTGCAGCCGTCAACTGTCGTTGATAAGGACCCTGCGGCAATCCAATGCGCCCCTGTCAGAGGCGCCCAATGAGCTGCTTGGGCATTCCCGTGGGGTTAGTTAGAGTTTCTCCCGCAGAGAAACAGTTCCCCTCGGCCAGTTCCGGTCTGTGGGTGCCGTGTTTCGGCCCCATCCACAGAGTCTAATTCATTCATAAGCGTGATTACTCCATCGTCTTCCTTGCCTAGGAGATGCTCAGAGCACTATACTGAAGTAATAAGATAAGTATCCGGGTTTTCTTCGTCTTGCTCTGTGCCCAGCCTCATCAGGCCCAGCCCAGGCAGTCACATATTGACAGGTACTTTCCGGCGTTCCACCAAGCATCAGCTAGTCCAAGACAAGCTTTGGCTACTTGCAAAGGGCTCAAAATCATCGGAATGGAATGGGACAAATGAGCCTTGTAGGGAGCACCTATCCGTTCGGGAAGGGCATCCGGTAAATATTCATCATCACAAAGAGGATGTCAGTCAAAAGTTTGTAATGATCTGCCAAGTAGTTATTCACTAGTCCGCCACGCAAAGTAGCACCATCCGTGCCAGCGACACAAGCAGCCTTGTAAAACAACACGTTCCGTGTTTAGAATCTGAACTGCATTGCCGTACTTCATGGAACCTTACAACAAAGATGAAATGATAAGCTGGAAGTGAGGAAGGAGTAGAGCAGCAAAAAGAAGCTTGATGCCTAACCGACGGTTCTTCATCGAGGATAGACAGACAAAAAGAGCACTTGACCAGTGCCGGGCTCGATCCGGCGACCTTCAGTGTGTTAGACTGACGTGATAACCAACTACACCAACCGGCCTTTGAAATGGTGTTGACACCAATCCAGACGTGATTGTTGAAAAGTGAGGGGCTTATTGGCGTATAGGTAGCATAACAAAGAGGGGCTTGAAAGCCGAAAATTTGCGAGACCCCTCGCCTTGATTGAGCTAGTTAAAATTGCCAAGGTTTCTGTGGCCCACCACACCAACTCATTCATCTTGGGCGGCCCTGACAATGCTCTCATGAAGCAGCGCTTCATTTGATGCATTGCGATTCTCTGCCTCACTTTCATAATGAGTGGTGCCCTGTAGCTTGAGCACCAGCTTCCAAGTGCTCTGGCGGAGCGAGACCTCTGAGCTTTTCGAAGTGTGGGGTGCCCGACTGGACTACCGAAAAGCGACTACTACCACAGTACACTTGTACGTTCGTGTAGGCGCAGAGGACTCAGTGATAAAGTGCGATACGGTTTCTATGCCTACTACGCTTTCAACCAGCACGGTCTTGAGTGAAGTACATCTCGCGTATTCCCTCACAATGGTGCAGTATGTGCACTGTGATTCCAAGACGGCGTGGTACACTGTCTGATAGATAAAGAACCAGCGTCAAACACGCTGGGATACATCGACGTGAAAAGACCTGTACTTATAATTCGCTTGCTCTGCTCTTATATATCCCCTGGGTATGCTGCAGCTATGCGCCGTAATGACTGCGTGGCCATGAACGAGCTTCGAGCAATGATGTCTAGTTACAGCGGATGACCCATGTTGTGATCGTACCCTCTCATTCAATATCAGATCCAACTCTTTAACAGGTAGATGATATGTGCAACAGCCTATTAGTTAGTTGAGGCCGGCTTTATTGACTCCAAGCTCCAATTCCCAGACGCCGCTACAGGCGCAACCTCCCAGGCAAACCGAACATCGACGGACCCAGTCACGAGCTTCCAAAACGCATGTCCAGCTTCACATAAGACATTAATAGTATGCTGGTTCGCCTCCGAAGTAGCTGATCGAAGTTCGGCCGCGTCTTCCGTAAGTTGGTGCACAGCGGCCAAAGTGGTCGGAAGGAAGCAGAGGAGCCCATCCCGGTTACCACGGTCTCCACCTATCTTCCCGCATAGTTCCAACAGATTGCGGCCGCATTTGGCGTCCTCGTGGAAACGCCTCCGGGCAGTCTCGTCCAGACCTATAATCACTGATTCTATGGTGTGATAAAGCCCCTGTGGCTGTCCGAGAGGGTCAAGAGCATCAAGTGCGCGCGCCAGAGATATCTGTGAATAACGCAGCAGCAGAGTATCGAGTTGAGACTGGCCACGGACCTTCTCATTCCGCCGGAACAGCTCTAAGAATGATTCTGCGCCACCCACCGCTTCGTTGGTCTGGTCCATGATACCGCGGTAGAATGACTGTTGTGTGCGCCAGGCCACAACAAGGGATACGAATTTCTGGTGAGATTCGGTGCAGTCCAGCAAGCGTATCAGTTCTGCGTCACGCGCCATGGTTGTCGTGGACTTTTTCCGAGGCCTCTCCTGGCTGTGACCAGATTCCGTGCTTGGATATTCTTCCAATAGCCCCAATGCTTCAGAAGTTCGCTTCTTTGAGTCGCTCGGAAGGGCATCGATAAAGCAAGCCCTGTTGACCGGATGCTTGCCACAACGTTTCCCCGACTTGCAGTGTATATAATCGCTCGGGACGCTAGGAAGCGAGTCCAGTTTGAAGTTGACTGCCTCCGCCAGATTTGGACCGAGATTTGCCACTTGGTGATACGCAAAAGGCATAGTTATGAGGGCATAGCCCATCTCGCACACCTCGATTGAGTAGTCAATCCCGTGCGACTCAAGATAGGATGGGGATACCAGGACCCCTTCGTGCCGAATGTCTTGTGAGCATTCGAAAGACAGACGCCGATCAAGTGCCAAGGCTGCTTCCAACTTCTGGCGCTGGTCTGGCGGAATGACCAACCATATCTTGGCTGCACCGGCAACAACATAGCTGATAGAGAGGTACCCGAAGTCCTCAAAATGAAGTGGTGCTGGCGTGCCGGTAGTTCCACTTAGATACCAATAAGGGGTGGTAACGCCCTCAGCTGAGAGGATACTCTGCAGCTTGCCGGCGTTCACGGTGAACGAGTAATCATCGGCCAAACATGGTCCTGCGTAGTAGGCCAAACGTCCCTTTGGCGGGTCTTCGACCAGTTTCTGAAAGTACTCTCGGCGGTCAACTGGCGCCGCCGGGGCTTGATTCTGTATCGATCCTAGTACTCCTTTCCATGGCCAGCGTCCATTCGACTGAGATACCTCTAGGATGCCTTCGGATGACTTTTTGTACCGGAAGCCTTGTATCTGGGAGGCTTCCGGGGCTGCAATTGCTGCGTCGAGCCTGATCGCTGGCGGATCCACCACTCGTACTTTCAAGTAGCCCCTTTTGAAGTCGGCGGGAAACTCATGCGTCAACACATCAACCACTTCGGAGATTGATGTGCGCAATTCCGAGGCCTGCCTATTTTTTGTTGCTTGGCTCTCTTGTGTCTCTTGGGTCACAGACCAATCGGAAGGAACCAGCGGACGCTGGGGCGTCTCCTCTGCCATCTTTGGGCTTTCCGGGGCTCATAAGAAGCTGTGCGGCACCATCGTCGATGTTGTTCTGCTGAGCTTGATGATCCAAATCGACTTGAGCAGATTTGCGAGTGCTTTTGAGACAACACCCGCCCGAGGTACCCCACAACGAAGTTACGAAGTGAACTCGTCGGGCTAAGCCCAGCTATGAGAGCATTGACCGCAAGATCCTGTGGCCAGTGAGTTGCTTTCCCGACTGCGATACCTTCTCCTGTTGGAAGATCAAAGTAGCCAGCGACTCCATTCCAAAGAGGACTGAGGGGTACCGGTCGCATTGGTCCGGAGACAGCGAACAAACCTTAGTAAGTCGTCCGTCGACCTTGACCCCACCATTCGTAGGCCGGCCCGCCGCCCGCCACCCCCGACCTTCTCGGGCCTGCGGTAGGGCTGAGTGGTGGGGGGGGGCATCACCAGATCAGAACTCAGAACACAGATTGACTTGAACAGCATCCATGGACGATTGACGGAAGACAATGGGATATGTTACTTAGCGCCCACGTCCTTAGCGCCCATGTACTTGAGGTACGTGTGCAGTGGGGAGCCAATGGCCTGGTTGTTCGTTCGTCGCAGTAGTGGGCGCTTGATACCTTTGTCCTCGTCCGCGGCGATTGTAGGTGGCCATTCATGCTCTTGCAGTCTTCCTGCATGCTACGGAATGCAGACGACACCTCCGTTGGCTTTCCGACCCTGAGAGTTCTTGCAGTTATTATTTGAGTCTTCCTTCGGTATGCAGATGCCCAAGATGGATGGGTTTCCCCGCCATTGATTAAGCGACACCCGATGATTCGGGGTCAGTAACATACAAGTTCCGTGCCCGTTGAATACGGCTGCTCATTCCTTGTACGCGCTGTGACCCATTATAGCGGCGTGGAGTTGATTTACTAAAGTACAAAAAGGTACACAGTGGATGCAGCAACTCACTCATACCAAACAATCCAGATGCCCTGCCAAGTCGTTTGCTATCTTGACCAGCGTGCAGTATCTCTTCCAACCAAGTAAACCGATGGTACGTTCCATACCCATGCGTGGATGTTCTCCCACTGCGCTCATACCAGGTCCATTCCCGTCTGAAGCCTGACCGAGGGGGAGGGGGCCGACAGCACCTTGAACCATTCCACCAACGTATCCGCCATCGTCCTCGTGTTGGTTAATGAACAGACCGCCAGATGAACCGTGATATAGCTCGCGAATATTCTCTATGCCAGCTTCCAGGCTGTTCTCAAAAAGTTTCGCTGCGTTACTGGCTGTAGTAGTGATGTTGATCGCGCTAGTCGGTTCCATCGGGTCAATCTGCAGTGCAGTGGTCCCATTGACGTCGCCAACGTCGAACACCGTATCTTCGGCCTCTAGTTGATTACGATATTCGTTAGGCACCGGGAGAATTTCACCACTGCCTTGTTGCGGCATGGTACGACTGGGTGGAGACGGCCTTTCCGGCATATAGACTTCGCGGCGTGGGCGTCCTCTGCCTTTCCTCGAATAGTGAGACTCAGCAGTTTCGTAGATCTACCCCTCGTCAGTCGGTAAGCCTTGTACGCCGAAGGACGGACCACACCAAATTTCGATCTGGGATCTCCGAGAAACCTCGAAGCGTGCAAATGTATGTGTCATCGCCGTCCACTCGGCTTCTGGTGATAACGCACACCTCAGTGCCAGTTCTGTCGTGCAATTCTCTGCCTTTCTTGTGTAAGACGCGACCCCTTTTCCTGAGGAATTCTTTTCGTTGGCGAAGTGTCTCCTTTGACGTCATTTTTAAACTGAATTACGTGGGACCAATTCCAATACCGAGTCTGGAGCGAAATGGTTTCTATTTTGATACTGCCAGGGGAGGGGCTAAAAACGGCCAAAAACTGTCCAAATGGTTCACGTGGCTCGCCAAGCTTTTGGTACCAACACTGTACTGTATGGATGGATAACATGATGCATACAAAAGAGCTAAAAGTGGATTCTCGAATTGTTTGCTAAAGTTTTGTTACGAATTGCCACATCTGACGGGGTTACTGACCCCCAGTTGGGTCTCAAGACTCCATCTGTTGTCACATGGAAGTAAATCCAGCTCTAAGTAACTATATCCCCATAGTTAGCTTACCTCCTACTGTAACATTGTATTTTTGTACGCGGCCAAGCGGAGAAAAATTACCCACGCCCCGTTCTCGTCTGGTCGGCTCCAGGTCACCATTATCATTGTTCGTTGGTCAGAGAGGCACATTGGTCTGGTTGTTTGCTCGCATCCTCTGAGCACAGATTCCTGGTTTTTTTCAAGTTGGTCAGCGACAAACCTGGCTGTAGGAATGTCAGGGCTTCAAGATGGAGCAGGGACGAGAAGCTCTCTAATACCGCATTGGCATATTTTTTCGGAGGTGATTGACTACCAAGATAGATAACTTTCTTGCCATTAACTGTCGTTTTCCATCTCAGCATCGCAACCAACATGATTTCGTTCCTCTAAGTCATAAGACAGTCGCATTGAGAAAATGTTTGCTTGTCCAAACAAAGGATGTCCAACCCAGTAAACAGCGGCTGAATCAGGTACATAGAAACTGGCATCTGTTGATTCCTGGAACCAACTCCTGGCTACGTTTCTTGGTCTTGTACTTCTCATCTCTCAAAGCGGCGTCAGCATGGTGCTTCGTGTGCTTATTTAGTCAGCTGTTTTCTTTATGTCGCATCTTGTCTGCCAGTACTGGCATCAATGTGCATATGTGCAGATGGACTTCCATCTGGCGCACCAGCAGATGCATCGATAGTAGTGATGACCACACTGTCTAGTCAACCCAGTGTCGTCAACTTCAGAATGTATCTGTGGTCACCTGAGTGGTTTGGACGCGCTATGGCCAAAGCGATGATTCACGCGATTTAATGATCCAAGAGTGGCGATTGCAATCTACGTCCGCAACGTTAGCCACAAACTCTCGGTTTGCATAAAGAGTCCATCACCTCAGTCTACAGACCCTTGGAACCTTTCATCACACCATTTTCTTCTTTGGGTTTCCTGATGGAGCACCGTATCAGCAAGCGACGACAGTTGAGAGCTTCCAGGCTACGCAGGCTGCGTCAAGGACGCTACCTTCCGATGTACCACCTACCTGGGAGCCCTCATTCCCATTCAGCATCAACTGTAGATCCGACTATGATTACACTGGCCCCGCAAGCTCCGGATCAACAGAAACGCGGTCAATCACCCTCACTTCCAATTCCACAAGCCACACTGCACGGCCTGGGAGAACAAAGATTGTAAGATATCCGAGTCCGACGAAGAGAATAGAATATTCACTTTGATAATCAGCCGCCAGAATAGCACATCCGATAGCGAAGTCTCTCTTGTAGACATGTTCGACATTATAGTTAGAATGGAAGAGGCTCTCGCTGCTAGACACAAGGCGCAGGAAAGCCACGAGACATATATGCGCCAAAAGATATCAGACCTGAAAGACATGTGGGCCAAAGCTCTTGAGCCATTGCAGAGGCCGGAGGAGCCACACGAAATGTGGTGGGATATGAGTCTGGATCCAATGCCGAGCTTCTTTTCATCGTAATGTCTGCGCGGCACACTAGGTGCGTGCTGCATAGCTTCGTCCTGTATACAAAGCCCATATCCAACACTCATCGTATTATTTGGCTTTCAAGGACGTATGATATCCAATGTTCTTGACTTCGGTCATAGCATCTGTAATACCTGCCTAAGATTGTATGAGCGAAGACCAGCAAGACTATGATTCCCAGGAGTCCAGACCTACTTAGTCTAAAGTATTTATCAAATCCCCGATAAGAAACACGACGACGGAGTTTGCTAAATTTCTGGTTGTTAATTCTCAAGACTCACAGTTATATACAGAAAATGGCTGCAGGAATACTGGTCCCAAAACTGAGCCCGAAGTACATGGCTGCATCGCGACGTTGTTCCACCCAAGTCTCCGGCTTGAGGCTTTCGCGCGAAACAGCAAAGGCACTGAATGGCCATTATGCTCTTGATAGAGCTCTCTAAGACTTCTCAGGGATGGCTAGTACGTAAATAGGGGTTTAGGAGTGAACACATACCGCTTAGACGCTTTGAGGCATGTACTAACTACGACCTGATTAGAACCCAAACGTAATGCAATTCAAGAAGGTGAAACGTCATTCACAGACTCTCAGGAATAGACAAGCGTATTTCTGATGTAGCCTTAGCCTAGGATTCCGAACTGCACCTGACTCGTCCATGTAGCAAATAACCCCGTGCCTCTGTTTTTGGAATACGATGTCCTAAGCTTTGCACACACGAGAATCACATGATTCATAAAATTCCAGCCCCTTCGACGACAACAACAACAACAACAACAACAATCATCCATCCCTGCCCATAGCCTGATAGCTAGTTAGCCGTAGTTCAGTTACCAGGAATATGGTACTTACACAGCATGACGCGCAGGCAGTGCCATTGCAATATACCCACCGCGGACAATTAAAGTCATCATGAAACTTGCAGCGGTACTTATTCCACCCGCCGCCGCCGCCACTATCAGGGAAATTTTTATGTTTGCCATCATAAGACACGTAAACAGTACGTGCACTACCGGACGATACACGGCCAGAACGTCTGTCATCAGAGGGAATAACACTAGAGGGTGTGTCGACAGAAGACACACCACCAGACAGCGGAACATCAGACGATGCAACACCAGACGACTCAACTGCAAAAGATCCGCCCCCACCACCAGGGAATACATTACCCGAGTATGCATCACCAGATGATGTACCGCTGACATTTGTAGCGTTAGAGGATGTAGCTCCCAATGGTGTGCTGCCAAGATTCACACCGCCAGAGAATGCGTTTGCAGCATTATATCGTAAGCCGCCGAGATTTGCAGCATCAGAGAATGCAGCAATCGATGGTGTGCTGTGAAGATATGTAGCGCCAGAAAATGCACCCCAAGAGGATGCATCACCGTATGATGCATCCCCTAGATCTGTACCGCTAGAGTATGCAGCATCGGAGTATGTGGAACCGTGTGCACCCCTGACAGTGTATACACCAGAATGGTCAATAACACCGAAGTATCCACGCCCCGTTGGTGCATCTCCAGCCGGTGCATCTTCAGCCGGCGTATCAGCAGGGTATGTGCCCGCGACATATGAACCATCAGCAGGCGCACCTCTGCCACGGGAGCCACTAGTATTGGAATGTCTGCTGCCGGAGTGACGAGAAGATGTCGGCATGGTCAAAGTGCTTCTCCCTTGGTGTTTGTGGGGTGTAATGGAGATGATGAGTTCAATGAATCTTAAGTTCATACCTAGACTGGGCTAGAAGAATGTTCTCGCTTATATTTACATGGAAAATTTGCGTCAAGAATGACTCTATTGGCGAATCCTTTTTTCAATCTGGTCAGTGAGTGATTCTGTTTTAGGCATTTTGGTAAGTCGGTGGGTGCGGCCAAATTCAGCCTTTTTAATAGTGTTGAGAGTGGCAATTACCTTCCAATCCACTTTGCTATATGCGAGGATGTTAGCAAAACTCAGACGGGATTGTTAGACGCCGGTTCAAGACTTGGCGTAGACTGCATTGAATCTAGAGTCCTCAAAATAAGCCAAAGTTGGATCTCTTCTTACTAGTCTTTGCGAACTCCATTGTTCGCCACTTCTTGATTCTTCATGATATCAACGGTGTATCAAACGCGGTATACAACAAAGCCCAGTTGTAACGGCAAGACTGGCCATTTATGCGCATTTTCTCCGAGTCATAATTCGATACGACATAGATTATCTGGTTCGTTGTGGTGTGTTATACATATCAATAATACTGATCTGGCCTTACAATTGATCAAGGGCTATGATATTACTGCTAGGGAGATGAAGTAGAACCGAAAACGCAGTAGAGAATATGATTTGATTGCCACTTTCTATCAGACCGACCCCCCAAATGACGTGGATATCAGGTCAAATGGGCCCGTATAAGGAATCAGAGCTGTGGATGAATTTGAATACCAACACAAGTATATTCTTACTCACAGATGATTAGCTCTGATCAATGATATCTACCGAAGAAGTGCATTGACACGACGTATGAACCTATCTGGAAGGTTGGTAATGTTTCGCTGTAGCTAAATTCCTATATCGCTCCCTCAAGATCTCAACAGGCACCGTATCTAGATAAAAACATGAAGGAACTCGACCAAGGCTATAATGGCCATGGCCTGGCCATAAGGCATACTGGTGATGGGAATGTCGTAGTAGTGCTGTAGGTCATGACCCATACCCGTTCCGAAGCTGGTCTGCAGGAGCTCGCCATCCTTGTCGACGTTCTCGAGAATGGCCTTGACGGCTTTGATCGCGACCTGCTCATACTCCTTGCCAAGATACCGTTTCCGCAGGCCCTTGAGCATACCAAAGGCGAAACCGGCCGCAGCGCTAGCTTCTTGATATGAGCCTTCCGACTCGGGCTTATCTAGGACCGTCCGCCACAGGCCCGACTCGGCCTGCAGCGGGACCAGGCCCTCGACTTGTGCCTTTAACGTGTCCACGAGGTGGACATGGAATGCGTCGTCCGGCGACAGATTCAGCAGCTCGAGGAACTCCGGAATGACGATGGTGATCCACGCGTTGCCTCTTGCCCACCGCGCGTTCGCAAAGTTGTGACCGCCGTCCTTGAAGCACCAGCCGTGGAAGAAGAGGCCGGTCTTGTTATCAAACAGATACTTGATGTGTAACAGAAACTGCCTCTTCGCCTCTTCGATGTAGTGTGGCCGGTTGAGCAGCTTGCCGATCTTTGCCAGAGGCACCACGGTCATCATGAGAGTATCGTCCCACAATTGCTCCTCGTTGATATCTACATAGGTGATGTGCTGCATACCACCGTACTTGGTTCTCTCGAGATCGTGCATGGCCCATTCGGCCCAGCCGTCTAGCCACGGCAGGTAGGTCTGATTGCCCGTCTTCTCGTAGACGTGAGCCAATGACAGGAACACAGACATTGTGTTGATGTTCTTGCTGGTACCCCCTGCAGCGAAGCGGTTCGCAAACCAGTCTTCAATGATCTTGAGGTACTTCTCATCCCCAGTCAGGTTGTAGTACGCCCAAATGCCGTTGAGGCCAATTCCGTGAGTCCATTCCCAGTCGTTCCACCCCTTTGTGTCAATGACTCGGCCATCAGCCAATGTTAACAAGAACTCTCCTGTCTCGTCCTTGATGTTGACCATGCCATCAATCAACAATTGGATCTTGGCGTGGACATCGCTGGACTTGATGCCGTGAACTTCGGCAGGCATCGTGAGTTACCGAATTGAGAAGACAGTCAGGCGATCTAGGAACTGCGTGTAAGATGATAGGTCGGTGGTAGCGACGACTGAGACAACGGCAGCAAGGAGCTTACAAGCGTGAGATGCAGGGGTAGAGATGTGTCAGCGAATCGCGCGTGTGAAATAGAACTCCCTGAGCTATCGACCTGGCACGACAGCGCGAGCAGGATACGTACAGTAGAAATGGCCAGCGGGCGCCTTTGTGCCTCAAGTAGCAGTCTCGTAATGTCAGTGGTGGAGAAACCGGGCGCAAGTCCGACAGTAGGCATTCGGGCAGATACCCGCCGAAGTTGTCTGCTCATGACGCTCCCGTTTGGGCGGCTTGGCGTTGTGGGGGGTATACAATAACCGCTTGCAACTTGTGCATGGAACAGAACGGTCGTCAGCTTGGATGCGATCTCGGGCTGCGGAGTAGCGAGCATAGCGAGAACCAAGAAGGCCAATTCATCCATTGGCAATTGGCACTTCCCGCACCCATGGCCAGCGTTGCACCGGGACGATCGCCGAGGTTCGCCGCATGCCGATCACGCTTGGAACCACGCTGCCATAAACGGCCAGTGGTCATTTACAGCCAACCAGCGAATCTCGAAGTTGGGGTTTTTGGGGTGTGGGGTCCCCTCGCTTCTGAAGTGATCCCCATTGCTCCCCAGACCAGACCCCAGATTCTCGGCCTAGTGAGGCCCGCTTACTGTCCTCTCCAGATTGCAGTTTGCTGCCCATAGCAGCTGGCTGGCGAATCAGTCGAGCTAACCGTCGAAACCTCCAACCAGAGGCCAGCCCGACGGCAACATGGGGTGACGCCCCTTGGTCAATCGATGACATCCCCCTGACCCATGCTCTGTTCCGGCTCGTCCTTCATTGTACCGCTGCTAAGCTTTTTTGTGGCTTGGTGGATCCAGCGAACCGGGAGCAGCTGATGGTGCCATACACTGCAACCTTTGGGTTACTTTCCCATGGGGTTGGGAATAGGCTGGGAATTTTGGTCTATGGGGATAAAAAGAACTGCCCCTGCCGCCAGATTATCACCAGGTTTTCCCTTTCTCCTCTGTAAAGACGACTTCGTGTAGCTCTCCTTCCTAGATCTGAGATTGCCCTGCTTTTGCGCTCAGTCACCAGCGGACTCATGATGACGACCTTGGAGGTTCCCGACCCCGACCTGGTGCAGCCAGCAGCAGCTCCGACCCCTGGCGAGATTAGGAAGTCTTTTCAGTCGGACAGAAAGTCGAAGAAATCCCATGACATCGAGCCTCATGCCGACGAGCTGGAAAAGACTGGGCACACCAACTACAACAATATCGACAAGGAGTTGGCGCAATATGCTGGTGCTACTTCTATTGTGATCTCTGAAGCTGAGAACACCAGGCTGCGCAGAATGATCGACAAGCGTGTGCTGGTTGTCATGATTACGACTTATTTCCTCCAGGCGATAGACAAGGGCACCTTGACATTCGCCTCTATCATGGGCATCAGAGATCACACCGGTCTTTCTGGACAGGATTACAACTGGCTGACGACCTGTATTTACATCGCGATCTTGATTGTCGAATATCCACAGGTAAGATAGGCGCCATCCCTGCGTTGACGGTGGTACTGACAGCCGTTTGTAGAACTATATCATTGCCCGAGTCCCCGTGGCCAAGTATCTCTCCTTCTCTATTGGCGCGTGGGGAACTGTGCTAGCCTGTCATGCAGCCTGTAACAGCTTCAAAGGCCTTGTGACCGTCCGAACGTTGCTCGGAATCTTCGAGTCTGCTTGCCAACCTGCTTTCGTCGTCCTCTCGTCAGTATGGTACAGGCGAGAGGAGCAAGCCGCAAGGGTCACCTACTGGTACATGATGAATGGAGCTCAACAAATCGTGGGCGGCCTTTTGGCCTTTTGCTTCTCGCTCATCACTACCGGCCCTCTGAGGAGCTGGCAATGGCTGTTCCTGACCTACGGCATCATCTCGGTCATCTTCGCGGTTTTCGTTGGATGGTGGATGCCCGACTCTCCTATGCGAGCCAAGTGCTTCTCGGAAGAGGACAAGCGATTGATGGTCGAGCGCGTCCGTTCCAACCAGACCGGAATTCAGAACCGCGAATTCAAGAAGTATCAAGTTTACGATGCTTTGACAGACCCACAGACCTGGTGCTACGCAGGCATCCAGCTTTGCACAACACTGCCTACCAGTGGCCTGGGCTCATTCTCGGGCATCATCATCAATTCGTTCGGATTCTCCGTCCTGCAGACTCAACTCCTGTCCATGGTCTTGGGTGTTTACATCATCATTGTGCTCATGGGCTCGGTTTGGCTTGTCAAGAAGTACAACCAGAACTGCCTCACGATGCTGGCCTTCGTGGTCCCATCGTTCGTGGGCACAGCACTCCTCATGGCCCTACCGAATGAGACTCGTGCCCAACATGCTGGTCTTCTCATCAGCTACTATATCACCTTGTCTTTCTGGTCTGCCCAGACTCTTGGTCTCTCGATGATGTCCCGAAACGTTGGCGGGCAAACCAAGAAGTCCGTCGTAGTTGCGCTCAACTTCATCTTCTGGGCCGTTGGAAATGCTGTCGGTCCTCAAGTTTTCCTCGCATACAACGGTCCTCGCTACTTCATCGCCTTTGCTACCCATATGGGATGCTATGTACTGCTCGTCTTTATCATTCTCTTCTTTAGATGGCACCTGAAGCACCAGAACAAGAAGCGTGACGAGATAGCGGCGGCTGGTGTGCACGAGGCTCGGGATGAGCGGATGGTGCACGCCTTCGAGGACTTGACTGATCGCGAGAACCCGAACTTCCGATATGTGTACTGAACAACCATCGGGAATAAGCTCAGTAGGCGGCTTTGACGACACGACTTATTTACGAATATTGCAAGTATGACCATGATAAGATAGAATTAATATCAGCTTCTAGCATCCACGCTTTGCTCTATTCTATTCACTCTATTTCTGATCTCCCTGTGTCTACCTCTATGTCTTGGTCTCTGGTTGTATTACTGTGAGACGTTTGGCCAGCGAACTGTCTCTGATGGCTCTTACTTCTTCTCTACTGCTCCAATCTCCTTGGGCTTCCACAGCACCCATGCAACCGCGATGCCGAATTTGATAGCCCCTGCAATCCACAGCGCTGTGCTCATTCCTGCGTTGCTCTTTGCTAACCAACCACCAGCTACGGCGCCGACGAGCATGAGTACCACTGCCGATGCCCGGCGATTCCTCTTCGGGTTCTCGCTCCACGGTGCGAACAGCTTCGGGTCGTTGAACAAGTCGCAGTAGACACTGGTGAGCACGTTTGTGGGGACTTCGTTGAAGCCCAAGATTCTGCTGGTGCAAATCTGACCTCCGAACTGGAACGCTAATAGGATGATCGGGCCTAACGCCTTGAGGTCCGCGTCTCTCTCCTCCGCCAGCTCCTCAGCGACGCTGAGCCAGCCAAAGGCGGGGACCACGCCGCCCTGCGCGAGGGCCGCCGCGGCGAAGATGGCCACGGACTGGACCAGGAAGCTGCCGGCCAGCGTGCCCTTGGCCATGGGCCGGAAGTGGCGCGACTGGCCGAAGCAGTACACGCCGAGCATGAAGGCGACGATGGAGCAGAGCGCCTTGAGCCAGAGCATGGGCACGTTGGCCGGCAGGCCCGCGGTGCCGAGCGCCAGGAATACCGTGTTGCCCGTCTGCATGGACACGAAGACGGAGCTGGCGTTGAAGGCCACGCTGTCGGACAGCCCCGACACCAGGCTGCAGAGGCACACGGGGATGTCGGCATACTGCAGGCTGATATCCTCGCGCAGGCGGGCCAGGAGCGGCGTCCTGGCCGGCGCCTCCTGCCGCGCGGACGAGACGGAGGCCGTCGAGGACGTGTTGTTGGACGTCGGGAGTACAGGCTCGGGAGCCATTGTTACGAGGTCGCTAGCGGGTGCGCTAGGGCTATGATTTGCTGAAGCTTTTCCCAGTTGCAGGAGGTGTTGTTCCCTGGAGCTCTTTTGAGTGGCCGGGACTCAGGGGTCCGGAAAGTTAAATAAGGTGGACGTAGTTTCACGAGGTATCTGGTCAAGACCTGGGAGCAACCTCGTCTATGACTGCGACATGGGTTTCGTCTTCTTTAATAAAGGCGTTTGCGTCCGGGTAGCGGCAAAATGCGCAGAAATGCTTCAGCTATTGTAATTCCGCCATCGGGCCTAGACCGAAGTCGGCATCGTGACTCCTTGGCCTTCAACTTCACCCGGCCTGACAGGGCAGGTTTCAGGGCCTTTGGGGGTGCCGTGAGGGAAATTTTCACGCTAATGTGACCGCCGCGGTCCGAGGCGGCACCCCCCGGAACCCTGATAAGAGACATCATCCACTTTTAGGGACAAGTCCGCTAGCCTTCACTCTTGACAAAGCGTTGTGATTGTCAAAGTAGAATTAAAGATCAAATGTTGCCTGGCCTTCTCTCGCGCGCTTCATCGTTGCCGTGTGCATATCGCAGGGGAATGGGGTTCCAAGCGGGAACTGCTCACTCCAAACCATAAGATCTGCATATAAACGGTCCAGCCGCGAATGTAGACGCAAACATGGATGCGCAACTTCGAGGATGATCATTCCAACGCCTTAGCCATGGTGGGGTGGAAGCCATTGTTCGGCTTTCTGCATCCGCGTCGGAAGCCTGACGCTTGCCAAGTTCTCAAAGATTATCAAGGAAGCTGTGTAAATCAATTATGAACAACCAGGGTGATACATTGTAAGAAGAGAGGAGTAACAGTGCAAAGAAATCTACTGGTTTCAACGGCCGTATAACAGCTACGGGACAACAGCCTCATCTGCTCGGAGTTATCGCGATGCTGTAATGGGATGGCGCGCATCAGCCTAGCAACCGCCCACCTGCAGTGGGTAGAGCCTCATTTTATGGCGCCGAATGAATACCTGGGGACGAATGCTGAAGCGGCCGCGTGCTGACGCGGGATGGAGCCCAGGGCCAAATCTCAAATGATTGTTTAGCGCTTACAAAAGCAATCCGCCCCTTGACTGCAGCAGCAAGCAGAAATCCTCTGCACCGGGCGTAAACGTGAAATCTGTAAGATACCCAGTCACAGAGTTAAGAGTCTCAATGGCGACCATCGCTAAGAAGCGAGTCGCAATTATCGGCGCAGGTACGTTCATGCAGTGGCAACCCCCATGTGCCCTGGCTACAGCACGGCTGGCGGTGCAGCCCCTGAATCGCATACGAACTGAGCTGATCCGATCTTCAAGGCATATCTGGCCTGGTGTCGCTGAAGGAGTGTCTGGCCGAGGGGTTGGACGTTGAAGTCCTTGAGAGCCGAGCTGAAATAGGCGGACAATGGGCGTACCAGGCGGGGCCGGACGAGAAAGGCGAGCTGCAGTCTTCCATGTACGATGGCGTGGTGCTCAACTCGTGCCGCGATACGACTGCCTTTAGCGATTTCCCCATTGATCCTGCCCGGCATGGCGACTACTTCTCCCATCGAGAGATGCACCGGTACATTCTCGACTATGCTGATCACTTCGGCTTGCACAAGCACATCAGCTTGCGAACCAAGGTCATTGACTGCACGCAAGATGCGGAAGGCAAATGGATAGTCAAGTTCCAGGAAGATGGCTGCAAACCGCAGGAAAGAGAATACGATGTTCTCATCTCGGCTACGGGCATCAACTCAATTCCAATCATCCCCGATTTCAAGGACAGGGAATCGTTCCGGGGCGAGTTTTTGCACAGTCACTACTACAGAAAACCTGGGAGGTTCGAGGGCAAGCGTGTCGTTCTCATTGGCTCGGGGTCCGCAGCAATTGATCTTGCCTGTGAACTTGCACCTGGATGCAAGGAGGTGCATGTCATCACCCGGCGTGGCACATGGGTAATTCCACGATATGCGCTGGGTAAGCCCGTCGAGGCATGGGACAGCCGGGCCTCGCAAGTCTGGCTCCCATCCTCGGTGGCCGAATGGCTCAACACGACGTTGCTGTATGATCTATGCCCCTTGCCGAAGATGACCTGATCCAGATCGACTAACCGTTTGTTCACAGCAATTTTGTTCAAGGCAAGCATCCGAAGGAGCTCCAGCCGGACCACAAGCTCATGCAGCAGAATCCTACTATCCGCACCGAGTTCATCGAGAAGGTGCGCCACGGCGTGATCAAAGTCCACAGAGCCAGCGTAGAAAACTTCTTAGAGACTGGATTGAAACTCACGAACGGCGAGACTCTGGAGGCGGACGTAATCATCACCTGCACAGGCTACAAGCGGGAGCGCCCATATCTTCCCGGAAACGTTCTCAGCAATGCCGATACCCCTGAGTTCGAGGCTGACTTGTACAAGTTGGTCATCCCCGCACGCCATGACAATCTATACTTTGTGGGCTACATCGAGCAGGCGGGCCCGTCTCCGCCGACAATGGAGGCCCAGGCACGGTTAGCTGTCGGCGTGATCGCGGGCAACATCACCATCCCGAGGGGTGAGAAGCTGCTCAAGGAGATCCGCGCGTGGCAGGCCTGGCACGCCAAGACGTACGTCCGCTCGGAGCGCCATGTCAACACGGAGACGTACGTGCCGTATATCGACAGTCTCCTGGCGCCCCTGGGGGCGAACCCGACATTTGGGAGGCTGCTGGGCCAGGTGTTCACCAGTGGCCGGCCTCTGCAATCCCTCAGTGTGCTCAGTGCAGTATATTTCGATGTCACAAGTAGCGCACAGTGGAGGCTGCTGGGGCGTGGGAAGAATGAGGACCTCGCAAGGGAGACCGTCCTTAGGGTATCAAGTGGCAAGCTAGAATTGTCGACCCGTGAGAAGCAGCTGCTGGGGCTATGATGCTAGGAAACTGTTTTCGCACTTCTTTGTGATATCCCTTTGTGTTCATCAGTTTCGTATTTTCACCAGAACCTTACTCATCTTCATTTTGGCATAGAAACTTGTAATGTGTATTATTATGGAGATTAATCAGTAACAAACTTCAGTTCCCTCAGTCTATTACCATCATGTGCTGCTGCTCCATCATCAGCTTGTGGACCTTGTCACTGATTGTCCGCTTCGCGATGCTAGCAACAGGGACCCTCTCAGGGGTCTTCACGGGCAATGTGATTCTGCCCTTGTTGAAGGGAGCCGGACGATCAGCGCTGCGTCTCGTTGCCGGCGCCGAGTCGAAGCCGCCAGAGGCACACTTTCCGCCGTTGAAGGCAGCCGTGGCAGCCGCCTTCCACAGGTTCGTGATGTCCGTGTGCATATCCTCGGTCCAGTAGAGACGGCAGTCGGCATACTCGGCAATGTACTGTGCAGGGGTTCCATCCTCGAGATTCGGGGGGAGGATCTCATCCTTGACGTTCAGGTTCAGGGTCAAGGCTCTGTCGAAGACGTAGTCGGAGTATCTGTCGAGTTCTGCAAGAAGCTCGGTGTCGTTGGTGTAGCCCTTGGTCGTGTTGACGAGGTCATATACTCCTGAGAAGGAATAACTCTGCGAGCCCTTGACACCACCAACTCCCTGGATTGGTCCTTCCTTGGGCCGCCCACCCATGGCAATCGACTTAACTCCGGCATCCCACTTCAAAAACTGGGAGAACAAGGTACAGGTCGAAGCACAATACCCATCGAGCAATAGAACAATGTTCTCTGGGCCGCCGAAAGGCCGCTTGAAGTTGTCACGGCTGCCGTAGCCGGTAACGTCATATCCAATTCCGAATGTAGTGTTGCTTGTGTCTAAGGGGTTGCTGAAGTTCCACTGCATCACGTCGGTATACTGGTCGCCATTGAACTCGATGGGGCCGAATTTGTCCTCATAGGACTTGAAGTTGTTATCCGAGACGTCGATGTCATACTGCCAGTTCCACACAGCATTGCACTGGAAAATCAAGGCGGCATCGGCGGTCAGGGGGTCGAAGTCAGCACAGACAGCTGAAGTCACGTTGGCAACGGCGTCAAAGCCGGCAGAGTTCCTCCAGCGTCCGGTACCGTTCTGGACAATATCGGGGAAGAGCTGGCGGAAGGTATCGTATCCTTGGAAGATGTAGCCGCCACCGTTGGTCTGGACATCGAGCACAATCTTCTTCTTCCCGGCAGCGACAGCAGCCTCAAAGAAGTCCTGCACGACCTGCTGGAACTCGGGAGGGTTGCTAGGGGAAAACGATGTCATTGCCAGGACAGCGACATCCTCGAAACCCTCGCCTTCCAGGAAATAGCCGGAAACGATTCTGTCACTGGAGATTATGTATGGCGCCGGGTATCCAGGAACAGAGGTCGACGCTGCGGCAATCGATGGTGAAGCCGTAGTCGTGAGCGATTCAATTGTACTCGTAGCGGTTTGCGAGGGAAGAGAGCTTGCTGAGGCAGTAGTTGACGGAACCGCATTGCGAGCAAATCTGGACAAGAAGGCTGCTCCATCTGTGACACCCCTCCAATCGCCCTTGAGTCTGGCAACATTGGGCAGAGTTACCTCGGTTCCGTTCTCAAACGTGAGTGTGGTCTCCGCATCAGGGTAGACATATCTGAAGCGAATATTAGTATTCTAAATGGAATCAAGGAAGTTTTAGGTTATGGGCAGCAGAGCAGTTTCAACAACGTACCTGGGGCGACCGCCGGACTTGAAGTAGCCCTGGTTTCCAGACTGGTTGTATGCCTTTGAGAAGAACAACGAGTTGTAGGCGGAGTCCGGTTCCTGGTTGCTGGACATCTTGAAGATCCAATCGCCGAGGAAAGTTGCAGCATCAACACCGTTGATGAGCTTGACCACAGATGCCGTCTCAGGGGACGCGAGAACGTCACCATACACCTTGATCACAGGCAAGGAGCTGCCGTCCTCGCTGATCGATACCAGGGCCCACTGCCTGGCCCACTCCACGGCGATAGTCAAGACGTCGGTGTAGACGATCAGGTGACCATCGTGGCCAGGAGCCCAGGCGCTATTGTACAGGTCTGCTTGCCACGAATACTCATTGGGATACGCGTCGGCCGCTACACCTTCTCGGATTCTGGCCAGCTCGGCCCATAGGTCATAAGGCGGATAGAAATAATCAGCTGGTGGGTTCTTCTTGAACGCGGTGTCCGATTGCCATTCGAGGTAAGGAACAAGGGCGTCCAGGAACTTCAGTGCCGATTCCTTGTTGATAGGAACACTGTTCAGACACTGGTAGGCCAGAGCTGCCTCCACCGTGGGGGTCGGTGTCGTCGCAGTCTGGGCGACCCACGACGCGCTGACAAGAGCACATGGCTCCTGTGTCGGAGTAGCGGTTGTGGTCGCGGTAGTATTATACTGAGCAGCGACGAGTGTGCTGGCAAAGCCCAGCACCGCGGTGCTGATGGCCACAGACGTCTTCATAGCTGAGAGAAGAGTACCACGACAAGCTACCGACCAATTGACTCAACTGGCTACGGGTTGGAAGAGTAGCAGACCGGGAGCCCAGACGGCACAGCTTCGCGTCTTGGGACACGGGCCGCCATGTTTATATTCTCCCCAGAGCTCCCATGTTTGCGTTCGCATCCGTTCCCTTCCGTTGGAAGTGGGGAAGCCGTTCGACTATGTCACCATTCATGCAGGCAGGGGGTCCTTCTGCAGGCATATCATGGGTCCGGGAGGTGAGCCCGCTTTGGGGGTGGCCAGATCCGCCGATGTTCGCGGCATCACGAACTGCTGCATGCGAGCGGCAGCCCATACGATATCGTGAGCCGCAATCACGGCAAAGCTTGGTTGGGTCGCCAAGTCCATGGCGTGCGGATCTTGCCAAACCCATAGTAGTCATTCGTAAGGACCCATGCCCCCGATCTGCAAGCATACCTTCTTAATGCGGAAGGTCTATAACTTCACGGCTTCGGTTGCAAAAGCGCGGGGAGATTTCAGACTGAATATCGGAATTTCATCTACACACGTACTTCTGCTAGTGGGCAAAAGATCAGTACAGGGGACATGAGGTTATGTCAGGATCAGATCCTGAACCCGCCTGCATCTGTCGTCTGATGTATCCCCATTGCGGGTTCTCGCGGAGTTCAGTTGTCTTCTATCTTCCACCCCTGAATGTCCCCTGTGATTTGGGCTTTAGCGCAGATCACACCATCCGCAATCTCAGTGCACTGGCCTACAGACAAGCCGGTTTGGCAGCTGGACCGTCGGCATGGATGTCCAAGGCGGAAAGCGATAACTTAACTTAGTCTCTATCCCTGCTAACCCAAATGTTTGATTCTGGTAATTGAACGAAAACTTGCTCATCGAACTCAAAATGCGAGTTGATAATTGTAGTCAATGCATGCCTTGCTGCAGTCAAGGCGGTTGTCTCTCCAGAGGCGTAAATCTTGCCTTGAGTCACGTAGCTGCAGCTAATTCCAGTAGTCTCGCCGCTCACCCACTTCACGCGACGAGTGCTCTCGAAATGAGGCACAGCAAGCGTAGAACAAAACAGCGGTTCCGCAAGTTGTCTGAACACTTGATTAGGCTGAACGAGAAGCGGTCGCAGACGGATAAACCTTAGGAAATCGGGTAATTTACATGCCACTTAAGGTTTCGTGTTAACGTTTCTTACGTAGGATAGGCGCTAGTTGCCTATAAGCCAGCTCACATGGAGTTCTTACCTCTATTGTGTGATCGACCGCCATAGTACTTCTGTGGCGTGGTATGTATGATACTTGCTATGTCTTGTTCGTGGGCCCCACTTCCACAGATTTGCAGTACATGTGATACGTAGCATTATCCAAGTATGCAGTGTCGTCCATGTACTCAAAAACGAGCAGCCTCGTGTTGGGTTTAGTCTCAAGGCTAACGATCGCCTTTTAACCGAGAAAATTCTCTTCAGCGGCCATTGTAGAAGCCACGGTAGAGTGAGAAAACAATTGAACCTTTGTCTGGCTCAAGCAAAAGTTGTGAATAAGCGAGCAAAGAAAATTTTCGCAAGCCTAATTGGTTTCAAGAGTGCTGGTTAATGGACCAAGTATGAAGCATTGCTACTTATAGAGATATTACAGATAAGAGATACACTGCACTGCCTAGTGACGCCATACATACAAATACTCACTCACTGCAAAGCAACTACAAATCAAGAAACAGAGACGCACATGAGTCGGTAGTTCTATTCTACAGTGCTGTTTCATGCCACTCCGCTGAGTGTAGCAAAGAAATGCTTTGAAATCCATGGAATGTCTTCGTCTGGCGCAAAGTGCTCAATTAAGGTTACAGAATTCAAGACCTGCTGGGAGAAGAAAGACCATCAAGTTGGCTGTGACCTATGATAAGAGGTCCTAGAAAGCCCTTGGTGGTCCATCCGGTCGTAAAACTCTTGGGACGAGAAATATCGATCACATATGAACCCGTGTATTCTAGAAGGCGCCTTCACAGCGTGAGAACGGCAGGGCATGCAGTTGCCACAATGTACTCTGGCTGGTTTCAGAAGCTGCACAGAAACCGAGCTCAAAGACAGATGCCACGGATCTCGTGGTGCCACTAGCACGGTCTGCCAGGGCGGTTTGTGAAGTTCGGTGGGTCTTTGCTTTGGGACGTCGCCGATATAATCGATCACCACAAGACTGTCATTATATGACGCCAGCCTTATGATTCTGTCCAATAGACCCTAACGGCCACTTGCAGACTCGTGGAACAATGCGGAACCTCTTCAGTCCTTGGTCACACATATGTGAATATTCCATCCGAAGGCGTCGCCGATATAATCGGTCACCGTATTACTTACTATTACTATACGACTCCAGACCTGCAATTTCACCACAGAACCCCCCAGTCCCTTGCAGTCTCGTGGAACACTCCGGAATCTCCCTGACCTTGATCACACATAGGTGAATTTTCCATCCAGAGTTGTCGCCGATAAAGTTGTCCCTCACCCGTCGCCGATATAGTTGTACCTCACCCGTCGCCGATATACCCTAATTGACCCGCGTAGGCCCGCGTGACTGGCCGGAATTGTCTCACAGACCCTAATTCCACTCAAGTGAATTGATCACTGATTGTGGAATTTGGAGTACTATTTAAAAGTCGAGACCACCATCAGAGATCCTGACTTCTTCATCTTCACTACTCATCAACCCGAACTTGGCTCTCGCCAGCACCCTGACCTAGCACCACCACCACCCTAACGTCAGCAAGGTAAGACTATCCTTTTCATTTATTCTCCAGTAGTATGTAGTAGCAGCTTTATTAAGCGTCCATCTTCCAGATGCCCAGCAAGAGAGCACGCGGAGCCTCGGAGGAGTCCGACGAGGACTACAACCCCGACGAGAGCGACGTCGAGCCCCCCAAGCCTGCCCCGCCCCCCAAGAAGAAGCAGAGGCGAACCAAGGAGACAACCACGCGCCCCGATCGACTTCAGTCGGTTATGATGATCGGAGGAGCTCCGAGATGGTTGTGCGATCATCCGAACAGTGGCGGCCAGGCATGCAAGTCGACTACGAAGCCTGATGACCACAGCATCAGCTCTCACATCGCCAAGTTCCACAAGGACGACTCGGCATACTTGGAGAACAAGAAGCGTGGTGTTCAGGATTGCCCCTTCTGCGACCTTACGAAGCAAACTGGGGATGCCCGCTTCGCCAACTTCCTTTCGTACCAGCAGCACGTGCGAGAGACCCATTCTACCCTCGGCAATTCCCAGCATCTCAAAGATGCGCTTCACGAGAAGGCCCTAGCCAAGGGCGACGAGAGCAGCGCCTGGTTCAAGGACGCTGGCAAGACTTCTCTGTTCTCTAAGGCGCCCAGAACCACCAAGAGTGGCAAGGATGACGAGGAGACCGACTCGGAGGATCCTGATGGCGACTATGTCGACTGTCGCGATGATGAGCCTGACTACGGTCCCAACGGCCCTGGTGGCGCTGGCGGTCCTGGTGGTTCTGGCGGTCCCCCTCCCGGTGGTTCCATCCCCCCGATTCCCAACCAGGTCGTCGACGTGAGTTTTCCTTGGAGAAGCGGCGTAGATAATTACTAATCTTCTCTAGTCCTGCGCCTAAAGCGCAAGAGGATGTGGTCTTAACTCGTAAGACCAAACGGGTTTTCACAAGGATTTGTGTGGAGGCATTTGGCTTCTGAATAGTTCTTCAGAAGATGGCAGCCTCGTCGGGGCCCACCGCTGGCCTTCGTCGATCAGGTGGCAATAGTGTAGCCACCTTGATACCATGCCAGCAGTAGGAATGAAGAAAATTCCTACCAAAACGCTTTTTGTTCATGATGGATGTTCGTGATTTTCTTCCATAATGCGCCCGCAGTGATTACCATGCCTATTCCTGTATGACCTGTCCTGTCGGCTCTAGTGAGGTATGGTAGATACCATTCTTCAACAAACGCTCAGCGGCATCGATCCCAATGAATTTCCACACCCCCGCGGTACGATCCTGCGCAATGTTTCTGGCTGCGTCGTCTGGGACAGCCCTCGATAGGACATCGAATTCCTCGTCAGATCCCGATTGATGGAAGAAAATCCTCGGCCACTCCACGACGGCCTCCTTCTCGGCTTTCCTCATTGCCCTCTGCGCTTCTTCTATGTTATTCTTCTCCTCACTGATGAGGTGCATGTCGCCAGAATCAATGCCATCTATAACTCCACGCCATGCTCTTCTAGATTCCCACGCGTTCTGTTCCTCCACCGGCTTGACATGCAGCTCAGTGTACGGCACGGCGTCAACGTCGATTTCCTCAGGCTTCCCTCCATTGACGAGGTCCTTCACACTCAATGTACCATTCCACTGACCGGATATCTCAAACAGAACCTTCCCGTTGTCCCTCACGTTGCTGAGCTCTGCATGCACACTGTTCTTCGTGCCGAGACCCAGGGCCTTCTTCCCCTCAAAGTCGATCGTCGCCAGATACCCCGAGCTTGAAGAGATGTAGCAGGTACCCTGAAGCTCTGGGTAGGGTTTGCCGGTCAGAAGCCCCTTGACGCCCATGGTCGGCAGCGTCATCAGATGGCTTTCGCCGTGCTTTTCATCTCTGATGATCGCGTGTCCGATCTGCTGGACAGTCACGCCACTCGTGGGACTGAAACTGGTCTCCTGAGCCACATACCCCGACGATGATATCCCGTGGTCCTTGTTGTACAGGAAACACGCCGTCACCGGAGGATGATGGGATACTTGCTCTGAGATCAGCTGCGTCGTGCTCCCCGAACCGGCATCATGGAAAGTCCCCAAAAACAGCTCGCCGAGGAAGGCGTTGAGCGGTTTCTTGGCGCCGCCGTCTGAATCCTCGGACGCAGCGGTGTACACCTGGCGCTTCAGGCTACATAGGAAGTTTTCGAGGATGAGTAGCGCCCTCTTGGCCGGGTCCTCTTCAGATGCTGGCTTTAGGAACAACTCATGCCGCTCTGCCCATGATGCTGGAATCTCTGTAACCGACTTTGACGACAACACAAACGGAGGTGCTGTGATGTTCGACAGGTCCCCCTTCACGGTCGCGAGATACGCTAGAAAGTCTTTGAACTGCGATAAATTCGACTGTGATTTAGTCATGGTTGCACAGGAGGCGGGTGATGTCAGGCTGGTGGAGGAGTTGCAGTGTTCACCTAGCAGACGCGGATAAAGACTGGCTGGGGGTTATTTTATGCATACACCTATGTAAGGAACGTCAGAGCTACCAAGACAATGGGACTAGCTAAAGATGTTAGTCTTCAGGCCTGTGTTGTCCGGTGGTTCTGAGGCGTGCAGAATGGATGACGTTATAGCTTGACGCGCACTCGCCTACTGCTTAGCGTCTGCGAACAGCCCGTCGCACGAGCCTCAACACATTGGGAAGCCACCCTTTCGTCCAATGATCACTTCCGTCCGATGATTGCAGCGGTAACAATGTTATTATTAATTGGTCTATATTCGAATCTGAGATGAAATCTCCCCGACCACGACGTCTGAAACTCGGATCATGGTAGCATCTTGTGCAGGGAATCCATCGCCTTCTTGGCGTATGCGCCCATGTCTGGGTATTTCTCCTGTCCTTTAGGGTCGAAGACCTCCATGGACAAGTAGCCTCGAAACCCTGTATCCCAAACTGCGTTGAGAAACTCCACGATAGGCAGATACCCTCCGTCATAGGGCAGTGGCCGATAGTCATGACTCCATTGACCGTGCGGACGTAGGCCATCCTTATCAGATTTGGGCTCAATAGGGGGGTCCATCTTGTAGGCATCTGAGATCTGGAGGAGGTAGATCTTGTCCGCGGGAACCGTCGTTGCGAGCTGTGCGAGGGACTTGCTCCAATTTGATTCCAGCTGAGACCTGGTAACTCCTTCGTTGTGCCCAGATTTGGTAGTCGGATTCCCCCATTCACCCCCGACGCTCTGGAACGTGTCCAGACATAAGCCAATGTTGGGCCTCTTCGTCTTCTGGACTATCTCCCACACGTCCTGCCACGCCGGCGCGTGGGTTGCCCAGCACCAATTCTCATAGGCAATGCGGAAACCCTTCTCGGCCATGAGGTCTGCTAATTCAGCCAGATCAGCGGCCAGCTCATCAAAGGATGACGAGATGCCAGGCGCGTCCGACGAGCCGACCTGCAGCATGTCGGTGCCCACGGCCTCCATGACCCGGATCCAGCCCTTGGCTCGGTCGAAGGCCTCTTTCCTCTTCTTGCTTCCTTTCGGCCACCCTTCGAAGTTGGCGAATGGCTGGAGCATCAGTATCTCCAGGCCGTGTTCCGTTGTCTGGGCCTTGATCTGCTTCCCGATCTCCACCAGGGCGTTATAATCCTTGGGGTCAGGCTCCTGCCCATTCAGCATCTTGCCGTAAGCAATGATGTCCGGCATGGACAGCTCGACTGCATCGAATCCGGCATCTGCAATGGCTTTGAGCTTGAGAGGTAACGTGTGAGAATCCTTGTATCCAATGCTGCATGTTGCATATGACGTCGGTATTCGGGCGCTGGTGTTGCTGATGGGCATATTGAGTAGATGAGGCTCCCAATCTTGGAATAAGCGTCTCTAGGTCTCCTCTTTGGTTCTCTCGGTCTCCGTTTAAGGTTTCCTCGAAATATTGTAGGTGTTGGTGCTTGTGGCGTTGTAGTCTCAGCAATGCGGCAGGCTGTGAACTCCATAAATTGGTGACGTCAACACCATGTCGCAGCTACTACGCAATGTTTCTCCATTGGTCTGGGCACAGCATGAAGGGTGCAAATACAAATACTAAATCGACAATTGGATCGAGGGATGGTATGTTTCTACAATAACAGCCCCTACGAACTTGACGCCAGTGCTGCAGGGTCTTCGCATCGAGTCGCTGTCGCCTGTGCCCACGGCACCTCCTTCCGACTCTGTTGCTGCTGCATGATGCAACTAACCAGGACCAGCAAAGCCTTGAATGTCCTCGTTGGTGAAAGAGAACTGCAATGGATATGGATATCATATTCGCTTTCTCTACTCAAGGACTTAATGTATAGAACTAGGAAGACAGTCCCCGTCTTCGACCAATACCAAATAATGCGCCTAAATATATGTGTAGGCCTCTCCACTGCCACCAGATGCTTTTCCAATCTACCACTCAGCCATCGCATGCAGCAGCCGTGAGCTTTCTCCAACGACAAACCCATACGTCCCGTCCGTGACCATCTTCCAGTTTTGCGCCTTCACATCCCAGTAGCTCAGGTCCCGCCTCGTGACGTTGAACGTGATGGTCGCCATCTCGTTCTGCTTCAGGAACGTCTTCTCGAATCCCCTCAGCACCTTGACGGGGAAGTCAACACCCTCAGTCTTGCTCGCGTTCGGCGGGTATGCGAGGTAGAGCTGAGTCACGACGTTGCCGTCTCGAGCGCCCGTGTTTGTGACGTTGGTGCTGACCGTTACATACGTCTCCCACAGGTCCGGGTTTCCGCCCTCGTCGCCGCCAGCAGGGGACAGAGGCTGCTTGACATCGTAGCCCTCGGGGTAAGGATAAGGGTCCATGATGATCTCGTCGACGGTGTCCAAGTACGGGTAGACGAACTTCTCAAGCTTTCTGAAGTTCGGGGGAAATAGTACCTCGTCCTCGTCGGGAATGCTCGGGTCGTACTCTGGCGGCATGGCAAAGTCTCGCGGCCGGGCAGCAGGATAAGCGCTCTTGGGCTTTTGTTCCTTGATTCTGGGAATGGTGAAGTTGAAGGTTGTGTAAGAGAGGCCGAAGCCAAACTCGAATCGTGGCTTGATATCGTACTTGTCAAAGTAGCGATAGTCAACGTAGAGCCCTTCAGCGAAGTTCTGCTGGGGAACAACGTTGTTGGGGAGGTACATGATCTTCGCACCATCACCATAATCATCCAGGTTCTTGCCAATGGTCCACGGGAGATGTCCACTGGGGTTGACGGCGCCGAAGAGCACATCTGCCAAGGCATTTCCACTTTCTTGTCCTGGCAGGTTGGCCAGGAGAACAGCCTTGACACCAGGGAGATCGATCCATCGTTCCATGATAACTGGACCAACTGTGTGGATGATGACAATCGTTTCACCAGAACCGCCGCCACAGCCATTGGCGACCGAGACGATCAAGTCATCGCCTCCCTTCTGCAAGAAAAGGTCTGGGCGGTCCCCCTTCACGGATTCCCAGCTTACGAAACCTTCTCCAGAGTCTGCATTGGCAAAGACAATACAGATATCCTGGTTGCCGAGAATTTCTGGCTGCTCTGAAAATGGGGGCGAGTTCGTCAACCATGAAGACACATTGACTTTGTCCTTATCCCAGCCACTGCCAAGCGCGTCAATCGGAGTGACGAGGTACGGGAACTCCACCGCACCGGAGCCCCAGCCGGAAGCAAGCGTGCCTTCGTTGCAAGCCCGATCTTTGCAACCATTCGGCCCGTTGGGACCAGGGCCAGCGTCCTCGCCGAAAATACCGATTCGCACTACTCCTTCATGCTTCTTGCGCAATTTCATGTCTGTGTTGCCGTGGCGGTCGATGGGGAGGATCTGCTCGTTCTTCAAGAGCACGGTACCCTCGGCAGCGATCTGGCGGGCAATGGCGGAGTGGTTGCCCATCACATTCTCGTATTCGTTGACGATGACTTTCTCCTGCTCCGAGGGACTGCCTGGTGCGAAAACGCCATATTCATCGTTCGTCCACGACGAGAAATTGGGGCCATCCGGGTCGAATCTCTCAGTATCATCCTGGCCAAACTGATACCACGCTGCGACGATACGCGTGACCATGTCATTCAGTCTTTCAAGGGGAACAGAACCATTCATAACCGACTTGGTCAGCTCCGGGCCCCATAGCGACTTGCCGTCTGCCCAGAAGAGGCCATCTCCCGGCATGGTCATATCCAGACCGGCCAAAGCACTAGACACGCCACCGCGCTGTGCCAGCCAATCGCTCATGACAAATCCTTGGAAGCCCATCTCATCTTTCAGGATTCCATTGAGGATCTTTGAATTGCCGCAAGCATACGAGTTGTTGATCTGGTTGTAACTGCACATGACGCTCGCCACGCCGGCTTTGACCGAATCGCCAAAGGGCCACATGTATAGCTCATGCATTGTGCGGTCGTCGATGTTGCTCGAGATGGCATTCGGGAGGCCCCATTCCCAGGACTGGCGGAAATGCTCCTGCTCGTTGGCGACCAGGTGCTTGATGGTCGCCATGATGCCTTCGTCTTGGATTCCCTTGATCGACTCGGCAGCAGCAATTCCCTGCAAGTACGGATCTGCGCCAAAACCTTCCCAATTTCTGCCGCCTGCGGGCATTCGGCCCAATGGTCCAATGCAGGGCCCCAGGATGACATTGATTCCCTTCTTGCGAGCTTCGATGGCGTGCGCATTCCCCCACTGGTACATCAGATCCTTGTTCCAGGTCGCGCCCACGGTGATTCCTGCTGGGAATGCCGTGGCGTTGTCGGTAAACCGAATGCCCAGCGGGCCGTCCTGGAGTGCCAGCGATGGGAACCCGACATTCACAGCCGGACCAGTGTTGCCTACAGCGGGACCCATTTCCCACCCAGTGCCAGTCGTGACGTTAACCTTCTCGGGCAGGGTCATCTTCGAGACCATCTCGCTTGCTTTCCGGTAGCTATCGGCCCAGTTGCGCGCCGTGCCGCCCTTCGGCGTGGGATACCACGGAGGAGACAGGCCATCCTTGGGCGCGGCGAACTTCTTGTACGCGAAGAAACCACCTCCACCGAGGGCGATGAAGACCAGCGCCAGTATACCTAGGCATGTCCAGACGCACTTCCGCGACCGACCGGCGCAACAGCAGCACGGCTGGCGCAGCCACCGATTGCGCGGTTGTGTTTGGTATGCGGGATTATAGGAGCCCTTGGGGGCCGTCAGGGGGTCGGACTGTAGATACTCGGTCGCGTCGATATCGGAGTCGAGGTCGGACGAGTCACGGCTGTCGTAGGAGCGCCGGAAATGCTCCTTGGGGCTGAGGAGCCCTTCTTCCTGCTTGTGATCCATGATGGCCCAGGAGCCAGCCCGTTCAGACGGAATTGGTGGGATTATTTGGCGGTCGTCCAATGCTCTGGGGCTTGTTTCCAGCAAGAGTGTGTCGTGTGTTGTGAGGCCAGACTCTCAGCTGGCTTGAGGTGGCTTGCCGCAGCACCACGGCAGAATGTAGATCAGCGCTGCTTTTCCAATCGACCCAGCCGAGTTGTCTTGGACGCCCTCAACAGCAGTGACGATGGTCGGCTTGCCAAGCGACTCAATCACTACTTTGGCGACCTGAACACAAAAAATACACCAGGCAGATGGACAATGAAAGACGGCGAAGCAATCCAGCGAGAGAAAAACATCACGAGGGCGAAACAAGTCGTTGAAACATTGCCAACATCGCCTCCGACATCGAAAGCGACATGATGAAACCTGGAGTTGGACTTGGCGTTGCATGGGCCCCTCCAGAACAGTGAGCTTCCCCGTCTCGGGCTGTGCTACCGAACCCCACCAACCCCCGGGCTAACCCGCTAACATCGAAGCTTAGGAGGCCCTAAGGCCCCTGATTGGACGCTGCGTCAGGGGGATGCCAGGGGCCCAGCTCCTGAGCTCGGGACTTTTCTGGTCACAGCCCAACTTCACTTCACGTCTGCGTTCCGAGGTCATCATCGGGAAGATGTAGTCGGTGTAAAGCAGGTTCAAAAACCGGGTTATCTAACACTTCGAAAGGGCCATGTTGTCCGAGACTTGGAAACGATCTCCAATCATTTCAGAATTGAAAGATCGTCTTTGGTCTGGTTGGTTGTTTGGTTGGTGCGAACGAGTCCACTGGTTTCCTCACATATCCGCATATCCTCATGCCATATGCGGAAAACTCGGGTTAATCAAGACGAAATCTACAGCGTTTTATCAGAAGACATATACGAGGTATGAGCTCCTGGAGGCAGTCTTCACCAAAGTAGCCAAGATCATGCTGTGGTCGCATTTCTTATCAATTCCAATCAACAAAGGTAGCCTTTCCTCCACAAGACTGCGTTCCGGGCGTCATTATGTAACACAGAATCAGTAAGAGGAGCTGTAATGAGTCAGAGTGCTCAATGCAAGTAATGCTGGACCAAACAGTGATTCCCAGAGCTTGCTATTCCTTGAATGTCTGCCTAGGTACTGAACAAGTAGCGGACATCTACTGCTGGTCAGGGTAATGTAGCAGGCCACCGCAAGGTACCTTAGGAGTGGTCAGTTGGGTGGACGCCATTGGCCGATGGGAAGGTTACCGGGTCAATCGTTCGACGAGTCCAGGAGCTGTTATTCCATTCACTTCACCCAACCAGGTCTTTTAATATTCAAAAGCCAGGCAGCATCCCACCACTAGATGCGATGCCGTCAAACGCCTGTCCTAAGCGCTGGCAGTCTAGTATAGATGAAAACATGTCATGGTGATTTTCTCCAGGTCGGGGGTTCAAGTGTGTGCCCGGATAAGACGTCAATTCCCGGATCAGTACTTAGCCAGGTAGGTGCTGTTAAGACCACTTCCTGACGCGTAGTTTTGCCAGTCGGATCTCTTTTTCTATTTTATTTCTCCCGTTCGTTCCTTTTTTTTTGCATCTTCAGCAAGTGGACTTCGATATTGCTGCGGACTACTGATATGTGGCTCGAAGATTTGAACTTTTCAAATATCGGTCGTTAGGAGAATGGTACCACTGCGTTTGTCATCGATTTCACCCGCGTACAAATCCTGCCCCTGGTCATTTGGATGCCGTAGCTAAAGTTATGCTGGTGAGGGTGAGCGTCCGAGAACCACAATAGTTATTATTCAGACAGAGATGGGATGCCCTACCAGCGGCGTGGAAAAAGCTGTCCGCTTTTTTAGGATCCAGTTTGGCTTGTTCGTCTACATTACTCGTTATCATTCGATAAGAACACACGATGCTAGCTTCCGTGGCAAAGTGTAGGATGAACCACTCGGTGATCTGAGGTATTCGCCAAGGCCTTCGGAGCCCCTTTTGATACCTGAGCCTGCACACGATAGTAAGAAACCGCTGTATCTACCACTTACTGTCACTTATGGCTGTAAGTCACGCTTTCGGTTCATGTAGAAATACTACTTCGTACACTCAATCATTTATTATGAGATTCCATCTTGTAATTTCAAAATCCTCATGGATCATTTCCAGTTCGCCTCCATCCACAGGGAGAGAGGACTCTAGTGAGCAAGCCATGCTAGTAGATATCAGATCATATGGGGATACTTGCTGGGACAAACGCAAGGTGAGACAGAAGTAGACTTTGGTTGGGATTGCAAAGGTACCATAGTGGCTGGATTGCTCTGGATGATCCATGTGTGAAAGCCAAATGATTCTCAAGAGATGGATTCGCATTCAGCCGGCATTCACTTAATAACCAACAGAATGGTGTATTCGTCGGATGATTTCATTTGGCCTGGGGCGGAATCCTTCGACTTGAAGAGGGATGAATTAGACCGGCACGGGGAGTCTCAAGTTTGTAGCCGATAGTCAATGGGAGATATCTAGGCCGACCTTGAACTTCCAAGACTTCCGATGATATTGGGAGAATCGCGAACTGAAGTCAGGGACACCCTTGAACATGCACTCCACCCAGCAGCTAGAGAGCCCCAGAGCCCCAGAACCTCGGACCGCGCTGGCAAGGAAGTCAGACGAGAATCGGAAAATATCTTTCTTAGTCGACAGGATCCGCCTTGATCATTGCCAGCTCATTTGTGAGCATTGAGGTTTCTGAGCTTCATTGAAGGTCGTTCCGAGTTAGGCTTGCATTGTGGGGAACACTAAATAGTCAGGCGCATTTGGAAGTTCACAGACTGTTCTTCCTTCCGCAAAGGTCAGCTCACAAACTCATCGAAGCAATTTGACACCGACTTTTTATGCCCAGCGCTGCTTCCGCCCAACGGTGAATTCCGCACCAAATCCCGCTGGGCTGAGTGGGACAGGCTAATCAATAGTTCAGAGCCTAGTGTCACAGGTTGGTGCGGGTTGGTCCCGCAGGGCTGGGGTGGCTTGGATTATCTAAGCAGGCCTCAACGGTTAGTGCATTGTATACTCCATAAATACGATATTAGCGTCCCGTGACGGGGTTCAAAGAAGGCCGTGACAACCTGGGAAACCCGAAATGCCGCGTGCGTAAGAAAACGAAGACGGAGACTTATATACTTGCGGGGCAATGATCCTAGATAGCATGCTGGTAAGAATCTGACATGCGGCGGGGAGCCCGCTCTAGGCCGAGTTGGTAAAAGGTCTTATGCATTTCAGAGGAAGCGATCGAGTTCCATTTTGCTACATGACTGCATTCGTCTGATGTAACCGGGCAAACTTCTTCCTTTCACACTTTCTCAATCATTTTCGCCATGGTATCCCCCAACGCTCCGGTTCCCCGGGTCCACGAAGGGAAGGTCGCTATCGTGACAGGATCTGCAAGAAGTATGTCCATGGCGGGGTCAACGTACCATAGAACTGTTGAAGAAGTGAATGAAAGATGGCTAATTTGTTGACCAGGTATCGGTGCCGCCATTGCTCGGAATCTTGCCTCGAAAGGTGCAAATGTCCTCATCAGCTACCTGACTGAGGGCTCAGATGCTGTGGCCAAAGCGCTTGCTGAGGAGCTTTCCACCACTCATAATGTCAAGGCTGTGCCGTGTCGTGGCGATATTACGACCAAGGAGGGATGCGAGAAGATCATCTCTACTTGCAAGTCTGAGTTCCCAGCACATGCAAAGACTGGCACTCTCCAGGTCGACATCCTGATTCACAGCGCCGCACTCTTCCACGCTATGCCGCTTGAAGCGGTCACTGTAGAGGACTTCCATAAGGTGTACAGCATCAACGTACTTGGTCCCATTCTCCTGACCCAGGCCGTCAAGCCTTACCTGCCGACAGACCGATCTGGCCGGATCGTCAGTCTGTCCAGCGTTGGCAGCAAGGTTGGCCTTGCGTATCTTACACTATATGGAGGAACCAAGGGTGCCATTGAGGCCATGACTAGAACATGGGCTCGCGAACTCGCCGAGAATGCAACAGTGAACAGCATCAACCCCGGCTCAACTATGACGGAGATGTTCGCCAACGCACCCGACGCAGCGAAGGAGGCTATTGCCCTCTTCTACCCCCTGACCCCATTGTCACCCGTTCGTGAATGGGATGCCGATGAGATGAAGGAGTTAGGCAAGAAGTACGGCGGCCGCGTTGCGTATCCAGAGGAGATTGCCGGTATTGTGGGGATGATCTGCAGCCCAGAGTCCAGCTGGATGACGGGTTCTCTCGTGAGTGCAAACGGAGGCCAATGGTTCAGTGGCTGAGATGTGACAACGCACACGCGAGGAAGTGGGAACCCGGGATTAGCTCGTATGAAAACCAACAAGAGTGTCACTGCTAAAGGGTTTCTAAGACGTGATTTGCACAATTATGACAGCCTCTAAAGGGATATAGTCGTCTTTTTAATTATTATCCAAGATAAAATTATTGGCAGTGAGAATCTCATATGCTATATGTGAGTATATCGCTTTTAGTTCACTGCACCACAAATTGTTCCTTGTGCGACTTGTAGAGCTTCGAGCTATCCAACACCTGCCCGGTAGCTGACCTGATGAAATCAACCTGGAGGTTGTTCGCATCTAAGAACGAGACCTTGGCGTACGAGAAATCGTCCGAATATGCAAACGCGTTATACTTCTGTTTTGTGCCAACGGAGCTCAAGCCCTCAATATTGCCAGCACCACCGGCCACGATGTACATGGGGGCTTTTGGGTCGTTGAGTCCATTGGGGTCCGCAGTATTGTTCATAACGGGCATGAATCGCTGGGAATTGTGCACATGGCCGAACACTCCCAAGTCGACTCCGTATTTGTAGAACAAGGATTCGAAGGCGTCCTGGCACTCCGAACAGTCCTCTCCTCCGCTAGTTGTGTACCACGGGCGGTGGCCACCAACGACAACCCAGGGGGTGACGGTACGATCAACCGAGGCAAGGTCGGCCTCAAGAAAGGCCAGCTGCTGGCCTTTCGCGCCAAACGGTCCGGCGTTCAACCCCTTTTCGCCACCTGGCTGATCGGGAGCATCGGGAAAATCAGTCTCCGTGTCGATCATCGTGACGTGGACCATGCCATACTCAAAAGAGTACCAGAAAGGAGGGTTCGCGAGCATCTTGGCCTTGTTGGCGTTGACTTTGGCAGTCTCATCAGCCGATGTTGACGGGAAAGCCGTAGGCATAGATCTCCCAAACCGATTCATGAAGTCGGTAAAGTTCTTCTGACCGTTCGGGCACAGGCCCGTCAAGTTTGGGATCTCCTGGCAATTGGCCTCGTGATTTCCAGGGCTTGTCATGTAGGGTTTACGACCCGCAATGGGAGCTAGCTGATCATAAAAGTTTTCCAAGATGGCCTCAAAGGCATTTGTGCCATCAAACAAGTTCTTGACTTTCAAGACCCAGTCGTCCGCGTAGGCAAGATCACCAGGATGAATGACGAATTCGTAGTCATCAACGGTGTTGGCGAGGCGCCCGATGGTGGTGTGATTAAGTGCGGGGGGGATATACGGGATAGTATCCCTTTTGGTCAAATCCATATCGATGGTATAGCCATCTTCACCGTAGACACCCAGGTCTATGACAGCATTGAGCGCAAAGGGTGTCTTGTCACCGGGCACGCGCGGACTGAAGAAGTGCTCAACACTGGAATTAGTTGATACAATCTTGTAGTAGTAAGTCGTAGCCGGGGTCAGGCCAGTCAAAGTCACCGCATTGGAATATGTGCGGGAAGTGGCGTAAGTGACCGACGAAGTTGAGCAAGCCAAGGTGCTCAAGGCGTCGCTAGATGTACCATACTCTACGCATGGTCGAGCCAACTTCTGGTAGGTATTCCAGCCTATGGAAACGGCTATATTGTGCCCGAGTTAGCTTTGCACACTATAGTAATCCGGGAACCTCGGGTTGCGCAATATGCGTATCATTGACCACTTACAATTCGGACTATTGATTGCGAGGCGCTGCTGTACGGGAGTACTCAAGTCAGAAGGCTTTGGCGGGTAACTTGCTGCAGCTGTAACGGAAGCAATGAGGAACGGCAAGGCCGCGACGAAGGTGGCGATGGAGTCCATGACGTCTGGCACCTAGTTGACAAAATGGGGAAAGTCCAAAAAGTCCCCGCTTTGCTGAAGTTGATCAGGTATTCGGCATCCCCAAGCTTGACAAAGAAGCACCGTCGTGAGAGTGTCGGGTGTAACTCGCGACTGGTCTTGGCTATTTATCTGTTAAGGAACTAGCTGATCGCCGTGGTTGTACAGCTGACATGAGATGAAAATGCCGTCCACGTGCAACAGCGGGAATGCAGAGGGGGATGTTCCTGGTTGCTTGGGGAATTCCGCTCATGATGATTGGCTGCTAGGCCGGTTTGAATCGCGCTCGTGCGGCGGCGATTGGACGAGCCGCTCCCGGGGGAAAACCCGCACACAGGAATAAGCTCAGATCGACCGGAAATCGGGGTCATACAAGATCCAGCGCGATCCTAGTTTTGGAGTTTTCACCGGTATCACTGCATTGATTATAATTGACCTCGGCGGATTGGAGCCCAAAGGAAGCTTTGATTACGACGTTGGCTTCGCAACCTCGGTGCGTAAGCTCTAGTTCTTTCATGTGCCCAACGCAACCGTCAATGCTCTCGTAACTTCGACAATTTGCGGCATCCCTATCCAGAATTGTTATTGCACGTGGTGATTTCGTACGCATCCAAGCTTGTCAATCCTATTGACACCCGGACCAAGTTGCCGGTTGTCTTGGGCCGTCACTATCCGAGCGTTGGTAAAAGTCAATGTCAAGTTTAATAGAGCCAAGGACAACGACGGTTAGTCCAAGATCCTAAGTAAGAGGGCGCGTTTAGTACTAGAAGAACCAGTAACCTAGGCCAATGTCAATTGTATATCGCTTGGCGTGTCAACTAGTCTTGTTGCATCAAGACCGTCATTTATCTTTTGTCTGGTCTTTTGCAAGGCGAGTCACGCTAAAGTTCATGGCGAATAAAAGTCGGCAGCTCGATGTGATATCGCAATGGGACACTACATGATAATTAGGAAGAGAGTTGGAGGTCTAGCTGTCAAATAAGTATACTATCTTTCGGGGAAAGCTTGAATATACAGCTATGGGAACTGTAATTGGCTGCCTACTAAGTTCAGATTGCTTCTTCACACCAGTACCGCTAGTCATGGTTTCTAATCTAAATACTTCCCTCGTTCTTGTACCACAATGGTAGCCGCCAACTACTAACACTGTTGAACTCCATCTGCGGGCCAGAAATAATGCACAGTTGAGCTTTCAAAGGAGCTAAACCTTAACTTCACTCTTGACGCTGCATTGCCCGCAACTTACCGCAAGGGCCGTATATGCCGATCGAGGCTTGTCTGGCGCGACGTCCCAATTTTCTGGCATTTCCTGGCCCCTTTGGTCAGCAAGAGAAGGCGCTTTCTATTGCGCGTGATAAACTCGTACGATATTACTAGATCCAGTTTTTCCTACCTCGTTTGGGGACTTAAGAGCCAAGAAGGGTGGCCTCTTGGTGCGACTATTGATTTACAGCACCCATGAAGTAGTTATTTCCGTAGCCAGGCTGGTCTCTCGCACCCAACAACCCACATTTGATCCAGTCTGGATCCTCTATAGGAGAAATGGATCCCAGTCGCATCACAAATCCATGTCGAGCCACGTTGAAGATTCCCACGGCAGTTCGAGTTTCCCATGCCACGCGGGCCCCCACCATTTCTGCTATCTCCGCAGGGGTCTGTGGTGGGATGCTGCCAATGACGGCTATCAGGTTTCGTCGCTTCTACAATTTCGTAGCTGACAAAACCTTATTCCTATCCAAGAACCATACTCTTGGAACTCGCCCCGGGACCCGCAGGACAATCCATCCTATACCCAAATAGTCTGATTACTGTTCACGTTTCGAGCCTTTGGTGCTTTGCTGCGTAAAATTAAACCACCCCTACAGGGCAAGCGCCAATCTTTACAGTATTCAGTTCGTCAGCCGTCTTGCGGTCAACAAGCAGGCAGGGTTTTCTTCAGGGTTGCTGCCCGTCGACCCCTCCCTTGGCAGCTCTCGAACGGGAACGAACTTCATCGGCCCACATTGGCCGCTCTCATTTGCCACGTCACTACGGGGGTGCCACAAGGCCGCACCGCTATAGTGGATATGGCCTCAACGGTCCTTACTATCTTTGGAGAGAAATCACCGAACTAGCTCGACGCTACCGCTATAGTGTGTCTCGTCCTTCCGCCCTGGCAATGCGGCGTTTCCGCAGATTCGAATTCGTATAAAACCAGAGCGCTTGTCAGGAGATGGCAGATAAGAGGAAGTAGTAGACATACACACTCAAGTCACAGCAAAAATGGCTCACACAACAAAGCAGTGGATCCTCACCAACAAGCCCACGGGAGCTCCCGTCCTCTCGGGCCCGGATGCCACCTTCAAGCTGGAGACCGCGACCCTGCCGGCGCTGAAGGAGGGCCAGGTCCTCGGAAAGGTGCGGTACTTCTCCAACGACACCGGCCTGCGCAACTTCATCCAGAGCACCGTCGCCCCGGAGCGCTTCTACGTGCCCACCGTACCGGTCGGCTCCCCCATGCGCTCCGGCATCATCGCCGAGGTCATTGAGTCTGCGTCGCCGACCTACAAGGCCGGAGACCTGGTCATGGACTTCCACCTGGGCACCTGGAGCGAGCTTGTTGTGTTGGACGCCGCTCTCTGCCAGCCCTTGGCTCCTCTGCCCAACAATCTGCCCATCACCCACTGGCTGGGTGCCTTTGGTGCCTCTGGCCTGGCCGCCTACACCGGTCTGTACTTTGCCGGACAGGCCAAGCCTGAAGACACAATCGTCATCTCGGCCGCGGCCGGTGCCACTGGCTCCATGGCTGTGCAAATTGCCGTCAAGCTCCTTGGTGCCAAGCGCGTCATTGGTATTGCCGGTGGAGAGGAGAAGTGCGCCTGGGTGAAGGAGCAACTGGGTGCGCACGAGTGCATCAACTACAAGAGCCCTACCTTTGTTGAGGACCTGAAGGCCGCCACCCCTGATGAGGTCGACGTCTACTTCGACAACGTCGGCGGCCACGTGCTCGACGCCATGCTGACCCGCATGAAGAAGAACGGCAACGTCGCCGTCTGCGGCGCCGTCAGCAGCTACAACTCGGACGAGCCCATGGCGCTGAAGAACTGGTTCGAGATCATCTCTATGCGCATCAACATCCGCGGTTTCATCATGCTGGACTACATGGACAAGGCCGCGGCCATTCTCGGCGAGCTCATCGGTGCTGCCGCGGACGGCAGAATCAAGCTCGGAGAGGGCGAGACCGTGGTAGAGGCCAAGATTGAGCAGCAGCCCGAGATCTGGATGAGCTTGTTCACCGGTGCCAACCAGGGCAAGCTCCTGACCAAATTGATTGTGTAAAGAATATAATCACCTATATAGTCTAGCGGGCAATGAAATCAAGTAAAATTGAACAAAGAGCCAACGGGGCTATTTGAGATTGCAGTAAAGCCAGCGTAAAATGTCGGGCCCGGTCCGCAAGTTATCCGAAGTTTCCTTCGGATCTCGGTGCCTAGCGCAAGACGGAGGTGGGTCTGTTCCGGGCAAGGCCTGCCGGACTGGCCTGCCGCCGAGTGCACCTCAGTCCGGGTATAAGTCTATGAACGCAACCGCAGTTGAGCTACTACTGCGGAATATCCTCTCGTGTGAGTCTATGCTTCCTTAGGCGGTGCCTCGCGTCGTGAAGTATATCCAAAAGCTGACCTCAAGCAAGCTTGTATCCAGAGTCTAGCTGTAGTATGTAATATGGAGCAATCCATTGCTTTCTACTATTCAACTACGGATAGTACTTTGGCAGTTCATCGTAATCGCAAGGTATCTTAGTGTCTAGCCACAATCCATATCTCCCAACTTCAGACTCGCGGCGACGACAATGCAGGCAAGACCAGTCCAAAGGACCAGCGTGCTTTAAAATGCCTCTTTCAGCAGCTCCACCGCCTTGTCCCGAAGTCTGTATTTCTGTATCTTGCCACTGGCAGTCTTTGGATACTCGTTAATCCACCAGACGTACTTCGGCGTGAGATGACCGCTCAGCTTCTCCTTGACCCAAGTCCTTATGTCCTCTTTACGCAGCACTTTTGGTGGTGAGCCATCTGTGCCCTTACCAGCATCCTCGCTGATGGTGTCCCATCCTTTGGCCGGCACCACGAAAGCCGCAACGGCTTCTCCGTGCTTGTCATCAGGCACCCCGACGACGCTTACTTCTTGCACCCCAGGGCACTGGAAGATACAGTTCTCAACTTCGAGTGGGTGGATGTTCTCACCACCCCTGATAATCAGATCCTTGATGCGGCCGGTGATCTCGATATACCCATCCTCGTCCATCCTCGCCTCGTCGCCCGAGTACATCCACACACGGCCATCGGCATCTTCAATCCTATCCTCAGCTGTCCGAGCGGCGTCGTTGTAATAGCCTTTCATAACCAAGTATCCGGAAGAAGCCAGCTCGCCTCGTTCTCCGATTGGTAGAGTTCGGGTTCGATCACGAGGATCTACGACCTTGACAGCTGTATGCGGCATAACCCGTCCTACACTGCCCGTTCGCTTTTCGAACGGATCATCGGGGGCTGTCATCACACTGACGGGGCTCGTCTCTGTCTGTCCGTAGCAGATCACCAGATCCTGTAGCCCGATAGTCTTGAAGAGCCTCCGCATAAGTGATTCTGGTACTGAACTGCCAGCTGCTATGCCCTTCCTTAGTTTGCGGAATGCACCTTCAGGGGTCTGCGAGGCAAACGCCGGATTCGAGAGCAGTTCCAGTTCGGCTACGAACATGGTGGCTACACCATACAAACCCGTTGCTTCTTCCTCGGCCACCATGCGTAGGCAAGAGGCCGGGTCAAAGGCTGGCGAAGGGAACATAATCGCAGCCCCGGTAGTAGCCGTCGCCATGTATCCCAAGACACAGCCGAAGCAGTGAAACAGGGGAGGCGGCACCACAATCTTGTCCTCAGGTATCAAGCCCATCCGAGTCGCGATAAATCGGCCATTGTTGAGGATATTGGTATGCGACAACATGGCAGCTTTGGGAAGTGAAGTTGTCCCTGATGTGAACTGAATGTTGATTGTCTCATCTGCTGATAACGGAGAGTCAGGTGTCACAGCTCGAGACGAGCTGTCCAGCAGTATAGAGTACGGGGTAAGGGCATGTAGATCCGCGACGGGGAACTTGACTTCCGGGTGAGACGGAGTATTGTCGACAAGAACAACGGTCCGCAGGCTTGGGACCTCCGAAGACTCGATCTTTCGCTCCAGGTTGGGCAAGAATGACTCCAGAAGAGGGAGGTTGCTTCTTCCACGACAGGGCTTATAAGCCAGATCCGTCACGGCTCCAATAATCAGCACCTCAACTTCAAGATGGGCAAGAGCGGCAACCAGTTGCTTCTGATTGAACGTCGGGTTGAGCGGTACCAGGATCGCACCGAGTTTGAAGATGGCATATGTCAGAGCCGCATTCTCAACGACGTTGCCTAGGCTGACAGCCACACGGTCACCCTTCTTGACACCTAGTGAGCGTAGAGAATTGGCCAGAGTATTTGACATGGAGTCAAGTGCTTCATAAGTCAAGGTAGTCGATCCTGAGGAGCTGCCTGCCTGGGAAGCGGGTATAGATGGCAGCAGGTCGCCCACTGTAGGTGCGCGACATATTACGGCCGGTCTGTCTCCGTATTTCGAGACCACTGTCGCGAAATGGTCTGGCACAGTTTGCCGTAGTAAAGGGGGCTATAAGCACGGTAAGAGCTTGTGCTGACCAAAAATAACTAGCAACGAGCAGGACAGCTTGTCTTACTCGTGTTATGGTATGTCGAACTTCAGATTACCAGCGTAAGATCCCATGTGATAATAGAGCCAAAATAGCAGGAGAAAAGGACTCAACGGCAATGCGTGAACTTACCTCAGTTGGGCCTTCAGCATAACTCAATCTCGCAGTAGCGGCGCCCCTTCTCGCATGGTGGCCTCGCAGTCTCAGCACTGCCGCGGCACTCTGTGTAAGCCCAGCAACGGGCCGTGTAATCCCAGCTACAACACGGCCCATGATGTTCCCCTATACCGAATAACCGACAGACAAATAGCACTCGAGAGGCATTGGCTGCTTGCCGGGACAGGCGGAGATATGCAGAAGAGGGGCCTCGGGTTGCGACAACATGGACACCGGGTGAGGTAGAGGGGCAAGGCCGAGTTGGACTATGTAGCCAATGCTCGTATACAAGAGGGAAACAGGACCTCACGAAACACGCGAATCTGTAAGAAGACGAATTCCAAGAATACCGAGAAAGCAATTGTACCTAATCCAACTTGCCAGCCACCCAGAAAGCAGACACGAGGTCTGAACGGCAGAGGGATCCCGGCTGCGGGTTGGGGTAGACGATAGTGTGGGGTAGCGCCACGGCGGCTGACGTCGGGGTAATGGAGGGGAACCCTAGAAACGGGGAATCCAGGGGTTCGTTCTGCTTGTTTACGTACTGGAACCAAGCAAAGGGATGACTGGTCTGATGCAGCTTTCAATAACCATTACTTCAATTCAGTACCTGATTACCTTACTCAAGGGTTGTGATCTCCATGGATGCAGAAGGACTCTCTTAAGAGTGTGACATTTTTGAGCCTCCATTGCTGGTCAACTATACCTACCGAGGTCGATAAGGACTGACTTGCTCCGTCCTCGGACGCCGTCGGTGAGTATTTGGATGTAGTTATTGCAAAAAGCTAACCCTGGAGGCAGTCCATTCTTAGGGGTCTATAGTTGCCCGGAGTTGTCATATCATATTGGCAACTATACTCGATGAACCTATCTTCAGTAAGACTTAATCCACCGGGAAGGAATCGTCTAGAAATGACTCGAGAGCCTACATGTTACTGTAGGCCGGACCTCGAAAAGGATGGTGGAATTCAAACAGGTTCGCATTCCTCTGCCCAAACGCCATGCTCCGCCTTTGAGGGTATGTATATACAGGTCGCTCCCCATGCGTATTACAGTCTCTCTCACACCAGCCCATCAAGCCGCCCTTCGTGCGGCGCCAGTTCTATGCCAACGTGGCAGATGAGCAAATATCATACAACATAGTTTTGGCACTCAAGGGGCGATGATAAGCCTCTAGCTGTCGCCGATGTGGCGCTCTGCCTCGGGTTTCCACGTCCCTACAAGAAAATGTTAGTATCACAGGCTCACAGCTTCATGTCCAATGTGAGAATGCTGCATACCTTCGAAGTTGTGCTTAACAAACGCCATAGGATCATCAACATCCTTCGCCCCCATCTGCTGAACACCGGGCGAAAAGCTCGTAATGGGAAGAACGATCACGTCGCCCACTTTCTTCGGCATTTCCATCCCCGTAAAGTTGGCGTACGAGATGTTGCCACTGCTATAGCTCATGTCGAAGAAGCGGTCGTCGTTGAAGTAGTCGAATATCGTATCGGTCCAGACCGCAGGCCCCGTGAACTCGACCACGCTTTTCTGCTTGGAGATGAACAGGCCGGCCTCCTTCCGCTTCAGTGTCTCCTTTGTGATGCGTGTCACAATGTCGCGCAGCACCGGGTGTCCAGGCTTGGACTGGATCGTCCATTGGCAGAACTGGATGCGTCGGCTGTACCAATCAGCCCAGTCCGGGCGATCTGGATCGGCTTCGATGCCAATCACCAGACCAATGCTCTCCTTGGGCACCGAATCCGGTATCCATTCCAGGGCGCTCTTCAGCGCGGAAGTGTCGATATCCGAGTAAATGCCCCCTCGCGCGAACAGGATTAGATAGCGGAAGAAGTCGGCCTTCAGCACAGGCTGCGGAAGGGCCTCGTACGCTTCCAGGACCTCGGGAACAGCGGAGTACAGGACGCGTAGCAGGTGGGCGGCGACCTGGTCGGTAATGACTTCATGTACGAAGCCGGGGTTTAGCTCGGTCCACGAGGCCTCCTGCGGGCGGAAATCGAACTCGGCATTCGCAGGCGTCCACTTCCACGTCTGCCAGATGTAGGCCGGGAACTTGGTCTCGACGTCATAAGGGTATTGGTAGGCTAGTCTGTCGTACAGAGACATCTTGGACGTGTCTTGCAGGGCCTTCTGGGCGGAGACGTGTACCTCTCGCAGCGGAGCGCCATGATCGGACGTCGACGAGGTGGACGTAGTCTTGTGTGACGAGTTTTCGGCGCCGGCGGGCCTCTTCTTTGGGGCAGGCACTATTTGGTCGTCTTCCGAGGTCGAGCCATGTGAGCGCCGTAGTAATATGAAGGCTGTGAGAAAGAAGACGGCGAAGACAAGGGCCCGCTTGAAGGACAACATGTTGGCACGCGCAGGCCTCGCCTGTTGCGTGACGGGGGCCGCAGATGGCGAGAGCAGAGTGCGTCAATGGATGCGGGTTGAGGATTATGAGGACCAGTCCAAGTCGTAGTAGAGCATCGAGGACTCGTTTGCAAGCTGCAGTCAACACCAACGGCCGTCGATCATGGATAGTATAGGCAGGTCGGCGGAGCAATGGAGAGGTTCGGGCACAGCTCCAAATTAACCACCTTGGTCGGCAGTCGGTAGGGTAGGTAGTTTGGAGTCGGCGGGATGCGATCGATCGATTGCTAGCTACCTGTGTAGGTAGCAGTGGAGAGTTCGGGACGCTGCAGCGGAACACGGGCGACTGAGGTTGTTTCCTAGGCAGGGGGATTGCTCTGAGTATGTATGTGAGTATGTACGGGAGCGAGGCAAGATCAAATCTTTTGCATGCTTCACCCAGGAGGCTCCAAGGAAGCCAAAAATCTGGAGAGGCCAAAATGCGACATGCAACCTGGAAGCGAAAGGATGGGGGCTTGGCGGCCGTTTTCTAGGCCCAAGATGCACGGATAGCGCAATTCGACCAGCAAAGACGGACCCCTGAACACGCCCGCAGAGCCCGAACTATGATTGCAGCCAGCGAATCCGGGGCTAGTCAGCGGGCTCCCTAGCGGCTTGCGTCAGATTGCGGCCGCAGTTCGAAGAGTGGAATGGGAAGATAAGACAAATAAGCAACGGTACGCGCTGAACGAGCATTCACGTCTGGTTGAGCATCCGTGGGGGCCGCAAAGTCAATGCAGGTACCTACAGTAGATTGCTCGATCACGCTGAGGTCCTATAATTACAAACATCCTGTTTACCTCTCCGCCCTTGGGTGTGGCTACTACTTCCGTTCAAAGGAGACTTTTTCCTGCAGTCCTATCCGCTGGTCTCCAGATGTGGCTGGCTGGCCTAGGGGCCAGAATCAGGGAGGGTGGGCATCCTCTATAGCAGATGACTGTGTTTGGGGCTCGAGGCGGTCTCCACTATATGGGCCACGTCAACGCACACGTTTTCACCTATCTTGCTCACTAAAGGTATCATCTGTGTGCATTGAGAGAGGTGTGTACTATGGTATACATGTTAGCCACTCCGGCAGCGGAATCTTTATCTCTCGGCACCCAAGTGACGCAGATAAGGAGTGACTGAAGCCAATTCAGTACATGCGAGGATATATATTGAGTTAAGAGGTGCATGTGCTACCTCCTGTTTGCGCTGATAGATGAACATTCGTCGGGAGAACACAAGCGCACAAGAGGACAGAAGAGCGTGACCCGCCGGCCACCCAGGAAGAATGTATGCTGCAGAACTTGCGCTGCTGGCGCATCCTTTGCGGTCGTGGTCGTCCCAAGCGACCCCAATGGCCTTTCCCAGGAACGCAACAGGATCAATCCCGACGACGATCGCAAGTCCCGGATCTTCAGATCGCAGCCTGTATGCGGGTGTGCCAAGACCTGACACATGCGAGAGTTCAGATGCACGGAAACGTCACCCAAGTTAAACGCCCCTACGGCCTGTCGTTGAAACGGCTTGTGTTACTCAGAACCACAAGCGAGCCGCCTCGCCACCTTGCACGATCCCGTTCAGCCCGGTGTACTTTATCGTGCGTAGATGGAAACGATCAATCGGCTTCCCTTCTGTTCCCTCTCTCCATTCTGCCTAATGTACGATAGTTACTAGGCAGTGACTGTGCGGCTGTGACGATGACCGTGCAGATGGGACTCCCATAGGCGAGCGATGCGACCCCACACTTCGACCAAAAAGCTGTCTGAAACACGAGGGAATGGGGGCCCTTGACACGCTAACAAAGCTTGTCTCTTTTCCAAGCTGGCCGGGCTGGCACCCGAGTTGACGAACACTGTGACAAAGTGAACGGGTCTGAAAGCCCTTCACAATCAACCGCAGAAACACAAGTCGTCACCGCTCTCAGAGTAGAGCTTGCCGATGTGCGAACAAGATGTGATGCAGTTTGCCTTGTTTCAGATTGTCCCCAAGAAGAAGTGCCTGGATGCCAAGGTTCGGCAAGGCCTTGGGACCTTGGAAGATGGGTGCGCATGTCAGATCTGTTGCCAAATTTATCACACTTCCGTGCCCCCACCATCGATCTAATTGTGGCACCCTGTTCTTTCATCTCAGCGGGACATAGTAGCCTCAGTAGTAATTCCACCTTGGAGTTTAAGTTCGAATTCAGCATATTAAGCTCCCAGAGGGTAGTTCCATCTCAGGACTATATTCGGATGCTGGCAGGCAGAGGCCGTATGAGTGTCCCTTGCCGAGAACAGAGAGGTATTACTTAACTTCTCCAACAAGCCCCTCTTTGGATACTTGGATACACTCACAGATATATCAATACTATTGCATAAATCAAATCGCTTGCACAGCCCCCACATGCGTGGTCATAGTCTCGAGTTGAACACTTCCCTATCCGATTTATGCATTATATATTGTACAAGATGCAGGAACCGTAATTGACCGAGACCCTTGCGATTTGGAATATCTCCAAAAAAAAAAAAAAAAAAAAAA